TCAAAAGGCACAAGGGCCTCCTGAAATTCGAGTCCTCCATTCTCATCCAACTACGCACCGGACGACTAAGCACCCGCGCGCTCCTCTACAAGATAGGCGCCCCCGGCGTGACGTCGCCGCTCTGTCGGTGCGAGGAAGCCCTTGAGACTGGGGAACACATCCTCCTCCACTGCGACGCACTTAGAGCGAGCCGGGAAAAGATGTGGCACGACGCCGGTAAGTGCCCGCCGCGCGGGAGCCGCGAGTTAGCAGCGCTACTAGACCAGCCGCAGCTTAGCAAGAAGGTGGCCCGGTGGCTCATCGCGGAGAACCTACTCCCCCACTTCGCTAGAGCGGGCGAGGAGGCCGCGGCACAGGAACAGGGGACGCGGGAAGCACGGGAGGACGAAGCACAAGCGAGAATGCAGCGAACACGAAGCGCAGGCGATGCGGGCACAGGGGCCCCGGGCTGGTTGCCCCGGATACTGAAGCCGACTTACACGACGACCTCCGCGAGAGGGAGCGTCGCTGACGATGCGCCCGCGCAGCGCTGACGGGGCGCACGCGCCCCTAGAAATCACACATACCCAGGAGCTGCACCGGCTTAGAGGCGTGGAGGGAGGCGACCAATCTCGCCCAAAGAACGTCTGGCGGGTGAGAGCCATTCGTGATACGCGACGGAACCACGCAGCGAAGACGCCGCTTAGGCGTACCGAATACGTAGCGTATATTTTTTATCCGGCTTCGGTACGGTTTATTATACGATAGATTTGTAGGCTCGCGAAACCTAACTAGGTAGCGCGTACTAATAATAATAATAATATAATGAAAACTGACTGACAATAGTTTTGACCCTCCTCACAAGAATGCTTCGCTAAATCCACATCCATCCATATACGATTTCTCTGTCGAAGGTCCTGTGGAAGGCTAGCAAGATATTTGAAAGAGCATCACTATCGTCAGATTTACCTGCTTCTGTTGGCTTAATAACACCAGCTGCTTTGCAGTATCGATATTCGCGCTACTGTGCTCCGGGTTAGTCAAGATAAATTGAGCTAGCTGGCTCGGGCATCTCTTCTATATGTGTTTCTGTGAACAAAAACGGTGGACAAGTGAGCGTGAACTTAGTAAGGCTGCACGGAGTGTAAGCGGTTCTAGTGCTATCATTCTTTTTCTGACTCGAGTATTATATATTTCTATCTAATCGTAAATCTAGTGAGCCTACCACGCCACTGACAGTATGGACTGTATACTCTGAATGCAAAAGGACAAAACTGCGAGCCTCTTTACCCAGTCCAAAGAAATACAGACCTTTGCTCGGGTTCTACTATGCCGGCATTGGTTTTCTTTCATATATTCATTTTGGCTAGCTCGGCTGATAGATTATGAGGAGAACGAAGGGAAGGCTAATGATGTTTTCCATAGTGTTATCGGTCTCAGCTTTACAGGACTTAATGTGCTGTACTAAAAGAACATTTGAGGGTCAAGTTTCATGTCAAGCGGAAATATTCTCCGAGTCTTCTAACAAGCCAACTCCGATTACTGAACGCTACGTATGGAAGAGTCTTAGAAGGGGATGTCGCCCATACTTTCTGATTAGCTCGGTCAACAATCGAATATTCATTGGGATCACATCCGGTAGTGTCAACACGACAATGTAAATGAGCGCTCGGAATATCTGTTAAGGTTTTATTTCCATTTAGAAACCAGATGTTTTTGAGACTATGTAAAAGTAGCATCCTTTTATTTTACAACGTTCTCATGTTGCTTCCTCTACTTTATCTTTCCAGATTTGGGAAGGCAGTGTCTCTTTCAGCCAGGGATAAAGAAGAGACAAACAGCTTTCTTCATCGGCGCGTTAGAAGATATTTAGGCGCAAATCGCAATCTCATCCCGTGCAGATTATCAATAAGATGTATAGGAGGCCCAACCATATTATTTTCGATAATAGATTTATTCCCAAAGAAGCCTGAAGGAAATGAGGAATTCTCCTTTGAAGTGCCTCTAGAAAGTATCTCGATCCCATTCCTTCGACGCTGTCAAATCCCTCTGAACTTTAAATTCAGCAGTCGCCTACTACGACGAGACAATCCCACCTTGGAATTTTTCGGATGAAGTTACCGCTCCAACGCCTAAGTACCGTACTAAGATACAATACCCTGCAGAAGTCCAGAAAACGTGGGATATAAAGCTACAAGAAATACCTGCTAGGCAAAAAAACTCTATTATAGACCTTGAGCCGCAGCCTATGGTTGAACAACCGCACTACCCTGTCAGGCATTTAGGTTTTGATTTTAGGAGAGCGAACTCGCAGATGTGGATAGATGTTTGCGGAACATTTAAGTCAAAGGAAAAGATCAGTGAGGCATATATTCATGATAGCGCATTCTTATCAGCGTGACTAGCTAGAAATAAACAAGCATCTTGCGCCCTCAAGATAATCCTGGTTTTGGGAGCTTGTATGGCTTTCCTTACATGAGCAAGGAGTGTGGAATGTCCGTGGACAGCATAGGGACCTTCTTTTCTTTTTCACTCTCAAAAGATGTTGATTATACAAGAAAATGAAGCTTCATTCGAGGTGCATATAGTTATGGATGTGGTTCTGCCATTATTACGGTACTTCTTCTGACAACAAATAGTTCATCATCGGTATCTACACCACATGTCACAGACATTTCTTTTTTCTTTCATACTCTCCCTTTTGAAAAAAAGAAACAAAGAACAAAGGTGAAGCATTCCTACGTAAGAGTGCTGTGACAATCCGGATAGATGATCGAGTCTACATGCTGATAAAGCGTGTCGGGGAAGCAGCTATTCGAAAGTCATACCTCGCTAAATGACCTTTGCCATCGTGCGCTCTCTGCTCAGAGATTGGCTATGCAGGCTGTAGTCTGCACATTCAAGTGCACACGTCGCCTAATCGTTTCAAGTTCTTTGTCTGTGGATTTGTAGGTTCTGATCAACTTAGTCTGGGCTCTAGCTGCTACACAGAAGGGTCAATACCACCTCTTACTACTTTTCAAGTTGAACCTGTTAGGAGAAGTCTAAGTATATATATAGTGCTATACTTATTCTGCTATAAATTTTGAAGTGCCGCCCAAGGCTTTGGCTGGGGAAATCCAATGTTCGCTGTCGCCATTGGAAGGAGATCTTTGTGCCGTTTATTGACTTGCTATTAACTGTGACCAACTGTTGTTCTTTGGGTTATAAAAAGACGTCTCCCCTTGACACTCACTCTGCTTGTTGGAGGAAAAATCGATTGCATTCAATATCTCTACTGGCATGCTTCGTGTCAATCGGGACATCTACTAAGCAATTCAATGTGTCATGAGTATTCATCTGACATGGGTTGTACTTGCCAGAATGGAATAGAGTTTAAATTCAACTATGTACATATCTCACATCAGAAAATGACGAGCTCACTGTCGGAATTATCATGAAATAACACTTATTGGTTCCGGTTCTTTTTCGGCCGAACGCTTCGAAATCTCTTGTAATATGTTGGATCACAATATTCCATTTCTGCATCTGCGTGAATTCGTTATTTCTCTTTGGCGTCATTTACTAGTCATTGGCTCTCTATCTGGACCGCAATCTTCTCTAAAACTTAATACTTGTGCAAGCGGCCATGATCTGGCAGAATGATATCGTGATAAACGCTCTACACCTGGCTTCTTTGAAAATTATGCGCTGTACTCCAAAAGATCCTTGTGTACTCAGCCGCAATAAAGATACAGACCGTATGATCCTCTCCGAGACTAGGATCAACCAATAATCATCTACAAGACATATTCGCGGGCTTGCTAATCTTGCGCAGGTAGTCAGATACCCCGAGGCGTCAGACAGATAGACAAGGCATGGCGGAGGTCAACGCTGCAAGACAGACTCCTTCACCCATACAAAAACCAGTTAGAACTTTCCATCCTTCGACATGCTCCTTACTCAACTGCGATCTGTTTGTGCTCCAGGGTCTAGTGTCTATTCCGGTAGTGGCGTTCAGAGCAAGTTATTGTAGTTCGAGATCTTGCTGATTATAGGGAGCAGTAACTAGTATCCTAGAGTCTCAGGTATGATTACCCACTTGAATGCCACATGGAAATGTCAAGAAGTGAAATGAAGACCTTCAGTAATCACATGCGGAGTCAAACACTCTTCTGAATTAGTAGTTTTCGAACTTTCAAGTAGCGGAGATCTCTAAACTGTTGACATCCTAGGTAGACTTTCTGCTAGTAACAATAATTGAATGTGTAATTTCTCGTTGCATCTCCTGTGTGTAGATCATAGAACTTCCTGGCAACACATAACATGGTATAGAGCAGTCAGCGATGCCAACAAAGACACTCTTGGGAGCATAATATCATTAGTATTCACTTTCCAGTTCATCCATGTATGACGTCTCGGGCAGTCGATCGGTGTAGGCTACAACTAATTATCTTTGGTGTGAATCGTTGAAAGCTATTGCTCAACATATAAAAAGAAGGCGCCCCGCTGAGTATATTCCTTACATCATAGGAGCTATTTGATGGGAGGGAGGAGTTCTCTACCACCGAAATGACTGGGTGAACATTCCCGTCATATCTCATAGATGGACGACATCGTGACAACTATAGATATTGTCAATGAAATCCAAAGAAATTCTCAAACGTTTCGGTAAGAGACCAGTCATGGACTTGCCAAACGCTCCGTCCCCAAGCTATTTCGCTTTTGTATCGAAATCTGGCCGGCGCGATTCGTCTTCCTTGTATGTCTACCTATCTTAGGCTATATGCACATGCACTTATTGCTGTCGCGCTAGCTAATGTTCTTTCTTCCCCTTTGGTGTGCGTAGTTGAGCGAATACAGCTATAGATACGAGGAGAACATGAGAATATCATGCCTGCAGCAAGCCTTATCCTCCTCCAACTAGTACGAAACACGATTTCCCAGCTAGGCTCTCTATTTGCGAAGGGTCACAACCCGTAGCCCTTATGCTTCAGCGGGATGTGAACGAATGCTGGACTCAGCGGCTATAGATCACAACTCCTGACATTCTTGGACTATTAAGCAACATTAAGCTGTGGTGCACACGTTCCTATGACAGGCCGCTCTCCACGCCAGGTAATGCGCGCGATCGAGAGCAGAATGCTGGCGTCATACACATGTGTCATAGGACTTTGACGACGCATTATGCAGACAGCATTGAGGTGGCTTCACACGCTGCGCCACAAAGGATGCGCGGAGGATCTGTCCAGCATATGTACTTAATGTCCCTGATTCACCAATGTACAAAACCTTGTGGTCTCCGCTAACATCTTTGTTCAAGCATTTTCAGGCTGAGCCTGCGGGACAGAGGCAGTAGAATCAATCATGACGTAAAAGCCGCCCTTAAAAACCAAGTGCTATAAGTCAAACTATAGAAGCAGCAAACCTTAACGCCAGGCTTGGAATCCCCAATGCGCGCTCTAGACTAGTTGGAAGCCATTAGGTGCAGTAATCTTGTGAAATCTACTTCAGGCTGTGCTGTCCGGGAACTGGTCTTTCGGTGGCGTCCCAGCAAGCAATGCCTCGAAGTTGAGTCTCGTGCTCCACTGCGTGTTTGGCGTGCTGGCCACTTCAGTCCACCCTTCGCCATGGTCAGAGATGTCACTCTCACCCTTTTTCGGTCCGACCGGGAGATGGTTGTTGAAGAACGATGGCTGCACACTCAGGCACGTATGATATCCTCGGCCACCACCTTCGCAGAACTGTGCGAGCAACAAGTCGAATCCTGCGTCAAAGTTCTTGAGACCGATCTCATAGAGCAAGCTGCGCGCGCCGGCTTGTGTTATGGCATAGCCCAAGGAGCACAGTGACTCTTGTGCATGGTGAACAACGCGGGTATGCTCAGGGTACTGCTCTTTGAGCTTGTCGGGTTTGGTCCAGGTCGTCAGATACCGTTTCTCGGCCACAGTTGGATCGTTATGCTGGACCACGCGACCCTTGGGGATGAGCTTGCTGTCTTCGTGCGCAAAGGTCATGCCGCAATGTCCTAGCCAGAGCAAATCCCAGCCATCTCCATATGGTGAAGTTCGTGGAGCCCGCACGGCTGGCGGGTTGTTCAGAGCAATGTCGGGAACTTTTGAGGGCGAGTTAATGGCGGGTCGAGGGAATGTGGGGTCTGCGTAGACTTCAGCAGCGGTGCGAGCCAGGGGCTGAGTGAGGATCTGAGAAGAGAGCGCAAAACTGTAGAGCTGCTCTTTGAGCCTTATATCCCAATCGACGTCATCCTCGAGGATGAGGGCAGAAGTGACGTTCCGCCGCACTACCTCAGCAATGGCATTCATGTGGCCGCGCCATGAGCCAACCGAGGCATCAGGGAGTCGTTGCTGGCCCTTCCCAGAAGGAATCGCCTTGTCTGCTACATCCTTGCCCAGAAGGCCATCGATAAACTCGACTCGGAAGCCAGAAAGGGCAGCACTGAGCGTGATCGCGTCGCGGCGGTCGGTTCGAGAGGGCAGGCTGACGACAAAGATGGTGTCGAAGCCCAAAGTCTGATTGAAGGTATCTTGGGTAAAGCTGCTGCCGCCTGGTCTGGTCCAAGGCCGAGAGGTGGTGAAGGAGCGCGTAACAGACGTCGCCCCGCCGCTATACAGAACGAGACAAAGCAACACAAAAACTCCGCCACCGACCAGCAGCAGCAGAAGTGGGCTCTGTGGGTGTCGAACGACGAGCATCGTTTGCTGCACTAAGCAACGCAGGCTGGACGCTATTGACGGACGAGTGATACGTTATCAAATGATTGAGGAAAAGGGAAGAACGTCGTGCAGAGCGGGGGCAGTCGATGCCATCGGGGCGAGTTGCGACACGGAGCTGGCAAAGGAAATCGTTTGTTGTTGGCCTGCTCTTGAATATTGGCAGCACCAGAACCTTGTGCCTGTGCCTGTACGGCCCCTTAAAGAAAGAGCTGGGGCGTGCGGGCCGGCCCGACAAGCACAAGACAGGAATGGCCTGAAAAACGACGCTGTCAATCACCCGCAGCCGCCGTTGCGGGTCCTTTCCCAGCATCCCATGGGAGGGCGCCTGCTGATTCGCCTTCCCCTCATGCAGTTGGTTCAATGTTCCTGGCTAGCACCAGCGCGGGCTTTCGGCCTATGCTCTGGGGCTAAAAGCCGGAAGTAGTCTCAACTTGGCTGCGATCAGACCTGCACACATCATGGGGACTCTTGCCATACCGTGACGGTGTACTTCGGAAACATGAGTATTGTCCAAGTTGAAGAACTCAACACGGGCCCTACTTCGGCTTCTTATGGCCGCATATTATCGATCTGCGTAATTGACCATTCCAGTGGCGCCGTGTATGTCCGATATGGGGTTTATTTCAATCCGCGCTCCTGGCAGGCCGCCTCATCCAAGGCATGTGACAGTGCCTTGCGCAATATCACCTGAGCCTGCAGTCTAGTCCTCCCTGACGCCCCGGACGATTAAGCGGGACTTGTGTGTTTCAGATACCTTTCCGAGTATCCTTTGCTATCACCGGCGGCATCGCTCTGCGTTTTCAATTCCTAGTCACTAACACTATGCGGTATCTTCATCAGCGACGACCTACTCCGGAATGCCCCGCAGACGATAGACAAGCTTCCCGACGTGGTCAACAATTTCATCTGGTACAGCATCTGGTAGTACAGCTCCCTCCAACAGGATATCCTCCTACTCGTTTAATCTCGGTTTTAGAGTTGGCAGGAGGATATCAATAAATACCACGCACATGAGCCGGCTCCATATCTTCAACCGTATGCGTCCCAGCAAATTATGCCCGTGGTAATGCCTGTCAATACTAGGGGCCTTGCCTGATGGCGGATTGGTGACGGATTTCATGATGCGAACAGTGTTAATCCCTTTCCATGGCCAAAGTCAATGTCAACTCCACGCGTACGGTGGTTGCTGCTCGTGCATTCCTTCGAATTGATCTGGCTTAGTCTAGCTTTGTGCGCTTATGCTTGCTTGGCGCACACTTCAGCTCCAATCACGGCATTCTGCAACTCCCTCCGCATTCCCCCAAACAGGGGTTTCGATTCCCGAAATTTTCCTCCAGTAGGATGCCAGGTCGTTGTTGATCCCCCAGACTACCCCAGCTTTCGGCACTTTGCCCTTCCCATCTAGGTGCATGTATAAGTATGATGGCAAAAGTCCAGAGGTATCGGTGGCATAAACACCTTCCTCGATAAACAGAGTCATCAGAGACTGAAGTGTGGTCATTATGAGGGTGCCCTTCGGTACAACTGCCACAGAAGCTGGCTTGTGGTCTGGCAGAAGCCTGTTTGTCCTCTTTCTTATGACCATACCAGTTTCAGCCTACGGCACTGCCCCAACAGCCCAAACGGTCAACGGCACTTACCAGGGCGTTCACTTGCCACACTGGAGCCAAGATGCATTTTTAGGCATGCCCTATGCCCAGCCTCCAATCGGTGCACTGCGATGGAGATGGCCACAGAGCATCAACTCGTCTTTCGAAGAAGTGCGGAACGCGACTGCATACGGGTACTCTTGCCCTCAACACGGCACCAATTTTTCACTCTCAGAAGATTGCTTGACCCTCAATGTCATTCGCCCAGCCGCGAGCAGTCCGGGTGTGGCCTCTGGCAAGGGGCCACAAGGTCCACAGGACCTGCTTCCTGTTCTCGTCTGGGTATATGGCGGTGGCCTGTACGCTGGCAGCACAGCTGATCCTCAATACAACCTCTCTGGGATCGTCAAAGTCAGCCAGGATATCGACCAGCCCGTCATCGCCGTGAGTATGAACTACCGTCTCGGTCTTTGGGGATTCATGCAATCGGCACAGCTCCAAACAGAAGGGTCTAGTAACGCTGGTCTTGCTGATCAACGTCTCGCCCTGCACTGGATCCGAGATAACATTGCTGCATTCGGGGGCGATCCAGACAAGGTTACGATATGGGGTGAGAGTGCTGGTGCTCAGAGCATTGCATACCAAATGTTCGCCTATGGTGGCAGAGACGACAATTTGTTCCGTGGCGCCATCCTCGAGAGTGGCGGGCCCCAGGGCTGCCAGATTGAGAGCTTGTCTTGGTACAATACTGCAAACGAGAATCTTACACGCAGTGTCGGTTGCTGGGGCGCGAAGGATCAGCTGGCTTGTCTGAGAGCTGTCGACCAGGCCACTCTTTTCTCTGCCCGTCAGTCAGTCGTTTGGAACCCGATTCTGGACGGCGACCTGCTTCAAGGTTACCCAAGCCAGCTCATCGAGGATGACAAGTTTGTCAAAGTACCAATCATCACAGGCGCCAACACCGACGAAACATTTGCCATTGCTGGTACACCAAACACGGATCAGGACATCTTCAATAGCCTACCCACGTGGAGGTCCTACTCGTTCACGCCTCCTACCATACGAAAATTGTTCCAGCTGTATCCTGACGATCCGTGCAACCAGCCACCGTACGCCATTACAAACTGCACTCGCCATCCGTCACGAGGCCTGCAATGGCGCCGCGCAGCACAAATTGGGTCTGACCTCGTCATGATCTCCGGTCGTCGCAAAATGGCGGAGCTGCTGACGCGGAGCGGCCAGGCAGCATGGAGCTACCGCTTTGACCAACGTCCTTGGAACGGCGCCGAGTGGGATGGCGTAAAGCACTTCCAGAACGTTGCCTTCAGTTTTCAAAACATAAGCGGCTTGCTTGGGCCGAGCCCACAGTACGATAGTCATTTGAGGCTGGCTCAAGCCATCGGCAAAGCCTATGTTAACTTCGTCCGGCGTCTTGATCCGAATGGCAGTCCAACAGAAGCGCCCTATGATGTCGGTGCCTTGCCTGTGTGGCCACAATATAATCTCGACCGGCCACAGAACATAGTGCTTAATGCCACGAAGAGCTGGATCGAGGAGGACACGTGGAGGCAGGACGGTATTGCTTACATCAACTCGCCGGAAGTCAGCAAGGAATTGTTGGGATGAAATTTTGTATGTGTGTGTGTGTGTGTGTGTGTGTGTGTGTGTGTGTGTGCGTGTTGGAGAGGGGGGTGTCAATGTCGTGTTTCAAGGCAGGGCCACAATAGATATCTTTTAGACCTGGCAGATTACATCGACGGAATCGACGGAATTATTGATTAGAAAGTCTAATCTGCACTTAAGCATCTAAGTAGCGTTCTATGTAATGCATGGTCGGGCAAGTTTAGCCAGATGTCGCTCGCTTACACTGGAGGATGGTCAAAGACGGTGTTTGAGAGACCAGGTTTCCGGAATGGCCATCCATTCTCCTGTAAATGCATTGCAAAATCCGTTCACCAAGCCATCTTGGCCAGGAATCCATTGGGCCGGCTTCTGATAAAGTACTTCCGGGTCTCGTCGGAAATCAACAAGAAGGCTCCGTATGCCATTGGAAGAAACCAGTACTCCACAGGCGCCGGAGCAAGGCCAAGAGTGTCCTGGAGTTGTGGAATATAAAGCCACAATATGGCCATCACGATGGCGAAGCCGATAGCAGGGAAGAGATACCAATTCTGGGTCTTCGGGTTGAACAAGGGGGGGTGTTGGAAGATAGACCACTTGCGAGTGCGGATGGCCATGAGGTTGAACCATTGCCTGGCGGGAGCATTCAAGATTAGCCTGGGCATCAAAAGGGACTGGAGACGCGAACAGCATTATACTCACATGACGACAAGGTTGATGAAGTACACCGAAGAAGCCTCGTATAAGCACTGGTTGTAGTAGTCTTGGTCGATCGAATCGGGCAGCACACCGTAGGACAGCCAGAGAACTGAAAAAGGGATACCGCGACGCTCGAGATACCAGTACGACATGGCAAATGAGGTGAAAGTCATGAAGACACCGACGAAGCCATAAGCGTGGATACCAAGCTGCCAGTTGACCAGACGATCGGTCTTGACGTTGCGGGGCTTCCGAAGCAGGACGTCAGCCTCGGGCTGCTCGTACGAAAGGACAGTGGCAGCAGCGCAGTCAGTGAAGCAGCAGATGATAATCATCAGGAACGATGACAGGATCTGCGGTAGACCGAAAAGGACGCTGGTCATTACAGGCCAGAACTCTGCGAAGGAACCGGCAGGTAGCAGGTAGCAGATGACCTTCTTGAGGTTATCGAAGACGACACGGCCGTACTTCACAGCCTCGACAATGGAGGAGAATGACTCAAGTAGAACCATGTCAGCAGCTTCGATGGCAATGTCAGAGCCACTAGCCATGGCTATGCCGACATCGGCAGCCTTGAGAGACGGCGCATCGTTGACACCATCGCCGGTCATGGCGACAATTCCGGAACTTGCTTGGAACTCGTTGACGATACGCAATTTCTGCTCGGGGGTGGTCCGAGCGAAGACGATCTCTTCGTACTGGGTCAAGGCTTTCCACTGGTGCTCGTTCAGTGTTATGAGTTCGGGTCCGGAGATGACAAGCGAGGTGCGGACACACTTGTGACTCTCGCTATCACTGCTGGAGTCCGTGGGAGCTTCGCGTGGTAGGGCAGTCACATCATCGACAAGCGGCGTTGGTGTTCTCACAATCCCAGCATCTTGGGCAATGGCCAGAGCAGTGAGCGCAAAATCGCCCGTGACCTATAGCAAAGCTGTCAATCCCTCAATCTTCAGTCAACGGATGCTTTGGCAATGCCTACCATGAAAATCCGAATCCCAGCACCTCGGAGAGTTTCGACGACCTCGCGAATTTCGGGCCGCAGTGGATCGACAATAGCGACAAGGCCGACGAGGGTCAACCCAGACTTGGAATGTTCGTTCATCTCGTCCTCGAAACCACTAGTGCCAGTGTGGTTCTTGATGCTAGATTGGCGGACAATCTTGCGAGCGAGCAGAATGCAGCGCTTGCCTTGGCTACTCCATAGGTTTTTCTGGTTCTCAAAGGAAGCGCGAATGTCGGCGTCGAAAGGCTTGGTCTCACCGGAGCTGGTGGTATAGTACCCGCACCTGCCAATCAGAACATCCGGGGCACCCTTTATCGTCAAGAGTCTGAAAAGTTGGTCAGCTCGACATTATCGTTTATGAGATCTCTTAGAGCCGCGATAAACTCACGTGTCATTGCCTTGCCAGGAGCTTGCTTCCACCTCAGATAGGGTCTGTCCAAGGACGTCGCGGCGGAACATGGAGAACGACCGAATCATGAATTTGTTCTTGCTATTGAAGGCGAGCTCGTAGGTTTTCTGCCAGCACTGTCGGACCTGACTGACTGAGCCCAGGCCCTCGGAGAAGCGGATGATAGCCTGGTCAGTGGCATCGCCGTGAACGAGACGCTCTTCGATGGGCTTGCTCATGCTAGCAGCATCGAACTCGGCACCGTTGCAAAGAGCAGAGAGAATACGCAGCTGGCTAACGCCGCTACCAGAAGTGTCTGTCGATTCTTGCAGGTCTTTTGCGGCATCAGCCGCTGCCAGCGCCTTGTTGCCGATATTGCATTCGGTGACCGTCATACGGTTCTATTGAAGGTCAGTGATGCCCTAAACCATGGAGGCGATCAAGTTATAAGGTGTACTGAGGACTTACCTGTGTTAGAGTGCCAGTCTTGTCAGAACAAATGACAGATACCGAGCCAAGAGTTTCCACAGTCTTCAAAGACTTGCAGAGGACCTTGTTCTTGCGCATAATGTTGGCTGTGATCGTGAGGCCAGATGTGACAGCGATGGGCAGGCCTTCTGGGATGAAGGCAATGGCAACGCTGACACAGCTGACGATCAGAACAGGAATCGAGATCCAGTCGGGGTGGTCCTTGCGAAGCCAGGCGCCCCTGATCACTAGTTAGCACTCTAGTCACACTTCATACGGGGAAGCCTGCAGTCTTGCCACGTACCAGCAAATCAGGACGATGGCAACCATGGCGAACATGAGAGTGCAGATCATTATGACAAAGTGGAGAACTTCCTTCTCGAGAGTGGTCAAGCCGGTCTGGGGGGTGTTGGTCAGGTTGGCGATGCGGCCGAACACAGTCCGGTCACCTGTGGAAACAACCAAGCCAAGACAGTTGCCTGAGACACAGTGTGTGCCCTGGAGACCGATGTTGCGGGTTTCGAGGTAGTTCTGATCTGTCGAGTCAATGGTGGCAGCAAGGGGAAGCGACTCGCCAGTCAGGATAGATCGGTCGAACTTGGCATCAGTCGAGACTTGGAGGAAGCGCAGATCTGCGGGAAGCTTGTTGCCGGCCTTGACGCACACGATGTCGCCGGGAACCAGCTCGGGCGCGCCGAGAGAAATTTGAGTGCCGTTTCTGATCACGAGCGTGTCTTCTGGAAGCATGTTCTTGATGCTACTCATAACTTTGGACGAACTCCAGTCCTGCCAGGTCTGAAACGCCACGTTGATGAGCCATACACCGACAAGGACGATTGCAAGAGCCTACGCCAACCACCCTGTCAGTCACCCACCACGAGGATTTGCTCTACGAGAATAACCTACCAGGTTGGCCACGGCCGGATTCGGCTCCCCTAGGGGTTTCCAAGATATAAAGACAAGGACAGCACCGAGAACGAGAATGGGACTGAATCCAGTCGTCATGTAACCGATGTACTTTTGAAGGCGGCGGGATTTAGGGGGCGACGGGGCGTTCTTGCCAAACTCTTTGAACTTGCGAGCGACCTGATCATCGGAAAGGCCCTGGTTTGGAGTCGAGCTGAGCCGGCGGAGGGCCTCATCGGTGGTGATGGTGTGCCATTCGAGCGAGGACAATTCTACCGTCGATGTGCAACAATTAGCAGCCTCGTCGCAAAAGAAGAGAGGGCGCCACCCTTTATGCAGTATTGAACTAACCTGCAGTCGTAGCATCTTTTGCTTTCGCCAGAGGGGCTTCGTCCTTGGCCTTGGTCTGCTCGATTCCGAACGAGCTGAGCGTCAGTGCTGCTGTTAGTCGAGGATCCCCATGCAGTCGGTGATGGATGTGGGACTGCACTTACACAGTCCGGTACTGAATAGGGAGCGCGACAGCGGGGTCAACCTCACGACGGGAGCGCACACTGCGGATAGACATGGAGCTGTTCGATCGGGTGCGGCGGAGCGCATTCGGGCGCTGGGAGAGCGAGCGTCGATTCTCCTCATCCCAGCGAATGCCACCTGCAGGCCGAGACTGCGACTTCTCGAGATCTACGTCGTCCATTGTGACGCACACCAGGCTCTGATCAGGCAAAACGAAAGCAAAACCCTAGCTGGAGCGAGCAGGAAGAAAAAGGCAGTAGGAGAATAACAAGAAGGATGGACGACCAGACATGCGAGCATGGATGTGAGTCGTCGCACGGGCAGAACAGCATTTATATCATTTTGGCCGGCGCGGTGGGAACAAGAGAGGGCGCGACGAGTTGTCGAGAACGGATTGCCGAAGGCGGACGCTGCACTGTCCTACATGAGGAAGGCGGCAGCATCAATGACAGTGTGCCGACCTAGACGCACATACGGGGACCAGCACCAGGCCTGGCGTGCATTCACACGTGCTGTTGTTGCTGCCACCAGTCTCTTGCCCAACTCAAGACGGGGCACGCAGCAATTTGCCGCAGGGGTGCCACGCGGCGGCGGCGCCGGGGAGATGGGCATCATTTTGGAAAGCCTTCGTCTGAGACTGTTCTCGTTGGAGCCATACACCCACCCCCCTTCAGCCATCCATTTTTCCTTTCCCCTTCCGCCTGCCGCCAGCAGCGCTGGCTAATTCGCGCACCCGTTCTGGCAACGCTCGGCGGAGCGTCCCCCTGGCCCAAGCAGAGCCTCCCAAATGCTGTCGTACGTCGACGACGAGCAGTGATCCAAGTTGGGACAAGGACAAAGGCGGCCTCAGACGAGCAGGATCTGCGAGCACAGCCCCCCTTCCTTGGCCTGCACGGAGGTGACCCGATGATAGCCAAGCGACTGCTGGAGCACCTTTTACCGCCCTGCGGCGGGGATGCCTAGTCGATGCACTTGGGCCCAGTTCCAACGCACTGCGATGATAGACCATCACACGCACTTGCAGAGGCCGTACCAGGACCCCTCCAGAGCGTGTCCTGCAACGTTGCCTGCGGCGCGGTACACATTCCCCGTCACACGTGGCTGGTGACAGAGTTTCGGCGTGAACGAGGCCACTGACGGGTTTGCAAGCTTAGGGCTGAGGAGGACTGGCGATGACGCGGTGACGGCGAGGCACGGGGTGGCGCCAGAACCCTGAGGGCGAAGAATAACGTTTCGAGGTGCGGGTGGTGTGACTCTGTGTGGTCCTCCCGGGGGGTGCGTGGCCCAGAGTCGATAAGCAGTGGTCAGAGCTTCGTGCAGGACCCGCCTACTGCAGAGAAGCAGGCCAGGCCTGCCTATGAGCGTCCGCACAGCGCCTCGCGGCTTCCCCAAAAGGGACAGCCCCTTCCTAGCGTCCCACCTTCGCGCAAAACAGGCGCACATCAAGCTTTTTCGCAAGATGGGCGCATCACTGGCCTGGTATTAATAGGTCCGAACTACTGCGTATGGTTGTCGCTTTGCCCAACCTCAGCGGCGCACGCGCATGGGCCTGCTCTCGCCTGCCAAAGATTCGTTTTCACATCTGCAGATGTGTAATGCATCACGCCTGGCCCGAGCAGGCGCCCTACTTGACATATGCCAAGCATCGTTCGGAGCAGACAATAGCACGCCTGAGCACGCCCAACACGGCGTGGATGTCCCTGGTGTGTGATTGGTCGTGCCCGGCAGATCTCCCGGGCCCTGCCCTCGTGAATGGTGTTCCTACCACCCCTGACTCTCCACCAGTCAGCCTGCCCGCCCGCCTCCTCTCTCCTGCTTGCTCGAGGGCCTAGGCTAGGAGCGGAGAGTCTGTCCCTGACCGCTGGTGCACGGCACCATCAGGTGCGGCTGCCCCTAGGGCCCTGGCTCTCCTGCGACTTCGAAACATTCTGCAAATAAACCGCGCATACTCAATGACAGCGCCTGCACCCTGCCTCGGCTTCACTGACGTGGTTTCTTGTGCTTAGCCACCGTAATTTCACGTAGGCATGCACCCCGTGGTCATGCAGGCCAGCCAGCTGAGAGCTGAGAGCAACGCCCTGCAAGAGTACTCCCATCCCAAATCTCCTACGCTCTGTTCCTCTGCCCACCAGCGTTACATGGCCTTGCGCTGCCGTCCACCCCTGCCTATTCCGCGGGGCAGGCCCGGCATGAAGGCAGATAAACAATTTAAGCATCGATTTTAGCGCTTCGCTCACGGGGACCCGCAAAGCTTGGCATACGCCCACCACACCACGACAGCAGCAGTTAACAACATGTGCCCGCCCATTTCCAAAATGCCTCACGGCCCAGTCCGACTCCGCTGTGCTCTCGCTCCCGCCAGACTCTTCATAGTGCCCTAGTCCTGCAGTCCCTGACCCTGGGGCCCTGTGGTCTGCTATTACTGTTTTTGGGAAGGAGGTCACCACAAGAGCTGGCCATGCTCGTGTGGAGCCAGGGATGCTTGCCCTAGTCTGTCATACAGACCTCTTTTCTCTCGGATCCGCCCGGTCCTCACAGGAGCGAAGCACAAGCCCAGCTTGATTATGGAGTCTTCGCCTGCACACATCCAGCGCACGAAGCGATATGTCCAGACATGCCACGCCATGGCAGATTTCTCTTGGATGCTCTTGCATCCGGCCGTGATGAGACAGCGCTTCTGCAGAATGAACAAGTCGTACTCAATCCGGGCCCATTCACGTGTTGTCCCAAGTGAGGACCACTTCTTGGCAACCTTGTCCAAGTCTTTATGAGAGAACTCATCACAGTATCCAGGGTTTCAACGGATGGCCCGATCCGCCCAGCTAGCTGCCACACCCTGCCGTGGCCCTTCCTGGCAATTTCCCTGCTCAGAGCAAAACCCCTGTTTCCTCGTGTCAGCAAAAGCAAACTGCCTATGGCCATTTCCCCACCCTCGCTGTCTATTCTCCGGGATACCTTGAAAGTGGCTGACAGCGGCCAGGCTAAAATCTTGGAACAATCTCATAGAATTATATCCCGCATCATCCTTCACGATACCCACCAGGCTATGCGGAGTCAAGTTGCCTTGGCAAGGAGCCTTGGACGACGACCGGATCTAGTTCCTTGGCTTGTACTCGCTTTTTCTCCAGGTCCCAGTTCTCCTGATCCTGCCGGCCACCCTTTAGCTTACGAAATCGCATGGAGCTCCGCCTGGATCGCGGCACTTGCTCCGATACGATGCCTGAAACTACCCACACAGGGATGCATGAGTGTATGCGTGAATCTAACCATGTCTCCACCTCCACTTGAGATGCAGCTCGACATGGATGTCTGGAGAACTGATCGTGTCTCTAAGCACGCACCGGGGACGTGCTGACACTCTGGCCTGGACGCCAAGGTGATATTCTGGATGCGTGTCAGCCCAGGCAAAGGCAAACCGAAAAATTGCCAGGATTGGAGACAGACATGGCTCTCTCGACTTGCTGACATTTGGCAGTGTGGCCTCCTTCCCCGCGGGGACATTGAGCATAGGGCTAACGAGGTAGATACTCTGGGCTTCATCCCTTCTTAACTTTGTAACGGTCATAGCTTTCGATGATACATTGAGCGTATGGCGAGAACTCTTGTGCAATTGCGCTCCCACGTTGTCTGGTCCTGTTTCTGCACACTATAGCTGCGGTATAGCCTCCGCTCTAAAGCACTGTCCTGCTTTGTCGAGGTTGGTAGACACGCAGCCGGATCACCTGTGGGCTGCATGAGTCTCCATCTGTATTTACGCTTGATGCACCTCTTTGCGGACTCGCAATTGCCTCGAAGTTGTGATAGGTGCATGTAGCACCTAGAATCCTCATAATCATGACCGACGTGCCTTACTCCATTGCACTGCAAGGGAAGTTCCCCGCCAGACGCGTCGAGATCGTACTCCTTGCAGCAGATACTCTACCATGCTGATCATGCTGAACTTCGCGGCTGAGCTCTTCCTGGCTCGGGTGCATCAGCAGCAGCCTCGCCTCATCTAACAGATGGAGGGACCTGGCTTCGCCATACCGGTAATGCAAGATCGAACCTTCACTGTGACGGGCAAGCCACGGTCCTGGGCATGCTGCAACGAAACGATGTGCATGCCCCCCCCCCCCCGGCCGCTCTCAACACCTCCGGAAACCGTACCAATGCCTAGATTCCGCGCGGATGCAGTCGGACGGAACCTTAGTTGCGCCTCGCTTGTTCACGAATCGGAAGCTCCCTAAGTCTGTTAGGGGCCGTACCATTGTAAGTTGTCCACGAAGTACACTGTGCCGCTGAGCCAACTAGCATTGTTGAGCAGGCAGCTTGAAAAGCGAGACATCAATGGTTCAGCGACCGGGAAATCCCAAAAGGAAATAATGCGAACGTCGGAACCTGCAAGAGCGAAATTCTGAACGGGTGAGGTCCATAGAACAACACTTTTGACTGAAGCCGATGAGCAGAGACAACTAGCTAATCCTGGCTATTTTACGAGCGTGAAACCGTCGTCTTGTGGCGTGGCGTGTGAACTCAGAAACTGGCGAGGCCACGGGTTAAAGAGAGAGCTCACCCAAGGCTGGAGAAACACGAAGTTGCTTCGAGGATAACTCGGAAATACCCTGCAACTACTTATGCTACGTGCGACCTGATCTATGTCCGTCGATGAGAGTGTGTCGTAATTCTGCCGGCAGCCAATCTACGGCACAAACTTCAGAAACCATCTCCGCGCCATCCAAACCCCACCCAGAAACACCATCGCGATATTGCCAGCTAATGGGAACTCCGCCCGCGATAAGCCACGTGACACATCACACAGCGACAGTTCCAGGGAGAAACAAGCAGGTGAAGTGCAGCTTCATCGGCGCTGTCGTCAAGAAAATAGCATCAGCATATTTGTCAAGTCCTGCCGGCCAGCCCCTTGACCCGCCACAAAAGTGCGCACACAATTGCCCGCAGTGAGGAATGCACCCCAGCTGCCGCATCGGTACTCATGCTTAGCCAGCTTCGAGGGGATCGTGTGTCCTTCACCGCTGCCGAAGACCGACAGCCAACTCGAGCCGAACTGCCCAATCTTCGACCATCACTCTGGATAGTGTTCAGTTGACTACCGTGGTCCGGCAAATTCCCTTTCGACCTGAAACCGGTGAGCCTCGTCGTAGAGAGTTCATGATTCTCAGAGGCAAGCTTGGCAAGGGAGCGTGTCAGGGGCACAGGCTGTGACTGATAATGCGGGATGGGTATGGCCTGCCTGGTAACAACTCTGCTGGCAGAGTGGCAGAGCTCTTCCCGATAGCTTCCATTTGATCGTCACGACCTCAAGCTCCTATCACTGTTCGTGACTCGTGTATCGAAACTGCTGCCGACGTGTTGGTCAAAATATTATCCCATGACAGGTGATTTCTGGCCGCCTTGCGCGTGGTGCATTTTGCCTTTTACGATAGCAAACAGCTCTATCCTAGACGGTCGCCGGTGCTGCCTGTACTTGCTGGTCTCGACGGAGGAGTTGGCATTGAGCCATCCCGTTCGCGCTCCATGGCCACACCACCAAGAATGCCTTGTGGATGGGCGAGCTCACCATCGCCATCCGAGTCGTCCTCACTGTGCTGACTGCCCGCTGCCAAGCTAGCCAGATTCTGTTCCGCAATCTTGCGCTCGACCTCCTTCAGGCGTTCTTTCTCCATTGGGTCAATGAGATCGTCGTCATCGCTCCAGTAGCCTTCCTCGTCGTCAGCGACATCGGGCATGGCCAAGCGTTTCCAGAAGCGAAGTTCCTGCTTCCGGGCCTTATCCTCAACGCGTTGGTCCCAGCGCTTCTCGTCCTCGTCGTACTTTTTCCTGAACTCCCGCAGCATCGCATTGGCCTTGCCCGCATGCTCCTGCATGTCCCAGATCTGCTCGCGCAACCGCGAGTTCTCGGCACGAGCCTCGGCGAGCTGGGCTCGATATGAACGATGCCACGCGGACACGTCGGCGATGTGTTTCTCCTTGTAGGTATGGAACTGGCCGAGGATAGTGGCGAGGACGCGAGCATATTTTGTGACGAGGTCGAGGTTGGCATCTCGAGAGTTCTTCGCGCGGTCAAGGGATTCGGTCAGTATGGAAATGGCGGCCTCCATGTTGGGTTCCTGGGCTGTAAATGTAGGAGTTTAGCAGAGGGGCATTGTAGTGCAACGAGTTCTGAGGAGACGTACAAAAGATCTCGGCGGCGGCTTCGTCAAGCACATCGTCATTGGAGAGACCGCGCTCGCGGGCACGGTTGCGCACCCTGCCGAGACTTGATACGATGTCCTCGGTCACGCGCCGGTTCTCTGCAAGCTGGCGGGACAGCTCTTCGACCATGCCGTATATAATATTAAGCTCGGCCTGATGGCCGGCGGGGGTTGGGCCAACCGCCATGGCCCCATTGCCGTTTGCCTGCATCGTGGTAGGGGCGGCGCCGACGAGCGTGTGCGGGGCAGGCTGGAGGTGCCCAAGCGTGGCGAGGACGTTGTTGAGCTGGATCTGACGGTGGAGGAGCTGGGTGCTGTTTTGCTGTGGTTGCTGTTGGTGCTCTTGCTGGTGCTGGCGCTGTTGTTGATGTTGTTGGCGTGGTGGCGGCGGTGGTGGTTGTGGAGGCGTGGCGGCAGGCATGGTGGACAGCTGCGGCTATTCTGGCGAGCGCTAGCTCCAGGTACGATAGTCCAAGCTCGAGAAAGTTGGGAGACGAGACACGCTCTGTGCAACGACCATCGACACTTCCGAGCGCGCAGCACGTTTAGAACAGAAGCGTCGAGCACGCAGAAACATGGGATGCCGCCAGACACGCGTGCAAAGCGACACAGCCGATAAGTAGCACGCGCGGTGATCGCTCGTCTTTGGACAGTCCACACATCCAAAGCTGTCGCACCATGCGCCCCTGTCACCTGCAGCTGCACCTGCATGTCAGGTCCGCCCGTGGTCTGATGTGTAATCGAGGACACCATCACCTACCGTAGTATGCTTGAGAGAATACAGGGAAAGAAGCCACACTGCTGCCTCGCGAAGATCAAGCGTCTCCATTTCCTGCCACCGTGCTGCTGATCCAGGCGCCCGGCAACAAGTACGTCTTCAAGACGTGAGCTCATCTGTTACAGACTGGCATACTATTTATCGCGTTGCTGTTCCCGCCTGAGCTGGTGCAGGGACGACAGACCTGTCTTCGTCGGAGAGTTATGCAAGCACACAGATGGTGTATTGGTAACCCGTGAAGGCTAGGCTCTCAGCTTCAATTGCCTTGAGAACAACACAGAAACCCGACTCGTCGTCCTCACTTATTGGCCAGTGAGACGGCCGCAGGACGGCACAAGTGAGACGATCCCGGTCGCGAAATGCGGGTTCATGCTGCTTAAGGACGGTTCCGCACCATGCCCAGTCCCGCCCGGTACGAGCAGCTGCACTACTATGGTAGCCGTGGGGTTCGCGCGTGTTGAGCCAGGATGAGTATCGCAAATGCGTGACCCCCAGACGAGCGATGTGTTGCCAATGTGGCTTAGCTATGTTTGGATCCCATGCAATTGCCTGACATATGCGGAACAAAGGTCCCTTCCCTGCCCAGTCTGACACCTTGGATGGTCTGTATTTTCTGAACAGATTTTGGTGTTGGGGGGGGGGGGATGCTGCCCATCAGAAGTCAGCCGTGTCAGCTTCATTGAGTAGGAGCCATATAAAGCGGCCTTTGTTGGTCGATGCAGCCTGTTCCATCTTGCCGAGACTAAAGTTAGCACACATGAGGCTGTGCTCGGGTTTCATTCTCGTCTCCCGTCAAGCAAAGACGGCACTTTGCCGTTCACAATCTTCCGAAAGTTGGCACGGCTGTTGTCTCATGGATATGCTACGGCAGAGGATCATGTTGGCTACGGCACTAGAGACTCCGTCACGAAGTTGATTCATGGTCACGAGTCAGACCGGATCCTTGAAACTCGATCTACGATGACAATTGAAATCGGGTTGGTCATTCTTCCAAGATACCAACCACAATGTGCGGGTTGCTTGCATAACAGCCCCTCTGGCAGGTCGAAGCTGGTTTTCGTGTCAGAGCCAGGCTGTCATGGGTGATTCGACTGAGACAAAGCCTGCTCTATACTCATTGTTCCTCATTTCGGCCCAAGGGTCCCTGCCGGGCCACTCAGCCACCATGGAGACCGTTGCGGAGTTGATCCGAATTGCGCACTTCCATGGCTGGGATAACAAGTTTGAGGGTATCAGGATCATATATCTAGATTTCACGTGATTTCTGATCATCTTACACGAATCGGTTGGCATCAGCCTCAGCACAATTTATTACGATTCTCGAGGTACAATGTGATTCGTGATTGTAGGCATTGTGTAGCAGAAATGTTAGTTGTCTGGCACGACACCGCATAGCACTCTGTGTGGTTTCTCAGCCCCCGCACTAGAACAAGTCATATTTATCCTGAATCGCATACCCCAGAGATGATTGTTTGATAGTGCTCCCCGCCACTGTCACAAGCTTAGTGTTATCCTCTAGTTGATTGTTAATATTCGTCATCGCTGCACGATAGTTATGGTTACGGACATATGCATCACAAATGCAGCTGTAATTACAGAAACGACACATCGCAGATCACATTATTCTGGACGAATATAGGCCAAGCGGTCCATATCACATGGTGCTCAAAGCCGGGGGAGTGGTTGCATGATGCGGTAGATGGGGCGGTTGTTCCATAAGTCAGTAACTGACGAAGTAATTCTTATGTATTGCACCTCGTGCGAAATGTATCGACGTGCACATGCCAGGTGACACGTGGTGATGACGTGACAATATTACCAGCGCTAGCTATATACAATACGACCTAAGGTAAAAAAGATGGAGCTAGAGTGCGGACATGAGGCCAGTGTGTATGCCGCGTTTCTGACAGAAGAGAGCGCAAGCAATTCGTCTCCCAGCTGGCCGCATAATCTCAAATCCTGCGATTATTCAGTGCAGCAGTGTTGATGAAAAGGTCGAGGAGCACGATGGCTGGCTACCCAATACATTAGGATGCAGCCAAGATGGAGTGTACCACGGCGTATCACACATACCAAAGGATAAGCCTCCATTTCGTGCCTATACGTGTTGCAACAGGATCACTGGCGGTTGTGGCCTGCGCAGAGGCCTACTTTATAGGAAAAATGAGGTAAAGAATGCTTGTAGGGGTATCAAGAATCGTGTTGTCTCAATCAAACGGGTGTAGTGCCAGACGACGTCGACAGAACGCGCTCTAGGCACTCTGAGGGGTGTTGCCTACTGCAGAAGAATCAAGCCCATCACCTTTCTCGTTGTCAAAAGTTGCCTTCTTCGCCGACAAGCTTTCCAACTTGGAGAAGCCAAGCTTCTCAAGCCCGGATACTGCGCTATCAAGCTCTCCATAGGATATACCTAGAGCATCATCCTTCTTCTCACTGCCATCGCCGGTGGTATCAGATCCAGTCTTGTCGTCAAGATTCATCAGCGCAGGGGGTCTGTGCCTCATTTGCCGAGCCTTTGCAAGGGAGATTGTCTTTTGCTGGTATGTCGACGTCATTGGTTGAGTATCGTCGCGGTCGATCGTGGCTTTCATGAGTGCCGCCATCCACATGCGACCTTGCTGCAAATTCGGCAAGGCGAAGTAGTGAACCATGGGCTTGGTAAAAGTCACTCCCTTGTTGAGCCCGGCACGAGGCGGCACAAGCTTGAAGATAAACATCGAGTCTGTGCCCTTCTCCATGAAGGCCGTTGCCGTAGCAGCATCGGCCGTCGTCTCAAGACTGCTGTCGGCAGGGACGGGGTTGGCGCTAGCACCAGTCAAGGTGGCATGCAGGCCCTGAAGACGCTCGTTGTCTGCAGGCAGTACCCGATGGAATGAGATGTCAATGAGCCCTTTCTCCTCTGTGTCGTCCTCGGAGTAGTAGTAAGATAAACGCCGGCCCCTCAGCACGAAAAGGCGAGGCTTCCAGGTGGTCATGAGGTGCGAACTCTTCTTCTTCATCCATCCACTGTAATCAGCGTCCTTGATGGCTTCACGCGGTCCAATCTTCTGAAGGCCACGCGTATAAGCGCTGGTCTCCTTCTTTGCCTTTGTCTTGATCGGCTTCCTGCTGCTTGGCGTGGCGCTTGAAAGTGGGCTCTTGCCCGCCTCAGGCGAATCAAGTTCAAAACTGGGACCTGCTGACGGGGTGCTCGAGCGCGGGGAGTCCTTTAGGGACGACTCTGTGGGAGATGCCAGGCGTGTGCGATCAGTTCTCGTGACAGAATCAGAGATAGCACGTAGACCGCCGAAATTCGAGAGCGGCGCAACGGACTTCCCGAGCCAGTCGTTCTTGGGTGTCTCGGCTCCGTCCAGCTTCGTGACAATGGGTGATGGGCCGTCCTTGGTCGGCGGTCGTGGTGGCACTGAGCTGGTGGTCGTCGAGGAGGCATTTCGTCGGTGGTCATCAGATAGTCCGAAATATTTCTGAGCGGCGGACGGGACAGAGTCAAGCTGACTAGCATCCATGCTGCCATATCTCGAGCTTCTATTCACAGAAGTGGTGGCAGCCCTTGCTCGTTGTTGCTCAGTGTAGCTCGACCGCTGCCCGTACGACACACTGTCGCGCTTCTTTAGCACGTTTCGCTTTTTGCTGTCAACTTCGGTGCCTGAGAAATAACCTCGATCCAAGTCGTTAAGCTGTTCCCGAGGGTCCTGGTCAGAGCCACCATAGAGATCATGCATGCCCGTGGAGGACAACGGTCGGCCCGAGACTGAGGATGCAGATGCATTTCCCATCGTCCAGTTCCGGTCAAACGAAGGTTGTTTCTTGTGGCCACCATCACCTAGTGGGAATGTTCCCGCCGCGTTCAGCTTGGGGGTTCCGTTGTTACCTGTCGCGCCTCCCGGGTACCCTCCAGTTGAAGAATGCCGGCGCGAATGATGAAGATCGCGAATTGATGCTGCCGAGGGTCGCTTCTGATGGTTGGCGTACCTCGAATTCTCATCAAGTCCACGAGGCGAAACCGGTGTGAGAGGAGACACAGGGTCCATCTTTGGCGTTTGAGAATAGCGACGAGAACCTGGACGGTCCGTGATCGGCGGTAACCTCTGGACCGAGTTGGTCAATGTATTTGTCCGGCTTCGCATCCTGATCCTGGAGTCCTCTGAACCCGCGTCGCTATGCGTCCGGGAGTTCCTTCGATCGAGAATGATCCCATTGACCTCGTCCTGGAGGTTTTTGATCTTCTGCCAGGTCTTCAGCCTTCGACCCACCGACCCCAAATCGAAAGCCTTCAAAAATAGCGAGGATTGATCCATGCCCAATATTATTTCGCCAGAGATCTCTTGATCGCGAAAGACCTCACAGTGTTGCTTCTCCACGCCTGCCGTGAAGAGGTATTCAGCCACCTGGTCTGGTGTCCACGCAACAACTTCCTGTCGTGTATGCATATCTTCGTCCTCCTCGTCAGTTTCCTCGCCTTGTATGTAAGACATTCTCTCGGGCATTTGCGAACTATACTCGCTGCCTGAGTCATTGGCTGCATGAAGGTTGCTGTTGCTCGGTGTCGAGTGGAGATCTGTAATATGCTCGTCGATAACGGTCAGAGTCTCGTGCAACACATGGCTGTCCTGAGTCGAGGGTCGGGCGGCGGGGTTGTGGCTCGTGGTGCCCAACTGATTACGCTGCACCGTGCTGGGTGCGCTCTCCTGCTTTATTGAATTGGAGGGCATACTCATGGAGCGCTGGTCCGAGTTGACAGAAGGAAGCTGATTCGTACCAGCGCTCGGAGAACGACCTGTGCCAGAGACGATGCCTGCGGAGAAGGTTGACGGCGGACCGTTGGAGCTAGTAGAGGGCTTTGTGACTGGCGGCTTCTGGACAGCGGATGATGGAACAGCTGGCCCTTTTGGAGGAGGCCTTGTGTACACTATAGCGTAAGACATTATGGGAAATCAGTCACCGAGATTCACAACATATGATAGGCGTCAGGCTTCAATGGACGTGAGACCTACCTTCCGGGAACAAGCCGGTATTCCCAGTTACCATATGCCGACCGAGAAACCAGCCATCACCAAATTCGTCATCTCGCTCAATCAGCTCGACTCTATCGCCCTTGGCTAGGCTCAATTCGTCTGAGCTGCGCGCCACGAAGTCATCTGCGGAGGATTGTACAGTGAGCCGAAAAATCCACATCTACGTTCCTGCTTCCAGGGGTTCACGCCAGCAAGAAGGACTTCGAAGGCGAAACTCACGGACAACATGGAGGATATCCCCCACTTCTGGCCGTGCGGCAGCCATGTTTTTCGCAAAGGTGCAGTGGTTGGTCGCTGCCCGATGCTTGCAAAAGAGGAGCGCGTAGTCCTGCACTCTTCAAGTGCCGTTCGCCTTCCAAGATGTCTGGAGATCAAAAACGATATATGGCCTGATGTCGACCTGTTGGTTCTGTCCGTCCGGATGTCTGTGGCGCAAGTGATCTGAGGCGCGATTTGTTGCAGCTTGTCCGAGCGACACAAGCGCCGATGTCTAGTTGAAACAGGACTTCTTCGCTGTTTCAAGCACGCCGCGACGCATCGAAACTGGTCGGGCTTCCGCGGGGGGGGGGGGGGGGTGTTAGCCTCAGACTGGAGCTCGCCTGGAGGCGCAGAGAAGGGGCCGATCCTGAGCTATGCCGTCTGCATCCAGAATACGTGGCACGCGTAACGCCCTCCGACACTGGGGGAGAAGCTTGTGCAGTCGGGACTGCGCTGTGCTCAGGGGCGATATTAGCACGGGATGCCGGGCCGGGATGATAGCAGGGCGACACGTCGTGGCAAGTCGGAAGCGCAGCGCAGCGGGCCAGAGGGCTGTCGGGAAAGCTGAGGAGATGTGTATTGATGCAGGGTCGACGTAGGGCACGCGAGGGTCGACTGGCTGGGGGAGAGTGGTGAGAGGGCACAAGAGAATGAATGTGTGGAGGGGCCGTGTGGCATGTGGCACGCAGGTCGACGACGAATCGGAAAGCGGGCCAGACAGGCTGTCCTGAAAAGGGCCTGTCGCACCACCCACCAAAGCCACGAAACTCTGCCGCTGGAGGGGGCCGCTGCTGGGGCGGGAAGGCGGCGAGTGGAGCTCCACCGTCCGCTGTGTTGCTGCCCTTGCTCCAGGGCTGTTGTCTGTGCTAAGCAACAGATCCACACCTCGTCATGCGAGAGGCACGATGCTTGAGCATTGTGAATGACTGGAGCGACGGCGCATTCCTGTTCCCATGCCCTGATTGATGCTTGCACCAGCAAAGGCGGCCGAAGTACAAGATACAGACAATCCAGCACCTGCACGACTGGAGCATTTCACTTCGTCACTTTTCCCGACGCGTACGCGTACTTGACATGCCCGTGTATGGCCCAAGGACCCCTCGACACGTATCCCTCGACGTGTGGCGGGCATGATAACTACCTTCTGGTAATGTCCTCAGAAACTTACGCAAACCACATGCAGATAAGCAGGCAGTATCAGACCAGCCTGTCCATAGAGAATCATTTCCACCACCCTGGACCATGACCCAGGCCCAATCTTCCCCGCCAGCCAGGAGGAGAGGTACAGGGTTCCGGCCGCTCGTTGTGGCGCGCGCAATGTTGTCCGTCAAATCCACGGTCCAAGCAAAAGCGGCAGCCCATCCTGAGCTCTGAGCTCACACAGGGACTATGGCTTATACTGTGGATATTATCCCCAAGGTCTGATAAAAGTATATCCTACTGCCTGTACGGTCTGAAGGAATGGGTTTCTGAGAGTCCAATTTCATGAGTGCCCAGACAAGCATTAGAACAGTTCCATAAGCACAGCGGTGGTGGGGGGCAAGCAGGGATCTCATATGAGAACTCCCTCGGCGCGGGGCATGCGCATGCCGCGGAGGATCCGAATTGATTGCCCATCTCTACCGCGTAAACGAATTTGGGTGCGGACAACGCTGTGTTCCACAACCGAGCTGGCTGGACGTCGATTTCGTCTGTACATAGTGTAGTGGACGACGATTTCTGCGGCTCCATCCTTGTAAAGCATAGTCATCTGCCGCTGTCTCAGAGCTCTAGGGTAAGCCGCTCCTCGCAAGTCCTGCTAATGTGCTAGCCGGAGGAGAGCTTCGCTTGCCAAATTATGATTTCCTTTACCTCCCGTGTTCGGCAGCTCATCACGACTAGACTCAGGTCCTAGTATCGCACGGGCCTCGCCAATGTGTGCTATTAGTACTCTACGAAACATAGTACCCCTCCAGGGACGATGGTTTCGTGCTTGAGTTAAAAGATGTGGAAGACAGGGCTCCTTCATGACCTTGGTAAGTGATGCCGAGGTGCCTCAGGTGGGTACGCTTTTGTAGTCATCAGAGTTCGCCAGCTCAGTGCCTGCACGGAAAACTGCCCGGGTTGATGACCGCGAGCACGCTATTGCTGCTTGTCTGCCTCGTGATGTTGGGACGAAAGGAATAAGCCGCGGTACCCTAGGCACATTCTCATTTACGACAAGCTGTTGCCTCAGTGCACGCACACGGCATCCGCAAGAGTAAGTACCTTATGGTATGTACTTCAGCACACGAACCGTCTCTCCGGCCCGGGTTTCGTTCTGCACCATGAGCATGGCTGCGAAGAAGCGCACTATCGTGCAAAATTTCATCTTGTCCAAGAAGCGAGCGCGCATTTGCGGTGCCGCAGGCCAAGCAAGTGACAAGCAAGCTGAGTGGTTGACCACCACCTTGGGACAGGCGCCGTGGCGCGCAGACGTGCATGTGTTGGCTGTGCGCCTTCCGTGCAAACACGCAATTGCTTCAAGCAACCCAGGCATCGCCACCCTACTTCTACAACACTCCGCTGCGTGCCTTGCCTGTCGTCACCCTTGATAGTTTAGGCCACGAGTCTCAGCATATTAGACTAAGACGGCGAGGTCGACTTGAGCACGCCAGTGGACCAGGGTTTTCTCCAAGGCTCCTTATCCTCGACAGCTTGCTCGCGACGCTCCTTACGCTCCTTCAGCAATGCGTGCTCTGTGCGCCTCAACTTCGATGCTTCAGGTTGCCTCGCCTCCTTCATCGGACAGCCTTCGCAGGTATCCTCGGTGCTGGCTTGATCCTGCTCCGTCATTGCGCTGTACATGATATGCATCGTTGACGGACGCTGGGCCATCTCGAGAGATAACTTTTGTGTTTGGCAAGTTCTGTGTTCTCACGCTCTTGACAGCTTGTTGCGCAACAATCCCGAAGGCTATACAACGGCTTGCCTGTTCGGTGGAACAGGTGAGGTCCAAGTCGTCTTCATTTCAGGCTAGGGACAAGCTATTGATGGTGGGGAATGTCTGTCCAAATGACGCCACTAAGGGTTCGTCCCACAGCATTAAGCTGCGACACGTCGTCGCGACAGGTTGCGCAGACCAACTCGACCGCCAATGCATGGCTCCCTGGCCGTCGTCAGCCAACATGGCTGACCTCCGCGAAGCCTGTCGCACCCACGCCGCGACTTCCACAATTGCCTCGTTCGCCGGTTCTGCAACTTGCTCCACCAACCCAAGGTGTTGAGCCGAGGACAAAACCAGCTCTTGCGACGACTTGCGATCCAACAGCGGTCGACGTCGTCGAGGGCAGTCAGTCTTCGGACTTGGTGTCATTAGCAAATCCACAGTAAGCCTTGCATTCGCGCTTGGAAGTTCAGACAAACGAACGGCTTTGGCTCTCGCCAACCGCAGTCCACTACGACGTTGTATCTTACCTTGCTGACCACGATTCTCCGGCACAGACCATCTGTGTTGACAGTAGCTCTTGTTCTTCCTTCCCCCGCTCCGAGCAATGAAGCCAGTCCAGAAGCGACGAGCACCCAGCCGAGTGCGCCAGCCGCCGATATGCGTAGCCCCGGCTATGAGACGACATTGGCATCACGAAATCGGGCGCTGCCGACTCCTGCCGTTCCTCCTCAGCGCGAAATCACAAATCCGCCACGCAGCCACAGCAGGAGCCGTCCCATCCTGCCAATGCCAAGCGCATTCATATCACCAAATGGATCGGCGCCTCCGATAACGTCTACGACAAGCTTCGACTCGCCTGTTACTCAGCTTCAATATGCCAGTATACCCACATCATTGCCCGCATCACCGATTCAGCAGACACATCAACGCGAGCACGCAAGCGTAGAAGGTGTTGGTCCTCCCAAGAGGCGGCGTGTATTGCCGAGAGATCTTGAGTTTATACAGTCCTGGAACGCGCTTGAGGTCCTGGCAGATTTTGCGCGTCGATGCGGTGGCGAGCAACAGCTAGATCCAGCTCTTGAGCAACCAAGACTCCAACTACTCAAGGACGCCTGCGCGACGGGCGATCTTTTCTATGTCGTGCTACATCAGGTCTTTTGCACTTGGACCGCAAAGCCACTCGAAATTCGAGGGCTGTTTCAAAATGATGATCGCTTGTTCTCCTTGGCAGAACATGGACTGCAAACACTTAGTGCAATCCTCAAAGACAACTCAAATATGCGACCAGACCTGCTACAGTGTTTTGCCAACTTTCCGGCACCTTTTCCGAACATGCAGCGCTTTCCACCGTACTCTGACTCACTCAATGCCGTGGTAAAGTTTCTTTTCTCCATGGCCACTTCATGGACCGAGTTAATGAAGAAGCATGCGGCATACGGTTTCCCACTGCTGATGGATGAGTTGCTTAGAGTGCTGCATATGCATTCTGACGTTTTGCAACTCATCGTCTTCCGTGCGTCCAGGAGGACAGCAGGTGTTCCGGACGGGCCTGCCGGGACGCAGATGGAGTCTCTATTCAAGGAGGATCAGGACTTTCATCGGTCCGCGGATGGTTCTTTTTTGCCAAAGGCACAGGATCCTGCCTATACGAATTACAACGACAATCTTATCCAGCGATACCAGGAGTTGGCCCATACCGCCCGAACACTTTATCGAGCCATGCCTCCATATAATCAACATCAGCAACAAAGATATGTTCAACAGTCGACCTCGCCAACAGCTGTGTCAAACAATGCTCAGGGCTTTGTCGGAAATGTCCCCTCTCCAGCGGCACCAAATCAACAGTGGACGGCCCTGCCAAGCCAAACGATGTCCGTGATCGTTGAACCTCTTCACAACAATCCTCCCAGCGTTTCCCAAGGAGTCGCCGCTCGGCCCCAGGAGTCAGCAGCCTCGATGAATGTTGCAAGTCATCAATTTTCTACGACCTCGCAAGCACCATCTCCTGGGACGGTAGCGCCAACACAGCACGCGTTGCGTACTGAGGCGCCAGGTTTAGCCTGGCACGGTCAACCCCAGAGACTTCAATCTTCCGCAGAACAGACACATGCGCGGCCGAATGCGCATGTCTCGGGATCATCGGCAAGTCAGCAGGCTAGTTTCGGTGCTTCTTCCGGTGCGCACTGGTCCAGTGGCTCACCTGTTTCAGCTCAGTCCCCCGTACTCCCGGTCACTGGGGCGGGTAGGCAATATCCATCTGGATCTCCCGTCGTGCAGGCTTCGACGGCCATGGGCACCATACACAGAGGGCAGGCTGTTCAACCTCTACAACCCTTTGTGACACAGCCAACACCGACTAAACCAATCTCGACTGGCCTCTTGTTCCCAGGCCGCAATGACCGAATTCCCATCAATGAATATCCGAGTGATCCGCAGGATAATAATTGCATCATGCATACCCTTCATCATGCCCACATTCGTAGTCCAAAGCGCCTTCCTATACGACCAGAAGCACTGAACGAGCGATATTACCAGTCAGTCAGGAGACTCGTGTTAGGTCCTACCTCAATTGCCCCTAGCGCCGTGGTCCACAAATTCAGCTTCCACTTGGGTCCTAAAGATCGTGATCGTTTGACACATGTCGAAACCGATCCCGATGGTCTACTACCTATTCAGAGATACACCAACGGAACCGCACGCGTCCGGATCCGCTGCTGCTATCTGCTCGACCAGCAGCATCACAAGATCACTGACAGCGACTGGGTCACGAAAGACGTTGTCTGGCCTGAACACATTTTTCTAGAAGTCAATCACTCCGGCTTGACCTTACGGCGAAAGGCGCACCATTCCAAAGACTTGCCAGTTGAGGTTCCAGCAAACGCGCTCTTGGAGGAGAATCATCTTCGTGTCTGGATTCCGGAAACTGCTGCGCGCCCACGGGAGGCGCCGAAGAACAGTCACCCATATCTCGCGGTAGAGCTCGTCGAAACGCTAAGTCACTCATCTATTTTGAGCTTGGTCAAGACTCACGGCATTCAGCAATCCCCGAAGACTCTTGAAGTCATCAGGCGACGTTTATCGAGCACTACAGCCAGTAATGATGATGACATTGCGATGGTTAGTCACGAACTGGCCATTGACTTGGCAGACCCATTCACCTCCGCGATCTTCAAGACTCCGGTGCGAGGCATGGATTGCACGCATCTTGAGTGCTTCGATCTGGAGACGTGGTTGAATTCCCGGTTGGGCAAAAAGAAGACCTGCACGTGCGGCAAAGGGGGGTCATCGTGTCAGAGTTGCCCAAATGAACCTTCCTTCGTGGACAAATGGAAGTGCCCACTGTGCTCAGGTGATGCTCGGCCATACAGCTTGCGCATCGACGAATGGCTGGCTGGGGTTCGCGACAAACTCAAGGAAGACGGTGCATTACGCGCCAAGGCCATCCTTGTGTCCGCGGATGGAAGCTGGAAGATCAAGGAATTACCACGTGAGGCAGACGAAGAGGATGACGGAAGCTACAACGACGAGCCTGCACCCTCCGGGGGAGCTATCAAGCGGGGCGGCAACCTTGCTGCCGCAGTGGCAGCGAACGGGGCGGCATCCCGCTCAGCTTCCACGCCTGTCATCATCGAGATCGACGATGATTGAAGTAGACGTAGCCACTTCCTGACTGTAGGGGCAGTTTTGTTGCCTGAGCTTAGCTCTCGATTGATCTTAAGTCACGATTTACGAAAGCGGGTGTCCGGGCTGGGATTTATTCACTTGATGTAAGCTTTAGCTCAGCTGGGAATTTGCTGCCACTACTAAGTCCATTTGATTTTCGACATGAAATGCGGTGGAAGAGATATCTAGATGTATACATTAGCGGCTGGCAGCGTCATCAATAACCTCCCTTTGGAAGTTTGCGACATAATTTACTCATTACTCACCATCAAATGACCCAGACCTGCCAGCAGCAACTACTGTGAGGGTGGTGCGAGGCTATCTCGCCCGAACGTCAATCTCGCCCAACGCCTGCAGTCGGGGCCTCGGTCACGGGTGGGGATATCAGTGCCAATACTTTGGTTATTGTAGAAGAGGAACGTGTTGCCTGTAGTTTATTCTCATGGCTAGGAAGTGCAAGGTCCCGTGATTGCTAGCTGGGATGCCCAATCAGGTGGGTCGTAACTTAAGCCCGCTGCCCTGATGCCTTCTGCTTGCCCTTCTCGTTTTGCGGGTCTTCATCGTCGCTGTCCTCGCCAACGCTGTAGTGGTCTCTGTTCATATTGCCTGATGGACCCACATGCAAGTCGTCGAGCTCACTCTCGTCAAAGTCACCAGCTTCTACATCCTTGGCAGACCTCTTGTTGCGGAAGTTGTCCAGCCCACTGGCTCCTCGACCAAGACCACCTTCGGCACTTCCGCCTGGGATATTCTTGTATCCGGCGAGCGCGGCTCTGCGGCGTGCACGCCATACGTAGAAGCCCCATACACCAGCTGCGATGGCGACCAGCGCCAGCACGACCTCGCCAGACTTTTGGTATGCGGCCCACTTGGCCTCGTTGACCTCCTTCTCCTTTGTGTGCTGGTCGTTACTGGTGCTGTTCGCAGCGCCCTCGACCGTCGTGTCAGGGAGTCTCTCCCCATCAAGCAGGCTTTCGAAGGCCGTGCCGCCGATACTTTTAATGTCAACACCCATGAAGCGGTCAAGCATGTCGCGGCTTCGGCGGGGGTAATCAAAGGGCACCATGTGCGAGGCGTTGTTGAATAAGACGTAGGTGAGATTGCGGGCTTGCTGCCAGAAGCCTGCTTCCTCTCCCTCGAAGGTCCATTCCCGACGTGGAGCCCAATTTCCAGGCGTGATCTCGAAACCTTTGCCGCCGTTCCACTCCATATTGCTGATCAGCGATTCTGTGCCATAGTGGTTGCAGATAAGGTCTTCAGCACCCGAGAACAAAAGAACGTTGATTTCAGAGAGTAGATCGGGTAAAAACTCTCTTGAAGGCACCGAGTTTCGCGGGCTAAAGGCAGCTCCTACGGCACCGCTGCATTCCTTCCAACCGGTGACCTTGTTGCTGTTTACATGCAGCGCATCGACGACGTCTTGACGACGCAAGTAAGGCGTCACATCCTTCAAGTCCGGAGGCCAGTTCATACCGCAGCTAGGGTAAGTGTCTTTGAGCCGAACATCATACATATTGATGCACTGCGACCTGCCCTCGCCATCGGTGGTCTGCGTGAGGCGAAGGATATCCTGGAGGACAGACTCGCAGGCCGTGGAATCCACTTCGGGTTTGCCGTGGGCGGCGAGCTGCTTTTGACAGATTCGGTACGAGGACTCAATCTGGCCAGCCATTGCCGAGCCCTTCTCGACGAGCCCTTTGTCGTAGACAAACTTCAAGTAGGCTTCGTACTGATCGACTGGGGATATCCACCCATTGCCAATGAGAAGACCTCTGAGGTTCCAGGCATGCTTTGTGGCAGGTTTCTTGTTTCGCGCCAATATGTGCTTCGCAATGTAGGGGATGTGCTGTCCGGCATAAGATTCTCCAGAGATGTAAAGCTAAATTGGTGGGTTAGTGTGTTGTATTGAAACATGTATTGGACTAAGGGAGTGAGGCTCACGTCGTCGTGTTCGTACTCGGGGAAGAGGGCAAACCACTTCTCCAGGAAGATTATGAATTGCTCGGCCATCTCATCGAGCTCGTGCACGAAGCTGTCTGTGTCCACGTAGCTGTAGCCAGTGCCAACAGGGTTGTCAACAAAGAGCAAGTTGGCAAATTCGTGCCAGGAACCGTTGTTGTACTCGAGAGTGTTGGAGTCCTTGACACGGTACGGTCCGATCTCCATCATGACGCCATCTTCGGAGCTGCAGCCAGGGCCACCATTGAGCCAGATGACGGTCCGCTGGCGATTTGCAATGTGTTTGTTCTGCACATGCCAGAAGAAGAGGTTGCCGTTGTGTTGAGGATTGACTTCGATGTGACTGTGGAGCAAAGAAGGACGAATTAGCCCTTGGCTGACACCTTGTAGTGAGCTTCCGGGAGCGTCAGACTTACCCAGCATGCATCTTCGTTATATCGTCCTTGGGTGCCCCCGGCAGGGAGTGAACAAAGTAGTCCCCCGCGACCGGATTGGCAGCACCGGCTACTGCAGCCCAAGAAGAGAACACCAGGAGACTCTGGGTGACCAGAGCCCTCGGCGACCCCCAGGGCGGCACCATCATGATAAGATCGTTGAGGGAATGTCGACGTGCCTCGCGAGGCCGGTTCCGAGCAGGTCCGGCCGACTGGGATCTAGCTCACCAAGGAATGCGGCTAGGTGCTTTGGAGTAGCCGAGCGAGGAGTTGGAGGCGGCGACCGCGCGATGACGATGATGGTGAAGCAGACAGTGAGGGGGTTTGCGCAGCTGGTGGGCGATCGATGCGGCTTGCCTGCGGCAGTGAGAGAGGGTTTGTGCTGCGATGCGCAGCTGATGGCGACGAAGGAATCCCTACTATGTAGATACGGCATGGAGACGCAACACGTATGCTGCTTCTAAGTAGGGGCTGAGCACGGAGCTAAGGGCGGAGCTTCTTCCCGTGCGGACCAGCCACGCTATCCCCAGACAGTGTGCGGACTGTACAGACCCTTTCTTGGCGCGAGGATCGCCCGCCAGTTCTATGCTCCCATTCACAACCCAGCTGTCATCGGCATGCGAGGGATGCACGTTGTAATGAGTATCCAGCCTGGAGTGTACTGGGTCAAGTCTCGGTATTCATTTCGTACATGCCTGAGCTTGCCTGGCCATGCATGCCAGCCTCAATAATGGCGCCAACCGCTTCGCCGCGTCTGGTGCCAGCAACGCCATGTCTAGTTTGGAACGGGCATGAACAGATATTGACGGGCACAACCCGCCTCCTTGGCGATCTCTGCGTGAGTCTCAGTCAGTCCCAATGAATCTCCGCGCAGATCTAAACCACCTGCACTGTGCGACATTGTTAGATATTGCATTGTTCCAACCCCATTGTTCGTGCTTGGTCTAAAGACACTGAAACAAAGGCGACGCGAGCGGGTCATCCTCTACCAACGATGCGCCAGTGTTTGAGCACCACGAGAATAGCATGGACACCCCGGAGATCGGCAGTTTGCGTCACAGTCGTGGCGAGGCATTCGACGCTGAAGAGCGCGCCCTCCTTCGGGCGTGCAAGTTATCTATCGTGGAACATAGAGGTCATCAACTTGCGAAGGCCGATGCCAGAGCCAAAGCCGTTGCAGTAAGCCGGCAGAGTGCAGGGACTTCGAGCATAGCACTGCGCTCAAGCTAGCTCTAGAATGGCGAACAGCAATTGTGGAACTGCGGGATCGTGAAAGGGTACAGACACAATGGCAGGCGGTATCATCATCTAATGGTAATATTATCTATGAGGGGCCTCCTGGGCCTGTATGATTTCCACGCCCCAGCGCTTGAACCTCGAGAAAGACCGCGCGTTTCTTGTTATGAATCGGACATCATGATGGCTCCCCATTACTTCCCATCAATCGAGAGTATATTCCCGACCGGGCGATGAAGTGCGCTGCACCGGACTGGCTGGGCACTAATGTTCAAACACTGGTCCTCAAGGGGAAAAGTTCTTCTCGCGCAGAACTCATCGCTGTGTCCAAGTGCCATCACACCATGAGACAGCTTCCCGCACCTGCATTAAATCCACCACTATTGTCTTTCTCCTCAATGCCAGCTCGATGGCAGTGAGCACATAGCCGCACTCTTGTCGTTGACGGTGCTCTCCTTTGCCTGTCAAACGGAATTTCAGTCCCTTGGCGACTTCTGTTGGAAGGTCACTGGTCGTCTAGGACGTCCGGCGACTGTATGGAGCCTCGGGGCTCTAGCATATGCCGTGTTCCACACTTTTGCCTCTGTCATGCCCATCTCTCAGAAACCCGGCGAAGTAGCTTCTGTTGGATTCACCGACGTACGCAGATGACCGTCCGCAAGACCTGGCGGCTCCTGTGCTGGGAAAAGCCGGTGGAAGGACTTTGCGGTCGTCATTGGGCGCAAGGGCTGGTTGCGAGCAGCGGTGCGCAAGTCGCAGCTCGAGTGTTGCGGCTAGATGCGGTTCGTGCTAAGTCTCGTCCCAGATATCTCTTCGTAGCATAGCATCTACGGTCGCATTTGTTGCCGGCCTACTCAGTCCAATGGCGCGTCGACAAGTAGTCTGACGGTGTAGTCGAGGAATGGGGCTATCATGTCGTCGGCGAACTCCGTCGGCCACGTCTCTCGCAATCTTCTTAACACATCGTCGAACCAGTTGCGCTGATCCCATTCAGGATTCACGTTCATAGCTCGCAGTATTGACAGCAGCGCATCCTCTTGTTGAGCGGCCGATGATATTGTGGCGATGTCGACAGATCCGACCACACTTGGACCCTCGCTCGGATGTGTCGTGGTTGTTGACTCCCTGATGGTCCAATTCGGCCTCGTACCAGCCAGCTCGAAGGTGTGGCTGACGAGGTCCGTCGAATGGAAGAGCTGCCGGGTGACACATAACCGTGTAGTCCGATTCTCCTGGGTGTCGCGGGGATGCCCTTGAATGACGAGAATGGAGACAACTTGCTTGCGTGTGTTGTCTCGAGGCACTGGAACTGCGCCATTGTCCGAGGTCCGCGTCACCATCTCCTGTCTCGATCGCGGCCACGACCTGCAAGCCACCTGCACCCGACAGAAGGTATTATGAGTGCTTTCTTGGCGTAATCCGCTTTCGCTTGCGCGTGAACAAAGCGAGTGGGCGTGGAGCGGCTGACTTCTAGAGGTGATTGAATTATTCTTCGGTATTATGCAGAGAGCCAGGTTACCCGTGGGCGATGCAACTGAGGAGATAAGAATACAGACATGGACGGCACGTGCTCCCACCAGGTTGCGGCACGACTGGTTTTGTCGGGAACAGATGACCACAAAGTACACCAGCAAGCAACAAGATGGCGTGGGTCAAGGAAAAATGCAAAAGCTGCTTGCGCGGCGGACCAGGCAGGCTAGGCAAAGAAACCGGACCTGGCGAAGCTGGATTTCTGCGCACCATGATATCTCTGCAAATGGTAAGCTCCGCCGGAAGGCAGCGGAAGATGCCATGGGCCCGCCCAAGAATAGCCCTGAAGAACCTCCCGCCGCCATGGTAAGTTGTAAAGTGTCACGGCGGCGTGTCCTCTGGCCCCAGGACTCCATGGTGGCGTTGAACCTTGAAGGGGGACGACGACAACGGCACCCAAACCAGGGGCCACACTTCCCGCCCAATCAGCCGACCGGTTCATGTTGATGGGCTGCAAGCAACAGGGTCCCGCTTATGGAGCGGTCTAGAACATGTAAATCAGTGGGAACATGGCAGCACGATTGGGGACCTGGCTCAGCTGAAGACACCACACCCACGCAGGTCAAGCCTCCGGCTCGGCAGTCACAGGCCCAACTCCGACACCAGAGACCAACCAGCCAATCCAGATGGCGCGCCATCAGTAGTTGCGAGTGTCGAGAGTCCGACGGACTACTAGCGGCCCATACTGGTTGGATTTTAGGTTGGCGGGCTCGGGATTTTGTCTGGACACGCCACATCAATGTCCTGGTGGTGAAGGGCACTTGGTCGACTTCGACGAGGGCGCAGAACATCGCTTTGAGCTTGTGCCATGTGTTGACGCGCGCGCCCCTAGTGCCATGCGCGTCAGGGCGAGGTTCTTTGCAGCCACGGAGATGACGTGGACCAGATTGAGCGCGTGGCTTGGCAGGCGTTTCAAGGCTCGCGAGCGGCATCCCTTCAGCTCGTTTTCCTGCAGGATGGCAGGCTCAGACGGGGAATGGGCCGACGCAACATTGTTGGTGTGAGCCACTGCACGCCGCCTAAGACGGACTGCCTGGTGGTTTGACTTTGATTAAGGCTCCGGCGCAACATCCGTAGCGGGATGGGGCGGCCAATGTCACATTCCACCCCAAGCGGGGCCTCTGCACGGCGCCATCCGAAGCCTGACTGTGGTCCCGCCAGGCCGCAATCAAAAGGCAATCCTGCGACACGAAGAAAACCTGCAGGGTCCACGGCCGTCGAGCGAGCGCTTTCGGCCGGATCTGCTGTTGGGAACAGAGCCTTGCGACATGGAGTGACCGTGCCAGCGAGCTTGGCACAAGCAAATGCTGGCCCGTCAGCCTAACTCTAAAATCATCGCAGCCGCCCTTTGACCCCTTGGCGGTTCGGGCCATATCCGGGCTGTCAATCAATACGAGAACACCCATAGCTTCCATTAGTCTTCTGGACTGCAGCAGGTGGATGGCGAATCCGTCATGCCCACAATCATGCTCGTCTGCCGTCGTTCGTCCAGGTCTAGCAGTGCCCATGAGGGGTCGTCGGATGTATCGTGCGATCGAGAAACCAGGGCAAATAGGACCATGGCAGAGCGAGACAGCCGCAGTGACACCCCATCCATGCGGGCTGTCGAGCGGCATGTGTGCGAAAGTTTCTGACGAGGAAGGGGCCGTCCCGCTCTGAGACCTGGACGATCCAACTCAAAAGTCACTTATAAGAGCGTCGCCAACCTGCCGAGACCACTGTCAATGGCTTCGGACTGCGAGCCGCGGTCGTCTATCACATGTCCTTCCAAGACATGACAGCTCGGCAGATGGAGCTGTAAGTAGGTAGGTAAGAACTGTATGTGGGTAGGACCTTAATTATCGCAACAGTGAAGCAGGAACTTGGCCGGGATAGAAACTAAAGCCAAAGGAACAAAGCATATGCGACTTGACTGCCCAGCAATCAACCTGCTTCCTGCTTACGTATGTGGGAGACATGCGATACCTATTGGTATAGACTGGCGCCGTTTGTGGCCAACAATCCCCCAACTTGGCAGAAAGAAATGGGAGCTCGAGACGGGCACGCGTTCACGGATAACAAGTCCCTCAGATGATATCTCCAGGCGGGGAGCAGTCGCAATCATGGCCGCGACGCAGCTCACGTGAGAAATTAATGGCACAATGCCAACAGGGCATGCAGGGTAGATGTTGAGCTAGCTCGGCTACTTGATAGTGCGTGCTCTCGCAGATTCAGTCACACAGGCATGTGCACGGCCAGAGCGCGTGCTTATGGTTGGGCCATCTATGATCAAGCCCTTGTATGATGTGAATGTATCAGCAACGAACTAATCTTGCGTTTGACATGAAAGATCCATTGAAATCGCCTCGCAGGCCGCCCATTGATTACCGTGCAGGTTCTGTGTTATTCCAAGCCTGAAAGGGCCACATGCGGCCTCTCAGTGTTGAGAACTGCAGTTCGGCCGACTGCCCTTCGTGCCAAGATTTGCTTCATCATCGCAGGGGATTCTTGTCTACAGTAAGACGGCCTTTACAAAATGAGAGCACACGCCACACATGACGAAATTGCGACCTAGAAAGTGTGGCGAGGATGTACTCGAAGGAAATTCGAGTAGTCTATGATTTCAAGTAGACATGCTGTCTACGAGACAATGTATTGCAGATTGATCAGGTCTATTGACCCTGTGGGTATATCCGTCACGGCTCCTTTGACACGTACATGCTCCAGGACAGGCATCAACGCTGATGGAACATCGACCCCATTGATTTCTTGAACTCCCTTAGAGGTCTTCATTCGCTAACATGTTTGCAATGTCAAGATACAAGGCGATGGCATTAAATCTGTACTCAAGTAAGCATGCCGAACCACGGACACTCTCATGAACAGCGACCGGACTCACTTTGGATCAATGCCTGCCCATTTCCGAAGTGTCCACCTGAATCTGTTGGTCCAATTGATGAGATCAAGATGGCTGACATTCAGCAGCGTGCCCTTATAGGTACCCCAGACTGCGCTCTCGACACTGACTAGCCCGTCGTTGGGGCCTTCGACGTCTGATATGATCCGGTGTGGCTGCCGGAAAGGACTGAGGAGTGGCGGGATGGAGCTTACAGCTCCGTAAGAGAAGTAGCGTACTTGAGGATCGTCAGGCGTGTCGGGGTTGAACTCCTCCATCATGTACTTGCGGGTCAATTGGCTGAAGGCCCCCGTATCGAAGCCTACGCCACGAACCAGCTTGTAGACGCTTGGGAGGCGCGCCGGGCCAATTTGTTGCAGAAGGTAGTCTGCAAAAGCACTGCCGCGATGAGGCGACGCAATCGTCACCAGGGACTTGACATTTACGTTGTGTGGTTGCAGCTTGGAGATCATGTACCGCGCATCGAGCCCCCCCATGCTGTGTGCAATGATGTTGACGCTCTTGCCTGGACCTGCAGCTTTGGCGATGTCCTCGGCCAGCTTGGCAGCTCGGTCCTGGATGCTTCCTGACGGGGGCACGCTCGTGGTGATCACCTCGACATTGTTCATGCGCAGGGCATCACCTATGCCGTGCCAGTACTGAATACCCGGCAACCACCGACCAGCCAAGCGCAGCTCGGCGAAGCCCATCAGACCATGAGCGAGAACAATGGGATATTTTGGGGCGTCTGATGAGTTGTCAGTAATGGTGTATCCCAGACGCCAAACACCTCCGGCACTAGAGACGAGCAAGGACAAGCAGATATTGAGACGCACCATATTTGTCCCTGATTGTGGCAAAGTCATCCTGGATCGCGCGTCCAAATTCTCTAAGCCGAGCATCGCTGTGCTCTCCCGAGGACGAGTAGCAGCGCAGTGGAGGGACGATGGCTTGCTGTGATTGTAATGGCGTGAGCCTGGCACGTGTTGGTGGTTTTCCTTGCCGTAGAGTTTTGTCGAGGCAACCTCGGGCCAGCACGCGCATGGCTGGGAGGCTCACCTCAACCCTGGAGCCCAAAGTTAGAGTCTGCGAGCTGGGTGAATTCGTTGGGAGCGACCATGCGGCACCAACAGTGAAAAACGCCAATTAGACAGCCAGACTGGTGGCCTGATTCGGGATCCAGCTTGATAGTGCAGTGACTGGTGGCATAGCAGGACGTGCGAGGATGACGGCCTGTGTAAACCTGACGTCATGGCCGCCTCGCGGACTTGCTGCGCTGAGGGTGCACGTCCGAGGTTTGTCAGCCAATCTCGGGGAGCCAGGCACAACCTTGCACAACCTTGCACAATTTGCACACAACAACACAAGAACATCAACCACATCAACAACAAGTCAAGTTCGAGGCCGACTGTGCTGGCAATGGGCGGACGGGATCTGACACTGAGAACGATGTCCTCCGCCTCTGCTGACTGGAGCCGAGCGTGTTGAGCCGAGCCTGGTCGCGTTTAGCAGGACCAGTCGGCATTTGATCACCACCAACAGCGAAGCAAGGGACCCTGGCATCCCGGCTCCCCGCCGTTGCGTTGCATGGTTGTTGGCTGCACCAACAACCAACATCTTCTGCAACCACCCACCAACAGACGCACGGCCGCCATTGTCTGCCTGGATGCAAACTCAAAAGGCCCTCGCCTCGCTCGCCCAGTCGCGTGTCTCGACCGAATTCTCTTGGCCTCCAGAGGCATTTATGGGCTCCGTGGTATCCTCGAGGATCGGCACGCGGCTTCGCGAGCTTCATGGGTGGCATGCCTGCACCTGTCTTGGTGTGCCGCAACAGTCGTCATGCCATGTCTTCGCAAGCAAACATTTAACCGCTCTGCAATGACCAGGGACCCCCGTACACTCACTGTCGCTCAGTTGGTCGGTTGGCTCTTCTCCGCTTTCGAATAAGGCAGTCGTTGCTCGCGAAGGACCTCTCCCCAGTCTACATCTTGGCATCTGCTGAGCTATTCCCTAGGACGTGCCAGAGCAGAAAGCCTTTGTGTGTCCCCTTTTGTGAAGCACAACCAGACTGAGTTTAATGACGCCTCGAAAATTGTGGTGAGGCATACTTGGACCAACGACACGGCACGGCTGCTCCCGCGACGCACTCGGCCGCGCCTCTGCGTAAGGCTGGGATCTTTCTGTTGTGTAGGGGTCATGGCGCTTACACCAGATGGCGGGCTCTTGTTCCTGTCACTAATTGGTCTCTCGTGCCGGAAGCTGCCACCCGTCTGCCACCGTGATGCCTGGGGGCCGATGCGGAGGGGCCCCTGCAAGCCTGCTCTCCTCCTTGCTTGATGTATGCCGAGTCAAGAGAGACTCACGAGAGTTCCCCATGGTTGTAGCCAACAACGCACGCTGATTGGTCTCAAGAAGGCCACGGGATGATCCATGTCCAGGGAATGCTGGCATCCAGGCTCCATCGAGAAGGAGGCCTGCTACCAACAGACACGCGATAAGGTCCTCGTAAGCCTTCCGCAGATCCATCCATATGTGTGACTGCTTCATTGTGCCTCACTGGCTCGAGTTCTGGTGCCATATCCACCAACAGAGTAGCGTGCTTCTAGTCCGGCACTGCCTGACAACCATGGCCAACCCTCAGCCTTAGATATAATGACACGGGGTCGCTTGTTTCCCAGTCATGGTGCGATGCTGTTCACTGTCCCTGCCTTGGGTAGAAGGACTCTTGATCTCGTTCTACCTGACCGGCCCAGATCAAGAATGATTTTCACCGACCATGGCTACTCCCGGGGATTGCGAGATTAGATCCTGTCTGCAATCCGACCTGTCTCTTCGGCCTTCTCTCTCGGCCAATGCAGCTCTGTGCGGCCTCTTCAGCACTCTAGTGGTGCTCGCTCTCGTCCGAGGACTACGATCCTCCAGCGCCATCTTTACTTCGCTGCTACTGGTGGGCTTGTCGCTTGAAGTCCTTGGTTATGTCGGCCGCATCCTGCTCAGCGTCAACACCTACGACCACAACAACTTCGCTCTTTTCTTTGTCGGCACAATCATCGGCCCCAACTTCATTTGCGGTGCCTTGTTTCTCTGTCTCCCCAATATCATTCATGTCTATGGCCCGAATTTCCGGACATGGATCCCCCCTTGGTATCACGCTATCGTTCTCGGCTTAGCGACCATCTCTCTCGTGCTAGAACTAGCTGGTGGAGTTTTGGCAACGGCAGTCGTGGATAACAGCAAGGTAGGCGACCAGCTGAAACTCGCGAACAGCAAAACCCGTAACTAACATGATAGCAGGTTGCACTTGGAGTACAACTGGTCGCCGTAGGCCTCGCAGTACTCATTGTTTCTCTGGCCATCTTTGTCGCCCATGCGACCTTGCTTGCACTGGCACTTCGGACAAGGCGACACGGACTTGGGTTTGAGCATGCCCAGCTATACAACAGCAAGAAGTTCAAAACATTTCTCTTCGGTAGGTTTACTGCAATCAGCCGCCCGACTCTTGCTGTCGTATAGTTCAGATCTAATGTGTTCTGCGCAGGCTTCAGCAGCGCCACGCTACTCATCCTACTCCGCTCAACCTTCCGGCTCATCACCGTGGTCATGGGTTTCACAAGCCAAGATCCACAGAACGAGATTCTGCTGCTGGTTCTTGACGGACTTATGGTACTTGTCGCCTCATTATTGCTACTGCTCCCATTCCCACCTCGAATCCTTCAAAAAACATGGTTCGCCTTCAGAGCCCCTGAACCTGCTGCAACCATGTCTGGAGGCCAAGACGTGCACTTCCAATCCCACAGCTATGCCTCTCAGCACACCTATAGCCCATATTATGGACGTCTCCCAGGGCCTCCACCACGACCTCCTCCTCCACGGCCACAGCCGCCCCCTTCGCTGAACGTGCATCCCAGCCCGGTCTATGATCATCATAAGACTCAAACGCCGAGTCCTGGTGTTGGTATCAACTACAGCAGGGGGACCTCAGTGGTCTCAGGCGAGCCATCTCCCACCCCACCGACAGCGTACGCTTTCAGGGAGGAACCGAGAAAGAACATGGTCACCAGCGAGTCCCTGTGGTGACCGGTCCTGGCGATCATGGATACGTTGTGGGCTAAGCAGTATAAAGCCAGGCAACACATTAACCGAATATGTGTTACGGCATCAACCATGCCCACGAAGGACGCCGTTGTGGCCAAGTTTCTCTCACGGCGTGATTTGTGTGAGAATCGCGCAAGCGGTCACGCCTGTCTCACCTTCTTAAAGGTACGCCGAGGGTGGTGGGAGGGGGAGCATGGCTGTCGTACATTCTTGGAGATATCGAATTTGGGGTTGCACTTTTCGGGCAAGGCGGTTATTGGTGGGATGTTCATGCCAGCCAAGGGTTGATCAGTCTCAACACAGTTCAATTTACATTTGACCCTACCTGTCATGCTGAGCATTGTGTATCATCCGCGCTGCGCCATAGTTCTGTATCGAAACTTTTATCAACGATCGCGTAATAATCCGTGTTCAGTTCCACCCAGTTGGAGCGGGAGTCAAAATATTTGAAAAGTGCAAACTGTCCATCTAGTAGGACATGAGGACAGACCGCCATCTTACAACAGTACCGAGTACAAACACTGCTTAGATCCCAACACCGAGGCTACACGAAGATCGAACCCAAGACAACAGTTCATCATCTGACCACACACCAGAAAACCTCAGGCGCCTGGTACAGCAAGCTGGCTTGGGTTGAAAACCCAATCTTCGGAAGAAACATGACATCGATCTGTCCGCCAAAAAGAAATAGTAAAAATAAAGAAAAGTAAATACAGAAGGTGCACCAGATAACGATGAGATGGGTGAGACCAAATTGGTCACGCGCCGGTGGTGCCTCTGCATTTTCTTCATGAACAAGATTGTCAAAGTCATTTGTTTGTGAGTGTCACGGAATTGCCACATTCCGGATGTTATACGGGACTTGTGACCGCAAACGGACTGGTCTTCAGATGGGACGAGGGAAAGGCCTTGCGGGCCAGTCGTTGAAGGCGATTGTGTGTCATTGGGGACAGGCTGGGGAACTGGTTGTGTCGACATATTCACCGTGGTGGAAGCACCAAAGCACTCGAATTTCGTACATTCATAAACACACGTTGCAACACAACAATGTATGTGAAGGTCATATCGTCTCATTTCCCATAAGATCGTCCCCAAAAACGAGCACTATATATGTATGGAGCCACGACAGGCATTTTGCAAACAAGTATAAAGACATTCGGTAGCATAACCAGGTTGTGTGGCTTCACTTTGCGCCAGGAAACCCCAACCCCATCATAAGACAAAACGCAAGAACGTCATCCCAAGCACGCAATCCCAAGCACACCACGATGAAAGCACTGCCCCGTAGCCAGAAAACACAACCAGACACCTCGCAAAAACCATTTGTACAAGAAATACTCGCAAGATCCCATTACCAGCCAAACTGCTCGCAATGCACCTCGACGCTTGGACCATCACCCCTTACACACTCAGCCGCCGCGTTGCGTATGGTCTTGAGCATCAACGGTGGTCCGCAAGCCGCGACGAGAACCCTCTTACTCGGCTCCACGGAAGAAATGGTGGCCTTGATGTAAGCTGCTACATCAGGTCTTCCAGGGAGCAGTGGCAGGCTTGGGGGTAGTGCCAATGTCGGCACTGGCAAATCTGAAGGACCAATGTCCAACTTTCTGAGAGAAGGAACCGCATGAGGTGTCGGCGCTATAGTACTGGCGGATGACAAGGTTATGGCGTTTGCTTCAGCACTGCTGGGTTTCTCGACGTCCGTTGAGAAGCCACTCTCCAAGTCTTTCTCCTGTCTCGAGAGTGATGGCTCGACTCCGACCCTTACGGAAGATAAAGACGCAGCGGCAGCCGATGACAGATCCCCGCTGCTCAGCCGCGACAGGGAATACTCCATGATAGGTTTCTTTGACTTCTCATCCTCGGTCGACGTCGTTGACCCACTGGTCTCGCTCTTCTCGTTGAGGATCTCGATACTTGCGCCAGTGGTTGATGATGCCGACGAGGAAGTCCTATGCGCCGTCCCTGCATCCGTTTCAGCCATGACAGGCGTTTCCAGTGTTTCATGACTTGTGATGTGAACTTTTAGCTCAATTTGTTGCCGCTTGTCATGGGTGAGGATGTTGTCAAGACGTTTTGTGAACCAAGATACGTGACCTACGTGAAGATAGTTAGAACTGCGCAGAAGGAATAATCAAGCTGCAAGGAAAGTGAACATGACTTACTGTGCTCACGGACAGCCCAGATGAGATTAATGTCTTGCTCAGAATCGGTGACCATCTTATCCAGCATCTCCTCGGCAAGTCCATGCGTAAAAGTGGCGCCAGAGCCACCAGAAACGAGGATCACTTTGTCATACTTGGCCGGGTCTGGAAATGTACCATACGGCCCCTCTGCGGATGCTTTGAGGATCGCCCCTGGATTTGCGACAGCATAGTCGTGGAGTTCCTTAGTAAACCCGTCGTGAGAACCGACAATTAGCTCCAAGGGGTTGTTGGAGACGACAGTAAACGGATGCGTCTGAAAACTCCGGATCTTAGGCAGCCAAAGGTAGCAGTGCTTGCCAGCACGAGCACCGGAAAGAGGCTTCTTAAGGATAACCCGTGTACCACCATTTGGCAAGGGCTCAATTCTGGCCTCGTTGTTTATGCTGTTGTATACAAGCCGGCTGGCACGGATGAGACGATCGTAGAACCAGAAGCCGGCAGTGACAAGGGCGATGGGAAGGATGGTGTCTAGGTGAGGCTGGTGCAGAGCGAATGTGACAGAAATGACAATGAATAGACAGACATGTGCAATGTAGAACAACTCATAGTTCGCACCTGTATGAAAGAGCCGATTAGCATACGTTGACTGTCTAGAATAGGAAAAAGGGGAAGGGCAACGTACGTCTGAGGAATGTAGCCACGAGCACGGTAAAGAGAACTGCGAAGCCAAGAATGATACCCGCGATAATATGATCCTCTGTAAACTTGGCAGGTCCTGAGGTGGTGAGGAAATAGTTTGTATAGACAGTAGCATGAACTATCATGTGTGCCAGGGTGGTATATCCAGCCACGCGATGGAGGCCATTAAGACGCTCGTAGGAGTAAGGTGTCAAGATGGCCAATGGAGTGTTCTTCATGGCAAGAAACACGACCACGGCCATGTTGGCAGAGGCAAGCCTGTGGTATCTCAAGGTCAGCAAGGAACGCACACTTCGCAAGGGATGTGGTGGTATCGGCCCAACCTACCATCCTGTACGGTTGGCGATCGCGGTTGCAGTCATTGACCCTCCATGGTTGTATACTGTGAAGCCGATGTTGAGTGCCAACCAGGTAGCAACTACAAGGAATTGCCCTCCTGAAGTGAATATGGGCATATATCGTAGCGTGTATCGCCGGACGAGTCTTTGGTTATGTTAGCAGTCTCCCGCAAGTGTGGCGGAAATGGTGGGTAGAGACGAACCTTGAGAATGAAGTCACAGGCCTCAACAATGCATTGGACTTGTTTAGACCTTTGGACAGTATTCTAGTCCAATGCAGAATCGTGAAAAGTGCAACAAGACCGCAAAGAGACGCTGCATAGAGGGTCATGGCATCTTTGTTGCGGGCCAACCTAGCAGCAAAATATTGAGCCATGGCAGGGTTGGTGTTGGCCCTCGCACTTAGATATTGCACCAGTCGTGCTACTGGAGCAGACGCCCCTTCGACAACGGTGCCCATCTTGCAGGGACCTGATGCTCGTCGATGAGAAGGGTCGGTGAGGGTTGCTGTCCACTCAGGACTCCCAGAAGCCTTTGAAGGCAACACGAGGTACACCAGAACTCAAATGCCGGTATTGCGAGAACAGAATCTGTTGGAGGGTTGAAGGACGAGTAGCGGCCGCTGGTGCTTGTTGTTATCAAAGGGAGAAGTGTGGGACGAAGGTTCCTCTTTATATGTATCAGTTCGCAGACTACTAGTCAGTCTGATCGAGGCGAGCAGAGACACGGGCCGTGCCAGCACAGCGTATCATTCCATTTGTTATCTTGCCGGGGCTTGCACTCTAGATCCGACCCAAGATCTAAAGACCTGCACAGAGTGATCGAATGCTTGCAACAAACGTGCTCGTGGTCTGCAGGCCTGTCGAGGAGGACCCACTGCCATGCCAGGGAGGAAACTATTCACACTCCAAAAGAGGAAATGCCACGCCGGGGCTCCAAGGAGGAGGAGTGGATACGGAGAACTCGAAGCAGCGTTGCGTGCGTGTCGCTTGCCCAATGCGACGACATACTGCAGGCGACTTATACATGCAGGCCTGGCACATGCTTCTGTCTGCGACGTAGTGTAAGTAGCGTCTGCGCCCTTCCATGGCAAAGGCATGGGTCACACACGCCCCGAATGCGACTGACGACTCTGCTGCTACATCACCAGGAGGGAATCCGGCGACTTCGCCACAGTTTGAGGGTGTTGAACCAATTTCCGCGGCAAGCTTTTTGGTCCAAAAGTAAATTGCTATTGTCTATGATGCCGTCTGGGGGAACGCCACAACGCCCTCGGGAGGATGACACAAGGGCGGGTGACCCGACCATGTTGTGTTGCCAGCCAGGGCTGCTGGACTCTTGGACGGTCGAGACCATGGCGCCGACCCGGCAGATAGAGACGCTGGTATGCACGTAGCCTTGCAACGACCTCTGCAGACTGGCAATGGCATGTGCTGTCGTTCTGGGCAAGCTTTGTCACTACTTACCAACCGCCACGGTTGTGTCCTTGCCGGCCGTGGGAGAAGGCGCAACTGGAATGCAACCCTGCCGTGTGCCAGATTGGCCATTTTCACAAAGTTGCCGAGCCGGCCGTTCGCTCCTGCTAGGAGCAGGAAGGTTAGACGGTCCGCGATGCATCCCCTCAGAGGCCATCCTCCCCGATGGCTGCACCAGATATCGCGATGCCGTCCTGTAAGCGCCAGCAACTCCTCCTCCCGCCAGCTCTCTCAACATGGTATGGATCATACACACAGACGTTCAAGCTCCAGCCCATGCCGTCATCACGCGCCCCCAGCTTCTGTCAAAGTCCGAGGCGGTGCGTTTGACAGATCGAGCACGCACTCTACCACGTCAGCCAAATCCATAATGATGCCGCTCCGCGTGTAACATCGACGTTGCGGGGGACGCGAGCCAGGCGCCGTACCACGGGCAACCCTGCGATGGGAGTGAAACCTTGTGGCACTGGACCATGCTCGAGGTGTTTAAACTGAGACCTCATGCGCCAGTGGCATGCAGCGAGCCGTGGCAGCACAGCACTAGGGATCGACACATCAGCCCAGCGAGGTGGCTCGCCTCACTCGCGCCACGCCATTTCGAAGCCAAGCTTTGGCGGGCTAGCCCAAACAAAGGACGTCGGTGATCCACGTCGACAAAGCCGCTAGATACAACATCGGGAACTTTCTGCTCTTGTCAGACGGCATCTTGCGGTACCAACTGCAGACCCGCCAATCTGTCGCTTATCTCTGGCCGATCAAAATGGCCAGCGATGTGTCTGTGACGCCCGTGGCCGATCCGGGATCGCACCTGCCCATTGCTGGTGGTGTTTCATGGCGGTTGATAAAGGATGAGGATGGCTGCATCCGAGCGGAGGCGGCCGGTGGCATCTCCGATGGGATCAAACGGAGTGTCTGCCCGGACATCTTTCCAGACAGACCGCAGCCCGTTCTCCTTGGCTGGCTGGCTCATGCTATCCTGAGGACCCTGGCCACGGGGTGAGCTCCCCTGACCCTTGCTGCCCGCTTGCAGGGTCTGTGTGACTCCCGAAGACAGGACCCCGGCAGAGAACAGTCCGGGGCCAAGATATTAGTCTCTTCACCTCCTCTACGACCAGTTGCAGGCAAGGGCAGGGCCGCAAACTCTACTCGACTAGTAAGATCCACAACTTGTCCTCAAAGGGTTAACGATGTCTTTGATCTGACTGACTAGGTTCGCTCAACTCTGGGCACGATGCCGCCACGCTTATCGGGTGCTTCGGTCCGCTCCAAGACACGCAAAATCCAGACGGGGCACTTGCTATTGTCGCAGAGTCGCGTCGGAGGCTTGGCTCAGGCTTACGTCAACGGCTGGGCCGGCGTCCGGAATGTAGCCACCGTGCGTCGTTTTGGGCAAGGCGGAGCCATGTCGTCCAGCCTCTGATCACGACCTCATGTCGAGTTTGCAGGCAGCCCTGGCTCATCTCGATCATCTGATGGAATCCTGGACTCTGGGAGACTGACGCCCAAGCCACATGATATATGTGCAAGCGTTTCCTGGAATTGGCTTCGTTGCCGAGCCGAAAAGCCGCAGGAGTCTGCACTAGCATGACAACGTTGACATTGGTGTCCTGGCCAGGAGAGGCTTACCGGACGGAGAATGATCCTTGCCTCTGATCACACCCCTTCGCCGCCATCCAGCCGCATCTTCTCTGACTGCTGTGCCAAGACCTGTGAGGGATTGCTCGACGACGTTGCGACGTACAGGGGGGGGTGCCATCCATCTAATAACCACCCCCGCTCGTCGCCAGCACAACTTTGGGAAGGAGCTCGCATTAGCCGGTGAGGAGTCCACCAGCGCAGAAACCTGGTGCATGTGGATTCGGTCTTAATCTATTCCTGCCAAGTCCGGCATTGCAACCACTGCAACGTTCTTTGAAAGCTGTGGGGGAGAGGACGCGACCGATGCAAGTAGGAGCAACGACCATGACGGTGGGTCAAGCATGTGTGGTGCCAGCAAATGCTGGCCAGCGACAATGACGACACAACTCGGCCGAGTGAGCCAGAAAGCCATGTCTGAACACGCAAATAGCGGGTGCCGCCTGAGTCAGTTCATATGTATTGGTGCCCTTGCGTGACAGTTGAAGAAACCACGACAGCATCATGTCCGCTCGATGTTGGTTTGCGTGTCAGGCTCGTCGAAGCGAAGACCATAACTGATTGAGCAAGCAGCGAAATCGTCTAGGGGTTCTAGGCTCATGCGTTTCTCGGCAGCCCTGGTCTGAACCAGAGTGCACTCATGGCAGGGTTTGTCATTACTGATCAATTCTTCGGCGGAGAGTGTCGGGAAAGGGACGCGCCCTGTGAGATGACCATCGGAGCCCTTCGAACAGGGAGTATTGACCTCGCCCGTGTTACCATGGTAGAGACTCAGGTATGAACAGTGAGAAGTGAGGCTCGTTCCATCTGCCCTTTCTGCCCATCAATGCCCCCTTCCCATGGCCCTACACAATGACAGCGCAATCTCACGACATGATAGCGTGCTTGTCGATGATGGCTTTGAGATTAGTGTGCACTCGAAGAGGCAGGTCTCCAGCAGAAAGAAGCAAGTTCCACAGCTACCATATGCTGCGCCACCGTGGACGCATGGCCCCTTCGTTGGAAGATCTGATAAGAACTTTGTTTCGTCGGAGGCGTCACTGACCCACCCTCTGGCGCTCGGCACTTGCAGGAGGAGCCCCATTTGGCGACCTTGCAAGTGGTCGCACGTGTAAGCCCATGGCGTAATTAGGCTGTTGTCAAGCTCACACTGACCCTGCCTAAGTACCTCAAGGTACGCTCACGTAGCCTGGCGAGTGACTCTTCATCGGCCCCCAGACTTTACCCGACTGAGCTTGTCGCACAGAGAGTTTGGCGTTTGGTCATTGCTTGGATTCGTGAGGCGTTTGCTTGTGTACGAGCCGACGCGGGGTGGCAAAGGCGGTAGCATGCGCAGAGTCTAGATCTCTGTACGGTGATAACAAGCTCACATCGGCCAAGCAGGCGTGGGATGATACCTGCTCGAGTAGGCAGGCGAGGCCCTACCTGGGGGCATGGGGGTTGCAGCAGCTGCAGCACACCAGGTCGTTTCAGCGGCAACCAGGTGCGGCGCTTGTCCTTTGGAACAACAAGAACCGCGACGCGCTGTGGCGACAGCACCAAAAGGCAGTCGCAGGGGCTTGTTGCTTCATCCTCAAGAGCCCGAGGGCGCAAGGTTCCTGCCTTGATTGGTTGCGCAGTACGCTGTGTCTGCATGTTTGATCAGGGAGATTCTGTGGTCACGGCACTTGTCGTTGCTTGTGTACTAACTAGCGTACGTACCCATGCAAAGTCTTGCTAAGCTCTAATTGATCGGGAACTTTCCTCATTGCGGTACGAAGTCTCCCTTCGATTGGTGTGTTGCTCCCGACTGGTGCATCCTTCGCATGGGCTCACAAGCAACGGCACACACAGCTTGACCGTACCCGCCAGAAAATGGTCGATGTATCCGGCAGTCCCGACCTTGAGGGCTGGACGGGATTGAATCAACATGTGGTTGGAATTATTCGGCAGAACAGAAACTAGGAGTAGCTACAGGCGGGATTGGAGCATTTGGGACTGTCCGAGTGCCTCGGCTCAGCACGCAAGGGCGGCCCCTCACGCCTGTTTACGTCATGGTGATAACTGGTTCTGGTACGGTTACTGAGCAAAACTCTAACCCGTGCAAGAGTCATGAGAGAAGGCGTGGTACGACTGAACATTCTCTCATCACCAGGAAACAACCAGCAGGGACGCAAATATGCCTCCCCTTGTGCAGACCGAAGTGCGGCCGTACCAGATTGCCGTCGAGGACGAGAAGCTGACGGACCTGCGGGACCGGCTGTGCCGGGCGGCGCTGCCCGACGAGCTCGACGGCGCCGGGTGGGACCTCGGCGCTCCGCTCCCGGACGTGAGCCAGATTCTCACCTACTGGCGCGACACGTATGACTGGCGTGCCGCCGAGGCCAGGCTCAATCGCGAGTTCCCGCAATTCGTCACCAGCGTCGCCGTCGACGGCTTCGACCCCATCGATATCCATTTTGTCCACCAACGCTGCACCGCCGCCCCCGAACAGGCCATTCCCTTGGTCTTCGTCCACGGCTGGCCGGGCAGCTTCTACGAGGGCACCAAGATCGTGCACCCGCTCAGCGAGGGTGGGCCTGGCGACGACGTTCCCGGCTTCCACGTCGTCGTGCCGTCCCTGCCAAACTTTGGCTTCTCCCAAGGACCCAACAAGCTGGGGTTCTCCATCCAGCATCATGCCGAGGCGCTGCACAAGCTCATGCTGCGCCTTGGATATACCGAGTACGCAACCCAGGGCGGCGACTGGGGCTGGTTCATCACCCGGGCCATGGCCGTCAGATATCCTTCTCACGTCAGGGCCTCGCACTACAATATGGACCAAGGCTCTCCTCCGTCCTTCACTGCACACCCGCGGCTGGCCATCGAGCACGCACTGACCCCTTACTCGGCCGACGAGAAGCGCGGCTTCGCTCGCACGCAGTGGTTCGGCGCGCACGGGTCCGGCTACTACAAGATACAGAGCACCAAACCGCAGACGATGGGCTACGCGCTGCGCGACAGCCCCGTGGCTCTGCTCGCCTGGGTGTACGAGAAACTGCACGACTGGACGGACGCATATCCCTGGACGCACGACGAAATCTGCACCTGGATCAGCATATACTGGTTCAGCACCGCGGGCCCGCAGGCCAGCGTGCGGCGGTACTACGAGTTCCGACAGAACAGCGCACCCAAGGCCGGTGCGGAAAGGAGGACTTTTTCGCACAAGGAGCTCGCCAAGCCGCTCAAGGACAACAGGGTCAAGATTGGCCTGTCGCATTTCCCGAGGGACCTGTGTGTCTTGCCAAGCTCGTGGACGAGGACGCAGGGTGATGTCGTGTATGAAAAGAGGCATCCCAGTGGTGGTCACTTCCCGGCCTGGGAACGACCTGAAGCAATCGTGGCGGATCTGAGAGCCATGTTTCGCAAAGGCGGTGGTGCGACCAAGGGTTTCAGGAATACCAAGCTATAATCAGGTCTGGAAATGGGTTCATATTTTCGAAAATGATTGTGTGGTTGGCTTGCATGATCTCACGTTTCACTTGTGAGGATCGCTACGGCTCTGTTTATTGTGATGACGATAACCTGTGCTGCGCACCAAGAGTGGCTCACATGATGCCGCGCGCTGTAAGACAATGTGACCGGTCACTTACTCTTTGCCGGCAGACTTTTGACCTTCCATATGATTGGCAAGGATTCGCGGCCATGTACCTAGGTAGGTATGCTTCATATCCGGCTCATATGGTGTCGACAGAGATGCTCCTTGCGAGCTCTTCGATCTTGGGTCTCATTTCCTTGGCCTTGTCCCTAAGTTGCTGCTCGGGATAACCCAGTTGCGGGATGATCTGCTCGTACGTGCCGTTGACCAGTACACCAAACGGTGTTTCGTCATCGTACATGTAGTCGATATTGTCGTATAGGTCAAAGAGAAGTCCGCAGTAGACCACGCGCAGCTCAATACCAGCCTCTTTCGCGAGCTCGTTGCACACGTCCTCGTGCATGGGGCCGCATAGAACATTGACAACCGTGGACAAGTTCCACGCCAGGATAAGGCGTTCCGGGGAAAATGCTTGCGGTGAAATCACAGGAGTGATCTCGAAGTACAGTTTGATCCCAACACGGAACGCCCGGTAGACATCGGCGTTGGCAAGGTATACGGACAACAAGTTCCTGCACAGTTTTGGCACGGGCTGTCTCGTCCACTTCCACATGCCTGAGTTAATGCACATCTTGAGCGTGGCTTTGATGTCGTCCACGCTGACTGCGCCCTTCTGCTGAGCAACAGTGAAAGCTTCGGCTTGCATGGCAGTGAGTCGCTCCTGTGCCTTTGCATCGTTGACAGGGACCATGTACTTGTCGAGCACATCTCGATGGCGTTCGACGAGTTCATCGGCGAGCTTGAACCAGTCATCGTCCAGATCCTCTCCCATTTTGCAGAATTCATCTTCAGCAGCGAATCTGGAGCCCTTTTTGCACTTGGGGCACCGGCAATGAAAGTAATACCCGTCCTTGAGGTCTAGCTGGCGGACACCGAAGGGGTTGGAAATGTCCACGTAATGCACCAGGACCTCGTCGCCAGCCTTGATGGGCTTGAGGGCACGAATGAATTGGCGTGGCTGAGCGAACGTGATGATTGCGTTTGGCTCGCAGGAATGGTTCGCACTGCAGATCAGGGGATCGAAACAACTGCCATACTGCCCTTCGTCTAGTGGAGAAGAGATCCTGACTTGGTTGCTGTAGAAAGCAAACAAGAACCCCTTGGCAATGAGCTCGCCGCTGGCGAAGTCGAAGTTAGGTTTGTCGGAGTAAAACCAAGCGGCATGAGCTAGAGTGTTGAAATCGTCGAGGCGAGCTTTGTTGTTCCTCTCGAACTCGTCCAGTCCAGCGCCCCCTTCGAAAGGCCTGAATGTGAGGAGCTCCAGCAGCTTGGAGCTGCTTCCAGTCGGATCGGCCTTGAGCCTGCCGAGCAACTTGATCACGGCTCTGACTGGCGGAGGCAAGGGTGGCCGGCCAGGGACCCCGATAATCTTGCACTCATATTTGTGATCCTGCTTCCAGGCTTTCGACTGGCATTTCTTGGAACAATAGGCAACCCTTCGGCAGCCTGAGCATGCCTTGACCTCGATGAAGCCCATGGGAAGGCCCATCGATGCGGCCTGGGCCCTTTCTTCGGGTTCTGTAATGGAACGATGAAAACACCACGAGCACGTGTCGAGCATGCGGTCGTACTCGCATTCCGCTGCGAGTGGCCGATCTACCGAGACGACCACATCTCCTGGGGCGAACTTCTTGCGGGCAAAGAGGCCGCGACCTGCCCCGGCAATGCCAGATGGCCTCACCTCGACGTGGTCGGCCATGCCTGCTGCCGTAAAGAGGAGCTGTAGAGGAGTACCTAGGGAGGTGGGATAGCAATGAATGCGGCGCTACGCGCTCACAGGCGATGGCGATGATGGTGATTCAGGTGTTGTCACTGACGAGCATTTCAGCTTCGATGAGATAAGTGTGCGTTGGCAAACGGCAGCGGTGAATCTGCGATCTCGATACCTCGCCCAGAGTCTTAACTTGGTCCTGATACCTCGAATGCCTGCTGGCTTGGCGGGGCATTCGAGGTACCTGCAGCCGGGGTGTCCCACAATTCGGTCCATGGTTTCGCGCCGCGCAGCTGGGAGTGCAGGGGAGCTCGACGCGGGAGGCGACGCAGCGCCATACTGTGCTGGTATCTAGCCTTGAAACAGCGTCACTTTTTCGCGGCATGGCGACCAGCACCGCGACTGTCACCAACGTCATTGTCGCTCGTGCCACGAGCGTCGCCTTTCCACGACACATCTCCTCTCAATCCGCCACACGAATAGCCTGAGAGCCCTGTTCGGTTCCGTTTGCTAGGTGAGTTACACTTGATTCAGCCTTCGTACCGAGCGTGCCTGCCCAGGTATTTTTCCACACTACCTTTACCTGAGATCGTTATGCGCTTTCAGGTATCCCCAGTGCTTTGATGCTGGAGACAGAACAACGTTCATTGTCACCCCGTTCAGACCGCTCCTGTCTTCAGGAGCTGCATTGTCGAGCAGACGAAACCCTCACATCACATCTCCAGCCCAAAGTTTGCTTGTGCCTGGCTTTAGCCCTGTCCACCATCTCCTTCAAGCCTCGTCTTTGCGCAGCTTGCGCCCATAGCTTTGCGCTCGCAGGATTGCCCGGGCATTACAGATGCAAAACAACTTGCTAACCACAGAGACGCATGGAGGTCGAGTTCAGATAGTAGCTGTAGCCCACGACAAAGCGCATTTACCCAACACCGACCATGTCCGACGCGAAGACCGACGAGCAGCCCGCCGCTATGGTGGAAGACCCTCTTGTCGGCGAGGAGGGCAATGATGAGGTTCGCAACCACCCAGCCATATCTTCTACCAATCTACCACAACCAGACCTCTACCTATACAAGCCACCGCAACCGCACCCACGATCGCGGCTAGAGGTCGAAATCATTTGCTCAACTAACACGTTTATGCTCCACAAACAGGAAGAGATTGCTGCGATGAAGAGGCGCGTGGCGGAGATGGAGGCCGAGGCGGCCAAGCTGCGCGAGTTGCAGGCCAGTCTCGAGGAGAAGGAGCGCAACCAGGATGTTGCCGACGACAAAAACGACATTGACAGCCGCAGCATCTTCGTCGGTAATGTCGACTACTCAGTGTCACCAGAGGAGATCCAGGCGCATTTCCAGTCGTGTGGCTCCATCAATCGTGTCACGATTCTGCTGGACAAGTTTACTGGGCAACCAAAAGGGTAAGCTTGTTCCTTTTCAGCTTTGATGCAGCCATAACGCGTCACCCTGTAACCTGTTGCTAACAACGTCCTTTCTTCGTCTGCAGATATGCCTACGTCGAGTTCACCGAGCCGAGTCTCGTCGCGCAAGCCCTGGTTCTTAACGATAGCGTGCTCAAAGGCCGCAACATCAAAGTGACACCGAAGCGGACAAACGTTCCTGGCATGAGTCGGGGTCGTGGCCGGGGCCGGGGCCAGGGCGGTTTTGGAAGAGGTGGCTACGTGCCGAGAGGAGGTTATCGTGGTGGTGGCCGCGGCCGTGGCCGGGGATTCACACCATACTAGGACCAAGCGTGGCCAGCGAGCAGTTCAAAGAGGAGCAGGACGATTGAAGTAGTCGGAAAACGCGATTAATCGCAGGATGCAAGCTTGGATTGCAGGCAACGGGGTTTTGGCAACCCCTTCGATCTTTGTGCAGGGCCGCGCGAGAAAATTTGATGCGTTCCAAGCACCAGGATCAACGACAATGGCCTCCGCCTCGGTACACGCGCAGCACTGTCTAGTGCTCTAGACTTGCATGGCATACGGCGGCCAAGTGCTTTATCAATCTGGTTACGATCAGGGAGCCTGAAGAACGACCTGAGATTTGTGGTTGCATTGAGCCCTCAAGCAAGATCTCGGACAACAAATTAAATCATGACAAGAAATACAAACAACCCCAGGGGATTGTGTGACGCAGCATAGAAATAGACACTGCTGTTCCCATGTCCGGGGAGACCGCTCTACAGACGTGCGAGAGCAAGGCTCGGCACGGAAATGCCGTGACAGCCCGGTGAAGTCTTCGAAGAGGCTGCCGGTTGCCGGGCTCCGTAGCGTGCACGGCGTGGGTAAGGGAGCGCCTCTGACCTTTCTGACGTCTGGTGCGGGACGACAACAGACCTGGAATAGCCGGATTCAGCCCAGTACGAGGATACAACTTGCGCATAGGCGAATGGCTTGCCATAGAGTAGTGCGCTGACTTCTAGCAATAGATAATCCGGCCAAACGTCACATGCTGTTCTTGCTCTTTCCCCTTGATTGAATCGAGTCATCTGTCACCTGGTGGTGCTGAATAATTCATCATCGGCCACGCTCCAAACTCGACTGCCCATCCTCCACATGAGAAGATTCGCAAATTGCAGCAGTCCTGAGGTCACTATTGGGGTAGCAAGTCTTACGATTGGCGAAGCTGGTGCCTGCCGAGGCGCAGCACGGCAGGACTCGCAGCCACACTATCGTCGAATTTCCCGTATGGCTCCGGCCGGGATTGCACTCTAGCCTGGAGCCGTACATCGAGGTACATTGCGAATCAAGCTTGCAGAGTCTGATAGGCATTTCGGTACATGGAAGTAATGAGCGGGTGTGCCGTCTTCTCTGGGTTTTCATGAATGGCATTGCCGTGTCCGCTGTAGAAGCTGGGCATCAGACTGTCAAGCTGCTGAAAACGTGCTCGCGCAATCATGATCCTGAACCACGTCAGCAACCACCGCGCACGCTCAGGAGCTGCGTTGCCTGTGGATACTTGCCAGAGGTCCACTATCACCATTCGGGACAACCGTCACGAAACGCGCGACCTGCTCAGCACTGCCACTGGGGCCAGGCCAGGCAACAATGCTGCAAGGTGCGGCAGTGCGGTGCGCCTGCACGAGCGTATGAGTAATTGGGTCTGTTTCGCAGTCAAGTGAGTTTACTGGCCCGCGGCGCCTGTTGGTGCGCTGCTGACCACACCATTCCGCCCTCCTGGACGATCGTCTGGTCTTGTTGGAGCCAGGGACGAGGCGGGGGTCTGCGCTGCTCAGCCTCAACGGCGGCAGGGCTGTAGTCTTCGAAGCCAGACAAATGCCTAGGCCCGTGGCCACAGTGGCGCCGGCGGTTGTGTTGCCGCGATGGGGAAAAGTGATGAGAAGCAGAGACAAGAGGTCGCTTGGCACACGATGCAGACACGCGCGCCACCCTGGAAGACGCTAGGCTGGCATTTGCAAAGCACGGTGACGGGACAACATCTGTATCGGGACGTGGTTGAGGGCGTGAAGCCAAGTTGAGGCACAGGGACCCCAGCCATGCACTAATCCAGGCCCGGTAGTTGTGCTGGTGGTGTGGTGCACCTCCCAGCAGGAGGAGGTCCCCATGCCCACTGCCACTTGACGCCCTGTCCAACCAGCTCGCGCACCAGGGCAGGAGGCCGACCCCTCCTTCCAGTCCTCCTCGCCTGCCTGCCACTCACTCGACCTGGCCGGCCTATCTGACGATTACCCGCTCCTCGCTGTGGCCGCCACCCTCCTGCCTTTGACATTCTTCCATCTCCAATCCCAACAGCCCTCGACCATCCTGGACTGCGGCATACTCCATCGCACCTGGGCCTTACGGTGCCCTTCCCAACCGTTCGCAAGTCGATCGACGCTTCCTGCGCTGCGAGCTCTCCGCTGTGGCAACATCACACCAGCCTCGAATGCTTGAGCGAGTTCTCGTAGACTCCACTGAGGCGGTCGCAACACGACATCACTTCTCGACAATTCCCAGCGACTCCTACCACCGGCTCACACACCAGCCCGCGAGTCTAGCCTCGCACTTTTCTCTCCGCAACTCTTTGTCGCCGCCCTCGCAAGCTTCGATCCGCATAGTGGCACCTCCGATCTCCGACATCCGCTGCCGACGTCATCTAAGCTGTTCAACGATTTGACCGCTGCCTTGGCGTATTGTGCTATTGCGCCATAAACACCGACACTCGTCGCCTCTCAACCTCACGGAAGCCCTCGCTCTGATCGAGTCTGCGCAGCAATGAGCACCGGACGTTCCGAGGCTGGCCCTGCAGGTGCTTCTGGGTAAGTCGCAATTCTCGAGGGTGTAATCGTCGCTCATGATAGTATATTGCCGATCCTCTCAGCCAGGGTCGGCTTGTACGCATGCAAGCAAGGAGCATTTATGCTGACATGTGCGAGTACTCTAGTCCAGCAAATTTGCGCGTTACCAGTAGGTTCCTTCCTGCAGCTGTCGCAGCTCGAGGCTTCGCCGTGGAGCATTCCTGCACAATCAGCTGCTTATACCTGCGCCTCCTGATGGGCCTTCCTAACTCTCTCTCCATCTAGTCATCGCTGCCGATGGACTGTACAAGCGAGATGTCTTCCGTGAGTATACAGATCTACGCGCATCCCTTGCGTTAATAACCTCGTCAACATTCTGTGCATGAACGCTGATGCTTCTGGCAGGACTACCCGATCCTTTCGCGGTGGCAACAGTGAATGGCGAGCAAACCAAGACTACGGCCGTCTCGAAACGGACACTCAATCCATACTGGAACGAAAGCTTCGACTTGTACGTGCCACGCCTCTCCCTGTCGGCGACAAATCTGGGCAATACATGACTAACAGTCTCAATTACAGCCGCGCCACCGAAGATAGCATTCTCGCAGTACAAGTATTTGATCAGAAGAAGTTTAAGAAGAAGGACCAGGGGTTCCTCGGGGTCATCAATATCCGCATAGGGGATGTGATCGAGTTGGCCGATGGAGCAGATGGTAAAACACTTCTGTGCCCGCTTTCGTCAGACTGACGGCTGGTTTTTGCTGACCACGACCGCTTTAGATCAAATGCTCACTCGAGATTTGAAGAAATCCACAGACAACCTTGTGGTACACGGCAAGCTCATAGTCAATCTCTCCACGAACCTCAGCGCTCCCGTCAGAAATCCTCAGCAGCCAGCACCACCACAAAGTGGGGCATTATCCGCGAGTTCAAGCCGACCATCTCTCGTGCCAGCATCATCTACTCTGAGCACTGGAGCTCTGTCGGACCGCCCGCCCTCGTCGTCTTCCAACAATCTTGCCCCTGGTGGGCAGCTGACCCTTCCTCACAGGCCTAATAGCAGTCTTGTGACCAGCTCGGCCGCTGCTAATGGTGCTAGCAACAATGGTAACAATCAAGGATCCGCACGAGCTGCCAGCCAGATGAGTCCTTTTGAAGATGCTCAAGGCCGACTTCCTGCTGGCTGGGAACGACGGGAGGACAACCTAGGACGAACTTACTACGTGGACCACAATACGCGCACTACGAGCTGGAATCGTCCGACACAGGCTAGCACTGCTGAGGCACGCGGTGAACGTGAAGCCGCAACTCAAGTTGAGCGTCAACGCCACCAGAACCGCACACTACCCGAGGACCGTACTGGTGCCAATTCGCCAACGCTGCAACAGCAGCAACAACAGCAAAGTGCTAGCCAGGCAGCCAGCAACGCCACTCTGATGCACACTGGAGCTACAAGCCCAGGCACCGGCGAATTGCCACCAGGCTGGGAACAGAGATGGACTCCCGAAGGACGTCCGTACTTCGTTGACCACAATACGCGGACCACTACTTGGGTCGACCCCCGGCGGCAGCAGTACATTAGAATGTATGGTGGTCAGAACAATGCCAACGGCACAATTCAACAGCAACCAGTGTCACAGCTTGGCCCGCTCCCCAGTGGTTGGGAGATGCGTCTGACCAACACCGCTAGAGTGTACTTCGTGGACCACAACACCAAGACCACGACATGGGATGATCCACGACTGCCCTCCTCACTGGACCAGAACGTTCCCCAATACAAGAGAGACTTCCGTCGTAAGCTCATCTACTTCCGCTCCCAACCTGCTATGCGGATTCTTTCCGGGCAGTGCCACATCAAGGTGCGGCGCTCGCACATTTTTGAGGACTCCTTTGCCGAGATCTCGAGGCAATCCGCCACGGACCTCAAGAAGCGCCTAATGATCCGTTTCGATGGAGAAGATGGTCTCGATTATGGTGGTCTGTCGAGAGAGTTCTTCTTCCTCCTCTCTCACGAAATGTTCAATCCTTTCTACTGCCTTTTCGAATATTCGGCCCACGACAACTACACTCTACAGATCAACCCGCACTCCGGCATCAACCCAGAGCATCTCAATTACTTCAAATTTATCGGGCGCGTCGTTGGCCTGGCCATCTTCCACCGCCGATTCCTGGATGCTTTCTTTATTGGTGCGTTGTACAAGATGGTTCTTGGCAAAAGTGTCAACCTGGCGGATATGGAGGGTGTAGATGCCGATTTCCACCGAAGTCTGCAGTGGATGCTGGACAACGACATCTCTGGAGGCATTCTTGAACAGACATTCTCCACCGAAGATGAACGATTTGGTGTTATGACCACCGAAGACCTGATACCCAATGGCCGCGACATTGACGTCACGAACGAGAACAAAAAGGAGTATGTTGATCTCATGGTCAAGTGGCGGATCGAGAAGCGCATTGCCGAGCAGTTCCAGGCTTTCAAGGAGGGCTTTCATGAGCTCATCCCGCAGGAGCTGATCAACGTGTTTGACGAGCGCGAGCTTGAGCTGCTCATCGGTGGCATCGCCGAGATCGACGTGGATGATTGGAAGAAGCACACAGACTATCGTGGCTACACTGAGAGCGACGAGGTTATTCAGTTCTTCTGGCAGACTGTGCGCAGTTGGGACGGGGAGCAGAAGAGCAGGCTGCTGCAGTTCACCACAGGAACCTCTCGTATTCCTGTGAACGGCTTCAAGGATCTTCAGGGTAGTGACGGGCCAAGGAGGTTTACAATTGAAAAGTCAGGCGAGCCTGGCAACTTGCCCAAGGCGCATACATGGTAAGCTACAAACCACCACTCATGACCAAAATCCACGGCCAATGCTAATCTCGTATACACCCAGCTTCAATCGTCTTGATCTCCCGCCCTACAAATCTCTTGAGCAGTTACAACACAAGTTGCTTATCGCTGTTGAGGAGACGATGGGTTTTGGCCAAGAATAAGAGCGCCTATTCCTCATTGGACTGGGTCGCGTCGACTAGAAGAGTTTCTATTCAAAAGATTGTCATGGAAGCAAAGCAGGCGCGACCTGGCCTCAGAAATCTTCTATGGCATTCGGTCTATAGCTTGTCTCCACAATAGCCGGAGCTGGATGTTGTATATAGAACTGCCGTCCCCAGACACAAACTTTCACATGTCTACCATCATCCATTTTCAACAGCAGCGGGATGTAATGTTTGTCGACTAGCCCCGATCTGTCTTTTTCCTTCATGTACTCTTGATAATCTAAACACCCAACAGCAAGAATATACCCGACGCTCCTTTCGCTCATTGTTTCACAGTCGGACGGATCGTGATGCTATAAGGAATAAGACCAGTAGAGATCGTTCTCGGGAAGGATACTTGGGCAGCCTCTTGACACCGTCGACGCTTGGCGTGTGAATGTAGCTTTCGTGACGTCCGACCTGACGCGCGATCATCAGACTTGTGCTAGTATGGTCCTGCAATAGATAGGTAGGTTCACGTTGCGCGGGTGATTCCTGGTCTGTCATTTGCACGTCTTGCTTGTTCGGCCGGTAGAAACGGTTCTCTGCATGCTGCACAGTCCTGATGCTGCTTGCGAAATAGATGGATTTTTACTTGGTGATATATATACACATATACATACTGCCTACATCTCGCTTTTATATACAGGAAACATGAGACAATGTAGGGAGCATAGGTGCGCAAGAGGAAGACCGTCGTCAGAAATGCACCCTGTCGGTGTTCTGTACCGGCACAGTTGTCGAAGCGTCATGTCGCGGGACGCTTTGTGAGTCAGCCGATGGTGGCGCCGTAGACCCTCCCTCGTCCGAGCCTTCGCTCGAATCATGACGTGAATCCTCGTCCCCGTGAGCAGGCCGCATCGGCCTTTGGACCTGCTTTTCGACGTCGGCGCCGCCTCCGTCGTCGTCTTGTATGGCGAAGTCCGTGACCCCCGACGTGGGAGTTATCGCGGTCGGGCTGACTCTTTCCAAAGAGCTCGTCCTCCTGACGGCGCCATTGCCGATGCCTGACCTTGACACCGCGCCGCCGGTCGCGGTCCGTCCGGCGGCCATCGAAAGGCGCTTTGCGAGACTGCTCTGTTTCGCCTCGCCGCCTCCCTCTTGTCGGCCCCGACCTTTTCCAGATCTGTTCGTGCTCTTCCGAAATAACGTGGTTCCGGCGGCAGCGGCGGCAGCGGCCACGGACGACGACCGCCGTCTCTGCCGACGAGTGGACATGATCGCGTCGAGATCCATCTCGCGATTCGCACGATCCTGGATGCGGGCCTGCTCCTCGGCGCCGACACGGGAGTCGACAAGGAGGCGAGCGTCACGTTTGAGGTCCAGGAAGAGCGAGAACAGACCGGTGATGACGAGCAGAGCGGGCACGACGATGAATGCGGTCTGGTAGCTGCTGCGCGCTGTCGATCCCGTACGCTGGATGATGGCGTACATCACAAATGGCCAGAACGCGGGCCCGGACGCGCCCATAGTGATGTATGCAGCCGCACGCTTTGTGCGGCTGCCCTGACCTCGTAGGCCGAGGGCAAAGATGAGTGGCCACATAGGACCCTCGAAAAAGAAGAACAAAACGATGGGGACTACAATGATATTCGGATTGTTGACAGGCCTAATGGCACAGATTGCAATGGCGCAGGCGATGCTGCACGCATTGGTGATATTGAGGATTGTTCGTGGCTGAGGAACGTGCGGGTGCCGTGGGGATAAGTAAGCCAGCAAGCCGGCGAGGAGCCGGGATAGAGCGAAAGCCGAATGAGCAACAAGCAGGAATTCCGAAGCCGACAGAGTCAGGGAGGGTGCGACACTCGCCGTCATCGAGGATGTGCCACCTGTAGTCGTAGTCGTCGTCGTCGTCGATTCTGTGGGGTTTAACAATGAAGAAAAGTAAATGCTCATGCTCTCTTGTCCAGCGACATACGTCCACTGAGCCACGACTGCAAGTATCAGCGTCAGTGTGCGAAGTTGCAGACCGAAGAAGCTCGGCTTCTTGTGGTCAATTGGCAGGTATCGAGTCGAGTGCTCCATCTCAGCGTCCGTCACCTCCGGCAAAGGCATGTAATAGAACAGGAGGGCGAGGCCCGCACTGAACAGAGTGATGGCAAGGTAGGTCCACTGCACATCAATGAGTGTCGTCGAGGACCCAGTGTTGTCTCGTGTGCTGACAGTATCGAAAAAGACTCTCTGTGCCATGACTTGGCTGAGGACTGTGCCAATTGCTTGTACAGCTTGCGCGAAGAGTAAACGCATCTCCGAGTAGTCCATGGGGCCGCACAGAGCCAGAAACGGGTTGGCTGCAGTCTCGAGAACTGCCAGGCCGAATCCGACAACAAAGTTGCAGATCATGAAACCTGCGAATGAAGTGAGGACAGCACTAGGCCAGAACATGATGGTGCCAGTGCCATAGATGCAGAGCCCTAGCATGAACGTGGCCTTGAAGCCTCCTACCTGCTGGCTGCCATTCTTCTTCTTCTTGACGCGGCGGTGCTCATCATGTCGCAAAACCCACTCTCCGACGAGCAACGGTCCCAGGAAGTATCCAGCACCAAAATAGATGCTGGTCAGCCCAAGCGTCTCCGGGGTGCTCATATCAGCCACGACGGCGATGGCGTTGTTCAGCGTGTTGAGTAGCCCATAGGAGAAACCCCAGATGAAGAAGAGGACGGTGACCAAGGTGCAGTACTTCCAGGAGTCACGTGCAGATGTTCGAATCAGGCTCTTGGGTTTGCGAATATTGACGAAGCCGAAATAGATTGCGTTTTCCATGTTCGAAGTATTGGTGTAGTTTGTCATGGTGGTCTGTTGGCGAGTCATGGTCGCACCACTGGACGACCTCCGGGCTGTCATGTCCATCTCTGGGGTAGTCAAGAACTCCATAGCAGAAAGGGGTGCGTCGGGACCGGACGAGTGGTGTGCTGGTTCTGGAGGAGTAGTCTTGTCGAGATCAGCACCTGCCACTGGATGGAGCTGGCCGCTGTCGCCACTTCCATTTCGGTCAGATGTAGTTCGAGGCTTGCTGTCTACCATTGACGAAGCTCTTCTGGTGCCATCTGGGTCGAAAAGCATGGCTGGCAGGATGCGGATGATCAGCGGCTTGAGTGTCGGTATGCACGCGCAGATTATGCCGACATTGACCTCGACGGCAGACCACATGAAGGACAAAGACGCGTTCCACGCAAACTCTGGCTGGTCGCCAAAGGTGGCAGCAGGATTGCTCGAGACGGCTGGTGTGACGCTCATGACGGCTTGCTGTAGATAATAGATCCGGACCACGTCGACAATGGTCACAAAGACACCGAGGGTGAAGGTCAGGATGAGAATCACCTTCTGACGTAAAGGTAGCCTCATGCCGGTAAGCACGGGTAGAGGCAAGGCGAGAATAGCGAGATCCGTAACGATGTTGACCGGAGCGGCGCAGATGAACTCGGTCAGGATCGGAATGCAATATGCGGCTCCCGCGTACATGTCAAAAGCGGCACTGATGGGTCGGCATTGGAAGATGTTGAGCAAAGTGAGGACCGTGCCGGCCACGTTGACGATGCCCAGGACAAGCCAAGAGGCGAGGCGCAACACCTTTTCGGTGTTTTTGGAAAGGCGGAGGTAGAATATGAGGATGGACGTCTTTGTGGCCATGAGAGCCGGGTTATAGAGGATGGAGAAGACATATTCTGTGCGGCGGAGGGCGTCCCAGTGCTCCGGGTCGATGTCGCTGTCATGGCGGCCGAGGCCCTTGACGGTGCCGACGTCGATGGCGACGCTGAGACCGAGGGCGATGAGCCAGGCGACGACCATGGCATAGTCGTCCCAGCTGACACGGCGGACGAGGACAGTCCGGGTGATTGTGCGGGCGACGACGAAGACCGTGGCGAGCACAAAGGTGGCCGTGGTGACAGCAAAGACGGAGGGCCCCCGGTCTGGGAACGAGGCCTCACGGGCGTCATCGCCGCCGGCTGCAGCGTCCATGGCTGGGGCAGGCTGCTGGGGCCGAAGAGGACGACGCGGGTTACGAAGTGTCTGCCAGATCCATGAAGGGAGGTTGTCTGCGGGAGGTGTGTGGTGGTGTTGGACGGGGAGTCCTGTCAGGAAGCGACGCGATCCATCACGCAACAGGCCACAGCAGGCAGGGTCGAACGAAGCGCCGTTCCGCCACCAAAAGCTGGCTGGCGTGGAGGCAGGCGGGTGAAGGTTATCAGACTTGAGTGCCGGCAGCAAGGACAGCTGGGAAAAGAGTTTGATGGCGCGCCGTGCGCCTGCTCGCTCTGCTGGAAGAGCCGGGAGGGCAGTGGAGCACGAGGTGTGTGGGGAGCTGCAACTAGCGCAACTTGGAGGGCGCGCAGCGGGACGATTCCGGTGCTGCTGAGCCGAGCTGAGCTTGGCGCTGGGGCTGCCAGTTCGTCTCTCTGTCTCGGGAATCGAGTCGAGTCTCAGTCTGCAGATGCAGGTGCAGGTGCAGCTTTACGCGGGGAGGAAAGAGGGTTGCTTCCAGAAACAGTGCCCCGGCAAGATCAGCGGAAGAAAAACTCGTTCTCCGTAATAGGCATTTCTCCAGGCCATGCTCCCCAGTCGCCAGCAGTGGTCCACGAGTGCTCCTAGCCAAGGGCCACCCCCGTATTAATTTCGATGATCGCGGGACCCTCGCCAGCAGGACCTGACTAGCCGGCGGTGCATGTGGGCTCGGCCAATTCTGCACGCCTTGTCCCGGCAGGCCGTCAGAGCAGGGGAGAAGACGCGGCGGCCACTCACCAGCCCTGCAAAAGGCAATGCTGCAGTCACTGTTGCAGCAGATTAGAGAGAGAATAAAGACAAGGAAAGAAAAAAAGGGCCGCGCTGCAACAACGTTGCACTTGTCCGCTCTCGGTCGACAAGAGCGGACAAGCACCAGCACCAGCAGGACAGCAGTCCTGCAGCCCTGCATTTGCAATTGGTGACGACCAGGGGCCCCGGTCAGCCGCCGCACCACAATGACATAATGCGCGTCCCGCTGCCTTGGGGACGTTTCCACAAATCGTACTGCGTGCCCGCCCAGCTGGTCGCGGCTACTGTATGGTATGTACTGTACAGGACAGGGTGAGGACTCGTCGCTCAGTAGTGGACGCGATCGTCGACCTGCCAGTGGTGCGGCAGACGTGAGCAAGCCTCCCTGAAGATCCACGAGTTCAGAAAACAACGCACGCAGTCTCCCACAGCCCCGGCTCTCCCTTGCCTGCCGAGCCTGCCAAGGTTTGGCACCCTCCCCCCTTCCCTATTTCCCCGCACTCGACCCCAGAGTGGGCGTCGCCAGCAAAGGCTTGACGTCGAGCGCCACCACGCCGGTTCCAGCGAGAAAAAGTCCCCTGCCGCCATCCATCGATGCATTTCTCCTCAAACAGCTCGCTCCTAGCATGTATGCCTGCCAAATGCCAGCCGACTCATCGCACGCGACAGTGACGATAAGGCCTGCCCGCAGCACTCTCACAGCCGACAATGCTATAGTTGCCGCAATCCTACATTAACCCCCAACTAGTGCAGGATTGTCTGTCCTTGCAAATCAACCACACGACTCGGCTAGCCTGGGGCAACACCTCGATTCAGCATGGACACAGGCCGTTGGCGGCATCGCCCACGTGGACAGAGTCCTGTAGAGTCAGCAGATTTTGAATGATCGGCGTGTGGAGAGCCACTGGACCCGCCCGCCGCCTGCCATTATTGTGCCACTACCTACGACGACGCACCGCGTGTCATTGCCCTCCCCACACAAACCCCCCAACTAGGGGCGCAAAAGGACATGTCGGACGAAGCTACTCATCTTTAGTGTCGATGTCGGGCGCTCATCATGCACGTCGTTGAGTTCACGCTTCTGCTATCGCCAAGCTGGTGTTCAGCCACACTCTCCTGCACTTCCTCAAAGAGCGGACTCGGGCCACATGGCCCAATCCGGGCATACACAGGGCCCGCGATCATCATCTTATCGCCTGGTTTTCCAGCTACTGTACTCGATGCAATAGTAGCCCTTCACCTTTGTCCCCCTCTCCAGTTCTGCAAGCCTGCCTGTTGCTCGCGGAGTCCGGACTGCCCGAGGATTCTGTACACAAGCCGAGAACGACGTTGTGGCATTTACCACAGAAAGGACTCCTATACTCTCCATGAATGTGCAGCATAATGATCCGGCGTGGGGGAGGCTTCCATGCATTTAAGGCCGGGGTAGACCTCCCCATCCTCAATCTTTCACCAGTTGCTTCGCCGCATGCTCATTGACGGGGGCTGCGAGAACCATGGACAAATATTGTGATGGTGAAGCTCATCGTTTGGGTGCACTTGTATAATTTCTGCCACCAAACTGGGACGATGTCCCGGCCAATATGCCAGTGTGATGAAAACTGCCCCCACGCCACGTGAAAGGCGACATGGTGATTTCTTTTCCGCCACAACAGGACTCTCCAGCTTCCAAAGAACATTCCTGTTCTAACGGCGACGACATTGCGCACCACTCGTGTGGCCAGTGGTCGTGCGCGCACGCCGTAGCAAACATTCTGGAGATCTCAGGGTGGACCGCTGATGTTCCTTCACACAGAGACCAACCTACACCTCGAGATCCCGCTCTCCATCATGCTCAACAACTTCTCTAAACACCTCCTCCCGCACCTCTTCCTCCCCAGCCTCCCCGTCTAGCGGTGCCTTCCAGCCCGTCCCGGCCTGCAAGACGAGGACGCCTATCGTGAGCACAAACGCCGCATGGAACAGCACCCTCAGTGCATCCACATATCCGTGCACAGCGACCTGTCTCTCCTCGGGGCTCAGTAAGCCCTCCGGCCCGTGGAACACGAGGGCAGGGCCGCCGATGAGCTTCTTGATGAGCTCGGCCCTGCTGTTACCACCACCGCCTGGAGAATCATGAGGCAGATGCCGGAACCCGTGCTCCAGACTCTCGCGCAGCGTCCGGATAAAGATCCCCCCGCCAATCGCGGTGCCAAAACTGCCCGCGAACCCGCGGAACGTGCTGAGCAGGCTGGTCGACATGTAGTGCGCGTCCGGCGGCGTGAGGTGGAGGATGTGCGCGAGGGTGTAGTTGAGCGCGGCGCCCGTGAACAGACCGTTGAGGAAGAGCAGCAGTATGTACACGCCCATCGGGACGCGAGGGTCGGATACGTACCCCATGCTGAAAATCGTTGCGCCAAAGAGGAGCACTGACACGAGCGACGGGGTGTAGAATGACCCCGCGCGCTTCACGTGCAGCCAGCCCACGATGAGTCCGCCCAAACCGAAGCCCAGGTTCGTGGGGATGAGCATGCTCCCACTTGCCGCCGGGGCGAAGCCTCGGACAGCGAGGGCAGTGACGGGCGCATAAAAGAGAATGGTCCAGCGCGAAGCCATGAGTCCGAGCTGGGCAAAGCATGAGAGCAGGGCGCCGCGGTTCTGCAGGAGCGAGAGTGGGATCAACGGGTCTCGGGCCACAAACTTCTCGACAGCAAGGAAACAGATGAGAATTATCGCGGAGATGACCAGCGGTAGCCACTGAACAGTCCCGGAGAGGCCGTAGAGGAATGTTACAATTGAGGAGGTCTATGGTGTTCATCAGTATAGCCCGTCTCGCAGTTTCTCGTCCAGACAAACGACACAGGGTCATTGAACGTACCAGGAGCAGTGCGCCAGCGTAGTCGATCCGGCGCAGCTTGTCGACCACAGTTGCGTCCTTGGAGCCCTTCGCTCCACCAGACTCAAAAGTGCTTGGAATACTGAGAAAGACGCCGGCCCCTGCGATCAGAGCCAACGGCACCTGTATACCGAACAAGAAGCGCTGTGAAGAGGCACTCGTGTTAGCGTTCTTACTGACCACAAGTGACGGAGCGCATTGGGCCGAATTTCCGACGGAACGTGTGAAGGGTAGACTTGAGGCAGCAAGCAGGACGTACCCAGCCTGGATGATCAATGAGCGCTCCGTAGACCACGGCACCAAGACTGATGCCAGTTGTGAAACCTGCATTGATGAGGCCCATGAAGATGCCACGTCTTCTCTTGCTTACAAGCTCGAGTACGAGGATAAAAGGAACCACCATGACGGCGCTGCCGCCGACGCCGGTGATCATCCGACCAACCAGGAACACGGTCAGCGTGGGAGCCTGGGATGCTATCGCCTGGCCTAGTATCGGAGCAGTGTCAGTCGTGAGGACTTGAAGAACGTGAAGGCGAAGCCATGACTTACCAATGGCGATCAGAACAGCGGAAGCCACTACCATTGTTCGTGGAGAGAAGATGGAGGACAATCGACCCATGACTGGGGCGCAGCTAGAAAAGGAGACGAGGTAGATGGTCGTCATCCACATGGCGTTCTCGTATGCATCAAGATCTCCTGCGATGCGAGACTGAGCCATGGTCATACCACTCGCGTTTGAGGCTGGTCCCAAGGTCAGCTCCATGCAAGCAAACGGGCGTGCTGTGCGCACTTTGGTGAGGCACTAAGAACACGAACCTTGAAGGAATATCAAAAGGTAGACGCTGAGGATGATGGCCACAGCTCGGCCCCTGCTGACGATCTGGTTTGGAACATCAAGGTCCTTGTCGAGTCCGCCTTGGCCATTGTCCGGGACTGACGACCGGCTGCTGACTGGGCGCGAGGTAGCGGTTGAGCGAAGGAGAGGTGTTGCTTCCGTCGTCGAGGCCCCCTCCTCGTCTCTCCAGGACTCATTCTGAGTAGCCGACATGGCGGGAGGACTGCCGGCCGCAGTATGCGAAGCCGCGGTGATGATGCCTTGGGTTGTGTAGATGCTGCTGCGAGATGCCCAGTGTTTTTGGGCTTGGCGTGACTGCTGGTAGCACAAGCTGCAGCCCCGAGGTGATTGGCCCGCTGTGCTGGGGATTGCCCTTTCCGTACAACGCCTACAATCGCAAGAGAAAGGCGGAGAGAGACAGAGACAGCTCGATTGAACCCTTGACTACCTGCCCAGGTATACTTGGCCTTCAGAATTGTGCACGCGGTAGTTCCAGCATGGAGAGGACGATGACCGCCATGTGCCCGGGACCTCGGGGGCTTCGGGGATCCTCAAGCAGATGTATCAGATAGCGGCTTTGTAAGCCGCTCCGGCACCGTCCAAGCAGGGATCTAGCACTCGCGCCATATCTCCGCATCAGCACTGTATCGACACGCTCTTCCATTCGCGGGCCTACAGTAGGCCGACATTTTAGCATTCGAAGGCCCTTCGCTCTCTCATGGTATCTCGGCCCATGCAATTCTTTCCAGTGAATGCTCGGTAGTAATCCTGCTTGGGAATGGACCACCACGACCTCTGCCAGAGTGGCAAGGGATGGTACGCGTATGCTGCAACATCGACTTGCTCACACAGAAGCATCAGTTGCTCTAGCCTTTGCATGTTCACCTCGAAGCATGCTACCAATGAGGCTACTTGATCGCTTAACAATGGGCATCGAGCCTTCGAGGCCATTACCTTGTCCGAAGGCGGGCGTCATCTGGTGCTGGAATACAGTGCAGGCCGTGTCAGTGAGAATATTATTACTGTGCCCGTAATGCTGGGCTGAGGTCATGGTTTGGGACAGTCTGAACAATTTCGTCCACTGCTGGGTAGCAGGAGCCTGCCGGCCCAGCCAATGAGCGGCGCCATTTTGCTGCTTAGCGGTGCCGGCGGCGAAAAGCAGCGCATCGACAACGTCAAGACAGCTCTAGCCTCGCAGACCGAGTCGGGATTTCGCGTGGACGAGTCGAGCACATCGCCAACGACGACTACTCCGCCGGGCCGCTCTCAGCAGACCTTCTGACCTCAACACTTGCTGCCTCATCGCCAACCGCCGACTGTGTCGCCGCCCGATTGAACCATGTTGGCTAGCAGGAGAGCTGCCGCGCTGGCTCTGCGAGGTGAGCTACCCCGATCCTGACGACGACACCTCTCGATTCCGCGATGTTTTCCCACGATTGCCACCCCGCGGCTTACTCTGAGCATGCGCCACATGCTCGCGAATCGACACACCAGCCCTCAAGATCATTTTCGCTGACAATGCCCCTCGACTATAGCCAAGCCCGCGAGCTCCCACATCGTCCCCTTCCAGTCTGTCGCCTCAATCGCCACATCATCAAAGAAGGATGCGACCTCGGTGACGACACACAGCAGCACCGGCATGACCAAGCCGCGCCGTGAGGTGCCTCTGCCTAGCGACCCTCAGAACAAGAGCGCCGTCCAGTTCGCCCTGTACGTGATTGGATCTTCTTGATATATACTAAGATGTGCGGGAAAGCGAACGAGCACAACCTGCTGACTCTCAATAATAATGCAGCACCACCCTCGATCAAGTTGCCAACTGGGCGCGGCAGTCGTCCCTCTGGCCCATGACTTTCGGTCTCGCCTGCTGCGCCGTCGAAATGATGCACCTGTCGACACCACGATACGATCAGGACAGGCTGGGAATCATTTTCCGTGCCTCGCCTCGCCAGTCCGACGTCATGATTGTCGCCGGCACTCTCACCAACAAGATGGCGCCCGCGCTGCGCCAAGTCTACGATCAGATGCCCGACCCCCGCTGGGTCGTCTCCATGGGCAGCTGCGCCAACGGCGGCGGCTACTACCACTACAGCTACAGCGTCGTCCGCGGCTGCGACCGCATCGTGCCCGTCGATATCTACGTCCCGGGTTGCCCGCCTACCTCCGAGGCGCTTATGTACGGCATCTTCCAGCTCCAGCGCAAGATGCGCAACACCAAGATCACCCGGATGTGGTACAGGAAGTAGACGGCTGTTGGTAACTCTGGGGGATGTTGGGAGGACATTGCTGCGTACATCCTCACGGGTGTAGATGCAGTTGATGGATGGGCTCGAGAAGCGGCACTTGGCGTGAAAAGGCGTCTACGGACGGGACACGTTTCTTTTGTCCATGTATTGATGTACATATCTCGGTTACTGCACAGTCGAATGAGCAAAGACACGACTTGCCAATGCTGAGGTCCACGAGAAGCACAAGTGATGGGCCGCTGCTTTTCTTTCACACCAGTACTGTACATGCACTTCGTTTGCATTTAGCCTTACGCCTTGAACTCTGCATGGGTATTACACAACGTTCTGCGCAACCACGACTTTGTGCTCTCGACTTGTTCATACACGTGCCGGCAGCTTTCAGGCCTCCGTTCCATCGGCATCTACGCATCCCAAGACTGCGTGCGATGAATGCCACAACCCCCCCCCCCCCCCTCCCGCCATTTCACATAAGGTCGCAATAAATTTCTTAGGCAGGATATACATCACGCCATGTCGTCAATCCAGTCGGCGGGAGCTCAACTCGTCACCTGTGCCTCTCGGGTGCAATTGACATAGCCGAGAGTCTTGAATTGTGGTTACGTTGAGGGATGTTTACGTCACATGGCCATGCTCTGCCAGCCATGTGTATGTGATTTCTAGGTTGAGCCATGCGGCCGAGATGTCGGTCACACCCCACGGGCATCGAAGTACGTGGCGTCCAGTAAGAAAAGACGGCGGAAACCTGGTGCCTCGGCGTGCTGCCGCTGTCTTGCCGAGTGGGCACTTTGCTTCCCTGCCGCGTTGTGAACGAACTCGTGTGTTCGGCAGCCATGCCATGAGGAAGCAATGCAGAAGGGTCAAACATGAGGGCTGTTGCCAGGTGAACTAAGCTGGTCGAACGGACCCTAGGATGGAGCGACATCGAGAGAAAACGCCTACTACAGCTTCAAGTAACACCACGATACACTCTACGTTCAAGGCCAGCGAAAGCCTGATTTCACACCATGCGCAGACTGGGAGCTCTTCAAAGAAGGCTTGATTATAAATGCCAAACAATTCTCTTTATGTATTGCCCAGAATGTTGAGGGGGGGGACAATGTCGCGTCGTGGTTGACACCGTGAGACTAGGTGGGGCCTGCCTTGTGACGGCTTGATCACGTTCGGGATATGCTGGGGCTGACACGGCTCTGACGAATTTCCACGTTGCGACAGAAGGCATGTACGGCTTCTTCGGGTTAGGAGCCACCACCGGATTATGCAGTGCCACGGCGGACATGATTGGGCCAGGTGCAACTCCTCAGAAGCACCAACCAGGTCCTCGTCCTGTGGCAACTCCAAGCTGGAGGTCCAAAGGACTTGGTTTCCTCCCGTGGAATCATGAAAGCCTTACGAGATCACATGCCGCGCCTCTGACCGCACGGGTGACCAGCAATGCCTTTGGGGACTGAACGAGCGCGATGATGGTTCTTGGGAGGAGGCTCTGGGCGTGATGTGAGGCTCTGGGATTGCGCTGTGCTGGGTGTGGCTGGCCTAGGTCGGGGGGCCTAGTCTAGTGCACCCCCCCTGGCTGGATGCCGCCGCCAGCAGAATCACGAGTATTTAATAACAATCAGGCGGTCCCCTGGTCCCTGATCGTCTCATCTCGCAGCAGCAGGCCGCTAAGCCGGATCTGGGCCTGGCCTGACCAGCGGGAGCCAATGGGCGGGCTTGCTAGCGACCCCGGCTGCGTGCTTGGCTGCAATTTATGGTGGATAGCTTCGTTTTTCCATGTTGGGGGCGAGCGACACGGCGACACGGGCACACACGAATCCTCGAGGTCGTCCATATGTAACGTACGGAGGTAGAGTTTTTGTAATCTGCATGGGGCGGCCCGGGCAGCGGAGGAAATGGCACGCTCGGGCAGTTGGCCCTGGAGATGAGACATGCCTGGCCGCCGGGCCATGCCAGCGCTGCACGAAAAGACCTTGGCGGGCATGTGGTGGCCCGTCGCCAGTGAGCTGCACAGGGGCTGGCCGGCCGGGAGCTGCATGGATGCCAATGTCCGGCGCGCCAGGCCGGGCCCGCGATGCTACACTGCACCGTTAGCTGCTGGCGACCGTGTCGTGTATCAATCAACAATATGGGCAGCCAGCGCCAGACTTTCTTCTGCCGCTGCGGTGCATGTGCTCGAGCCTCCATCGTGGCCCAGCCGGCCAGCACCACACGCACCATGCCCGATCGAGGCGCCCGGCCCCATCCACGGCTCGTGCCTTCCTGGCTCCAGCTCCAGCTCCAGCTCTCTTCTCTGAATGCCCTCTCTCCTCTCCTCTCCTACTCTTCCTCTTCCTCCTCTTTCCCTTTCTCTCGCCGACCGTCCTCGTCCTGCAAGCTGCCGCCCGTCTGCTGCCATTCGCTTTTGCATATACTACTGCATCTAATAATCCGCCCCCGGGTCCATATACGAGCTCTTGCATAATACCGTCTCTCTCTACCGGACTACATTTAGCCCAACACCACACCGCGTCCAACACGACCACCAGGCCAGACAAGTCCAACAGCTAATACCTACTTAATCACGTCTCCACCACACTCCTCTACTGCCAAAATGAAGACCACCACCTTTGCCGCCGCCGCCCTCTTCGCGGCCAGCTCCGCCTCGGCTGCCACCAGCACCTGCCCCGGCATCAACATCCTCGAGGCCTGTCTCGAGACCACCCAGGGCTACCTCTCCCTCTGCACCAACCAGGGCGACTGGCAGTGCCTCTGTGACAAGTGGACCGCCATTGTCAGGTATGTCCTTTAGGCTCGCAAGGATTCAAGTCCCTGAGTGATCCGCTTGGCTAACATGACATGATGTCTGCAACAGCTGCTTTGACAACTGCCCTACCGACTCTCGCGCCTCCAGCTTTGGCAACAACAAGCAGCTCTACTGGTAAGTCAAACGTGGAGTACTACTGCAACCCATTGTCGAGCTCAAGACTAACCACCCACCTTGACAGCCTGAACGCCAGCCTCTACGCCACCACCACCTCCGTCGCCGTGCCCACCGGCACTCAGTCCTCCGGCTCAAACGCCGCCCAGACCACCTCGGCCTCCGGAGTGCAGCAGACCTCGGCCTCGGCCTCGACCAGCTCCACCGTCCCCAGCCCTACCGGCGCCCCCGGCGCTGCTGCCAACCTCGCCGTTAGTGCGGGTGGTATCCTGGCTGCCGTTGCTGCTGTTGTCGCCGCTGTGTTGTAGAGTATCGGCCATGGGTTTTCTATTGCCTTAAAGAGCGATGTTTTCTATTGGTCGAGCGCGTTGCGTATTGATTCGCTAATGAGTGATGGCTGCCTCGGAGTATGATGGGGAGTGAGGCTGTGATTCTTGGACATATTAGCACAAATACAGCGACTCTTTGGTAATGGCTTGACGCGAGTATGGATCGTCGATTACGAGGTGTGACTTGGTCTTCGTCCGCACAAGTCTGCGGCTCACGAGGTCGTGTGGCGTTGGGCGCAGTGAAACGTGGAGACGACAGCCGTAAGTGGCGGCCAAGATCGCGAGGACGCCTTCCCACGGGTTCAAGAAATCTTGTGAGCACGGACTCAGCCGCCTCAAGGCAAAGATAGGTTCGAATCCTCTCATGTTCATGATCCGACTGACAACTGTAATTTCAACGAGAGGGACTTGCCTTTCGAGGTCATTATGCCGACATATCCTGTCCCGTCAATCCACACATAGCGTTCATATGGCAGCTGTGCAAAGTACGCATAGCCGTCCGTCGGCCATGTTCGACCGCCTGGCCGGCTCCTCCACGTCCCGCGCATCGGCTGTCATGCAGGAGCACACACCATGACCACCATTTTCAGCACCACCATCGCGACCTACTCAATCACTATCTCCACCTAGCTTAAGCCAGACCAGACGCCAAACGTCCCCCTACCTGGTAACTGCCATCTGCATCAATATTTCCCAGCACTGCTGAAGGAACTGCAACTACAGGTAAATCTTTCGGTCGCTACGGCGCCGTACTGACTCGGGAGCCCCTGAGCTAGCTCTCGTCCACAACGACGGGGACACGCAAGGCGAGTACCAAGTGCAACATATCAATCATGATGGGCTGGTTGCAGTTGTCTCCCTGGTGTGAAAACGTGAGTAGTCGCGTGAGGCATGGTGAAAGGCGAAAGTCTGAAGAATGGATGGTTCTTGTCTATATTGTGCGATATCATGTGCCTCCGTAATCGCAGGCCTCTGCACAGAGCTGAAGCTAACTTCTCGCCCACTTGGGCATAATTTGTCCGCTTCCAGGAGCATGTTTATACGTTTCCAGTATAGCTTTCTTAGGTAACTTATTGCTTTTCTGTACTCGTCCCTCGCCAGCTGACATGTCCAGGACCGGGTGACAAGCTTGACAGCGGGAGAATGCCCCCCGCCCCAGCCACAATACCTCGAAGTGACTGAAGCAGCTTATCCCCCCAAGATACCTGCTCGCGAACGTCCTTCTCGGCCCCATCACCACTGCCATCACCACTGCGATCACCACTGCCATCACCACTGCGATCACCACTGCCACCACCACTGCCACCACCGCCATGACTAGTACCACCACCCCCGCCGATCCCCATCCTCCTCTCGTCCTCAAGCACACGTCCAAGCGTGCTGGTATTGACATTGGCCACGTGATCCCGTCCAGCGCCACCACCACTACCACCACTACTAGCCGTGAACGCCGCAGAAGTCAAGCTCGCACCCGCGGACGCGGACGCACGGCGGCGATGGTCTCCGCGCGTGCAGGCGTCGCAGCAGACTTTGTCGTCGTCGTCGCCGTTGCGAGTCGACGTTCCTGCGGGGAGGAGAGCTCCGCAGGCGCACCAGCATATGCAGCATGCCGGGTCCATAACCTTGTTCTTCTTCGCCTTCGCTTTCGCGTTGCACGTGGGCGTAGTAGTAGTCTACGGGTTTCGTAAAAAAACCGAGGGGTTGGTACAAATCTGGGGGGTTGTGTGTGTCGATGTGGATGGTATGAGCCAAAAGGAGGGAGGAAGCGCGCTTGTTTCGATTAATCCCGAATATTTTTGCCCAGGCTGGCCGTCGTTCGGGGAAAAAGGGGGGTGTTAGGTAAATAGGGCAGGACAAAGGATTGTATGAACTCTTAAGAGGCCTTGGACACCATTTGTATTGGAGTCTTACTTTTCGAGGATTGTTGTAAAACGACGCAGACGGGCGACGTTCAGTCTGAGTTGCATAGGGTGCAGCATGAGACTGTCTTGATAGTCGAAAGTGACCCAGTGGTGATGTCAAAACGGAGCTCCGAGTGTCGTGATAGATGATGACTTGCGTCGACGCATATCCTGACTAACTCACTCGTTGGCTGCACTGCTCAAAGGATGATGTGTTTATAAGATTCGGAGGACTGCAAAGTTTTGACACACACATTTGAAGTGGTCTCGCACAATGACGGGCCTTGTGGTCACGCATACCCCAAGAGACTCTGCATGACAGACGAGCGAGAAAGCCGCCTTGTTCTGTCTGACACACATAGCCGCAAGCAACAATGGAACTAGTGATCCGTTAATATTGGTATAATGTTGTATAGATGTATATATATTTACATATAAAAAGCAACACTCTCTCCACTACCAAGAAAAAAGAAAAAAAAAGCTTCACAGCTTCCCCTTTAATCCCCTGGCCAAACCGCCCTTGCCCTGCTGCTGCTGCTCCTCCTCCAGCGCCAAGCCACGCCGTATCTCCTCAAACACGGCCAGACCTTTGGCCCCGAGCGCAGTGCCCACGCCCACGGCCGAGGCCCCGACGCTGCGCATCCGGCGGTAGCCCGCCGCGTCCTCGACACCGCCGATGCCGATGACGCCGACGTGGCGGGTGCTGGGGTGCTCGTCGAGCAGCCTGCGCAGGGTGGCGACGTTGCCTAGGGCGAGCGGGTGGAGGGGCGCGCCGGCCATGCCGCCGATGCCTGCGCCGGGGAGGGCCGGTGATGATGTTGTCTGTGATGATGTCTGTGGAGACCCCAGCACGAGGCACGAGCCGAGCGTGTTTGTCGCCGTGACGAAGCTGACTGGGGACTTGGCATCGCCATTGCCATCACCGACGCGCAGGGCCGACATGAGCTGCGCAAACTGCCCGGCAAAGGTGTAGGGCGGCGTCTTGACCCCCCACGGCGGCGGCGGCGGCGGCGAAGCTGGGCTGCCCTCGAGCTCTGCGGTGACGGCGGCGACGGCGGAAATGTACTCGCGCAGGGCGTCGCCCGAGTACGCGGGCGGGGGCTTGTCGGGGATGTTTGGGCACGAGAGGTTGACTTCCATGGCGAGGCGTGCGGACGAGGAAGAAGGGCTCAGCTTGTCCTGTAACCTTGCGATGCGGCGGTAGCACTCTGCAACGTCACTCGGGGAGCCGGTGACGGAGACGATGAACCATTTGGACTTTTTGCTGCCGGGCAATGGTGGTGATGATGATGACGATGATGGCTTGGGCTCTGTGGTGGTGACAATGTCGGCAATGAAGCCGAGGTACTCGTCGAGGGTGTGGTAGCTGTAGCCCAGGGTGTTCAGACTCGCGTTCATCCCGCCGGACTCGATGGTACTGCTACCACTGCTACTACTCTCACCAGCAGCAGCCGAGACCCTCTCGCGGTCCGAACTGGCACTGACACTGCCAAACCGGGCGGCGTCAAACAGGCAGAAGCGGTGCCGCTGGCCGTCGTGGGCAAAACCGCCGAGCAGGGCGGTGCGCGTCGTGACGGCCCCCGTGTGCGGGCACGCCCACAGCTCCCGCAGGTCCGACAGCGTCGTCGCCCACGGGTTCGCAGAGTTGAGCAGCGGCGGCGAAATGTCCATCATCATCCTCGGTCGTCCGTCGCAGAGAGCAGAGAGCAGAGATCAGAGATCAGAGGGACACGATACTTGCAGTCGGAATACAGAAAAAGAATGAAAGACAGTGTTTGGTTGGGAGTCGGTTTAATCACAAAACAAATGGCACCATGTCCTCCCCAGAGATCATTCGTTGTTGGTATTAGTGCCCACGGCAGCCGGGCCCGCTCCGACGGGCAGAGAGAGAGATAAGGGAGACAGACAAAGAGAGGCACGGCCACCGCCACGGGTCCGGCGTGTCCCACCTGGCCGGCTCATCACGGCCAGAGAGATAGAGAGAGAGAAGAGAGAGAGAGAGAGAGAGTACGTCAACTCTCCCTACATCACCTGCAATTCGAGCAACAGCCCAGCTCTTCATCCGCCCCCACAGTCTTGTAAAGGTGCACGCATTCTCTCACAACCACAGCTGTACTGACAGTCCTCACACTCACATAACTCGGCAACCACCAGCCCCGACCTCGGGGGGAGTGGCACCTTCCCTGGCCGTCCCCCAGTCGACGACCCCACCTTCTCCGATTCTCCGCTTCCACAGCCGCTCCGTCGGGCTCGGCCACCCTGCGATAAGCCGTCGCCCTTCCATGACAATCAGTCATTCCCCAGATGTTCCAGTCGGTCGGCGACATTTGTTGGCCTCTCTGCAAAGGGCAAAAACTAATGATAGGAATGCATGCTCGCTGAATATATATTCTGCTCTAGTTCTGGCCCACAGTACTCCGTGCAAGCACAAGTCCACATGCTACTGTAGCTCGGCCGTGTGTTTATATAGATAGATGCCGCTTCTTGGGTAACCATAATCATCCCCAATGGCATTTGCGATGACAGCAACTCATGAGCGCCTCTCAGCCCGTCCGCCGACTTCCAGTGCTCATCAGCGTAATCTTCTGCTTCTTCTTCTTCTTGCCGCCGCCGCTGCCTCCACCAACCCCACCGCCGCCGCCGCCGCTACTGCTCGCCTGCTCGGATTTAGGCATCTCCAAACCCATCGCCTCCATCTGCAGCGCTATCTCGGCCGCCCCGAAAATGTCGTCGTCCTTGAGCCACCCATCGTCAACCGCCCGCACCGGCTCGAGACTCGGAGACACCGGCAGCGCCGTCGTACCCCACACCGTCCGGGCCGTAGACGGGCTCGTCGACATCGACGCCAGCTGCTCAAATCCAGGCCGGGGATTAGGCGGCGTCGTTCCACTTGGGGTCCCCAGCGGCGCAAAATCTTCCGACTTCAGGACTGTCGGGACCTCCTCAAAGTGGTGCCCCTGCGAATTTTCAAAGTGCCGTCTCGTGCCACGCCCAATGGCTGCCGCCTCAAGCCTCTCTGCCTGCAGCCGCTCCCGGTCCTCTTGCGCCGTCTTGTCCCGGTGAGACTTGCGTCGCCGCTCAAGCTCTCCAGCAAATGTCTCGAGGATCTCAGGCGGCACAATCTCCGCCCAGTCGCACTCCAGAAAACTCACCACGCAGCCCTGCGGCAGGTGGCCCAGATATTTGGCTCGCTTCCTAAGGAAGTCGTCCACCACGTGGCCGGTCGAGATGTGCTCCACCCGCGGTAGCAGCGTCGTTGGGAAGTTTGAAAAGTCGCCAAACTTGGTCTTGAGAATCCTGATGTCGAGTGGCGCGAGGTACAGGTGTGGTGGTGCCGTATAAAAATGAAACTGCTGGCTGGCGGCACGCTTGCCCTTGCCTGCCTCCGCCTCACTGCTCAAAGGTAGCGTGATGTCCATGGGCTCATTCTTGAACTTCTCTCGGGCTGTGCTAATCGCCTTGATGGCACGCTGTGTCCACTCGCCATCCTCAATCCCGAACTGATATTCGTCTTCGACCGCTTGCCGTTTCAAGTCGTCGACCTCTCGGTCAAACTGTTCCAGCACGTAATCGTTTGTGCCCTTCATGATCCGTGCATAGTCCAACACATTTGCTGCAAAGTGCCACGGAATCTCGCTGCTTCGGTTGAGCACGTCAGCCGCTCCTTCTTTGGGAAGTGCGAGCGTTGATCCTGCCTCTCGGACCATTAGACGCAGCACAACGTCTTCTCCTGGTCGTGGTAGCGGGCTCTCCTGGCCGTGGTAGAAGCGGACTTGTTTTGTCTCTGACAACCGGAACGAGTCTTCACAGATGGGACATTTCTTCCACTTGGCCTCTTTCCGCACATTGTGCGCCTCGTCGTCACTGGTCGAGCTCATGAACCGCAAAAGACAAGGCAGGCAAAAGATGTGACCACAGTGTGCCATCCTGGGCGCCACGGGATCGGATAGACATATTGGGCATGCTGTCGTCTGGGACTCGGCCGAGGCAATTATCTGGAGGACGTTGGACCAGTCGAGGTGCTTGTCGGCGTCGCTCGCCTGGGAGGCATAGCTGCCATTCGGATCCACGACGAATCGGTAGTTTGCGTGTACAAATCTGGGGCGGAAAAGTTTCAGGTCAGTTGAAGAGCAGGCCAGGAACAGTTCAGCATGAGCAGTACGCACCTGGCCTTGTCGACAGTATGGTACCCAGAGCCTGGGTACGCGGGATGCCGCCGATTCGTTCGGGAGTGGTGGTGTAGTTCTTGGACGTGTCGTAACGGTGCCGAGTAGTCTAGAAGATGGGTGATGGAAGTTTGCCCTCGTCGGCTCGATGCTTTTTGGACAGCTCTCTGCCCAGTGACGATGCCTTGTTAGCGGAGTGCTTAGTGGTAGTCTTGCAAGAGATGAGCTTCAAACTCACAAGCTCGGCCATGGCGTCATCCTCGTCCGGCTGATCGTAAGCTCGGAGAGGTCGCCGCTGATTGCGATGCTGCTTCCGCAAGCCTTGTCCTTTACGAGGGGTCGGTGCAGCGAGGGAAGAATTCGAGAGCCCGCTCGATCGACGGGAGCTGGAATCGAAGCCCGACGAAGGGACAGAGATGGGCTGTGAGCTGCTCGAGTACGACGGGCTGGGGGCAGGAAGCGACTTGGCTCCCGGGTTCGTTGGACCAGAGCTCATGGTGACCTCTCGCTTGGCTCGAGAGGATGCTGAATCCGGATACAGTGATATTTTGCAGAAGCTCAAAGCAAGCTACGGTCTGGACGGATTACAGATGCAGACTTCTTTCTGTGCAGGCATGCCTCGGCGGCCTTTGATGGGATGTGGTGAAGGATCGGGTGGGCCGATGGTGCGGAGTGGTGACTCGCAGTCACAAAGGACTGTCGTAGCTGGAGGACATGGACGGGCTAAGCTTCGAGGCCGCTGAACTGGCCGAGTCGAGAATGTGCCGTGTACGAGCTGATCGTGAAAGTATAGGAAGTGTTGAACTGTGCACAGAGACGAGTCCCCGGATGGCCAGACCCTGCTGGGGACATGCAGGCAAAAGACAGGAAGAAGGCGAGGCCGAAGTGAAAACGGAGCGGCGACAACGGACCATGCGGCGATAGGTAGAGGCCATGCGTGCAAGCGCAGGCACTCGATTGGGCGGGGCTCGACTCGGGACCCTCTGCAGGTGTCGCGGCGGGTCGAAGAGTCATCTGGTGGGGACCAGACTCCTTTGTATCTCATGCCCCAAGCACAGTGGTAGAGTACAACCGTGTCAGCCACTTGGCGCTGGCCCCGGGGTTCCCCGCCCTTTTCTGTCCTCTCTCCGTCATCCGTCATCCATCAGCTGGCATGCGAGTGTGGCACAATCATAATTACCTAGGCACATTATGCAGGCAGCGTCACGATGGTGTCTTGAGGCGCAAGCCCGGACGAGCAATTGCCTTGGCTGCGGCCTGCTCATGGCGACAAGAGGCTTTTGCGATACGGCAGTGTGAATTTCATGTCGTCTTTTCGAGTCTGCCACTGATCACCTATGCATGACCGATGGCAGTGTCCGACCCAACAAACAAGCTTGACTAGCGTTGTGCCGCAAGCTGACCGAGGCTGTCCTCGACGTGAAGCAAATCATTCCACAACTAAACTTGCAAGACACACGGAAAATTGAGCGGTCCAATGTATTCCAATCACATTCAACCGCGGGGGGTATGTTGCTGACGAAAACAGGGTATTATATACTCATTACGTGGCTGCCGCGCCACATCAAAGGTCTGCGTTCTCCAGCCAGCACCTTCAGCAAAGGGTATCCCGACATCTCGCACCACTCTCCGCCTTCGAACCAAAACTCATTAACGACGCAGTGCGTCCTTACTTCGCCTTGCTCTTAAGCTTGCTGATGAAGGCGCTCAGGCGGTTCTTCTTCTTCTTCTCAGTCGTGGTCGTGCTCTCGGCAGGCGTGCTGCTGGTAGAGGCAGGAGCCGCGGCAGGCTTGGCCGGCGTCGTGGGGTCAGCAGCCGGGGCGGCGGTCGTGGTGCCGTTGGGGTCGGCCTTGGCAGCAACAGCCTTGGCCTCCTCAGCTGTGGTGGCGGTGGCAGTAGCCTCGAGAGTAGTCGCGTCAACAGCGGCGGGGGTGCTCTCGGCGGGCTTGACGGGCTCGGGGACGACCGGAGCAGCCTTCTCCTCAGCAGCAGGCGCAGAAGTCTCACCGGCCGAAACCTCGGCAGGCTTGACCTCCTTGAGCAGCTCCTGCTCCACAGCCTTCTTCTCCACAACAGCCTCAGTGTTGGCAGCAGCCTCGGGGCTCTTGCCAGCCTCGACAATCGACTCCTTGACCTCAGCTGGGACCTCGGGTGAGACCTCCTGGATGGTCTCCTCCTTGGTGGCACCGCCAATCTGCTCCTGCACAGAGACAGGCAGCTGCTCCTTGACAGACTCGGGAAGCTTGGCAGCCTGATCGGCAACGGTCGCTTGCGCTGTGGCGGCGGCGGGAGCAGCATTCTCGACGACGGCGTCCTTGGCGGCAATTACCGCAGCAGCGGCAGCAGCGCCAATAGCTGTGGCAGCAGCAGCAACGGATGCGGCAGCCTCTCCTGCAGTGACAGTGGATTCGGTCTTCTCAGTGCCCTTGCCGGCGGTGCCCTCGGAAGTGGAAGGGGCCTCCTCGACCTTGGCGAGCAGCTCGCTCTCCACTGCGGCCTTCTCCTGAACCTCGGCAGGGATGGCGCTGGCCTCAGGCTCAGCATTGGCCTTCTCCTGGCTCTCCTTGACAACCTCGGGGACCTTGGCCTCTAGGGGGACCTGGCCGGCGAGCTCGGCCGTGGTGGAAGTGGGAGCAGCAGATGAAGTAAAGGCAGAAACGCCACCTAGAAACCCATGAGTAAATTGAAGATGTTGGGCAAACGTGGAATGGCTACCTGGAAGAGTGTCGGCCTTCTCGTAAGACTCCGGGTCGAGTCTGACATTGTCTGTAGTGCTTGCAGCAGTGAGATCCTCGGGAATCTTCTCGCCAGGCGCCAACGTGATTGGGTTCACAGCACCAGCCGCGGCAGGCAAGGGGTTGATTCCAATCTCCTGCTTCTCGAGATCCGCGGCGGGAGTCTCGGGGAAGGCGCCGGGCAGATCAGCCGAATCGCTGCTCTTGTTCTTCTCAAGAGGAACGTCACCAGCCAATGCGGCGGTGGTGGACTCAGGGGCAGCAGAGCTCATGATGGCAGAGGTAGCGGGGGCGGCTGCAGAAGTGGTAATGCGCTCGGGAGTCAGGACGTTGTTCTCGTTGCCGCTTTCGTCGGTCTCCTTAGGGGCGGTATGATCTGTGACCCAGTTTCCGTCGACGACGAACTATGTGGGAAAGTCAGCTTCTGGCAAAGGCCTTGAATGCGAAAAATCTGTAGTGTTTGCTTGGGAAACTGCGTGTGGTAGGAGAAAGCCTGGAGGAACTGCGCCGACCGCAAGTGCGGGGGTGACGACCGGTTGTTATGCTCGTGCGCCAGGCGCTACGGAAGCCTGACAGCAACTTTCAGGTCACCGCCCCGGCCTCCTCGTGTGGATGCGACCAAGGCTGATGTCATGACCGGGGGTTGTTGGTACCAGGGCAGGACCCCAGTCTGTGCTGCCATTATACCAATTGAGCCGGCGAGAACGGCACAGCTCAATCACTGCTGACGGCTAGGTATCCTGGGACAAAAAATGCAAGGGGCCGGGAGCTGGAAGATCGTGGCTGGCGTCTGCTTAGTTGCCTGGGCTAGTGTAGTGAGCCGGCGCCAGTCCTAGCTCGTCGCTCGAGTTGCGCCCACTTGGGTCACGAGATAGCTCTCCGCAATTCTCCAAGCTTTTTGACTGGCAAGGGCGCCACTTTCGAAGCTGTCTTTTGTGGGTGCTGCGACCTCGCGAGGCTGGCCAAGCGTCGCGGTATGCCTCGTTCAAGGACGAGCCTCATGCTTGCAAGACTCGAGATCCAGAAAGGCGGGGACGGCGCGAAAGAGAGAGTGGAGACCCCAGCGAGCGAAGGAACACTTCAAGATCGGCCAGTCCCAACAGGCTCATATGCGGGCACGCGTGCTCTTGAGACCAATTCCTCGGCGCACCTATGGAGCACCTGGTGATGGCTAGTCTCTTCGACCTCTGCGCTGTCGCCGGCGTCCACAGGCACATTGCAACCAGTAGGAGCTTGCTCATGGGACAGAGTGTTGCTCGAACCTGGTTGGAGCCGCCATCTTCGAGCCGAATGCAATGGGCACTGAAAGAGGTTCGCCTAAAAAGAAAGAAAGAAAAAAAGGGCCGAAGGAGTGTTGGCCACACCAGGCAGAGGGGAGCATCACGAACCTTGTAGAAGATCTTCTGGGAGGCATCGCTGAGGGTGACGTTCTTCTCAAAATGCTCGCCGACCTTGTTGAGCTGCTCCGTCTTCTTCCAATCGTCAAAGGTTCCGGTGACGTACACCTCGGAGGCGGGGTGCTCCCTAGAATGCAGGAATGCCAGCGGTCAGTCGCGAGTCCACAAAGAAAATGAAAATCATGTGCGGCCAGGCAGCCCCAAGATCGCCCATCGCGCTGACCACCGCAGGAGCCAAGATGATCGAGGTGCGACCATTGCAGGAGTTCCCGCCGCACGGGCTGCTGTTGCAGCTCGTAGGTCCGGGGAATGGCTCGAGCAGGGCCCAAGCAGTCAGCTCAGCGAGCTTGAGGACGATGCTCTCTCCAGAAGGGCGAATGGGAGACGAGAGGGTGAAACATGACGGGCCGGTGCCAGCAGCTCGATCCTCCTCGACGAGGAGCAGCAATGGGTTGAGCAGCGTTGACTTTGAGCTGAAACGTGAAGTCGATGCGTTGGGGCCGGTGGTAGCGCACAAGACCGAGACAAGAGCAGGAACTCACCACTTGAAGACAAAGGTACCCATGGTGATGAGGCCGGATCGCGGTGCGGACGAGGCTGTGGAGGACGAGAACAGCGTGCAATCGGAGGGGACGGGCGAAGAACTAGAGATACAGGAGAGGACTGGACGGGTGGCAGGAGGTAAATACGAAGTCCCGGGAAGCACTGGGCGAGAGGATCCGTGTCGTGGGCGCCGGCCGGGCAGAGCAGAGAGATGCGAAATTGGGCGGCTGGCGCATGCAGAGTGGAAGGCGGTGGAAGGCGCCGGCCAGTCCCATGTTGAGAGCTGCAAGCTGCGCCCACGCCCCACGGAGCCTCTGCAGAACCAGCCTGGGCAATCTCCACCCACGCCGCGCCGCCCGGCTAGCTAAGGTACGAACCTAGCGGACGGTGACGACAGGTCCCGGTCCAGACCAACGCTGGGTGAGGGTCGCGATCCAGCCGCGCTACCAACAGCCGCCTCGGCTCTAGCCTCGAGCTCTAATGATGATGGACAAATTTACTCGCAGCCAGGCTCCAACAAAGCAAGCGCATTCCCGCCAACGACTCACCTCGAGGCGCTTTAAGCTCAAGATGCGCAACAACGCACTCACCCACCCATCCATCCGCCTCTGCAAACAACGACGGTCAGCGATCCCCCAGCTCAGGATTCCTCTTTGGGCCGTCGCACGAACAAGGACGACCACACCCCTGGCCGGGGTCCCCTGAGCGTGCCGCTGACTTCGTTCCGGATGCGCCGCTTCGCCCACAGTTGGTCGCCACTTCTGCGAGCTCTCGTCTCATCGCTCTGCTTGTGCCGGTCTATCCAATTGACCACCATTTTTTTTTTCTTGTCCTTCTTGGAAGCAGGCCCACCACAGCTGTCGTCTGTTGATGGGGGCGGGTCGCGACCTGGCTAGTCTAGATGACGTCGCATACGCCTGGACCCATCCGTCTTGTCTCGGTGGCTGTCAAATTGCAACATTGCGCCTGCCTGTGTGCCGGTTGGGCCGCATCCGGTCAGCCCATCTCGCAAATCCGTCCGAGGGGGGGCTCCACGCCGGCGTCTGTCGTCCCTCTATCGACTTTTTTAAAACAATGGCAGCTCAATGTTCAATTCATCTGACCCGGGTCGGGTCTTGTCTTGTCCTGTCTAGTCTGAGCGGAACAGCTTGGCAACACCTCTAGATCAGTCGATGCGTGAGGGCTTCACTCATCTGCGAGCCATCATTGGGACCACCCCGGCGGACTGGCGGGCCATAAGGTTGGATCCTCGATTCGGCATCCATCCAGCGGCCAACAGCGTGGAATATGCAGCGTTGGACATGCACGTCGTCGCAGGCTGCAGCACCTCCTGTATGTCTCACCCATGCACAAGCATTCCGGCGCCGGCGCCCCCCCCCCCAGCGCCAAGCATCCCGGGACGACACAGGCAGACTGCTTCCTTCCAGGACGGGCAGAATCAGTCCCTCAACACCAAGACTGAGCAAACACAATAAGAAAGCTCGGCTGGGATACTGGTAAGGTCACACCCCCTCAAGACTTGCCTCTGCGTACTTCCATTGTGAAGCCGGCGTATGATGGGCTGGCACAACGCCCGCCCTCCGACATCAAGTCAATGGTCCAGAGAACCTTGGAAGGCCCACACCAGGCCTCTCTCCATATGACTGGCCCCGCATGCGTCGGAGCCCAGCACCACCCACACCTCTGTCCAGACAGGCGGCGAGGAATGCACGGACAACTCGTTCTCACTCACACCGCTGGAATGACTTACATGAACATGCTGGTGGTTTATCTCGCCTTCCCCTGAGAGTGCATGGTGCTCACCGTTGCGTGGCGCGCAGCATGTCTGAGTTGTTCAAAGAAGAACGAGTCCAACACAAGTCCCTGACTCATGCACAATGCCAACCCAGGCTGCTTCGCGCGGCTTCGCGATTCTGCGGCTACATGCGATTCGCGAAACACAACGCACCGCAATCTCACGATCCTCCAGAAACATGACGATGATAGCTTAGCAGCAATACTCTGGGGCGCAGTCCACTTCAGTGTGGTACAGAGCGAACCGATCATCAGAGTTCCAACCAAATGCATGTCGCATACATCAACCTGTTTAAATTGTCACCACTGCGTTGCCACCCATGTTCGAGAACTCAAAATGTTTGTACCAGGTTGCCGGCACGCGGCTTCATCGAGTAGTCTGTCTTGAGCCCCCCTCCCTCCTCCCCTCCCCCAATCCGTCGCCCTTGTCGACGAGACCGCTTCGATCGCGAGGGTGTTGCCAGTGCCATGGCAATGTGAGCGCTCATGCTGATGCCGCTAATTCCACTTCTGTCTCCGTTTCGTTTCATGCAACGCCGCCATGAGTCTGTGACTTCGATTCTGCAATAACGCCCCTTTTCTTGTGCCCCGAGGACCAAATGATGTCTTTCTGTCCTCAATCTGCAGTGCAAGTCAAATGACCAAAGTCCCAGGGCTCCTTGCGCAGCTACCGCTTTCCGACCTCGATGCAATGCAAGAAAAAACTGTAGAAGGGCAAGCTTTTGAAGAGAAATGAGATGAATCTATATGGTAGAAAGTCTTGTATATGCATGCCAGAAAAAGAATAAAGACGAGCCGTGGTACAGGAAATAATTATGCTGCCAGGGAAAAGGAACAATGCGTGAATCATCGCTCATGATGTAGAGAGAAAGTGTTTCGACCGACAAGAAAAAGAAGAAGAGTAATAATAGTAAGGGCATTAAACAAGAGGGGGGAACATGAAAAGGGGAAAATGCCAAATGTCTTGTATGCTTGCGAGAAGAGAAAGTGAAGCAAGCAAGAAAGAGGAGAACCATAACGCCGTCGAACACCACATCATGCCATTCCAAACGTCTAAGTGGGTGAAAAGGGGGAAAAGTAGGCAACACAGTTCCATGCACGGGAGCGCACATAGTCTCTCACTTGATTGACTATGCGCATGAAACAATTAACGCAGCTGCAGAACTACTGCGTGCTCCAGAGCGCCGGGAATCCACCATCCTGGAGCTTACTCAACACGTCGAGAGCATCATTGAGAAGCCCGTTCGTGCCACCAATAGCCTCGTTCTGAAGACGTAATCGAGCCAAAGCGACAATGCTGGATGCCACGCCGGCCGAGGGGAGGCACAACAGGTCGTCCGGGGAAGCCTTGGCTGCCTGACGTAGCCATTTTTGTGGTTGCTGCTCATCGACTGGACTAAGCGCGTTGGTTGGTCCCTGCGTGGTTCTTGCATGGCTCGAAACCGAAGTGGTCATTGCAGTTCGCTCGGCCTCGTGGCAAACAGCCCAGCAGATGAGCGCACACGCATATGTAGCCCAGTAGTCGGAGATCTTGTAGTTGACGACACCCTCAAAGGTACGCGCAAGCCTGGGTGACTGGCCTGACAAGCGCTGGGAGGTTTGGTGACTGTCCTCAGTAATCGCCGACGTGTTGTTGAGGTAGACATTATTATTAATCACGTGGCTGTGCTTCACAGCGTGAGAAGTCGCCGTGTGCGTATCATCGTTGCTGAGAGCTAGGAGCGAGCATAATGCCTTTGCGGCGAATTTGGCAGCGGTCCAGGCTTGCCGGCTCTGGCACCACAGTTGAAGCCGCGTCTTGTGTTTGTGGTATTGTTCCGTTGTGAGGACTTTAGTGGCGAAGATCCACGAGTCCCCGCTGACTGCAAGGAGATCGTGCAGAGGCGTGTAAGACAATGCTGTGTAAGTGCTTGCCATGGGCGACCAGGAAAACAGACGCTGCAATTCGCCAGAGGCACCCAGGTCGGCATAGGCTGGTTGGCTCAGTTCTTCTCGGCCACCCCGGGGCAACACACGAAGCACCTCGCCAGCTAGGTACACAGCTATATCCAAAGCAGGTGCGGCGGCAAGCTGATCAGCGGTAACGGAATCGACACAGGGGGAAAATCCGCGCGGCATAGTGCTATCCACAGAGACGGTAGCCAGCTCCCAGCTATCTGCCGTTGATGCCGCCCACTGCTGACACGTTTGCGCTGTCAAAGGAATCGGCGGAGAGGTAGGTGTGATTGGCTTGAGTAGTGGCTGCTCATAGAGAACGGAAGTGTTGACATCCAGGAGGAAGCAGGCGGCATGAAGTCTGCGACGGGCCTCGGCGTCTGCCCACTGCTGCCATCGTTGTGCGCGGCTTATGGGGGCGATGCTGACAGGTGCGTATGCAACATTCGCTGCGGTCTGATCACGAATGACCTGTGGTGAAAACATGCTTGAGTACAGGGCCGATGATTGTCGAAAGAGGTAAGAAGAGTAAGGAGAACAAGGAGACAGCGAAAATTGACCAAGCGAGATGTTGGTAAGAGGCGGGAAAGAAACATGTGGAGCAGAATAGTAAAGCGCCTGAGGAGTCAGGCGTGCAGACCTCTCGGTTGAACGAAAGACAAGAGGAAATTCGATACTTACCCTGGTGTATACCTCACGGAACACCCTGGAAGCATTGACCACGACTTTCCGTCCGCGGAAGCGAGCGTAGTACTCGCAAAGTAAGATTGCTTGCATGGTCGGAAGGTTATCCAGTACGCGCGCCTACTCCTCAAACACGTCAGCTTGCGTTCTCGTGGTCACACATAATTGTCGACAGCCATTGGTTCGCCAGTGTAACTTGCCCGCCGTAGTTCTTGAACTGCAAACTCGTGCAGCTGTTTCCCCTTGACGTGGTCCTCCTTGGCAGGCATGAATTGCGTGGCAATCGCACCCATGGCACAACGCAGGAGCTCTCCCCCCGAGGCCTCGAACGTTGCCCGATGCAGTAGCGGAAATTGAACATCGAAGCGTTCCCAGTATATCTTGAGGTAGCCAGGGATGGAGCTCAGTATCGAGAGTGGCAATGCCATAGCTGTCATGTGGGGGTTGCCCAGACAGAATGGTGGAACCACGAGCGCCGACTCCTTGGAACCGTCCAGGCCTAGTACCGAGAATGTGCCAGGAACTGCACTCGGTACGGTGACTAAATGTTCAGTGGGTTGAACGCCAGACGTGGCTGTCTGTGGGGTAAGACTACGAACAGAAGAATAAGGATCATGACCATGGGCGTTCTCGAGAATCGCCACATGTTCGTCTTGAAAGGAAATCGGTACATCTGAAATGAAAGTCGGGTACGAAGAGAAAGAAGAAATAGAATGGGAAGAAAAAAGAGAAGAGTCTTGCCCCAAGTCCAGACTTTGGACCGGACTTCCGGAAGGGTACGTTGACACAAATGTGCCAGGCCAGTCCGGATACTGTGGAGACATTGCCCTTGGTCTCCGGGCGTGAGCCTCGGATGGCGTGGAGAAGGTGCTCTCCGAAGCCGACGATGCCCAGGGAGAATCATGTGGCGCGAGCAAAGTCGGCACAGTATCCGGTATGGTCAGGGTCGGCAGTGGCTGGCCTGACATGGCCAGTTCGGGATTCATGTAATTGAAAGACGAGGGCTGTGCCTCTGAGAAAATAGAAAAGTCTCGACGATGCGGCGTGGTCGGGGTATTGCCAATAGACGGAGGCTGGTGTTGAATGACAGGCACTTGCCTAGAGCTCGGCCGACGCGCATGACGACCCCTCGAGCTGGTGTAGCTAGAGGGTGCATTCTGTGGCGACATGTGCTGATGCTGCCGTTCATAGTCGGCTCGTTGTCTGGACTGTGGCTGCGGTGGCGGCGTAGTTCGCGGTGCCACTTGTCCAGCGCTGTTGACATAGGGCCCAGCACCATACGAGGTCGATGGTTCCCGGCCGTAAGGCCCCATTGGCGACATGCTTGGCGTGTGCCCATGGTCGCTAGGGTTAGCGGCCATTGTGGATGGTGTGAGAGACATATGAGTGTATCGCTCATCAGCAGTCGTGGTTGAAGCCCGCCTACTCGTGCTATCACCCTGCGACGATGCCATGTCGTCTTGGTCACTAGAGGTCATGTGTTAGCAGGAGCTCCCCATCATGTGGTCACCTTGGTATCTCCAGACTTACTGTCTTATCTTGTGACGGTTGAGAAGATCCTCACGATGAAAGACCTTGTCGCACCCGGGGTGCATGCATGGATATCGGGGATTCTCATGGCTGAGGTTGTGCCGCCTGCAGTGATATTAGTCCATGTCAAGTCCACCAAGGCGTTCTCGAATCCCCAACCGCCCTCTGCCTGGTCTTACCTGAGATGCTCCGCCCGGGTAAAGGTCTATTATCCGCATGTTAGCTCAACCTATCAAAATATCAAGTCAAGCTTGGCGTCGACGGCAAAGCTCACCTTAGGCGGTCGACAGATTTCGCAAGTGTGCACAGGCACACCCTTCTTCGCCCGACTAACGCGACGAGTGATGGGAGTTAGCCGGACAGCCTGCTCGACGACCGAGGGACTGCCCATGGGCCTCATGGGGCCCGATGAGGCACCTCGGCCACGGCCACCATAGCCGGAGGGATCCATGGATTCCGTGCTGGCTGTGCTCTCGCGGCGTGATGGTCCACCTGTTTCCGAGGCGATGGACGATGCTGGTGTGGCGGCAGTGGAGCTTGTTGGAGGCCGACTAGAAGAGCCAACGGGTCTCGATAGTGAGGCTGAGGCTATACTATCTTGGTGTTCTTGGTTCGTCGGTGCCGAACGGGAAGGATGAGACCCACGATTCGGGCCCGGGGGTGTTTCATGATTCCTTATATTCATCCTCGGGTCCGGCTCCTGGTCATCCATGTCCATGATGAACTTTAGGTCGGCCATGGTGGTTCACCCCCGTAGCATATGCCGGATGGGATAAAGTTAGTAATCGGAACAGCCTTGTTGACTGTGAACCCCCAAAGTATAGAGCCTCCTGCGATGGAAATAACCACCAAAGGAGGGTAAAAATGGAGCCAGCAAGGGGTGTCTGTCCAAAAGGGGATGTCGAGTGTAGTTGCAAAGGCTCCGGCAGTGAAGTTGTTTGTCGATGTCGTGCAGATGCGGCTTCCAGGAAGGGTGTCAGAGGAAACAGCCGCGCGATGGTAGGCTGCAGGGCAGGATGGAGCCGTAGCACTGATGAAGGCGGGATGACGGAGGCGGAGCCCGATTTTGCTATATCGAGACTGATAGGTCCGATCTAAGCGCCGGCGGCTAGGAGGTGACGGAAGAAAAGGTACGGAAGGAAAAGACAAGGAAAAAAGGGTATGTAAAAACCACGACTGGAGGTAAGATTGATTGAGCACGCAGGCAGTGAGTGAGATGGCCCTACGAGTGTTGCGGTTCCCGTGCTCTGTGCCGCCTAGACTAGACTAGCCCCTTGTCAGCTGGATCCATGGCCTGCCAGGGTAAGAGTTGCAGTAGGGCAGCTAAATGCAAGGTACTATTAGTATCCTACATTGGTGCTATTTCTGGTCGCGGCTACAACAGGCGAGGCAGCATCAGCCCCAGCCGACAATGTACCCTCTACTCGGTACCGTACGATTGTGCTGACATCCAGCTGCAGCACGGCTGAGTGGAGTGACCGGGGTGTGGTGGAGATGTTGTCTCTCGCGGGGAGACGTCCGCCTGCTACCACGTTCAGGGTAGCTTAGCGCCTTGTCAATGGTTGCAGTCCGGTCTGGAGAGGCTGTTCGTCTCGTTGCCTGCCGTCCCAGAGGCTTAGTTGATGAGATGGACTCGTTTCCAAATATAGATAGCAACACAAGACAAGACACAACACCACTGTTCAGAGATCTTGCAGGGTGTGGACGATGCAACCTCATGAGCGCACCATCTGAGAAATGGCAGGTGTCACTTGTTGCAGCCGTCCAGGAGCTCAGTGCATGCTTTGCTGACGCGACTTGGGTCGTGCGTGGTCGGGAATAACGTGAGGAGCACCGGCCCGAAGTTGGCGCAAATTCCACGCGAGAGACCCACGCCCAAGTATGATTTGACGCTAAGTGACCAGTTGGAAATATTGCTCGTGTGCAAGCCCAGGTCAAAATTCAAGTTAATTGTCACGTAAATTCGTCCACAGGAGAATGGCGTTCTAGAGTCTCGGCCGGGATCGCTCAACTGGGGGTCTCGTCCGAAGTAGGCCGAAGTAGGTAAGCAGATATGGCGGAGCTGCGGCACGGAACCACCCAGGGTACACGCCAGGAGCTTGAGACTCTGCTCATGGCGACGCGGTACCAGCAGCTCGGTGCGAACCCTGTCAAGGTGCTGGAGGCTGGGAAGTCGACCAGGACCGAGTTGACTAACTGGACAGGCCTGGGATGAGGGGCATTGTTGCTGATCTCTAAGCTGCTCGAGAGGCGCAGCTGACCGGGGTGCCGCATGGTTCAAGGATGGTGCTGTCTTTGGACCCATGCCGCCTGGTCGGAACGGGTAAACCGCTTACATATACGACAACCCTGGGCAGGCCACGATGCCTGGACACAGGACATGGAGCCTGCAGTGAGCACAGCCCCATGTTGGAGGGACGCATGCTTTCTCTGCGCCTTCTATTAACGGCATGTCAGCATGCGGGGGTGCTCGCTGCCCGTTGGCGCACAGAGCTTCCCCTGTGGCTCTGGTGCCTGGCCGGGAGGTTGACGGATGCATTGCATCCAGGCCAGCTGCCGTGGTTGTCGTGATGAACGGAAAGGAGACGTGCGATCGCCATGGTGAGCACAAACGCGGAGGGATGGATGGACCCCGGCGCACCGGACTGCTGTTGTCTCTATGACGAGGGCAGCAAGCTGTTGTAGCGGTGAACACGCTGAGAGACGAAGCTGCGGGGGGTCGAGCTTTGAGTTTCCAGGGCAGGGTCGAGTGGCATCAAGGCGCTCGCGGCTGGGCGCGTACATCCATGAGACCACTGGGCCAGCGTGAAGGGGATCGTCCCGGTCCACGCAGGAGCAGATGCTGGTCTTTGGCGAGCCGAATCGCGGGGGAAGCTGAGGATGACGGGTGGCAGAGGCAGTCGCTCCTTGCATTCGCTGGAGTCGATTGCGACTGCCCATGCGGATGTACAATGCACCTGCGTGCTGGTCCTATTTTTATCCTGGCCTCCACGACTGGTTCTCCCCACCCCCCCCCCAAATTCTCTCCCCCACCCACTCCCCCAATCTTGGAAGTCTTGTGCTCTCTCAATGTCACCCAAGCATGATGACAGCCTGCAGCTGCTCCTCTTGCGCCCTTGGGCCAAGCTCACAGCACTTCGCTTGCGCTCACCATTCACCACGACGTTCGCGGCCGCGGGCGCGTGGGCGTCTGTCGTGTGCCGCAAGCGCGGCCGCACAGACTCGCTACCGGCACAACGGCAGGTCACCACCCTCACTCAGCCCTAGACCAGCCGCTAACCATCCTGGAGTGCTCCCGACAAGTCCCAATACGGCAACAGATAGTTTTTGCTCGCTGCCACTTGCGCACTGCCGCGCCGTCCTTGCCAAGTCAGCAGCGGGGCGTTGCCGATTGTTGCGCGTCGCCTTGTGCATCGACCCACGGGAGCTGCCGAGCCGATGCTCAGGCACGAGGCTTCGCAAGCAAGGCACTCCAGTCATCGTGGCTCGCATGGGAGCCTCGTGGGTTACACGTTCTCGGCACCCTCGTAAGCCATCATCTAGCCGCCGGTCACTGTTATTAATAGGCTATTGCCAGATCTCCGTGAACCCATGAGCAGAAACCCACGGCCATCAGAGTTTTGGGGTAGTGAGCTGTACCCGATGCCATGATCAGACAGTTCCAGAGGCATGTCCAACCACCTTTGCGGCATCTGATCGCAGCCTCGCCGGCCCTGCCGGGACGGCCACAATCCACGAATCGGCTGCTTTTTTGACCTGAGTATGGTGCAAATGCCAAGGCGTCTGAACCTGCACCGCCCTTGAGCAAGAACTACTGGCAATAGCATGATATGCGGGAGATGAACTTCACTAGACGGAACCAAAAAGGGCTGGGCTCCACTGGCCGATATGCAACAAGTATCACTTTGGCACGCCACCTGGGCAACCTACAGTCCAGTCGTTGTCTGGGAGCAGGTCGTGCTCCAGCTGGGGCTCGCGAAATGCAGAAGATCTTGGGAATTGACAAACTTGGACTATGATCCATGGGCTGGTAGTCTGCGTACAGACGTTCTGCTAAGTCCCAACCACGAGCATGGCAAATGTTTACTACTATCCATGCCTCGTCTTTTAAGACAATATCTCCGGCATATACCAGCGCTGTGCAGCCCGTTCCCGCACACATACGCACTGGTGGGCTGCGCGCCATTCTATTGACCTGTGAAGTTGCTGCATGGGTTTCAGGAGTCCAGGAGTCCCTTGCGCTAGCTAGGGCTGAATGCGGAGCCCCGAGAGGAAGGATGTCCACCGCAACCCTGGTCAATTGTCCATCTCCTCCCTGTAGATCCCCTGGCCTGCCGCTCCGGAGGCATTCTCTGACCTTGGCCTTGCCGGAGAGGAGGCTGCTTGTGGTCTTGGGCACAAGAAAAGAGTATCCAGCTCCAAGTAGGCCAGGGTGAACCTTCGAGAAGAGGAACATCTTGCACGTGCCGTGAAGGCCAAGCAGCCCTCAGTACTCGAGCGTTAGGCAATAGAAAGTAAGGCCTTTCTTTTTCCAGCCAAGACAAAGTCGAGCACGGATCTCCGTCGCCATGCCGATGTTGTGTAGCCACACCCCAACTCCCGGGCGATATCCACAGAATACTCGCGGCATTGTGCGTAATGGGGGCACAGATACATCTTGGCGGTTCTCGGTACATGTTCCACCATGGAGTGACACAACCCTCTACCTCATATCGCGACGTTGGCAAGACTCCTGCGAGGGGTTTCGGAAGTTGCCGGCATCCTGATCCTCTCCGCCATCGGAAGCGATCCCGAAGGTTTCTACAGTTCATTCAATTCTTTCATCGCACTCCGCGGCTTGATGTCTGTTCCCTGTCATGTGTGAAGGACCTGCCAACCCTGGAGATGTCATGCAAAAGAGGCTAGTGCTGAAGCCAGTCGCGGAAATATTTCCACATGTACAGATGGACTTCGTTCCAATCCACAGGCACCCACTACCTGGCTCTCTGGGCAATGGGTACAGATTTGCACCCTTGACCTCTGCCACAACAACAGCGATCAAGCTGACGATAGGGAGGAACCACTCCAGCTCATCAACATCCGGCCGGCCGCTCCAAAGTTCATCCTCGGTGTTGCAAGCGTGTGATAGATGGAGCTAGACGACACGATGATCAACCACCTGCTGACGCCGGCCACCGTTGACATCAGCTCATCAGAACCCTCTTGGGCTTTTCAGCTTACATGAAACCACTGGAAGGATACGATGCCCCCAGGGCGAGAGTTGTAGCCAAGACGATAAACGCGGTGGCAGGTTTGGCCCTCGCAGTGCCGCGTACCGACTCGCGCGGAACGATCGTATCCTAGAACCAGTGAACGGCCCCACGAAATGGGGCAGGAGGGGGGTTGCTTGAATCGCGTTGACTGTCAGACAGCATACAACATGGATGTGGCTGCTTCGTGGCCAACTTGGCCGATGGCCACCTGTGGAGGCATTGGTACGATGGCCAAATTCATCGATAACTCAAAGGAGCGTAATCCCCGTGGGCAAACCTGAGACTTTTGATCTTGGGAACGACGGGCAGCACAAGGGGAGCTCCCCGGCCGTTGCGTGAACGCCTTGATCAACCTCCCTTCGATCCATTTTTTCCTCCATGGACCGCGTGCCGGCTCGGGCGCCACCCGACCCCCAAACTTTTGTGGAATACTTTTACGGGCCCTTGCAGATGGTGATTTTGAAGAACACCCGCAGTGCCTACGGCTTCGTCCTAATGTAGTCGCGACTATGCCAACGAGTGTCATGGGTGAAGAAGGCAGATGGTCAGCTTTGATCGACACAGCTGATCTGCATGGAGCAGAAGTAATTATGGTTTCGCCGTGAGCACCCTTGTTGAAGTGCTGGGCTTGTATCAGCAGTGGATTTCCGCTGTGTCAATATTGCATTGCTTCAGTATATCACTGAAGTGAAGACGGCGCAATCGGTTATCATTTTTTGGTGAAACGGCTGCTGATTGCGTGCCCACAGAATCACGGTGCTCTGTGGGAGGAGAAAGGGAATAGAAAAAGAAAACAGCATAGGACAAAATCAGAAATATCGGCTTTGCTGAAGAGGCAAACACAATATGACCTTGCTATGTGGGAGGAGATGAAGTCGCTGGCGGGCCTGACACTTGGCTCATGCGGTTCTGTGAGTCTGGATTGTTGGGCAGTCATGTTATTCGCAATCATCCTTAGCTCAAGCCGCCAAATGAGTCTCATCGCGGCACAAGTTGATGTACATAGCATGCTGATGCAAGAGTCTTGGTGGAAATATGACTGAATTGCTTGTAGAAAGAGATGACTCGAAGCCAATCTCTTCGTGGCCGAAGACGCTGCATAAACTGTGACTGTTAGGATGCACACGTTGGTTGGTAGAGATGTTGAACTGGTCCTGTGACTATTTCCCATATTATTTGTCACCAAGGGAGCCTAGAGGGATCAAGCTGACCTCAGATTGCTTCAAGAACAGGCGAGTCCAACATGACAAGCCACCCAAGTAACCCAAACACACATGACTTGACTCAGGCGGCCGACCATCTGATAGGTTATTCACGCGTTCCATGGCACAGTGTTGACCCGAGTAATGGTGGCATTTTGTCTGCCCTCCATGGCTACACATTCTTTCTTCACAGATCACGCTTCTCATACTGCCGATACCAATAAAAATGTAGCAAGTAGAAAATGTTAAAATGAATAGATACACAAAAAGAAACTCGACAACGAACGTGGAACAGGTAAGAGGCACTCGTGTGCCCAGCCTCCGCCAGTGCCAGAAGACAAAGCCCACAGCATAAGCGCTCGCACACGCGCGCACACACACGCACACACACACACACGCGCGCACACTCCTAAACACTTGAACGAAACACACACAAAACCAAGGAAAGTGGCATAGGATGGGCCGGTTTGCAATCGTTCCGAGAGGAGCGGATCACTTGGTTTCTGCCATGCCGACCTCTCCCTCTCCCTCTCCCTCACTCACTCACAAATGCTCACACAGGTCAAACCGCGAAGCCGCGCCGTCCGCAACCAGGCGCCAACATGAAAAGATCCGGCCACCCGCCGCCCACTTGGCCTCGTCTCTCCTTCCGCCGGCGCCGCCGCCCTCCAATAATCTCTAGTTCCCACCGTCCTCCAAAAAAAAAAAAAAGAACTCAAAGACACAACTCGACAAAGCAAACCTCTGCGTCCCGCCACTCATTGATGGTGCACTTGAGCAGATTCTCCTCGGTACACTTGACCTCTGCGACGATCGTGACGGCAGGCGCGGCGCTGACGTGCGACGCCGTGGACGAAGCGGCGACCAGGCCCGTCGGTACCGTGCCGCCGCCAACCACGGGCGTGGTCGAGGTGACGGTGGCGGGGGCGGCAGCGGCGGCAATGGCACCGGCCGCGTCGTGTCGTGGTGCGTTGTTGCCAGCAGCGGCCAGAGGAGCCGCAGTGGCCAAGGTGGCGATGGTGCCGAGGAGGGCCAGCAGGGCTGTTGGGTTGAATGGAGATTGCATCTTGGTGTGAGAAATCCGGCCGATTATTTCCCTGTATCTCCGCCTATGTGTTGGGTGTGTAGAAGCGAGATGTGGTTGTCCCCAACAGCGACTACAGGTTGACTGAGAAGAGGAAAAAAAAACCCTCTCTGGTTCCGTCTGTCGTCTTTCACAGCAAAGTCGCAACACAAGCGCGCCGAAGCTGCTTCGGTATTCCAAGACTGCTGCCCTTCCCCAGATCTACAGCTGTCACGTCGCCCGGTAGAGTTGTTGCGTAATGCCACTTCCCCAGAGAAACTTTTGAAAAGTCTCGCTGCGTCTCGGTTGGCCTTGTCTTTTTCTTCTTCAAAAAAAACTCTGGCCCAATCCGCTTGCTTGGTCGCCGGCGTGTAAGCGCTCGGCAGTTGTCGCCTGTGTGGTAGGGCAGTTTCGTTTCGTTTATTTTTTTCTTCCTTGCTCCGAAGGGTCCCAACAGTGAAGCTCGAATAGCCGCCGAGATCCCAGACCGTGCCTGCGTCGAATAATATTCCTTGTCCAATGATTTCCTTGTTGTGTTTTTGAATCGTGATTCGGAGAAAGGAAAAAAAAAAGTACTTGACCAGACGTCAAACAACAGAAAAATGGTCCCGCCAGCAGAAAAGAATGGACTGCACTGCAGCTAGTCGTAAAAGAATCGAAAGGATTGGCAAGGTGAAGCCGTGTAACCCGGAAAGGAGCGAACGAGGTTACCCAGTCAGGTGTGTAGGTGGGTGTGGAAGGCGAAAGGGAACGAAGCGGCCGCGCGGTCGGGCCGCAGGAGATGGAGGAAAGATGATCTATGGAGGATTACCGTAGCCGCATGCATGCCTGTCCACCTTCGATATCCCGGCGAGCACATGTCCAGATTCGGCCTGTCTTCCGTCATCAGATAAAGCCATGGGGGTCGTCGCCGATGAGAAATGGGCAGGTCAAGAGCTGTACCTGTGACACGACTACCAGCTGCTGGCCCGCCGCCCTCTGCCCAGGCCCGTCCTGAAGCAGGCAGGAATAGGACAGGCGGACCCAGGAGGCAGGGGTCTGAAGCACGGGTCCCGGACGACGCCAGACCAGCCCAGGGATAAGTTGGCCACAACCCCATCATTGGATGTCACCACGCGGCGGGCATGTTTCTAGTTGCGCAATGATAGCACGAGCTCCGGACGATCCCAAGCCCGCCATCTCCATTGCGTGACGCCATCTCCATTCTGAAGCTGTCTTGCGCTCTCGAAGATCAGTCCGTCATCGTGCTGCAGAACGAAACCAGGAAACCCGGGGACGGCAATGCGAGACACATCAGATCATCAGGGTGTATCCACTCACCATGGATCACCACGCGCACGCTGGCAGACGGCAAAAGGCATGCCGATTCGCGCAGATGGCCAGCCAACAACAGACCTAGCACCAAGAACGACCGTCATTTTCCTGTCTGTACTTGTACTTCTCACTCCCAGCTCTGGTCCCTTTTTCAAAGTAGGCCTGCCACAACCACATACGGACGCATTGAGAATGCGACACAGCACGAGGCCGGCAGTGCTACCCTACTTGGCCTACGCTGGCTGGGCAAGGCGTGGTGTGGCAGGCCTGCTACACTAGAACCCACCCCCTTGAAACACCACGCAACACCCCCCTTCCCTTCTTCAGCACAAGCTGGGGTGCAGCACTCAACCTCAAATGGACTCATGCCGTCTCTGTGCCGTCGTCAATCCTCGACAATGATGAAACCCCCACCTTCGAGGCTTCATCCTCACAATCCATCACCATGGATGGCCTCCAGTGGTTGGTAGACATCTTGTGGGAGCCATGCAACCACAGCCATGCACGAAAAGAACGGTCAATGTCAAATGTTATGTACAACCTCCCCCAAAAGGCGGGCGAGGCGATCAACCCGGCATCCGGGCTGATTTGTCAATTTCGATTCCGCAGCCATCTACCTATAATGTGATGGCCACAGTGTTTAAAAGATACAGCAAAGTGAATGCGCCTCCCGTCACCCACCCGTTTGGGCAGCTAAGCCGCACGTGTGGCGATCAGAAGGTGTTGTCCTTCTAGACCCTCTACGAAACCCTATATGCCATCCGCAGCAACCCAGAACGCCCCCAACCCTTCCCGTAAAATGTGATGATATGCTGTTGTCGTCATAATAAAGATGTATAGTGGTAAACGGTTGTCGCTGAGAAAAATCTAGTGGAAATCCAAAATAGGCGGAGAATGGCGGCGCGAGTTTGATGATGTTACAATCCAGAAGTTCGCACGCGCTTCGTGACACGCCACCGGGGCGCATCACTTCACGACTTGGCTCGCAGAGGGAGAAGGGGGTTGAGCACTTGTTCAAGAACGTTTCTGCTCCTTGGTCGTGTCAGGCTGGACCTGCTTGATGAAAGACACGTGCTTGGCGTCGTCCTTGCGGAGTCGCACAGCAGTGCCCGCGTTCTCGGCACCTTGGTGATGATGCCGGGGGTGCTCCTCATCAATGTCAATCTCCTCAACATCAGAGATGGATCGAGCGTCCATAGTGTCGTTGACCTCGGACCGCGAGTCTGAATCAGCTTCCGAATCGTCATAGTCACTATCGTCGCTAACGAGAGACGGAGCATTGTTGCTGATGGCGGTGTTTGGGCTGAGCTCCGGTGCCATGAGGTCCTCGTCAACAACCATCTCTGACCCGGTCTCGGAACTCGTCCGTGGGAGAGGTGTCGCAAGTGGTGTAGCATACTGCGTGGTCGGGTGCATGGCGCCTTTGCTGCTACCTGGCCGCACAGTTCCCACTGTCGAGTTGGCTGGGACGCGCATCTTGGGCGCCAGAGCTCGCGCTTGAGACATGGCCGAGCTCGTCTCTGCCATTGGTGTGTCCTCGTCGTCCTCATCGTTATCATAAGCGGCCAGGTCGTTCAAGTCGACCTTCGTCGTTGCCTCCGCGACCAGATCCCCAAGATGGCCATCGAATCCACGGCTCTGCATAAAGCGAGACAGGTGAGGAGACGAAGCTGCAGGCGTGAACTTGCTCGCATTCTTGGCTGGCTTTCCAGAGCGCTTTCTTTGGCCAGGCTCGCCTGGAATAGCAGGCACCCCGTCAGGCCTGTATGACCCTTTGCGGAAGGCGTTCATGGACTCTTCGATACGGTTTACGACAGAGAAGCACGCTTCCGAGTCAGACATGCCATTAGCTCGACTGTAAGGATGAACCAACCCAGAAGGCAATACAGGTGGTGGCGGTGCGATGGCCCGCTTCTCTTCAGCAGGAACGGCCGGCGCGCTTGTGTCTGGAACCTCGATCGGATGGCCGCAATGGACGGCAGCCTCCTCATGGCTCTTGAAGTCCCTCTTGTGCGCTATGCGGCAGTGGTTGATGAAGCCTTGGGTGCTGTTGAAGTTCTCTCGCTGGCAGTCAATACAAACAAGCTTGACTGTCTTGCCATCAGCTCGCTTCAAGACACAAGGTCCCTGCTGGCTCTTGGGAGGCGCGTAGCCACTCGACAAAGCCTGCAACTTCTGGCCCGCATTGCCACGGACAGGCCGACCCTTCGAGCCACTCTGCTCAACGAAACTGTTGCGGGTCGATCTACCTTCCTGTGCCGCACTTAAGCGGACAGGATCGTTCTGGACCAGTGTAGGCGCGGGCATACCATCGAATTTAGGGTCAGGAATGAGCCACTGGGCGTAATGGCGAGCATAAGGACCATCCGTGACCCCAAAGGGCGGCGCCCACTGAGGCAGCTTGACACCGGGCTTTGGCATGAGAGCTGGACCAGAACCGCCGGCAATGCGTAGCATCTGCTCAGGAGTCGGCACGTTGACTGGATACGGGATGAGGTGGCAGCGACGCAACTGCTCCAGCGCAACCTGGCACTTGGCAAGCTCCTGGTTGATGAGGCGTAGTTCGTCATGCTTGAGTAGGATCTCGAGGCTCATCTGCGCCTCGATGACCTCACTTGCGCGCTCCATGTCATCGTGCGGACGAGATGCAGATGCAGGTGCAGACACTGTGCTGGCACTGATGTCGCCCTCGACCTCAGCAGGAGGCGTGGCCATGATCTTCTTCAGCGGCCTTGACTCTTCAGCGACGTCGTCGCCATCGTCCCTTTGCCGCTTGAGCACGGGCGGCTCAGCAGCAACTGGCGGCGGTGTTATGGCAACGTTGCTGGAGCTCCGAGCAGGGCTGGACTTGGGCGATACTGGTAGTGCGAGATCTGGAATCGTCTGGGACTGGACTGGGGTCTTGCCAAGGTCAAACATGGGTTGGTCGGCGTGACTAGTCCTGTCGCTTTTACCAGAATCCGAGCTCCAGAATCTGAACATGAGCATACCCAAACGTCGTGTCCTGGCGCGTGGAAGATGGGCAGGTTGTGAAGGTGGACAAGTCTCCCCGTCGGCAGAAGGGGTGTGGGAAATGTTGGGTTGCGAGATGGGGGGCGATTAGCCACTGGGCGGGTGTGCGGACAAGGCAGCGGCAGCGACTGGCGCAGCAAGCTGACACGAAAGGGCCGCGGGAAAGGGGGTGGGCAGCACACGGGAGGTGTGACGAGCAACACGCAGAGTGAGTGCGCGCGGACGGGACAGAGGCAGGGCTGACGTAACGACGCCAAGAACCGACCAGGGTGTGCGAGCTGTGTGAGTGGGGCGTGAGGACAGCGCAGGCAGCGCACGACACGGTCCTGGGCTGTGCTGGCCAGGTTTTAGAGGGCGCGGCAGCCGGAAAGCGCGTGCATGAGTGGGTGACCCAGAAGATGCTCGTCCCTGTCGCTGTTGGGAGCAGAAGCAGGCAGACACGGCACCACGGCGGGTGGGTGGGAGGTGGAGACGGCGGGTTGGCGCGATCGAGAGAATGATCGAGTCGAGCTGGTGCCGTCAATCTGGCCGTCCGTCCTTCGGTCAGCCAGGCTCCAGAGGTCAGAGGTCAGATGCTGCGGCTGCTGCGTAGTGAGCCGAGGAAGATGCTGGTGTGCGCGAGTGCTGACCGGAGCTGACGCGGGCGTTGTTTGTCTGTGCCTTGGCTCCTGGTATGCTGGTGGATACGAGGAGGAAGGCGCGGCAGCAAGGGAGGGGAGCCGGGTGGGGCTGGCTGGAGGAGCTGGTGGCGGGCCACCCAATTTAGAGCCCGACGAGAACGCCCGGGTCCTGAGCCTGAGTCACAGTGCGCAGTGTCTGGGCCTTCTGGGGGTGGTGGTGGTGGTGGTCCTGGTGCCTGCGACTGTTGTTGCGGCCAGGCAAGGCTACGTGCATGTGGGCGTTGCTCGTGCTGTTGGTGCGATGCGATGCACTTGCACCAGACTGATCAGGGTCGTGGAGTTGAGACGAGCGCACAACAGATGGCGGGCAGCAAAGTCGTGCGGCCGGCAGGTGAAGAGATGCAAATGACAGGTCGCGCGTTGCGAACTTGCTTTTCGTGGCAACACGAGAGGCAGCAGCAAGGAAGGTGATGAGGAACTGAGCGCGAGCGCGGGCGTGACTGGGCGAGGCGGCGATGATCAAGCGCGCAAAAGCAGCCGGGAGGGAGCGACGCAGAAGACTCTAGGACTGTGCGACCGACATGCGTGTCGAGATCAATGTATGAGTTTGGGTTGGCTGGAGCAAGCACGCCGACGAGGGTGGTGATGCTGGTGCACCTGGGTGGAGAAGAGCTGGGCGGGTGTGGGTGCTCCGGCAGTTGTGTGCAGATGAAGGAGAGTGCAGAGGCAAAGGCGAGCGCAAGGGAGCGTACGAAGAAGAGGCGGCGCGGCAGGCTCGACGAGAGAAAGCGACGAGCTGGCGTGCTGCGACGGGCGACGGGCGGTGGGCGGTGGTGGTGATTGATGTTGTTGTGACGATAATAATTGTGTCTCGGGGAAGGGGTGCGCACGACTGATGGACTGGACGACTTATTGAGAGCCTCAGTGAGTGCCTGGATCACAACATGCGCGATCGACCTGCGTGGGGAGATGGCAACGGGGGCCTGGCCGTGAGCGCGGTGGGCATCGGCAGCGTCCCGCGAAATGAGCCCATACTGGCTGGGAAATGGCAAATCTCCATATCTCCTGCGCAGCGAGACATGGCTGTTATCAGCAGAGGCAGCGCCCGCAAGCGCTCAGGCACGCAACCACGGCGGCTGGCGGCCTCGACTGATACCCGCGATAGGGCTCTTGCTATCTCCCGTGTCCGGGCAAACACACAGCTCGCATTGTCCCAATCAAGATCTCACACAGAGAGGCAGGCCACACGGCGAGCCACATCCTCTTTGGATTACTACGCACGACCGTCTGATCTCTGCTGCTATCGTCCGGGTATACATGCCGCTGGGCTGGGGGGACACGACTTGCCCATGAGATATCGTGGTATCGCCAGACGCCTGCAAGCTCTTGACATCGACTGAATTAACACCAAGTCAACGGATCCAGATTACCATTCCGTTATTAGAGATAACCTCCTGAAGCCCGCTGCTGAAAAGCTGTCCAAACAAGGGCTAGCCAGCTCATGTACGCAGGGGTGCAAGCTCCGGGGAACCCTGTGCGGGCGGCCACGATGCATGGCACTCTGGTCTCACGGTCCAGAGCGTCAGACTTAGCTCCGGGTCCGTCTGGGGCCCGCGATTCAAGACAAAATCCCATTGTTCCAGCTAGGACAACCAACACCTGCCACACCAACCCGCCCGCTACGCAGACCTGCCCAAGCGGTTCCGGGATGGCTACAGCTGTCTCGCCCAGTGTGCCTAGCTCAAGCCTCAAGTTCTGCGCTACAGCAACGCTAGACCGGGAGCAAACCACGCCTAGCGTCGGTGATCACCAGCTCCGGCATCATGATAGTCATGGCTTGGCAGTCTTGGGTTTGTGCATCGCTCGAGAGCTTTTGGGCGCAGATTATTGACCTACGGCACGCCTGGTTGCAGAGCTTGGAGCTCGATGCCTGGCAAGAAAGTCGCTCCAGAGGACTCCGTGAGGGGTTTCACATCTCACCATTCAAAAGCCCCAGGCAGTGAGTAGAGTACCCAGTCTGGAAGTAAACGAACCGTGAGGCCACAGTTCCCCCTCCCTTGACGAGGGGGCGTAACATACGTCAAGGCAAACATGCTCCATCGCAAGCTTTGCTCCGTCGAGCGGCCTGCAGCGCTAATGCTGGATCCAACCCGCAAGGTCAGGGCAAGCTCGAGTCCAGCGGCTAGGGCACAACGCCTCATCCTCCCAAGTCCTGCTCAACATCTCGTAGTGCCTGACTGGTCAGCATGGACTTTATGACGCAGCGTTCCCGGAGAATGAAACTGCCTCCTTTTGATCCAATCCATGGATATACTGTTGTGCTCGGCGAGTGATTGGAGGGAACAATACGTAGATACGGCAGGCACGTGGCTCCGCTCCATGCCGGCTCCATGTTCACCATGACAGACTCAAGGTTGCAAGTGCGACAAGATAAACTCTAACGGACAGTGCCCATGCATTATGGTGTTCGGCAGGTGACAGCTGCCTGTCATGTCAGCAAGGCGTTTGTCCATACGAGAAAGCGGGTAGCTTGCCTTGCTTGCCGATTCAAGTCCTGCCCGCACCTCAGCACGGACAAACAAGGTTCGGCCAGAGGCACATAAGACGAAACAAGATGCAACCCATTTGACGTGCTGAAAAGTCTCAGCGTGTGGCTCAAACCCCTCACCTCTTGCTTGAGGCTCTCGCACACTCTGATGATTGAACGGGGGGAGCCAGCCGAGTAGTCCGACCAATGAAAGCGATCCGCGCGAGATTCGAGGATGTCCACAATCCTTCAGAGTTCCGCATGCATGACATTGTGCTCCACGAGCGAGCTTCTGGGAGGAGGCCGTTTCTGGCTCTACTATCGATAAGCACTCCCGCACGCTAGACGGCGACCCTTGGATCGCGAAGTCGGATATTTTGTATGATGCTCTGTGGCACGAAGGTGAACTCATTGCCAACAAATATCGGATCTCCTAACCCCCTCACGACGTCGTCATACCATTTAACGCGCCAATTGATGTTCGACGGCGGCAAAACGTCCCAAGATACTAGCGGCGGAAGGGACCATTTCCAAACAGCACCTGCAGCCATTCATTTTATCGGCCCAAACCCACGACGAACCCTTTCAAGCAGTTCTACGACTCAGTACTCCCTCGACGACTGACCGGAGGCTGAATCGACTCAGGCCTTGCGATAAGGGACATCGACCTCGTTGCTTTTTGAGACCCACCGACCAACTTGCCGCGGCCGCCCTCACCGAGATCAGATGGACGTGACGGCCAGTCAAAGCCGAAAAGCATACGACTAGCTACGGCACAACGCTCGCGACGGGCACTTGGCTTGCGGAAACGCAGAGGGCGATCAAAGGGGAAACAGCCAGCAATCATGGCAGCGCCTAGTCCCGCCTCGTCAGCGGCAGCGGCCGACCGACTGAACCACAGCACCCGCGACGAGGGCCAGTTACAACACAAGAACAAGAAGCGGAAGCTGTCGCCGACAACAACAACCGTCCCCACGGCGAGCAAACAGAGCAGAGATGATATCCTAGCAAAAGATAAAGACACAATGACGACGATAAGGGGCGCCACAAACTCCAGCCAACGCGAGGCCATCAGTACACCAAACAAGACGAAAAAGCACAAACCCCAGCGTCCACGCTCGAAATCGTCCAGATTACCGGCATCATCATCATCACCGTCAGGCCCATACACGCTGTCCACAGCGACCGCCCTCCCGAGCGACGATCAAGACGGACACCGCGCGCTGCAAGTCCTATCGGACACTTTGGCATATAACGTCCAGATCCAGTCCGTCCTGTCCTCGTCCAAGATGCAGAAGAAGGTCAGCTCGGCGCTGCGGCATCTCCTGCCTCCTCCTAACCTTGAGACCCACCCTATGAAGGAGGCCGAGGTCACGGCTACAGGGGAGAAGAGCAGTCCAGCAAGAGTAGTTGTTCTCCGCGCCCGGGCCGCCGACGCGGGGAAGCTTGTTTCCATTGCCGAGATTGCCAAGAGGGAGATCGAGAAGGGGACAGGCGGCCAGGGTGGCGGCAGTGGTGGCGCGCATGATGGGATATGGTACCAGTACATTGCCCTCGGCGAGGAACTCGAGCAGCGCGAACGGAGCAGTCGCTCCACGACGAGCAAACGTGTGGAAAAGGGCGGCGTCTCGATAATTGAAGAGACTGTACTGGATGGCCCGAATCGTGACGAATCCCACTTGGACAGAGGCGAGGAGGAGCAAGATGAAGAAGACGATGATTTTGAAATAATGAAAACTCGCTTCGAGCGTGCCATCGAAGGAAAACCACTGGTCAGAGGGACGCCGATCATGAGCCTCTTCCTCTCACGGGTGCCGCTGACAGATATCAGGAGGCGGTTCGGGGAGCAGACAAATGCTCCGCCACCGCCGCCGTAGCAGCGGGACTTGGAAGAGCTGCTGTGTATCGTTAAAGGTCTTGTTCCGAGGCAATGTGAAGGAATAATTCTAACCCTTGAATACCACCACAAATGAAGCAAGCTAGAAACTGTGCCAACTTTCCTTTCGTAATCATATGCGTCTGCAGATGAGCGATGCTCAGCGACAAGCACGGTCTCATCATGTACAGAGACCAATGAGTGAAGCTTTACGGGATCAGAGGGGAATGTCCGAGTCAGCGAGGGATTATCATAAACTTGTATGAATTCGGGCACTTCATGCAACCACGGGGATAGAAGGAGATAGACTAAGTTACACAGACAGCAGACAGTAGACAGCAGACAGCAGCAACAAGCGCAGCACGACGGGTGCTGCACTATCCCAACACGACCAAAGGCCCCGTCTCTCACGCATATCAGATCCATTCTCACCACACTCCGCTCCCATGAGCCTGGCTACAGGAGAACTGCCAGATCAATCCAATTAAATGATGCATCAGAGTAAGACCCGTAGTGCCGTGCACATATGTGCTGAGCTTGTGAATGGTGTGCGATACCGTCGGCATTATATGCACGTTCGACTCAATGTGAGCGCAAAGTTAAACAAGGGATAAATAAACAACGGCAGAGAGAGGAGCCATATCTCCTTGAGAGCATAGTCTGAAATCTTTTTCTTGGTGGTTGCTCAAACGATTCTTGGATAGAGTTGCTGAGGCTATGTACCATGAATGGTTCCTGTCGTTCATTCCTTGAAAATCATTATGATGTAGTTTGCACAGTCTGCGCCTCCACAATCCAGCCGCCCTCCCGCATCCGCCAGAGGTTTGCCAAAATCCACCGCTGATCGAGACACCCTAAAGTTGTTGATGACGCAGAAAGACTGATCGTTCCCGTTGACGTGCCCCAGCACTCTGATGTGGTGAGAGGCCACGTATGTCTGCTAACTCCCGCTTTGAGAGGCTGAAAACGCAAAGCACGAGGCTCTGAATCAGCCCGTGGTGTTGTTACACTTGCGTTCCCATGTTTGAGCCCGTGGCTGAGGGCGTCCTCTCCTAATGTCTGCGGGTCCAGAGCCGTTATGTTTGTTCCGCCAATGCCGTACTACTTCGTGCCCTCCTGTTTCAATTGTTCTAACATTTGCCAAAGTTCCTCAAGCCTCCTAGTGCTTCTTGCTATCCGAGTACGTGATGCGGAGGACAAAGTTGACAACAACTGCACAGAGCAGAATGATGGCGAGAATGGTGGGACCGAATCGGTCGTCGAAGCCGGCCTGGCCGCGCATGCGAATGGATTTTGCACGCCAGTGGTATGTAAAGAGGGCGTATATCATGGCGAGCATGGCGACGCCCGTGAAGAGGAAGGCCGAGATAAAGGCCGGCCGGTCGCCAAAGTTAAGCATGCCGATGGCGAGAGCGCCGAGGATGACGGTAAAGTTGAGCCACGAAAGGAACGTGCGCTCGTTGGCGAAGAAAACCTTGGGCTCGACACGGGTCGGCAGGGCAATACGCTTGCCTGTGTGGCCGAAGGGGGGCGGTCAGTATTCTGCGGTTGTGGTAGAGCAAGCGTCTGGTGGCAGGCGTCGGGAATCTGGCTGGGACGTACCGGGAGCGGTCTGAAGAAGTGGCTGGCTCGACATGGCGATGGCGACTGGATGGATTGGCGAGTTTGGAGACTAGACATAGCGGTTCTGGTCAGCAATGGCTCAAAGGCACACTCTGGGTCCTGGTGAAGCGGTTTGTTTTGGTGGTTCTGGTTGCAGATGGGCGGGCCTCTGGGCGCTTGTGCGCGCCCGTCTGGTGGAAGAGGGCCAGGTCCCTGTCGCGATGACGAACGTACTGTGTATGTTCAATTGAACTGAGCGGTTGGAGGAGCGGCAGCTGAGGCGACAGATGCGACGGAGTGATGTTGATTGAGAAAAAAAGAGGGTTGGCGAGAAGAGAGGCACTTTGAAGAAGTGAGGCATGCAGCTTGGCTGGACCTCGCCGAGCGTGCCTGCAGCAAAAGCACTGGAGTGGGCACCGCAGCGGCTTGACGTCGTCTGGCCAGGCCTGCTCCTGCAAGCCCCCTGCCCTGTTCACCCTGCAACCGTTCTGGAGACGGCAACGGGGTACCTGCCGCCGAGGTACCTGCACTTTCTTTTGTTCTCCCTTGACAGGATGAGCTCCTCCTGTCGTACGTGACTCCGCCAATATCTTTTGGCTGGATCAACACATCCCGAAGAACCTGGAGACCAACGATACCTCAAGACGCCACTGCGTCCCGCCATCCTCGTTGCCTGGAACACCCACGGTCATGCATCACGAAGACGCACATTGGAGACGGTCATCTGGCTACCGTGTTTTTGCCTAGCATAATTAAGCACTGGTCGTCGAAAATATTAATCGTCACAATCGCGAATGCAGCAAATCATCGAGTACAAAGAAGCCGGGTATCGCGAGCCTCCACAACTGAGCCGAGCAAGATCTGGCGCGCGCAGCCGAATCCCCACCACGGCAGCTTTCCTCGTTAGTGGCAACACGTGCGTGCCTTTGCCTGCTCTGACTGGCTGCGCGCAGCTTGAGGCTGGTTGAGCCCCTGTCCCTGAGTGGACTTTGCTCACAGGCGCCGACTGCCGGGGCACTTGATTATTCCCTGGGACGAAAGAGCTGTATTCTTCAAGGTGTACGAGTGCGAGTCTAGCCAATCGGCCTCCACGTATAACCCCAGGTGTGTCTCGCCGAGCCGTGCTTGCATGCATAACAGCTACGCAGCGCGTTCAGAATGATGTCGTAGCTCTGTGGTACCTACCCGCTCTCTCCCATGTCGCAAGGCGCTCGACGTCACACAGAGGCAAGAGGGCACGTGCAGGCTGCGAACGAGCTGCTGATTGAGCGGCCTGTCGGAGCAAGCGGGCGCTGGATAGGGTAACACGGCACGATGGAAGGACAAGGTCGGTTCATTCCCCAGGCTTCTGCATCAGCAGCGCGTCCCCTCCGAGTGTCTGAGTTGGTTCCCTGGCTGGACATCCAGGAAAGATGGCGTCGTGCTCCCCAGGAAACCCCGGACGACCGTTCTCACGGGCCAAGAACCCGGCCCCCACCATATAAAGTAAAAGGTGACGGACAAGAATGACATGTGCTGGTGACGATTGGACAATGTCTCGGAAGCTTGGAGGCACACGCACGCAGGGCCGCAGGCGATAAGTGTGGCTGGGAGGCAGAAAGTGCATACGATAATTAGCAACAGACTCGACGTCTATTACCTAACCCCGCACGGCCAGCCAGTCAGTGTCGTGGTTCGAGGTTAGCCTTTCCGCGGTCCTGCACATCCAAAGAGGAGACGGACGAGCCAGTTGCGGCGGAGGGTGCGGCGGAGAATCTGTCAATCGTTTCATCACTTGCTTTTTGCCCTGCAGCACCGCACAAGCGCCCGGCGCATCTCTTTTGCAGGCCTCTGGCTCTCTCCAGGCGAGCACGGACCAGCCGCTGCCAGCGAGCGTCCCGTCCCACCTGCCCCGGAACCGCTGTGTTGGCTGCGCGCTCTCGCACACCCACCAGCGGCCGTCTCCACCACCGGAGCGCCCCGGGCTGGACGAGGAGCTGCAAGCACTGCACCACCACCACCAAAACACCACACCACGCTCCGACCTAGCCTCCTCAGCAAGACAGCAGTCCCATTCTCCTCCTTCTCCTCTCCTGCTTCTCCCCTTCTCTTCCCCTCCTCCTCCTACCAGTCCTCGCTCGACCAAACACGCCCTCATCGCCTGCTCCCCCATTCTTTCTTCTACGCAGAGCTTCATCCGACTTGCCCTGTGCACGACTCGCGCATCATCAGCCTCCCAGCAGAATTTCCCACCCTCATCGGCGGCATCCCAGCTTCTCGCTCCTCCCTACTAGCATACCATAGCAGGCTCCTACAATGGCCTCCCAGACCAGCTCTGTACGACTGCCCCTGCTATCGCCAGCAGCCACTTCAGCAATGGAATGCTGTCTGCGACTCCTTTTCTCGTTCTTCCGCGCTAACGAGCTGGTTCTTGCCTAGCCCATCTCCCACACTCGCCTCAAGCAGATCGCGACCGACGTACGTACCTGCCCCTCCCTCCTACCTTCAGGCTCCATGCGCACCTCGCTGACTATTCCCTCGCAGGCTTGCCAATCTGCCATTGGCAGCGCCGACTTCTACGACCACACCAAGGTCAATGGCTGGAACTCGCTCATCATTGTACGTCAAAACATGCATGCGCAAATCTCGGCGGCGGGGTGGACCAGCAGCAACTCCGGCGCCCAAGGATCGTGAAGTGTACGCCTGTTGTGGAGAAGAAGCCAGTGCTGTAGCCGGGGCTCAGCTGTTCAGGCGGTTTGTCTCTTCGCGCGACTCCCTGCATCGTCTGCCACTGTAACAACCATGCTGGTGTTTCGCGCCCAGGTGCTAACCTTGGCCCCACTTGCGTCTCGTACAGAACAACATCCTCAAGAATGTCATTACAGAGTCGACTCCAGCCGGTGCCGCACCCTCCCACAAGTACGTCGTCAACAGCACGATTGTGCAACATCTCGTGCCCACCTCGGCCCTCAACAAGCCCAAAGGCGGCAGCGAAGCCAAGGCCGACGAGCCGCACATCACCACCAGCTCCGACGCCACAGCCACAGATGGAAAGCCCCACGTAGGCCGCCGCGGCATGCACTCGGCCACGCAGGCTTTCTGGGACCAGAAGAACGACGGGCTCTGGAGCTTCAAGTACGACGGTGGCGAGGCTAAGGGCATGGACATTGTCGTTACTGTCATCTGGATTGCTGTATAAATCGGCAATCCTGTAGTTGCGTTCAGGTCCTTGCATCCCGCGAGGTGATTTGTGTTTTCTCGAAAAAGCGCCCAGATCACCACACGGCTTCATGCGGCTCTGTTCACGACGAGCGCTGTTTCGCTCTTACGGCTTTCGCATCGCGGGAGCTCGCGATGTGAGACCAGGCGATGCCTGGCGCGGTAGGCAAGCGCGGCGGCCTTGTTGAAAAACAACCAAAGCTTGGAGACGACGCCTGCCTAGCCGCGCATCGCCATGGTCTCCGCTACTGTACCATTCACACTTTGTACTACACATGCGCCGACAACCTCCTCGCCGTTTTCGGGATCATTGCTCTCGAATGATGAGCCCGCCGAAAGGGCGGAGGATTACCGATTTCTTTCTGCTTTTTGTACAACTGTTGGGTTGGGCTCAGTCTGTCCTGAGCAGACCTACTTGCGATTCAGTCAGCCAACCAGGTCGAAAGGGACACGCCCATTCACCGGGCAGGACAAGTTCACCTTTCGCATGTCTGGAATGGGCACGCCAGGGGAATGGCGGATTTGGTCAACCAAAAAAAGGCAGGGAACCCCGAATGGGCACATGAGATCACGGGCAGCTCAAGCTGCTTCGTAATTGTCCACAGCGTGGACCGTCCAGCTCTGTTCGCGGTGCGGCCTGGGGAGACGAGACGGCGCATGTAAACACTTTGTTCGTATGGGAGCCTTCTGCATCATTATACCCAATTCACGTACATCATTTCCATTCCTGTGATGCAGCTGTGCACCTGGTACGCCGTAGTGAACTGATATCTGAGAGTGTTGTAGAATTGCTTGCTTCCATGCCTATGCCGCATGCGGCGAATCCCGACTTGTTTAGCTGACTCGACGGACTCACGCTGTCCAAACTCACTGCTCAAGTGTGCTTACCGAGCATCGCTGCCTGCTCTGGTCCACGTCGCCGCGGGGGGCACGCGGGGAGGAGGCGGGATCCTCGGCTGCTCACTTCCCCAGAGCTACCTTCGCGTAGCGTAGTTACATGCAAGGTCACCCACGCGCGCGTGCAGTGTGTTAAGAGCAAGGATGCCAATACTATTTCTACGAGGAAAGAGAGGAGGAGGGGTCTTTGGCACTTCCGTCAGAGCACCATCAAGGAAAATGAACACCCCCACGCCGTACACATTCTCTCACCTGCAGGGAGGGTGTGCCGTGTAACCCCTCCGTGCTACAGTACTACGTGTGCCCTGCTTCTGATACTGGGATTTTCTCGTTCTTAACGCCGGCCGCGCGCTGGACTTTATTTAAAGCTGGGTTTGCTTGCCTTAAGACAAGGCGAGCGAGATGCATACACACAAATGCGTAGAGGTGCATGTACGTTCGCACGCACGCACGCACTGCGATAGGTTGCCCACGACGATGGGGGTGGCATTTCCCCGCGTCCAGGGGGGGGGGGTTCTCGTTCTGCCTTTCTTAAAAACGCCTTTATTTGTGCCTGTTCGTCCGGTCTTACCTGCGTCGTTTTGCGCCTTATTGGTTCGCACTTCCGCGCATACGATGATGGTGCAAGGGCTTTCGTCTCTCTCTCTCTCTGTCTCTCTCTCCCCTCTCTTTCTGCCTGACCTTCTTGGCCCCTGCTCGTGAAGTCTACGACTTTGAAAAAGTGGTGTCAAAGAAATACGCCACTTCCCTCAAGCTCTGATGTATCGTTACATCTATCCTTGAGGACTACAAGTCGCCCTGGCTGGTTCGGGCACGCTCTTTTCTAGGTGCTGGTGCAGAGAGCTGGTGCTCGCTGGGCAGACTTGCAGGTAGGACAGTAACATGGAGGCGGTCCTGAATGCCGTAGCATCTAGCAGAAGTTTCCGTGTGGACGTGGGATCATCAGTCGGCCCATGGGGGGTCTCACGAGGAGCCGTGACAGGCCACGGACGTTGCCGACCCGGAGCACAATTGACGCGCGGGAAAATTGTTTAAAGCTACCGGATTTGAAGACACCTAACCCATCAACATTCCCATCCCCTTGACTGTGCAGAGGATGGTGTGATTGCTGTGGCGTGATGCAACAGCTTACGATACGAACTGCGTCGGGCTGAGGCGGGTGTGCTCTCTTTTTCTGTTCCTCGGATTGCCGAATCCAGTCTGGGGAAGTTGGCGCAGAGCCGACATCGGCCTTTACTTTGCCGGCATCCACACAGACCTCGCCTAGCTCGATCCAAGGTTTGCATAGGTTTTCGCCAGCAGCGCTGCGCGGTGGTCTTTGGAGCTAGCCTGCAAAATAGATCTGACCTCGGTGAAGGTAGCCGCTATCACATGTCGTTCCTCTTGTTCTCGCGACTCAGGTCGTGGTGGCTCTTGACTTCAGTTTGGTCGACCCCTTTAGGTGGCAGACGCCACGACGGCAAAGCGATTTGCTGGTGCCACTGATCCGCAGGCCATCACAGTGCCGAGAGCATCAGGGTCCTCTTCGCAGGGGGCTTGGAGACCACTGATTGCATCGCTTGTTCGATTGTGGGCGTGCTCTGTGGGGCAGGATTGGCACTGGAGACGTCATGCTCACCACTCATGAGCATTCTTGGATGGGCCCATTGTCGAGTGTGAGCGGAGAGATGAGCACAGCGGGATATCACTGAGTCAAGGAGATGTGCTGTACTTGCTCTCGTCTACAGTATTATGCAAGAACCCTCGGCATGCGGGACGATGCTGGGGAGCGCGAGTATGGCACACTCGTCCATACTTACCTTATGCTGCATGGCGGGATGGGCCATGCGTGTGGAAGTGCTTCTGGGCCTGGCGGCTGGCCCTCAGCTTCTCCAACCGAGAGCGTGGCTCAGCACGGCTAAACTCTTCAAAGCCTGGCAGAATGTACGCCACGTGTGATTAGTGTCTCGTCAGTAATTCTTCCTGCTCGCCAGTCCTCGGAAGGGTGGCGGCGTGGCCTGTTTGGGCAAGAGGGGTCCGATGGGAATGCGGGAGGGAAACCCAGAAAAAGAAAAAGAAAAGACAGGAAGAAGTGGAACAGACGAGAATCGGGTGGCGAGGCCGTTGGCCGGCGGCCCCCGCGCAAGCCACCTACCTGCACCTTGCACTGCAGCAGCAGCGCGACCGACTGACAGTCATCCGACCGAGCAAAGTCCTTCTCGAACACCGAAAGCGCGCTTCGGAAACCGACCTGCCTGCCTGTCAGCGGCGAGCCTGGCCTAGATGCGCAGGAACCCTTGCTCACCCTCCCTCGCGCTGACGTCGCCGGGCGTTTGCGCCCTGACTTGGCCGTCGCTGGCTGGTGCCGCTGGCGATGCACACACCCCTGGCCAGCCTCGCGCCGCGCCAATCGTCGTCGCTGCTCGCCTGCTCGACTGGGTCACGATGGCCGTCTTCCCCCCTTTTGGTGGAGTTTTCCCTCCCCCACCGCCCGTCCCCTTGTCGGGGGTTTTGGCGCCTTCGCCTACGCCTCCGCCTGCCCCTGGCTCAGGGCCGCGATGGGCCGACTCGTCAACCCTCGGATCGCCTTTTCCCCAGCTGGTTCTTCATAAGTCGTCCTCCCCCAGACTGTGGCTGACTGCTCGTGCTGTCCCGCCTTTGCTTGCCCGACATACACCAGCATACCAAAACCGACACAATCCGCCTCATACAAACGATTACCGAGATCCTGTACATCGATCAACCAGGACCTCTTCCACATCTGCCTCCAACACTACCACCCGCGCCCATCGTCGAGCCCCGGGGTTGCCAAGTCTCTTCGCATATCCTCTCGTGGGGTGGCCGACAAGTCCTTCGTATCGATAGGGATTGCCTATCTCCAAAAGTTCTCATCCGGTGTTCTCGAACACCAAACTCACCGGCGCGGCAACAATGGTCGAGGTGCTTCGAAGCCCGTCTCTTGTGCTGTCTGACTCGGAAGAGGGACTGGATGTCTCGACTCGATTCATGAGACTTGATCTCTCCTCGCTCAAGGAGGAGCAGAGGCTCCAGCATGACAAGAGCCAGTTACAACCACAGCCTCAAACGCAGAAACCGCAGGAGGAGCGGACACAGGAACAGCAAGCGCAGCGCGACAACTTCCAGCAGCAGCTGCAGCAATGGCAGTGGGACAATGTCGCCACTTCCTCTGGGGCAAGTACGCCCAAGAGCAGCTTCCTCGAGCCCCGCCGCGCGTTCTCAACCACAGACCAGCCGTCACGAGTCGGCACGCCGACCTCTTTCGTCTCTCGCTCTGCGGCTTCGAGGCCACTCAGCCCTATCCCCTCCCCTAGAGAACAACACGACATGACCGACTCGTATTTTCAGGCCGATGGCCGGACCTCGGCGGCGACGGTGCCGGTCTCCCCCGGCTTTGCTCGCCAGATTGCGTTCCTCGAGGGCGCCGCAACGCCCAGAGACAATATCCGTACTGCCTTTGGGAAGCCGATTGTGCCGGGCCCCCAGCGCTCATACTCTGTGATGGACTATGAGCCAGTGCCATTTACTCACCAGCCAGGAACCGCCCTGTTGCTCGTTCATCTCCCCCCCGAACTGCACTACGCCATCTTCGACTTTCTCGAGCCGATTGACAGCACAGCCTTCGCGCTGACCAGCAAGCACTTCTACATCATCCACCGCCAGATGCATGGCAAGGTGTCGCTGGCAACTAGACGATCCGGCCCGAACGATATGGAGTGGGTATGGCGGAATGCCGGCCCTTTTATCTCTGGAGGCCGCTCTGGCGGCATGGCCATCAAGCACAACGCGCTTGCAGAGCTGTCCCCGCGAGGCCAAGTCTACTGCCGCAAATGCCGCACCGCGCGCTGCGAGCTTCGCAACCATATTCGAGAGTTCTTCCCGGCCGAAATGGAGTACTGCGAGATTACCCAAAAGTATGGCGCCACTGCCCAGGCTGGAGCCAAGCCGGTATGCTGCCGCAGCTCACCACGGCACCCGCACCGCTGCGGACGGCACACTCGCCAGCAAAGGGTCGTTCGTCTGTCGTAGTGGAAGAGACAACGTCGCTGGAACTGGAAGTGGCGTGGGAGCGACCAAGATCAAGGCGGAGGAAGTTCGAGGGAGAACAAACCAAGCCGGACCAATACCCCAACTCCTGTGGCTGGCCGCAGGAATTGAACACTTACGGATATCCGCTTCACGGGCGCCGACGAATTAGAGCTCGACAGCATGCCTGCGGAAACTTGCGTGTGATGCGCACGCTCCAATCGCACGTGCTACAACCGCCATAGGACGTTATGTGATTTCGCGCCTGTTTCCGCTCAGGCGAGACGTCACCGTCAGAGTCGGTGGCTCGGTAGTCCCGTGCACTCAGCAATGGTCTATGGCGTGACCACCCAGCAGCAAAGCTCATGAGGGGATACCGAGACAGCAGTAGCATGGACGAGAGTCACGATGCATGAGTGCGTGGATTGTACTGCAGAAACGCAGGAGGCGCCGGTGTCAACGATCGAGACTGTCGTCGATTCGCAATGCGAGGACATTGGTGATACGAGATTACGCCTGCTTTTTCACCCCGAAGTCGAGCTACTGACACTGATATCGTTGATTTACGATTGCGATAAGCATAAAACATTCGTACGAGCAGGAGTTTATACGATCACTAGAGGAGGATGCATGGAATGACGATACGAGCATGACAGTAGAGAAGAGTGACGAAACTAGTCTTAGAACCTGTAATGACCAACCGATAAGAAACGAAACAAGTATTTTCTATTTGCTTGAGACCTGTTTCTGCACATGTCAGTGGCCGAGCCATGTTGGAATGCGCCTGTGAGCGACTGCCTTATCAAACCTGAAAGCGTGGCGGAGGTCGACTCCGCTCTGCAGGGTGGCAATGTGGGCACGTCATCTCACGATTGGGCGGACCGCTTGCGCGGGCACGGAGGTCCAGAGAGTAAGGAGGACCCTATGTGACGTGGAAGCTAGCAGCCGCTGATAGGGGACGAGATATTGAACTGAAGAAGGATACCGGACGGCGCTGGATACACCTGGTATTTGTATACTTCGCTAAATGTGGTATTTGAGAGGGTCAGAGACAAAAGCACAGTGTTAAAATGTGAGAGGCGCTCCCGATCGGCCGATGCAGGCGCACCGTAATCTGGGGGCGTTCCCAGGTTTAATGTTCACAATTCTGGTCGTTTGCTGGGCGGGCGGGTGCTGGCCTGTCCACTTTTGAGTGCAAGGGAAGGGGTGTGGCCTCTGGGTATTAGGATAGCTCATGGGCCAGCAGGGTGATTGTCGGGAAAGGGGAAGCAGGAGCTCGCAGACATGTTTTGAAGGTTCTGAACAGGATCGTGGGCTTTCTTTTCATTTGGAGGATGGAGTTTGCTCCTCCACGAAGTTCCAGGTTGGTTGAAGTCTAGGCACCTCGGGGTCGTTGTTGGTGGTCTCTTGGGGGTAGGAGGCCCCTGTATGTATGGGCGAAGAACTGAAACCGCAAATCTGGCTTTTGGTCGAGACCTGGCATTGTGAATGGAATCATCAGTCAAATCTGAGATGGTTCTGGCAGAGGACACCAATTAGGGTTTTTGCAAGTTCCTGATAGCGTGTACCCCAGGCAAAGCGGTAGAAGCACGAGTCCTTGATTTGGGGCCTCCCATGCCTTGGTTGAGCGAGGGGAGTCAGTAAGGTCAGTCAGTCAGTGAGGTATCCATGGATTGATTGTGTAATTGCACGCCGCCGCCAAGCCACTCCCGCACCCGCGCAGCACGCACGGACGCACGCACGTACTTGCTGCAGAGCCCGACAGTCGACATCACTCTCGCCCCCCTCGTGCTTCCCGGCCGCCCGCCAATCATTTTTTTGTCTCCTGTCTTGCGCTGGAACAGCAGCTCAATTGCGCACAGGAAACCTGGCCAGGCTTCCTTGCACGAGGTCTGACGTCTGACGTCTGCTCCCTTGTCCCACCATTCTGTTGGCACCCACCTTGGGGCCCTGCCTGTCTTGTCCTCAACACTGCGCTGCACGGTACGGTGCGGTGCTCCTGCTCCACCCCTGACGGACACGCTGCTCAACCGTCATACGCCGGGCTCTCTTTTCCCACTTCCTCTCTTTCTTCCTGGGTTCCTTGAATATTTCTACCTCGTTTGCTCTTAATCATGCCGTCGCCATCGTCACAAGCCGGCAAGCGCAAGCGCCCCAGCACCGCCGCCTCCGCCATGCTCGACGACCAGACCGTCCTCCAGCCGTCGTCTCGCGACGCCTCGGGCGAGGATGGCGATACCACTGCGCCCGAGTCGGCTGGCCGCAAGACCACTTCCGCGACGACGTCAACAACCGCCGCCCACCACCGCAAGTCCGACTCGAATGGCAACAACAGCGCGAACCCGGCTAAGCGCCACCGTGCCGGCTCAGACGCCGCCGGCGCTGCTGCCGCAGAGAACACGGTTGACCCCGGCGAGCCGAGCGACACCACCGAGGCCAGCATAGACATTGCCGACCGTGTCGGCCGCAAGTCGAAGCGCGCCACCATCTCCTCCGCCAAGGACGTCCAGATGGGCGGTGACGACAGCAGCGACAAGAAAAAGGCCGACACAATGGCGCCTCCCCCGATCGGCACCCTCACCCACCCCGTCGGCTACCGGACCAATGACCCTCCAGAGGGCCGCCAGATTCGTGTTTACGCCGATGGTGTCTTTGATCTCTTTCATCTTGGGTGCGTCCCCCTTCCCGGAGCTTAATCCCAGACCCATTGGCCCACCGGCAAATAGCTGACACAGTTTGCGCGACTTCTAGCCACATGCGCCAGCTCGAGCAGGCCAAGAAGGCCTTCCCCGATGTCTACCTACTCGTTGGCGTGACGGGCGACCAGGAGACGCACCAGCGCAAGGGCCTCACTGTGCTCTCTGGCGCCGAGCGTGCCGAGACCGTCCGGCACTGCAAGTGGGTCGACGAGGTCATCGAGAACTGTCCCTGGATCGTCACGCCAGAGTTCCTCGACAAGCACCAGATCGACTACGTCGCGCACGACGACATACCATACGGTGCGGACGAAGGGGACGACATCTATGCCCCAATCAAGAAGGAGGGCAAGTTCTTGGTCACGCAGCGCACCGAGGGCGTCAGCACGACCGGAATCATTACCAAGTGAGTATATGCTTTGCGAAATGTACTTCAGACGATCAGTGCTGACCTTTGACACTTAACCACCAGGATCGTCCGTGACTACGAAAAGTACATTTCAAGACAATTCAAGCGCGGCGCCTCGCGGCAGGAGCTCAACGTCAGCTGGCTCAAGAAGAACGAGCTCGACCTCAAGCGCCACGTCCAGGACCTTCGTGATAACATCAAGTCCAATTGGGCCACGACCGGCCAGGAACTCACCCGCGAGCTGCGCCAGTACTGGCCTGCCAGCCGGCCCCAGAGCCCTGCGCCCCTTTCGCGCCTTCCCAGCACGCCGGGACCCAATGGCTACAGCGACGCCAACAGCATGCGCGAGGCCGCCGCCGCTGCGTCAATGCTGCGCTCGCCCACGACGCCTGGCGCAGACAAGCCTCCGCCCAGCGAGTTCATGTCTGGTTACACACTGGGTTTGATTGGTGGTGTAAGATCATGGGTATGTCTTCTTAGTCCGTTCCAGCTTTTCTTTTCCTTCTCGTTTCTAGAGAATCTTGTTGCTGCCGTGACGTGAGTTGCTGACGTGTGCTCGCACAGATGACCAAAAGCCAGCGGAATCTCCGCGACAGCCGGCCCGCCAGCGACGACGAGTCGGACGACAGTGAGGAGAAGCAGGCGGAGAGAGGCCGTCCTGGAGCCAGCACGTCAGCGGCTCCGACCTCGGCAGCCGCGCCTGCGCGGTCATGAAGCTGAAGCTGGCAGGAGGAACATAGTCGTGGACAAGCCGCCAAAGCACAGCAATAGCCGCGGTTTACTGGATGGTGATGGTGGAGCGGGTAGTGGTTTCAGATGGGACACCTGTGTATCAACTTTTCCTTTTAATGTCTGAGGTGGTTCGTGAAATAGACGCTGCCCGCACGCACGTACGCACGGCAGGAGCGGCTCAAAAAAAGAATTACATGTGTTGTATTAGCCGTCGTGTCAAGAAAAAAAAAACACCTGGCCTGAAACCGAAAGACACGCGGGAGTATCATGGCTCGGCCTCACGCAGAAATACTTGGGTGAAGTGGTTGGCTCATGTGTCGGGGAAGCTCGATAGGAGCGAGACCCCGTTTGCAATGAAGAGAAGACGAAGAAGAAGAAGAAGAAGAAGAGGGAGAAACTGGTTCCAAGCCGATGTCAAGTACTGCTTCGCGGCGCGGGCGGTTATTACTGAAACCCCTCCGGCCTCGGTCGTGATGGTGTCAGTCGGGTTTTTGCGAGGGAGACGTAGAGAGATACGTTGTACACAAACTATATATGAGTACTATCGCTGCTGCTGCTGCTTCTGCTTCTGCGCACTGCCTGGGCGGGATGGATGAGCCAGAAACAGTTGTTTTCCCTGGGAGATCTGGGCAAGGGAAGCAGAGAGGATGGAGGAAGAACGGAAGAGAAGGGGAAAGAGGGAGAGAGAGACATACGCAGAAGCACATACACAGCGCCTCGCTTACGCAATCGTTAGTCTCACGGACAAAGGATGTGGCTCGCAGCCAACGGCATCACGTGTGATCGCACGACCGCAAAGCCCTGTCCATGTTAATAGTTCCTGTGCCCGTTCCTCGATGTCACTCTACTCGTCCGCCCCGTCCGTCGGTGGTCGGTCGTCATTGTTGTTGTCGTGGTCATCGTCGTCGCTGATATTGTCCTTGGCGTGTAAATGAATCGGCGCAAGTATCGACGATGGACCGCTGGTCGAAGCACGTTCACTGCCTCTCCCCATGGGCATGATGGCACTGGGGACTACCTGTCTGTTGCCCCCCTGGTGCGCGTGATATGCCTTGAAGCTAGACCGCGCTGCTCCCATACCATCTCAGCTCCCATGTCGTCCCTCCATTGGTGGACTATATTTCTGAAAAGCGAATAGAGGTGGCGGAGGCAAGCTTCAGATGGCTGGCTGGCTGGTCTCGTGTGTTGTGTGACTAAGTCCCATGTGATTGCCGGCGTGGCCTTTGCGTTGCGGAAGGCTTCGGCGTGTTCAAGTACTCTGTACTTATTCGCTACTCATGTGTATACGTATGTTGTCGGTGAATTGTTGACACTTCGTTCAAGCCTTTGGCGATTAGCTCAAGCCGTGCTGGAGACTTCCCACGGGCATGGAATGTGACTGCGAGAAGAATAGACATTAATATGTGACGGGCTTCCGAGAGAGAGAAAGACAAGTATCATATCGCCTGATAAACGAGGTCTCGCAATGCCACCGCGCTAGGAAGTGACGATGACCTGGCTCAGCTGTTGTTCGCACGCAACCCGCTCACTCTCGGTCTGACATCCCAATCCAGACCTTGATAGACGGCGGTCATACCTCGCTCGTGCCAGTCAGCCAAGATGTTATGTCTCTACCTCCAGAAATGCACGCGTGAGAAGTGAGCGAGCCGCATGCAATCTTGCAAGGATGGGCCAGTAGACACATGCCTGGGCCGAACTTCCCCCCTGCCTTTCCCAGACGTCAGCACAAGCTCAATTCCCGTGAATTCCTGCCGGGCACATGAGAGAGGGGAAGACGGCGAGCAAACAAACGGCCCCCCGCGTCTTCACCAAGGACGGAGCGTGAAAGTCCCGTATGCCGGGTCTGGCTGGCCCGAGCTCCTCGCTCGGGCCGGAGAATATCCTGCCTAGCATCAATGCAGACTGGGGGGTTACTGGATGACAGCTGACTGGGCGTGGGGTGTGTGCTCTCTAGCTGTGACGTTTCCTGGTTCGGGTTCAGACAAATACCCTTGCTTCGAATCTCTCCATGCCTGGAGGGCGTTCGAGCCTGTCAAAGCATCCACTGCTGTTATGTCTCGTAATGCTCGGTGTTTTGTCCGGTAGTCGTCTGGCAGGGCTAAGCACTGTGCGGTCTGAACGCATTTAGCCGATGGCTTTTTTTTCTTGAAATGGAAACAAGGGGGCCCGCAAGGTTCAGCCTTCCCTCGCATAATTAAAGCAACTGCTTATCGTGCGAACGAGCTTTCTTGTCTGGCAATAGAGTTTATAACCCCGTCGTTGCGAGTTGGGGGTTGCCCGGGCCTAGGACCGCGCGTAAAGTCCCACCTTCTGTGGACCGCTTCAGTGATCTCGATTAATATTCATGATCACGGGTAAATAAGCAGACGTCTTAACCTGGGCCGCCGAGCATCCTCGGCATGCTGCTCACTTGTGGCTTTTCTCGTGGCATGGAGAACTGGGCGTAGCACCCCTGTGCAGCCACTCTGACGACCAAACAGTTGTCGCTGGTCGGCTTGTCCAAGTCTGACTGCGTTGTTTCATCGCCGCGGGAATGCCATGTCACGTTGTGACAACTGCCGGCCATTGACAGGGCGTCGCCGATCTGATACATGCCGCTAATGAGAGACGGACTGCCACCAAGGCGCGCCTGGGCACTTTATTGTGACGAATCGTCACAAGGCACCCTGCAGGAGCCATGTATATAAGTGGCAATGCTAACGCGAGATCGGGCTGTCGTTGCATTTTGGAGATTGTTAAGCTGACACCTGACTAAGAAAGACGGCAACGTGACCCGCGACTTGACTGAATCAAAGCCGGGTTTGAAGTGCTGTAAAGTCGAGGTCAGGGTCGAGGTCGAGCATGGTATGACATGAAAGACTTGGACAAGTTTGCGATCCGTGGACGAGACGTCAGACAGCCGCCGCGACCCGCACAAAGTTCCGAGTACGCGGCCCCACCGGGCAGCGACTTCTGGATTGCACCAATCGGTGGGGGACCGCGCGCCAGGTGAGGACTACTGTACGCCGTGCCGTGTGAGCTGTCAAGCACGTGTTGTGCTGTTGTTGGTGGCAGTTGGTCCTGGCCACGACCTGTCGATGCCAAGAGAGCTGAAGCTCGAGTGTGGAATCATGAAGGGGGTTGGCACGCCAGAGAAGACAGGGACGGACGAAGAAGGAAAACCAACGGTGCAGGGAGGACAGACCCAGGGCGCAGGACCCAATACCATGTTCGCAGCCGAGCAGCGCTAGCCCGAAGGAGTAATCCGGAGGGCGGTGTGATTGGAGGAGAAACAATAGGCCGGCCGAGCGCGGGCAGGAGCACCTGCGGGCGCGCCTTCCCCAGGTCCTGGCATGCCCTGCGCCCCGGAAACCTCCCCCGCGAGCTGCGAAAACCCCCCAATCACCAGCGCCCACAGGGGCCTACGGCCGCGCCCAGCGACAATGCGGAGCCCTTGCACTGCAGCCTCCCATCCCCAGCGCCTGCCCTGCGCTCGCAACTTGGCTCGCCTGCCTGCCTCATGCACCACCTGGTTTGCATCGCAGCCTCTTGCAACAAAGCACTCTCCCTCACTTCCAGGCGAGAATAACCATCACCGTCCTCCTGTCAGCTTCTCGACTGACCCGCCCGCCAGCCTGCCTGCTCGCCCTCTTCAGCGCCCCGCCAACCCATCGCGGCCTCAGCTCTACTGGCTGGAATAATTATCTCGCTCCTCTTATCGCTTCGCTTCGCCTCGCGTTGGCTCCTCTCTCACGCGCGCGGGCCGCCGTTCCAGCCCTTGTCCGCTTTCATCGCTTGCCAGCCCGGCGGCCGCAAGCAAACAAAAACCCCCGGAGCCGCCGTCTCCCTCGGGTCTTCCTGACCTCACTTCCTGATCCGCCGCCGTCGCCGCCGCCGCCGTTGTTGGGCCCGCCTTTTCCTCACCAGCCAGCCCGCCTGCATTCTCATGGCTGACCTCGGCAGGCTTGGCCCATACTTGTTCGACGACGACCTTACTTCGTAGGCAGGTAACCTGGCTCGACACTTGCGCCGGATCTGAACGAAAAAGTGTGCCCGTCAGAGGAGCGCGCAGGGACTTGACCAAGCCACTCCCTCGGCAAGCGCTCAGGATTAGATTGCGCCCCCGACTCACAACGACCAGGATCATTGCAATTACCCGCTGTGCATTGGATTTAGGCGCAGGACCGCCAACCGCGCTTCAGGAAGGGAAATAGGGCTAATTCGACACTGTGGTCGACTCCTCTACGCGGTTCAGGACCACAATGACGGCTTCCGCCATGGCGACCGTACAGCACATACAACATGCGCCGTCGCATGCCGCACGGCCGCTGAGCATAAGCGGTGGATTGCTAGTCAAGCCAGACGTCGAGATGGTGTTGGACAGGCAGCATGACTCGACGTCGACTGCAGTCAACGGAGCGTCAATATCGAGCGGCCTCAAGAGAGGAGACAAGCGCACAGCAGTGATAATCTATGGGCCAGGACAGGAGCAGATCGTTTCGTTGTTTGCCGACGTGCTCGGGAAGCCGTACAAACTGGTCGGCAGCTTCCAGGGCATCTCATCGATTGAACAAGAGGTCGTTTTAGGGTTGACGGCTAACGATGCCAAGATTGACATTTCACTACGCAACAAGTCTGCCGTCGTTGCTATCAACGCACATTGTGTCCGGCTGGGAATGCCGCCAGATTTACACCTCTCGACGCATTCCGACTACGAATTCCTCTACAATGAGGGGCCATTGTGCCGGAGGGACCTGGCGCGTTTTGTATCTTTTACACTCGGGCAGATCAACCATTTCGACACTCTAATGGCGAAGCCCCGCACATATTTTCTCTCCATGACTTTTCCGGATGTCCGCGCGGCCTTGTCCAACATCGACATCCTTACTGTCGGCGCTGACGCCGTCGAGCTGCGTGTCGATCTGCTCAGGGAGCCTCTCCCAGATGGCACATTTGCTGACGTCCCCAGCCTCAGCTATGTCGGCGAGCAGGTCATGCTCCTGCGTCAACGCACCGAGCTGCCCATCATCTATACCACGAGATGTACTGCTGAGAATGGCCGGTTCCCCATGAACAACCCCGAGCTCTTCTATGAATACCTCCACCGCGCCATACAATGGGGGGTCGAGTACATCGATGTCGAGCTCTGGCTTCCCGAGGAGATACGGCGGCGGCTGTACGAGCAGCGCGGCAACAGCCACATCATGTCTGCATTTCACGACTTCTCAGGCACCTTCAAATGGCCGTCTGCCAGAGCGCAATCTATTTTCGTCGAATCGCGCAAGTACGCCGACATTGTAAAGATGATTGCCATAATCAACGAACACAACGAGAACTTCGAGCTCGAGTACTTCCGGTCAAAGATTCGACAGGACTTTCCCGACGGCCCGCCGCTCTCTGCCGTCAACATGGGCGCGCTTGGCCAGTTCTCGCGAACATTAAACAAGGTGCTGACGCCAATCACGCACCCGCTGCTCCCGCTGATCGCAGCGCCCGGTCAGATGAGCGCCGCCGAAATCAATTCCGCGTTGTCCCTGGTGGGCCAGCTACCAAAGAAGTTCCTGTATGGCATCTGTGGCCCCTTCTCTCGAGTAGGCACGCCTCACGCGCCCTTCTATGAGAAGTGTTTCAACGAGCTCGGCCTGCCGCATCATTTTGCTGTCATTGAGCGGCAACCGAGAAATATCGGCTGCATCGAGACTCTGTGTAATCAGAAGGCCTTTGGAGGTGCATACCTCAACCCGCCAGTCTCTTTCAATAGCTTGATGCATAACAGCGCGTTCTTCTCGAGACTTTCCAATGGCGCCGGACCAACGTTGACAGAAGCCGCGCGCATGATTGGCGTGGTCGACACAATCTTTGTGCGCGCTGCGCACAACTCGGCACCAGTATCGGCACCGCCTTCAGTCCCCTCGAGCCCAAGCTCGCGAGGCGACTCGCCCCTTCACAGGATTGCGGAGTCGAGACATGGATTATCACCCAGCGATGGCCTCGTCTTTGACAATGCAAGCTGGCGCGGTATAGTTAGCACACTCACGAGGGATCTGGCCCCATCTGCCTACTTCGGCAGGACAGCGGTAGTTCTCGCTGCTAATTCGGATGACGCCGCGTCTACAATGTATGCTCTAAAAGCTCTGCGCATCGGAAAAGTCTACACTGTAGGATTCAAGACGCCTCTGGTACTCGCACGGGGTCTTGTGGTGGAACCCTTCAACAGCCTCGAGAGCTTACAGCGCGCGCGATCGCTCAATGACGACGCGAGCCCGTTTGTCATCGTCTCTGCACTCGGGGCCGACAAGGCAAACATTGTAGGCATGCTGGTCCGCGTCTTTGGTGGCTCGAGAGGCTCGTCGCCGAATATCCGCAAGGTATTCCTTGATCTGGCCGACGGTCCACGCAAGGGTGACCCAGGCGCCATCGCGGAGCAGAGCGGATTTGCAGCATATGGGATCGCAGACACTGTCGCTTTCACTACTGTGGAGACGTTGCGGCTTCTCGTGGGGCAGAATGTGCCGTATAGTTTTGTCAGACTAGCCAGTGGTAATGGCATGTTTTGATGCGATGTCGCAGAGTGTGGTCATCCTTCGACATCCTATGTGTTGTGAAGGTCTGGCTTCACTTCTCGTATCAAAGCTTGATGCATTTGATGAGCTGGGCATGCAGACTTGCAGGCTTGAAGGTTCAACATATTGGCAAGGCAAAGCGACTGGATGTCAAGGCACCCCCCATCAGCGGCCGCAAGCGTGAGTAACCTTTTAGCTGAGCTCTCAGACTCCGGGTTGAAGGCGAGTCACAAGTCACTGGCGATTGGCGGGTGACTGCGGCGCAATTCCCCCAGAGCTCTTCGTAAGTGCCTTTTACCTTTCGTCTTGATCATTAGACGCAAGGGGGCACTGTTCAGGACATAACTTTTGTTTGGTGCTGCGGCTGTCGAGCCGTGCGCGAGCGAGGGATGAGGTCGACGATGTCGGAGAGCGCCGCCGTCGCGGTTGGGTGGGCCGGAGGCGGGGTGGGAGGTTTGGTGTCGTGTGATAGATCTAGCTGGACATTGTCAGATCCCCCCCTTTTGTCCTGATCTTTTCTTACTTTCCATGCATTAGCGATTTCTCACTGGGCAGAAGAAGGATGGCATCTTTCTCTCTCTCCCTCTCTCCCTTGAATAACAGTGGGGATACATGACAATATACACATTTTTGCGATACCTTGACCTCAGACGTACCGAGTGACCGATTGAGTGACTGTGATGGTATGGTATGCGACATCTGGAAGGTGTCTGCGTCTCTCTGTCTCTCCCCCCCTCCCTTTCTCTCTCTCTCTCTCTCTCTCTCTCTCTCTGTATGTCTCTCTCTCTCTCTCTGTGTCTGTCTCTGTGCGCCTGTCTCTGTGTCTGTCTGTCTGTCCTGGACGAAAATTCGTTGCCACTCGAGTGCTTGTGACAATGTAGCGTTCTTGTCGTGTCGTAGCCAGCCAGGACGGGCGGGCATGTTGTTCGTGTCTTCTGTTGGTAAATGAAGAGAGTCTTCGGCGCGTGTTGTTGTACTCTTCTGCGGGTATCGTTCAGGCCAATCTCTGGACAGACAGGACGGAATGGTTTCTTCGTGTTCGATGAATGAAGAGAGACTTTGAGTGCGGCATGTTGTATTACTTTGCCGTTCTCGCTGAGGAAATCTCCTTAGAGGTTCTCGTTCAGGATCTCTGCTCTGAGGGAGAACAAACTGCTCACAGCGAAAGGCCCCGGGTCCTATGGAGTTCTGCGTGGCTGACGTCCTGTGGCTTTCACCTCTAGACCAGCCATTGATGAGCAGAAGAGGCGTTGGGTCATCTTTCAATGCCTACATAGATACTGCTCTCTCGCACGGTTATGCCTGGGGATAACACCTTTCATAAAGTTGGGCACAAGACCTCCTGCTGGGGGAGCACCAGTACGGAAACGTCAAGTCAGCATAAGCAGTCTGGGTACATGGACCAAACGATGTCGAGCACTCTCTTTGGAGAACACAAATGCATGGTAATTTTTGCGGACCCCAACGCAAGAGCCAAGCATATGCCATCTTATCAAACCAACCCGAGCCAGTCGAACTGACAGGGAAGGGCCAGCTGTGAGGCCGGATGGTCGAATGACTTGATCATAGCTCGCGAATGGCGAGCGAACCACTTCGGATGCGCTGGGGACCAAAGTCCGGCTGGGCCAATCTTCTCTGACAAAGCCGTCTTGTCCTTATCACTCGAGACTCCAGCCAGGACGCAACATGAGGAGGGAGACCTTGCAGATTACAGCTCGCTGACTGTCTCTATCTCTCTCTCGAGAGAGCGGGAAAGATGAGATGGAACTTACCAGGGTTCCCGAGAGGGTGGCGAGTCTAGGGCATTCCATGCGGAGGTGTGAACCTGCTGACGCGCGTCTCCAGGCGGCTTCCGTTGGGAGCAAGCGCCCAACTGGAGAACACGAGCCCCCGTCGTACTATCATTGAGGAGGATATCTCTATCATGCATAAGTACGAGCATGCCTATTACAGCCTCCAGCGGCGACCCGTGGGTTGCATGTGATATGCCCGTGGGCAGACAAAGAGAGACAAGATGGCAGCTCGCTGCCAAGTCCGGGTTGGTGCCTGCCGAATGATCAAGGAGGTGTGTTCAGAAGAAAAGCAGCCATGCCCCCCGAAACAAGTAAGCTTGCCGGACCTGCCACGGCTCCGACTCTCGTGTGTGTCTTGCCATGCCCTCTTCCGTCTGATGTCCATCTGGGGTGATGTCAGAGCGCGGGCGCTGTGCAACCACTCTCTGTCAATATTAAGCCAGACCTGTCGTCTAATTACGTTCTATAGAGGTGGTTGTATTGGGAGGGAGTAGGCCCAGCCTGGCAGGGAGGAGCATCTCGAACGGTATAGGCATGATCCGAAAGCCACCCTGGAGACGATCATGTTTCACCTGGTGTTGGGACGAAACTGGCTGGGCGAACATGTGAACGAGTGCCTAACAGGACACCCAGCGCGCGTGTGGATGAGCGGTGGTCGCTCGATAACGTCGCGTCAGCAAGTCGAGAGGAAATAGGCAGTGCTGGACAATAATTATGGATGCGGCACAAGAAGGGATGACGGGCGGATGATCAGACGGAAGACGCTTCACTGCTGGCGTGCAGAGTTGCACTCGAGGAACCCTGGCCTGTCAGTGGGACAAGGTGACGGCAGGTCGTGCGCAAAAACAGGACGAGCTGTGCGGCAAAGCGCTCTCCCGCCGTGGTGGAGATGGAGTCCGTCGAGGGCAGAGACGGAGCCGTCGGCAGGACGAGACCGAGCTCTATGCCAGAAGGGGCCCGAGATTCATGCGCCGTCGATCTCACAAGATGGGACGGAGATTTGCTCGACGATGCATATGTAGCGAGATGGTTTGTCCGGCAGACTGGTCACTTTCTGGGGCGTGTCTCCCGGAGATTTCTCAATGGGGGGGAGGAGAAGAAGAAAAATAAGAAACGTCAGGGTGGTGGTGGTGGTGGTGATCGTGCCTTCCTTTTGCCAAAGTGGTGCGTGACGCAGAGCGCCTGCCATTCTCTCTCTCTGTCTCTCTCTCGCTTTCCTCTCCCTCTCTTGAATGCAGGTTGGCCTGGGGCACCAACCAACGGCCAGTGCTCTGTGTACGCTACCCGAGATGCGAAGCACCAAATGCGAAGCACGAGATGACAACAAGACCACCACCACCACCATGACAGCCAGCCAGCGCCGCCCGTGATTAGTCAAACGTTACGCGATGTCGAGGGCTGTAGCATTGCCCCTGTTGCAAATCCCTTGCCCGCAGATCGGGGCTTGCTGAGCCGGGTGGTCCCTCATCTGCGACCCTGGACGACCTCACACAACGCACGCACCGCCACGTTGCCCTGGGCCCAGCATCTGCGACTCAACACCCATCCGTGTGGCTGCCCGGCCCGTTTCGAATGTTCCTTTTGCCTGCACGGCCGTTGCCTGCACGGCCGTTGCCAAGTGCGCCTCTTCGTCCGAATCCTCCCTCGCATCCGACGTCAGGGCGATCCATCCTCTGGGACAGACCCGAAATGGAAAACCACACCCATGGTTGCCAAGTTGATGGCGGCAGGCAGACAGGCTCGTGGCCCAGACCTACCTGCCTACAGACAGGTCTGCGACCGCTTCGGGCGTGTCGGCCTGCCCCCACGCCATCTTTGCCAGAGCGTCCTTGTATCGGTCTGTTGCCTTCTGTTGTTTTTGTTCTTGTTGCTATACAAACAGGATAGTTGATGGTGCAATCAGCGCCAAGGTCGTCTCGTCTCACATCTGGAGATCAAAGATACAAAATTGCGGACTAAGCGACGCCTGCCAAGCGCCAGTTGCCCGTCGTCACCTTGATTGCTGAGGCACAGCTCGTTCCTTATTTCGAGATGCCCAGCATCCATGAGACTTGGTTGACGTGATATCGGCCAGGTTCACAATAACAGAGCTGCAGCTCATCATCGCCTATCTCGATGCGGCTCTCCTTCCAGTCCCGACGGTTTCCACCAACATCTTTCCCAAAGGCTCCGATGCACAATCTCGTTAAAAAACCAAGGCTCACATCACCCGTGCTATTGCTGCGCGGGGCACGATTGCACGACTCTCAGAATTGACAGATCACCAAAACCACGCCTTGCTTGTGGGTTGCAGGCAATCTTCGTTTGTCGGAATAGCTCTGTGATGCGTACTCCAAAGCTGTGTGCATTTGAAGCAGGAGAGTCGACCATCCGGAGTGGACCGCAGCCAAAAGGTGGATACTTGCAACATCAAAATCATATTTGCGCAATGCACTTTGGTGAGTCCTATCTCGTGCAAATCCACTGACCGTCATGTCTGATCACGTCCGTAGGCATTCTCGTTGCAGCCCACGGGTCGACGCTTTGTGCCGAGTCGTGTGAGAGTAGTTCCGGCTGATGAGCACCAGCGCGATTGCAAAGCATGTTGCGCGCTCTCTCTCTCTCTCTCCCTCTCGTTCCTCGATCAGGTGTGGCGCCCACGGGCACTGTGACAATGGGAAGCCAAGACATTGCTGTCAAAAGGTTAAGGTCGCCTTTCCACGTCCCCCGCAGCGATCACCCCCTCTCGACGCCGGGCGCTGTAGGCTGCTTGCTTGCTGTGTGTGGCTTGACGAGGCAGGCCGCTGCGCCCGCCGTGCTGGAACGCCAGAGAGTGAGCCAACCCTGGCTAATGAGACTGGGACCTTGGGTGGTTTGACACGGAAGCATGGCCGCCAACGTTCTAGCCGCCTCCACATGGGCCCCTGTCCCTTCCCCCATGCCCCCGGCTTTTGGAGGAGGACGAGTCGGCATGGGTCCTGCCTGTTGTCGTCTCCACCGTCACTTGTCGCCCGTTTTCTCGTCGCCTCCTCTGCTCCGCCCCTGGTAAAGCACATGGGTCCCCTCCTCTGCGACCTCCCAGTGTCGTGCTACGGTATCAACAAGGACTGCCCGTCAGACTCCGCCCTGTTCCATCCCGCGCGTCAAACCTCACAGATTGTGACAACTCGGCGCCTCCATCCTGGCACCGGAACTTGGTCTTCTACACCAAGAGAAATAGCAAGGCATCATCCACCACGGTGCTTCACATGCGAGCTACAATGTCGCATGCCCACGACGTGGACGGCCGTACTGCCTGAGACGTTCCCGCGCTTCACTGTCCGCAGCGCCCGTCTTGACCAGTACTTGAGTTGACAGCCTCCTCACCTCCGGCAGTTCCTTCACCCTTGGCCCACCCGCCTCGCAGCTGTCTGAGTTCAGCAACCTCTCCCGGCTCACCCCTTCTTCGTTATGGACGCGTCCATGCAGCCAGTCGCTATCCCTCGCCAGCAGCTAGGCATTGACCGGTTGCCGACACGGCGCATAAGTAATGAGCCGCGAGAGTCTATGAACTGCAAGTCGTGCAGAAAGCGAAAGGTTGTTGCATCCGTTCTTGCCATGCTTGCGTGCTGCCTTGGGAGATGCCGTTCTGACTTCTCACAGATCAAATGCAACCGCCTGCGGCCATCATGCGAGGCATGCCAGGTCTTTCAATGCCCTTGCGTGTACGGTAGGTGCAGAAAGCTCCTCTTTCTCTCTCTCTTCGAGTCTTGAAGCTCGAGATGAGACGGTATGATGACATGTATTGACTCTGAAACAGACGCGGTCCCAAAGAAACGAGGGCCCAAGACAGATGTCCTTGAAGCACTGCTGAAGCGAGTAGACGGCTTGGAAGCACGTCTCAAGCATGAGAAGAAGTCAGGCAGCGAGTCCAACGCAGACGATGGACAGTCGGCTTCTCCAAATGAATCAGAGCACAACAACCCTCTAGTTGCGGCAGATTCGACTGCATATTCACCTGTTGAACCCGTACCCAAGCGCGCAAGAGCGCCTACAATCCAAAGTATCGCCCAGCCCAGGCGTTCACACGATGCTGTACCCTCTCCGCCTTTGACATCCGAGCCGCCTCCAGAAGTCCAGACCGAAACGCTCCTAGACACGTACTTTGCACAGTTTCATGGCAAGCCCTACTTCATTGTGGAAGAAGCATCCTTCCGCCACCGCTACCAGGCGAAGCAGCTTCCGTCGTACCTCTCCAGCGCGATCTTTGCTGTCGCTGCCCGGTGAGTCTTCTCTCTGCTCAGAGATCCTGCATCAGACCTTGCGCAGTGGTTTTCTAATTGTGTGGCGCTTGTAGCTACGCACCACACCCAGGCGGCAGCCAGGCTGCTGTGCGGCTGAGTGAGAGACTCGCCATCCAATCCAGAAATGAGATCGACACCGATGAGCCATGTATGGACTCCTTGCAAGCCATGCTGCTGCTGGTGACTGCGTTCACCGCTGCTGGAAAAGGGCGAAGAGCATATATGCTTATGAGTGAGTCGTCAAACATGGGCCCTCAGCCATGGGGTTTCGGTCAGACTGACCCAGAAAACTTGCAGGCATGGCGGTTGGCATGGCCATCGCTCTCGAGCTGCATCGCGAGGTCGACGCCAACTCTCGCCTATCAGTCACGGAGCGCGAGTCCAGACGTCGCATCTTCTGGACCTGTTATCTACTGGACCGGTTCATGGCATGCGGCTCCAAGCGACCGTGCCTGATTAGCGACAAGACAATCCTGTTGCGACTGCCATGTTGGACGCCAATTGGATCGAATGTGGCCGTCGAGGGCGAGTTCTTCCAGCGAGGCTCGAATCTCCACTACCTGCAGGGGAGCGGAAAGAAGTCTCAAGGCAGTAGCGGCATGCTGATTGACATCAGTCGAATATTGGGTGTCACCAATCAATATCTGGCAGCCGGGGGCATCAAGGGCGACTCGCATTTCCCATGGCACTCCTTATCGCATCTTTCAAGGATACGGCAGGACCTGGACATCTGGGCATCTGGGACAGACAATGTCTTTTCAAGCGTAGCCAGCTTGTTCGGTCAACATGACTCCACCGTCCTGGTTCTCAGCAAGCTCATCTACCACCTGGTCCATTGTCTGGTATACCGGCCATTTCTTCCGATCGACTTGGCAGAGCTCGCCGGCAGCGGCCAACATCAGTCTTGGCAGATTGAAGCCACGCATATGTGCTTTCTGCATGCGAATGCCATGGCCGAGCTTGTCGAGTTGGGCAAGCAGAATTCGACCATCCAGTGGCCCGCGTTTGTGGGATACTGCATTTGCACAGCCGGCACCGTCCATATACATGGCGCACACTACAACAACAATGGCACAAGCAGTGGCGCTGATGTTTTTGCGTCCTCGGCGGTGTTCCTGTCACGAGAAATGCAGCAGCTCAACGAGTTGCGCTACACCTGGACCAGCGCCCAACACCAGAAGCAGACACTGCAGGCTATCTACAATGCTCATGCCGAGCTGATCAAGGGCATTGCGTCGGACCTTATCCGCCAATCACCCGTTTTCCATCTCGAGGACTTCTTTGACAGATACGCCAATGTGACAAGTCACGACGGACACCCATACTCTTTCGACCCTGCATATCTCAGCCTGTCGGATATTGTCCTTGACCTCAACACCGATACGTACACGAGCCACGAAATTTACGCCCCGCGTACGTCCGTGTACGCCGAAACCTCTTACCTCGGAGATCGGCCCAACCTCAAGAGAAAGGCATCACACAACGACGGTGGTGAGGACTTTGGCACAGGCTCGATTGCCGCCTTGCCTGGCACTGTGAGCCACGGAACGCTCGGATCCAAGATGTCAAACGCCACATTCGACGAGCGGCAGTACGCCATGGCCGGCGAGCAGCATGCGCAACCCATCATGTTCAGTCCCGTGTCCGTTCAGTCACAGCTTGGAGGTGCGATCGGTGGTCAGCTGGTCCCACCTCGCAGGGAGTCTCTGCTGTCCAATCACGACGCAAACAACGCCAGCTTAGGTTCTCATGCCGGTGGCGGATTTCCGACCTCGATCCAGCAGCATCCACAACAACCGCAACCTCCCCAGCAAGCCAGACCGCCAGTACCAACACTTGGATCTAACACGCTGTCGCCTGCGTACAACTTTGCCACACCAATAGCGCATCTAGATCATTTGAATTCTGCCGAGATGCGAGGCAGCGACCCGATGTTCGGAACAGTCCCAACAAACGCATACTCATCGCCAGCTGCGTGGCACGGAGAACCGGAGAACAAACAGTCTCAGCTGAGCATCGCCACCGCCCTGGCCCAAAGTCCAGGCGCTGCAAGCCAGCAAGGAAGTGCTGGAACAGGCCCGGAAGAAAAGGACCCGTTCCTCAGCCTTCTCGAGCAGTTAGCCGAGAATGAGCAGGGCCGGGGAAACGAGCTCGACTTCTTCCTGGCTGGCTCGCATGGGTAGTCGGCGGGTAGCTCCGCACTGGGGCTTGAGACGAACCGCAAATCTTCTTTTGTAGATATTCAACTGTATGCATCATACGATTCATCTGTTCCGTGAGCGGGTATTCGGTACGGGTCACGGGGTTTGGCGCACGCTTTGAATTTCTGATGCCCTTTGGCAATGCTTCCACGAAGGCTTGGGCGGGTAGCAGCGGTAGTGGGTCAGGTACGATCGACTGCTCCTTGGATTTGGAACCTATCGTTACGACTCTCCGGACGTCCTCGATTCACGACAAAGCTTGGGTGCCGTTTCGCGCAATCTACTTGGTAGGCAGACAAAACACCACCCGCACGTATAATTAATGTAACATGCACGACATACTCGCGCCCCGAGCTGTTTCGGTTCATGACGCCACTTGATACTTGAAGCAACATGCCTCTAGGTGCTCGAGAAGACGTTGCGATAGGTTGGAAAAGCGGCGGGACCATGACGCATAAGCGATCGATCCCTGGCATTAAATCTGGGGGAAGCCAGCCAGGTAAGGGTCTTCGTACCAAATAAGCATTGCGGAGTGAGTGAATTGCCCATCCTAGGTCACGCCACGCACACACATATACACATATATATACACACACATTAGTATTGTCACGAGGAGAACTCCCCGTATTGGGACGGTAATGGACAGGGGTGCAAATCGGGCACGGGTTACCCGCATTAGGGAGGCGAAAGCGATCCAGATGTGGTAGGGGCGGCCTCTCCGGCGCGCGCATAGCTCTCGCAGTAATGCTCCATAGCACCACGTCTACAGGGCATTCAGGACCATAGACGACTTGAACAGTGCACAGAATAGAAATACGCCAACTATGAGAAAGCGATGGAACAGGGAAAGGAGGACCTTTGACCCTGCACTTTCGTGATTTTGAAAGGGGGGGAGCAACGCAGCAGCAGCAGCAGCGCGATGCGCGTCCCGGTCGCCCGATTGGTGCGCATAGACCTAGCGGCTGCTCTTGTCTCTTTCTCAGCTCAAACTCTCTCTCTCGCTTCGTATAGTGATCGTGCGTGGGTGCGTGGATGTGGTGTGGCAGGTACTATGTATGCCGGTCATCATCATCGTAATATCAGGCCACATGTGCTATTGGGTGGTGGTGGTGGTGTGGCTCGCGTAAGCCTACAGGGCAAAAAGGGGATTCGCATGTTGCCGAACACCGCTTATGTATGTTGCCCTGCAAGCCACTGGGGGGAGGGAAGTCGTCTCGCAAGGGCTTGCTACATATGTACGTGTATGTATGGGGTACAGGGCGCGCGCGCTGCGAATTCGATGGCGGGGGAGGCTTGCAAGGCACCCTCCAGGCGGGGAGAGAGAGACAGGGGAGGGGGGATGATTGTTCTCGCTTTGGTCAATTCTTGCGACTGTTTCGTCTCTCTCTCTCTCTCTCTCTCTCTCTCGTGAGTGTGTGCGGCTCTCTGTTTTACAATCGAGGTCTTGTTGCCTGGCCATATGTCTCTGCTCCCATCTTGTCTTCTTCTCTGTGGGTTTTCGAACAATGTACCGCGTGCTTTGGGGCAGATTGGCGGAAGGGGTTTGCCTTACGCTAGTGGTCGCTCACGTGTGCAAGGGTAAAGAAATCTGTGTGCCTCGCCAAGTTTCAGCAGCAGGGACAGCTCGCCAAACTTTGGCTTGGGCGCGAGCTGGGCCAAAGCTTCCAAAACCATGGATCATGACACGAACGCTACAACACGCGCACAGATATGTGTGTGTGTGTGTGTGTGTGTGCGTGTGGCGTCCACGGTAAAGGCCGTGCAAGGGGTGGTGACAAGTCACTCCCTCCCGGGGCCCTGGGTAAAGCATGGGGTAACGGGGCGGGAAAGAAGGGTAAAAACTTTGTGTGCAGAATGAGCAAGCATGCCTTGCATATATTGCATTGCATGCATTGCATGCAGGACAACTCGGCCGGGCGGGATTTCCCTCCCCACGGGCGGATTTGCTGCCTCTGATGTCGAGCATGTTTGCGGGCTTGAGTCGCGATTGGCTGCCGTCTTTGGAGAACTTGTTGTAGGCTTCATGTATGGGTGGGTGGATGGTGGGCGGAGGGAGGCAGTTCGTCCGTCTGGGTTGATGCGGTCTGGCGGCGGCAGACATGGGGGGAAGGATGAGCTGAAACCGGCCGGCAATTCTCTGATCCCTGGAACAATGGGCATGGGGCCTTCGTCTCTGCGAGGCGCGGGAGATGTGCCGCTCTTTGTTTTGGAACCTTGCAGTCATATGCCGGAGAGCTTCAGGCATGAGACGAGAGCATCTGGCTGTGGAGAAGGATGCGGGCTGACTGGGGACTGTTCCGCTTTTCGACTTGTGGTTGTGGCTGTTGCCGTAGATCTTCTCCTTTTCGTCGGAGGATAATAATGAACAGCGATTGCCAGGCTTCTAAAAGCAAGAGACGCTAATTTCGAAATCGATCGAAAAAAGGGGTATGTCCATTGTAGTTCACAACACTTTACATTGTTTCCTTATGATACTTTACGCGGGTCTATCGGCAGTCTACCATCAGCGTATCTTCTGATTCCAATTCATACCGTGCTCTAGGAGCAGTTGTTCACAGCTGTGGCTCCTGCGGCTGCTATCAGTTCCGGCTGGTGTGCAAACACACGTGAAACTGACGTGCTTGGCAGCGGAAGACTAATGCTAGAGAAACGGCTGGGTTACAATCTCATCTGAGCGGTTTTCATCTCTGCCCATGAGGCCCGCGCCTAGCTTGCCCTCAATGCGCAGCCATTGTCGTCACGGCGATGCTCTCGTGGACGTTGCCCACGCAGTGTGATTTCAGCGTGAAGAAACAAGCTTGGGTTGTGCATGAACCTTGTGTTTGCCACATCACAGCTCCACCTCGGTTTGTTCTTGGTGTGACGGGAACGCCATGCCCGGTGCTTTGCTCCGTACACCGACTTCGAGACGCAAATCTCAGCGTCCGTAAGACGAGTGCTCTGGATGAATACACGCACCAAGAATACTCATAATCAAAAGAATGGACCAGATGTTCAGAGAGTAAAGTCGCTGCTGTGCGGATGCGAATGTCCCTGTCGTTGACATTTGAGCTGGCAATCGCCCCGTCACAGCCCGGGTTGAGTACTTCAGCGCAAACTCCCTGCGTGTACTGCGCCTCTCACACATATTGTTACCGGCCAATTTTGTGACCGATAGCCAGCAGTTACGGGATAGGTGAACTTTCGTAGCGTCGATATCGAGGCGATGGCTGATTGGGCACTTGTCGCTCTTGTGCTCTTCATTTCAGAGTCATGGTGCAGAAACCGTGGACGAAACGAGCGCTTAAGGTTCAGGAAAGAGATCTGCTGCATCACGCAAAAGTTGCAAGAATATGCGAGTACATGGATGAATTCCCGGGCTGTGGACGTCGCAGAGCATGGGGCACAGCTTGTCGGAATGGTGCAGAGCTCGCGACCAGGTGGACTGTGTGCAGTGGAAAGCTTGCGGTCCATGGTGCCCCTTAGTTCTGGATGCTAAACAGAACGGGCGAAATCCAGCGCAAAGATTGATGTTGCACATTGTATCATCACACTGTCACAATGAGGCTCGTATCAGTCGGCGGCCGGGTTCCGGCAGACCCGGAAGTGCCCCCGGAAATGCCATGCCCTGGACGGGGCGGAGTTTGTTCCGGCGTCAACCCATCCCGAGCCCGTTCTCCGGCTGGATCGGGACGGTTCATCTCGTGCAAGCTCTCCCAGTAAAGTCAATGACAGCTTGTTCTGAAATAACGTCTGTAATGGAATGAGTACCATCATAGTGAAATCGTGCGGGTGCCTTCTGAATTCCACTTATATCATTACTGTGTCATGTGGATGAGCAAGGGCGGCCTGACTGCATCAGAGAAGAAACCTTGTCGTGGTTGCATGAAAACAACGTACTGACGCCAGTATAGGTGAATAACTTGTCCTGCTTTGGCAGTGCTGAGGTACTGTGCTGCGCCGCCCTGCATCTGCATTTCACGGGGAGATTGAACGTGCTGGGACTATGGCAAGCGATATGTTTTGGGAGCGAGGTTATCGGCCCGAGCTGTCAGTGGCCTCCATTGTCCTCACGAGCCAGGTGGCAATACTTATCAAATATCGGAGCTCAGCAGTACGAGAAGGAATTACGCCCTTTTCTGAAAGAATTTATCCTTCGACGAAGCCCGCGAGTGCTTATCCCCTTGTCCCAACCGGCAAAGTCGCACCTACTGTCGAGCCTAGCCAGCAATACTCAACGACCGTCGTGTTGGAGGCCTTACCAAGACCTCCAGGTCTCACCAACGCGGCACATGTGGTCACAGATCTTGCAGTCCACGTGGAACTCACGGGTAAGACACAAAGTGTTGCACGGCATACGTGCTGGCATGCACACTCTGGAGAAGACCTCGTGGGCGAATTCGGTGGGGGAGGGGCGGGACACCATGCATGCGAAGGCAGTACCACACCATAGACATCTAAAGTGTTGTTGCGGACCAAAGCTGGCTCTGATTACTTCGTACTCATCGTCAATACACAAAAGGTTTGAGCCTTCAGAAACTTCCCTGGATTTCAATACGATAGCAGGGAACTGCTTATGGTAACGTGAGCGGGCAAGCGATGTCGATTCGAGGGCACGGAAATGATGACCAGAGCATTATCATGTGCCTTGAGATTTAGATGAGGTTGTGTAAAGAGTGGCGAATGACATCGAGAGGAATGCAGGTGAGGAAACTCAAAGCTGATTGGGATGGCCCGGGAACTAGGAAGCACTTTCAAAGGTTCCTTGTTGGAGGGGCTAACTCCATCAATTCTTTGCATCACGGCCCTCCAGATCCAGAAACATCATGCTCACCGCCAATACCATGTCCAGTATTGCGTAGATGGCGGGGAGAGTGCACACCAGCTCGACTTTTCTGCGCAGGTTGTCGCAGTAGCGAGCCACGGGGTCCCGAATCCGGGTCACGCGCCCTCTAGTCGTCGATCTCCCACTGGCACTACGACTGGCACTGCAGTCGGCACCTCTTCAAGTCGGGCCTACTACTGATTCTACTGCGTGCCAAGCTCTCGTGATCATGGCAGTCAGCAGCGGGGTAGCTTCTCTGTTGCAGTAGCAGCAGCTAAGGCTAGGGCCAAGTCTGCGAGTTGTGTTCCGCGACCCCCTGCGAGCCGGGCACAAGCTTTGCGTCATAGTTTTGACCACGCGCAAGTTTACAGGCTCGTTCCTGCAGCAGCGCCCGGGAGGCTTTTCATGTGCCGGCCGTGGCGCACCTTGACAGCCGCCTCTAAGTTAAGCCCTGATGGATTGCTGCTGTAGTGTTGGCGGTCGCCCGGCGTGCTGACCACAGAGCAGCCGCTAGCAGACACTGGCCCGTCAACCAAAGACTATTGGACTGACTGACTGATTGTCTCAAGTCACTACATGACCTCTCGATATTGCTGATCATGGTGCCCCTCCTCCGCGTCTTTAGACTGCAGCTTCACAGATGACCGGTGGTTGCAACAACGAGCCATCAAGCCCGGTCACGGCCCCCGGTCCCGCCTGACCCCGGCTTGCCAACCTGGAGAAACCCCACGGGGGATCGATCAAGCAATCGGTGGTCATGAGCCAGCCTCCCCGCAGCGGGCCTTGGCTGCTGGCCGGTCTGGAGCCGTGTAGAGTCCAAGCAAGACGCGACACTTTGCAAGTTCTCCTCCTCGCGCCAGCTCGCCTGCTTGTCATCAGCACGACGCTGCGGGCTTCATCTTGCATCGCCAAGACGTAACCATAGGTCATGTCGTCCGACTTGCCCCGCCCGCCACCTGCTCCAGCTCACCATTGCGGCGCTACACACGCTTGCTCATGCGTGCTCAGCACGACTCACACCACTACTGCTTCAACGAGGTCAAGTGCCATGACGGCTGCTTGCGACCACTGCCGTCATGGCCGCTCCGGCCATAAAGAGCCCGCCGAGTGCCCTCTTCCCAGCCATCACCGTCATCGTAGCTCCCGCCTCTTGAACCGCCCTCCCAAGTCTCGTGTCTGCGGCCTTGCTTTCGTGTCGCTACTGGCCCTTGTGCTCATAATCATACATCATCCCACCATGCACTGGAGCCTGTTCCCACTGGCTGCGGTGCCTTTGCTCACCCAGCTGGGCCATAGCTACGAGGTCAAAACTCCGCCTCTCGACACCGACTGGACCTACAAGGTCGGAACTGACCCCTGGCCCGAGTACCCTCGCCCGCAGCTCCGCCGTGACGACTGGCTGAGCCTGAACGGCATATGGAAATGGAGAGCTGCCTCAGGTCTCGCCGAAGCCACGAGCCCCCCCGTGGATGAAGACCTCATTGATGATGTCCTCGTGCCGTCATGCCTCGAGAGTGCCTTGTCTGGCGTCATGGTCCAGGACGTGACCTACGCGTGGTTCACCAGAAACTTCGAGGTGCCCGAGGACTGGGAAACGACTGCTGGCCGCATCCTGCTCAACTTTGAGGCCGTCGACTACGAGGCCACCGTGTATATCAACGGCAAGGAGGCCGGCTTCCACAGGGGTGGATACTGGCGCTTCACCATCGACGCGACGGATCTCATCGTTTCCGGGAACAACACCATGTGAGTGGAGTTTTGCACAGTGTGGGCGACACACGCTCAATGCTCTGCTTTTCTAATCGGGACTAACCGAGTCCATGATCAGCCATGTATTTGTGTTCGATCCGACCGACGTAAGTCATGTCCAGCCCATTTTTTCTGCGTTTGCTGCCAGTCTGTACTGACAAGAAAATCAGATGGGAGACTACGTAATTCCCCTCGGCAAGCAGACGCGCAGCCCATCCCACATCTTCTACACGCCCTGCACGGGCATTTGGCAATCGGTCTGGCTCGAAGCCGTGCCAGCTTCCTACATCACCCAGCTCGATGTGGCCGCGGGTATGGACGGTAAAGGTGAGTTTGGAGGCTTCTCCATACGCAAATAGCCGTTGGCACATGAGCATAAGAAGCTGACGACTTACGGCACAGTCACGGCCAAGGTCTGGACTGGAAGCAACTCATCAGAGGCAGTCAAGGTCGAGGTCATTGACAATGGAGGCACTGTCATTGCGACCCACGAGGGCTCTTCCAACGAGGAATTCACCTTTACCGTTGATTCTCCCAAGCTGTGGTCACCTAATGCACCGAACCTGTACAACCTGACTTTTACGATGGGCAGCGACGAGGTCAAGAGCTATACGTGAGCTTTCTCCTGCCCTCTAAACCACTAGATCTCGGAAGCTTGTTCTCATGCTGACATCGCATTCACCTTGAAGTGGCTTCCGCACCATTTCAGTTGGCGAGGTACAGGGCATCCCTCGCCCGCTGATCAATGGCGAATTCATCTTCCAATTCGGACCTTTGGATCAAGGATGGTTTCCTGACGGGTTGATGACTCCGCCTAACCGGGAGGCCATGGAATACGACCTGAAGTTCCTGAAGTCGCAGGGTATCAACATGCTCCGAAAGCATGTAAGTGGGCCCTTCAACACTCTAACCATGATCCCTTTCTGATAAGCATTGTCATCAGATCAAAGTCGAGCCGGACTTGTACTATCGGGCTTGCGACGAGCTCGGCATCCTTGTCATCCAGGATATGGTATCCTTGCGGACAGTCACGCCGAATGCAGAGCAACAGGCAGAGTGGGAGCGACAGATTGATCTTCTGATCAACCAGCACAAGAGCTACCCCAGCATTTATACATGGGTAAGCAAAGCCGTGCTTGCGAGAAACACCAAGTCACTTACAAATTTCCCTGGCAGGTCATCTACAACGAAGGATGGGGTCAGATCACGTCGTACTACCCCGAATTTGATATCGCCGCACACATCAAAGAGATGGACCCGACGAGACTGATCGACGCCACCTCTGGCTGGAACGACCACGGCGCCGGTGACTGGCACGACAATCACCACTACGCCACCCCGCAGTGCGGGACGCCCTTCTACTCGATTCTCAGCACGCCATATGACAACAAGAGGATCGCGATCCAGGGCGAGTTCGGCGGCATCGGGCACAACATCTCCGAGGAACATGCCTGGAAGGTGCAAAAGTCGATCAACGAGGTCAACCAGACTTATGAGCTGAGCACGGATCTGGAGGCCTACAACTACCGTGGCCACACGCTCCTGCGCGAGCTTCGCGAGCAGATTGAGAAGTATTCGTGCTCGGCCGCAGTCTGGACGCAGACCACCGACGTGGAAGGCGAAGTGAATGGCTGTAGGTGAAACCCTTTCCCTATCTGAGCACCGGAGAGATGCGACTAACAAATTTCTTCCCTTCAGTCATGACATATGACCGCCGCCTGATTAGACTCGATGACCAGTGGAAAGACGATATCCAGGCTCTTTACGATGCAGCGGCCTCGAGAGGTGGGGCATCTACCACGAGGAGGTGAGTTCAGTTACATTCCGTACAGTGGAAGAAGCGATCCCGGATAATTAGTGATGCTGACCGCCTTTCGCCCCTAGCTGTTCGCGGTCCATTTGCTAGGCGCACATAAGACGTTTTTACTGAAGCGACTGATACCATTTCCAAGCGGCCCGCCAGTTGCGATTGATCTCACATTGTGTTTATGAAAGTCGTGTCAGTGTTGCCATTTTTCGCGGTCGTCTGTCAACCTCATGACGACAGAGAGCTGGGCACTACCTGCACGTGAAGTACTTGAGCAAGTTTATGAAGATTATATTGAACGAATGAGAAAAATGCCTCGTCGCTATGAACAAGACCCAGTTGAAAGAAAAACCCAGGCAGGAAAACAAATCTGCCACGCAAAATCAGTTTTGTATCTCGGCGACTGGACGCTCGTCGCCATCCTTCCAACCCCCTGCCACGATGTTCATGAACTCGGGGTCCGCCATCTCGATGACACCCGCGGCATTCTCGATGCCCGGGTTGACGTCGTCAAATGAGAAAGTGTATCCGAAGCCGTCCTTGAGATACCTGTGCTCAATCTCGCTGTAGTAGTCGTGCGTGTCGACGTAGACCTCCTGGCCGCGGTACTCGTGGACGCCTGTCTTGTAGTACTCCGTGGCCGGGACGTTGATGCTCGGGGTCAGACTGTCGAGGAGCAGCGTCGTCCGGACGAAGCCTGCACAGAGCCGAGCACGGAGCTGGCGGGCCTCGATCTGCGGGTTCTGGGCGGCGGCGAAGGGCCCCGTGCTGCAGCTGAAAATGTCCCCGCCCGTCGGCCTCTGGAAGGACACGGTCTGGAGGTCCTCTGGCTGGAACACGGCCGGGCAGTTGCATGTCATGATGTTGCTGCTACCGCCGCCGGCGGTCGTGCAGTCGCAGATCGAGCCCGTCCCGGTCGCAGCCCTGTCCCAACCGTCCTGGCCCGGCTCTGCCGGCGATATCTGCGTGTCCACCCTCAGCGGCTCTGTCGCGTATCTCTGCCACACGGCATCGACGTACTCGTCAAAGTAGGTCCGGGCCTGTTCCTGGACAGCCGCGTCTACTCCGAGAATGTCGGGGGGCACCGAGAGGACCATGTTGGGCGAGAGGATGCGCAGGGTTTCAGTCCCGTCCCGCCTGCAGAGGTGCTTCCACCAGGCGTGCTTACCCCCCGGCTTCGCCGCGACGTTCTCGAGCTCCGTGCACATCTCGTTCATGACTTGGGCATCAGTTATCCCGCCCTTGCCCTTGAGTCCGGGAATTACGTGCTTGTCCTGTTGCGCCCCGCGGGCCTCCTTGATCGACATGCCGAGCAGCATCCCGACCCAGTCGACAAAGGAGAGGTTGGCGTATATGCCCCTCTTGGCCTGAGCTGCCACGTCTATGGACCGCCACGTCAGCTCCACGAACCCAAACCTCGCCTTGGACGCTGGGTCGTTCGAAGGCAACAAGGCAGACGGCTGCGCGATGGTGGTGCCGCCGAAAGTCGCGTTCGACGCGTGGCACCGAAACACGAGCGGATCCTCGCTGAGGTAGACCCTCCCGGAGACGATATTGTCCGGCATCCGCAGGCTGAGCACCGGTGGCTTGTTGTTGTTGCCATTGCCGCTACCTGTGTTCCTCGCCATCTGCATCCCGATGACCTCGTTCGGCACGTCCACGTTTGTGCCGCCCCTGGCATCAGGCAGGAACCACGTTGCCGGCGCGGTCGGGTCTTTGTTTGGCATGATGAAGCCTGGCCGGCCCCAGATGTCCTGGCCCTCGATGTACACCCATAAGTCCTTGTCCGGCACCTGGCGGTTCAGGATGTTGAGCTGGAACGTGTCGCCCTCTGCGCCTACGCCGGTCGTCACGGTCCCGCCGCTGCTTCCAGCGTGGGGGAGGGGACTGGGAGGCGAAGCAAGCGGCGCGGTGGAGGGTAAGACGGAAGCTGATACTGTCAGTGATGAATCGCCCCGTCGGGGAAAAGGTGGAAGCGCAATTGATCCGCTGCGGCCGCGGCCGAGGCCATCGCGCCGTGGATAAGTGTGCTGGAATCCTGTGGCCAGCGCGGCTGCGAGGTATGGCGACACTGCTAGAGCTGTTATCGTAGCAGCTCGAAGAGGTGGCGGCCTCATCGTGGAGAGAATAGTTGTTGTTGCTGTTGCTGTTGCTGGATCGGATCGTGAAGGGTGGAAGTCGTAGGCTAGGCGACCAGAAGTCCTGGGAAGAATGGCCTAAGGTGTCTGAGAGATTAAGGCAAGGAAATGGCGCCAGCACTTGAGCTCTCTCGCGTAGAATGAAATGAAGGTCACAAGCACGCAGTACTGGACCCTTGGATGTTCGAATGCTTACAGAAGAAGGGGACGGCGAGAAGATTCGGACTCGACTAAGCGTGGTGCTTGAGAGGGGATATATGCACAAAACATCTTGGACTGTATCGACAACATGTGAATGGAGACGTCGGGCACGATTGGAGCTGGTGACGGAGCTTTTGTTTGATGTGCCATGGCGGTGTTGCGGCTTTGTTGTAGAGACTTGGCGATGCACGGCAGTGCATATGTGGACGGTGATGTGATATGAGAAAGAATTGAAGCGGGTGGATCAGACTGAAGTGAGAGGGTGACAAAGATGAGGATCCGCATGGCACACATGCCCCGATGGGCTACCCAGAACAGACAAGGGGAAGACTCAATGAAGTGCCATGGCGGGCTGGACCATGCAGCGTGAAGATGGATCATATTTGTCCCGCAGCTCAAACCTTTTAAAAGGAGGAGGGCGCATGAGTGGACTGGAAAGAGGAGTGTCCAGGCGGTACGCTCGACATGCCCAAGCGGGAGAAAGAAGGCTTGCATGTCGAAGTGGGGATTCATCGGACGTCTTTGTGTTCCGTGCTACCACAGCAGGTTTCGTAGGCCGATGGGCAAACAAAGAAAAAGTATCTTCGTCGCCGATAAGTCAATGAAAATTGTTGGCGCACGGCCCAAAGGGAAAAACGCCTTTGCTCTCGGCCTTTTCGTGGGTGCAAACAAGCAAACCCGGCGGTCCGGCTCAACGCCTCGCTCTGTGGGACCGGGACGGACCCGGATCCGTGGTGCCGGATGCGCAACTCTTCGTGTGGGGCTCACTCTCCGCTCCGCGGTGGGACGTTTGCGGAGCTAACACGGCTTCTCACGGGCTCGCACTTGCGCTTCTACAAAAAGCCTATGTCATTCATGAGATGCGGAGACTTTTCATGTGTCAGCTGCATCCAACCTGTAGTAACATCATATTCGTGGCTGTCTTTGGGAATGCGAGGTTTGCCTTTTGAGGAAGACCTCAGCATCTACACGGTGGGTCATCACCATCTCGCCTACTACGGACAAATGAAAAGATGAATACGGAGAGTTATGTTTGCGAATACAATACTTGACCCGTCATCGCCCATCAATCCGCCAGAGCCAAAGTCCTAATGATTGTGGCGGCCTGGTCTACGCACTTCCTTAGCTTCTCCGCCTGCCCTGTGGGACAGTTGAAGCTAATCCAAGAACTGATAAACGGGAGTCAGTTCCCACTGCACGCACTTTGATTTTCGGAGAGAAATTTGAGCCCAAGAAGGAAGAATAAACTTACTCGTTGTCGCGGATCGTGTATCTAAGCCGCAAAGCGCTGGGATCCAGCGGCGTCGTGATGCCTTCGACGGTGTTGTGGTTGGGGTTTGTCACGCTCGTGAAGTCATACGCACGCCTGAACAATGCATCATCAAACAGCGCAGCCTTGGGCTGGTCCTCTGGCCACTGCATCTGAATCACAGAGTACAGCCGGCAAAAGCCCTTGCCGTCCTTGCCATCTCGGATACGGCGGGTCACGTCCTTCGCCGCCTCGAGGAGCAGGTCGCGTCTCTTGGTCGCAGGGATCGATTCGTCGCCCGCGGCCTCGCAGAATGCGCGGACCGGCGGGGAGGTGATCTGCACGATGTCGTGCCTTCCTTGGTGGAAGTGCGAGAGCATGACGGGTTGCCAGCTGGGCGTCACGTGGCCGAAATAGAAATACAGCGCGAGCTGACAGAGCACATCATAACCACCCTTGGTCGGAATCTTGGACTGGCCTAGCAGGCTGGAGCTTATGGTGGGGAGAGGATAGGAAATAAACTCCCGCAAGGCGCCAAACTCGAGCCAGCGGGTGCGGAGTGAGGAGATGTGCGACTCAATTTCGGGAGAGAGGGCGAGGGACAATTCCTCAAAAGCAAGCTGGTGGGAGTGGCCGTTGGTGTGGCCGTTGGTGGCAGAGTCTGGCCTGTGGGCCGCAATGGCGTCGCGAAGACGATCGTACAGTGGAGCGGGAGTAGTTCCGTCAAGGTAAGAGTGCTCAACCAGAACACCCGAGTTTCCTTCTGCGGTGACAACAAGCTGGAGCGCTTTGTCGTTCCATCTGTTGAAACCATCACCAAGCTTGGACTTCTTGGCCCAGTCGCCATACAGTGAGGCTTCTCCGTCATCGAGGTTGACGGTAAAAGCAGCGTCTTCAATGGTCTGGAAGTACGTGGCATTGGCCGGGTCGATCGCGAGTAGATCGGTTCGTTTCTGAAAGGAGGTCGTCAGTAAGCCTCAGTGAATGACAAGCCGTATATTTGATGATACTGGGGGGATTTGATGGTTTGCTCGGTCACTTACCATTGCCCAAGAGTCCCGATTGTCGGTGGTCAGTATTCCTGCCCATGTTCCATCATCGTTCACAAGTTCAAGGATGCTGTCAAACGTCGACTTCACAGCCTCTAGAGACGCAGGTTTGTCACCATCTTGCAATGGGACCTTGAACAAGCGCCCACGCCTCAGGACAACACAATGGGTCCCAGAACCCTTCTTCAGCTCGTCCCGAACCACCTGAGGCTGACGGTATGTGTTGAACAGCCGCTGCAGCGGGAGCCGACACACAGACGTGTCCATGATGAACGGCGTCGCCACGCTACCATCATCAATGTCCAGCTTGAGCTGATACGCCGTCACAGCGAGCAGTGCCGCTCGCTCCGCCTGTGTGTGGGGTACGGGCGACGCGTGGTTGATGGCCATGAAATTGGTGTACTGCACTGCCTGACGCATCCGCAAGTGGTAGTCCTCGGCCAGGAATTTCGAGACCCAATTGCCCACGGCTGGGTCACGAGCGTCGTTCTGTATCTGCTTATGTATCTGGGCTGCGATCCCGTTGGGAGCGGTAAACTCTGCGATGGCGGCGCGAAGGTCGTCGACCTCGGATTCGTTGGTGGCGAAATGTGCAATGCTCTCCATGTGGTCCTTCATTGTCTCGAGGAGATCAGGAACGGGCTGCAACGCCTCTTTCCCAGGAACCGCACAGCAGTCAAAATCCGGAATACTGGTGCTGGCGTCCTCTCGAGCCGCAGGCTTGTCCTGGAAGTGGCCGTTGGTCTCTGCTGGCTCGTGGTTGTGCTTTGGGGCCTCGGGAGACTGGGCGAGGTCTGCAGGAAGCAGTTTAGATCTTGACGCCAAGCGTTTGGCCAGATGCACAATGCTCGGAGCGCTGGTCAGCTCGGAGGCCTGCAAAGAGACCTTGAACGTCCGTACCATCCAGTTCTTTAACTCAATTGATACGAGAGAGTCGAGACCGAAGGTAGAGAGGGGTTCATCTGCGCTCACATCCTCGGCGTCAAGGTTGAGAAACGCAACAAACTTCTCGACAGTCGTCTCCGTGATGATGTTGACTGCCTCGTCCACGGAGGTGACGTTGCGCAGGAGGGCTTCGACATCCTTCTTGAGAGACGTGTTGCCAAACTCGTTCGAACCTGCCTCCTGCATCTGAGGGATTGTCCGGAACTGCGCTCCCCAGACATAGTTGGCCGAGATATTGTTCATTGACTGCCTGTCAAAGCCCATCAGGGAGTGGAAGAAGGGTTTCCCAATGTCGGTCGAGGCGTCCATGGTGTAGTCTACAAGCTGCAGGAGCTCGTCAAAGTTGAATATGATTGAACCTCTGACCACAGAGTCACGGCTCTCCGACTTCAGGGAAGAGTTGGCAGCTGTATCGTTAACCAGGGGCAGGTCGAACGAAGCATAGCGTGTTCCATTGCTCTTGTTGCGGCTTGTGACAAAAGAATCTTGGAACGCATTGGCTGCACTGTAGTTCGCCTGGCCAGGGTTGCCCAAAATGCCGGACATCGAGGCCAGGATGATGAAGAATTCGAGCTCCGGAGAGGCAAAGACGTTGTCAAGGTTGATTGTTCCCACTGTCTTAGGTGCAAGGACCGTGTTCCACTCAGAGTCGGTCATCAAAGTCATCGGTCGGTCCTGGAATGGATGTCAGTCTGGTGTGTTTCGCTGATTGTATTTCGGAGGTCTCGGAATTACTCACCTGGAGCACCATGCCGGCATGAATCAGTCCACGAACAGGAGGCAGCGAATCCTGGCAATACTTTGCGACGTTCTTGACACTCTGCACATCCGTGATGTCGCATTGCAGAATGTGTAGTTTTGCGCCAAACTTGGCAGCCTCCTTTTCAAAGCCACTCCGCTCCTCTTCACCAATGGCTCTGCGAGAGAGGGTGATGATGTGGCCGGCACCAAGCTTTGACAGATGGCTGAACAAAGTCCTTCCAATGTCTCCCAGACCACCGGCAATGATGTACGTGCCATTTCTTTTGAGTTGCAGTTGGGGAGGCGGAGGTAAAACGGCTTGGACCATTGTGTCCTTCTTGAAGTCGATGACCACTTTGCCCATGTGCTTCCGTTCCGCGATCAATCTGAAAGCAGCCTCGAGTCGGTCTGCCGGGAACACGTTGAGCGGACGCACCGGTTTGAGAACTCCAGCCTCGAACAAGGCCAGGGCCTCGTGTAGGGCCTTGTACAACACCTTTGGCCGCTCACTGGCGATGACGACGAGATCGACTGAAGCGAAGGTCACGTTCCGCTTAAAGGGAGCCATTGAGATATGGCGGTTCTTGTCGATGTCTGACTTGCCAAGCTCGATGTGGTATCCGAGCGAGGCCACGCACTCCCAGGAGGCAGACAGCATCTCACCCGATGTCGAGTTCAGCACGACATCAACGCCCCTCCCGCCCGTGAGGCGCATAACCTTGCTCTTGAGGTCGCGCGGATTCGCCCGAGACGATAGAATGTTACTTGCGGGCACTCCATACTCTTTGATGAGGAACTGCCTCTTCTCTTCACTGCCGACAGTCACGTAGACCGTGGCTCCCAGGTGCTGGGCAAGCTGAATCGCAGCCTGGCCAACACCACCTGAGCCAGAGTGGATCAAAACCGTCTGGCCGGCTTCGAGCCGCGCAAGAGTGACAAGACTGTAGTACACGGTAGTGAAAATGACGTGGACTGAAGCCGCTTCCGCGAAGCTCAAGCTGTCAGGTATAACGTGTGCCTCGTATCCTCTGAGGCGAGAGTAGCTGGCAAAAGGTTGCGCGAGCATGCCGACAACACGATCGCCGACCTTGTAGGTACTCTGCACGAACTCGCCGGACCCCATGGCCGTGACAACACCAGACACCTCACCGATAAATGTGCTCTGATGGAGCTGCCCAAGCGCGTTGAACACATCGCGGAAATTGACACCAAATGCGGCTGAGTCGATCTGGATCTCCTCCTCGCCGAGGGCCTGCGATGGGATTTCGTCCTTGACAAAGTGGATGCTGTTCAGCAGGCCAGGAGCACCAACCTCCATTCTCAGGGGCAGTGTCGGGTCCTGGAAGGTGGTGGGCGTAAGGAGACTGTGGCCATTGAGACGGTCTGTCCAGTCGTTGAACTTCTTGTCCGCGTAAACTCTAGGAATGAGTATCTTTCCGCCACTCAGTACAAACTCCTCGTCATCAGTCGTCACGTGTTCTTTCTCCTTGGACAGGAGAAGCTGCGAAATTCGCACAGTCTCCTTGACCATGTCGACGACCACCTCCTCAGTGACAAGATCACGGACCTCGACAGTGATAAACTTGATACCTTCATTCTCGCGGCGCATGACACGCGCCAGGCCATTGACGAGTGCTTTGGCGGGAGCAAGGTCCGCACCGTCAGACTCCTGGAATGAAATCCAGAGAATGTTACGGCAGTTGGCGACCAGGTTCTGAATGCGATGAAATGTGCCTGGGTCTGGCTTGGCCAGGATCGCCGAATTTGCGCTGTCGAGGACCACATACAGGGTATCTGCGTCTTCTTTGACTTCTGGTAGCAACTCCCACGTTGTAGAGGCACTGGAGAGACCTTGTTCTTGGTATGTGGTGGAGAGTGAGTCGGCTGCTGTCTTGCTGATGGCCGAAGCCGGGTTAGTGACAATCTGCACCGATGTCGGTGCTGGGAAAGTCTCGTCGCGTGATTCCTCGACGGCCTTGGATACGATGAAGGATGTTCTGGCTAGCGGACCGTCACAGTCTGGTGAAGAAAATTCGATACCACCAAATGAGGTCGACAAGAGCAGCTCGTGCCACTCATCGTTGGCGAGAAGCGGAGTGTCTTTTCGGCCGTCTTCGAACTCCCACCAGCTAGGGTTCACGAAAGGTCAGTACGCGTGTAGTTGTTCAGGCCGAGTGTAATACATGAGTGACTTACCCTGGAAAAGTACCAAAGATGAGGCCGAGAATACGACTGGCGGTGGTCGTGATCCGGTTCGCCTCAGCTAACAGCAGCGTGCCGCCTGGCTTCAGGAGCTTTCGGACATTCGTCATGGTCTCCTTCATCGACCTTGTAGCATGGAGCACATTCGAAGCAACAACCACATCGTACTGCTGCGGCGAGAAGTCCTGCTTCAGCGGGTCCTTAGAAATATCAAGTGTCTTGTACTCAATGACGGACTTCCACTTGTCCAGACGGTCCTTGGCCGGCTCGAAGAAGCCAGATGAGATATCGGTGTAGCAGTAATGATTAATCAGGTCCCGCGCGTCATCACCTAGAGCCTGGAACAGCGGAAGCGTGGCACTGCCAGTTCCCGCACCAATCTCTAGGACATTCATCCGCGGGTTTTTGTTGGTCATGAGCCGGAAGTACTGATTCAGCTGCGAGTACAGAGGCTTGTATGGACCTTCGCGGTAGAAGGTCTCCAAGAGGTCATCGCTCATGAGCAGCTCAAGCGGGTTGAGCTTGTTCTCCAGAATGGCTGGGAGGTTTCGACCGATTCGGTCCACTATCACGCCCTCGATACCAGACTCTCTCGATTTCGTCAAGGTCGCTTCACGCTCGCCGTCCAGGAGTGACTCGCTCGCTTCGCGACACAAGTCAGACGTGACAAAGTCAGAGATCCAACGCGAGAAAGTTTTCAAATGAGGAAGCACAGCGACCGACGGTTCCTTGACCATTGGCATGTCCGCAACATCACGGAGGTAGATGGTCGTTGCCGTTTCCGTGATGCTGAGCTGCTCGAGGAAGGCAGAGCCCTTTGCCACATAAGGTGCAACAAGCTGCTTGAAGCCCGGCTCCGTGAGGAAGTCTGGGTCCTCAAGGTAGGAAATTTGGTAGTTGTGCTTGCGTTTGAAGACCTGCGACGATGCTTTGGACGCATCCTCTCCGACTGCCCGAAGGAGCAAGCCCCTAACGATGATGACCAGCCTCAGCTCGCCTGTCTCGGGGTGCTTCTGGAAGGCCCAGATGTTACCCAGGCCAGCTGTCCTGCCCTGAGGCTTGAGCTCCATTGCCACGATCATCTCGTCGCCGGGCCTGCTGGAGATGAGACTTGAAAAAATGGTCTCCTCTGTTGAAACAGGCATGATGGGCGCGTTGGAAATTTCTCTATGGAAGATCGCGGGCAGCATGTGGTTCGAAGCATCTAGAGTGGTTGGGTGGATCAGATGAGGTTGGAAGTACCCAGCGGGCATCCACTGTGCGATATCTGGGATGTTCATCTTCGAGAAGCCTATACCAGGTCCGATATAAGCCTCTGTAAGCAGGGCAAAACTTGGGCCCCAATCGTTGCCTGCCTTCCGGCGTTCGTCGTAGAAACTCTCACTAGGCAGTCGTTCTTGCGCCAGGGACTGGATTCTCTCCAATGCTTCAAAGGCCTCCTCAATTGAGGCGGTGTGCTCAGTACCGAAGCTTTCAACAGCACCGGGCTTCAGAGGAGACTCAAGTTCAACTCTGATCCAGGCGGAAACATGTTCCGCCCAAGTCTGATCGGCTTGCAGCGACAGGACACGTGCAGTGTACCAGGCATCGCTCGTCTTGGACGGGCTGAGGATGAGCTGGACCTCAACATCCTCCACTAGGCCGCCAGTCGACTCGGTGGGCATGATTATTGGCCGAACAATCTGCATGTCCTTCATCGCTGTGCTGACAATCTTGGCATCGGCATTCTGCATCTGGGTGAGTTGTTTCATGGCCTCGATACACATCGCGCTGTAACCTGCACCCGGAAAGATGATCATGCCGTCAACGATGTGATCCTTCAGCCACGGATGGCGCTGGACGCTGAGATGCTGCCGCCAGCGTGGCTCTTCGATCGGGCTCATTACGTCGTAAAGGCCGAGCAGATCATGGTACGGGAATTGTCGAAGCCTGTGGCCACGGCTCAATCTCGACTCCGCCCAATGCTTGATGTGATCCCACGGGTACGGGGCCAGGTCACCAACGACGTGTCGAGGCTCGCCGTCCAGGGGGCGTGATAACTTTATTCGGCCTCCCAACTCGAAGATACGACCGAGAAGTACCGACAACGTGTCGGATGAGTTCTTGCCGCGCGAAATCGGTGACAAGTAGGAAGACTTGAAACCCGGAATGGCCGAGAGTGTCTGGTTTGCGGGACCTTGCAGAGCCGCATGCGGGCCGATCTCGATGAAAATATTGGCAACATCACGGCTGCCTAGCTCTCCCATCCTCTGAGCAACCGCTTCGAGAGCATCATGGAAGCGTACCTATTATGCAGTCAGCAACCTTCGTGTGTCGCCATCTGATCCCCTCGGATTTCGCTTACCTTGGACACAAGATTTTTCACCCAGTACTCTGGGCCGAAGTCCGAGGTCTTGGCCTGTCCAGTCACAGACGACAGGAACTCAACACCGCTTCGCACATCCGAACCAGCCAGGTCGCCCAGAGTCTGGATGTAAGAGTCGGCGACCTTCTCCATATGGTGGGAGTGGTAAGCCGTCTCGACCTTCAGTTTGCGCGAAAATACACCTGCCGCTGTGAGGATGGAGTTAATGTAGTCGATGGCTGGCTCGTCTCCAGAGAGAGTAGTGCTAGAGGGACTATTGACACATGCAACAACCACTCTGCCCTTTTCGTCGTTGAGGTTGGCGGCCTTGAGCGTTTGGAGCGCAGCCTGCTCGCTGTAACCGGTCGCTAACATGGAGCCCGCCAGAGAGTTGAGTTTCTTGGCTGTGGCTGAACAGCGACCACGGAAGTACGAGCTGGCGCGTTCTTGAGTCAGTATCGATCACGGAAAGGTTCTTTGGGAAATGGGTCACTCACACTCGCACCGAATCCTCCTGGCTCAAAGCTCCTCCTGCGTAAGCTGCAGCGATCTCTCCCGAGCTATGGCCTACCACGAACTGTGGCGAGATGCCAAAATCTGCGAGAACGTCAACCAGCGCCATTTGCAGGATCGTGGTCGCCGGTTGTGCGACCTCGCTTTCATTGATTCTCGAGTCAGAGTTTGTCTTGCTAAGCTCTTCGAGCAGGTCCCATTGGCATCCAAGACTTTTCAAGATCTCAGAGGCTTGGTCCAGGGATCTTCTGAAGACTTTGGAAGACACGGCGAGCTCGCGACCCATACCAGCCCACTGTGCACCTTGTCCCGTAAACACGAAAGCGATGCGAGCAGAGTTGGACGCGCGCGTCTTGGAGATCTTGGGCTCACTGAGGGCGGACCTGAGTTGCTTCAGATCTTGCGCGACAAAAGACTTCCGCCATCGGAAAAGAGATCGTCGTGAGCTGAGGGTGTGGGAAAGGTCCTTGAGGTCCGACTCGGAGACTTCTCGAGCCGCGAGCCACTCCAAGAGGATGCCCGGCATGGCACTGAGAGAGGCTTCTGAATTGGCAGACAGGGGAAAAAGGAGAGGCAGAGAGTCTTGGACTTCTTGATTCGCGTCAATCGCGGAGTCGGTGACAGCTGCGCCATTCGCGCCGTTGGATCCGTTGGAGCCAGTGTCGTGCCCGTTGGTGTGCCCGTTAGTGTGCCGGTGGTGAAGTCCATTCGTTTGTCCATTCGTTTGTCCTTTGGACGTCTCATCGCCATCAGACCCATTGGTGATGTGTCCATTGGTCGCAACTTTCTTTTCACTGGAGACATATTGATCGAGTGTCTCCAAGATGATGTGGCAGTTGGTGCCACCATAGCCAAAGGAGTTCAGGGACACCCGGACCGGGCCATTGTAGTGTTCCGGGACCAAAGGAGTAGTTTCCAAAGGCACCGAGATTTGTCGTTCTTCGAGTCTCAACCCCGGTTTCGGCTTGATGAAATTCAAGTTGGGTGGAATCTTCTGCTTCTTGAGCACCATAATAGCCTTGAGCAGACCGGCAACACCACTTGCCGCTTCCAAGTGGCCGATGTTCGTCTTGACAGAGCCGACATAAAGATTGCGTGACCTAGGCTTCTCACCGAACACATTTCCAAGGCTCTGTATCTCGGCCTGGTCACCGACCTCGGTACCTGTACCGTGAGCCTCAACGTACAGCGTCTCGAGCGGGTCCAGGCCTGCGGCCTTATAGACTGAACGTATCAGCGCCTCCTGCGCTTCTGGGTTGGGAAGAGTTATTCCGTTCGTCTTGCCATCCTGGTTGGCTCCCGAGTTGCGGATAACGGCGTGTACAGTGTCGCCATCCCTGATCGCGTCGGCAAGCCGCTTGACGATGACGGTAGCGACACCCTCGCCGCGGCCATAGCCTGCTCCGCGAGAATCAAATGCAAAGCATTTACCCTCAGAGTTGATCATTCTGAACGACATCGTCGTCAATGCCTGTTCGACATGGCGAAGGATCGCGGATGTGACTTACCCGCCTGAGGACATCGCCACATTCTGGTCTGGGTGGAGAATGACTTCGGTTCCTCCGACAATGGCAAGATTGGACTGCCTTGCCCTCAGGGAAATGCAGGCCTCATGCAAAGCCACTAAACTTCCAGACTGGTAAAAAAGTTCAGTGAGTTGCGGCTCGTAACCACTAGGAATTTTGAGTTCGAAGACATACGCAACCAGTATCTATCGTCATCGAGACACCCCTCAGATCGAAGAAGTGCGAGAGGCGATTGGCAATGATGGCCTCGCCAGTACCACCAATGTTGAATTTCGAAAAGGTCTCGAGGTTCTTGTAGCCCATACGGTCGTAATCGCGGGCGAACACAGCGGCGAACACAGCAGTGTCCGAGCCCTTGAGGCTCTCGATGGGGATGCCTGCATTCTCGAGGGCTTCGTACGTAGTCTCGAGAAGAATTCTCTGCTGCGGGTCGGTAGCGTCCGCTTCGTGGGCGCCGAAGCCGAAAAATCGTGAATCAAAATCTGAAACGTCATGAGTGAGGAAGTAGCCACTTTTGGTGTTGTAGGCCTGTATGGCCGCCCCGTCGGGGTGATAGAAAGCATCTCTATTCCATCTCTCAGAGGGGACCAGTTTCCAACCAGATCCTTTCGTCTCTACCAGTGTCCAGAGTTCTTCCGGGCTTGAGACTCCGCCAGGGAGTCTACATCCCATACCAATAATGGCAATGGGCTCGGGGTCAGCCATTGTGGATCGCGATGGGAAGTTGGGAACACAATGTGTAGAGAGGCTTGCACAAACGAAGGTTGCAGAAGGACCTTGTGCAGGACTTTTGGTCGATCAAGTTTCACTTAAAGTGTCCTCAAAGACCATCAATTCACAGCCACAAACAGCTGCCAAGTATATGCATATCTGCAGAATGCGGTCATGAATCCCACCGGGTGCTTCCCTTTCGTCCACTTTTATCCGTCGCGGAGCTTCATATCATCGGACGATACGAAAAATAGGATCATGCCAGGGGCCATATTAGGCTAGGCATCAGGGGATTCCTACATAGAACTTGACAGGTGGGAGTAGCCTTGCCATAGGGCGGAGACGGGGAGGGGGCAGCATTGTGTTGGACGCGGGGTCCCCGCCGGGAATTTAGAGACCCTGACTCGTAAGGAATCAGAGGAAACTCCGCGCGTGGAACCCTTGGCAGGTCCACTGACAAGGCAGTGGCCGAGCCGAGCCCTGGCTGGCAACAATAGATTCGACCGCGGTCCGCTACGACGGGCCGTTGAAGATATGCAGTGCGGCCGCGCTAGCAAAGTGGGGGCGCGTAAGGACCATGCTGGATAAGCGAGCCGAAGAACCGGATTTGAACCTGCGGTAGGACTTGAGGGTATCATCTAGTTGCGTGTCAGGGGTAAGGTTTCGTCGGATCTGATCCGCGGGCAAATATTTCTGAGCATACCACTTCTTTGTGTGGGGAAAGCCAGCAACCCCCACACTACTCCGCCGGTTCGTCCAGTCTCAGGCAGTCCGAAAAAGGTATTGATACTATGCTGGAGCCCTCGTGTGTCGACTCTAGTCTGTCCTCCTACTACTCTTAGACAGTATGCCTAACTCCGCACCGGTCCTAGTTTGACGGGCCTCTGTCCCGAAGGCCCCAACTCCCTGTTCCGTCCAACATGTCTGATTCGTCAAGGCCATCACTGTCGATTACTAAGAAACCTCCGAGGGATATACATTTAAGCATGGGCTGGTCAGTAAATCATGATGCGTATCCCAAGCTGCAAGGGTCGAGTGTGCGCCTCGAGAGGCTGCTCGCTTCTGATTTGCTGGATGCCTTCTAAGTGCGTGGCTTGGATACTCGCATGATCTTAACGCGCCTTGTGGTGCTATCATAGTCATATATACTGGTACAGTTTCTGTAATGACTCCCACGCTTCCGCCTGAGGCCAGCTAAGAGACCTGGAACAACCCATTCTTCAGATTCTGCTCGACGTCAATCACCGTGAAAATGGGAGTTTTCCATACTTGAGCACCATAGCCTCAGAAACAAGGAGCCGATACGTTTCAATCCCAAAGACTGGCACAAATCTTGGACCACAGCTTCTTCAGCTCGATATAGTATTGCAGCTTACGTCGGCACCGAGCGCGATGCCCACTTTACATACGAGGAGATTGGCCAAGGCCACTGCTCCGATGTGGTCGCTGCCATCGGGTGCATTTATAATCGACTCCCGGGCCAACATCGATCTCTTTAGTCTTTCACAGAAGGTAGACTACTCAGCCGTGTGAAGCCCGGCTTTCGACCTCGTTTCACAGATCTACGACGTCTACCACTTCTCAACATAGTCCTCCGCGGAGTCCTCAGAGGATGTTTGCGTTCATCTATGTGCATTGAGCTCCGAAGCGGCTACCGAAGAATCACGGCCTATTCCCCCAAGAGTCCCGAGAACCCGGTTTCTGTGCCACAGGAGAAAAAGCTTCTTCGCAAGGTAGTGCTGTAGGAAGAGTACCAGTATATGATTGACCGGTCCAGCGCCAGCGCGCCGCCCGTATCCGTGTCGGGGGCCGATCGCGGCTTTTCGACGAGTCTGAAGAACTCTAACAAATTGACGTACTCAAATTCGACGGGTAAAACATGAAGCTCGGGGTATCGCGATACACATGATCGACACTGGGACATGCTTCGCAACGTGGCAGCCGAGGTGTTAGAACTGAGTGGGCTGCGCGGCAATTTACATATCGAGCTCTATATCGAGCATCCATGCGTTCAAACGATGTTCCAGTCGAGAGAGAGCTTCTAGTCTAGACCTATGAGACTGCAAACGTAGACCCTGCTGGAGATAAGGCAGTTGATGAAGGAGAAACAGCATGGTCAATGCTGAATTCATACGAAAAGCTCATGCTTACCCAAGAAAATGCAGTCGCCAGTCTAACGTGAGAGAAAAGACAAGCTCGCTTGACATGACTGTATAGTCCAATCACTATAGTCCATCAGCGCGACCACCATCCTGTGGGATATCCTATAGAATGTCTTTGTGTGTACATAAATATCACAAAATAATTCAGTAGCATTTCAAAGTCTTTGCTTCCTGGGGATAATGATAGAGTGCGTTGAAATATCTTGATGCTTGACCTACATACGCTACCTACACCAGAGTTCGTTTTGAGATGGCCCAATTTGGCCCATTTGCCACCCATGTCGGTGAGGAGGAAGGGAGCGGGCTCCTTGATGATAATGCTGACTGAGACCAAGTTGATCAGTTTCAAGAGCGATATATCTACTACTTCTGCCATCTGGGACTTGGCAGTATTCACATGGCTAGATCCAATTGTCGCCCCATGATGTTAAGTCTTCACCTCCAAAGCCACCGTTTGCAGGATAGAAGTTCAGCCGCTCCGGAATTGACTCCACACGAAAGAATACGAGAGCATAGTATGCATACAAAAACTCCATTGTCGTTGCTCGCGTCAGCCAGGATACCCACAATTAGAGCTTTTCGGCGATCTTTGCACTACGGCCTGAAGGCACCGGGTGAAGTTCACGATGGCGCTCGAACATTCCGGCTAAATGCCCAGCGCCAAGCCTTCGCGCGTCGGAAAAACAGGCGTGGGGCTGAAAGTCGGGTGCCCAACCGAACCCTTGAGGATTTGGAGAATGGTCTAGGAACAATGAAGGAGACAAAAGACGTGACAGCTAACCCTCTGTGAGAGTTTATTTATAGCAGCAAGGCTAGGAGATAAGGAGCACCTCAGCCGGCCATCAAGTTCTTTGCTATTTGACTTTAGCACACTCTACCACATGTCGCAGCTGAACACCGGCACGATGCTGCCAAGCGGCACAGCAATTCTGCCAGTATTATCCGGGGGTTTCTCCGCACAGGCTGTGCTGCTTACCCCAGATCCAAGTTAGCTCTACCCCGCAATACCCCATTCACTGGAAGAAAATAGAGGACTCATAAGTTGGTCCAACCAGTTTCGTCATCTGGCATGGTTTTGACGAGGAGGATCAAGATCATTATCACATCTTTGGCCTGAGATCCAGTATTTGTGCCACTACTATGACCGCTGTCAATCCCATCATCCCGGGCTTCGCGCCCGACCCGTCCGTTGTCAAGGTTGGCGAATGGTACTACCTTGTCAATTCGACTTTCCACGTCTTCCCTGGCTTGCCCATCTACGCCTCCAAGGACCTCGTAGGGTGGCGGCAGATAGGTACGAGGCCCATCATGAACTTGCTCCAGCAGGCGGCTGACAATACTTTTCTCCCCGAAAAAAGGCAACGTGATCAACCGACCCGAGCAGCTCAGCCTCGAGCTCACCGAGACGCTCCTCTTCCCACAGAAGCCTCCGGCAACTGTGCTTTTCGCCACGGGCGGCCTCTACGCGCCCACGATCCGGCACCACAATGGCAAGTTCTACGTCGTCTGCACCAACGTGATCCGCGCGACCGAGACGGCCAAGGACGCGACGCGCAACTTCATCGTCACCACCGACGACATCTGGTCCAACAAGTGGAGCGACGTCGTCTACTTTGACTTCAAGGGCATTGACCCGAGTCTCTACTTTGAAGGCGACAAGGCGTGGGTCTGCGGCTCCGCGGGCAAAGGCCCTGGCACCACGATCGATCTCGTCGAGATCGACGTCGCCACGGGCGAGCACAAGTCCCCCGTCAAGACCGTCTGGACGGGCTCGGGCGGTATCTGGCCCGAGGGCCCGCACTTGTTCAAGCGGGAGGGCTGGTATTACCTCCTCATCGCCGAGGGCGGCACACACGGCGGCCACATGGTCACCATGGCGCGCTCGCGCGAGATGTGGGGGCCGTATGACTCCTGCCCGGCGAACCCGGTGCTCACGGCCCGTGACACTGATGAGTATATCCAGTACACGGGTCACTGCGACGCGTTCGAGGGTGAGAACGGGCAGTGGTGGGGCACATGTCTTGGTGTCCGCAAGGACGCAGAGGGTCGGTACAACATGGGCCGCGAGACTTTCATCACGCCAGCCTCATGGACAGAGGACGGTTGGTTGAGCTTTGAGAGAGTCAAGGTAAACCCGACTGGCCTGGAGAGAAAAGCTGGTGTCAGCCGAGCGCCGTCTGCGGACGCCCAGCATGACATCGTGTACATCCGTGACGCGGACCGGAGCAAGTATACTGTCTCGGCCGACGGGTCCAAGTTCAGCCTCAAGGCGTCAGAGGTGGACCTCTCGGCGCCACGCAAGTCGCCAACATTCATCGGCAAGAGGCAGCGGTTGCTGGACGGCAAGAGCAGCGTGACCGTGCACAACGTGGCCAGCATACCATCCGACTCTGTGGAAAAGGTCGGTCTCGCGGTGTACAAGGACGAGTTGCGATATTTTAGGGTCTTCTTCAACCCGGCGACCAAGTCGGTCCACTTTGAGCTTGTCAACAAGGGCAAGGAACTGTCACGGGGTGCAGTACACAAGCCAGACAACCTCGACGGAGACCTGACACTGCAGATCTCGTATACGGAGAAGGCATATGAGATTGCATTCAAGGGCGGTTCACAGTCGGAGTTCACAATACTGATCACTGTGGACGTGCTGGACATGACTGACCCCGACTTTGTTGGTCCCGTGATCGGAGCCACGGTTGTCGGCCAGGCGTCGGACTATGCCGTGGAATTTTCAGGGTTCAATGTGGAGTAGACAGTATTCCCATAGATACAGAGCCGCCGGAGTCCTCTATAGAATTTGAGCAGAACCATCATTGTCCTATACCGTGAGTGGAGTTGAGTAAACTTTGGCTCTCAACCTCAGCGTGCCTTCTTGTTGGCTATGCTGTTGGTGTGCTTCAGTCGTGCTGCAGATGTTTTCAGTTGCGTAGGCTGACAGCCCACCGATTGAGTGGCTCTACTACTGATGCTGTGGCAGTCTCATTTGTGAACCAATCTAATGTATTTCCGTTTCATACCAAAAGCATTGATGCTTTCGAAGTTTCACTCTGTAGCCTGCCCCGCTCAGTGCTCGCGATGAGCGACAGAGACACAGATACTCCGACGAGAACATCATCACAATGGGATGGCTGATCATCGCAGTGGCGCAACACTACCAGAAACCTCCCGCTTTGGGGAACAAGTCCACTACCACTTCTGTGCCATCAAAGGTGTACCAGATGCCTGCTGTGCGCCTGTCCAAAGTGCGGATTGAGAATGCTCTTCCCACAGTATGGGACGTTCATACATCCATTCTTCGGCGGTTTTGATTTCATATTCAAATCCGTACCAGATATGTCCCAGAACACATGACTTCACATGCAACTAGCATACCCCTTAGCATGATGTATCAGTCCCCACCCGCTTTGAAGAAGTTCCCTGATATCCGACACCATCGACCAAGACCCCGCTGCCGTCGTCCTGCCCATTCCGGAGATAAACAAACCAGTAGTACCCAGCCACAAACACCGACCCGCCAACAATATTGCCAATGAGCGCCGGCACGATGCCCTTCCAGATATACAGTCCCAGGGTAAGCCCGGGCGTCTCGCCGATCCACAGCGCCATGGGCATGAAGAACATGTTGGCGACAACGTGGTCCATGCCGCACAGGACAAACGCAAAGACGGGCCACCACAGCCCGACCACTTTGCCGACGACGTCCCGCGAGAACAAGCTCAGGTACAGCCCCAGCGCCACAAGCCAGTTGCAACCCACGCCGCGGAGAAAGACCTGGTGGAACTCGGGCGTCACCTGCTTTCCGGTTGCAAATTCGGCCACGTGCGACCGGTAGGGATCCTTTGCAAACACCCCTCCTGCTCCAAAGATGAGGATGACTACGATCAGCGCGCCGGCGAGGTTGCCCCAGAACGTAAGCACCCAGTGGAGGAGCATACGTGGGAGGGACAGACGGCGATGTAACACGGCTAGCGTGGTATACTGTTTCCAGGTTGTCAGCGCTTCCTTCAACTGTCTTTCTGGCTGCAGGACAGTGACTCACCATGAACGAAGCCGTACATAGATCTGCGCCGGTAATCGTGATGATCACCAGGCCGAACGGGAAGATCAGCGCGCCGAGCATTTTCAGTAAGCCTGGTGCATCCTCTTGCAGCTGTGGCGAAGTGGTGATGATGAGAAAACTCGCTGAAGCGAAGCTGAGCAGACAACCTGCGGAGATGGCTGAGAGAAAGACGGCCTCGGGTCGCATGTAGCCCTTTTTCGCTCCCGTGCGGGAGGCGAGCTCGATGGCCTCGACGGGTGTATATGCCGCCATCTTGGCCGAGGTGCGACCAAGGGATTTGTGTGGATTGATTGACAGACAGAAACCGAAGTCTGCCGCGGCCGACGTCTCTTTTTATCACCTTGCAAGGCACTTATCGATCTAAGCCCAGCGATATCGCTCTCCGCCCGAGTAGAATGCCGATATGCCTGGGGTTGGGTTTCCTCTGAATATGTGGCGATCGCGGCCAAAAGTCTCTTTCGGCAGAGATTTGCCGCTATCGTCTTTATCACTGCGTGTGCCTGCAATAGTTAAGGCAGATCATCCGCCAAGGGCCACCAGCGAACCCCATCTGGGGAATGGCAGGTTCTTTATCGCGGAGGAGGATCTTGTGGGCGATGCCGGAGAGGTGGCCGGCCCACCAGAGAGTCGAAAAGTGGGAATCGACCCATCTCGATTTTTCTTGGTTTTCTCTCCTTGTTGTGGATCTTTACGACGGTGAGTGGATTCTTTGGCCTTCTTGGTTGCTGGGTGTGGCCCGCAGCTGTCCCCTTTATCAATCTTGTGGCCCCTGTTTCTGAGTTCTCGACTGTCTGATCTTCCGGGGCGGCTTTCTCCAGATGCCTTGATAAATATCACAGATGTCGTCGTCTTGAAAGAAATCCGTCTGGCGCTGGCCAATGACAGCCGTGACACAAAGACTAAAGTCACGAATCAGCCGCACGGGACAAAAGCACGTGGCTGGCAGAGCCGCAACTCCAGGCACATTCAACCACGTCGGCCAAGCTCAACCACTGCGATAAATACCGTCACCGCCAAGTCTTCTCTCGCACATGTCCTCGGAGATGGCTCGGGATGGCTTGTCAAGCAGGAGGCGAGCAGGCGCTGAACCCGTGACTAAAGCGCTTGGCTGCGACGCCACGTGCCAGGGTTTGCTAGTCGCGCTTGTGCTTGGCGCGCCGGCCGTGATAAGCCGGATCCGACACTCCAAGGGCACAAAGTCCGACGGCTTCGGAACGGGACGAAGCTGTCACATGATGAATTGGGAACGTCGGAGGGCGGGATATGCGGATGTGATCGGCACCTACTGACAAGTCTCGACCACATTACCCCTGCGACATCTCACGAGGCCATTGGTTTGAAAACATCCGTTTGTACGTGGACTGTCCCGCCGGAGTTCGAGTGAAGTGCGTGGCTTTTCAGCTACAAAAGACGGCGCCGTGTTTGTCGTAACGGGGTTTCCTGGCCTCAATAGCAAATTTGAGGGGGCACTCCGGGTGCAAGAACAGACTCGGGGATGGACCCAGCTCCTGTTACGTGGAGAGGGGCGGCAGCAGATTTTCGAAAATCAACGATGCAACTAGGCTGAGTGTTGCTCAGCAATGAACCATACAGCGCTGTCATCTTTTTTGAACGAAGACAGTTTGAATGTTGCCTCGATAGATAACACCGTTGTCAATCTACAATGATACAATGAAGCTGGCTGCGGTGTGGAGGACATAAGAAATGTCGACACGAAAAAAAGGAAAAAAGGAAAACCAAGAAATCCCGACATTGAAAATATTTGTTGCCTCAACAGCTACAGATGTGCGCCCAAAGTCTTCCGAAACAAAGTCTGGACTCGCGAATACGTTCTTGACGGTAGAAATCATCCTGCTGCCCACGATTGCGCTTCCCAAGTATCAAATTGCCTCCTGGTGGCTGACTTGTTGAACCATAATATTTCCCTTCTCCTTGACATCCGCGTTTGCGACTTCCCTGACATCCACTGCATCGTCTCCGTCGAAGTAGCGTGCAATTTCCTCGAGGGGAGTGTACCGGGTCTCCACAATGAAGAAATAAATAATGCCAATCTCGAAAGCCAGGAAAACGACATAACAAAGGTAATATTTCCAATGCAACGCGTCGAGAGCGATCCCATTGATGTATTGATTAAAGAACAGGCTTAAACTCACTGAAAAGTTCAGCCATGTGAATCCTTTGGCTCGGAGATGGTAGGGGAGAATTTCTGTGGTGTATGAAGCCAAAAGTCCATTCCTATTTTTTTATTAGTTTTCTTTTTTTTCCCCCCACTCTACTGACGTCTCCGAGGCTTCCTTCATGCGTCCCCAGATCTGACACTCGATAAGATAAATGACAGAAATCGGGAGAACTCACTTGAAATCATAGAATAAGCCATAACAAAAGATCATCGCCACAAACGCATATCCGAGTGAATTGTTTGGGGCAATTTCGAGCCGCGCCGAGATGATGGTCCATACAGTGAAAATAACGAAAGTGCCGACCGTAGAAATGAGGTACATTGGTCGACGACCGATCTTGTCAACGAAGAATGACATCGTGATATTCTCGATCAGCGCTTGGGTCTTCAAACCGCCGTTGATTCCAAGCTGTGTCTGAGGATTTGTAATGCCAACTTGGTTCATGATGGTACTCAGATAATACGAAATGAGACCGTTGCCGCTCCACTAAGTAAAGGTTAGCAGCCTATCCATGATTCAGAGAAATGAATGTTGCGTTGGTGGGGAGCGAAAAGAATTCATTTTTACCTGACTGCAAAATTGTTAGCTCAGAACTCCACAAACGGCTCCAGATCACAAGAGCAGCATTGTACATACCTGAAGAAACCAATGGCTGTGATTATCCCAATTCTCTTTCTGTTTCCCTTCGTCTTCAAGAAGTCAAGCCAGTTTGACTTTCCCATCTGCTTTTCGAGCTCGATCGTAGCCTTGACTTCTGCATACTCGAGCTGCACGAAGGTGTCGTCTACATCGCCTTCGCCGTGGTAGTGCGAGAAGACTCGAAGCGCGTCTTCGTGTCGGTCTTTGTCCATCAGCCAACGAGGGCTCTCAGGCATGAAGAAAACCTACAGCTCGAGTTAGTCGCCCGATTCCGGTAGAATAAAGCCCGCAAATCAAAGCGAGGAGGAGATTGGCTTTCGCGTTACTCACCATTCCCAGAATGAAAACGGAACAGATGGACTGCAGGAGGCTGGGCAGCCTCCACGACCATTCGCTCTGGATCTGCAAAGTCCCGTACGTAACCCAGCTGGCAATAAATGCGCCAGAGTGGTAGCTCGCACCGCTGAGGGTCACGAGGGTCGCGCGGTCCTGGGGATGAGCAATCTCGGCGATCAAGAGTGGTGCGGAACCAAGGACGATGCTATCGCCAAGGCCGAGCAGCAACCTTGCGGCAACAAACATGCCAAAGTTTTGCGCACCGCTCTGCAAACCAACCGCGAGAAGCATGATGACGCAGCCCACGGCAACGCCGACTCTCCGGCCTGCCCAGTCGTTGAGGTAGGGCGTGGGTAAAAGACCAATCAAAGAGCCCAGGCTCATTGAGGCGTTGAATAGGCCCAAGACGGAGCCTTTGGGGTGGTCGAAGTACTCCTGCCAGTATGAGAGGGATTGTAGTCCATTCATCATGGAGCCATCGAATCCATTGGCGGTGTTGGTAAGAATGAGAACCACAATGTAAAAGTAGAGCATACGAAGATTCTTCCTGCGCCACCAGGGAACACGGAGAAACTCCCTGCCAGCAAACGGAAAGTGACCCTTTGTTGGTTTGGCAGGGACCTCGGCCTGCAGCCTCTTGGGAGGTGAGAAGATCGACATCGTTGCGCAGTCAGGCTCAGAGTCGAGACGAAACTTGTGTGTTGTCAGCAGTCCAAGTAGCAGACTCTACCTCCTCTTGGCAGGGCTGACTGTGTTCCTGCCACGGGTTATATAGCCCAGAGCCCAGACAAGCATCACGAGCCAATTCTACCAAGCTTTTGTCCTTTCCCGATAGTTGTTGGTCCAACACGGGTAATTTGGCGTGTCCCCATTGGCCGGGTAAAGCTTGTGTTGGAGATCCCCCAGATCTGCCACGCAATCGAGGCTCCGGGGCCCCAATCGGTGCTTCCCCAGGTTTGCCCCCACGTTCGCCGGCGCCGGGGTTCTCCGATTTCTGGTTGGTCCGGCTGTAGCCATTGTGATTTTCCAACGCCACAAGTCCCCATCTTCCCAAGAGCCTCTCTGCCAAGGAGGTCACGCGTGGCGTCCGCGTTATCGTAGTGGCATCGTGCCACTCCGACCAGGGCCATAGCCGCATTTTGCCGGTCAGTAACTTGGCGCAACATCAGTACACGCGTACACCACGGGTATCACAACCCGAGTGTCACCGATGGCTTCCCATGACTTCTAGTACGTGCAGGATGAAAGAGCATGTCGCCAACTTGGCCTTTGCGTGTTAGTCTAAGAACGGAAGATTTTGTGCGATGATATATCAGACTCGCACTAGGCATGTTCTGTACTTCAATGTCTCCAAGCCATCCAAATGACATCCCGGGGTATCAGCCTACCAGAGTGAAGAATGTACGGTCACAGCAATGCCCCTCAGTCACGACCATTGTGCCTGAAGTCGAGACTCTTTCCTGGCCTGTCTGTGGCGGACGCCGCAAGGGGCTCGCTTCAAGCCGGACATGTTGCTGCTGCCTTACACCTCGTCGGCCGCCCCATTGTGCTTGTCAAATCCCTTGACAGCTTGTGTTGTGCGACCTGCGGATCCCTCTAGAGTTTGGAGAATTTGAATGTTCCGGTAGCGAGTAGTGACACTGATTCCGCCCAGTATGCGTGGTGGAGCTGTCAGGGGTTGGTTGGCGGGCTGCCGCTGCGGCTACGGGGTCGTTTGGCTGAGGTAGACATGCTGATTGTGATGCGGGAGTAATGATGGACGAATGTTCCTTATTGGTGGCGATGATAGGATGGCCAAAGCCCAAAAACGGCGCCGCAAATTTATAGCAATGCGAGCAAGACGTGAAGCTGGAAAATCTCCGATGGGGAGGGCGAACCACATCTTGAGGTTGCCTCGTAGGCCAGGTGCTGCGTACACAGACAGCAGCAGAGACACGTTTGGGGCCTGCAGACCTACTTACCCAGTACCTAGGTAGGTAGGTATGTTGGGGTTGTCATGCAGCGCTTGCTGGAGAAGTGAAGATTGTGGATCAACAAGCAACATTCTTTATTTCCTAATCGCAATCAGTTCTCTTCTCTTCTCTCTCATAGATCTAAATAAACCCCTTGTGGCCCAACTTGTAAAGTGCAGGATGTGCAGGCAGCCGAACAGCTAGACCATCGAAAGCCGTGTACCCAAAATTGCGAAGCGCTTCATATTCAGGAGCCAAGCATGTGACAGCGGGTTCAACTTGGTATACTATTGCTAAGATCTTTTCTGGAACGTATGGAGTGAGTCCGAAGCGCGCCGGTTGTACTTCAAACTGCGGTACTCCGATCGTTTCAACTTCTCGCAACACGCGCAAACCTCGCATTTCCTTTCACCATGATACGGACAAAGTCAGGCATTCCATTGAAACAAGGCATATTACGTTACTGAGAGGATATAATTAACCAAAAACAACCAGGACTTTCATAGTTGCACGTTTCTCAACTCCTGAACCTCTGAACCTCTGAACCTCTGAAATCCGTCCTCTTACTCATCATAGCACACGCGCATGGTGCAGGGGAACGGGACATACGCACCCCGGTCCTCGCGGAGATACACGACCGCACCATCGGCCCGGGTGTTGGTCTCCTGCTGGCGCACCTTCTTGAGCTCGCCCTGCGGGCCGGGAGCACGACGGACGTTCTTGAGGCGGAACACGCCGCGGAACATCTCGGTGACGCCGGCCTCGACGAGCCCCCGGTCCGTGAACGACCCCGTCATGGCGGACAGGAAGACGTACGACTCGGCCGGGCGGCGGGGGTTCACGGCCGCGGGCTCGGGGAAGTGCGCCGCGTCCTTGGACGCGAAGTTGACAAAGACGCGCTCGCCGGCGTGGACGCGGACCTGCGTGCCGTCGTCCTCGGTGATGGTGTCGGGCGCCAGGGCCGCGCGGGAGGTCACGAACCCCCCGCTGAGGCGGACGCCCTCGAGGCAGTAGCCGAGCAGCAGGGCGTCGGTCTCGGGGCTCGACGCGAGGCCGGCGATGCGCTGCAGCTCAAAGATGTGCTTGGTGCCCTCGGGGGTGAGGTAGAAGTCGAGGCCCTGGGCAAACATCTCGGCAATGGTGGGCACCACCGACGCGACCGCGGGGAGGAGGTGGCTCCATGCAATGTCGCGGCTGCTGAGGCCGGACTGGGACAGAGTCTTGATCATCTCGGCGCCGTATGCGGAGATGCTGCCGGCCTTGGGCTTGCCGCCAAAGAGGCCCCCGCCGGCCTTCTTGACGCTCGCCTCCAGCAGCGTGCCGAGCTGGTGCGCGAGGGCGGCGGCGGCCTGTCTGCGCGGGAACGACTTGACCGGATCGTGGTCGTGGCTGAGGCTCATGTGGATGGTGGCCAAGGCCATATACAGCTCGTCGTCAGTGAAGACGCCCTTTGGCTTTTCCTTGGTCTGCAGAGGCAGGCCGAAGAGCTCGGCCGCAAAGCGCGTGGGCGCGAGGTTTCCAACGTCCCGCACAATGTCGACAAAGCTGGCGCCGGCCAGATTGTAACTCTTCTCTTTCAGCAGAGCCGCCATGATCTGCGCGTACAGCGACTTGACTGCCGGTGCCCACTCGGGCTTGAAGAGCTGACCCGGCTTGTTGTTGTCGCTGCGCGGCTGCACGGGGGTTTCCTTGCCTGTGCCCAGAGTGGCGAGCATGGCAGCGAGACCCTCCTGGACATTCTCGCCATACTTGGTCGGGTTGCTGACAACGTGCTTGGCACCAGCGAAGCTGTTGATGTTGACCGACGGCGGATGGTAGGCCGGGCGGTCGAAGCTGAAGTGCTTGACTCTGCCGAGATTGGTGAGGATCTTCTGGGTTTCGCTCGGGACTACAGTTGCGTCAGTGGATGGAGGTCTGGCTGCAGGGTAACTGGGGGAGAACACTTACCGCACATGGGGTAGTGTGCGTATGCAGAGTCCCGCTTGAAGTGATTCGGGAAAGCCCGAATGAAGAGCTTGTAGAAGACGCAACCCTGGTTGAGGTCAAGATCATAGGACGCCTCGTTGAATCCCCAGTTGGTGAGGAACTTGGGGCTGTAGTCCGTGGTGTAGAAGCGGTCGCCTCGGGTCAGGCAAACGGCGTCGGAAAGGATGACGCGGGAAATGGTGTAGGTGGGCTACGAGGTTCAGGGATTAGCAACGTTCTCGTCCTCTGACGGCAAGGGCCGACTTACAGCAATACCGACACCGGGGACCATCGGCTCCTTGGCCTCCTCGGCGACGAGACCAGGATACAGCTCGACAAGGTCGGGGTGCTCGTACAGGTGGCGCAGCGAGTCAGCAATCTCGGGGTCAGAGTTGATCTCCTCAAACGTCTCAAACGGCTTGAGGCCAAAGTGCTTGCGGAACTCGTTGAGGCCGGCCACGTTCCAGCGGCGGCCCTGCAGGATACCGAGAATCTCGACGGGCTTCATGGCCTCGGGCACGTTGCGGCCGCCAAAGGCGCCGGCACAGTCCTCAATGGCATCCGAGATGCAGTTGACCAGATCGTCGTCGAGGAACGCCCCGCTCTCGGTGCGCTTGAATCCGCCAAAGACTCGCTCCGCCGGCTCGTCGGGGATGGACTTCTCAAACTTCATAAAGCCCATCATCATGTCCCTCTCGGTGACCGTAAGGGGATCCTTGTTGAAGATCTCGCGGTAAAAGTCCTGTACCCACTTGTCGTCCTTGGCCGAGATGCACGAGTGCCAGCGGTAGCAGAGGTTGAACTCGGCGGAGACGGCACTGCCCGTGCCGGCGGCGACCAAGTCCTTGGTGCCCTGGTTGACACCCATCTCCTGCCGCGGGTCGAGTGTCCACGTCGTGTTGCTGCGGTTGAGGTTGACAATGTTGCGCACGTAATCCACAAGGGTGATGTTGATGTACAGTCCCGAAGTAACAAGACGAGCAGTCTGGAAAAGGTCATTGTCGTACTTCTTCCACGCAGCGGCGGCCTTGTCCTCCGGGAGATCTGGCGAGGGAGGGGTGAACCGCCCATTCTCGTTGATCAGAGCGAGATTCTTGGCAATGTAGTTGTGGTAACGGTTGAACATGATCAGGATGATGCTGCAAGCAGGCGGCATGCCCAACATGCGCTTGTCTGCGAACGTGTCGGGCTTCATCATGCCGTCCTTGAATGTCCGGATCGAGTCCTGCATCTCCTGGTTGTGGCCATACAAGGGAGCCAAGTCCAAGTACGAGTCTGCCTTGTTCATTTCCTGGTTTCTGTAGTCGGTCCAGAACAGGTCGTGGATGATGATTGTGGCCCAGTACCAAAGCACCGACGAGACGTTGTTGGGGTGGCTTCTGTGGCTGCGCTTCTTCATTACAGCCTCGAAAATGAGGCCTGGATCAGGAAGCGCACCCGGGTGGACGAGGCTGGGCCGGCAGGTGCGCGCGTACGGCGTACCAGCAGCACCTTGAAACGGGTCCTTTGGGTTGTTCCAGGAGCCATCAGCCTGCCTGTATTGGAACTTCTCACCGAGGTAGAGTAGAGGCGGGTGCTCCAGTGTGTTCCACAGCTCGCCAATGAGGTTGTTGGTCAGGGTGTCCCGCAGCTTCGAGTGGTGAGGCAATCCGGCCACGAGCTGGATGACTTGCTCCATCAGCATGGTCTTGTCGTCATTGAGCTCCCCCTTGACCTTGGCTTTGACCAGCTTGATGATGGTCTTGACATCTAAGGTAACGCGCGGCGGTTAGCAGGTTTTGGTAGCGGTTGCAAAACTCGGCTGCAAGCACCCACCCTTCTTCTTGATATGCTTCAGGTCCTGCTTCAAGCCAGGCCTGTTCTTTATCAGGGTCATCGTGCCATCTCCGTGCTGCGAAGGGTATGCGCCCCGCGTGACATTCATAAACTGAGAGAACTGCGAGAATGTCGCCTTGACCCCCTCACGTGTCGCGGCAGGCGGCGGAGCAGGTGCTTCCTTGAGAGCTGGAGGAGGCGACACCGCGGACTTGGTAACGCTGGACGAGCTGCTGGCGCCCGTGTGGCTGCCATTGACGCCATTGGTCCCCTTCTCGTAGCCCATGATGCAGTCGTGTGGTGTTCTAGTCTGTAAGAGAGCCTTGGATGGCTTCGCTCGCGGACCCTGAGAAGACGAGAAACTGCAGAAGGCTCAGAAAACAAAAAGAGGTGAGGAGGCACGCGATGCCTGTATCACTCTGTTTCCGCGTCGGAATTTATGGCAGCGGCAAGCTTGCACCAACCTGCCGTGACACACAACACGGCCGGGCAGAAGATGCAAGCGGAATGCCCACAGGACGGCGATCATCTTGGGCACACTGTATGAGCACAGTCTCACCCGAGCCTTGTTGCAGATCTGCTCGCTCCAGCAGCCAAGAGTGCATGGCTTAGCGTCAAATCAGGTCTCAGACTTACCAGCCGGGCGGCTTGTGATTACGGCGCTTAGCGAGATGATCGCAAGGGCGATCCCAAAGAGAGCCATTCCTGTATTGGAAAATGCAATAGTATAACTAGCTCCCACAGCAACGGACAGTATCTTGCGCGATCTGTATCGTGCAGAGGGCTGGTTATACAATGCTGGCCTATCGGAGCTGTGCAGGCCTCTTCGAGGCGTCCAATCATGTCCTCGACAGCTGGCCATGCATTCTGCCTCAGGTAGCTAGGAGTCGTCACTCTCGGGATGGTGCATCGCCAAGGTTCCGTAGTGAAAGCATCCGAAGACGTTTAGGTCCGCGGACGACGATCTTTTGGAGGTCGCTGCCCGGCATCTTGGATAGACACACCTATCTATCCATCGAGAACCATCGCCGGTCTCTACCAGCAGATTGCAAGAGTCCCACCAGAGACAGTGTCTTAGACATGCTCCCTTTGGGCGGGCAGTTTTTGTTTCCAGCCTTACCAATCAGATGGCTTGGGAAAACAAACGCGGAGAGGGCGCCAGAGCGCCACGGAGGAAAACGCAGATCAGGGGCTGATTGGTTGCCACGGACACCATCAAGTGTTCACTCCCATGTCTCTGCAGAATGTCCCCTGGGCAGTGGTTGGGTTAGCGCCTGAAACTACCGTGGCACTAACTCAGCTCGCATGCAATAGCTCTCCCAAAGGAGCAAGGGAACGCCTCCGCACAGTAGAGCTGGGCCTGGCAGATGCCAGACGTGGAGCGCTGCTCCCCGGGTCATAGCGTTGCGTTGAGACTGTGAGGATGCCCGAAAGAGCAATGCGGGATGAACCTGGAAGAACCGCCTCATGCAACGTGAATCAGATGACGCCGCACTCCGAGTGCTTGGGACAGCGCGAGGAAGATCCTTGTGCAAATCATGCCCAGATCTGGTGACGGCGCTAGGGCAAGCTTGTCAAGCAGGGGACGGCCCGCGACAAGGGTTTGGCTTTTCCTTTGGGGTCGGCAGATGGTCAAGGTTGCGCACTAGGCGGCGCCACTCTGCTCCGGGGGTGGATGAGCCCGCAAGTGTCGTGGCCGTCTCCTGCTAATGTGTGCTCAATCATTGGCCAACACTGAATGAAGCCTTTGGCAATTTCCCTTTCTGTCGTCGATAAAGCGAACGCCGGAAGAGTCACACGTCATCTTGGAAAGGAGCTCGACCACTTTGAAGCGGCATGGATCCTACCAATTCAGGCTGCGGCCAGGATTGGGTACTTCTGGGGTAGGTGAAAGAAAAGTAGTTCCTTTGTTGAGCAGCCGTGCCGTCATAGTCTCGGATCTCGCTGCAGGCTAAAGTCGGCCCGCGCAGTAGCGTGGATGCATACTGCCTCTTCGGGGGTGGTGGCTGGCTGAGAAGAGATGCTCGTGATCCCAGGAGGGGTTGTGAGGCCCAGATCAGCTCGAAGGTGAGGTGTCCAGCAGTCAGATAAAGAACTGTTGGATCACTGTTATGGTTTCTGCTTGAAAGTATCGTGTAGTCATGTTCGTCCCCGCCCCGAGCCATCGTGAATCGGAGCGCTCGCGAATGAGGTCAGTGGCACCTCCTGGAGCTGAGCCATGAGGGGGCCGATCGTGTCGCTCCATCGCATCGGCTCTCTCTCCATGGGGGTGGGATCGCGACGTCTGCATACTGTGCAACGCCACCGTGACTTTCAAAGACAGTGTCGCAGCCCGAGAGTCCGGACCTATCGGGGGGAACTGGCGTAAGGCAGCCTCTCCTTCACATGCTGCTCGCCCTCTTGAAAGCCCCCTCGTGTTCCACAACTTCCGCTCCGTGTCAGCCATCCTGTGCTTTGTCGCCCTTGGCCCCGTCGCACGTCCGGTTGCACAGCTGTTATAAAGCCGGCCTCGTGAGAAAAAAAAGAATCACCCTTGCGGGATGGACCCAACACACCTGATCCCCGGGCCAAAAGCTCGGCCTCATGAAGGCACAAGAGACAGCAGCATGGCGGCGGCGACTCGAGACTTTTCGCGTGCTCAGCAGGTCGCGCAGCAAATCGTGACCGCGCCCGAAGACTGGCATCGGTCCGGCCCTCGTAAGCTTGTCTTGTGCTTCGATGGAACCGGCAACAAGTTCAAGGGCGACGACAGCGACAGCAACATCCTCAAAATCTTCCGATGCCTCGATCGGGAGGCGAATGATCAGTGTGAGTGCCCGAAGCTGGTCCAATCATTCATGAGGGGATTGGTGGTGAAGATGCTAACACAAAAGGGCCCGCAAAGTCCACTACTACCAACCAGGGATCGGCACCTATGTTGTCTCAAGCTCGCTGTCGCACACGACCATGACTTCGCGCATCCGGTCGTGGTATCTCAAGGCAAAAGACTCGGCCATCGGCTCGAGCTTTGACCAGCACGTCGTCGGCGGCTACCGCTTCCTCATGCGGTACTACAACCCAGGGGACGAGATCTACTTCTTCGGCTTCTCCCGCGGCGCCTATGTCGCCAGGTTCCTAGCAGAGATGCTCGACCACGTCGGGCTCCTTTCCCATGGCAACGAGGAGATGGTCGGCTTCGCATGGAAGGCCTTTTCTCAGTGGCAGGCGAGAGAACATGACGAATCGGCGGACGGCGCGGGCAAGAGGCGTGAGATGTACCGGTTCATGAAGGGCTTTCGCGAAACGTTCAGCCGCCCGGTCAAGCGTATCCGGTTCCTTGGTCTCTTCGATACCGTCAACTCGGTCCCGAGATTCGAGACGGCGTGGATGCAGCGCTCAAAGTTCCCATACACCGCAAGGAGCAGTGCCAAGGTCAGTGCAGTCGGCTGTTCTGCAGATGTAAATTGGGTTTTGACAAATGTTCTTCTAGGTCATCCGGCATTGCGTGTCAATTGACGAACGCAGGGCCAAGTTCCGCCAGGACCTGATCTACCAGGGCAGCCAGCTCAAGGCCAAAAGGCAAAATGAGCACCATCACCACCACCACCATCACGACGAGCAGAAGCCCCAGGACAGCAAGGATGGTGATCAAAGATACCGAGGCAGGCGTGCCACGGTGGTCGGCCCAGTCGCGCCTCCGGCCGAGGATCCTCGTGGGCGCCGCAGGGCTACACTCGCGCCACATGAGTCCTTCTTCCGCCCGCGGTCCAGGTCCAGGTCGCGCGTGACGGTGAACTCTGTCAACAGGAGCCGTGCGACGTCCTTGAACGGCTCCGAGATATCTCGAGTGGTGCCTGATGATCCAGATTCAGATGACGAACAAGATGTGGACGAAGTCTGGTAGGTTTCTGCACCAAAGTTCCCCGAAAACTGTGCAAGCGCTGACTGGGGATCTAAGGTTCGCCGGAGGCCACGGTGATGTCGGGGGCGGATGGGATGTCGAGCCAGGGACAAAGCCTTGTAGCCATATCCCCCTGGCATACATGATTCGCGAGGCAATCAAAGCAGGTCTCCAGTTTGATCCCGAGAAGCTGGTTGCCATGGGAGTCTGGGACACGCTTGAAGAAGCTGAGGCTGAGACAGCCGAGGCGAAAGCTGAAGGAGTCAAAGACCACGAAGCACCTCCTGAGATCCGCATCGAAGCATCGAGCCCGAGCTTGGGTCCCTCGCAGGCGGACAATAGCTTCTCCGAGAAAGAGCAGCCGAACTGGGATCACTTCAATCGCTATGGCCCAGCCCGCAATGGCGCCAAGGACGATGGTGGAATGGCGGACGGCTGCTCTGAAAATGGCGACCATGATGAGTCGCTCAATCCTTTCCATCAGATGCTTCACAAAGCACATCTGGCGACCGTGCACGACTCTCTCGAGTACGGCTGTGGGCTGAGCAAGATGCAGGTCCTCAGCTGGAAGATCATGGAGTACATGCCCTTCCGTCGGATGGACCTGCAGCCCGACGGGTCCTGGAAGCCAATTCGCTGGCCACTTCCATGTGGCGAGACGCGCGATGTGCCAGATACTGCCCGCGTACACGGCTCGGTGATTCGCCGGATGAAGATGGATCCCAAGTACCGTCCTGGCAATCTCATCGTGGGAGGCGGTGGCCGTGGTACACGCAAGGCCCCTGAACACCTCGGCATTGGCGAGTGGGAATGTGTGAAGGACGCCGGCGATCCCATTGGGGAAATCTGGGCCAGGAGGATTGTGAAGTCGCCCACCTGTAGCTAATTGATTAGTAGTTGTTGTTAGTAGTACGGAGCGTTGATATCTAAATCTGAAATCGCTTGCCTCACTGTCAAGTTTGTTGCCATTAGGGAGGTGAAGGCGTCAACGTGTCCCAAAGTTGCCAGATGACTGTTGGTTCATTGTTGACCGCTGCACACACCAGAGTGAGGCGACATGGACATGGTCGAAGGCAAGAGATCAATTGTGATGAAGTGCGGATCGAAAGACTTTGACCAGAAAGAGTGGGCTATCCATCAACACGCGTTCTCCCTCATGCTGCATGATTTGGGCCACTTGGTTGTCTCCTAGGTGACAACATTGGGCGGCGTTCAGTTTTCACGACGATATGTTCGCGGTTCGTGCGTGTCAAGGCTGTGGACGCCACACGAGCAAGATGGGCGCGCTCAGGCTAGGCCTCCAAGCAAATACAATGGAGCGATCGAGGTTGTCGATTACGAGCGCTGCCACAGCCACTTGACGATCTTTCCTTCGAAGCGCACCTGTAAGTCTCATGCATGATCTGGGTAGTCATCAGCCCGATCCAGCTCCACGCACTGCCCATTGTAGAAACGGATGCATCCAACGGAACCATCAGCCGGGCACAATGGTAAAGGGCGTAATAAGTTGGCCAAGTTTTGAGAGTTCATCAAGAAGCCAAAGAGCCCTCGCAAGGAGGCTGGCTGTGCTCGTCAAGGGCTGATGTGTAGTCCTTGTAGTTTCGCCATTCGGTACAATATCGGACACTGTTCGGATCGAAGCACGCGATGGGACTGCAAAAGGTGACTATCCGCATTCCTCGCATTTCTCGACAATTTCATCCCGGAACTCCTCCGCCCAAATAATCGTTGTCTGGATTCTATTGTACATTTCGTAGCTCGCTAGATGTTGTACATGGGGGCTCGGAAGAGTCATCATTCGCCCCGCCACCGTGAATTCGAGTATTGTCGAGACTCAGACTTCGTTAGTCGCTTGATTCTGGCACGAATTCTCCGTATCGTATGACCTCGATATCGTCGTATTAGACACGTTTACTCCCTGTACATCGCCACGAGAGGGGTCAGTCTGTTATTCCATGCAATGCGGTTGAAGGTCGCTTTCTGGTCCCTAAGGGATACCGAATACGTACGGAGGAAGGAGGAACTCGCCCCACGAGGTAGCGAGGAAAGCGACGGCAGCCTGCAACCAGTTCCAGGTCAGTCATGGGCCATTCAAAGTATGCGCGCGCGAGAGCGGACGAAAACGTACTCCGAAGACGGCGACGCTCCGGACAACAGAGGCGTTCTCGGGCGAAGTGAGGGCGGCATAAGTCGAGCCGATGAAGCCAGGGGCGGCGCGCGCGCGGCCAGATTCTACTCTCTTGGGTGCCATCGTGATTTGCGTTGAGGTTGAACTGACGAGGCGGTTCTCTCGTGTGTACTGGCGTTGGGACAGTGGTGGTTGGTGACTGACGCAGCTCTTGAAAAGTCGACAGGCGCACGCAAGCCACAGTCATCATGGAAACGGAGCTCTTAGGTTGTACACTAAAGCCACATGTAATTGTGGCGCAGCGCGCAGGCGGGCGGGTCCTCTCTCAGCGCTGATGGCGTCACCCGTCGCTCAGTGAGAGTCCATTCACTCACTGGAGCTCTTTCACAGCGCTGCGCCGGAGCTCTCAGAAGGCCCCACCTGTAAGTGATCACCACATGCCGCAAACTGTGTGCCTGGACCATGGATACTTCTACATGGTGAGACTGGACAAAGCTGGCAATGGCCAAACCGACATTGCGCGCGTTCAAGTCTTGATCCGTGTAACGCCGTTGGAGCTTTCACCAACCCAACAGATATTCTGAGCACAGTTATCGCCAACACCGGACCTGCGAGCATGGAGACACAAACAGCTTGATCAGCATCTCACTGACGTAGCACGCAGCTGCGCCTGATTCCAGCCCATACATACTCAGAAACACCACGCTCGCCCACACACACACGCTCAGTGCTCAGCATGGCTAGCAGCCGCACTCCAACCGCCAGCAGAAGCAATGCTGCCACTGTCCAGCACGCCAGCTCAACGGCAGGTGGGTTCTTCCGCGCCTCGCTGCCCTCGCCGGCGCCCAGTACGGCCTCGAGCAGGGCGGCCGCCCGCCTGCCACGGCCGCGGTCGAAGCCGCTGCTGCCCGGGTCGCGCAAGGAGGACTACGCGCGGGACTACATCTCGCAGCGCATGATGCACATCTCGCGGCGCTGGGTCAAGAAGCACGGCATCCCGGACCCGGCGGATCAGGTCTCGGGCTACGAGAGCATGGACGAGGTGTGCACCGACATGGAGGAGGTTGTCGACGTGCTGTGGTTCTCTGGCACTCGTACGTTGTTGGATTACCCAACTCCCCCGAGATCATTATCCGGGCGTTTTCTGGGGGGCCTTTTGGCTGACACTTTCTTCTTCTTTCCGGCTTTGAAGCGTCGATACAAATCCCGACACTTCTCGCCCTGGCCCTAGCACTGACCGAGTATCTCCCCTCGTTCCCGCCCGCGCCGCGGCCCACGTTCGGCCTGCTGCAGAAGCTTGACCACTGCTTCGCCTCGCTGCTGGTCGGCAGGGACGTCAAGACCAACGAGCCCCTGCCCGGCTTCCAGCGCGGGCTCGGCGCGGGCTTCTCCCGCACGGACATGGTCCGGATCAAGTCCCTTGCCGACGAGACGCGGATGCTCGTGGCGGTGGTGATGAGCGGCGAGGCCGATGTCGACGACTTCGAGGAGGAGGTGGAGGGTGATGACCCTGCGGCGGCGGCAGCATCAAGTCGCAGGGTCGGGGGGCGGGACGTCCCATCTTCCACTTTGCACGCTGCCACCAATGGCGACGATGACGACGACGACCTAGAAATAATAGAGTCCACCTCTCCCATCACCACATCCATCAAGCCAGAGCAAATCGACGACGCCGACTCCTTCTCCTCCACTTCTGGGGCCGAAGACGAGGAGGACGAAGGCCAAGAGTTCATCGACGTCGAGCCGCCCACGAACAAGCGCAAGCTCGCCCAGCGCCAGCAGCAGGAGGGTTCTACAGATTCGTCGCACACGCCATCAGGAGCCGACGCGCTGGATCAGCACCTGGCTGACGAGGCCAGGAAGCGAATCAAGATGGAGGAGGAGGAAGACGGCTCCTCGGTCGGCGCAGGCATGCCACCCGCAGCTGCTTCGCCCCGGTACGGCACCACCGCCCGTGATTCAGCTCCTGCTTCAGAACGCGATGGTGGTGGCGGTGGCAACATCGTCGTGATGAAGGACGAAGACGAGCCCATGAGCGGAGGAGGCATGCACGTCATCGATGGCGGCGTGGAGTCCAAGTCTGGGGCCCCGGCAGCGTCGGACCACCAGTTTCACTGGACGGTGGAAGATTCGGACTCGGACAGTGATGGTGATGGACGCACGAGCCCGAGACCGGGCCAGCAACGACAGGAGCAGCAACAGCCTCAGTCTGGTCCTCTGGCGTCACAGGCACAAACAAGGGCGCAGCGAGAGGTTGATGAAATAGATAATGAGGACGATGAGGAAGAGGAGCTGCACATGAACGTCGCCAAGGTATACGAGAAGACTCTGACACAGCTCGGTGAAACTTTGGGCGAATCAATAATAGACGATCAATAGTCTACCTTGTCAAACGACAAGCCGACCGAGGTCAGTTTTAAGTTGTTTTGCGTGATGGTGCCATCAAGCCCAACTGACGTTCATGTGAATTATACAACCTCTTCATTGCGTTACTGTTGAACTGCCCTGAGGCGATTCTGCAGTCCTGATGGTATTGCTGTAAATCTGAGAACATGCTAAACGCGTACATGGTCTAAACACCCATCCTACCGAGACCCCAAATCACGTACACCCGCCTAAAGGCCAGACAGTCTCCCTTCGCCAGATTCATGTGGTCAAAACGGCCCGCGCCAAACCTGCACAACTGACTATATCATCGTGCGAGGCTGGGTGTGAGGGACCATCTCCTCGTATGGTCGAGCATGGCGATCAAGCTCTGAAGAGTACGACTTTCTGAGGCCGCCCGCTGCGGCGGACGAACCATACTTGCCCTCCTCGTTCGCCCACTGACGACCACCGCCTGGAAGAGGCCCAGAGATCTCGATCATGTTTCCACGGCGAGCCTCGTTTTCCTGCTGCTTGCGCCGGACGGTTAGGCAGATAGCGACAATGGCCGTCATGATGAGCGCGACGCCAATGCCCGCCCCAATACCAGCCTTGGCGGCAACCGAGAGACCCGATGCTCCGACAGTCTCGTCATGTTCTTGACTGGCCGCCTCACCAGTCTGCGCGGCAGTGCCACTAGACCCTGTTGCAGAAGAGGTGGTCTGTTCAAAGTCAAGAGTTAGCTGTGGCCCGAAATGGTAGATGAGACAACTGGTTCGGCGGACTCACCCCTGTAGCGGTGGCTGAAGTACTGGCGGCAGTCTCTGCTGAAGCACTGCTGGATGTCTCCACGGTGGTCGATGAAGTTGGCGTTGACTCGGCAGAAGCTGAGGTAGGTTCTGCCGTGGTCGTAGTAGACTCGGTGGCTGCGGTAGTGGGTGCAGACTGTGAAGAGGCTTCTGTGGATGCAGGCGATGGCGAAGCAGTCTCGGCAGGCGATGTCGTCGCCGCCTCAGCGGGTGAGGTCGTTGCAGCCTCCGGAGCAGGAGTAGTGGTTGGGGCGGGGGGAGCCTGAACCGCAGCGCACCGGTCCTTGGCCGAGTTCTCGGCGAGTGTGACCTGCTCAGCACCCTCGGCGGCACATGCTTGGGCGACACAGTCGCGGACGCCGTTGGTCACGTCGCCGACGTAGCTGCAGACGCAAGCGGTGTCGCCAACCGCACAACCCATTTTCGATACGTCGGCCAGCACGCCATCGACACATCCTGCAGCGCAGGGAGATAGTGCAGCCTGGGAAACGACCTGGCCGATGAGTAGGCCAGCAATGGCTGCGTACAGAGGGATGATCATCTTGACCAGGTGTCGTTGGTTTGTGATCTTTGAGTTTTGGTGGTTGTGTCGTGAGGACAATGTCAAGCTGGCGGGCAACTAATATCCTTCACAGTAGAGGTGGTGGACAAATGTGGCGGTTACACCTGGCGAAATGAAACTCCGTGATACAGGCTAGGGTGGGCTGTACAACGTGGTGGTGGAAATGAGCAGAACGAGTAACAACGTCCGCGCGGGTAGAGGTGTTGCTGAAAGTACTGGAGAGGGGGTTTTCCTATCGTCTTTTTGGATGGTTATTCCTGGGACTGAAACTGCAGTCCCGTGCTGTTGTTGGTTATTGTTGTTGTTTTGAAGTATGGATGAAGAGAACCGCCGGGGTTGCTGGTATGAACAGACAGAGTTGGTGATGAATGAGCGTGGAGCAGCCGGAAAAGAAAGGACGGACAAGACACCGAAAGGAGTGAGGGTCGGAGGGCGAAAGGAAGATGACGACAACGAAGACGGCAGGCGAGGCGCGTGCAAGAGCGGCAGCAAAGACCTCAAGAGGAAGGAAGGAAGGAGGAGGAGGAGAACGCAGCGTGGAGCGGGCAGGCAGGTGCAACCCTGATGTAAGTAAGAATAGCGCTGGCGTGGCAGGGTCAACGTTGCCTGTCGTCGGGTCTTGGGGCCCACCCGTCGTTGCATTGTGGTTCGGCTGCAGGTACCTGCCTTAAGGTACTGGGCCACTTGCACGACAGGCACGCACGCCAGGGGCTGGCTAGTGGCAGCAGCCATGTGGGCCGCGGGCCCAAACCAGCACAAAGTCCTCTCTGCCTCCTCCCTCATTGCGCACCAGCCTCCGTCCACGATCCCAGTCAGTCCTCGCCAGTGCCGCTGTTGCTTTGCACCCTCGTCGGTTGCCAGGATCAGCTTGGCGTGCCGCCTGACGACCCCAGACTCGTAACGCAATGCTACCCTCCGCCGATTTGACATGGCAGCTCCGTGCAATGCATCCACCTTCCGCCCAGGGCAGCCATCCTCCGCTCGCGCGCCTGTCTTTGCCTATTAGGCAGGCCATCGATATAAACTAAATGCAACTAATGCGGCGACATGGACGTTTGACAGCGAACGGCGCAATGTGACACAGAGGTTCGTTCGGACGGACTTGGCCAGTCCAAGTGCCGCACACCACTAGAACACTGCCTGTGGCTTGCAGCGCTGTGCCCAACTGGCACCCCAGGTCTCAGTGACGTATTTCCCAAGACAAACTAGCGGCGGTCTTGATTCTTACCGTCGAGATTGTCCTCCAGTCCCCCGCCTCAGCCGTCGTCCTTCCCTCGAACCAATCTGGAAGTGTTCGCTGACGATCCTTGACTCTTCCTCAACGGGCGTCACACTGCATGTTCAGCCTCGGGACGAAGACTTTGCCCTCTTGAGTTCTCCAAAACCACGAGAACCCTGCACACAGCCACTGCGGGCGGGCGAACCTACGCGTACGTAAGTCAGTTCTCTACGAATGTGGCCTGTCCCCTTCGCTTGGTGCAACGACGGCCACGGGCTGGTCCGGCGCCGCGTCGCCGCTTGTGTGTCGAACCCCTGAGTTCGGTAGGGGCCGTGGCCAACACACTACTGTACTGCCTTCGCACGAGCGCCGCTTGCACCGAGAGTGCTTCAAAGAAGTCCATCTTCACTGGCAATGCTCAATGCAGTTGTCGAGAGGCATGGCAAACATTCAGCATGGAGAGGCTCACGGGCATGAGCACCATTATGCCCTCTGATCGGCGTGCTCATGTGCAGCAGGTCCTCCGAACAGCGCCTGTTTCAAAAGTTGCCCTGTCGTCGAATCGCACGGGAGGGCGCCTGACAAGGTGGCAGATCCTCGCCAGGGGTCGAGCCAAGCGGCGTATTCGAATCTCTAACACGCCAACCCAGACCCTGCGGGTCTCCTGCCCCACAACGCCGCGAGTGCTCGCTGCTCAGCCTTTGGCTGTGTCGTCGAGTATCCTGGCGAGTCGCTCCTCGAATGACAGCTCGCATCTGCCCGCCGACCGTGTCCCATCGCCAGGTCACCCACGACGATCAAGGTCAGGGGCAGGACCATTCATGGCGGGGATGGGATCCGCGGCCTTGTGAGCCTCTTGACCGATGGCATGCCCAAAGGCACGCGCCAAAGCACGCGCTGGAATGCAGAGACATTTGATGTGCCACGCCATTCATTGCTGGTGCCCATGTCAGAAGCTCCAAGTGAGTCGTTGCCAGCTTCCCACACAAGGGACAGGGGTGGTCACGCATGAGCCCACGCGAGCAAGGATTTCGCACTGCCTTTCGCCGTTGTCGCAAGTCTACACGACCCATAAAGGACGACCCTGAGCCACAGTCAAAGTTCTCTGGGCGTGCACTCAAACACCCCTATTCGCATGCAATTACCAGCCGCGATATGTGTGCATTACTCGTGTTTGCTGTTCTGCGTCTGGTCCGGCCTGCTAACTTTCAGACATGAGACTTGACCTCCAAGTTCCAGCTTGACTGGGCACGGACGCATGCTCTCCGCCAGCCGTCATGGTCAAGCCACAAGAAATCTCCACATGCCAATCCAAGTCAATTTACTTCAGACAAGCAATATCGCGCCCCCGGGCAACACCCCAATATATCACTAATTCCATGCCTCGATCACCTTCACGCAAGCTGGTGACTGCTTGGCTCGCAGACATGGACCGCTGGTCATGCCTTTGCGTCTCCCAGTGTTAAACAACACATCCTTTCCGGCCCAAACTTCGGAATTGACAAGCGGACGTCCGAGTCTGAGTGCATGTGATTGAGGCGTGCGTCTGGCCATGTCTGCTCATTCAGCCGTCAAGTTTAAGAACAAACGTTCTCCGCGCGCCCCTGACCGCCCGGTTCAACGTTAGAGAAAAAGAAATTGGCGAGACCGGCTAGCCTCCGGCCGTTGAATCCGCCGTTCTTTTTTGTAGCTTCTGCATGTCTACAACCTGATGAGTCGTCCCAGTTGCAGATATATGCGACGCCATTCGTTCACGTAGACCCATGCCCGAGGGCAATGAATCACAGCCGGGCTTGTGCAGCAACCACTCTGACGATTTGTGAGACGACCATGGCGACCTGCAAGTAGCACATGCACTTCCCACATCCGCGAATCGGCAAAGTGGGAGATAACGTGATGATAGGATAGCAAGGTTTGAAGTCTACTGAGCCCTTTATGCTTCTCACTCGATGCCAGCTGCGCATCCCCCAGGGAGCATGTAATTGACAATGACAGTCACAGAATCGAAGCAATGAGCACTGTTGTCGTGTTCCGGTCAGTAGCACTTGACTGTCTTTCCAGTTTCTCGCCTGCTTTATTTCCATGTGAACAACCGCTGCCACAACTCATTCTTGAGCGCGGTGTACTCGTCGCTCGTCCGTAGGACCGCATCGCGGTTCTCGACAGCCCTGCGTACGAGGTACGCAATGCATTCACTCATGCTGCCCCATGTCGTGCACTTGAAGACATCGGGTGTCATAATGACCGCATTGCCATCGCCAGCCGGGGGATACGGTTGCCCATTCCCTTTGGCCGAGTCATAAGCCAGATCACTGCCCCCGGCACCGCCATCCATCGCGACAGCTCTGGGCGAGGCACTCGCAGCTTGTGCTCCCAGAGTTCGTCCATGCTCAAGCAAGCCGAAACTGACTTCGTCCGACATGCCGTGCAATTGACCAAAGGCCACCGGGACTGTTGGCAAGCCAGCCGCGACCCGCTGCCGGTGCAACTCGTACGCGGCAAACACACTCGCACGATTGTGACTCGCCAGCAGCAGGTTGGTCGATGGGAAGGGGTACTTTTTGTGACCCTTCCCAGCTGCACTTGCGCCGTCGTCCCCAAAGGCCCCAAACGAGCGCTCCAGCGCACCCCGGGCAATGGCATTATACGCATCGTCCGTGTCCTGCTTGGTGTCGTGGATCAGCCTGCGGTCGTCGGAGAGGATGTACGCCCCGCGCACGAGCTTCAGCCCCAGCGTGAACCCTTCCTCGTGCGCGGCGCGCATGTGCTCCTCCACCAGAGCCGGCGTGGCCTTCAGATACGCCTGGTACGTGTTGTACACTGTCGCCGCCGCCGTCGTCGTCTTGGCGCCCTTCTCGCCGCCGCCGCGGTTGAACTCGCGCATCAGCTGCAGCGTGGTCAGCGCGATGCCGTGCTGGAAGTGCTGCGACTCGGCGTCGACAATGACCCGCACCGAGCGCGACGCGCAGTCGGCGCAGATCTCGCGCAGGGCCGAGAGCATCTGTGCTGGCGGGAGCTGCCGCGCGGCGAAGGCGGTCGTGACCGCGGTGCCGGCGCCGGTGAGTCTGAAAGTGAGAAAAAGCCGCGGATCGTCAGCAGCCGTGCTTTATGTCAGAGATTCAAGAAAGAGGGAGGGAAATCCGCCTCCGTGTTCGCGGGGAAATGGCAAAACAACCGGATGACATCTGCGCGATGAGGCATGCGATGCGGATGCGTTACTTACTTTACGGCCAAAAAGTCCCCGTCCTCGACCAGCGCGGCCGTCTCCATCGTGCCCCTTCTCCAGTCCTCGATATCGGCATCGTGCGCGGCGGCCGCCGCATCTGCTGACGACGATGACGACGAGGACGACGCAGAGTCAAAGTGCGCGAGCTGCGCCTGCGTCCGGTGATCAAACATGGTCTCGCGGGCGTACGTCAGGATCACCCCTCGGAACCCCAGGTCCTTGAGGTTCCGCACGGTCTGCCGGGTCTCCTGGCCCGTCTCGCCCGCGCAGAACTGGTTGTAGAATGTCGCCTTGAGGATCCCGTGGATGACGGGGTTCTTGTCGACACTGAGCAGCCTGGACGAGTGCGAGCGCTGGGTGAGGAACTGCAGGATGCTGAGCGACGGGAGGAGCAGGAACCTGTGCGACGAGACCGTCGCTATCAGCAGCGAGCGGAGGAGCATCCCCATCGGCAGCCGGGACAGTGGCCGGCTTGATTTCTTTGTGGTCGCGGCGGCGTGGCTGCGCGCGGTGGTTGCGGTTTGGGGGTATGGGTTGGTCTCATGTTGGGCTGCTGCTGTGGTTGCTGCTGCTGTCGAAACGTGGACGTTTCGCTTGCCTGAGGAGTAGTGTCTGCGTTGTATGTTGTTGTGCAAGTATGCAACGCTGCTGCGGTTATGGAGAGTACTCCAAAGCACGTTCGCCGACAGTGGTTTCACCTTCCTGGTGATCATGGTTGAGATGTCCGTGAAGTCGTACGGTGGAAGGGCGTGTTAACAACTCGAAAGCAAGTAAGGTCTTGGCCAATCGGCGGAGTAGGCTCGTCTCGGGAGGCTGAAACGCCGCAGTATCACGATGAGCCAGCACAGGATATCTTCAGTGAAGCGAGGTTGAGGATGGTTGAATAGTCTACACGAGGATCACGACCACGCTCGTGGCCAGGGACGGACGATTTCTAGCTTGACCTGCAGACCTGATTATCCGCGCCCAATCGGACAACTGGCCGTCTATTCGCTCCGCACGCGCTCAGGGCCGTGGTGGCATTTTGTCACCAGTCGCTGATCTATCTGGATATGCTTGCGTGAGGGGTCGTCGTCACTGATACGCAGCTACTCCTCCTGGCAAGCTCCGATATGGAGGGTGGCGTTGGGGAGGATAAGCCGCTCAAAACCGAGACCCTTTTCGCACCATCAGTCTGGGAATACAGGGGTTAGTAGATAAGCTGACATGTCTTCGCCCAGTTCGACGTACTGCGACTGGGCCATCTGGCTGGTGGATGGACGGGATCAATTGGTTAGGCTCCAACCTAAAACTCCCTCCCCGGCTTGTATCGCACTCGGGGGGAGATACCCCGCCCCGTGGGTTGGGGAGGGAGGAAGGTCAGTAATACTGAGGCGATAACGGACTGCGGGGTAGCGTAGCGTCGGTGCTTGGGAGGATGAGGAGGCAGCAATGCAGATGCGGGCAGCATGGACCGTTGAAGCTTCAGGGATCATCTGAGGAGCCACTTTGATTGATCACATGATATCCGGTGCTGATAGTGAATGGCCGGGGTCAACTGGAGAGGAAGGAGGCGCTGCGAAGAAAGATGGGGATATGCAGAGGAGGATTTACCAGGGGAGATATTGCTGGGCCGATTACGGCCAGTTCGGACGAATCGGGATTAAGTGCGAGGGCTCTTGCTCTTCCGGTAAGGACAGCTTATACAAAGTCATACACGATGAGCGGCAACGTGGAATGAGATTCCCGAAATTCTGGAACGGAAGGACTGCCATGTCTGTTCAGTCACACGCTGAGTTGGAGGGAGGAACGCGCCGCGCAAAGAGTGATGCTACAATGGACATAAGTCTCCTATTTTTGAGGATAAAGCCTTGATCCAGTTGGGCCATTTTGCGGATTCATGCCATTTGGGATACGAATGCATTCATAATCTCACGGTGATGAAATCGCCGTACTCAGACTCTCAGACTATAGTACCTTTCGGGTTGCTTTAAAAACCAGGATAGTCACATAGTAATTGAAATACTTCCCGAGCTCAAGAATTCAGCATCTGACTTCGTCAATATATCATCATCCATCATTCAACATTAGCCTTGCATTTCAGAGGTCCTCGAGCACAACAGCAGGACGTGAGGATGGAAGTTGAGTGGGCGTGGAGTAATGGTGTTGATGCATTCGAATATAAATTACATAATCCAGAATCCTTTTCGTGAATCTAGGATCTGAAAACAGATGTTTCGTATACTCACGGCTTCATGTTTCGAAAGTCCTATTCCCACAAACTGTTCAAGCCGCCTTCCTTGCCGACCAGCGGATCAAGCTTCGGCTTCCCAACACTCCAGACCTTCTCGAAATTGCCGACATGGGCGCCCCCTTCGGCCCAGGTCCAATCTTTGCCCTCAGGATACGCCCCGATCATGGTAAATCCAGACAGCTCGCAGTCCTGAACTGCCTTTCTTGTGTCGTCCCCGCTGACCCCGTGGAACCCTCCACCCGTGAGCGCGATTGCTTCTGCGGCGCTATCTCCTTGCCCCGGGTGCTCTGGGTCGTAGGACTTGTGCGCGACGCCGGCGGGGATGATGAACGCGTCACCGGCATGCACGGTGAGCTCGACGCCGCCCGGCTCATAGTATACTCCCTCACCCGCGCTGTCCCCTCCCCACTGCGTTTCTGAACTCCCCGCGGTCTTCTGGCCGTGTCTTTGCTCCTGTGCCTGGCGCGACAGTGGCGTGTTCTTTCGCCAGTCTGCATCGAGGTCGGCGACGCCAAACCGGATCCTGCCCGGCCCGGTCAGCACGGCCATGCACTCGTGCGTCTCTGGGTGGTAGTGTGACGGCTGGCTCAGGCCGTACTTGGCGACCCACTGCGTCTCCCAGCCGTGAGAGAGGAAGTGGTCGTACACCTCGGCTGCATCCACGCGTGGCGTATTATCGCTGTTTGTAGGCGAGTCCCTGCCCTTCAACGAAGCGGCCGACGGCCTGAAGAAGCCAGGAAAGTATAGCAGCGGAAGATGGGAGTTTGGGATCAGCTTGGTCGGAGAGATGTGGTATACCACGGGCGAGGGCGCGGCTGTTGCCATGTCTGTGCACGTTATACAGGTTCGAGCTGTTAATACTGAGCGTCGAGGGAATATACCACGGGATATGTATGCAAAGAAATGAAAGACTGCCATTCTACGCGTCACGCCATGTCTCCAATATCGAGGGGCAATGCACCCCAGAGCTTAAATGGCAGGTTCATAGTGCTCCAATTTCTGTGGACCTTGGAGACCTTGGAGGATGGGAAGAGACGACGGGTCATATTTTCCACTACATCCGACTGTGTGAGAGTCAGACACATCCATCGTATGGCTCCCAATAGGCGCACGGGTACCCGTGCGTATAATATTACACGGGTACCCGTGCAGATTCTGCTTACAGCTTAGCGTGTCTTAATTCCCGCCGACATCGCAATCCTGGATCCATATCCGGGGTGCACCCATATCAGCAGAAAAGGTCTGTCTTGACCTTCGCTGGTGATCTCAGGTGCTGTCAGCATACAATACTTTACGCGCTACAAAGCGCGCTGAGGTGCTTTCGTGTATTTCTTTTATTACCATTACTAGCCTCAGATTTGTCTCCCGATGGCAGCTACTAGTAGTACCCACCATTCATTTCCCGATGACAGTCTCCCTCCGGAAGGCACCTACGAGTCCCGAGATACCTTATTTAAAGCTATCAACGAGTGGGCGTACACAAGAGGCTACGCCTTTGTTACGAAAAGGTCAACAAAGGAAAAGACAGGCAGGCTCTCAGTCGTATATGCATGTGATCGATCATGTCGCGACTACGCCTCTGGAAGACCGCGCCAGCGAAAAACATCTACGCGAAGTACCAACTGTCCGTTCTCTGTACTAGCAAAAGAGTCACGAGACAGCGGCACATGGACAATACGACACCGACCCGACCCGCAGTTTGCCCAACACAACCACGAGCCAAGTTTACACCCATCCGCCCATCCTAAGCATCGCGCACTCGATACGGAAACGATCACTCGTCTATCTAGCCTCGCAAATGCTGGCGTCGCACCTAAGGAGATTCGAACGTACATACACCAAAACACGAGTTCGATTGCAACGCAGCAAGATATCTACAACCGAATCGCGGACAGTAGGCGCGAGATGTACGAAGGGCAGAGCACGATCAATGCCCTAGCTAACCGGCTTGACCATGAAGGTTTCTGGAGCCGTTTACAACTTGATTCGGAGAACCGCGTAAAGGCTGTGCTTTTCGCCCATCCAGAGTCGCTAAGCTATCTTCAAGCTTATCCGGATGTTTTAATCCTCGACTGTACCTACAAAACGAACAAATACGGAATGCCGCTCCTAGATATAATCGGAGTAGACGCTTCTCAACGATCCTTCTGTATCGCATTCGCATTTCTTAGTGGAGAAAGCGAGGAAGATTTCGTTTGGGCTCTAGAGCGCCTCCGGTCACTCTACGAAATTAGCAAATCCCGCCTACCTTCAGTTATTCTTACCGATCGATGTCTTGCTTGTATTAACGCAATCGCAGTATGCTTTCCTTCTGCTGCTTCATTGCTATGCCTTTGGCATGCGAACAAAGCCGTCCTTCGATACTGTCAGCCTTCATTCGCTATCCAGCTACAACTCCAGGACTCCGAAGCCGACAAATCTGCGAGACTGAAAGAGTGGCATGACTTTTACCAGCACTGGCACCAAATTATTCGTTCTCCCACCGAGGCAATATTCGATATCCGTATGTCGACATTTGAACAACGCTATATTACAACGCATGTACGGGACGTGGCCTACATTAAAGAGACATGGCTTGACCTGTATAAGGAAAAGCTTGTAAAGGCCTGGGTTGACAGCTACCCTCATTTCGGTAATGTTGTTACTTCGCGCGTCGAAGGTGTCCATGCGCTTCTTAAAAGTCATCTGAAAACGTCGACACTTGATTTGTTTGAGGCCTGGAGGGCTATTAAGCATGCGCTAATAAACCAACTTGGGGAGCTGAGGTCCAACCAGGCAAAACAGCAGATTCGGTCTCCGATCGAACTTTCCGGTCCACTTTATGGTGTAGTACGGGGTTGGGTATCACACGAGGCTCTTCGAAAGGTTGAAGAGCAGCGGAAGCTTCTCCAGACGAGCAGTCCGCTACAACGCTGTACAGGCATATTCTCTCGGTCGCAAGGCCTACCATGCGTTCACAAACTTGAGGCTTTGTTGTCCGAAGGAAAAGCCCTTTGCCTAGGAGACTTCCATTCGCATTGGCACCTAATCCGGAGCGGCGCGAAACCTTTTCTCCAAGAGCCTCGCCAACGTATTGATATGACTAGTACCAACACTTCTTTACCGCGATCAAGTAACCGAAGGGAGCCTAGCGGCTTTGAAGCTGTTGAAGTCGCGGCTAAGCGAAAGGGACCTTTAACCTGTACTAGATGTCACCGTCTAGGTCATTCAAGGACGTCTCGATTATGCCCCCTAAAGTACGCAGAGCTACAACTTCGAGTAGAGGCGGCATCGCAACAGCTACGAATAACACCAGAGCCGCCGGCCGACACGTCGATACCTGAAGCTACGATTGAATTATCGACGTGCAGACCTCAACATGAGTCGCCAATTCCCGAACTTCTTAATAACTCGTCGGCCCAAGAAGGGATTACGGAACAGATCTTAGAAGAGATCGAAGCTCGGCTCTCAGAAAACGACCAGCCCTTACGACGAGCTAAAGAACCCGTCTCAGAGTACGCCGAAGAACACCAGCAAGCTCCGGAGCAGCCTTTAAAATACAGTGACCCAAAAGCGATTTACCAAAGATACGTCGCTACGCGAGAGATCTGGAAGAAGTCCCTACTCCCGGGTACCTATGCGAGCAACCAGATGTACCGGCAGGCAATGGGTTTACCATTACGGTATAGTAAAGCGCAGTACGATTGGTGCTTAGACCATAAGCAAATGACGAGGCGTTGCTTAACGCGAGAGGGTGAACGGGCCTGGACAAGGGAAGAAATGATGGCATATTTGGACTGGGATCGGTCTGAGACGGAGCGAATCGATGTTCAGGTTGCCCAGGAGTCGACAAGCGGTCTAGCTAATCGAAGAGGTATGGGTGATGTGTGGAGGAGGGCGGCACAGGACTGTGAGGAGCAGCAAGTTCTTCACCGGGATGATGATGAGTGTATTATAGTTAAAGGTTAAGTCAAATACGTTATACGTGTAAGGCAACGCACATACTGTGATCGGAGGTCAAACAGCACCTGAGGTCACTAGCGAAGGTCAAGACAGACCTTTTCTGCTGATATGGGTGCACCCCGGATATGGATCCAGGATTGCGATGTCGGCGGGAATTAAGACACGCTAAGCTGTAAGCAGAATCTGCACGGGTACCCGTGTAATATTATACGCACGGGTACCCGTGCGCCTATTGGGAGCCCCATCGTATTGGTGGATTAGGTAAGTACGATAACGAACGCTTATGTAACCACACCTGATTATGAGGGTGCACCATCTTGCCATTCAGCAGCCGCGATACGAATGATACTTCTCTCTACCACACCTCGAAGTCCTTCAACCATGGGATGCGACTGCTGCAAACCACAACTCGTCAGCCCTGAGCCGGTCAATGCGCCAATCGCAGCTCCATTCGAGGAGACGAGCAGCTGCGTAGAGTCTTGCTGCGATGACGACGAGGAGCCTCTCGACACCAACGCTCCGGACCAGAAAGAAACCCCAGACGAGAGACCGTATGATTGCCGCTCCTCTGGTGTCACCGCAGACGAAAAAGACGATCATGCCACCGACGCGCCTGACTGCTGCCGTGGCAAGGCCGCCCCGTGCTGCGACACGTCCTGCATTGACCGCTTGGCCGTGCGGGAGTGCGAGTTGAGTGCTGCAGCTGGCCCCCTGCCGAATATCCAGACAGACAGTGAGTACGCTAGGTACTCTTTGAGAAGGTCATTCACGAGTGCTAACTTGCTCTCAGCTTGCGGCGGAGCTGCCAATGGCAAAGCGTGCAGCCGGCATAGTCTTTCTGCCCTCGACCGCTATGGCGCTACTCTACAGGCCCTGGGATGTATCTGCCGCGCTCTCATTGCTCTCGGCCAGGAAACCTGCTGTGAAGTCCGCGAGCGCCGTTCGCTGGACGGCAAGCAGTGCTCCAAGAGGTCGTCTGCTCGATCCCTTCTTCGTACTTCGCTTGAGTCCCTCCACAACAGCGGCAAGGACCAGGACGGGCAGAACCGCTTGCGCCTGCAAAAGGGTTCTGGCGGAAGCGTCAGGTCTGTCAAAAGGCCGTACACAGATGCTTGTGCAGAATCTTGTTGCTCAAAGGACAAGCCCGCCAAGGCTCCATCCATCAAGGCGAGCTGTGCTGGATCTTGCTGCTCCCCCGAAAAGCCTGTCGCCCAAACTCGACGCCTTGCGTCTTGCGGCGCAGAAACTCCCAGTGTCGAAGAGTCTCCGCCCAAGGTCGGCTGCCCTGCAGACACAGACTCGTGCTGTTCCAATGTCAAGTCCGTTGAATCTCCAACTAGCGGGTGTGCAGCATCTTGTTGCGGAACAGTTCAGCCGATCACCAAGGAGGTCGGCTCTTGCTCCAAAGCATCAAAGCAGGATGCCGTAAAGACTCCGAAAAGTAGTTGCGCGGACTCTTGCTGCGCAGAGGACCGGCCGGTCAGCCCTCAACGCTCTTGTGCCGATGCTTGCTGCTCCTCTGCACCACCCGATCCTAGTCTGAAAATCGAGAGAGCCCTGTTTCAAGCCATGTCAGACATAGAGAACCAGGGCACCGGCATGGAACACGTTGTTCTCAGCATTTCTGGAATGACTTGTACTGGGTGCGAGACAAAGCTCAATCGAACCCTCGCTACTGTCCCCGCCGTCAAAGACCTAAAGACCAGTCTAGTCCTCTCACGAGCCGAGTTCAACATTGACTTTCGCCTTAGCTCGGTAGAAGAAGTCATGAAACATCTGGAGCGAACGACCGAGTTCAAGTGCGAAAGAGTCCAGAACCATGGATCTAGCCTGGACTTTATCGTCTCCGGTGAGCCCTCAAATTTCACCAGTCAGACTTGGCCGGAAGGCGTTGTTGAAATGACCCTTGTGGACAAGCAAACCGTGCGGGTGGCATTTGATCCGAAGATCATTGGAGCACGAGACCTCGCCGAGAAGATTTGGGATCCGCCAATCGCGCTTGCTCCTCCCCGTGGTGACCCTTCCCTGGAGGCTGGTAGCAAGCATGTCCGTCACGTCGGATACATGACGCTTCTCTCCGCTGTCTTAACAATTCCGGTCCTGGTCATGGCATGGGCGCCGCTTCCTGAGAGGGAGGTGGCATATTCCTCAGCTTCGCTCGCCTTGGCCACGGTCGTTCAAGTTGTTATAGCAGGACCTTTCTATCCCAAGGCTCTAAAGGCTCTCGTTTTCTCAAGGGTTATCGAGATGGATCTTTTGATCGTCTTAAGCACCAGTGCTGCTTATATCTTCTCGGTGGTCTCCTTCGGGTACCTTATTGCAGAGAAACCACTTTCGACGGGTCAGTTCTTTGAAACGAGCACTCTCTTGGTAACCTTGATCATGGTTGGCCGGTGGGTTACTGCTCTCGCTCGTCAGAGAGCTGTCGAATCCATTTCTATCCGGTCACTTCAGGCATCGACAGCAATTCTTGTCGATAAAGAGAGCGGAACAGAACGTGAGATTGACGCCCGACTTCTTCAATATGGCGACACCTTCAAAGTTCTGCCTGATTCCAGAATCCCGACCGATGGCACTGTCGTTACGGGGTCGTCTGAGGTTGATGAGTCTATGATCACTGGTGAATCAAGGCCGGTAGAGAAGTACTCCAAGTCTGTGGTTGTTGCTGGTTCTATCAATGGGCCTGGAGTCATGACTGTCCGACTCGACCGCCTGCCTAGCGACAACACTATCAATACCATTGCTGCAATGGTTGATGAAGCGAAACTGTCGAAACCCAAGCTGCAGGATCTTGCAGATAGGGTAGCATCCTACTTCGTCCCGGTGGTCGTGGCATTGACGGCCATTACGTTCGTTGTTTGGGTTGCAGTCGGCGTCACTGTTCATGGGTATGATGGATCCGAAGCCACAATCCAGGCCATCACCTACGCCATTACTGTACTCATCGTATCCTGTCCCTGCGCCATTGGACTGGCTGTTCCAATGGTTATTGTGATTGCCAGCGGAGTCGCTGCCGAGAGGGGAATCATCTTCAAGTCCGCAGATGCGATCGAAGTCGCTCACAAGGCGTCGCACGTCGTTTTTGACAAGACTGGGACCTTGACTCGGGGCAAGCTTTCTGTCGTCTCGAAAGACTGTGTTGACGAGGCCAAGCTCCCTCTTCTTTTAGGCCTCATCAAAGACAGTCGGCACCCAGTTTCGGTTGCTGTGGCTGCTCACCTGAGGGATGCTGGAACTACGACGACTTTGACTGTTCCTGAGCCCAGGAGTCTGACTGGCAAAGGTGTCGAATCCACCCTAGGTGGCCAGACGCTTCGAGCAGGCAATTCCCGCTGGCTGGATCTCTCCGAACATGAACTCGTCCAGCCAATGCTTGCCCGAGGGTATACTGTCTTCTGCTTCACTGTCGACAATGCGTTGAAGGCAGTCTATGGTCTTGAAGATGAGCTTCGACCTGACGCTGTCGGGACCGTCGGGGCCTTGCAGAAGCGTGGCGTCGCGGTACATGTGGTTTCCGGGGACGACGACGGAGCTGTTCAGACGTTGGCCTCCAAGCTTGGCATTCCTATCGACAATGTGCGTTCCCGAAGCTCCCCATCCGACAAGAAGGATTACGTCCAAACCCTCCTCGGTACTGGCACAGATGGCAAGCAAGCGGTGGTCGTTTTCTGCGGTGACGGCACCAACGATGCCGTTGCTCTCGCGCAGGCTACGATTGGCGTCCACATGAATGAGGGCACAGATGTCGCGCAATCAGCCGCGGATGTCGTTCTCATGCGCCCTTCTCTGGCTGGCATCGTCACCATGATGAACGCCAGTCGGAAATCTGTCAACCGCATCAAGTTCAACTTTGCATGGAGCTTCGTGTACAACACCTTTGCGATCCTGCTCGCCGCGGGCGCTTTTGTCAATGCGAGAATCCCCCCAGAGTTTGCCGGACTGGGGGAACTGGTGAGCGTGTTGCCAGTCGTCGTTGCTGCGGTGCTTCTGCGCTATTCGACGATCTAGGCACAGATAATCATCATTGCACGGGTGCCAACGGCGCAAATTCCACAAACTCTCCTTGACATCGGACTGGGATCGCCGTTGCTAAAAGCGGGATGCGATAGCTCTCACCACCTTCGAGTTCGAACCGCAAGCTCTGATTGGTACTATTCTGTCATTTCCGATAGTCTGCTTCAGTGTCAAAGGAGACTCTCCCAGGGGAGGGTTCAACTCAGTCCCTACCGTTCTTCACATATCCTATTATACAGGACATACTCGTTAACAACCACAATTTCTTGGTAGAATCACTTGCAGAGGGGATCTTAAGAAATGGCTCGCGGATCCCCATGTCAGCTTCATTCTTATCATTAGAACAGCATTTGAACATATGTAGTTGCCTAGCCACGATACAGACATTGAATCTATAATTCCGTCGGCGGCAAAACTTCTGATACATTCTCCTCGAGCCCCACATGTGATTCTTAGGCCATCCGCGCCCTCAGCGCCTGGGCGGGAAATCCCAATCAATAGCGCCGGATGTTTGAGGAGCATGAATGTGTCTGGGAGCCGAGAGAAGCATTATATGTTGTTGAACAAATTGCTGATGACGAGGAGCTATCGAATGCTGTTACTTTACGGTAATTCTGACGGGTTGGCCTCAAGGAAAAAAAGAAGCCCTTAAGCTGAGCACAAAACTTTTTGATAAAGAGTAGAAAAGGAAATCTAATCGAGCATCATCATGTAGCTCTGGTGCGGCAGAGATTTTAGAGCGATCCAAAACATAGCAGACTAACAGATTATTGCTCCATGTTGCTGATGGCTGCTCTTTGGCCCAATGGTGGACTTCTGGGTCGTGATATACCTCGACTGTATTGTGAGTAGCGTGGCAGGCCTAAAACTCAGCTCTGTAGAGTGCTTCCACGTTTAGATTGCAGACGCGGAACTTCAACCTCGTCTGAACCACTTGGCTTCGTCACTTTTGATGGCCTAGACGACTCTTCTGCCTTATCCTTCTCCACAGTCCGGCATGCCTTCCCAAGTGTCTCGTCTTCGTCACGGGCAACTCTTGCCGCAGCCTTATGGCTGAGGGTATTCTCCGTGTTGCCGCCCATAGCCCGGCTCAAGCACATAGCACAGGCTCCGACCCCTTCAAGAGCGCGCTGTCAATCTTGCCGTCATAAATTGGTGTGAGATATATAACAGCCCGTAAATCACATTCAAGCCCATTATGTACATAAATAGGCGTGGGTCGTAGGACAAAGGGAGGCGGAGATTGCTAAGCCAAAGCATAGAGGGGAGCGGGTCACTGCAACTTTGTTAAATGGGCCTTTTCTCCGTGATCGAATCATCTAAGCACCCCTTTCACGTATATTGAATGGTATGCTAGAGGTAGGCCACGTTGCGTCATGCTATGCAAGGTCTATATACCATGGTAGAGCCTACCCGTTCCTCACTTACTCTCCCGAATTTCGTCGGGCTCTTCGCTATATTATTTCTTGCCTCTGTAACCTAAATGATCGATCTCGGGAAATGGTCCTGCACAATCTCAACCCCCCAAAAATGGAGCCCTTTAACCACTTTGCCAATTGTTAAAATGGTATAGTTTTGATCAGCCAGAATCTGGCTATCTGCGTATTCCAACACCGATGACCTCCAAGGGCCTAGCAGTACGCCGCTGCCCTGACACTGTAATCAGTTGATCAAAGGAAATAAAAGGGTATTTCAGAAAAGTTATTGAGGTATTTCTGGGCGACAAGTTTGACCGCTTTGCAGTCGGTAGTCGTCTCCTGTGCGTTGATCGCCAGACTGCCGCCACCGCCGATAGGGCAGGCCATCATATCGATTGACTCGCCATTTTGGCGAATGTTCACGACGCCACCAGGCCCAACGGAAAACTGCATGTCGGAGGGAGACGTGGCGGCCCGTGCAGATCCCGTCTCGTTGAGGCCGAAGCGGAGAAGGGCGAGGGGTTGCGCCGAGCTGGCCGTGCCAAAGCGCCGCTCGTTGGTCATTCCCATGAGTCTGGCGACTTTGGCGGGGTCCATGGAGGTCTCGTCCGGGGTCCCTTCGACGAGCGCAGCGTGCGGTACGGGATGCTCCATGATGGCGACGTACTGGCGATCATGGCTCCCTCCCTGTACGAAGACTCGGCATGGCGGGGGAACAATGCCTGTAGCGCTGTTAAATATGCGGCGGCTCGCTGCTGTATTATTGCCAGGCAGTATACAACAGATATGAATCGAGAGCGGGATAGATAGAGACAGGGGTGCGTACTGATAGTGGTTGATGTGACGGATGTCGTCGTTGTCGTGTCAGTGGTAGTCGTGGTGGGCATGGTGGTCGTGACCATCTATTGCTCGTCATGTCTACTGTCAGCCGTGTTCGCTTGCAAGACTGTGGGATAGCCAGCTACCTCATTGATGGTAGATATTACGGAGGTCGTCTCCGTAGCGATCACGATACTCGTGACTATGTATGTCTCCGGCTGCGTCGCGGTCGTGGCAGTAACTGATGTGAGCCCTAATGCGACGGTTCCTGTCTGCTGTATAGTGGTGGCGATCGTGATCGTAGTGCTCAGCGCTAAAGCTGTGACGGTGACGGGCTGGACACCCGGGCACAGAGGAATGTTGGAGTCGTCACCGCTGTTCTGGCGCTGTTCCAGCGCGTGGAAAGCTGTAGTCTGGGCAACAAGACCCACGCCGTCTTCATTGCGCTTCTTTATGGGCTCTACGCGCACAGTAGTGAAGATCGTGGTGGTGACTGTCGATGTGCGCTACATAGCTTGTGAGCGTGACGGCCCCTGCTCCGGCTAAATGGATGAACTGACCGTCTCAATCGTAGTTTGGGTTATTGTGACAGTGTCCAATCGCGTCTGTACAGTCCTGTGTGAGGATTTACGACAATTAGATGGATTGCTTGGCATGCCTCATACCGCGGTCGTGAAATCGGAGACGAAAGTCGGCTCCGTCTTGATCGTACTTGCGGTCAAGGTTTCGGTCTATGAAGGTGAGTGTCTGTGTCAAACTCGTGTCGTTTCAGAGATCCCATATGATGTAGATTGAGAGTTACCTCAGTCGTTGTCGTCACCTCTAGTGTGTTGTCTGTACGCGTCGCGGTCACAAGCTCAATGGAGGTAGAGGTGACGGTGAGAAAGCTAACCGGTGGTGTCACCGTCGTCGTAAAGGAGCCCAAGCAAGGGCTGTCGACGGCCTGTATACGAATGGCCACCCACAGCTGTTGGCACGACGCACTTGCGATAAACAAGGATACGAGGGCGGCTGATTTGTACATGTTGCAGGTTTCTGAGGAAGATGAGCTTGGCAATCCGATATTCAACTGCCGAAGCGGAGCAAGCGAGAAAGCGCAGGTTATTCCGTGGCTTAAAGGAAGCATCACTTACACGATCTCCGTGTTAAGGGAGAGTCGGACCTTGGTTGTCCTGCCCTCAGGAGATATGATGAGACATCTGCATACCTCAGAGATTCGATAAAGTGTGGGGATTGCGCCAGTGTTGGTGGCCCTGCTTAAATGCCGGGCCGCTATGATTTATCTCGAATGGTATTAGTTTAATCTCTCACAGCTCGCCACGAGCTTCGCGTCAGGCAGGATGGCGTGTACTTTTCTACCATCTTGGGCCCTGGAGAAGACTATTAGACTTGAAATTGAAAGTGAAGGCGACAGGTACACGAGCGCATAGATGGTCAGATGTTTGACGCATTTTGCTCACGCGCAGCGATCGTCGCCATGCTCCCATTTTCTTATCAGTCGAACATCAATGCATTTTTCACGTGGAGGTATTGACCGGTGTTGTGACGCGGAACTTCCCGTCTTGATTCTAGTCAGCTAGGAAATTGATGATCCAGGCCAGTTCTAGGGCCTGGCAGCTGAGCATATGCGTTTCTAAGGAATGAGCCCACCTGTTTCTGAAATGTCGCCGCAAGCCACAGGGCTGGTGTATTGATTGTCTCAATTGGCCCTGAAAGACCTCCGCTATTAAGGGAGGCCAACTGAGCCTGTTGGAAGCCAGATGTTCCGGGGATCGCCCCACGCGGCCTGAGACAAGGGGAATATGCAGACACGAACCATGAAAGAATCCTTCAACCTGCAGACATGTTGGCAAGCCATCATTCCGATCGACCTTTGAAACTTTCCGCCGTCCACGCGCACGGCGGCAAGTAAGCCACCGCTTCACATTTGAGCTCTAGTGAAGGTCACTCCGTCATTGTTAATCTATCATCAAAAATGCCTGGCCTTGATGTAGGTGCTCAACATATGCATGTGTGGGTACCGGTCATGAAAGCGGCGCGTGCCATGCATAGACATTCAGCTATTGTCGAACCACTACGAGGCTTCAAGTCTTGATAATTAGACGCTGAATTCGAAACTCGACTATATCATTTTGCTTCGTCACTTTTAATGGCCCAGATGACTCTTCAGCCTCCCCGTTCTCCACAGTTCTGTCAGCCTTCCCAAGGTCCTGGTCCTCGTCACGGTGCAACTCTTGCTGTAGCCACCGGCTGGGTTCATTCTCCGTACCGCTGCCCCAAACATGAATGAAGTGCACAGCGCAGGCTGCAAACAGGTCAAGAGTGCGCGGCCGACCTTGCCGTCATAATGGAGTGAGATACACAACAGCTCGTGAATCATCAGTTTAGTACGCTCTTCGAGGAGCTTCGAATGCTGGGGATCCTCCCTATACGAGAAGACTCCAAGATAGAAATCACCCTCCTACGCCCAACTAGCCCCTCGCGAACCATTTAGACCTTATCTTATAGAGTGCGCAGAAAAGTATGGCATGTGGCTGACAAACACAAGCATCGGCCAATCAAGAGATACCAAAGCAGGCGTCACTGCAGAAGTTGAATCATGGTCAATGTGTCTCTTGATCATGCCTTGAGGATCAGGAAGACGTACTCGGTGAAGGCAAAATCTTATCCAGATGACACACGCCTTGTCTAAAGCTTTCTTCTGTCGCCTACCTGTCAGTTGGCTTCTGAATTCTTCATATCAGACGTATCGTTTTGGATTCGCAGCCATCAAAAATGTTCTTCCACTTAGTTCCCTGGATTGGCCTAGAGGAGAAGATCCCCACACGAAAGAACTCATTCGGGGTGCCGTCGCTGTCAGTGACAGCTTCTCCAGTATCGGTGGCAGGACATATAATCAGTCCACACACCATTTTGAGTTCCACCAACGTTCGCCCATCGTTGTCTTCTCGAGTATTGACGTCGTCAACTTCTTCGATGGAGCTCGCGTCATCCATGGAGCTCTCGTCATCCATGGAGCTCTCGTCAGTGTCTTCGACGTCGCTCTCATCGACTTTAAACCAACCCCCCCGGGTCAACTTGAAACAACTAGAAAGCAGCAAGAGGCTTAAATTATGGCCGGTGTCTTTCCAATTCCCCGTCTCGATTTCTGGATCGTCCCAATCGAAGGTACATTCGGCCAGGTAGGTCCCCCTTGAGTCCAGAAGTAGCCAATTTGGCTCGAAGAACATCAGGTATGGGTTGCTCTTGAGAACAAAGGGGGTTATGCTCAGAAGCTTGGAGTGGATATCGAGTGCTGCGCAAGACAGCTGACCATGGAGATCAGCACCGCGATGGCTCAGATGTGGAATCACTTCGGAAAACTCTGGTATACACCTTGAAAACTTAATCGAATTAATCCGAAAGGGGATATAGCCAAAATGGACGCGCTGATCTTGGCATGCCCAACTCCAGGATGGTGCAATGAATGATTCGGTATGCCTAGCCCTTGAAAGCCTGGAAAGCATGTCTCCCAGTGCAATGGGCTGCTTGTTTCCGGCAATCCATGACAATTGTCTGTGTAGATCTTTGCGCCAAAGTCCGGCGAGGTAATCATCGTCTGGTCCAAGAAGGTTCTGGAATAATGCAGCCAGACCCGACAATGCGGGCAAGCGATCTTCGTTGTGAGTGAGCTGACGTCTCGAGTAGTCTCTTGTAAGACCCATCCATTCGTTGTAAGTTGATACAGAGTTCAGTCCCGACCCGTTCTCAGTCCATTTCTGCAAGATCGAGGTGACAGGGCTTTGAAACTCGCCACGCACCGCTCTCTCGCCCTCTTGTACTGTTCCTGTAGCGTCAACGATGTAGATTTTCCGTTTACAGAACAGTAGCAGCACTTTTGATAGGTGATGCTCCTGGAATGTCCATGCGCGGGTTTTCCAAACGGAGTCGAAGTGATCATCCAAAGAATAGTCAGGTAGCGAATCCAGGATTTTGCTGAATTTAAGTGTCAAAGGACCGGAAATACCTTCGTTGACCCCAGAAGAGAATGGTATGGAGATGAATGGCTCACGCGGCAGCAGGAATCGTTCCATGCACGAACTAGAAGCCAGCGCACATATTGTTATTGAAGCCTTCCAAAACACCTTGTCCATGCGAGACGCTTCTCGTCGCCAATCAAGCGTGTCACCTTGGATGATGCAGACTGCATCAATCCAAAGGTACCTGATATCAAGGGCTCTGCATGCTTGTATTGCGTCCTGGATCACAGGGCTGGTTTCGGAGATCGTGATGCCAGATAGCCGGTGTGAAAATGTGGCCTCAGTGGTTTTGAACTGTGTTGCCGAAGCAACTCTCGGGCCCCAGCAGTAACTTAGCGCGGCATATTCGATTTGCGTCCTCTCTTCCGGTGGCAACAACTCTGTCAGCACGAGGTGGACCGTCGGACTGTACTGGTCTGCAAATCCGAGATCTATCAGGCGAGTCGGCAGGAACGCCTCTCTGCGAGCCGAGCTTCTCGATTTCAGAGATGACAAGGTTTCCTTCATCCAGGCAATGTTGCGAGGACTAAGAGGAACAGGACTGGCCAACCGCTGCAGGCGTAACCACTTCAAGCAAGGGTCTAAGATCCAAGTTAGCTCCAAAACAATCCTGTGAATCAGCTCAAATGGAGCCACTTTGGAAAGGATATTGCGCTGCTGTGACGCACCTGAGTCTGACTCAATATCGAAACCGATGAAAAACGGTTTGGCGTGCCGATGACCTCTCGTACCGGTGACATACACATGCAAATACGCACCAAACAAGCCCTCCTCGAGCGAACCGTCTCCCCGTTGCAGACAAATCGCGTGCCGCCACAATGGGTCTCTCCACCCATATTCCATCCTCAACACGACCTTTGAGCCGCCCGGCACTGACAGTTTAGAAGCCAGTATTGCGTATCGTATTCCCGCGCAGCAATGGCAGCCCCCGGCAGCTGACTTGGCAAGAGCTGGCAGGTATGGCAGACGATCCTCGAACTCGTACTCCGTCTTGAACCTTCGGGGGTGTCGTCTGCGCTGAATAGCAGGTAGCCGCATCCTTGTGCGGCCCCATATGCCTCGCACCCTCCAAACGCTTTGTCGTCGAACTGTAGCAGTTTACAGTGGCGGCAGAGTTCACTCGCGTCGGGATTTTGCTCGCCTTGGCAGGACATATTCGCTGGAGTTGTGCGTGTGATGTGTTGTCGGCGGGGCTGAAGAACCGGAGCGCAGCCCCTGCTCATTTTCAAGAAGCGACAAGAGCAATGGGGAGGCAGAGCCAAATGTGCACGAGCTTGAACCGGGTCCCGACCTTTTAAAGCAGCATGCAGCAGGCTGCAAGGCACTCTGGGCGCAGCGGATGCTGGAGCTGGGTGGTGCGTCCCTACACCGGTTCCCCTTGGGTGCGCAGTGTCAACCTTGCCGTCACATTGTGGCGAGGTGCTTGCTAGGTCGTAAGTCATTGGCTCAGCTCTCCCCCCTTTGCTCGAATCTGGGTGTGTTGGCAGTATAAGCCACTTCCCAACCCTGTTTCAGCATCCGCGATACCGTGGTCTTCCATTGCAAGGTATCTGCAGCCAGTCTGGCATATTCCTGGCAAGTACGAGCACGGGCTATAAAAGTTTCATTTGGGGATGCCATGCAACAGTAGGGCAAAAGATGCAAGAGTAGGAGACTTGCTTATGATGTTGCCTCTTGTCCTCGACGAAACGCACAACTGTCCTATGACGCCAATGATGCATAGCGATAAGAAAGAGCGAGCGGGCGTAGGTTCAAGTCAAAAATCCTCCTACTGGCTAGGAAGATTATACTGGATTGCCCAAGTTTTGGCGACACTGTATCCCTAGCATAGAATCTGGTTTTTTCTGTTCTCTTCTGTAGTATTGCTGGTTGTTTTACTACTATTCAGAAATATACTTGTGTGATGCAAACTATGATGTTATACTAGTATTTGGTAGATGAGAGACTCATGAAATGTTAGTCTAGTTGGAAGGCAACAAGATCCGCACTTATAGCAGATGAATATTTTCGCTCTATATGCTGCCAACATTCGGGGTAGGAGATGTAAGCCTGCATCAAATGATATCCTGCGGAAAGAACAGCGGCGAACATGGTCCACAAACGGTGCTGCCAAGAGAGGTCTTCACCGGAATCGGTACTATCGATGCCTAAATTGAACTCTTCGTTCATCCCAGAGAACGCGGCCTGATCTGTGCGGACAGGTACTACCGCAGCCCTCTCGAAGCATCAACAGGTGTTTATACTTCTCTCGCCTCCCTTAAAGGCCCCGCAGTATATTCCGCACTACCATACGAAGACCCATCCCTCCGGCCGCATATCGCCGGGCGGAGTTCGAGAGGGCCGAGTGCGGGGCGGGGAATATCCCGGCACTGGCCCCGCGACCGGAGCATCTGACGATACGACCTAATTAATAACTCGTTCTTGCACCTGATGGTTTGCGTGTTTGTCTGTCTAGTACTTCGTAAGTAACTAGACTCAGCCCCTCCCAGCAACTGACTCGCCCTGCACTATTACTGTCTGGCAATTTGAGACTATACTCACCTCGTCTCTCGTCACTCCATACTCCATCCCCCTATATTCATTGCCACCATGTCTCCCCAGCACATCCCCCCCAGCGGCATCTGGGCCCCGGCCGTCACCATGTTCGACCCGGAGACGGACTCGCTCGACCTCGAGGCCCAGGCGCAGTACTACAGCTACCTGTCCAAGACGGGCCTCGCGGGGCTCGTCATCCTCGGCACCAACGCCGAGGCCTTCCTGCTGACGCGCGAGGAGCGCAAGGCCCTGATCGCGACCGCCCGCAAGGCCGTGGGGCCCGACTTCCCCATCATGGCGGGCGTCGGGCAGCACTCGACCAAGCAGGTGCTCGAGAACATTGCCGACGCCGCCGAGGCCGGGGCCGACTCGGTCCTCGTGCTGCCGCCGGGCTACTTTGGCAAGGCCACCACGCCCGAGGTCGTGGCCAACTTCTTCGCCCAGGTCTCGGCCAAGTCGGCCCTGCCCATCGTCCTGTACAACTTCCCCGGCGTGTGCAACGGCGTCGACCTCGGCGCGGGCGTCATCACCGCCCTCGCCCAGAAGCACGCCAATATCGTCGGCGTGAAATTGACCTGCGGCTCCGTCGCAAAGATCACCTGCCTCTCTTCGTCCCTCTCGCCCGACAGCTTCGCCACCTTCGGCGGCCAGTCCGACTTCCTGATCGGCGGCCTCGCCTCGGGCTCGGCGGGCTGCATCGCCGCTTTCGCAAACATCTTCCCCAAGGCGCTCGTGCAGATCTACCAGCTGTACCGGCAGGGCAAGCACGCCGAGGCGCTGGCGCTGCACCAGAAGGCCGCCCTCGCGGAGCAGGTCGTCAAGGGCGACATCGCGGCCACAAAGTATGCCGCGGCGCTGCACAGCGCAGCGTACGCGGGGATCCAGGGCGCCGAGGTCAAGTTCCGGCCCCGCGCGCCGTACGTCGAGCCCAAGGAGGCCCAGAAGGAGGCGATCAAGAAGGGTCTGGCAGAGATGGCCAAGATCGAGGAGAGCCTGCCCATGGCTAGTTGAAAGGCTTGGGGTTCGGGTGAGCTGTTCGTTGCTCGGAAATTAGAGGGAAGTGTGAGCGCAAGTTTTGTCGATGAGGATAGAGCTTTAGAAATAGAACCCCCTTGACGTGCGTAGCACAGCAAACTTGGTTTCATGGGCATAGATTGAGGATGATTCGGAAAGTCTTTGATCACTTTGACTGAGTGAGCATGATCTATGCCCGTATTAATCGTTTCTTGCACAATAGTCGAGGGTAATTCAAGCCCAAGGACGAAGCCTTGATCTCTTCGACGAGGATGTACTGAAAGACAAGGCAGGCGTTCATAGTCAAAGCGGCATGGGTTTACAGGTGTTCTCTTGTAAAGCAGACAGGAGAGCATACACTGCGTCATTTCTCTGTAGAAAGGATAGTTACGTATATATATATATATATATAGCTGAGTGGAAATATGGTCATTATCATCGTGAATATCGTGAACATGGAGACACATTATGAAGTCCCAGTACGCCGCAAACGCCTTGACCCAGAGGCAAAAGCAAGCCTACGACAAAGAAAAAACAACACACTCATGCTCCTCGCTCATTTGGTTCTTTCCGTCATGATTGCGTTCATGACCACCCATTCACACCTCCAAGCTGTCCGATCAGCGGTGTCCCATCAACCTTGCCCTGACCCCGGCGCTCTTTCCTCCTCCGGTCCCGATTACTCCTACTCTTCCGCTTCGAATTCTCCTCTTCTTCCTCCGCATCTAGTCCCCCTTCCTTCCCACCATGAACGACTTCATCGTCCGAGTAAACCTCGACATCAAGATACGCCACTTCCTCTTCTTCGCCGACGCCCTGGTTATGATGGAAGTCGTCATACACAATCTCGTCTCGCTCGTCAACCCCGCCGACTCTGCTCCCACAGTAAGACCCCAGCCCGCCATACCCTACACCGGCCCCACCGCCAAAGTACTGGCTCTGCGTGATACCAACCTCGATAGTCCCACAGTCGGACCTCGCCCCGACGCCGAGCGCGGAGCTCGCCGCAGTGCCGTACTGGTGGTACTGGTGCTGGTGGTGCTGGTGCACGGGGGATTGCGCGCGGGACATGGCGGCCTCGGACGCGGCGCGGTCGATCGAGTAGTCTTGCTGCTGGCGCGCCTGGTAGGCCTGCGTGTCGCGCGGGTCCGGGATGTAATATGCGGGCTGGAACTTTGTTGCCGGGAGGATGTCCTGGGCGTTGTCGTCGTCGTCGTCTTCCTCTTGCTGCTGCTGATGGTGATAAAGATGCTGAGTTTGGTCGTGAACCCTTGAGGCGGAGGGGTCAAACAGTGAGAAGTCGGAGGGCAGCTGCATTAGCGTAGGAGGCGGGTTTGGTGGTGCGAGGAAGGAGGATGGTGATGTTGTTGTGTTGTTGGTGTTGGTGTTGGCGTGATTGTTGTTTCTTGCCCTTGGCGTGTTCCCATTGTCAGAGATGTAAGACGGAGGGCGCGGCCAGGGCGTCGTCGGCACTGTTGTTGGAAGGGCGTCCTGGTGCACGAAAGCTCTCGTGGCATGGACCACAGAGGGCGAAGACACAGCGCTCGGGCTGGGGCTGAAACTGGAGAGCGCCGAAGAACCAAGATCAGAGACGGCGCTGTTGTCGTAGACGACTTCGTTGTCATGTCTCATGGTGAGATAGGAGGCCGGCTCTGCGTTGGCGGGAGGAGCAGAAGAGCTGCCGATCACAGCCGGGTGATTGGCATAGTCGGCTTCCTGAGGCGACCGTTGGCTCTTCTCAGAGATGGGAGACGGCTCGCTGTGCTGCCAGTATGCTCTGTTGGGGCTGGCGCGCTGGAGGTTGCACGCAAGGTCAGTGTCGGTTCGTGGCCTCGAGCGTGAAGAGACATAGCAACGACAAGAGATCGTCGGTTGAAGGCGGAAATCGGGCGAATGTACAGGAATGCTTACCATACTTTCCCTCCAGTGGCCGTAAGCGGGCGGCTCGACTCTTGCGATCCCAGCGTCAAGCCCAGGAACTTCCCGGTCACTCGGGAGGGCGATGTGAGGAGCGTACGCAGACTGCTGCTGCTGCTGCTTCTGATGTTGGGCCTCGAGGTCGTTTCGTCGCTGGGCCCGGAGCTTGGCCTTGTTGCGCTTGTGCTTGATGAGCATGACGAGCCGGGCAATGAGGTAGATGAGGATGAGCGCGCTGATGCCCACGATGACAGCCATCGGGATGGTCAATTGGCTCGGGTCAACGGTGTTCGTGAGGGCGAGACCGGCGACTGGAATCATGTTAGTCGCTGCTAACCACAAGATCAGGACGAACCGGCAGTGCACTGCAAAAGGTTTTTCCTAGAGGCTGGCAACACGTACAAAAGGTCGAACAGGAGGAAGACTTACAGATCCCAACAATGAGCACCAAGAACAACCCAGCAACAACACACTGCACGATCCGGGCCCTCATCCGCCGCGACCTCACGGGTGGGAAGCATCCCATGAACGGCCTGGGCGGGCTCCTCGCACGCCTCCTGTGCTCTCTGTCCCTGCCGCGCTTCTCGTTCGACTCTCCCGACGAGTTTGTCGACGACGACAGCGACGACTCTGTAGTGGTAGCGCCGTTCGCGGCCGAGCCGGACACATCGTGGTGCCGCGAGGACTGCTGGTGCCTCCTCTTGCTCTTGCCGTGCTTGTTGTTTGCCCCGCTCCTGGTCTTTCCGCTGTGCTTCCTGGTGGCCCTCGTCTTGCCGTGCCGGTCGTGGTGGCGCCGCGTGCGTGCATCTTCAATGTCCCCGCTGCGGCCGTGACCGCCGGCTTCGATCTGGGTCGTTGTCACCCCGCTGTGAGGGCCAGTGTATGTGTAAGTGGGCATGGGCTCCGTGGGCAACGGGGGGATTCCGCTGTTGAGATTGTCGGTCGGGTACTCTGTCGGAGGGTACACTGATGATGGAGCCCTCGGGCCTGCAGCGACATTTCTCTGGGTAAAGAGCGGCCTGGGGGCGGAAGACTGCTCTGAGAACCGCGAGTGGCCGACCAGGCCGATTCTCGGGAGCTGAAGGCTTGGGATGCCCAGAGAGAACCGTGATCTCGGGCTGGCCAGCTCATCGGCTGCTCCCGACGCGAGGTTCTCGGTGCTCTCGCCAAAGTTGGAAGCCAAGGCGTACTTGTTGTTGGAGGCGCCTGTGTTGTTGTTGTTGTTGTTGTCTTCGTTGTGGTTGCGGGTAAAGAGTGACGAGAACGGACGGCGGGTGAAAGTGAAGCGATTGTTCGAGTTACTGGTGTCCCTCTCCACCATGGCGGGCTGCGACGAAGACTGGTGGTATAGTTGCTGAGGTTGCCACTCCACGTCTGGGTTGACGTCGCCGAGCGAATCGCCCTGCTGGCGGAATATACTTCTCCTGATATAATCCATGGCTGTGATTTGTGGCGAGGTTTTCGTTTGGTTGTGGGTGACACGCAGATCACGGAGCCGTGAAACAGTGCGTGGTTCGGGTCGAGCCCAGAAATGTAGAATACAAGGTGGAATACACAAAAGCAGGCCTTTGGTCGTCCGAGCTGCCAGAGCCTGAGCAACAACAACAAAGTCGAAATGATCAAACGTGTCGTACCAGACGAGGCGAACTAAAAGTGGCTACGGAAAGAAGGACGAGGAGAGAGACGAGTGCTGGGCATCAAGACCACGCAGCAAGTCTGGTTCATATTCAGAAGCCTCTCTGGCTGAATCACCCCTTTCCAGACAGGCGAAGTGTGCCTCAACATGGACTTACATGCATGTCTTGTCCCAAGCTGCAAGGTGCTGCCCTCGAAACAGGCTCCATGGGCCGCCATCGATTCGACCACAGGTGTTCCGGGAGCTTGCAGGGGATGCCTTAGCGCTGTGGGGTTGAGTTCCCGCCGCAAAGACTTTGACCAGAATCAGCACAAGCTGCCCAAGGTCCTGGTTGCCGCAGTCAAGAAAAGCCTGCAAAGTAGGCTCTTCCTCCCATCATGATCCACGCGACGGACGAAATAGAGCAGCATCAACCGCTGGTGTGCAGGGTTGTGTGTTGTCGAAGTCGAGGCGTGTGGTTCCTGGGTTGGCTTGGCACAACCCCAGTGGAGGGAATGGTTGGCTGGGAGCAACCCGCAAACTCTAGCGCAACTGCCGGATGCAGGGTTGTGCATCTGGCGTTTCATGTTTCCCAAGCAGCTGGTGCGCTCTCGCCCTGTAGCTTGATCCGCTCAGTGGAGAGACGCAGCACGAGGGCTCCTCTGTGAGTCACCATCGCATGCAGGGAGCCGGCTAATAGCACACGATCATTGTGGCTGGTCTTGCTGCTGGGTGACCTCGGCCCCCAAAAGTCACCTGTGTCCCTCTGGGCTTATCAGGCTTTGCTTTGATCGGCTTGGATTGTTTCTATCTCGCGCCGCGACGAGTAAATCTCGGGTGCGTTCCGCAGTCCTTGGGTTCTCAAAGCCCCTTGTCACACGCGCGGAGCACGTCAAGTAGACGCCTCTCTGTCTTCATCGCGTCCCTGACATCCTGGTGTCTTTCGTCTTCCTTCGACAAGTCCTCCAACCTCGAGCCGTCGTAAAATTTCTTCATTATGCGACAAGCCGGGTGCAGATTGCTTACATGATAGCTTACATTTGCGTGATCAAGTCTTATGTTTTGACTCGGCGCGTTCCTGTTCGCAGCCACCGATCGTTCTGGACCTGGTCTTCCGCTGACTGGCCAAAACCGCAAAGCTGCAGACTCCAACACCTCTTCATTCACGGTCTACTATGATGTTGCGATCCTCACTTCAGCTCGCCGAGGAGCATCCTGCGGTCCGACGATGCAGACAGGACTAGAGACTTGTCAGTATACTTGGTCTGAAGCAGGGAGCTGTATATGTAATCGGGTGAACATACTGATTGGCTGATCGTTCGGCGCGAACTCGGCACAGTTGACCGTGCCCTTGTGTCCTGGAAGCTTATACTGGAGCTTGCCATTGTCGCTGGACCAGATTACCACCGACCCATCGCCAGCGCCAACAGCGATGTTCTTCCCACTCCTGTCCCAGCTGGCACGGATCAGGTTCTGCTCAATGCCCATTTGCGCGCCGTCAAATGTCCGGATAAGTCGCTCTGTTGGCGCAAACGGCCGTATGTCCCATGTCTTGGCCGTCGAGTCATGCGAGTAGGACAGCAATGACTGCGAGTCTGGCGAGACGCGCAAGCTCGTCACTGTGTCGTTGTGGCCGAGCATGGAGTACACGACGGCCTTCTTGCGCAGATCCCACACCTTGATGTCATTGTCTATGCCGCCCGTGTAGATCTCGTTGCCCGCTTCCGCCACGGCCACTGCCGTTATCGGGTAGTCCGTCTCGATGTAGTCGGTCGCATTCTTCGTCCGCGGATCCCAGATGCCGATTGTGCCATCATCGCTGCCGCTGATGAGGAGCTCCTCGCCGCGCTTCGTCGTGTCCAGGGCATTGATGATCTCTTCGTGGCCGACGTATCGTCGTATCCTTGTGCCGGATTGCAGATCCCAACTTGCTAGGTGCATGTCGGCAGAGGCCGAGTATAGAATCTCCGAGTCGCGAGACCATTGAAGGTCCAGGATGGCGCCGCGGTGACCGGTGAGCTGGCCGTAGTTTTCGCACGCTCCGGAGGAGTTCCATAATACTGTCAAGAGGGATGAAGAACGTCAGCCAACTCGCTCTCGCACAATCCCGTGGTTGTCAAGATACGCACGTATGCTTCTGTCCATGGACCCAGACGCGATGAACTGGCCGGTAGGATCAAACTTGGCAGCAAAGACCTCGCCGGTGTGCCCAGTCAGCTCCATGAGGTGGGAGTCGAGGTTGCTCGTCCGCGGCGCGGCGATGAGCGCGCCTTCAGCACCGCCATCGCGGCGCGCAAGGGCTGTCGTGGTGCCTGGCTTCTGTCGCTTGACGACGAGCTGGCCATACTCGTCGGCGGGCCGCTTCTCGGCGGACATGGCTGGCGATATCGTGGGCTCTCGGTTGTGTTCAATAGTGTTCTTCGGCTGCGGCTACTCGCCCATATCAGACAGTTGTTCTAGATGCTGCTTCGGACGTGTTGGACTCGAAGCCCGGCGGGAGTGGTGATTTGTTGTGGGCTCTACAGAGCGTGCGATTCGAGGTTCGAGGATTGTGTGTGTACAGTATGCACGTTGTGCTGCGTAAGGTGCTCCAGTCCAGCGCAGCCTCGCGCGCCGTGTCGTCAGAAGCAGGAGCCGCAAATTTCCTGCCCGAGCTTCAGGCCCTTGAGCACAGCCAGCCAATGGGAGCGCAGTCCCCCACGGTCAGGGACAGCTCCAGGGGCCAGCCTCGCCGCAGCGACCCCGCTGGAACGAGCCCCATTCTGACCGCTGAGCTTCCGGACCGCAATAGCAAGCAGTACACATTTACGCCGTCACCTTGCGACACCACCCACAACTCACGCCGTGACGAGCCATCTTTTGACTTGCGCAAGGCTCAGTTGGTCCCTGTCAACCCTCAATGACCCCATAGTCTCGCCAGGAAGGCTCGTTGAGCGAGCATGTCATCCAACAAGGCCGCCCGTGTGGGCGAGGAGTGAGTTGGCCCCAACGTCCCTCTGCTCTTGCAGAGACAGTATCGCTGACAGTTGTGCGCAACAGGATATGGAAGTAAGCCACCGTCGAACCCCTTATCCCTGCATCCTGTCGAAAGCCAAGAAGACTTTGTTCCTAACAACAACGACCTTCGTCCTCCCAGAGGCCGCATCGACAAGGTCAATGCCGAGCTCGTCACCCTGACCTACGGCACGATCGTCGCGCAGCTGTGCAAGGACTTTGAGGGGGACTACATCGAGGTCAACAAGCAGCTGGATCGCATGGGTTACAACATTGGCCTGCGCTTGATTGAGGACTATCTGGCAAAGTCGAACTCGATGCGCCGGTGCAGCAACTTCCGCGAGACCGCCGACGCGATATCAAAAGTATGACGCCCGGACCATTGGGGGGCTGGGAAAAGGGACCGGGACACATCCCGCCAACGAGGAAACAACACGGATCCCGGAAGATCTATGCTAACTTCACGTCCGAATGTTGCAGATCGGCTTCAAGATATTCCTCAACATCACCCCGACGATTACCAACTGGACAAGCGACAGCAAGCAGTTCTCTCTCGTCTTCGAGGAGAATCCGCTCGCCGACTTTGTCGAGCTGCCCGACGACGGGCGCGCCCAGGACGAGCTGTGGTTCTCCAACATCCTCTGCGGCGTGCTCCGCGGCGCCCTCGAGATGGTCCAGATGCAGGTCGAGGCCCACTTCATCAGCGACGTCCTTCGCGGCAACGACACCACCGAGATGAGGGTGTCGCTTATCAGATACATCGACGACGAGCTGCCGCCGGAGGATGACTAGGCGGCTCGGTGGAGTGTTTGCACTATTACGGGATGCCTCGAGATAATATGAGGATGTGCAGTGGTTGAAAATAAAGCAAGCGCAGAAGCCCGCCGCGCTCAAGAGAAGATCTCGGCATGGCCAAGAGTTCATTGCGGAGAAATCTCTCCGGGCCGAGTCGATGGGCCAGTCAGGCGTATGGTGTACCAGGTGTCGTAACTAGATATCATGCTGAGTAACGACCTTAGCGCAGAAGCGAAGCACATGGACTCTGAGCCTATTCGGCCATATCTGAGCGGCTCCATGATCGAGATTATACTAGCTTGAAAGAAGTTGATCCGAAAGTGGTTTATCTCAGCGCCACAAGATCGACCTGGGTGGATCATAGGCTGCAACGAGCCACAAGATGTGACATGATGCTGAAGCAACAATCTAGGCTGAAATTGACTGGGTGGAAGGGCCATAAAATGTGTTGTCCTGTAGCAGGTCTTCCCTGGAGGTAGAATATATCAACGGGTGTCTGGGCAGTTCTGTAAGGAAAACTGGGAGGGCAGAGCTTGGGAAGGGAAAGTAGGAGGCAGATCCAGGCTTGCTTGCCCACGTTGCTTTGAAACAAGTCATCACTATTTACTATCTTGCGTCGTCCATATTCGGAGTCCGCCATCAAGGGCAGTATCAAAACTCACTTGTTAAGCATTCATTGTTTGAGGGTTCAATTTGAAGCTCTATTTCGTCTTCTATTTCTTTTCGGCTGTTCCAAATCCAATCTCGATATGCATTTGTGGTTCTTTTCTTTTTACTCTCTTTCTTTTTTTTCTTGCTTTCTCTTCATCGCTTCCTGGCTTTTTTTCTTTTTCTTTTCCCCCACTTTCTTTTCCTTTCGTTCTTTCTTTTTCCCCCCTCGCTGTGTTTTCTCCTCTCATCCAATTTGTCCTCAAGGGTGTACGTGTACAGGTCTTTGTCAGTTAATTACCGACAGCCTCGGTAATTAGAAACCCTCCTCAACAATGAGGAGCTACTGCATCAGTACCATAACAGCTCTTGCCTCGAGTGTTCTCTACAGAGAGGCCCAGACAATTCGTGTGTACATTGCATCTCGCAACCCGTTTGCTAGAGATATAATAGGCGCCTACCAGACAAACCCCCAACCCGTACCTAGGTAGATAGTCGTGACTCGTATATCGATATTGGATGATCGGGCCATCGCCAAAATTCCGTACGGTGGCAGTATCCCAGGCCTTACATTACACAGACCCGGAGAAATCGCCGGCAATTTTCGTCAGAAGGAGGCACCCACTTACACATTTTCCAATGACACTTATCATACGAGCCAAATGAATGTACTAGCAATCACGAGACAAGAGGCCTAAAAGGGTGTGGCTGATGCCCCTGAGGCTAGCGCACAATGGTTGTGATGCAGCAATCAACAGAGCATATGCTGCACAAATGCATCTTTTCAGAGCATGGGCTCTCAGCAGTGCCGCATCGCAATGGGCTCTTGAAGCATCCGCGATGCCAGTCCCCATCGTGGCGTGGCGCTCGTGCATCCCTGAAGCCATAGAACCGCCAGCTATGGATGGGTCCCAATTTAACAACAGTTTCGCATGTCGCCTATTTTAGTGTAATTTCCGGACGTGTCGCGCTTCAACGCGACTCTACGCAGTAATAACCCTGATAACGACCCCGGCGGAAATTTGACGCAATAATGAGTTCATTCTCCTATACAATTTTCAGCGAGTTGTGGAGCTGCAAAAGTGAATGGTGGCGGACGTTGTGATGTGCAACTAAAAGTGCACGCCCGATAGCCGCAGGAGGATGCATGAGAAGTCCCTCTGCATCTTAGGCCAGATCCGGATGCTGCTTGCTGCTGTCACGAAAACAATTGGAGTTGATGTAGAGTGGTTGAACAAGACTCCAGGGAGATGGCCAAGCTGCCCGAGCCCGGCCGCAATTAGGCAAGGATTTGCCAAGATGGTGCCGCCGCTGGCATCTTTGATAGGGCTTCTAGAACGTCTCGAGAGGGTGTCAATGGCACGCCATGGGTGCAGTGCAGGACAATTTGCTGACAACGAATAACCCCCGCACGCGCTGGTGCTGGTGCTGGATATCTCGCCAGTGCCCGCAGGAAGCAATGACAGACCTTGGCAGGGTGTATGAGCAAGCGCTTTGAGACGAGTTCGGGACAAACATGCCACAACACGGAGTATATGCCAGGGCGTCCACGGGTTGGACGCGTCGAAACTATCCTAAACCGACTTTCACGTCACAGATTCAACGTTGGGACGAGAGGGGCGTGGTTTGGTCCCCAGGCCCAGGGCCGGGTGATTATTACCTAAGCGGCACCACTGCTCTAGGTACTCTTTTTGGGGGGCAGGCATCCAGCCGTTGGCCGCTCCGCCCGCAGTGCCGCACGCACCGCACCGCACCGCACCTTCCCGCTGGCGCCGCGCGTGCCTGCCCTGCACGATCATCCCAGGCGTCCGTCTTAGCCTTGCCACTGCCTGTGGATGAGTCCTAGTCCCCGTGCGGGATGCAGCTGAGCCTCACCCGCGCCGCCGAAACTCGCACCGGCGAGCATCTCACGGCCAGCACGAAACGTTCCAGATCCCCCCCAGCCGCCGAGTCCGTAAAACGAACGCAGGCGGCCCCGATAGCCCAAACGAGTGTGCCTGCCTATCGACGATCCAGAACACCCGAGAGACGGCTCCTTGTCTGGCGCCAGCGACTCCTGATTCGACATCACTGTCACGTATGCCGGACTCTCATTATCCCAGCCCGGTCGTCGTGCAGTATCGTGCATGGGCCCTACCCCCAAACCGGTAATCCCCAGACCACGACATAAACCGTCAGTTCCGGACGTGGTGAACCCCCACATGACAGGGAATCGCTTGCGCTCTTTGCAACCGGGTTTCAACGGTGATTTTGCGCCTCTGTTCAGGCGATCCAGGCTGATCACAAAACCAGCTTGAAAAGCCAAACTGTTAGCGAGCGACTGGCTGGAGAAGCAGAAGGTGGGCGCCAAGACTGTCACGAAGTGAGGATGGGTGGAGCCAGTCTGAGAAATACGCAGGCTTGTGACGCACATGGCTCTCGGCGCGCCCTGTTCTTCGCGCACTTCTACGTCAAAACTCGGGCCAGAAGGCTGGCCAGTCGCCACTTGCCCTGCATCATCGGACCCAAGGGGTCCTTTGGGGTACCTGCGCCATGCTGAGATTTACGCCCACAGAAACGAGGATTTGCATGGAACCTCGAGATGCCGCCCGCCCCAGGGCTTGTCGTCGGACCACGCCCAGGCGCCCACGTTCTGTCGCGCTGCAGGTTCACTTGCTGTTCTGTTGCAGGACCGGCGGGCCTACTGGCGCTGTGTCCGGTCGTCTGGGGACTTCCGCCAGCCCACTGCTGTACGTCACGGCCAGGACCAGCCAGACAGACCCACGCCGCGCAACAAGAACACACTGTCTTCGCTGCAGTATGACTGGCAGCCATTTCGAGCTCCGAGGCTTTGGCAGCAGCAGCAGCTGTCGCCCCTCGATCTGGTCGACTCTTTTCAAGTCCAGCGTTTGAGGCGTAAGCAGGACTTCAAGGCATGCTGCCACAATACCAGTAATGCTGCAGAGACATCTCATCAAGCTCGACAGCCGCCAAGAGCGCCATGATTAGCTAATAAGCGCGGCGGCTCTTCAACAGGCTGGAATGGTCACTGAGGCTGTCAGGCTGAACCCAGCCCGTTCCCCACGCTGGGCAGCTTGCTTGCGCCTGCACCTGGTACACTAATTAACTGAGCTTAACGCCTGGCAGATCGCCCACAAGGGTCCACGTTCCTTGCTGCTGGTCCAGCCCAGGTGCTCGGCCACCAGACGCGTTTTGAATGCGGGAGTGCATCCCATATGGGTTCACGAATTTCTTGTTGAGAAGAATGTTTTGGAAGGTTTTGCCTTACCGCCGAAGTAGCCAAGCATTATTCTCTGACCGCTTTCTCGACTTTGCCCAACTGGTTATCGTCGTTCAGACATGTCCGTGAGCGCTGACACGTGGAACCCTCCATACCTGCCGGCACTTGGGATGTCTGACGATCACTGGAGCTACGTTGTGAGACCCCCGCCACGCCGTCCCAGTAGCGTATTAGGGGCGTTCAAGGAACAAATTACAGCTTCATCGAAGATTAAGGACGCAAATTTGGAGATGCTGCTGCCTCACCATGCGGTCATTTGCTGAGTAACGCGAGTGCTGAAGCTTCCACCGATGCGCAAAGTATCTTCGCCCTGACATTTGGCACGATCACATGGCGTTTTCGCTGACCAGAAGCTGCTGGGTTTGCCGCTGGTCGCGACAATATCCGCTTTTAGCCACTCGCTGATCGAATAACCACGACTGGCCGATCGGGAGAGGCGGATACCTACGCTGCTGCTGACCACCGCACCAAGGTCTCTGCTGTCCATGTTCGCCTCTTGGTCATCGCTGCTGTTCGACCGGATTTCTTTGCCTTGCTGCTCATGACTTATTCTCCACAGTCCCAGATGAGCCCTGAAGCTCATCACCCGCGGCCCCTAGTCCAGACAGTGGTCGGTCCAGCTGCTCAGGTTATCGGTTCGGCCCAGCCGTGTGGGAGCTGAGAACCCTACCTTGACAGCTGGCGGACGTCCGCCTGCCCCACTTTCGCAACTGTGTCAGGCTGCCAGCTCGGGCGCGCCAGGCGCCTGACGGCCGCGCCGGAGCCAGCGCAGGACGCGGGCTGGGCGAGGAAACGAAGAATTGAGAGGCAGGAAGGAAGCACACACCACCTTCGCTCCACCCATCCCCCCCGGGACACGACGCAGCAGCTCTGATCAATCATACCACCACCGCCGTCGCCCGCCGCCAGCGCCAGAACCACCCTTCCCTCCCATCTCCCCATCCGCCCCCCGTCTGGCGCACCTCATCCTCCCATCTCGGTCGCGGCCGATCGGGCACCACTCTCTTCATTTCGACGACATCACCACCCTTTTGCGTCTCGGCGCTCCTCTGTATTCTAACCATCGACCTCTGGAACCGTGTGCACCTCGTGGCCACTCATCAGGGCTCTTGACCGGACAATCCTTCCTGGTTGTTCGTCCTCTGTCTGGTATGTCTCTCCCGCTCGCCCACTACACGACATCCCCGTCGCGCACCTCCAGCCTCGACTCTTCGTGCCACGATATCATCCCCATCGGCCCGTCAATGCATCGCTGTCGTCGTTTCATTGATATTCGTCGTCACGCGCATCGCGCAATACATCATTCACGCCTTGCGCGCGCCTTCGTGCATCGTCGCTGCTTAGCTGCCTGGTGGCGTCGCGCGCGCGCGCGGCTCTCCCATACTCCACTACTCCTCCCATCCTCGACTTGACTCTCTACTACCAAAGCCGTTCGCATAGCTAATCGAGCCATCTCCTACAGTGTATTCGACGCGTCTTTTCGACTTGGCTTGAAACCCTTACCTGCGCATGTGCTGCGTCACCATCTAACTGGGCTACGTTGCCATCACGGAGACAATCCGCGCAACCTTGGACACTCGGACTTGGCCGAGCATATTCTTCTTTGTCACCACTCCGGACCACAGTACTCTGCACTCGCATGCATCGTCGCATCTAGTACAATAAACACGTCATATCTCGAGTGCTTGGCAGGCTTGATCTGTCTGCCACACTGACGAAGATGAACAACGTCAACATGGCCAACATGACGGCCATGGCTGCCGGAGCGCCTGCAGGCGGCCCCATGGGTATGATGATGCCTGCAGGTGCTGGCCCGGCGCCGATGCCGAACAACGCTCTGTCAACACGCGCCAACCTTCATACATGCATCTACGAGTATTTCCTCAACCAGGGCATGTATGATGCGGCACGTTCACTGCTGCAGACGCCTGACAGTGAGGTTCGACTCAAGAATAATGGCGGCGACGGCAATCTTGCCAACGGTGTCAACGATGACAGCATGGATACAGACAGCAAGGACGATGCCGACTCAAAACGACCAAGCGATCTCCCGCTCGCAAGTTCTAACAGCAACTTCTTGTATGAGTGGTTCTGCCTCTTCTGGGACATGCAAGTAGCAGTCACAAAGAGGAATCATTCAAACACCGCTGTTGGTCAATTCTTGCAACACACACAAGTAAGTTCACAAGGCTGGGCCGTCTGCTGTGCCATGTCGTCAGAACCGGAAGACAAGGCATACTAATCACAACCGCTCTAGCAACAAAACCGGCTCCGTCAGAACCAGCAACAGGAACTGCTCAGGTCGATGCGGCCAGATGGCGCCATGTTCAATCAAAACCCCATGATGCGCAACATGCCCAACAGCATGCAGATGCAGAAGCAGCCGAACCTCGCGCGGACTGCCATGGCCAACAACACCAACAAGTAGGTTCTTTATTACCGCGCGATACGTGCGCACATGATAACTGATAATTCTTTAGCCCGCAAGCGATGCAGATGCTTCAAAAGCAGGGACAAATGCAGCAGAACGCCGCTGACCTGGATGCCAACAGACGGCCAGGTTCTCCTGGTTCAGCTGAGAATGCCCCATCTCCGAACAAGCGGCCTCGGCTTGACGGCGCGGGGCCGTTCAACCCCCAGCAACAGGCTGCTATGATGCAGAATGGTCAACGGCCTCAGCAGGGCATGCCAGGGCAGCAGGTTCCCAATACTCCGGCAAATACCACCGCCCAGGCTCAACAGCTGCTCCTCACAAACGGCATCAACCCGAGCCAGTTGACACCTCAGCAATTCCAGCAATTCCAGAACCAGCCACCACATGCTCAGATCAAGTCTATTCAAGCATACTCGCAGAACCTGCAACAACACCACGGTCAGCAGATGCCGAACAAACCTGCGCCAAACCCCAACGGACCTCAAGGACAGGGCTCGCCAATGATGGCCCAGGGTCCCGATGGAGCTAATCTCAATGCGTACTACCACCCTGGAGAGATGGGCGGCCCTACTGCTATGCGACCTGGTGCTCCAGGCGCGCAAGGCGCAGGTGGCAGCAACCATGCTCTCCAGGACTATCAGATGCAGTTGATGCTCCTCGAGCAACAGAACAAGAAGCGTCTGATGATGGCGAGACAGGAGCAAGACAGCATGGGTAACATGCCGCGCGCCGACGGCCAGCCAGGCCCTGCTGGAGCTCCCGGCCCGAACGGCCAGGCATTCCAGGACACATCTCCCCAGGCCGCCCGCACTGGAACATCGCCAAACCCTTCTGAGCAGATGAAGCGCGGCACACCGCAGATGAACTCGGCTGGCATACCATCACCACTCCCCGAGGGCGCAAATTCAAGAGGCTCGCCAAACCCCATGAGCTTCATGCCGAACAACATGGATCCGAATATGGCACCCCACTTCTTCAAGGGCATGAACGGGATGGAGAACAATATGGGCAACGTCCAGATGAATGGTGGCATGCGTCCCCCAAGCTCGCACCCTGGCCAACCTGGTTTCAACGGCCAGATGACGCCTCAGATGGCTGCCGCCGCGCGCCAACAAGGTGGCCAGGCTCCTGGAATGCAATGGCAAGGACAGCCTAATGGCAATGGGATGGCACCAGGAGGTCCTCAGGGTCAGGTTCAGGGCACACCACAACAGCGTGCTATGCCACCACCCTCCGCTCCGGCGACAGGCGCTGCTGCCAATGCCACCGCGAGCGGTCGCGCGACCGCTTCGCCACAGCAAGGCAATGCTGCGCCACCCACTCCTCAGCAGTCCAACAAGGCTGCGCCGAAGAAGAAGGATACAAAGAACGCCAAGACCAAGGTATGTCCTACCTCTGGGTTTCATACCGCGAGTATTGCTAACAGTGTCACTTTGCAGGCTGCCGCGACCAAGAAGGCCAATGCTAACACCGGGGCAACACCGGCTTCGGAAACAGCGCAAGATCAAGAGCCACCGACGCCCGCGACACCCATCACCCCGGCGTCGAATGCAAACTTCCCCAAGGGACCGAACGCAGCTGGCACTGCTGCCACGACTGCTCCCCCCGCTCCCGCTGCTCCGGTCGCGGCACCTCAGCCCGACCCCAACCAGATGGGCACTTTCGGCATGGAGAACCCGGCCATGGACTTCAACATGGACTTTGCGAACCCCAACATGACGGAGAACGTGTTGCAGGACTTCGACTTCGACTCGTTCCTCCATGACGATGCGGACGGCGCCAACTTTGGCTTTGACCCATCTGCATTTGGAATGGAAGGGGCCGGCGAGATCGGCGCGGACTAGAAGCTCGACTGATCCTCGTCCTGCCCAAGCCCGTCTTGTTTGGATTCTAGCACGTTATGGGGTTTTGCGTTGGGCATGTAAAGGCGTTCAGGGCTGCTTTGACGGATGTCTGGTCCCCGGTTGCGGTCATGCGGAAGATGGCGATGCGACCAAGAGGCCCGAGACACGGACACACTCACACACACACACATATACGAAACACTAACCCCCCCCCAAAAAGCTCAACTTATCTCTCACAATATCCTCTCTGCGATCCTCCGCCCTCTTGTCATCCTATAGTTCATCTACTTTAGATCGGCGTTGGGTACCCGTCGCTTGCATTTACCTGCGGTCTCGTTCTATTGGATCACTCCGGACCATTCCTCGCGAACAATCGATGCTTTTCAAAGTCTTTTTTCGAATCAGGCGAAATATGAGACACTGCGGCTCCCGCAGTGGTGTGGATTTTCACATCAAAATGTATTTCTCTCCGACATGGAGAAGTAGTTGGGGGTTTTTTTAGCAAAGCTGGACATCAGTACCATCATCTGGGGAAACGGTTTCTTGTTTCTTGTTAATCTATATCTGCAATTGTATGGATAATACCCTCGCCGTTATTCGCTGTCCACGGCCTGCTTCGTTCTTGTCTCGTGTGTCGCTGTACCTGCCTATTGAGTTGCTGTTGGGAGAGATGCAACGTGGACACATGCAAGCTGCAGAGCGATTTCTTGAGGCCCGCGCCCGTGAATTACTGCTGGGGGGATTTTATCTTCCCTGGGTATGGTATTTGTCCCTGAGAGGTTGACATGAACTGAGCTATTGGTTGTTCACCTTGTGGACAGGTCTATCATATCGCCCTGTTCTATCACTGTCTTGGAGTGAAGTGTTATCAGCATGGGGAATGAGCCAGCCCTTCGCGCAGTGTCCGTGGCTTGGAGATGGACGAACGTGTTGTGGTGGTTTGACCAACAGCTTTTTGTCACTCGAAGGACCCTGGAGTACCAACGCTGGTCTCCTTGTCCCGTATCTGGTTTCAAGGGGTTGGGATAGTCACGACATCAAGGGCTCCTCCTCCTGGGAAGGGATTGCTGGCAACTATGGGACCCTGGGACCCTGCCCTGCAAGTCCTTAGGACTTGGGGGATTCAGCGTTTCGAGATAGTCAACACGGAACCCGACAGAGAGCGTTTTGGAAGACAAAGACAGCTGGGACGAGAGGATTGACTGCGAGTGTGCTGAAGGGGATACCTTCCTTGGCGGGAGCAGAGTTTCAGAAATCTGCATGCTCTGTCTGTTGTTTCTTTGCAAGCAAACTGCGCGGCGGATACTGATTTGTCTGCCTCTCATTGGAAAGGGCAGACAAGACAGTCAGTCTGTTGACAGCTAGCAACCTGACGCTTGTCTCCAACTGATACCCACATGGAGGCAAGGCAAGGCCAGGAGGCCGGCTCAGCTGACTCTGCACTCGCTCCCCACTGCAGGCAGGCCCCCTCCTTCCCCTCGCCAGATTTCTTCAGGCGCTCTACCCACCCACCACCCACCACGTACTTACTTACTTGCACCCTCTCCCACCTTCCACACAATTGTGCCAACATTGCTGTGCCAACATTGCTGTCGCCCACGCCATCAAGGTTCTTTTCCTCGTGTCTCTGCCCTGCACACGCTACTTCTGCCCGCAAAGGTTCCCCTGTTCTGTAAGTCTGCCTTGTCCTGCATCTGCGCTCGCCTCGTCTTTTCCCCTCGGCTGCCCGCCGCCGCCGGCGCATCCTTTTTGTCCCCGTGCGCATTTTTATTCACCCCGCCATCGACCTCGTGCGCTCTCGACCCAAAAGTCACGCAGGCGCAATACGCAACATCCCCGGTCGCGCGCTCTTTCTCTGTCTCTGTCTCTGTCTCCGTCCTCGCCTCTTTCTGCGCGGCCTTGCGCGCGCTGCCTCGAATGGTGTTCGCAAGCCAGAATACAAATACTCAAACCCAACAACGACTCTTGGCTCCTGGTTCGCCACGGCGCACGAAACACTGCCTTGCTCTTCAAGGACTTGGTCTCCGCAGCCCGCACTCGGAACTTCCCCGCGCTCGACATGGCTGGTCTCGTGCGCTTGCCAAACTGGCTCTTCAATGTCCAAAGGACATGTTCTCGACACCAACAAGCCGCAAAGCCACCCTCCAGAACATCCCAATTGCGGCTGCTGCACAGCACCTGGCAAGGCGACAAATGAAAGAGTCGCCCAGCTTGCTTGAGCACCTCCACCATCACCTCTTTGCGACAATCCTCCTGCCTGCCTCTGCCGGGGCTCAATTACAAGCCGCGCAATGCCTATCGCTCTTCCGCCACGCGTTTATATTGTCCATCTATCAATGTGCCAAGCGCAAAACAAGTGGCGACCCGGATTAGTCGCAAATCACGGGCAGTCCCCTCACTTCGCGACGATTCCTGCGAATGTGCGCCTCTCATTGCGCAAACCGAGTTCCATCTAAGCTCTTCACCAACCACTGCAGCTTCCAACAATATATGTCGGCCCTACCATTGCCAATAACCACAGACATGACAAGTCAACTACTGTGCGCCATCGTATGAGACTTTCAGGAGCCTTCAACGGCGGACAAGCCGGAGACAGAGACACACAAGAGTCTGCCGACGCAGAGTCGATGGATGCGCAATCTTGCAATCGTCGCTATATAATGTAATAGCAGATACTAACCTGCTACCACTTTCAGTACATACTTCAAAAATGTCTTCTCTCTCCCGCAGGGCGTGCTACAAGTGTGGCAACGTCGGCCACTACGCCGAGGTCTGCTCCTCCGCTGAGCGCCTTTGCTACAACTGCAAGCAGCCTGGTAAGTCGAAACCCAACATAACCCAACGGCGCCGCCTCTCGACCTCATACTGACGCCACACGTCGTACTTCAGGCCACGAGTCCAACCAGTGCCCTCTGCCCCGCTCCACCGATGCCAAGCAGTGCTATCACTGCCAGGGTCTCGGCCACGTCCAGGCTGACTGCCCTACCCTCCGCTTGACCGGCGCCGGCGCCGCCAACGGTCGCTGCTACAACTGCGGTCAGCCCGGCCACCTGGCCCGGTCGTGCCAGAACCCTCCCGGAGTCAACATGGGCCGCGGCGGTCCCGCTCCCCGCGGTGCCTTCGGTGGCTACGGCGGCCGTGGCGGTTTCGGCGGCGGCCCTCGTCCCGCCACCTGCTACAAGTGCGGTGGTCCCAACCACTTTGCGCGCGACTGCCAGGCTCAGGCCATGAAGTGCTATGCTTGCGGCAAGCTCGGCCACATCTCCCGCGACTGCACTGCTCCCAACGGCGGTCCTCTGAACACTGCTGGCAAGACCTGCTACCAGTGCGGCGAGGCTGGTCACATCTCCCGCGACTGCCCCCAGAAGGCTGCCGCCGGTGAGGCTCCTGCCGTCGGCGCCGAGATTCCCGCCGCTGCCGCCCCGGCTCCCATCGCTCCCGCGGTCCTTCCCATCTCGTAAGAAGGATATCCAGCACTTTGGAACCCCCAAAGCGTGACGCATGACGACACACCTATAGTGGGGAGACTCGAGAGTCATGGCTGAGCCATGGCTGACCGGATATACATATTTACGAAACGGATTTTCCTTTGTCATTTATTCAGGAGCTCGACTCCGGCGAAATTCATCTCAAAACTTGAGCCACGAAAAGCGTCCACCTCGGGGGACAACCTTCGGGCTCAAGAGTTTCAATTTGGTCACGATTTTGGTTTTCACACGACTCATGGCGTCCACGATCACAACGGTTACATATTCCCCCGACTTATTTCGGTAACGACTTAACTTCTGATGCCCTTCCCGACGGACACTTTAGCATTGGCAAGAAACGGCGCCATCTGCCCTGTTGATGGCTGACGGCAGAGCAATATGCATAAAAAACCCAGCCCTACATTATATACATTTGCTTTGCACGTGGCTGGCCAGGGGGTTTAGTTGGCGAGGCGAGGTGTGTGTGGAGGCGGTGCGAGAAGAGGAGAAGGCGGCGTGGGTGGCAAGAGTGTAGTCTTTGAGATTGAGAAAGAAGTGAAGCAGAACCAGAAGAGCAGAGAAGAGAGAGATGTTTGTGCGCGAGACAGAAAAAGCCCTTGCCCAACGCCCCGCCCCGACCGTCCGTCCGTCACGTCACGCGATTCCCTCCTGAAGTTTGATGACGAAGAGACGCGCGCGCGCGCGAGAGCGAGAGAGATTCGATACCATGACATGAAAACACACGCGCACGAGAACAACCCCCGGCTGGGCAGTAGAGCGACAGTTGCTAGCTCGTTGTTCCCATTTGACATCGGCCACCAAGCCGGTGCTTACAAACTTGAGGATCTCCCGACATTCCGGTAAGTCTCTTTAAGTTTATCTGAACATGACTGGGAACAACGCAGGTTTGGAAAAAAAAGGAATTCTGCCACACGAGCTTTTCGACAACGACGATCTACCCCGTGAACCAAAGACGACATGGAGACAGACATGCATCTAGATCATATAAGATACACAGCCTGCATGCACAAAGAAAGACATGATCAAGCTAGACTCTATAGACCAAAGGTAGGGAATAGGATTCAAGCAGCCGAGCCAGCGAGTGAGCGTGCGTGCGTGCGTACATCCAACGCCGGTCCAACTCTGGCAAGGATCGACGCCCAGCGGCCCGCGTCGTGTCGGGGTGAACACGACCGACGACGAAGAAGAAGGGGATCGTACTTAAGTACGTGGCTCTTCGGCCAAAAGCATGACTGGTCTTTGATTCTAACCCGTCTTATCTTAATCTTCACTTGTACTTCTACTTTGTACTCCCTAGGGGACTGCAGCCATATGTCGTGGTTGAGAGTAACAAGATCCGGAACATACGTAGTTAAAAGAAAAACAAGGAATTCCAATGCCCCGATACCCATGCCAGAAAGACCACCACATATCAGGAAGAGAAGAAGAGAAGAAGAGAAGAAGAGAAGAAGAGAAGAAGAGAAGAAGAGAAGAAGAGAAGAAGAGAAGAAGAGAAGAAGAGAAGAAGAGAAGAAGAGAAGGAAAAGTAATATAAAAGGGGGGCAACCCGCTGTGCAAATCGGCCTTTCTGTCGGTGTATGTCCTTGAAGGAAAGTTTGATGCTTGCCCTGAACACACTCTGAACCCTCGGCTGGGAGGGGGGGGGGGGCATGGGCATTGGGAAAACTGACTCAAAACCACGACGAGAGGAAGACCTGCCCAGCCAAGCCTAGTTCAGACACTTTGCTCCTCTTCCTTCTCCTCGACTTCCTGTCTAGTACAGGGCAGGAAAGAACGGAGCACGACTATAGGAAGAAAAAAACAGACGATACCAGACCCACACAATCAAACGATCAAACAAACACATGGGTCCTTTGCTTTCCTTTCCTTTTCCCCCATTCCTCATCGACAGACCGGGCAAAGCAGCATAGAGAGAGAAGGTAGAAAGCGCACTGTTGGACTCTGCTGGTGGTGACCATGGGGGGCCCAAGAATCGGGAAGTGTTTGGAGAGGAAAAAGAGCTCTCGGTTGCTCGATTTCTTGCTTGCTTGATTGGATTCGTTCTCTATCTAGTTGTTTCAATATACCAACCAACAACACCCGCGCCCGACTACTAGTAGACACAGGACTTCTTCTTCCAACGGACTAGCTTGACCGTCACACCCCCATACGAGGCAATTTCTCTTCTCACACAATAAGACCCATCCCCTTGCCAATCTTGCGCACAAGCGCCTTCTTCAGGTACCACTCCCTGGCCAGGCTGCGCGTCGTCTTGGCAAACACCTGCGGGGACAGGTTGCCCCTCTCGACGGCGCGGCCGAGCACGAAGATTGCGTCACCCAGCGCGCGCTCCTCGGCGACCAGGTCGTACAGCTGGTTCCCCACGACTGTCGGCGCGACGAGCAGCTCGTCAATGTTGGGTTTTGGTTGGTTCTTGCTGTTGCTGATGACCGCGTCGGCCTCGCGCAGGGACGCCTGCAGGATCTGCGTGTTCGAGGCGAGCATGGCCGAGACCGGGGCCAGGGACGCCGCGTCCGACTGCAGGTTCTGCAGGGCCGCGAGCATGGCGTTCTTCTGCGCCGCGAGCCCTGCGAGGGACGTCTCGTTCTGCTGCCGCGCGTGCTGCCGCAGGTCATATAACGTCACGGCGAGCTGGCGCAGGAGGGCATCCTTTTCGGGGTTTGGCGGGATCGGTGGTGCTGCCGGCGCGTTGGAAGACGAGGGCAGAGCTAGAGTCAGGGGTTCGTCCATGATATCTGGCGGCGGCGGTGGTCGTTGCTGAATCTGCGCCGGCATTGGAGGAGGCTGTTGGTGCTGGGGGAAGCCGGGCCGCTGCCAACCCGGGGGAGGACCTGGGTAAGCTCCTGCTATTGTCGAGCCTGGAGGACTCTGTGCCGGCGAATCTCGATGCTGGTGTCCAACAGGCGGCGGGGGGCCGGCCGAATATCGTGGGTCTTGAGAGTTGAACTGGCCATGGCCCTGGAATGCAGGTGGAGGACTCTGCTGATGCGGAGGCGGACCATACTGCTGTTGTATAGGTCCGGCCTGAACATTCGGCGGAGGCTGTCCGAGTTGCTGCGGAGTGTGGTTGTGCTGCCGCTGCTGGTATTGCTGCGATTGATGTTGGTATTGGTGCTGATACTGAGGTGCTACTTGACTTGCTTGCTGATGTGGCAGAGGCGGCGCGCTGTCATATCTCGATGTGCTCATCTGGGGGGACTGTATGGAAGATGCCGAGTACGGGGCCGGCTGGCTCTGGCGATGACCCGGTGGCAGAGGTGGAAGAGGGGGACCATTCGGCCGTATGTTGTTGCCCTGGTCACCCTTCGGAGGCGGGGGTGGTGGTTTGTTGCCATAGTCGTGCACCTGAGAATGGGAGTGGCCCTGGTGACTAGGGGATGCTGTCGCCGAAGGATGAGGCGGTATTGGGGGTGGTGTCGGCGCAGCCGGTGCCTGAGCTTGGATTCCAGGCTGAGTCTGTGACGGACCTTGTGGCCTGGCGACCACGGGTGGCTCCTTTGCAAAGACGTCGCGAAGGATAGCGAGGAGGTCGGCGACGGAGGACTTGTCCCAGAAGCCCGGCCAAGCGGTCAGGTAGGGGTGATATACGCGGCCCTGGGGATCGACATGCTGGCCGGGGCGAACCATCATGGCCTCGTTGGGGGTGACGTAGACGAGGGGGGGCTCGCGCGGGTAGGCATGGGGCACCCAGATGGCGACGGGGAAGCGGTAGGTTGTGCCGCGGAAGACGACGGGGATGGTGCCCGAGAGGTGAAGGAGGAGGGCCGAGACGCCATTGTCAAAGGTGTGGGCATCGGTGCGCGGCGCGAGCGAGGGGTACTGGGCGAGGCAGGTCGCGACATCGTTGTATGTGCGGTTGACGTCGTGATACTCCTGGGAAGGGGGCAGTGTGAGCGGGCGGGCATACAAGGCATGGCATGGCATGGCATGGCATGGGGGCATTGAGGGACTGTGAGATCTGCTTACACTGGTCAGGACGCTGTAGAGCCAGTTGAGGACATGCTGCTGGACGGCCATGGCGTGCCCGTCGCAGCAAGGCTGCCTGGGCCGCAAGCGAGGTTGGTGAGCGGGAGGGGCAGTTGCAGCACGGCGAGCTAGCAGAGGGCGTATAGCATGGCGGGCCGGAGGGGAGGGGGCCGCGACCAGACAGCAGACACACGCGCGCGAGGGCTGCCTTGTCGAACAGCAGCAGGTGGGCGCTCTGTGTTGTGTTGCGATGCGTTGCGTTGCGATGCGGTTGGAGGGAGCGACGACGGCGATGCGGAGGAGCTGGTGTGGGGCACGTCGTTGGGTGGGCACGCTCAGTGGGTTCCAGCCTTGGAAGGTTTGGGCGGCCGGTGCGGGGGAGCACCCGCGCGACCACCCGCCCACCAAGAAGACTGAATTCACATGAGGATTTAATTAGTGTGCCTCGCTGGTGAGTCGGTCGTCGCACAGACAGCCAGTCCTTGGATTGGCTCGTCAGGGAAGGATCCCTCATGTAAGGTACGGCCCATTCAGCCGAGGTTACGTCATCCACTGCGCCGGTCGTCGGGGCCTCCTCGAGACTGCTTCCTCTCTTTGCAGGCCTTCATCGCGGAAAGCACGGGACCTCTGCTGCGGACTGCCAGGGCGGTATTCGGGGATGGGTGCAATGATGCACTCCAGGGTACCGTGATGGCGGCGGCAGTTGACAGGTGTTAACCGTCAATCCTCTCTTTGTCTCTCTCCCTTTCATATATGGCACAAGCAGCCAACTCTGCCAGCGTCAGTGTGATGCTCGTCGCAAAGCCCAAGGTTCTCTGACTTTCTCGAAAGAGCGCATAATAATAGACTTGTGGTGTGTGTGCCTGGTCTCGCCATTGTTTGTAAGCCGCCGAAGCTGGCGCGTTCCGACCGGCCGGTGGGTTCCGGCTGGCCGGAATGCGGCCGTTGGCTCCCCACCAAAAAGTCGGCACTGGACTGGCGCCTTGTCCCGCTTCTCGATTCTCGATTCTCCTCCCCTCTCTTCCTTTCTACAACAACCGCCCGCGCTCCAAAACGACGTCAGTTTCTCCCCGTCACCACGGCCTGCTCTCGCATGCCCACGCTCAAAGATTCTTCGCACGGCTGAGGAGTATCACAGCATCTGTCTGTATACTCCTTGCGTCAGGACTCAACCCCCCCACCCCCTCCTCGTTCGTCTCCTCCGTCACCACTACCCACCAGCACGGTTTCTCTGCTATACCACGGCAGCCACCTTTTGCGGCCCCTCGCCGAATCACACAGCGCCCACCGCTTCGCAGGAGTTATGCGCCCTCCGATCCCGAACCTCGCAGATTATGGAATCTCGCCAGAGCACGGCTTCCTACCCGAGGTCCTGCCTCTCGCTAGGCTCCCGGACCCCTACTACAACAAGTGGGAGGCAGTCGCGGCCAACCTGCAGTCGCTGATCCTCACCAAGCGCCTGCGCGGCGTCATCGACCGCCTGCCCGTCCTCTCCACCACTGGTCTGGAACACGACGCAGAGTGGAGGCGAGCCTACGTGCTCCTCACCTTCTTTGCCCACGGCTACATCTGGGGGGGTGACTCCCCCTGCGACCGCGTGCCGCCCAGCATCTCGGCCCCGCTGCTCGCCATCTGCGAGCACCTCGAGGTCCCGCCCGTCTCGACCTATGCCGCCTCGGTGCTCTGGAACTTCAAGCCCCTCTTCGTCGACGAGGGTGTCGACCAGCTCGACAACCTGGCCACCCTCGTCACCTTCTCGGGGTCCCTCGACGAGTCCTGGTTCTACCTCGTCTCGGTCGCCATCGAGGCCCGCGGCGGGCCCATCATCCCTCTGATGCTCGACGCCATCGCCGCCGCCCGCCAGGGCGACAGCGCAACCGTGACACGTTGCCTGCGCGCCTTTGCCGAGCGCCTCGACGATCTGGGCCAGCTGCTGCGCCGGATGCATGAAAACTGCGACCCGGCCTTCTTCTACAACAAGATCCGCACGTTCCTCGCGGGGAGCAAGAACATGGCCGACGCCGGCCTCCCGCACGGCGTCATGTGGGACGACGGCAGCGGCGAGTCCCAGTACGTCCAGTACAGCGGGCCCAGCAACGCCCAGAGCAGCCTGATCCAGTTCTTTGATGTGATTCTCGGCATCGAGCACCGCCCGACTGGCGAGAAGCAGCAACAGCAACAGCAGCAGCAGCAGCCTCCTCGGGGCGGGCCCCCGACGCACAACTTCATCCAGGACATGCGCAGGTACATGCCGGGACCCCACGCCCGCTTCCTGCGCGACGTCGGCGCCGTCGCCAACATCCGCGCCTTTGTCGAGGAGCACGGCGCCCGCGACCGGCCCCTGGCCATCGCGTACGACGCCTGCCTCGCCATGCTCCGCACCTTCCGGGACATCCACATCGCCATCGTCACCCGCTACATTGTCCTGCAGTCCCGCCAGGTCCGCGCGCGCAGCCGCTCCCGCAGCCCCGAGGCCGTTCGCGGTCGCGGGCCTGCAGCAGCAACAGCAGCAGCAACAACAACAGCAGCCACGACAACAAAGGCCGCTACGACAACAAACCTCGCAACAGCCTCCAGCAAGACGGCACAGTCCAGCGTCAAGGGAACAGGCGGGACCTCGCTGATCCCTTTCCTCAAGCAGGCCCGCGACGAGACCGGCGAGCCCGCCGTCGGCGCCTGGGCGCGCCGCTTCATGAGCAGGCAGACCAAGGTCTCCGGGCAGAACGACTTCTTCCTGGGCAAGGACGAGCAGGACCTCGTGCTGCTGGAGCAGCCCGTTGTGGAGCACGGGCTCGCGGGCACGTGGACTATCGATGATGACGTCGGCGGGATCTGTCATTACTGAAAGGCATTTTCCTTTTTGTCGTCGTTGTCGTCGTTGTTGTTGTCGACGGGTCGGGGGACATCGCGGGATTGACCGTTTCGTGAGCAGTACGATGTAATGTGCTCAGTAGCAGAAAGCGGCTTTTCAGCCGCGAAACGTTCGTTCAAGTGAAGACTTATATAGCTGCGTGGAATTGCACTTTATACATGATGAGCAGAGGTCGATGTCTAAATTGCTTCCTGGTGACATGCACCCCTGGCTTTTGGAAATTGGGTAGTGTCATTTCGCGTTTTACCACCAACAGCACTTCTAGTGGTGAATTTTTGTACTCGCAACCTTATGGAAAGTGCATGTCTACAATGAGGCCTACGTGTCATTTGCCAGTCCAAGAAGTTGAAGCATAAGAGATATCGTGTTTGGATTGTCTAAAAGTGATTGGAGCGACAAGTACAGTGTATAAGTACTAAGCGTACATATGTTGAGAGCCATTTCGAAGTGGTCTCAAGCTGGTCTCTTTCCTTTTCCCGGTTCATGAGGGCCTTGCAAAGTAACGATAGCTACGGGCAAATCAACACACCCAATGGGACGATTGTCTCCTGGCCGCGATCAGCAGGATCTATGGCAGCCACTGCTACCTCCCCTGCCGAGAGACCTCATACTCGTTGTCTTGTCCTTGTACATGTTGACAATCTTCTTGACTTGACCAGGTCGGCGAGGCTTGGGCTCTTGGATCGTGCCAAGGTCGGCATGCCGGACTGCAAATCCAGAGTCGGTCTTGCTGGTCCAGACGCGCTCTTTGTGCGGATTGGTCTTGCCGACATCTCGCCTCGCACTACTGTCCATCCTCAACATACTCCGCACTCGTCGGGCAATGCCCTGAGAGTTGCTGGCACTTGGGGTTGCCGTGTGGGTAAGTGTTGAAAGGTCTCCCTGGACGGGTTCCGGGTATAGCGTTCGATCTCTGGCAATTAGCTCTTCCTGCTTCTGCTTCGATCTTTCACGTTTGAGACGCCTGCGGTGTTCCTTGGGGGCACTGTGCTTCTTGCGGATACGTGAGAGAGCGTCGTTGTCACCAGCGGAGTGCTGGGCCACTTCAGATATGCTAGCGGCGTGGGTTGAGGAAGATGTTTCCGTAGGGCCGCCGCTGGTCTTCCTGATGCCGCGGAATTGGAAATTCCCATCCATGCCAAACTGGAAATTACTGGGCATATGCATGACCAAGGAACCAGAAACACGGCGCAGCAGGCCAAAACTGCGTCGGCTGGCTGACTGAACATTTGAAGTAGGCGCTTGGCAGGGTTTTACCTTTCCGAGTACGCCAAGGCTATTCAAGCTTGTTGCGTGCTTCGCAGGTGACCCCCTCCATTCGTGCTGTAAATACTCAAACAAGCAGATCTTCTCCCTGACAGGCGAGTGCTGTACCTCGTCGCTGTCCCGAGAGCTTATCAAAGAACTGGTTGACCATGAATTCAGTGAAGCCCGCGGCGTTGCCAAAGACTCTCCAACCTTGAGTGTGGGATTCGGAAGTGCTGGGGCTGTCTGGGTTGTGCTGATTAATGGTCGGGTTGATGAACCAAGTCTATGAAACAGACTCCAGGCTAAGGGTGATGGGTCCGAGTGCTCAAGCCAATCGCTTCCTTCTGAGAAGCTCTGCCAGCCCTGTTTAGACCCAAGTTCTCCAGCGCTGTCAAAAGGATGACTACCCAGCGTACGTCTTGACCACGGGGACACGTGGGAATTCTGCAGCTCCCTGACACTTTGACTGTCATTTGCTGATAATGATAAGGAACACATCTGGGCATTCCGGTCGCCACCAGTTACGTCATACTTTGTCGGTTTTGCGTTGTGGAATCGGGATCTACCAGGCTCATTTTCCCCCGGCTGCGTAGGCGAATATGAGTTCAATATGGCACGCTCTGGTGTGTGCATTTTGCGACTGCTTGCGTTGACCAATCTTTCGTGTGGCACCACTGGTTCATATGATGATACTTTAGTTGCATGGCTAGCGGATTCTCTAGTCGGTCCTTTCAGGATGCGTGACGCCTGTCGAACAGAGACATGGTCGTCGTTCGCGCTCCTGGGCTCCATGTAAACAGTATCCGGCATCGAGACACCGGGGATGGACACCCGAGCTTCGTGGTAGGAATCAAAGCCAACACCGTCAAGTGTTTGCCGTACTCCTGTCTGGGAGCTTCGTTCTTGCTCATGTGGGGTATTGTGTAAGGCAGCAGTCGCGGCAACGGTCTTCCCACTAGTGAAGCTGGACGGCCTTGCAGCACCACCCTGTCGTTGCTGGTGCGAATATTTCGGTGGCATCTTAAGCTCGAAAGACTTGCGTAAGTCTGCCACGCTCGGTCTTTGCCCTCTTGGCGGCATGCTCTGCTTTTGCACAGCACGGGCCGAGATGGTCGCCTGACCCGGTTGGTACGGCATTCGAAAAGGGTCAACGTCTATCGATTCTTGGCGGGGCGCCTGTGTCTTTGCTGTGGCATACCAATCGACATGCTCCCTTCTCCTCTGGGCGTGACTGCCATCATGCGTGTCGAGCAAGCCTCGCCACGCGTAGATGTCGTCCGGCTCGGAAGGTGGGTTCCGTGCTAGCTCTAGATCTTGGTCCCAAACTTTGTCTGGACTCCATTCTGGTTTTCCGCCAGTTAGTACTCTTCATCCACGGGAAGAAATGGACCCCCAACTACATACCTGACTCATGTGAAGATCTTCTTGTCTGGCCGGGTGGTAGCAGTAGATTCTCGCCACGACTTGCCATGTATGGACCTCCTGCAACGGGCTCTTGCACATGGGTGGCTATCTCCAGAGCAAGACGACTGTCTCCGTGGTAATAGTGTTTGCGAAGAGGACTGGAATCGTCTGGCAACTTCGAGCCGGCCGGCTCGGATAAAGATTTGCCCAGTCTTTGCGGCCGCTCCTAGCTGCCTGGGCTGATCAACATCGCAGAGCTTTGACCAGCGGATGAACGAAGTCGCTGACTTGGACGGTTAACTCGATAAGGAGAGAGCTCGATCGAGTGCCGACTGGCGCCTGCCATCCGGCCAGCAGCCGGTGGGACATGTCGGTTCTCCCTAGGATATGCCGTACCGGGAAGAAAACTGGACTGTGCCGATGCTGCGTCGGCCGTGCTCACGGCATCGAGCATCTCAAACTTTGAGATGATGGAGCCGAGGCGAGAGGCAACGGAACGCCGTTTTGGGGCCAGACCAGCGCTGGGGGCAGTTACGCCGCCTTTGGCCGTTGCGGCTTCTGCATGTTCAGGGCCTGGCGGGCTAGCAGTGGCTCGAGCGGGATTGCGTGGAGGGATCGTGAGCGGTGCTGGCCTGAGGGAAGAGGGCAACGGGCGGCGGGCGTTGTCGGAGCCAAAGCTCGACTCGGAAAGGTCGAGAGGCGACGCCATAAGCTAGCAACCGGGCGGCGGGCCACACGCACGTGGGATATGCTGTATTCCGACGACTAGCCAAGGGAGCCAAAAAAAAGCTGTGAGGTAGCAAGCAAGCAAGCCATGCAGAGTTGCATGGCGGTCCATCTTGTCAGATTGCGCCACGACGTAATTACAGGCAGCCACGAGACACCTGGATGCGTGCGTCGCTCCAAGGGAAGGAGCAACCTGCGTGCTTGCCTGGCTGCAACTTGAAGCATCGTATGCGTGTCAACGCGTGCCCAGGTGCGCACCTGGGCATCATTGGGTCGAGAGCAAAACCTTAGAGGCCATCTGACGTCGTCAGTTGCATCAATCTATCAATCAATCATATCGCCGCCACCGCAGGTTCATCCCCGGGGCGCCACAGGAACAACAACAATGTCTCATGCCACCGCAGGGTCTCGCGGAGCGAGCAACGTCACCTCAGACTTCTGACGACTCTCGACCGAGTGCCACCGACAAGAGGACTCCCACTCCATGACCGAATGCAACGACCCGGGGCCACCATTTGCTCATCTTGACGTCGCGCCGCGCGTCCGACCGGGCGACTCATTGCATCACACGTCCATCGGCCCAGCTCCGCAGTCTCTGCTGCCGCATTGCTCATGCCTGATCGCATCGTGCGACTTTATCCGTGCTGACCCGATTGCGATGCGATTAAGCTCGCAGGGTCGAGGCTGCCGATCACCCCCAAGCTCCGCTCCGGCCCGCCGCTCCCGCCTGTCACTGCCGCCTGTCAATCGTGCAGCTTGCATGCCTCCACATTAGGGCCGGCTTATCCTGCCCGGACCACAGTCCAAGGTGGCTCTAGGTACGTACTCTCGTGGAACCTCAAGTGCCTAGACCTACAACGACGACGACGACGACGCACAAATTTCCAGCGCGCTCATTCTTGCTGCCGTTGCACAGGCCTCGTTTCGCTGCTTCATGCCCGGAAGCCTCCTTCTGGAAATTCTCTGTCCTCCTCCATCATGCCGACAAGCTTCACTCTGCTGTGGCTGACTCGGCACCCCTGCTCGGATAGACTTTCGAGGTCGGCCTCTTTTTGTCATACCTGCAGGCCACGCCTTCCACGAGGCCGACATTGTCCGCAAGGCTCGTCTTCTGTCCTCCTCATCAAGGTTTCGGCGCTTGTGCCACGGTGACATCGCCTCGGCCGTTCTCTGGGCGGTGCCTCCAGCCTGGCTGGATTGTCTTCTATGTGCCAAAAGTTCCACAAACCCTTCGTACTGATCTTCTTGACATGGCACCGTCTGAACCTTGTCCTCGGTAGATATGACGCCAACCGAGTCGAGCTCGAAGCTCCCTGACGCTAACTCGAGGCGTACAGACCTAATGACTAACTACTGTCTCAGATATTACCACGTCGAGCCGAGACATTCACTAGCACCAAACGTCTAAGTTTCCTCACCGCGCCCTCAATCCATTGCACCGTAGCCGCCTTATTTCTCTCGTCAACGTGCACTCGAGGCTACGCTCGACGTCACACAGACTTGACGGTCGCTCTCGAGGTCTCAGCCTCATTCACAGAATCCCGGCATCGTGGGTCACAAACTTTTGGGCTAGAACCCTGGGCAACGGAGGAGCGTCTCCTGCCTGCACGTCCACGAGCTTGCCGACAGTAACACGCAGCCATGTCGGCAAGGAACAACAGCACGAGCCTATTCGCTGGTGGGCAAACTTCTGGGCTCGGCCACTATCGGGACTTGTCGAGTGGCGGCAAGCCGCCTGCAAGCATGGGACACAGCCATTCTCTCGGCCCCTAGACGTCAGCCCAGGTGGACTGAGACCAACATGTTTGCCATTTGAGACCTCCTCGCGCCCTGAGCCACAAGGGGTCCGGTCTCACTTTTTACATATAAAGAAAGAGCCGCCCGCGACTCAAAGTGGAAATGATGTGAGATTCGTGTCCCAATCCATTTTCGCAACTCCTTCTTCACCAGCTTCTTCTTGTTCTTCTTCTTCGCATCACTCCTTTTCATGATGTATGCCTCTTTTACGTCCCGTGCGGCCCTGGTCAGCCTGGCCTGCCTGGTTGCCCGGGTCAGCGCCTTCTGGCGTCTACCATGCGGCGCGCCGTTGATCGTTGAGCGATCTGACCCCATCGTCAGCCCGGGCAGACCCTCTGGCCACTCGCACACCATCATGGGTGCAAACTCATTCAACTACACCATGGACGGCGACTACACATCGCGCGCAACATGTACGACATGCAAGGTGAAGGAAGACTTATCCAACTATTGGTTTCCGAACCTCTACTTCCAAGGCGCCGATGGCTCCTTCACGCCTGTCAAGCAGACTGGAGGTGCTCTCGTTTACTACCTGTAGGTTTGGGCCCCAACCAGCTCCATAGGAATGCTCGCTGACTCCACCAAGGCAACGACAAGACAAGAAAGATCCCGAGTACTCCAAAGGGCTTATTGCGTTTCCAGAAGGATTCCGCATGCTCGCGGGTAATCCTTCGCTGCGGAGTTATAGCAACACCCTGGCGCAGAGAGCGGTCAACTACGTCTGCTTGGGTAACGAGGGACCGCATACCAACTCTATTCCCAACAAGAATTGCCCCGGTGGCCTGCGTTCACAGATTGTCTTCCCGTCGTGCTGGAACGGGAAGGACCTCGATTCTCCAAACCACCAATCGCACATGGCATACCCCAGCTTGATGGACAACGGCTACTGTCCACCCACGCACCCGAAGCGTTTCATCACTGTCTTTGTCGAAATTATCTGGGAGATCGACGCCTTCAAGGACAAGTGGCCTACGCCCGGCAAGCATCCTTTCGTATTCTCAAACGGCGACCCGACCGGCTACGGATATCATGGAGATTTTGTCAACGGCTGGGATGTTGACGTTCTGCAGAAAGCCATCACCACCTGCACAGACTCTAGTGGTATTATTGAGTACTGCAAGGCATTCACTCTGCTACCGAACAGCGGCATGAATACCTGCAAGAAGCTCCCTCACGTACAGGAGAGCGTGCTTGACAGCAACATGAAGGCTCTCCCGGGCTGCAACCCGGTCCAGCCAGGCCCGGGCCCTGCGCAGCCACCACCTGCGTGCGGTGCGGCAACCGCCATCCCGCCCGACCCGATAGCACCGTACACAGACGTCATAGACACCAAGAAGTGGCGATACCTGGCTTGCGGCATTGACGGTGGCAGCCTGCCTGGCCGCACCCTCTCAGGCGCCTCGTACGCCAAGTCAGACAACACCGTCGAGAAGTGCATTGACTTTTGCCAGGGCAAAGGTTTCCGCTACGCAGGCGTTGAATACAAGTCTGAGTGCTTCTGCGGCAACAACTTGGCCAGCAACCGGTTGCCCAAGGAAGGCTCGCTTGGCGCTTGCAACAACCGGTGCTCGGGAAATTCGAAGCAATTTTGTGGCGGCTATGGCTACATTGGCATCTATGAGAACTGCAGTCGCGTCAACGGTACCTGCGAGAATCAGCAGTTGCCGCAGTGGTAGCTGTGGCGAGTGGCGTGTTTCTTGATTTTCCTTTTCCTGTACAGATCGTTTTGCGCACAGACGCCAATGCCAGTCAGGTTAATATCAGAGGACTGCTTCTATCCCGCTTGCCACTGCCTGCCACGCACGCAAACGCCGTGTTCGCGACGCGATGTCTCAGTCACAAACGTGGTTGTGGGTCAAAGTCAGGACTGGGGAGATTGGCTGGAATGTGGCCGACGCGGGACTACTTGAGACATGAGGTTCGTTCGTTCGAAACAGCAACCTCCACACGCGCAGAGGTGGCGGCAAGTGCTTTAAAGTCCTTTCTCTGGGCTTCTTTTCAGCCCTGCTTGGCAGCGCAGCTCGATGTCGCTGTTCGGAACAGTTTTGTCCCCTGGCTTTGTTTTTTTGGGGTCGTTCTTTTGTTTTCACCCTCTAATACTTGGCAAATTTGTCGTCCGATTATCTCTGCCTCCATGTCGTCTGATGGGGATTGCGTCCTGCTTGCTAGCTCATCACTTTTGTACACAGGGATGGAGTTCTACATATTCTTTCCGTCAAGACTTACCTAGGCTACACGGCCTGGCGCTATTCGTCGTCACCCTAGCTTCATAGACGTGGATAGCCACGCAGACTAGCAAACAATTTACACTCCCTTGGACAAACAACGCTGTCGACCACGATCGGTGTACCTTTTCTTTTTTTTCGGTTTCGCCCTTCGGCTCGTCCCCATGCATGCATGCATTCACGCACGCACCAATAAATTGACTGCAGATTGAGTGCGTGCACTGATTTGGGTCTGGTACGCTTATCGTGCAGCTGCATGTGCCTTGTATGGACGGAGAGACTCGGTCCCTGGCGGCGGCTGTGTGTGCGTGTCTCAGATCTTTGGCCTTCCCGGGGATTGCAAATCATCACTGGGGACTCGATTAAGCTGTCTTTTTTGTAGCTTAAAGCCGAGCCGTCGCGCGCCTCCCTCTCGTCTATTCCCGCTCCATTGAATCTGCAAGCCAACTGTGTGCTCGTGGCATGCGGAATAACCAACATACATACATACGTACGTACGTACACCTTGCTTTTTATCCTGAGCCTCAGCTTGTCAAGCCCCCTCTGTACCTTGAGATGGGCTTTAACGTGCTCCTGGTGTGATCCCCTCCTGCCAGCGCCAAATGTGTAAGAAGGAGGGTGCATGAAGCATCATGCCGGCCGGAGAGATGCCCGGGAGTGGAGTTTCAAGAAGGCGATTCTTTTTTTCTCTCTCTCGGAGGCAAGTCTTGCATGGCTCAAAAGCAGCTGCCCAGAAGACAAAACCAACTGCATGCATTATGAGGCGAGCTGCTTCCGTGGGGGCGCGCGGCGCTGGTCCCGTCTGATGCAGATTGATTCGCTGAGAGGACACCAACCACTGCTACAAATCATGCATGCGTGCGTACATGCATGCATGCATGCACGCAAGTCCCAAGAACTACAAGAATGCAGGAAAGCCAAAGAAAGGGCTGCCAATACCTGGATCCCGGAACGAAGGGGAGGGGGAGCGGAGAGGGGGGCGGGAACGAACAATGGGATTCTTATTGTTCTGGTTCCCCTTCCCTCCGTCGGTCTTGTGTGAGCCCCTCCTCCCCTTGCCACGCGGACCTATTTGCCCGTTTTGCTTCCGGTGAGTCAAGGACCCTTGGCAACCTTTTTAGCATGTCTCTCTCTTTCTTGTTGTCTCTGATCTCTCTCACTCTCTCTTTCTCTTGCCACGCTGGCTGACTTACTGGATGACGGGTAGATCTGGGTTTGGAGCGTGACTCACACACACGCTCACACACACGCTCGGACAGCGAGCGCGCGAAAGAGAGACAGAGGGGACTTTGCGAGAAGTTACCGGCGCCGTGGGTTCCGCTGCCCTCGCAGATCATTCCGTGCTCGGACACGCACGCTTCTGTGGAAGGGGACAACAAAGAGGTGGCTTGGTTCACGTCAACCCCCGATGGTGGCGCATTCCTTCGGTTGACAGCACCACAAGCCACAGCTCCCAGCCTTTTGGTCAGCAATCCTTTTGATAGGAATGTCCAGAGCAGGGTGGTGTGGCGAGTGACTCTCCATGTTTCCCGGGCAGCTACATATTCGTCCTTTTGGCAAGGACGCGGCCACATCTGTCAGGTTTCATGACGCCGTTGCATACTTGTTTGAGTGCTTGTGGAAAAGACTCGTTCGTTGGAGGTGGTTGAAGCAGGCCCTCTTGCTGCTGTTATTTCTGCTGCTGCTGTTTTTTCTGCCTCCTTGCAGTGCTCACTTTGCTCCTTTTGTGAAACAGTGTCATCATGACCTTTGCCATTGCGCACCCGGCTCGGCGGCTCTCGGTCAGAGCCAGCCACAATCCATACAGGACCAGAACCGTTTTGCTCCTCCAAAGTTCCCCTTCTTGCAGAGACCAACCCGTGATGAGCGGTCTGCGCTGTGTGCGTGCATCTGTGTGTGTATCATCCCTCGCGTCGTCTTCGTTTCCACTTTTTGTTCTAATTCCGCGCGTCAAACGGGCGGGCGGGCGAGACCGGATCAGGGCATTGTTTGTCTACTCGCCGGCTTGCTTTGCTTACTTTTCGGCAAGGCTTCAAGACCCTGATCGAGGTTTATCTCGACTCGCATCTCTCCGCGACCGCATGCGGCGAGACATCCGCTCACCGATAGATCCAACGTCCCTCGTCGTCGCCGTCATGGAACCCTCGAGCGGAAAGAAAAAGGAAAAAAAAAAAAGACACTGGACTTTGCCATGTGCAGGTTTTGTGCAGGAGGATGGCAAAACCCCCTGAGTCATGAGATGGGCGTGGCCGCTGGTTACAGGTCGTCATGTCTGGGAGAGAACTCCCGCCTGTCTGCCTACTTGAGGACTTCCATGACAGCCTACCTTGCCACTGCCTCCATTTTCGGACAGTACCTCCCGGGTGGGCACACACACAGAGCACTAGAAACGGCATATTGCCACCAGCTGGATGGCCGAGTATGGCTGCGTCTGTCGGTCATCTTCTGCTCTTATGGGACTCGCCTATCACGGTGCTACAAGGGTGGTCCGGTCGGAGCATCCGGCCCGGCCCGAGAGTGCACATCAACTTGGGTCTGATCTAATGCTAAGTCACATGCCAACCACAAAATTGCTTGCTAGTACTCTCTTTTTGGGCAGCTCATCTATCTTATCAAGTGAGGGTGCATGAGTGCCCAGGTGTTTCCAGGTGTTTCAGAATAGAACATACACAGTCACATGTTGATAGACCCCGTCCTTGACTACCGCCAAGACCATACATCACCAGTATCTACCTCAAGTCTCCAGTCAATAACACTCCGCCCTGTAAAACAAAGGGGATTTCCAGCTTGTTTGTCAGCTATGAAAACAATCGATATCTCCTTCTGGCATTCCACGCATATCCTCAGACTCTTTTGGAGAACGCATAAACTATCATACTCGTGACGAACTCAAAACGCCGGGCGAGAAAATGTTAAAGATGGTCTTGCAACCCCCCCCCGTCACGTCATCAGCCCGGCTTGCGACTTGTCCCGCACATTTGACTTGGACGTTTGAAGCTGCCGCCACCCTTTTAACCCTTACCGAAACAGGGAGGGAATCATTGAAACATATCCGATGGAATGCCACTTCCGGTCGGACCTCGCATTCTTCAACACGCTCGAGGGGAGGAAGAGACATCGCTCGCTGCGGCGGCTTGTGCATGCCATGGCCTGCAGTGAGAGAAGGGGGACCATGACAACAGTAGATCGTGCCAACCAACAAGTCCCAGTTGCTGCCAACATCTAGGAAAGAAAAGATATCGCTCTTCGTGACGGGGACCTCTAAATACGTGGCGAACTTCTGCCAGGCAGGCAGGCAGGCAGGCAGGCAGGCAGGCAGGCGAGGAGAAAAAAAAGCCACTTGACAGTAAATCTATCCCAAAAGGCCGTCACCGGTGTCAAAGGAACAGAGTTTCGCAGAGTTCGATCCTTAGGAAATCTCCCCTTGTAGTGTTTAATTGACATGAAGAACACTTTGACGGACACAGGACCGAGCTGTTCGGCACACCCATCAAGTTCACTTGCAAGAAGAAGAAGAAGAAAAAGATCGAACATGGACAGCCAGGATTCTCTGCCCGAATGCTGGTGAACCTCGACGGAGATGGCACAAAGAAGCAGCATGCCCGCAGTCTTGCACAGTTGTTTACCTCCATGGCGCCACCAAGATCCACCACAACCCATATCCTTTGGAGAAGGAACTATACCAACGCCGCAAGCGTTAAGAGTACATTATTTCCTGGTTTTTGGAACTTTATCCCTACAACCCCTTCTTGTGGTTTGATCAGCATGTCACAACAGAGATGGGCGAGACATGCGAAAGTCTGGAGGCCACTTCAAAACGCGGAAGGCAGATGACGCAAGGGCGGCCCACTCATTCGCTCTTCCTCAGTCGGATTGGCAAAGGAAAATAAATAAACACGACTTCACACACACCTGGAGACGAAGAAGATAGTTACTTTAAAACTTCAGTATGTGCCGAGGTTGCTGAGCCAGCGAGGCTGAGACCTGTCAGGCCATTTAGGCCCACTAGGACAATAGAACAAAGACAAAGTGCTGGCCATGACAAAAAAGACATAATGACGAGATGGTCCGGAGCTTCGGTACCACCCGGTATCAAACGCCACTTTGCATTTCTCGTCATTCTTGTTGTTAGATATGTGGAGGGCCTTTATCACCAAAGGGCCCCCTTAAATTTCTTCATATATAGTTCTCTCTCTGAGCCTTGTTGGCCCACACTGGCCTGTCTGGCATGTCCATGGCCAGGAGATAGATGCCTGGTAAACAGATGTACTTCCGTTCTTGGTATTAACGCCGTTGTATATGTGTCTTTGCACAAATCATTCATTCAATCAGCCAGGAATGGCCGTCTCTTCCCGACTTGCTGCTCAAGGGATAAAGAAAAACCAAAAACCAAAAACCAAAAAAAAAAACCAAGGAAAATATCCGATCCGCTAAAGTTTCTTGCAAAAGCACACACGCACACCCTCTTTTTTCATTTCTACCACTTGAGCACCCGCTCGGGGAAGAACTCGTCAATGAGCTCCATGTAGTACGGCTTGAGCTTCTCGACGTCCGGGACGCCGTCGCTCTTGCTGTAGAGGTCGTACGGGTTGAACTCCTTGACGGCGGCGAGCATCTTCTCGTCGTGGCCCTCGAGGTCCATGAGGTGGCGGTACGCGCCCTCCTTGTGCCAGGGGTAGAACGAGTGGTAGCGGATCATGGCGAGCGCCTCGGCGGGCAGGGTGCTCTGGTCTTTGACGACGTGGTAGAGGTACTCGTCGTGGCCCCACGAGAGCATGACGTTGTCGAGCCCGCAGTTGGGCGTGTAGACGCCCAGCTCGGTGGCGTAGATGGGGTCCTGGGAGTCCGGGTTGGCGGCAAAGGTGCCCGGGTAGATGATCCTCTCGTCAAAGGCGCAGCCGACGGGGAAGGTGTCGCCGACGACGTCCCACTGGCCCTCGGAGCCGTAGAAGAAGAGCAGCTTGCCGAGGTCGTGGATGAGGCCCGTGACCTGCATCCAGCGGGGCTGGCCGTCCCGGCGCATGGCCTCGGCGGACTGCAGCAGGTGCTGGATCTGGGAGAGGCTCGTGTCCGGGTCCGAGTCGTCGATGAGCGTGTTGAGCTTCTCCATGGCCTCCCAGATGGTCATCTCGACGGGCTTCCGGTGCTTGTAGTGGTTGCGGGCCTTGAGGTTGTAGGCGACCGTCTGCTTGGTGTGCTGCTCGAGGTAGAAGTTCTTGACCCGGTCGCAGGCGTCCTCGTATTGCCTGAACTGTGTCTTGTCCTTCCCGTCGGCAAAGTTGGTCTTGCCCTTGATGACATTGACGGCGTCAATGTTGTCCGAGGTCTCCTCGAGCTGCAGGCCATCACGGCTGCTCGTGTCGTCGACGAGAATTCCGGGAGCCATGGCGAGTGATGGGTTTCCGTTATAGTGTGCTTCTGATGTGTTACGTTTGAAAAAAAAAACTGTCTCCAAGTACTTTCACGAAGTGCTCGCAGCAAGTGCTGAGAGCAGGTAAAGAAGAGGAGAGAGCAGGAGGAGGAGGATGTAGAATGGATTGTTTCAATGGTCTCCGCGCACACCAAGAGGCACAAGAGACCACGAGCTGGCGGGGTTGATATAGGTCACATCATTCTTTGGCCATGCCGCCGAGCTCATCTGATTCTGCATGTCCATCCGCGGGTGTTTGCAACGGGATACCCCACGGCGGCGGCGGCATCATCGCCGTCTAGAAGCCCCGGTGCGTGGGTTGGCTGGAGGCATTCTGGGGCAAAATCGCCGACTTTGGCTCGGCACAGGTACGTTGGATCCCTACGGTCCACTAAACCATCTGCCGTGCCAATGAGCAGCGCAGCCTCCTCCCCACGACAACCCCTTCGGCCTGCCAAAATGCCCGGGTCTTGGGGTCCAGGGCTGGCTCTTTTCCGCCAGTCGCAGATTCTGCATTTCCACGAGGCCCCAGCCTAGCGCCTGCACTGCTACTCTGCGGGCCGCTGTTCTGTGGACGCGAGACGCCACTGCTTCGTGGCTTGTCCACTGGCCAGCTGTTTTTCCGACGGAGCGAGGCCTGCAAAGCCAGTAGTAGTGGACGTACGTCGAGTCTCATTTCGCCCTGCTTTGCCCATTCCGGAGCCGGCCTTACCCACCCTGCGTGGTACGTCATGCGGGCAACTAAACTTTTCTTGCCCGCCGCGTATTACTGCGTACAAGCAGCCACTCTACGTCGACTGTTTTCCTGGCTGCAAAGAATTACGACTTTGGGCTTCGCGGGTATTGTGCCTCGAGATGAGGCGGGCTTCTGGAGCACAAGCTGAACGTTCAATGAAGGACCATCATTCGAAGCCACCGTCGTAATCACGACTACTGTGCACGTCCTCATCGATGATCAGCCATTGGCCTGTCTGCGCTTGTCCAGCCCCATGCATGCTTGAGTTGGAGGCGTATTGCCGTCGTCGGCCTGGCATGGTCGTCCTCGGTCTTGCGTAGCAGCCCGATCAGAGCGTCCTGATCAGCCGGCTCGCTGAACTCGTCACCGACTGGCATCACGGACAAACAATTAGTCCTATTTTGGCACAGGTTCAGGTCTCCCTGTCAAAAGAAAAGGGAAAGTAATGCTTACACATGGCAATGCCCATGCAGGCTGTGAACATGGCGGGCGGGCTCCACTGGTTGCACAGGCCAATGCCACACAATTCTCGTACGAGGTGCTCGATGCGTTCCTGCCCGACAACCTCTGTTTCAGCGGTCTCTTTTTCGCTAGGCATGACTGCATTGGTCGACCTACCTGAGCTCGCACCATCGCTGCTCGCCGATTCAGCCCAACTTGGGGGATGCTGGGGTCAAACTGGGTCAAGAAGAGTTGCGCGAGCATGTGGTGCTGTATCCCAATGACTAGACATCATCAAATGGATAGGATTAGCAATGTACAGGCCCAGCGGTAGCCGTCAATTTTCGTCCAAACCATACATACCATGACAACTCGAGCCATGCCAGATCTCGGGAAACACATTCGCAGCGGAACGCTCCTTGTAGAAAAAGGGGTTAAACGAGACGGGCCTGGCATCCGTCCACTTCCGCGAAGCCTCGTCAAGGGCCAGCCACCGGTCTTTCTTGGATTGGGCATTCTCGCCGAAGCAGAAGTTGAGCACATCAGCCAGGTGCACCACTGCGCGATTCGACCAGGTGTAGTCGTCCGTTGGCTCGAACGACCGATCAACGATGTGGTGGTTGAGGTTCATCTTGACCGGCTGCTGCGTAATGACTGCAATGTAAATCTCCTGGCGGAGTCCGACCCAGAAGGACGCGGCACTCAGAGTGCCCGGATTCATGTATTGATCGCCGACATTGACAAAAGCCTGAATGCCCAGCAAGTGCCCATGACTATCGTGACCAGTATGCGACCCTGCAAATCTCGTGTCAGCAATAAATGAAGCCAAGCCATTTTCGCCGAAACAGTGTCCTTCGACTCACCATCCATCTCCTCAAGCATCCGCAGGATCACTGTGGCGGCGAAGAGGTTCTCATCAGACAGACTCGAGGCGTCACTCAGCATCGGCGTCAGATACTTGAGGCATTCGTCCAGGTACATGTTTGAGATCAATGGGTCAAAGTCTGTGGTGTGGCTTAGGTGCCGTGCTGCAATAGCAAAGATCGAGTTTAGCAGCATGTGGCAATGGCTTGCACGATGTGGCACGACCAACTCAAAGTGCCGCATGGGGTCGCAAAGATCGAGCTGGTTGTTCGAAAGGCAAACTTTAGTCATCGCAGATATCACGTTGGCAAAGCGACATGCGGATACATGAGAAAACTTACACATGTCGCCAGCTTTTGGATGTAGTGGCGAAAGAGCAGAGCTTCAGTCCTGTTCCTCAAAGGCAGATCCGAAGACATTGAATACATCGGCGACGCCCCGCCACCCAGGCGCTGTCCCCAGGTGTCCCTCGGATCATGGAGATTGCGCACATCGAAAGGGCTGTGCGAGCCATTCGTACGGAGACGGATCTCCTGCTGGAGTTCCGTGAACTGAGCAGACGTCTCCCTACTCGAGGCTGAAGGCCTCACGGGATCTTCGCGGTCGTCCAGGAGCTCGGCTATCGATCCTTGTGGCGGCCGATATGGCGCTCGTTGCACTGGCTTGTTGGGCATTTGTTGTTTCTGGGCTTCACGTGACGGCTGCTCTGTCGAGCTCGTCATCTGGGCGAAGTCGGTCATCCAGGCATCATCTTGGATATCACCAGGAAAATCCTCTTCGGCCTCTTCAACTGAGCCACCGCCAGCCACGACCTCTGTCTCGTCGACATATCTGACTGCGAACCCCCATGTGCAAGTAAGCATGCGGTACGGAAATCGACAGGCGTCTTTAGACTCCATTCGGCCCACCCCAGGGGAACCTACATTTCCTCGGAAGCTTCACCCATTTCTGGTGCGTCACGAAAGAGCCTAGACCGCCATGCAAAATTAGCTTGATAAGTTCCAACAGAGTCATGCCGATTGTCTGCCTACCTTTGCTGGACTTGAACTTGAATGCGAGCCTGCAGTCATACCCAGCCCGCACGCAGCGACCACATTTGGGAACCGCCCGATCACCTGGACGCGCAGAGAAGCTGTCAGCCCAACGGCCATCTTCACGGAATGCCATGGAGCGCTCATTCTGGGAAGATTAATGGGGCCACGTTCTTACATTTGAGGTGATTCTCGCGACACGTCTCGCTATAGAAAGTTCTCCTAATTAGTCTCAAAGTTCCCGTTTCAATCTGCATCGAACCTCATCACTTTGTGGGCAGGCTGCATTTGATAGGGGGGGGGGGGTGCCATCTGTGCCGTGGAGGTTGTTGTCCCATGACGGAGAATCACCAACCGGCCGGACCCCCATGCGAGCGCGCTTTTGGAGCGAAGAGTGTAAAGCTTACCACGGCGTCGCGAGCAGGTCAGACTGTTCCGTCGAGGGCATCTCGCCGAAAGCCGCTGCCAACCGCCTCGGGGCGGGGGTTCCTCCGCTGTCGTTACGGCTTCTGTGACCCTGCACATCCACGATGGCCAGCCAGTCCTCCCTCACACTACAGGCTGATGGACCTGGCTCAGTGCCGCATGCCGTTCCTCGCGAGCTCTGCAGAAAGGGCTAAGGCATAGCCGTGCCTGGTTGATATCTACCAGGGATGAAGGGGAGTCGCGCTGAGAGAAGAATGTTCCAGGCTGTGTTTAGAGCTGTTCGCCAAGAAGAAAGAAAAACGCCTTACGCAGTCTGTCTGGTTGCACCGCCGTGATGGTGGCCGACGTGCGTGGTGGTTGCCCGTCTCACGCGCTAACCGAAATCTTGGGCTGCCGCCGGCTCTGGCGCGCCTTCCTTCCCCACACAAACGCACCCCGCACGAAAGCCCCCCCCCCCCCCCCGGGAACATCCCAGGCCGCCTTGCCCTGACGAGCTTACCTAGCAACCCCCGATCCGGGCCTCCAATAGCGAGGTGCTGAATTGTAAGATTTCTTGTTCTGGTCGACAAGGTCTGGAGAATTGAACAAGTGATGGGCATATGGACTGTTTGGAGGCAACTTTATGGCCCTTGTATCACCAAGATCACTACAACTCAGGTTGATGCTTGGACAGCGAGATTGCCACAATGGGCACGATGTTACAGTTTCCAGGAGATTGACAACAAATCCATACGTGCAATATATGGTAGTCTCATTTCCACAATCGTCGAATTGTCCAGAAATGTACAAAAGGCCAGTGTATGTTCAAGACTGATGGCCGCCACCCCGTCCTTTGCACAGCGCAGAGACCACTCTTCTCAACACACGCATCTCCACCACTTGCACTCCCCAGTCCGCCTTCTCTCACACCTTCAACCCCTTCTGGATATTTGCAATCGCAATCTGGTCCTCGTACTTCTTCATCACCTCTGGGTCGACGTGCTCGGCAAAGACGTCGACGTGGGTCGAGGCGAACTTGCGTGCGGGCACCTTCTGCTCAAACAGCAGGTCGAGCTCGGCGAACGTCCGACCCGCAGGCTCGGGAATGCGGAAGTACGCGTAGATGAAGCAGAAGAAGCAGATACCAGCCTAAAGGAACGAAAGAAGGGGGTCGTTAGTGAGTGCTTTCAGGGACATGTAACGGGACAAAAGAGGAACAAGGAAGCATCGTGGTCATGCTGGTGATGCCTTACCCAGAAGAAGCCGGCGTAGTTGCCCCAGTCCCAAGCAATTGGGTTGAGCATGTATGGCGTCAGAACACCGCAGATGATGGCAACAACGTTGCTACGGAGCCACGCGGTCAGTAATGTTTGACATAAGTGCCAGGTTCGCTGTCAGGAGGACCTACTAAAGTACACGTCCGAGGACGACAGTCTTGATTTGCAGGCGTCGCGTCGAGATCTCAGCCACCAAGGAGTAGCATACTGTTCCGACAGTGAGCTGATAGCATAGAGCCCAAACGAGCATGATGCTGCCCGTTGCCATGGACGCTGCTTGGCGGTCAGGAGCCAAGCCGAGAAACCCAAGGATCAGAAGCATGGTGAAGAGCCCGGCGAGACCACAAATATAAAGGGTTCTGTTGGCATGAAAATTAGTAAGGTTTCCACGTGGCGACATCAGCAGGGCCAAGCTCACCTTCTACCAACACCTAAAGTGATCAAGCCCCAAGCGCCAAAGACACCAACGCAGTTAATGCCATACTGTCCCAGCGCGAAAGCATAGGATGTGCTCTCGCTCAGGCCAGCCGCTTGCAGGAAATATGTCGAGTAGTTGGAGAAGGAGTTGCCGCTCAAATTCTGAATTGCCCAGCACATGCAGACGATCTCCGTCCGGCGCAGGTCGGTCCCGCGGAAGCAGTCAATGTAGTTGGCTCCTTTGGTGATCTGCAAAAGGAATGAGTGAATGATCCTGCAGGTACATGTGTTACCGATAATAAATGCTCACCTTGTTCTCGAGGGCTGTGGTGTGTGTCATCATGGCAATAGTCTCGTCGGCGTCGAAGTCAGTCTCGCGGTCAAGACTGGTTAGTCGCAGAAGAGACTTTTTGGCGTCTTCGACTCTTCCACGGCGGACAAGCCACCAGGGCGATCTGGTGTGGCTGGTTAGTCACTATTTTGCTGCGTGTCAAAGTAGGATGCAAGAACTCACTCAGGTGCGAAGAAGATACCGATCGCCAGGGGGAGAGGCCACATCCACTGCAGCCCGTATGGCTAGATTGATAATGTCAGGACGCTATAGCCCAAAACCCCAGGCCGAATAGACAGAGAACTCACAATGCGATAAGCCCACTCATCCGTCCGCGACAGGTTGCCCATAAGGGCACCAATGCCAATGATCTGACCAAGACCCCAGCAGAAATTGATGTACGTGGTCAGATATCCGCGGAGCGCAACTGGGCAGACCTCCGAGGCATACGTAATAGTCAGTGTCTGGAAGACACCCCACGGCATGCCGCACAGAATTGAGGCAATCTGGAGATGGACGACGGTCTGGGCAGTGAAGTAGATGGCAATAAATCCCGTGAGCATGGCGAGGCAGCCCAAGATGGTGTAGCGATAGCCAAAGCGCTCGGAGATCCAGCCGTTGAGCAGCAGGCCAATGATCTCACCGACGACGACACCGTTGGATAGGCCGGCCTGCCAGGCAGGTGGGATTTGGTAGCTGCCATCAGGTGTGGGCTCGCCGTACTTGCGGTTGAATTGAGAAAACCCGTAAAAGTTGTTTGTGAGAGTGACGTCGTACCTGGGTCTGTCAGTACATGCTATGAAATTTTGTTCGAACGGTCCGAGAAGCTTACCCTTCCACTACAGCAGTTGTTAGCATGTGGCTTATGGTTTTCACGGGGCAGATTCCACTCAGCGGGGGACTGCATACGTAGGAATGGGCAGCCGTCTACTTACTGACAATACACGTGGAGATGAGTACACTCCAGCCAATGGCCTTTGGGTAGAGCTTGATGCCTTGGAGAAGGCTCATCTTGTGCTCCTTCTCCGAGGCGAGCTTTGCGCTCTGGATGATGTTGAGAGTGCCCTTGGAGGAGGACAACTCATCCTTGAGCTCGTCCGGGTCGTGCTGGACAGGCGACACGGCGTCCGCATGGACAGAGTGAATGGAGGACATTGCGTGAAGATGGCGGCAGACTGCAGACTGCCTCTACTGGTGGTGCTGTCTCTCGCTCAGGGGTCTGCAGGTGAAGAAGGAGGAAGCTGAGGAGTAGTGACTTGGTCACAAATGCACGGAGGAAGACCTGGGGGAACGGACACGTCTGTGAGGATTCAGTGCAACGCGCGAGCCAAGGGTCTTTATGCTTGGCCAGGAAGCACGACGGTTGTCCGAGTTGGGGTCGTTTTTGGGGTCACGGCAGGCAAGAGAGAACAAGTGCCTTTGGGGAGCAGCAAATTAAGCGGTCGCGGGGTGGAGCTCGCGTGGTGTGTGTGCGGGCAGTATTTTCAGGCTTCTAGAAGTGCCCAGAGGGCGCCGCGAGACGGCGGCCGTGATGGCCAGCAACGGCACATGGAGCAGCAACCCATGAGCAAATGACAGGACCTGGAATGATCAGCGTCCAATCCCCGGCCGTTGTTTCTTCCCCTCACTTTCTTCCCCAGACTTGGGTGACGGGTGTGTGGCCGGTAGTGCTCGCCAGAGTTCCATGCCTGGGGCATCCGCCCGACCCCACTCTGCGCCGCCATCATCACCACCTCGCCGGCCCCCTGTCTTCCAAGCTTGTCCTCTGCCCTCCCGCGGCTGTGCCGCTCGCTCGCTTGCTCCCTCCCGCTCGGCAGCCACCGCGCCACGCGACGCCCGGTCAGCCACCACGAGCACTCACATCAAGCTTTCCCCGTCGGTGCCTTGCATCTCTCCCTTTATTCGAGAAAGAAGCGAGCGCGATGCACAGGCGCCCCGACAAGAGACAAAGACCAACACAGAGCTGCCCTCTCCACGAAGCGGGCCATACCGCCGAACCACTCCCACACAGGCTGCACAGACCAGACCAGGAGGCAAGAATCGCCGATATGCAACCACAAACGACACAACAGCCCCACGCCAGCCTCTAGTCTTCCACATCCGCCTCCACCCAAACGGGGCTTTCTTCGCCAGGTGAGACGGAGTCTCACCGAGACCATCTACGCCAGCAGCCCATCGTCCCCAATTATCGTGAAACTCTCCAACCCGACGGAGTGCCAATTTCTTCCATCGGCAGCTGTCTCCCAGATCTCTCAAGGCCAATTAGTCAAAAGCCGCCCTTGGCGTCTATCCCGCCTTCCCCGCATCATGGCTGTCACGGCATGTGCCGGCAAATTCCCGCCCGCACGCCCTCAGCCTCCCCCGTCTGGGGAAATTGTTCGTGTCAAGGCACATATGCAAGTCCCGCGGTTGGCCCATACGCACGCCCAACAAGGGTCTGAGTGCATCACGGGCGTCTTTGGCTTTCCCTTGCCTTCTCCATGCGCGGAAAATATCGGGTCATTTTCTCAAAGTCACCGGCGGGGAAAATGGCCCTCTCTGAACTATGCAGAGAGCTGTTGAGGCAGTCGACACATGCCCTGGCCAATGTTACGATTCTCAATCCAATGCTTACTCGAGACTCCGTAAAATCTGCACAAGTCCTGTTTCGCCGGATCAGCCTCAGGCAGCTCTTCCACGCACTAGTAAACCACGTCATCTCCAACGCTCCTCGCCGAGGATCTCGCAAACCTCTGGCCATGCTGACCAACTCAAGTCGCTCCAAAAGGGCGGAATGAGCATTGTGCTAGTCCGACTAGACTCTCAAACCTCATGGACTAACAAAGACAGGGCAACGTAAACATCTCTCGCACTAATCATCGCCCCCCCCCCCCCAACTTCAGCTCGGCGACGAGGAATTGACCACGACAATTAGATCTGACTCCCGTCCTATGCACGCCATCGAGCCCAGAGTCCCGGAGCACATATAGATCCTTCAAACGCTCCGTACACGTGTGAAAAGAATCTGAATAAGTAAGCAAGTGCTGCAGCAAACATCCCTCTTCTAGCCCCTCGAGTAATCTCTCCATCTTTCGCTCCCGCCTCGCCTCCCCGCGACGAGCGTCGTCTTATTGAATACTTGATGTGCTGTGCTGTGCATACCACTTCACCTTCCAGCACTACACTACCGAGTCTAGAACACCATGACACACTTGCCCCACCCCTTTGAACAGGTAGGAGCCAAGCTGTGCAACGTGTAGAACAGGGTCTGGTCGTCTGGACCTGCGGAGCCGGATGGAAAACACTCGCTGCTCTGACGCATGGTAGAAGAACGTAAACGACTCGAGTGGTTGGGGTTTTACCACAGGGCTGGCAAGGCGGGCACGCACAATGATCTGCACTCAGCAGGAGATTTCCCGCGACTACACAACGAAGCATGCCACATTGATCTTTGCGAGAACTGTGTTGGTGCTGGTGTAAACGTGAGCTTGAGATAGTCTCTACCTCTGGGGTCTCGCGGCACTGCGTCGCCGGGAGGCTGACCTTAGCAGCCTGCAGGGTGATAATTTTGTCAATGACATGTGCATAGTACAGCAGGTAGCCATCCCCAAGCCAAACACAAGGTGAAAGATGATGATGCAACCACGACACACTCAAAACACCAATCACTATAAGCACCAGGAACCAGGATGCATGTCTTTTGTTCATGTTTTTTTATTGTTGTGATCTCTGTTGACTTTCATTGTCACGTGCAGTCGAGAAGGTGAATGGCCATTTCCCTCATAAAATAAGACCAATTGTGCGAAATGACAGCCCATCCATACGCCCAGTCAATGACCGAAAACCTTGCCTTGCTCTCGCTTTTTTCCTTCTTCCTCTATTCCTTTCTGGCAACCCCCTTCCTCTCTTCATGCACACACACACACGGACATACGTGCTGACAGCTCTCGCTTCTGACGATTATTTTCCACATCATACAAAGGAGAGGCGACGACGACGCGTAGCGGGTGAAGAAGAGATTTATGCCCTCGACATGACACCCCAGGCACGGATGATGTTGTCGGTGTAACCAGCGAACAGGGTCTGGCCATCAGCGGACCAGGCGAGGGAGACACACTCGGGCTCCCGGCTCTTCTTGCCGACGGCAGTGAACTCGGGCTTGAGCTCGTCGACCTTGGACTTCTTCTCGAGGTCGAAGATGATGATGCTGCTGGCGGTGGCAGCGCAGAGCCAGTAGCGGTTGGGGGAGAAGACGAGGGCGTGGATCTCGTCGCCGGCGTTCAGGCTGTACAGGTGCTTCGACTCGTTAAGATCCCAGAGCATGGTAGTACCGTCCTTGCCACCGGAGGCGCAGAGAGATCCATCGGGAGAGATGGTGACGGTGTTGATGTAGCCGGTGTGGCCGATGTGGTCGGTCTGGAGCTTGCAGGTCGAGAGTTCCCAGACCTATTTTTGATAGTGTTAGAACCTTTTTCCGACTCTGGTGTGTGCAAAAACAGAAGTGATTGTACAAAAGAGCGGGAGGGTATATCATCAGTGCAATGGTGTAATGTGGTCTCATGGCTTGCGAACAAGCTCTGAAGTAGCAAATACTTTAAAAAGTGCAAAACATCATGTGAAAAACTCAAAAAGTCCACCCCAGTAACAAACACAACAGTCTCAAGACTCACCTTGACGAGCTTGTCCCAGGAGCTGGAGACAATGACGGGGTTCTGGGGGTTGGGGCTGAAGCGGACGCAAGAAACCCACTCGGTGTGGCCCTTGTCGGTGATGGTGAACTTGCAGTCACCGAGGGTGTTCCACAGCTTGATGGTGCGGTCGCGCGAGCCGGAAACGATCTGTCTGTTGTCGGCCGAGAAGGAGACGGAGAGAACATCGTTGGTGTGGCCGACGAAGCGGCGGGTGGTGGTGCCGGTGGCGAGCTCCCAGAGGCGGAGGGTTTTGTCCCACGAGGCGGACAGAGCGTAGGCACCGTCAGAGGAGATAACCTGCAGTTCCAATCATTGTCAGCCGAGGGATTCCTCCACCAATGACCTTTCCGGCCCTCTGTATCCTCCTTCTGGTTCATCTCAATCCTCAGGTGATGGGTGCAACGTACGCAGTCCGAGACAATGTGGGAGTGGCCGTGGAGAGAGCGCTTGGGGTAGCCGTATTGCGACTCATCACGGGTCAGGTTCCAGATGATGAGGGTCTTGTCGCGAGAGGCAGACAGGAGCATGTTGGGGCTGTGTCATGGTCAGTCTACGTGATCCATTTGTGCGGGCGTCGAGGCAGGGCGCGAGGGATGTCGTACTTCTCCATGGAGGTAGCCAAGCTGGTGACCCAGCCATTCTGTCAAGGCGTCAGCATGTGTCGTCTCCAAGAGACCGCTCGCATCGTCCCTCCCGTCGTCCCATGGCGGCCCCAAGTCGGTGGTCGAGTCGCATCGCATCGCAATTGAGACACGCGCATCGCATCCGCGTGGGTGGCCGTGGGACGTCGTCGGGAGATGCTTGAGCACTGGTCGGAGGTGTGTGGGCGGCGGCGACTTACGTGGCCCTCGAGGGTGCCCTTGAGAATCAGCTGCTCGGCCATGATGGGCGATTAATTCAAGTCTGCGGGTGAGAGGCGGCTTGAACTGGGAATGGAAGGAGTCGTGGGGTTGTCGTGAGGCCGAACTCTGCTCGGCGAAGTCGTGCAGCGCTGGGCTCCTGCTCAACCTCGCCGCAGTCCCAAACAATTCCGAAAAACTTTTGTGTGGGATCACTTTAGGGTCGAAGACGGACCAAAATTCGCTAATTGGCAGGGACGCTCCTGGGCTCCACAAGGCCTGGCTGGTCGCGTAGCAAATGAGCGTTCGGGCAGGGGTGGGCATGCCGACCCACCCTCCAAAGCCCACCTGGCAGTTGCAGCCCATCCAGGCAGCTGGCAGATGCGGCCCTGCGGCGAGGTACTGGAGCTCGATGCCTTTCCTGGCCAAAGGGCAAGCTTACACTGATATCTGAGGGCTAGAGAGTCGGGGTCCTGGTCTGCAAGGGAGCTCTCTGTTGTGAGGCTTATGATTCTATGTTTCTATGTTTAGCCACAAGTCTTGAACGAAGTAGCGCTCGGGACGGGGACATGTACCCAGTCTCGTTTCGAAGCTACATTCATTCAGAGCCCACGATGGCATGTTCAGTCGCCGCACGATGGCACGCTCATCTCATCACCAGCACACATATAGCCTGGCGCAAGCTGTAGCGGTTCATCATGTTGGTTTGTAACTTGCTATGTGATGCCTATCAACCTTTCCAGCCCACGCGCCGCCGCCGTATTGAATCAAAAATGCAAATCCGGAACGCCTCGCAATGATAATGGAAATGTCCCCTTCTGTAAGTATGCATAGTAGATGACCATGCTCGCTTCGAAACCCAGCCGCGGCTGCAACGTCCAAGTGCCCGCTATCACGTGTAAGCATCTTGTAAAACAACGAAACCCATGTGCCAGCAAAGACCGGTCTCAAGCGGCTTTATGCTCAGTCGAAACCGCCACGGCGCCTTTCTAGCCATTAGCCTCGGCCGCGCTTCTGCGGTTCGTCCGCGGCAGCTCTTTCCGCAGATACTTGGAGCTCGAATTGACGACCGTGCTATGATCGGCGATATCAATGGCGCCAATGCTACTGCTGCCATTGCGTGGAAGCAGATCCTTCATCAAGTCCTCCCAGGCTTCACTTCGTTGCTTGCTCAAGGGGTTGCGCGTGGCCAGCTCGCGCATCTCCTTCTGCCGGCTGATCTTTGCAGCTCTGTCAATCCGCCGCAGTGCTTTCTCGCTGTTCCTTGCATCTGCGGCCGCCTCAGCGCGCTTCTTGTCCGGTTCTTGCGACGTAACCTCGACTGGCGTGTATCTGTAGCTGTGTAGCGCAGGAAAGCCCGGGAAGGATGCGGGGATCCATTCCTTCTCTTCCTTCTCCTTGTTGCCGTCAAGCTCGTGGCCAACGAAAAGGGGAGACATGTTGAGCACGCCGAATTCTTTGTACAGGTCTTCGATAATGGGGTCGTAGTATTCCGGCGTGACTTTCTTCCTCTTCTCCTTGGGCAAGGGATTCCTCAGGTGTGGCCGTAGTGATTCCGTCGAGACATTGAGGGATCGTAGCACCTCTTCGTACTGGTCGGGCGTGGGATCCTCCCGCCTGCAAGCTGCTGCTTCCCTCTTGAGCTTTTCGACGATCCGACTAATATCTATGAACGCTCTGTCAGTAGGAGATAGCGGCGCGTGCGCGAGGCATAATCGAGGACGTACAGGTCTCCGTCGCCTCGGTGAAGCTTTCCAACGACTCTGGAGTCGCTGCGTCGAATCCAACATGCTCCAGAGCCAGTGCTATCGAGCGGCGCAGGCCATCCCGCCCCATGTCGGGCGCTGTTGGGCGATTGACAACTTCGTAGGGAGGTGCTTCCGTCGCTGCCACGCTGGCGGCGCTCGAGTTTGATCCTGCGCTTGACGATGCGCCCGTTCCCAGGCGTTGTTTTTTGCTGTGCTTGTCTCGATGAGGCACCCCGCTGGCCGGATTTGGCCGCTTGTGCGATGCTTCCGCCATGATATTAAACCTCGGTCCGATGAAGACACACTCGCGCTGCGGCTCGTCGGTTCGGATGTTGCTCAGCGCATGGGAGGAGTTGGCTCGTCGCAGCTTGTGAAGAGCAGGCGAGGTACGTGTGTGCTGCTTTGGCGCGGACGAACAGACAAAGGATCTGCGGGGGCGTGTTCGTAAGGCGACGAGAGCGCGATGGGTTGGAGTGCTGAGAAACGAATGTGATGTCGCCCGGCCTCGATTGTCCGGATGCCGCTGAAGAAGCTCATAACGTGAGCCTTTGAAAGTCGCGATTGCTCGTCAGGCAATCGCGCCTGCTGAATGGGCCTAGGGACCAATCAGAACGTCATGCACCAGAGTCGTCCCGCCCCACACTACATGGACTGGACGGGAGCGGAGCGGGAGACCCACCACGGATTATCAGCCGGCCACCTAACTGAAGGTGTAGAGCATTCTAGTCTTCGAGTTCTTTTATCTTTCATCCACGAAATTATCTCCTGGCAACACTGTTTCTTGGTAACGACAAACGACTTATCTTGCCCAAGCTTAGCATTGTCACTTGCGGCTTCAACATTTTGTGGTACTACATCAGCGGCTTAGCTTCAGCGCAACATGGACGGTTCTACGGACCCTCGGCCAGTTCTCAGCCACAGAACGTGAAATGTGGATTCGGAATTTCGAGATGTCGAAGTACACATGTGACCAGCTGATCATGAATGCGATACCGGCCCAACAGGGTGGTAATTTGTCAGAGCTGACAGAGCCCTGCACGACACGCACGAAGTCGTTCGTGCTCTTCTTTAACCGAATACCGGAGCACGCACAAGCATCGTTATTGCATGTGAAATCCTGGCGTGTCTCAGGTCGCACGTCATGGGCCAACAGGACCCAATGTTGCAACTATCCATACCTGATCTTGCACAGTTCTTGACCTTGACAAATGGCGGGGTTCAACCTGCTCACCCGTCCTTGATTCATCTCTGGCGCAGCCATCTGGACTCAACTGATCGGCAGTCGAAACCATCACGCCGGCTGAGACGACTAGGGTCCGGGCATGGCTGTAAGCCGAGATGTACGACAAGGATTTTCTGTAACGGCAGTCGAACCACACTTGCATGCGGGGAGAATTTCTGCATGAAAAAAAAACGGCCGGGTCTTCCTTGAGGTGGTCACGACTTGCCAAGTCATGACCACCCGGAAATCTGAGCAGAATATGCGGAGCTCATCGGCAAAGTTCCCCGACACATATGCTTGCTTTATCTCAATAGCTACGAACTCATAGCCGGGACTTGCTGCTTCGACCCCTTCGCGCTCTCCTGCTCGAGAATGGAGTGACGGCGCAGGTAGCATCAGGCCGCACGCACTATGCACAGCCCCTGGTACGTAGGTGCAGTTGAAAGCTATTAGCTGGAGCTAGCTAAGCCGGACAAGGATGTGTGCTCAGGGTGAGGCTGGCCCCACTGTCTCGGTCGAAGACGAATCGTCAGTGCCCGCTGCGACACTCTGATATCATGACAGCCCAAGCCTGCAGTCTGTCGAACTCTGTTGGGCTGACTATCGCCAGGGTCTGGTCCCAGTACATGTGCGAAGAGGTCCTCTCGGGGACCTGCCAAAGAAAGACCCTGCAGATCGACACACGGCTAGCTGGCTGGGGCCGGCACAACAGGCTGCCGAGAGCCTTATGCCAGTGAGATTGCATGCGGACACTAAAGCTGCAGTGCTGACGGCGGGATCCTGCCGGCCGCGGCTCGTAAAAGCAAAACACATCAGTCGGGAGCTCAACACCATTGATTGCTGGAGGCCCCAGGTGCGCACAGGCATTCAAGATCTAGGGGGGTGGTGGGGTCAGGTAGGTCCCTGGCGCTGCTCCCCAACCTCAAGCTTTGCCAGCCAGCTCGGGTAAGCGCCCTGCCTGCTCCGGCCGTGTTGTCCAAGATCGACAGTCCTGAGACCTGGCCTGCCAACGGGCTCACTCGGAGCAGGATCCGATGCTTCTGCATCGTCGAGTTAATTAGCCTTGCCCGCCCGCCACAAATATCGCCCTGCCGCTGTCACTTATCACCCTAACCATCCCCCGCCGCCATCCCTGCGCCCGCATTGGGTTTGCAGAGCGCACCAGGCCTTGCAACACGGCACCGTTCTGACTCGTGCCGCTTCTGGATCTCGAAGCGAGGCCCGCTCTAGAGCTTCCAATATCACATCACACACTCTGCTATTCCGTGCAGGTCAGCTCCCTGCCCCTGCCTCTCACGTCTGGACCAGCCAGCACGCCAGCGGCGCCAGGGTCACGTTCCAAGAAGCTTGTGCTCGCTCTTCTGTCAATGTTCTGTCTCTCTGTCCTGACCGACACGGGGCAGCGAGCTTTTCATTACATCTCCTCGTCTGGGTCAACAAGACCATGGGCAGCATCTTCAGGCTCCATCCTCGGTGGATCTCATTGCCCTTCGTAACCTAAAGACCATTGATCTTGGACAAGTTCGAAAAAAAAAAATGTTTCCCATCGACCCAAGCAAGCTGCCCTCTTTGAGGACCAGGAAAGCACTCCTGGTGATTGATCCCCAGAACGACTTTCTCGACGACGAAGGTGCTCTGCCGATACACCAGCCCTTGGACCTCCCCACACAGATTGTCAACGCTGCACAGGCTTTCAGGGCTGACGGCGTCGACATAATCTGGGTACGAACCCAGTTCGACAAGACACGGTCTATCCACAATGAGATGATCTTGACCTCGGACCTGCCACTTGGCAATGGCCCGGCTTCATTGTCCAAGAGCCGCGGCTCGAGGACCGCGGCATCAGGCGGTGGAGTCATTGCTCCCAAATGTCCAGAGGGTTTCCTCAGCTTGGGTCCGAGCAGCACTTCGTCAAAGGCTGTGAGGCAAGCGACCGCTGGCGTGGAATTCCACCCGGCAATCCAGGAGGCGGTCTCGCGAAGGGACCAGGTCTTGGTAAAGTCGTTTTACTCGGCCTTCAAGAACGACCAGATACTTCGCCTGCTACGAATGCGCTTCGTCACCGAGCTCTATATCTGTGGGTCCTTCACCAATGTTGGTGTCATGGCCACAGCATACGATGCCGCCAGCCACGGTTTCGCCATCACCCTCGTCAAGGACTGCTGCGGGTACCGGAGTTCGATCCGGCACAATGCGGCCATTAAGCAGATAGTCGAACTGACCGGCTGTGATGTCCTCGACCTGGAAGAGATACCCCTGGGAACCACAGCATCAGCTCCCCCCACATCAAGTGCGACAAAGGCTCCGAGCAGCACCTCAACTTCAGCAAGCAGCACGTATCCTACAATATACAAGCGGGCTGGCGACAAGCCGGAACCAGCAACCACCTCCTCTGCAGACCTGGCAGATGCGTTAGATTCATTGTCAATACGCGACAAGCCTGCCTCGAGAAGCGGGAGCCATGCCTCTCCAATCAAGTCAGGCACTGCAGCAAAAAAGACAGTGGTGGAAGCCGAGAAAAGCAAGAGCGATGACAAGAACGAAGACACTCCAGTTGACGTTGCAAGGGATAATTGTGGACCAGGAGATGCACCCGATGTGTCCACTGATGCCGATGAGTCACCTTCACCTAAAGCTGATGCTCTGCCTCACTCTTCCGCAGCGAGAACCGCCAAGAATGTTCCCGAAGACACTGACACGACGGACCCGACATTGGAGATCCAACGGAGCCTGCAAAACGTGGCACTTAATTGTGATGCGACCCCGAATCTAGACGCTGTCGATGGACAAGCAACACAACACGATTCGACCGAAGCCTCGCCGGCGACTTCATCGCAAGAGTCAAGAGTCAAGGAGAGTCTGCAATCTGAAAGCAGCAAGGAAGCTTCATGTAAAGCCTCGTCCTCAAGCATGAAGACCCAAGGCGAAGCACTAGGCGAGGGTGACTCCCAGGTCATCTTCAGCATCCTGCCAGGCCCACTGGCTGAGAACATATTTCAGAAAATCAAGGACGAGGTGCAATGGCAGCGCATGTCCCATCAGGGCGGCGAGGTCCCGCGACTTGTTGCCGTCCAAGGCCACGTCGAAGCAGACGGGAGCATGCCTGTCTATAGGCACCCATCTGACGAGTCTCCCCCCTTGCTGCCTTTCTCGCCAACGGTGACGGCGATCAAGGAGGTCGTGGAGAAAGAGCTGGATCACCCGCTCAACCACGCGCTGATACAATTCTACCGCCACGGAAACGACTACATCTCCGAGCACAGCGACAAGACGCTCGACATTGCCAAGGACAGCTTCATCGCCAACGTCAGCCTAGGCGCCGAGCGAACCATGATCCTGCGCACTAAGAGGACGCCGAAACCCCGGGACGGCGAGGACGGCGAGGACGGCGGCCCGAAGAGCGTTGACACTACCCCAGTTGCCCAACCAGACGACCTCAAGAGGAAAAGTCAGCGTGCACCTCTGCCGCACAACTCCCTGATGAGAATGGGCCTGCAGACGAACATGAAATGGCTTCATGGTATCCGGCAGGACAAACGCCAAGAGCGTGAGAAGAGCGAGGAGGAGCTCGCCTACAACGGCAGCCGCATCTCCCTGACGTTCCGAAGGATAGGAACCTTCTTGGACGCCAAGCAAACGCTGATCTGGGGCCAGGGCGCCACCGGGAAGACGAGAGATGCCGCGCACGAGGTGATCAACGGGCAGACGCCGCAGGCGGTCGAGATGCTCCGCGCTTTCGGCAGGGAGAACCAGCTCAGCGATTTCGACTGGGACGCCTTCTATGGGAAGGGTTTCGACGTGCTACACATCACGGCGTCGCCGCGCCTGTTCTTGTCTGCGGATCCCGTGGCCAATATGCGCGTGCAGATGATGCTCGCTGAACTTGGAATCGGGTATGCCCGGGGCAGCATGGCGCCTGCAGCTTCTTCGTCGACAACGGGCGTGTCCTCGCGAGAGGAGGCGTCGCAGGTCAGGTTCGTCGACACGGATGTCAGCAGGTCGACCGTGCAGGGCGAGGTTGCTATCATGCTGTACTTGGATAGGGTATATGGCAGTCAAGCGAACGCGACGCCCTCGCCCCTGGCTGAGACGACACCTGAAGCCGATGGAGGTGCTTCTGTCACTGTTACGACCACGCCGGGTAAGCCCGGCCTCGAAGTTGACATGGCAAAGGCGTACACGAGATTTCAACAAGCCTTGAGTCTACGGGCCAACCTCGAAGCAATACGCCACGAGGCAACGACATCGCCGGTCCGAGAGACAAAGGCAACTTCTGGCAAAACGGACGACGACAAGCCGACAAAGCCTGTTAGCGATGTGCTCGCTACTTGGGAGGTCTACGCGCTGGAAGCGGCCGAGGACGACACTTTTCTCGCGTCCAAGAATTGCCTGACGCTCGCGGACTATGCATTCTGGCCCGTCCTGCACGAAGTTGTCGGTAAAACCGTCCGTGCTATCCCCGGCAGCGAGACCAGGGACGGCCAGGAAGGAGGGGAGACTCCCAGCGACAAACTGAGCGCCCAGACCGAGAGCGCCGGACCAGAGGAAGAAGTCTCTGTTCTTGATGGCCTGCCGGGGCTCAAGGCGTACTACAACCGCGTTAAGGCGCGGGAGTCGATGGCAAAGCTGTTGGCGAAGAACCCGGCGGCGTCGGGTGACAAGAAGGAGTGAAATAACGCTCCGGGTTCAGGACGGTGGGGATATGTGGGATGTTCTGTCCTCGTTGTTGGGTGAATATCTTTTGTTGTTCTTGGGCGTATATCTTGTTTACTTGTTCGAGAGCGATCTCACGTATGGGCGGCCGAGTCTTTTGGTTTTAAAGCGTTGCTCCTCGTGTTCTTGGATATGTGGGTTTTTGTAAATGCAGAGAACATGCTACCTTATATCTCGATCCCGTCCCGGAAAAAGAAAATGCAAAGTGATGGACTGAATGACACTTTGTTGACCTTGTCTTTCTTCCTTGGTTCATTCCTTTCAGTTAAACAGGGATAACTGACGTTTCCGAGAGAAGAGTGACTTTGGAGCTCAACCACCTCGCCGATTGCAAGATGTAATACCGACCAAAACTTTTTGTAGTCATGGGCAGTTTTATGAGTATCGATTTGATAACCCGCTCTTCTCTGTCTGGGCCCCTCCTTGCTTTGCGTGTTTTCTGTATCTCTGTCTCCCTCCCTCCCTCCCTTCTCTGTTCGTGAGCTATATCGAGCGTGGAAACGTTGTAAATCTTCTCGTGCGCTGAGGAGGAGGCTGCGTATACCAGACATGCTCGATCCACAAAGGCATGACAACAATTCACACAATTCGTATAAGAAAGACCCGGCATTGAATCCATTTTAGTCGACAAGATACTCAAGCAGAGTGCGATTTTAAAATTCGGACTTCGTATCGCAGCCGAGCTCTTGAGCTCACATCGCAGATATCTCTCCACGTTACCGCCGCCACCACCACCACCGCCAAGATTTCAACCAAAGGCGTAGCTGCCCCAGCGCGAGACCGCCCTCCACTTGCCCTCGGTCTTGGCCATGGCGTCAGCCCGCCGGTCCCTGTCGGCGAGGGCCTCCTCGGCGCTGATGCCGATGTGGAAGCCGGGGGCCTGCTCGGCGCGCTCGACGCGCAGCCAGCCTTTGTAACCCGTGAGGACGTCGGCAGTCACAGTCACAGTTGCTGGTGCTGGTGCGGTTACCCCTGCGGCCGAAGCATGTCCTCCCCGTGGAGCAGCACTGTGAGGAGCGGTGCGCGCCCCAGACAGGCCGCTGGACCCGATGACAATGGTGCCCCACCACTCGCGGTCGCGGCTCGCGTGGTCGCCGTACAGCATGAAGTCGGCCGCGGCGGCGATGGCGGCGCGGACCTGGCTGTGCGGAGGGCGGTAGATGTAGACGTGGCGGAGGTCGGAGGGGGTTGCTGGGTAGTAGTAGCAGTCGCCGTCGTCGTTTTGGGGTGTTGCATCAGGATCATTACCGGCATCAGGATCATTGCTATGTTCATTGGCGGTACTGCTTTCGGTAGTGGTCGTCGTGGTCTTGCAGCGAACAAGGCGGGTCACGTCGAACCGACATTCTGCATCGACGATGACGACCGTGTAACCGCAGTGACGCTTTGGTTTCGGGCCATGTTGATGAGCTGGGGAGGAGGAGGGTGGTGTCGAGATGAGGACCGAGACGAGGTGGTAGATCAGTGGAAGGTACCGGCCGCTTACAGACAGGACCGGGGGAGGCGCGGACTGGGTGGCTTTCTGATGGCGTGATATCAGAGCCTGAAGTGCTGGGAAGGGGATTTGTGGCTGGGATGAGAGTATGGGCTGCTGGTGTGCGCCATGTTGTGTGGTTGTGGTGGTCGGACGGGAAGTTGATGACGGATTGGTGTCGACGGCGGGAGCTGTCTCTGCCCTAAGCTGTGTCCTGATCGTCTGGAGAAGCTGTATTGATGGCGCCGTCAGCAGTTGTCGGGATAACCAGAGCAATGTCGCAAAGTGAAGAGAAAGCTTGGTGTCGTGCCTGGATCACGACTACAAGCTTTATGCATCGCCGTGTAAGTGGTGTGGACACTTGCCTGAACACACACAGGCGACACAAGAAAACTGGGTCACCTGCAGCGACGACGTTCCGTCTCTCCAAGCTCACCATCTTCAACTTCCAGCGGCACGACCAAAAACAGAACCAAATAAAACCACAAGAACCCACCTCTTCCAGACTCTCCTCCTCAATCTCGGCCAGCAGCCTCGCCCCAACGTGTCTCGCAGCGGCCGGCTCCATTGCTGGCTGGACACTGAAAACCCCAGCGAAACCCAGCTCATTCGTCGCCACCAGGCGGATCCAAGAGCTCACTCAGTCATCCGCAAGACCACACGCGGAAGTTCCTGACCAGATCAAACCCATAGACAGGGAGGGCAAGGCAGGAGATGGCACCACCCTGCGCCGTCTTCCCGGCCGCAGACCTGCCCGACGCGATCCAGCTGGACCAGGGCAAGCGGCGCAAGCCGGCGCCCGGCTCGGCAGGTCACAAGATCGACCTGTCGGCCTGCGAGCTGCTCTCGATGGTGCAGTACGACTGCCAGGTAGAAAGACCCCAGGATCGGCAGGAGACGGTCAAGTGCTGGCCCGTGCAGCGATGGTTCCGACGGTACGTGTTTTCTGTTCTTCTTGCTGCTGCGGTTAGGTGCTGGGTGGTGGGATGTGATGTTGGCTGGGGAGCAGTAGTCTGTGGTCGATTGGCCCTGTGTGAGCTTCCCGAGGGGGGGGTCCTTTGATTTGGCCGTTTCACAAGGGCACTGCTAATATGTGTGTTTCTTTCCGGCGGACAGCTGCGCAGATCAGAAAGGCAGTTTCGTGGTCGAGACGACGGCGTGGGAAGACAAGAAGAACGCCCATGCTTGAATGTTTGCGGATGGATGATGCAAGGTGGGGCTGAGCTCCGCGCAGCGCTCACCAGCGAGGGACAGAATGGCTACCAGCACTAGACGGCGTTCGGCGTTCGACAATCACAACTTATATGAAAACAGGTCGCGAGGACCAGAGACATGTGATTGGGCGTTTATATTATCTTTTATTGGTCACTGCATCTTTCGTTCCTGACCCTGTTGTCTTCCTTGATTTGAGGGAACACAGCCATGATGATCGGGTCAAGGTAGCATTTCAAGAATTCGGTCGGCAACATTCACACCATGAATGTGTAATTGCTACGGCAGTGCCTGACGTGCAGGCGAGAACTCTGCGGACCATACACAACAAATGCGGAACTCGGAGAGTCTCGGGAAGGACGAAGATGGGAAATGATCGAATCCAAAGCCCAACTAGACAAAGCCGCCTGGGGAGTCACAAGGGTTCAAGCGGCAGCTAGACCAATTGATCGGAGTGTAGAGCAACGCATTAGTCACTCATCCGATGCCTTCGAATACACGTGTCTCCCTTTCGCGCGCCGAACAGCCAATGCTCATTAGACTAGACTCAGCAGACCACGACACCAGACTCGGTGTGAAGTCTAGCCAGCTAGACCGAGGCTTGGCGTCGTGCTCAGTTCTCACTGTCAGGAGGCAGGCACCGTGTCGTATATCCGGGTAAGGCATGAGAGCCGAAGATGAAGTAGCATTGTCCAAACGGGCCATATCACAAAGCACGGCGAATAGGGTCAGTCGTGCTCATTGGCTCTTGGCAACCCCCAATTTCGCGTTGGTGGTCTCCAGACACCGTTCATCGCCCTTCCCTCGCGGCGCATAGCAATGTCACAGCACAAGTCCTTTGCTCGGATCGACATTCTGGAACCGAGATAATGAAATTTGTTTTGTCTTGTCCTGGATATATGCTAACCCGCGGAGGCCGGGTGGCGTAGCCTCTACAGCCGTCGTCATCGTCGTCTAAACTGGAATACGCATCCCTACTTGCGGCAATGCTTGTTGTCCTCCTTGGGGTTGTAGTATCGAATCCTCCCAGATTAACCAGACTTGGCGGCACGCTCGGACTCGAGCTGCTGGTAGAAGTTGTCGCGGGCGTGCGTGCGGGGCATGTGGTAGCCGTACCTGTACCCGAAGGAAGCGCTGCGTTAGTTTCATCGTGATCGAGACTTGCGGGATGCAAGGTCGCTTGTTGGGACCGGGCTGCTGGGATAGCAATGCTGTGGATGATAGTCCGACCGAGTCATGTGGGGGTTTCGTACCAGAAGGCGCTGCCCATGACGGTTCCAAGACCTGTAAAGCGAAGCTGTTAGCAAGTGTCCGCCCATGTGTGAACCGAAGCGGCAGGGTCGAGCGTACCGAGAGCGATGGAGAGGTCAGTGACCAGGCCCCGACGGAGCATCTGCAGCATCGTACGTTAGTCGGGGTGTCCCAAAAGGTCGGAGTCTGCCACGCCGGGTTCGGGCGGCGCGGGCCGTGAGTCGCAGGGAGGGCGTACACCAGTGATGGGCTTGACGGCCATTGTGTCTGTGGCGGTTGGCGAGGGGTTCGCGGAGGCGGGCGGCGGGAGATGAGGCGGGTTGGTGATGTGAAGACAGACAGACAGTGGTGCGTGCAGGAGGCTGCTGCCGGAAGGTCTGACGATATTATCGCGCTCGGCAAAGCTCCAGTCGGGCCAATGGCTGTCGTGATTGGCTGAGCTCCAGGGAGCCGTGGGTTCGCCTGGGAAGCTGGCGGACAGGCCTTCTGCTATGCTGGTGCAGCTGCCGCCTACCCTGCATCCCACCACCGGCTGGCATTCAGCACGTACTAAGGTGCTGTGGCGCAGCACATGGTCTCCAGCCACAGCCAAGTCCATGTCAAGTCGTTCCTGCTACAGGGCCTGCGGAGTCCAGACAGGGCACTTGGACGCTACCTACCACAGTGGACCCCTGCCTGCCATTCAACGACTGCTTGGAGATTTTCGACGAGGGTATCGTGCAGTGCATTGCGGCGTCATCTCGAGCTCTCCACAGACACAACACAGCACGAAACTTGCAAACGCCTCGAGCTGCTGTCGCCATGAGTCTGCACCTGCCCCTCCGGAGGGCCACCGGCTCCGGTATGCAGTCCTTTGTGCCATTGCACCCGCCCCAGGCTCAGTACATTGGCGAACATAGCTAACGCTTTCATCGTCTGCAGTCCGGTCCGCTTCGTCTCAGCTCCTCTCGACGACACAGCGCCGCTCCTTCCTGGGGCTCTGGGGCTCAAAATCAACGCCGGGCACGTCCGCCCTCGACAAGGCCATCAGCGAGAAGCAGCAAGAGGCCAAGGCCATGGAGCGCCTGCGCAACACCCAGCAGGGCCAGTCCATCTTCGACGGCGAGCCTGCCGCCGACGGCAGCAGCAAGCAGAAGGCCGGTCCCCCGGCGGCCTTGGATGGGCAAGGCTACGCCCCCGAGGCGAGCACCCTCAAGGAGCACCTGGCGCGCGCGGTCGATCCCGACCCGCGGTGGCGCATTCGGTATCAGAAGCGCAAAGTCATGCAGATGATCCGTAACGGCCGCGAGCCCACGCGTGAGGAGCTCATCCGCCAGCGCGAGCGGCAGGTCGTGTCTCACTCGCCGCCGGTGCCGACGAGCACCAAGAAGCTCACGATGCTTGCGCGCCAGATCGTCGGCAAGACGGTCGACGAAGCCATTGTGCAGATGAAGTTCAGCAAGAAGAAGGCGGCCCGCGAGGTCAAGTACGAGCTCGAGAGGGCGCGCGACCTGGCCATTGTGCAGCGCGGCATGGGGCTCGGCAAGCACACTGGCGAGATTCTTGAGAAGCCAAAGAAGATCAAGACCAAGGAGGGGCGGATCATCGAGGTGTCAGACCCCACGAGGCTATACGTGGACGAGTCCTGGGTTGGCAAGGGTCCGTGGAGAGGCATGCGGATACAGTACCACGCCAGATCACGCATGTCGGCCATGTGGCGGCCAACGACGAGTAAGTTTGAGCATCCTTTACTCTTGACTTTGTGGCTTCGCAGCGGAAGACTAACGTGGCTGGCATTACAGGACTGGCTATTGTCCTCAAGGAAGAGAAGACGAGGATACGGCAGCATGAAGAGCGGGTTGAGAAGCAGGCAAAGGCCAAGCCCTGGGTCCATCTTCCCAACCGCCCTGTCACAGCACAGAGGCCGTACTACACGTGGTAGGGTTCCTGTGAAGGTGACGGCAGCGTTTCATGCGATCATGTTGCCGAGCAGCACAGCCTATCGTTCGTGACGTGGATACGCCAAAAGGGATCCTCAAAAGCACTCCTGGCGTAGGGCTATGGTTCCTTGAATTGAAATGTGAAAGGGACAAGACTGCTCTGGCAGCATCAAATGTACATATAGAAACTTCATGTAACCACCACCACCACCAACATTGCACGAGACTTTGCACCTGTCCAAGTATAGGGGCATGCTCTAGACTACACAAATGTAACATATCTACAAGACGATGCTCGCCTGACCTGGTGAATTATGGACTCGAGGACAATGCCGACCTTTCCTCCCCGTTTCCAATAAACAACTATCGGAAACCGCGGGCACCAATCATCTGCATAACTTGGCATCATTACGATAAGTCAGAAAACTAGACTTCAATGGTCACCTGCCAATTGTCTAACCCAGTGGACCAAAGCAAAACAATAACCACCATCATCAGTATTCACATTAGCTTGGCGGACAGTCCAGACCCATTCCTTCTGGGCACTACAGCAAGGGCACAAAACCCTCAAACGACTTTTTATTTTGGCCCCTGAAACTCGCGCTCCCGCCCCCCGACACCCCGGAGGGCATCGAAACTGTGCGACTCGCAGAGCCCTTGTGAAGCCTTCATGCGCACACCGCGGACTTGTCACACCCAGTTTGGACTCAACCCGTGCTTCACACATATGAGCAAGCATCTCTCTGTCTTTCTCTCTGTCTTTCTCTCTGTCTTTCTCTCTGTCTTTCTCTTTAAAACACCCCCCCCCCCCCCCCAAAAAAAAAAAAAAAAAAAAAAAAAAAAAGAAAGAAAAAGGGGAGGACGTGTATTTTTTTCCTGAAGGTGTGTGAACATCCATTAAACCAAGATTATCTACGCCTAGATACCCTGGGTTACATACACGTACACACATACTCTCCTCCGCTTTACTGTCAAACCAATCCACGACCATCCCAAAAGAAGAAAAGGAATCACGTCGTCATCAATAACCCCAAACGGCCAGACCAACCGAGCCGAGCCAAGCCAAGCCAGAAATGAAGAAGAAGGGTACACACACACACACACACACACACACACACACACACACACCTACAAGTGGATGGGAAAAAGGCACAAAACCAAAACAAACGACCTTGGAAGCGCCGCCAATTTTGTCCGTCTTGATGGGTTGGGTTGATTGGCATTGGTTAGGGCCCGCTCGCATCAATACATGGTCCCCCTGGGCAGATGATCTACAAGATAAAACCCTGAGATTACCCCCCCCCCCCTCTTTGATATGAGTGTATGTGTGTGTGCGTGTCTCGGAGCAAGGCACACTGGGCAGTAAGCAGGCTTCTCGGTCGAAGCCCTTTTCATTACCTCGAAGCTCAAGTGAATATGCGATGACAGCCCAAGACACTTTCCAAGATCGGCAAAGGCCTTATCATCCACAACAGGTCACTCTACTTGCCCGCTCGACGAACAAGATCCAGGAGAGACTCAAACTTGAGTGCTACTATGCTCATATTCTTGTCATCTAGATCTATTCACAAACCCTGTTTGTCCCGCTCATATGCTCATACGCTCAAGAAGTTGGTGTGAATATATACAGAGGAAATGATATCAAAATCATATAAAAAAAAGGCGCCGAGTATATGCAGATGCAGAGACATACGGAATGCGAGATTGCCGTTTTCATTTCCCCCTCTTCCTACCTCCTCGACCGCATGGACTGCAGCGGAGTAGCCATCATATCCTCCTCCTCCCCTTCGAGGAAGATCTCGTGGCCGCTTCCCTCGTAAATGAGTGTCGCAGCAGCACAGCCGATGAGCGACATGACCGCCACGCCCCACCAACTCGCGCCAACCATGCCCATCTCCAAGCTCCCGCCGTACCAAGCTCCACCAACGATCGGACCAACAGTCCGGAAACCTGCTGAGACGCTCTGGCCTAAGCCGTGAATCGTACCGAGGACGCTAGGATGCGGACTGCAGTTGTTGACCAAGATGATGCTGGCCGGGAGAGTGACTGTGCGGGCAAACACGTGGAAGCCAAGAACCAGGCAGATGAAGATCCAGACTATCGGTCCGGATACTGGCGCAGGGGCCTCGCTGTTGGAGGGCATGACTGCTAAATATGGAGCCAGGAAATAGGCGATCGGGAACAAGGCAAGGAACAGCTGGAAACCGCGCAAGGTGCCAAGACGGGCATGGATCTTGGGATACACAAACAACTGGAGGAACATGCCGAAGAAGCCGATAATGGAGGTGGCGAAACCGACACTTGATGCCGGAAAGCCAAGTCCACCGCTGAAGATAAATGGGAGCGAACGGTTGGCGACCTGCTCCGGAAGCGCGCGAGGCGTCGACAAGAACAATGACCAGATGTTCTGAAAGGCTCCAAGATGGAAGTCGTAGAATGCCCCCGTGATGAGGGTGAAGACGACATTCTTTGTCCAGATGCGGTCAAAAGGAAGCCTGCCGAAGCTTCGCTTGACCGGCTGACTACTCGCCGGCTTGTCTTCGTGGTGCGCGTCCACGGGGTTGGGGCCACTGCCATTCAGCCGCATGTATTCATCGTAGGAAGACTTTCCAAAAACCTTCTGCTTGATCCGGGATGCCAAAAGGAGGCCAAAGTCAGATTGGCCTCTCTTGGTTGGCAGCGTCTCTTCCAGTCCAAAGACGACTGCCCAGCCGGCAAGGGTAAGGAACAAAGCGTTGATCAGACTCGGTATCGCATATGGGAAGCGGCGGACCCATTCGTAGCCCATGATCGCATTCTCGCCAAAGATGCCCGGCAGATTCGCTGCAGGATCTGCCAACATGCCTCCCATGACTGTTGTTATGTACCATGTCAGTCGCAGCGGACCACTGACAGTTGTCCAAAAGTTTACTCACCTGGGCCGATGAAAGCGGCGACATTGAAGCTGATGGGCAGAATCAAAAAGGCACGAGACTGGTATTTACGCTCGACAGTTACCTCGGCGACCATGGTGCGACTGTTCTTCGGTCAGCGTATGATTTCTTCTTTCGGTGACATGCGTATCACTTACATGATGCCAACTGTCCCGTTGATCGACCCGCCAAACATGCGCCAGAACATACACCAGGCAAAGGTCGACGAGAAGGCATATCCCAAGCAGGAGATGGCCGTGCCGAATGTACCGATGATCAAGACCATCTTACGGCCACACCAGGTGGCATCGGCAGCCTTTCCCCACCACATGGCTGTGAGCACCTGGGCGCCCGTGAAGGCGCCTTGCAGCCATCCAGCCTGACTCGAGACTTCGGCGTCGGAGAGCTTCGGGTTGAGACTCTTGAGCTGGTAGAAGACAAAGGCCTGGAGCGAGGCGACCTGGAGGAAGTCGACGACGCGGGCGAGGAAGAGGATGAGGAGCTGGTCCTTGCGCGGCAGGGACATCCACGAGACCGGGCCCGCCTGTGGCTTCGGGGTAGGCTTTTCCCGAAGAGACTCGGAGTCATGGCTGTCATTGTCGGACGAGTCCTCGGGGGCTGGCGTGAGAGGCTCCTGGAGGAGGATCGATTTGGAGGGCTTGCGCACGTGGAGGGTCCGGGTATTGACGGGCTCTGCGCTCATGGTCTGGCTGGCGGCTCGCCGATGGCGGTTGTGGTTGCGGTCCATGGCGGAGGAGGGAGCGGCCACAGGCCACGCGGCAGGATGCCTTTATGGACGTAGGGAGGAATGGGAATCCGGGGCGCAAAGTCTAAAACGGAGGAGGAGCCCTGGTGACGCGGATGCGTGGCAGCCGGAGGAGGGTGTGCTGCAGGCTTGGGAATACGGGCGTGGCACTGCCGGGACGTGGCGTGTCGTGCAGCCTGCTGGAACCGCTAGTCCACGTGCGTGCCTCCGCCAGGAACGGAGCTGTCTTGTTGAGCTTGAGCCTGGGGTCACGAAGGTTTCCCAAGGGCGCGGACGTGGGTGCGTGGGTGCGTGCCAAAGACAACCGTGGTTGCTCAATGCGGAACGAGGGGGCGGGCCTTGACGAGCCGGTGCGTGTATGTGTATGCCACGGGCAGCAAAGACTAAATAGGGACCCCGCGGGAGGGAACGTGCAGTCAGTCCAAGGACGGTGAGAGGACACTCTGTCAGAAACACCAAGGCCAGACCAGAGAGCGTCCAGAAGTGTGTCGTCCGTGGCTGTCAGCAACGGACCAGAGGGCAAGGGTAAAGAAAGTGTGGTGATTAAAGAGAAGTTGTCCCTGCATCGGAGAGCACACAGGTGCAGATCAGCGACCAGGAGTCTGCATGTGGCAGGAACAGCCCTGGAAATCGCTTGGACGTCTGTTGCGAGGAGGATGCTCCGGCTGTCGGATCTCCACGCGGCTGGGGGCTTGCTGGCACCAGCACCACCAGCTCCATTGGCTCACAACGCCGCGTGCCTGGCGGCCCCTGTGGCAGCGATATTCGTCCTGAGTCGTCCACTACAGGCCCCTGCTGGCCAGTCCCCGTGCTGCTCACCCCATCGCTCCAAGACGACGCGGCCGCCTATCGACATCCACGCCCCGACATGGCCACGGCCCGGTCCCACGCAGCCGTTCCATCTGCTGTCGTCATGCTGCTCAAACGGGCGGTCCCAGATAGAGTGCGCCTGTTTGTAGCTCGGCGCACGGAGCATGTGTGTATCAAGCCAAGTACCTGTACCATGGTACTATGTAGGACGTGTCAAGTTGGGGCAGTATGACAAGAGAGCCACTGTCATCCCGCTACGGCCCGTGGCCCGCACCCCATCGCGCATACAGGTCGCATTGACGAGGTGCTATGTACATGATGGTGCTACATGCCTCTTTCAGCGCGGCACCGACTCTGCTTTCCTTTTTGCACACGGCATTCCTGTGGCGTGCGCAGAAGCACGCTACTCACAGTTGGCAGCAACCGCCCCTGGCTCCGGCTGAGCCGCTAACCGCCAACCCTAGAACCCCTTCCAACATCAAAGGAGGAGAAGCGCCAACAGGCAGCAACCCCTACAAAAAAAAAAGGTCTCCAGTTGTCCAGCACAAGCACACACACACAAGACAATGCGTGCAGTGATTCCTTCGCCTGGTAGTTCGGCTCCCTCTGCCCGCAGTCGTGCGGTATCCGGGGAATGCAAGACTCGATATCTCGCCTGATGTGTTCCTGATTCCACCGTGTCAAGTCGAGATGGGCTTTGGAGGACAACGACAAGGCTGGGCCCTTGCCGCCGGCTGTCGGCGGTCTTGGCAATAGAAGAGCCGTCTCTTGGACAGCATCGACTTTGACCACAGCAACACCGACAGGGACACGCTCTGTCTGTACACAATCGAAAGCATACAATCATGGCCAAGACCCTAAGTGGACGTGGTGTCCATTCCAATATTAAGAGGGCCCTCTGACTGGGCGACTTGGACGGAGTAACCCGGCCCAACTCTTTAGCACAGAAGCCCCCTTTCCTGCACCCCCTGAAAAAGCCATACCGTCATCGGGCAAGGAATTTTGTCGCAATCGCGTCGCGCGAGCCAACAACGCCATGCACCTACCGAGTACACCGTATCAGCCCGACTCGCCAGGCATGATCCCTGGTGGAGCCAGTCGCAGAGGGTCGGCGATGTCAGTTCCGTGGTCCCGGCGCTAGCAGTTGGTCGTGGCCCGCCAAGGACAGCCGACGCAACGAGGCTCAGCCTCAAGAGGGGCTTTGAAGCAGAACCAAGCTGGCAGCGGAAGCGCCACGCGCCCATGCCAAAGTAAAATCCCAGGACGCGTGTGTGCTGGAGAACACCTCCTTGACGATACGAGTCTGCAGGAACAAATGAACATAGTGGCCAAACACCATGGCCATCCGTCAGCAGCTGACCACCACAAGTGCATAAACACCTTGCTCGCACAGGTGTCGTGTTCCTGGAGGCCAGCAGGACGCCAAGGACCAACCCCATGGTTGTGCCCCTGCAGGCGAGGCCGAGATAGCCTGTCCTCGCCTGTGGCCACAGGCGGTGCGGCTGCACGTCTTTGGAGCCGCCCGGGAATGCGGCAACGCAGGGCAACTCTGGTGGCCGTGGGTAGTGTAGCAATTAGAATCGCCCGCCAGGACAGTTGGCGCCGCGCTGCTGCCAGGGGCCTTGAAATCTTGTACACTATGCGGTGCCTTTCAAGGTTGCGTCTAATCTAATCCCCGAGGGCCACCCACACACATGACGAACCAACTGCGCGGCGGGCATCGCTTTGCTGCCAGCTAGGTTGATAGTGACCAAGCAGAGCGGGCCTCTGACAGCGCCGGGCCACACCCCAGTTTAGCAACCCAGAAAGATCAGCGCAGATCCAGGCCACACGTTCTTCCGCCAGATCACAACGCCAACGACAACCACCCAGCACGGCACCTGCATCCCTTGGTATTCCAGAGGTCAACGTCGACATTCCTGGTTTCCCCGGGTCCGAAACAGCCAGCACCCAGAATCCTCCTCCGAAGAGCGACCACCTTTGCTGTCGACTGTCTCTCGTTTTCTCCGGCCTCACCACCCCACGCACCAATCCACGGAGCGGCGGCACGATCTCGTCTAATGTCAACGACGTCGCGGTGCGACAACGAGCGCTGGTGGTAGTCCGGACTGGTCTTCCTGCCAATCATGAGGGGCCCGTCGCCATGGATCGCAGGGCTCGTTGCTAGCAGCGGTGTCGCCAGCGCTGCCGTGGTGTCACCCCCAGGGGGCCACGCATTCTACAACGACTATGGCTACGAAAAGGAGGCATACGGCATGCACCCCTACCAGGCCCACCGGACGCTTTCGCACGACGTCCCCAAGTTCAACATACTCCAGTCGAACGCCGAGTGTGCGACATCCATGTACACATTCCTCGCGCCTCGTGGCAAGCAGATGCTCACGCCACAAGCGACCATCTTTGACAGCGACGGCCGGCTGGTGTGGACCTCGGGGTACGAACGCCAGCAGCTCTACGACCTCAAGGTTCAGACCTACAAGGACGAAAAGTATCTGACCTTCTGGTCGGGCGACGACACGGTCGGCGGTCATGGCGCTGGCACAATACATATGGTAGGTGTCATGCGAGGCTTGCGGACGGCCTCGGTCTGTGCATCACCGTTTGCAACCAGTCAAACTAATGTGGTTTTGCACTTGACAGTTCGACAAGAATTACAAGGAGTTCAAAAAGATCCGAGCTGCCAATGGCAAGGATGCCGACTTGCACGACTTTGTAATAACGCCAGAAGGGACCGCCCTCATCACGATATACGCGAGACGAGATGTCGACTTGAGCCCCGTGGGTAAGACCTTTTCGGGCCCAGTATGGGATTGTTACATCCAAGAGATCGATATCGAGACGGGCGCGGCGATATTCGAGTGGAGTGCCCTCGACCACCTCAAGATATCCTCGGCAATGAACGAGATCGGCACGGATGGCGAGAACGATGTGCCTTGGGACTGGTTCCACATCAATAGCATTGACAAGGACAACAGGGGCAACTACCTCGTCTCGAGCCGCTTCCTGCAGGCGCTTGTGTACATTGATGGGGGCAACGGCGACGTCCTGTGGATCATGGGCGGCAAGGACAACATGTTTATCGACCGCTCGGGAGGCAATGCTACCAACTTTGCCTACCAGCACGATGCGCGTTGGGCCGACGACTATACCGCCATCACCCTGTTCGACAATGCGGTGGACGACATGCACCTCGAGCGGGCCCTGACTCGTGGGCTCAAGATTCGTGTCGACCAAACTACACTGTCGGCGGAAATCGTGGCGGAATACTTCAACCCCCGCAAGATCATTGGCAAGTCGCAAGGATCGTACCAGACCTTGCCCAACGGCCACGTCTTGCTAGGCTATGGCGACTCGGCAGCGTTCACCGAGTATGCCGCAGACGGCACCGTGCTTTGCGACGTGCATTTTGCGCCCGAGTCGCGATATACCTTTTCAGACGTCATGTCGTACCGGGTGCACAAGTATGAGTGGCACGGCTGGCCACTGACGCTACCGGTGTCGATCCTGGACCAGAGCGAAGATCGCGAGTGGAAGGTCTATGTGAGCTGGAACGGCGCGACCGAGATCAAGGAATGGATTCTCGAGGGTGCCAAAGACCTCACGTGGACCAACGAGACGGGTCAAATCGTCGACACAACCGAGTGGAAGAAGCTGACGACCAAGACCAAGGTCGACTTTGAGACAGCCATCGACCTTCAATATCACTACCCGGCGTGGCTGCGGGTTGTGGCCAAGGATGCGGGCGGCAACGTGCTTGGCGTCGGAGAGTCTCTGAACGGCACGGCCTTTGGCCAGGTAAGTCTCCATGACTGATTTACTTTTGAAGCCGGTGCAACGACTTTCTTGTGCGGCTTGTTCGGCGATGGATCTTCATTCCCCCACCTCTTCGGCACCCCTGCGGGCCCCGACATGACATGATGCAAGTGCATCTGTGCTTTACCGGCGATCGCCACGATCGACATGCACTTCGGCAATGGGTCAAAGCACATCCGTCGTATACTCTGCTCACTCATTGCATCCGCCGCGGCCGCCCCCAATGTTTTGTTACGTTTAGAGACCTCTTTCGCTGACACCTGCGCCAAATAGCCATGGTCTCGCAACAGGCCTCCAATCAACGAGGAGCAGGACTGGATGATGCGCATGCTCGTCTACTTCTGCGGTGCCCTCAGCCTGGGCATGGCAGGGTACATGATGAAGTCAATATGGCGTTCGACGCCTTCGCTGCGGCGGCGGATGGCATTTCGGTGAAGCAGCCGCAGCAATGGAACGAAAGAAAGAAGAAGGAAATAAAGAAATAAAAATATCGCATGAATCACAGGAAAAGGAGAGCCAAGATGGCAGTTAGGATATCCCCTTTGGTTGGACATCACAAAAAACGCGGTTTGCATCACCGACTAGTTTCTTTATACTGGTTTAGAAGGAAGGGGGGGAAACAGGCACATATGCAGCAGCGGCATGGCGTAAGCGGGTTTGGGCTCCTTTTTTTCATTCTGTTGTTTATTTTCTTTTACATATCAGAGGTACATCTAATGACCAGTATTTACACACACACACACGCACTTATACACACACACGTCCGCATCCTGTATCTGTTCGGAGTTTGGCAAACTTTCAAGACCGAGGCACTACTATGGTACGTACAACGTACTTTCTACAAGCGTGCGTGCGGCTGGGCTGGGCCAAGGAACGCGCACTGCACTGTTCAGGGGGGAGCACAAACCCCACAGCGAATAGGGACCAACCTGGAATGGAAGGGCAGCCGAGAGCCGCTGCTGCTGCGGCCGTTAGTCGTGCGTGGCGTCGTGCATGCACGCCAGCACGCACGCACGCAATGCCATGTGAAGTGGTGGGGCTCCGAGCAGCAAGACGGGCGAGGAGAAAAGAAGGGGAAAAAAAGAAAACAAGACTAGACGGAACAGCGGGGGGGGGGGGGGGCCTGAAAGACCAAGCCTTGGGGGCCAATTGTGGCAGGGGCCAGGGGGCCGGGGACTATCTTTGAAAAGCACGCTAGCTAACTAGGTGCGGCTTGAGTATTATGTTGCAATCCACGCGTGGCGTGTTGTAATTTCCGCGGGGCCGCGCCGCGAACCCGCCCGGCCGCCCGCCCGTGCTGGTTGACCTTTCCGCTCTTTTCATCATCTTTGGGAAGTCAATTCCGTCCGCTCACCTTCTTCGCCTAACGCTAGCGTGGCTTACGACGCGTGGGCTATGCGCTGTGATTTAGTGGTATCCGACGGCTGGTGCAGTTCGCTTTGTGGTCTGTCTGTCTGTCAATCGGCTAGCTAGAAAGCTGGTGCGCCCACGGCGGGCTCGCAGAATGACAGATTTGGGCCAGTATCAGATCTGGGCCAGTGTCCCCCGGCGGATTCAATTAATCAAAATAGTGTTTTAAGGTTGAACGGGCCATGACTGGATTGCCAGTGAATTGACATGGCATGCAGGTTAATTATGGTTATGCTTAGTTTTTAGAATGGGAAGGTGTGTCTTGAAATTGTGCCGATTGATCCGAGGTCCTTCAATTGACTCGCACGTCCACCGGGGGTCGTTAATTAGCCTGAAATAGCGACAACACCTGGGATGCACAAAAATGTCGTAGGTAGTAGTAGGAGACGTGGTCATTGTGCCCTTATCAGACCAGACCGTTGCTCAGTCTCACGGCAGCCATGCTCAATGTCAACCTTTTCAACTGTCGCTGGGGTTTTCTCCCCCGGAAGTGCATGCCCCCCCCCCAGGGTCGGTGCTTCTCCGCGCGTCATAGCATATATATACAGGGAGTCGTGGGTATTGGTGCGGCATGACACGTCGTATACGGGGGCTTCCGTGGAGCGTCCGATGTGGCAGCCCCTTGGAGTATCCAGGGCTGGGATACAGGGCCTGGTCTGGTCAATCTGCCAGCTTGCACTGCATGCTTCCTTGATGGGAGTGCAGCGCAGTGACAGCCTGGAATACTCGCTCGGAAAAGAGTCGAGGCTGGGTCCTTGTAGGCTGAGTGCCACGCGTCTTGCTTGAACCACGAGCATTTACATTGTTCTGGTATTAAATGTGCATGCAAGTCTGGTTCAGGGCCTATCCCTGTTTCGGGCGTGGCTTTGCGCCCGCGGAAGAAAGCCCCCGAGGATTCTTTGGATTATACGGGAAAAAGGAATCTATTTTGCAGGTGTGCAGGCAACCGACTTGTGTGCCCGGCTCATGCGATATTGGCTCTGCTTCAATGTCCAACAACATCATCACCATCGCCTTCATCAAGGGTGGCCCGCATTTGAGCACAGCACACTTCAGTGGATTCGGTGCCCAGCAAACGCTGTGGACCACAAGATGACGAACGACAACCTCATTACCTGCGATGTGCAGCACGTGCAAGATTGCCAGCTACAGAAACGTGTGATTTGACTACTACCCCCATACTGGCCACCCGAACCCGCCCGTCTGCCAGGACACGCAAGCAATTCGTGTATCAGCATCACCATCATGCTTTTTGGCGATCATAACTCGCCCCCCTCCCCGGTCCAGAGTCCATGCGGCTCAGACATGTCTAGGTAGCTCGGGGAGGCGACGCGCGTACACACACACAAAGTACAACACACGTACGTAGTCTCCTCCATCGTCCCCCACCACCTCTCCTTCCCCTTCAACCTTGGGCCCCCGCCTGCCTCAAATCGTCATGGTATTCCAATATGGGGTTCTTATCTCCCGCGCGGCGGAGGGTCGGGGATATTATTCTATCCACTCTGCCCACGCGGCCGGCGGGCAATGTGGACTTGCGGGTCGTTGCATGCGCTGATGACGCACCGGTTTCAGGATCTATGTACTCTAAACCTTACCTTACTTTTATGTACGCCTAAGTACGTATGTTACCCGGCCCGGTCTGATCTGGCATTTTGACTATTCCATTGGTGGCCGGCAGTTTTGCACATGGGTTTGCAAGCATCAGACCAAGGATCGCCGTGGCTGTTACATTTGATGGGGGCATCAATTATTGCATCGGCCCCCACCAATCCCGCCCCCGACCACGTCACGTTCGAAAAGCTGATGGCTCCTGCTGCTGCTCCTTTCCAAGTGAAAACCCGGGCAAGAAGCTTGTCCTTGGAAATTCGGGAAATATGTACGACGAGTGGGACTTGCGGCTCCGCTCGCCGCTCCACACGAACCAGCATGTACTGTAAAATCCGTTCCTGCCAAGGGGCGTGCCAAATTACATGCCTTTTGTCGGTGAGCGAGGCATTGGCCACTACAGGAGAGCGAGAGGTAACGACGTCATTGAGACAGCTCGTCCGTGAGTCTACCATTTGCCGAGGGTCTGATGATTGAACCGGATGCTGCGATACACCAATATGGAAGACGCTGGCGTGGTTGGATGTGGGATGTACTAAGTGTGTTGCTTGTCTAGAGCCTCAGTGATGCCAGTGCGGCATGAGAATGTGCAACGAAAGATATTGCAAGTGCTTCGCTTGGCCATGTTTTCTCACAATCAGAAGATCACTTGGAGTGTGCTGTTTTTGTTGTAGCTCATACTATCATTCCAACATGCTATTTCTGGCCATCTAGATTCGAGCTAACAAAAACGAGTCTTGTGCCTGCAAGCAGTAGAGAAGACGAGATTCGACACTTGGATCTCTCCAAAAAAGTGCCAATGCACCACACCATATATATATATATACCCATGATATAAAGAAGAAACCGACCAACATTAAGCTTGATGAACCCCCAGAACGCCGACCCTAAACCGATGTGATTTTCCGTGAAACCCAAGTTGAACAACTCTTTTGCCGCATTGTTCCAGCAGGCAAAAAATGAAAACCCCAACAATGCTGGCCCCGCGTCTTTTTACTTGATGTACTTCTCAAAGACGTAGTGGGCCGAGTAGACGGCCACGCCGACCATGGCAGACACGTGCACCCACCGGAGGGCGACGTTGTACATCTGGTTGCGGTTGCGGCGGCGGGAGCGGGCGACAAAGTCGCGGTTGTCGTTGACGTTGGGGAATTTCGAGTCGTAGGGGACGGGCTCGCCGAGGAACTCGCAGAGGGGCTCCCAGCCCTCCTTGACCTGGAACTCGAGCAGGCGCTCCTTGGGGACCAGGGCGCGGACCTCCTCGTAGTGGCGGGTGTAGATCTCCTTGCCCTTGTTGACAAAGTCGCCCTCGAAGAAGCAGTCAAAGAACTTCTGGAGCATGGGCTGGTACATGCTGGCGGCCCAGGAGAAGTTGGCGAGGGCCTTGAGCTCGGGGTCGGTGACGCGCCAGTAGACGGTGCGCATGGTCGAGGCGTGCCACGAGTCGACGTCGCGGTTGGTGAGGACAACCTTGGCGTCCGGGTAGGCCTCGATGAGCTCCTTGGCAAAGGCGATGGCGGGCCAGTCGCAGACGGCCTGGCAGTTGCCGAGCAGCTTGTCCCAGTCCTTGCGGGTGAACTCGCCAACGCCGTCGTACTTTGCGCGGAGGGCATCCATCCAGAGAAGGGCGTCGGGCGGGTTCTCAATGGAGCAGGACATCATGTGGTAGGTGTCGACGTAGCCGAGCTGTTGCATGGCGGCGCGCATGGCTGTTGTGTGTGTGTGTGGTCAGTATGTCGGTGGTTTCATACAAGTCGGAGGGTGGCACTCGACTTACAGGCAGTTCCGGTGCGGCCAAGGCCGAGGATGAGGACCTTCATGGGGACCTTGCGGGTGCATTCTCTGCGGTCAAAGTCGGTGTCGGCTGTGAAGATGTCGGTGATGGGCTTGCGCGAGTAGCGCTCGGCATAGGTCTGGGGGACGGCCATTGTGAAGGGTGAGGTATTGGTATTGGATTATGGGCACAAAGATGTCGTTTCTTGGGCGACAGGCTGGCTGTGTGCGCGAGGGGGGGGGGGGTTTGCGAAGGAGTGACAGAGGTGGTTGAGAGCTTGTGTGGTTGCTGAAAACGAGAGGAGGCTGCCGGGACAAGTTGGATGACCGGAGCAGTAACAAGAGGGCGATACGAAAGGCGAAGGCGAGTGGGTGGTAGAGTCGAAAGGCGGGTGCGAGGACGAGGAGTTCTGGGGAGGAGGCCTTCAAGAATGAAATAATACGCCGCCTCCCATCGTACAGGCGGACGGACGGGGGGTGGGAAAGGAGGCGCTGAGCCTGGTGGAGCAGTGCAAGTGGTGGCAGGGGGCAGGGTGCCTCGAGTGCAGTGGTGTGGTCGTGTCTGTTTTCGTCACCCTCCTGCTCGCGTGTGCCTGCATTAGCGCTCGCGCCGGTGGTGGCAGGGAGGGAAGGAGATGATGCCTGAGGTGCTCCCGCTTCGGTGCATGGCAGCACTCCCACGCACCCACTCGCTCCCGGCACTCCCACGCCACGTTGCGACAGGCGACTCTCGGATGGCATGGCCACCCAGCCAGCCCTGTCGCGCTCCACCCCGTCGTCTCCTCATTACAGCGTGGCTGATGCGTTTCAGCAGCTCGTTCGTTGCCGATTGACATCTCGAGTCCCGACAATCACGGCGCGCAACATGGACGTGTCTCCAGTGCGGGCCTGCTCGTCGTCATCACCGGCTCCATGGAGGCCGATCTCTCAGAGACAACAGCAAGGATACCAACTCATGCAGTGCTCTGAGCGCCGCCTAAGCCGGTTTCCAGTCGTCGCAGATCTGAAGATCCTGGTGGCTGACGCATAGACAATCCGGTCCGCCGGGGATCGCTCCCGAGCACTCCCTATCCAGTGGCGGCCATGCTCGCAAGCACCTGCACGCCCGACCCCAACCTCTGGTGGCAATCTCCTGAAAATCTTGGACCGACTCCAACTCGCACGAGGTCGCTCTCGATGTTCTCTGGACATGAGCTTGATCGAGCCCCTTTCCCACTTCAGCGACAGCCGCAAGGCGGTCACACTGCGCCCGCTGAGTGGTTGGATCGCCTTCCCTCGCTTCGCACGTCCTGCCTGACAAGGTTGCGCCCGTTGGCCACGGACCAGTGTCAGATATACCTAGGCCAGCCCCTCTTCTCTAAGTACCTTAAGGTAGGTTCAAGGCGCTCTGTCCGTCCCGAAAGGTGATTTGGCAGCTGCGCGGGGCAGATCATCGTCGCTTGGAATGCAGCATTGCCTTTGGTCGTTATGCTTAATCGTGGTCGCTCGGAAGTCTCTTGTGGTCGCGCTCATCTGGCTGGTGGACGACAGCCCCCATAGTATCGCATGGCCGCATCAACCAGAAACAACGCAAACTACGACCGACTTTCAAAACTGGCAGCACCTCAATATATGCTACCTGCTTTGCTGCTCGATGCCATCAGACTGGGGAAGAATGGCGTCAAGTGTGCAGCGCCGATAACACCACACACCTGGCCGTCTTTCGTGGGCCGTGAGAGAGCGATCGACAGGACCGGTTGGCAGACCAGCAGCAGGGCTGGTCCCTGGCAGGCTGTGACAGAACGATTAAACTACTGCCACCAGCACCGATTGCCCGCCGATTCGACCCCTGGACTCTAATTAGTGCCGGGACCAACACTCAAAATGTGGTATTAATGGCTGCATTGGCAGGCCTAGCATGCACTGCCATGTTCCCACCACCTTTGGTTTGATTAATCGCACTCGGGTGCATTGCAGGGGTGGTGGATCCATTGACCAGCGAACCGGTAGCCGACTACCCTGGCACCCTCCTGTCAGCACGCTCGGGCTGGTAACTGTACAAACACAGCCTGCTTGATGCAGGTACGTTTGCTTGTAATCGGCGAGAAGCCTTGCCACAGTACTGCAATTAAGACAGTTCTGTTGTGAGATTGTGCCAAGTCGGAAAATCAGCCGTCGTCCAGGGGGCATTACTCGTCACATTCGGCTCCAGAGGGAATGCCACATAGAAGGATTCATTGGCTGTAGCCCATCCCTGTTTGCCCACAATCTCTGTCAACCTGACATCGCAAGCATGAGGTCGCCAAGACCCCAAGCGCGTTCAACGCCCCCGCTCGTAGAGCCCAGGGGTAACATTCCTGCACATTTCTAGAAAGTCGGTACGGGCTCGCATAATCGCGCATCATTCTTCCTCTCGGGAGGAATTCTGTCTACATGCACATCATCGTCGTCTTGCTTACAGAGCAATTGTGTGGAATGTGCAGGATCCGGCTCAGGTTCCATTGACGGATTTCAGGAAACATTGGTCTATAACCCGCTTCGCTCAGCGGAGATAGGACCACCCTAGCCACGCGAGCATTTAGCCTCGAGCTTCAGCCGCTTTTCCAATTTACAGGGCGGGCGGCCAGGTGGGTGGTGGCGTTGGCGTCGCGTGCTTGGCGGGGAGGTCGCAACCACTTGGCCGGCCGGGCAGGCGGGGGGGCCCTTGCACATGTGCACTCTAGGTACCTTAAGCTTAAGGTACTGACTGCATTCCGCAGCAAGAATCATGATAGTCCCAAAGGACAACAGCTTCACCATTGACGTGATCGTCGCCAGTAATTCTGATGAAAGGCAGATTGGTTCCCCAATCTGTTGAGTAGTCCGGTTGGCGTGACAATTGCAATTGAAATCAAGAAATCAATCAGAACTCTCCTCTCCTCATTGCCCATGACAACACGAACCCACAAACCTTATTGACCTTGTGCGTGGTGTGTAGGGAAGGTGGTGGTGGTGGTGGTGCTGCTGCTTGTTGCTGCTGGCGGACGGCCGAAACGAGGCCAAAGTCAAAACTGGGGACGCTGGCGTCAGCTGGGGAAAGATTGTACGACGGGAGGAGTACATTGGCTAGGATGCGTTGCCGGCCACACCAGCCTCGCCCTGCTGGTCTTCTCCTGCCAAGCCCTGCTGAGCACATCTAGGCTCGTGGTGCTAGCTGGGTGTGTGTAAATCACCGTTGAGCTGTCAGCTGTCAGCTGCTTGATGGCTGTGTGCTCTCATGCCATGGTGGTTTTCAGTTTTTCTGTGGCTGGTCTTGCCAAGTGGTGGTGGTGGTGGTGGTGGTGGTGGTGAGGCGCTGTGTAAAGTTTAGTTTGTGCCTTTTGACGGAACATGTCGACGCTGGCTGCTGGCTTGGACAGTTTGAAGCCAAATGTAAAAAGGCCCGAAACCCGGCAGATAGCTAGGTGCCATGATCTGTTCGTCTCAAAGCAGGTTGTTTTGCTCGCTCCGTGCATGCTCTCGACCTTACTTGGCCGCGCCTCGTGCCTCGTGTTCAGCCCCCCTCTCAGGAATGGAGATTTTGCCGCCGAAAGGAGCGAGGCATGCACCCATACACTCGACGCTACTGCTTGTGGTCTTGATGGTGTTGCCACCGCCGCCACTGCTGGCAACGATAAAGGCTGGGATACCTGCCAAGAAGACTAGCTCGCTGTTTTCTCCTTCACCGCTGTGCCATTGATTGTGGTGGTGGCTGTGGTTCCAAAGAATACGGTGGAAGTGTAAGAGACGCATTATGAGCGATAGGATGTCCAGGCTCTTAGATGAATGCGTTCGTGCCTTACCTATTTATTATTGGCGTCCTGTACATTTAGTAGCTCGTGGCGGATTCAAGTAGTATGTATGTGTCATTCGTCTCATATACAAGTTTACCATGTGATAACGCTGTTGTGGCGAAGTGCTTGGACTTGACGGCGACAGAGTTCCCCTTCTGGCCTTTCTGTAATAGAACGGCATGATTTGATGGAGACATGCAGAATCTTAAACAAAGATGCCTAGTTAAGAACCGGGACTACCTGTTCCTTGAACACACCGACTCGTGAGAATCACGTGGAATCGCGGAGCCGCCTGAATTGGCCCAGGGATGGTTGATTGTGCGCCAGAACTGTCTCCAACTCGAGTTCAAATCAACTGTCTTTCTTGAACTGTTGATGAAAGGTGACAGTAAGGACGCAAATTTTGACGACTCAGTGGTCCTCAATGAAGAGCAAGCGTTCTCTCGAACGAGCCGTTGAAACATTTTGGCAAGAGCTGACGTCTTTGTAAGTGAAAAAGACATAAGCAAGACATGCAAAGCGGTTAACTTTGTGAGTGATGTAGAGACATAGTGGACCAACCAGGAAGTTCGCACACAAGGAACTATGTTTTGGTGAGGCTAATGAAAGCATGGCAAAGATTGAGCTCACCGTGGCTTCCAGAGCCCGATGACTGAGCTCAATTGCCCACTCAATGGTTCTGGCAACAACGTTGGGTTCGAGCACGAAACCAGGAGTGGTGGGTCTCGGGGCGGTTGTCCCGTCTTGTAACTGTACTCCGACCACTCGGTCAAACGCGAACTAGATAAGCGGAGGGCATCTCAGTCTTCCGCTGTTGCAGAACTGCATCATATCAAACTTCAGGATGTCTACGTTCCTCCTGGTATAGGTGTGGCTGTTTGCTTACCAAAGTGGTCAAGTGCGTGACCATATCCATTGAGGCAGGTGAAGTCTCTTGGACACTTCTATCATAGTGGCATGATCTGACCTGACTTATGAACTACGAGATAGGCTGTTCTATACCCCCATGAATATCAAAGAGGCTATCCGCGTAATAACCAGAGCTTCCGCTAATCCAACCCACGTCATTCGGCGAAGTGCTGAACTAATGCACCCGCGCGAGAACTTATCCAGGCCGACAATTGGGTTAAATTGAGATGCGCTTACATTGGGGGCATCAATTGATATGATTTTCATTGCTTTGACAAAGCTGTCGTTACATTTCAAGTCCCCTGGGGACTCATCACCGCAGTGATGGTGAGGCTCACGACAGAATTGCAGGCTTGTTGTCCTGAGCCCCACATCCAATATTGGTAATGAAAATTGAAGTCCATCCCTTCGACAAGACCACCCAGGCCGGAAAGATAAGAATATGCCATTCAAATGTCTCTTTCATTATCAAAGTGGCCCATTCTCCATAAACCTCAGATTCCCGACTTGGCATCGAGACCCACGGTGCTGCTTAGCAAGCACTTTGAGCCAATCAGAGCTCGTTTCTGCATTACAAATCTGGTTGGCACGACTTTGACCTCCACGGTACGCTAGCAACCGACGGCTTAATTATTGAACCGATCCGTCTTGAACATCGTGAACATGGTGTCCCGAGTGTCTACTAGGTTGACGGGTGTTTCTAGAGACCGAGAAGGTGTCGTGCTCCGATTGTGTCGGGGTTTTGTTGTTTCCAGTGACGCAGTATAAAGATGGCCTTGGCCTTCTCATGATTGTTAGTGAAGCACAAGGCACAAAGCACGAAGCACAAAGCATTAAGAACTGACGAACGTACCGCAAGTGACCATCAAAACATAACGACATGCCGAAACTAATTGTTGTAGTTGGCGTTACTGGACTGCAGGTAACTCTTCACGTGAAACTCTACAGACCACAAGATACTGTGGTCTGTAAGTACTCCACTGAACGCTGACAATCTACCAGGGCTGTTCTGTGGCCAGAAAGTTTCTCAGTCTGCCTGGATGGAAAGTCCGAGGCATCACAAGGAACCCCTCTGGCGATAAGGCTAAGGCACTTGCGGTTGAGGGCGTAGAGATCGTTCAGGGCGACCTAGACGCAGCACCCTCGACACTCATTCCAGCGCTTACAGGAGCCGCCGCCATTTTCTGCAACACCGACTTCTTCGCACCGATATGGCCGGAAATATCCAACCCCTCCTCAACGCTCAAGGGAGAGGCGCTCCTCAAGCACGCGTTTGAACGCGAAGTCGCACAGAACGTGGCCGTGGCCGAGGCAGCCGCCGCGCCTGAGGTGCTGGCTACGCTGGAGCGCTTCGTCCTCTCGTACCTCACCGACAGTACCAAGGCCAGCAAAGGCAAGTACACCAACATGTACCATTTCGACTCCAAGGCCGAGGCGGCGCGGCAGATCGAGGCGCGGTTCCCCCAGGTGCACGCGCGGATGAACTACCTGCTCATGGGCCACTACACCAACAATGTGACCCTCATGCCCTTCATGTGGCCGCAGAAGCAGGAGGACGGCAGCTACCTGATCGCACGCTCGGTTTCGGCGACCACGTGGGTCCCCTTCATCAACGTGCCCCGGGACACGGGCGAGTTCGCGTGGGCGCTGGTCGAGCACTTGAAGCCCGGCACGACGCTGCTGGGTGCTTCGCAGATCATGACGTGGCCCGAGTTCACTAGCCTCTGGGGTGAGCTGCTTGGTGTCAAGGCCGAGTACAAGCAGGTCACTGGGCGTGAGATCTTCAAGGGCCTTCCTAGCCCGGTGGATGACGAGATCATTAGGAGTTTTGACTTCTGGAATGAGTTTGGGTTTGTAGATGATTCCACTGTCGTGTTCCCCGATCAGGTAAGTCTCGTGTGTTACACTGGAGGTGTACAATTTAGATGCTCGATATTACTGGCGAGCTATTTGGCTAACAAAAAGAATAGCTTGACACAAAGTTGTCTCTGACCTCAATGGAGGACTTCATTAAGAACGAGGACTGGAGCGCGGTCTTGTAGCTATAATGAGCTTTCGTGTAAACGACGAATTGTCGGTGTTGGCCTATGGCGATACGATGTAACGAGGACTTGCCTCCCTAGCCTAGACTCTGAATGCATGAGTGTATCACAAGTTCGTGAAAGTATACGCAACCCATGATTGGCATTTCATCATTCATTAATGCGTCCATTGTAAAGAGGCTGTTGCCACGCGCTTGACCGGGCGAATCCCATGTCGCTTTTGACGTGAACACGAACTGGGACAGCCTCACGGCTGTGAAATCTGCCCGCGCACAGGCGCGCATTGCCGAACCCATCCCTTTTCCAGGCCATGTTCTGAGTCCTGCTTGATGATTTGCAAAATCCGGAAGTAACGCCAATTTGCCGCCTTCTCCCCGGAATCCTCTTCAGAAGCTCCGCATCACTCAATTTCGCCATCTGACCTTTTCCCTGGATGAGCAGAAGGGAGCTTCGCACATTGACACTGAAGTAAGAGCGGGATCTTCATGATAGTGGGAGCGAAAAACCTTACGCGTATACTTGCAGCTAGTGATCATAAAAAGCTCTCAACTCCCGCCCCTTTGCGCTCGGGCAAGTACTTCCCAGTACCTGCCCTGCTCAAGTGCTGTGCCACCCGAGGATATCAAACCGTGTTTCACCTGACACCGTCCGACGCCCACCATACTGCACCGACAAGGACTACTATCGGCGACAGAATGAGCGCTGCAGCGTTTCTCACGGCTCTTTTCACCTGAGGCATCATAAACTCCTCGACCGTCTCCTTGAACACTTCCGGGGTGAATGGCGGTGGGAAGGGCTCGTCTGGGACTGGCATTTGAAGGAATGGACATATTGCGTCCCAGTCCAGGCCATCTTCGAGTCTCACAACCAGCAGCTGTTCTGGTGGGACAATCTTCTTGACCAGAGCAACACTGTCGTGGTAGTCAGCAAGAGCATCTTCGACAGCAAGCATTCACCACAAAAAGCTGAGCAGACAAAGTGCTTGCTCAGGTACTACCAAATCGGACGACCGAATCATGATCCAACACCAGGGGCAGGCTACTCACTGCTCGCGGTACCAATCAGCGCAAGCCTCCAGACCGCCGGGCCGCCCAAACTTGCCGTCCGAGAAGCGCTCGGCTGTGATGTACGCGCTGCTGCAAAGCTGGTACATGGCGTCGTCGAACTGCTTGAGGAAGCTGGTGGGGAACCTGTTGACGTCCTCGGTCATGCGGACGATGCTGTTCATGACGCTGCGCGCCCAGCTCTCCGGGGTGCGCTCGACCAGGATGTACTTTGCGCGCGGGTACGCCTCGACAATCTCCTCGGGGAAGTATGAGGGTAGTTCCGTGAGGGCCTTTGGTTCCATTCGGTCAGCTTCAAGTCGCATTTCTTGCGCGGCCCCATAGCGGGCTGGAAGAGGGCGCTCACATCATAACCCTGGAACCACTTCTCAAACTCTGGTCGGCGATAGACCTCGAACTCCCCGTGGAACTTGGCTCGCATGGACTCGTTGAAGAGCTTCATGTCCCGCAGCCCATTGTAGATGCTCTCATAGTTGTGGTAAGTCTTGTACCCGAGCACTTTCAGGGCACGATATGTGGCCAAGGTTGCGGATCTATCTAAAGCGATCAGCAGCCCGTCATTAAAGGGACATGGGAATACGCGAGACCTGTGAGCCGGAACAAACTGTGCAGAGCATGCTGCACAGCACGGGTCAAAACAAGTTGTGGTTTGATTGTGACATACCTGCTTGGGCTGAGCACAACCACCTTGACCTCGACTGATTTCGTTGGCGGCGGGAGTGTGTCGACGAATCTCGTGGCAGCATGCTTTCGGCCATGTAGGGATCCCATTTTTGAGTTAGGTATGGACGTTTGGTAGATTAGTAGACAAACATTCGTGCGTCTTGGCGCTCTGGCATGGGTCTTCTTATAAGATTAGAACGCAGAAATCCTCACGTGGGGAAAAGTATGGTCGTTAGATTCCGAAATGACAAGCAACCATCAGACCAACCATGGTCGCCAGCGAGCATGCTGACTGAAACAACAAGCGGCTACATGTACGTGATGTGACGACCTGTCATGAGGCTTCCCCACCAACTCTGTGGACACAGTCTGACTTCCAGGCTGACATGCATGCCAACCATCCTTGGCAGTATCCACGGAGCACGAAACTGTTTAGAACTACCTAGTGTTGTTGCATAGCGCTATCGCATGTCCAAGACCGAACGAGCCAATCCCTCTCCAGGAAAACCGATGTATACATAGTATGATCACGCACCCCTGCAAATGAACCCGCTGCCCAAGAGGGGGCGAGCGGAGAGCGGACGACCATGGTGCGTCGTTTGCCAGATCACCTGGTCATTTCAGCCAAGAGTTTTTGTCTCATCGCGAAATGCTCATCTTTTATTTTACACATGTGTACTCGGTGCTATTAGACGGGGCCTCAGCTCAAAAGTAATTGCAAGGTGCTCGTATTTTGCCAGACTGAACACCACCATCAAGGCACAAGACCAGGACCTGGTCCACCAAAGTCCACCCATGCTGTTGGCATTGCGTCCCATAATTCTCTCTCCCCGTTCAGCAGCCCTGAGGCAGATCGAAGTTGTCCACACGCCCATTCTCGCGAAACACGGCATTGACACCCAACCCGCGCTTCGCGAAGCCCCTCCAGATTTCGCACTTGTTGACGCCGCCCGTGTTGGCGAGGTCAGCGTCCAGGATGGCATCGCGGGACTGGATGAATGTCGGGTTGCATGGCTGTCTGTAGGAACCAAATTACGCCTCCGTTCAGCAACGCACCCACGAATTCACAAGAGAGGAGACAAAGAGCAAGAAACTTACAGGGCAAACGAATCCGTCAGCAGCTTGAGCATCAAGTACTTTCCGTCTGTGGGCACGCCACCCTGCCCCATGACCGGCTTCGGGCCGTCATTCTTGCCGTGCTTGTCAATCAGGTTCCAAAGCACCTCGTAGAGCATCGTCGCCCACACGGTGCCGATCTCGTGCACCTTCTGCCGATTGTCCGCGGCCTTGTACGTCAGGCCGTTGACGCCCGTGTCGGTCGAGTACAGCGCGATGCGGGCCGTCTCGTTGGCCGCGCCGAGCGGCCAGCCCGCGAAGCCGTAGTAGGCGGTCGCGGGCGTGTCCTGGGGCTTGATGGCTACGGCGGCGGCGAAGAGGTCGCTCCACCCTTCGGCCATGCCGTCCGCTTCGTACGAGTCGAGGCATTGCCCATTAGCAGGGCCGCCGGTGAGACGGTTTGTCACTGGATTTTCCTTCTGGTCAGTCATGCATGCCATCATGGACGAGTTCGCATATCAAATGGAGAGGGGGGAGAGCCTACAGCCGTGGGTGTACTCATGGATCACGAAGCCGCTGTCGAAAGCGACATCGCGCTTGGGCACCGTCTTGTCAAAGATGTACAGCTCCATGTACGACACCCGGCCGTCAATAGTGCGCGTCATGATGCCGTTGTTCATCCCACTCCACAGCTGGATGCTGGCCTGGACCCTGTCATACGGCCGTCCTCCTTTGTCAAAGTTGTCGGCCTGCATGTTGCCTGCGGCCTCGGTGAACCCGAGGCTGTAATAGAGGTCATGCGCCATGTTGATGATGTAAAAGACCTGCGTGCACGCGGCCTCGAGATAGTTGCGCGGCGTCGGGTCCGCCGGGCTGTAGGGGAACTGGAAGTCGAGAGTGTCGCTGTCGGGAAAGTGCACGAGGCCAGAGTTGTCTGGTACAGCACCGACCTGAGCATTATTGCCAATCGTGGTGTTGGCATCGAGGCCGTCGGCGTGCCAGCCTTTGGGGGAGGAGGTGGTGTCTTGGGGGTCCTGGACAACAGTCCGGGTGCCCTCCGAGGGATCGTTGATACCCCAAGGGCTTGTTCGCGAATAATTGTCAGCCCTAACAGGACAATGTTCTGCTGGAGAAAAGTCGGCTTCTGAACTTACAAGACTTGGTACGTCGCATGAGAGTGGAAATCCATGACGCCGAGCACGCGCGCCTCCCCTTGAGCAGCGACATGCGCCGACAGCCAGCGCCGCGCATGGCGAACCTCGACCTGCCACGCGAGTGTGACATCTCCAGCCGGCTCGACCATGTAGCTCAATCGCACTTGAGGTCTCTCGACAAGACCAGATATGCCTTCGATGGAGAACGAGTTTTCATCTTCTCCAGCCACACTCTTCCCCGTCCCGGAGACTGGGTAAGAGAATGTTGCAAGCACAACTTCGACAGCAGCAACGGGGTCCAGCAGTGCCTCTCGCTCGATGAGAGCGTTGCGGCTGATCGATTCGGCGGCCACAAAGGCATTGCTGTATGAGAAGATGCTGCCGTCACGAGCGACCTATTTGTGCGTCAGCACGATGAGTCCTTTTTATATCCACTTACCACTAAGCGCAATACCGTAGGTGTTTCAGCGGAAGGCCGGTTTCTGACTCACATGAACGCTGAAGTCGGCATTGTCAATATCAAGCCCACCGATGGTTTGCTTGAAGTTGACATGGCCTATGCCATTGGCGCCGATGTAGTGATCGCCCACGACGCGATAAGTGGTATTCGGCTCGGTGCTCGCAACGAGAGCTGTGGCAGTGTCGATGTAGTCACCACGACGGACGAGTCTCTGCACAGACTGATTGGCAGCCACGTCGGAGGCCTTGGTGTAGCCTGGTGCTGGACGGAAGCGGTAGGCACTGCTGAGATCGCTGGCGGCGACATGGGTGGAACCTCCAAAAAGGGCCAGCAGAAGGACAGCGAAGTTCTTCGAGGCAAGCATCATGGTCGGGAAGCGGTACGCAAAGAAGCTTAATTCTTTCGATCACCCCGAACCAGTGTTGGTCATTTACCCTACGACTTGGATGGGACCAGCCTTGGTATTAATCTGTGACCGGCGAAACGTATCTAGCCACCGGAAGAAACCATCCGCCAGAATGTACAAGCAGCAGCTGTAGCCCCTATGCTCGGCACCGACCAGCGTTGCACTGAAGGATTGCACCCGAGCTGCAGTCAAGACGGGCACGCCTTGTTGCCTCCTCGGGGACAGTCCCCTTCCCAGCATGGCAATCCTCCATCATGGGAGGAGCTGCCAAGATATGCAGCGGTGCCGCCATTTTCTGGGGTCGGCAAACATTTCCCGCAGGGGTTGATTCGGAGCTTTCCACGGGCCAGGGAGCACGTCAATTGACGGAGTCTGAGCTTCCTCGTTGTGTGCAAGGGTGCTCTTTTTTCCTTTGAAGAAGAACAATCGCTGGCTCCTGTAACGATGTCCGGCGCTCAAGACATACGGCAGTGCTTCAAATTTGTTCGTCTCGTCTGGTGAAGAAGGCTGCTTGACAACTTTTATGAGCAAGTAAAAGCCACCCGCCTTCAACAATTTTCTCAATAATCATACCTCAGGTCGAATTAAATCCGTCTATATCAGTGCAGCCACATACCCAACTCGATCGCCCTGAGTGATCATATTTCGAGTAGCTCCCCTCTGCTAGAGCGCGCAAGTCTATTCTCCATGTTTAGACCCTGTACCGAGAAGCCCGGCGGATTCTCTTGGCCTTCGTGGAGTTCCCACAAAAGGAAGCGCTTCAAAGCCCCGGCGCATTCAACTCCGCAGTGCGCCCTGATTGGCCAGACTACGAAGCGTGCTTCCCAATTGGGGAATGCGGCCTTTTTGATGCGTGCCCTTTTCTCGCACTCTCCACGCTCCACCTTGTCGTCCACCAACCACTGCTTGGGAACCAAAAGCCGACGACGTTGTGGTGTGTGGAAGGGTGGTCACCGATGCTGATATGGCGGTCCGAATCTATATAGATTGACACCGAAGTTATAGCGGCCTTATTCGGCACCTTGGGCATGCTACTTCGCCCTCGGCTTGTGCTGATTCCGGTCCTGAGTCTGCTTGGAGGATCACCGCACTGGGTACATGTTTTCTCATTCAACAGGAACAGTGCTAGCAACTCTGCCTTGCCGACCGGACCATCATGCCTGGATGTATCATCGGCCCGGACCCGGTCCTGCGTCAACTATGGCCGCGACTCTTCCTTAGTGGTCAGACGGGTGATCTCTCTCAATCGGATGCATGCGCACGCATGCACATTCGAGAATGCTCTAACAATGAAGTCTTGATTTTTCTAACGCCCTTCGCTGTCATAATTTGGTCAACATGCCACGCGCAACTGGCACGCTCGTTATCAAGTACATAAAACACAACATTACAACAAGGGACCGCTGCCCTCGCCTCTCACAACCCAGACCACCAGTTCGTCTCCTCCACCACAAACGAGCCGACGACGCTGTTGTCCTCGGTGACCGCCGAGCTGTCCGCTACAATCACCGCGTACTCGCCCTTCTCGACGCACCACTGGTCGCGCTCCTCGTCCCAGTAGCTCGCCGCGTACTTGGCCTCGACGTCGATCGCGAGCTCGGCGTCGTGCCCGGGCTCCAGTTCGCGCGTCTTGGCGAATCCCTTGAGCTCCTTGCGCGGGCGGTTCACCTTGGCGGCCTGTTGGGGGGCGACGTACAGCTGCGCGACCTGCGCTCCCGAAACCTTGCCCGTGTTGGTCACCTTGAACCTGGCCGAGAGCTTGCCGCCGTGCGTGTATGACACGTGCAGGTGGCTGAACTTGAAGGTGGTGTAGGACAGGCCGTGGCCAAAGGGGAACAGCACGTCGCGCTCGGCGAACTCGTAGTACCGGTAGCCAATGTAGATGTCCTCGCCGTAGAGCACGCGGGACGCCTCGGTGCGGTAGTTGAGGAAGGCCGGGTTGTCGCTGTTGCGCACGGGGAAGGTCAGGCTCGTCTTGCCGCTAGGAGTCACGTCGCCAAACAGCACGTCCGCGATCGTGTTGCCCGTCTCGTTGCCCCCGAAACCCGCCCACACGAGCGACTTGGCCTGCTTCACCCACGGCATCTCCACGGGCGTGCCGGACTGCAGAACCACGACCGTGTTGTCCGGGTTGGCTGCCAGCACGGCCGAGATGAGGTCGTCCAGCCCGGGCGGCAGCTTCATGTCCGCCCGGTCGTTGCCCTCGGTCTCCCAGTCGGCGTTGAGCCCTGCGCAGATGATGACCTGCTCGGCGTCCTTGGCGAGCCGCGCGGCATTCTCGATTTCTTCCTTGGCGTCAATCACCTTGCATGCGCCGAGACGCAGGGCGCCGCCAGCGAGGGAGACGTTGCGGTCGGCGAGTGGGGACGTGGCGGAAGAGCCAAAGGTCACGCGGATCTTGTACTCCTTGTTCTTCTCGAGCTTGTGAGTTCCCTTCTCCTCGATCGTGGACGTGCCGAAGAAAGCATCGCCCTTTACCTGGTGGTCTGTGTTGTTGATGACCAGCTTGTCGTCAATGTACACGTTGGCCGTGCCGGCGACGACGCAGCCAAACTCCCACGTGGCGTCCTCCTCGATGGTGAGTGTCGCCTCGAGCTCGGCGTACCAGACATCCGTGTTGAGCTTGGGGTTGGTGTAATCGACGAGGAGCATCTCCGTCTTGACCAGCTCGAGCTCGTCAACCGGCGTGCGGTCCTTGACGTCCGCGGGCTCATTGTAGAACTTCATCAGAACACCAGGCTTGCCGCCTGGTGTCTTGGTTGAGAGGCCCAGAAGGGGCAGCATTTTGTGACTGTACGCGCCGACGCTGTACTTGGGCGCAAACGAGGTCTTGCTGCTGATGCCCTCGAAGGGGGTAACGGCATAGTACGCCAGCAGCGAGGCAGAGCCTCCACCGTGGTACGTGCTGACCTTGGCATTGGGGCCGATGACCACTGTCTTCTTCTCCTTCTTGAGTGGGAGGAGGTTGTTGTCGTTCTTGAGCACGACGATACCCTCGTTGCCAATCTGGCGCAGGAGCGCTGCCGTCTCGGGCGTATCGGCCTTGCCCTCGGGCGCATTCTCAGGCACACCACTGGCCGCGCACTTCTTGACGAGCTTGAGCACCTCACGGACGCGCTGGTCGAGGACATGGCCTCGGACCTTGTCGGTCGAGACGTTGAAAGCCAGGGGCTCACCGCGGAACCGGGGAGGGCCGGGCATCTCAATGTCGAGACCAGCCTTGGTGGCCTCTGTGGTGGAGTAGGTGCCGAACCAGTCACTCATGACGAGACCGTCCCATGCCCACTCGCCGCGGAGCATGTCTTGCAGCAACTTGGTGTTCTCGGAGCAGTAATGGCCCTGGACCGAGTTGTAGCCGGTCATGAAGGCACCTGGCTGAGCATCGCGGACGGCGAGCTGGAAGGGAAGGGCATAAATCTCGCGCAAGGCACGCTCTGTAACGATGACGTCGACAGCGTTGCGCTTGTGCTCGTGGTCATTGCAGACAAAGTGCTTGACAGTCGCCTGGACGCCAGTGGACTGGATGCCACGGACGATGGCGGCAGCACCCAGACCAGCAAGGAAGGGGTCCTCGCCGATAGACTCGAAGCCACGGCCTCCAGTAGGTGCTCTCTGCATGTTGATGGTAGGCCCAAGGATGACGTGAGCACCTTTAGCCTTGGCCTCGTCGCCCATCTTGGCACCGGCCTTCTCGAGCAGCTCCGTGTTCCAGGTCGCACCGAGGGCGGTTCCGCAGGGGAAGCAGGCCGCGGGGACTCCATTGAAGAATTTTGTGCCTCGGACACCGTTGGGGCCGTCTGAGAATCTCAGCGAGGGGATGCCGTGCTGGGGGAAGCCCTTTGTGTGCCAGAAGTCGATGCCGGCCAGGAGGTCGACCTTCTCGCGGGTGGAGAGCTTCTTGAGCACCTCCTCGACGTTGATGTCGGCCATGATGTGGACTGTGGTATGTGTAAATTTGGTGAGAGGGGACGGGCACACCTATAGTCCAGTTCATGACGGTTGCCGTTGCTGTGACATGACCTCGAGGCTTTATATGGGTTGGGCAGCCCCCGGAGCCGGGGCCGTGATGCCCCCCCGTCCGAGCACCGGCAGGTGTGGGGAAGGCGCGGCGGGGGACCGCGCTGGCTGGGTAAATGCGCAAGGGGCCCGTCGGATCGCATGATGGGCTGGCGCCGGCCGAAGTTCTCCCAGCGCGGCGGGCCTGGCGATTTGGCCGGAGTTTCTCCTCAGCCAGTCACGGCTCGTCGTGATCGACCTGAGGACCCCGCTGGCCAGTCACGGAGCGCCAAGCCTGCGCCTTGGCGGGAAGACATGATGCCGTGTGAGATGAAAGTCTGTTGAAGCATGTGGTGCCAAGTGGTGTCCTTGTCTCAGGCGTCCACCAGACGGCAGCCCTACACTTACCATCCTAAGGAACGTCAAGCACGCCCGGGAGTGTGTGTTGGGGGGCTCTGTCCCTCTGTGCCCAGCTCCACACGGGCTGGCTGGCTTCCAAGGTCAAACGTGGACAGGAAACCATGAATGTCCGCCGTCGATTGTAATCATATGCGGTGAAGGGTTGTCACCGTCAAATGTACTTCACGTGCCGGCCCGGCACTGCAGGGCTGACAACCTGGATCTCTGGAAGTGGCTCATCCCCGCCCATCGTGCTTAGCTCAGCACAGTCGTACCTGCCCACTGCAGGTGTCGTGTATCGGTGTCCCAGCCTCAATCTCCAGGCAGCCACCCGGCGGCAACCCACTGCAAACGCCTAGGATCTTCCCCCAGAGCCTCATTGCCGTCTCATGCAGCCGCCCTTGGGCTACCACTGAACAGCACGAACCTAACGCTGGCCAGACTTGCCGCCAACACCATGTCCCCTCCTGCCTGAGCCTGCGCATCCGAGTGGCTCCAGTCTAGACTCAAGCAAAACACAATGGTCTACACAGGCAAGCCTTCCAAAAGCTGCGAAGCCTGCAGGCTGCGGAAGCGGCGCGTGAGTCAAACCCTTCCGAGCCGGATATATGGCCCTTTGACTTTTTGCGTGCTGACACATCGCTGCTCCTTCTCCCAAAGTGTGACAAAGGTGTTCCCGGATGTGGACAGTGTCGTCGCCAAGGCACAGAATGTCCTGGTTACCGCGACCCGTTGAGTCTGGCTTTCAGGAACCAGACTGCCCATGTCATTGGAAAAGCACAGGGCCGCAAAGCAAACTCGGACCATTCAGAACAGCGCGCCTCCTCAGCCCAAAACCCTCAGGGTACATCACCTGCCTCGTCGGATGGCGGGTCCGACAAGTCTTCAAACAACTCAGTGGTGGTTCCTTTCTTTTCACGGGCCCCCTCGCTGCACTTCCAGATGGATCTGGACCTGGCGGACTTGGGGCTCACGTACTTCCAAGAAAATTATGCAACCGGGCACATGGAGAGTTACGAGACCTTCATGACGGTAGCTCCAAAAGTGCTGGCCACCGACCGGGATCCGACGGCCATGACGTCCGCGATCCATGCGATCTCGCTTGCAGGCATCGCCAACTCTGCCGGAGCCCAGGTTGACCAGGCTGGCCTGTCACGCCGGGCGTGGTCGAAGTATTGCACCGCTTTGCGAGCTGTCAATCAGTTACTGACGGACCCCGTGCTCGCCTGTAAGGACAGTACCCTATTCGCCATCCTGTTGCTGTCCATCTTTGAGGCCGTCACCTGCTCAGGCCCCGCTTCCGTCTCGGCCTGGAAACGGCACATTGATGGTGCCTCTGCTCTGATCGCCCAGCGAGGCCTTGCTCAGTTTGAGCGCGACATTGGCCGCCTGGCGTTCCGCGAGACTCTCGTACACATCCTCACCTCATGCTACCGGCTGCAGGTCCCCGTGCCGCCCCAGATTCTGGCGATGCGGCGCGAGTTTGAGAGACGGCTTGGCCCCCAGGACACGATATGGCTCATGAGCCATGCTCATATGGACGCGCTCGATCTATGGCAGCGTGCTGTTGCGCAGGAATGGCCATTGCCTGCGGCATTGTGGGAATCGTTACTTCTCGAGGGCATTGAACTGGACCGGCAGAATGTCGCCATCTTCGACCAGTACCTCGACTTCTGCGGCCTCGAGCGCGGCTTCAGAACCATGTTCAACCCTCGTGCCGATCCTGCCCTTGTCTATGAGGGGGCATACCACGTGTACCCAAACATGCGGCTGGCTCGACTGTGGACAGGGACACGGACGAGTCGCATCCTGGTCAATCGTCTGATCCGGGCGTTGGCGATTGAGACGGAACCGGGGGCCTCGTTTGGGGCAATTGGGATGTCGCAAGCGCAGCTGATCAAGACCCTAGACCACAAGCTGTACGACCTTGCCACGAGCTTGATTGCCACGGCGCCGCAGCTGCTGGGTTACCTGGATGCTGACGGGTCGGTGCTACCTCTGGACGTGGCCAAGCCCAATGTTGGCGGCGGCTACCAGGCCATCTTCCATCTGTATCATGCAGGGCAGCTGCCGGTCACGGACGAGCCCGCGCGGCTGTGGGTGATCAAACAGCTGCGGAGGATCGACTCCCAGACAGGCATCCGCAAGGCTGGGTTCCTTGCAGACCTGCTAGTGCAGGAAGGCCGCTTGAAGCACTAGCGGCAAGGGCAGGACGCCTTGCTGGGTGCTGTCGACGGAGGCTTGATGTACATCACCAGCATGCATACGTACCAACGGAGAGGACGAAGCGCCAGGGTCCATCCAAGTCCAAGCAGCCCCGTTGCGTAGTGCGGAGCGGCAGGCAGTGCTGGTGGGGTGACCGAGTGCGACGGGCTGAGCGAGATCCCAATAAGGCTAGCGTAGAGTCGGGACGATGAGCGGCAGCTTGAGCCCTTGAGCTGCGCCCCGACCCAGCTACGCTTACCTCTCTACCATACAGTAGGGCAGGATCCACGAAAGTTGCTACTGGACCCGGATGGCTGCCTGGGGCACGCAGCATGGTGTATGCCCGTTTGGGAGACTGTTGTGCCGTTGACAGACCAGGGGCCCAAGCAGGCAGGGGTCGTGGCAGTCAAGCTTTTGCCGAGCCCTCGAGGGTGGGCCGCCCCCTGCCCACGCCTTGCCGGATCGGGTATACACGATGCTGCTGTGCTTCGAACTCGGCCTGGGAATGCCGTTGTCCTATAGTATTGGCATTTTCAGGGTGCATATTCTGCTGCCTGCGAGGCTTGCGACGGTTTGCGATGACGAGGGGTATCCATTGACCTGGTTGGCATGATTGTATAAGAGCTCGAGGCGTGCCCTCCTGTCTGACCTTCATCTCGTCCAAGTCATTCACCAGCTTATACGCCTTGACACATCACGCTGCAACTCTCAGCCTATACTCTACACTATCGACCCATCCATATATATATCTGCGCCTTCACAACACCCAGCGCCGCCCCTGAAAATGGCCCCTACAGAGACAGACATTGCCATTGTGCAGCTCGTCTTCTTCACGCCCGTCGTGCCTCTCAGCATCTGGCTCTGGTGCCGCTATGGCTTCCGCCTCGGTGCCGGCGCGTGGCGGCTCGTCCTCGTCCTCGGCCTCCTGCGTCTCATTGCAGGCTCTTGCGCCCTCGCCGCCGAGTACCACCCTTCCGAAAGCCTCTACGCAGCCGTACTGTCATGCGACCTTGTCGGCACGGCGCCCTTGCTCCTCCTGAGTATGCGTCTCGTCGAGAGAGTGTGAGTCTCTGCTCTCTCTTAGTATCTCTCTTCCATCATACTAATACAGCCATGGCTGCAGCAACGACACATATCATAAGCTCCCTGCCCGTCTCTTCCGCCTCGTAGACTTGGCGTCCCTGGTTGGACTCGTGGTGGGCATCATCGGCGCCAACCAGGCTCTCACCTCCCTCGGATCTGGCAAACCCTTCACCGTCAACGGGCCCATGATCGGCGCCATGGTCCTCTTCATCGTGGTCCTCGCCGCCGACCTGATCTCCACCGCCATTCTCTTCATCCCTGCTGTCAAGGGTGAACCTCCCGTCGTCAACAGTGCCGAAAAGCACGAGCTCGGCGCCCATGGCAAACTCGACAGCGCCCGCTCGGCCTCGTCCGCCTCCCCAGCCCTCAACAGGACTCGTGGTGACATCGAGAGCAACAACGACGACGACACCACCTTCCGCCGTGCCGGCCAACAAATCGAAGTCGCCGCGGCCCGCAAGCTTATTATCGCCGTCTCGCTCATGGCCCCGTTCCTCGTCGTGCGGCTGCTCTTCGCCGCCATCGGCGACTTCCGCAACGACCTCAACTTCATCCCGTACCTCGGCGACCACAGCATCTATCTGGGCATGTCTGTCTTGATGGAGATTGTCGCGGCATATATCTGCCTGGGCGTGGGGTTCGCCTGCCCTCCCCCTCCGCCGCCGCCGGCCAAGACGAAGGCTTCGTGGTGGAGCAAGCTTCGCGGCTGAAGACTGAGAACAAGAGGGAGAGCCGTCATTCATCACATACACCATGTTCGCATGTGGCTTCCGCCATGTCAACGGCCGAGGGGACGAGAATATAACTAAGAGCAGAGAGCGAGCGGGAGCGGCGCCCGCTTCGCGAGGGCCATCCACCACAACCACACGCGGAAGGAAAAGAGATCTGAAAGAGGCACTGCTGGGTCCGCCGCCGGAGGTTGCCCACCTCGGCATTTGCATTTGCATTTCTGCCTTTTGTTTTCTTTTTAGAAGTGCTGCATCTCGAGTTTTCCTTTTCCATAGTTAAGCGTTGATAGCTTCTTTTGTAGATACCGGGCGTTAGCCGGAATACCCAAAGGATAATAGACAGACAGACCAAAGCCTGACAGCTTCATAAGTCGTGCCACCATACCATATCTTGAGATAAACGAGGTCACACATAACTGAGATTGAAAAGGGGAAAACAAGAACAGATATGTATACAAGTTTCACAACAAGCGTGACTTGACAGAATTATTGGAAATGAGGACCGGCACAAGGGTTTGTTTCACACCTACTACAAGGGAAAGGCAGACATTCTTCGGCAACAGCCTTTCCGCGGGATTGCTTATCCAGGTGAGTACACTACGACCCAGGCCTGGGCCATGCTAACGAACACGTCGGAGTGGCAAATGGCTCGCTAGCCGTATTGACCAAGTGGCTTTGTCGAAGGCTTTCCAAGGCAGGCGGCGTTGAGGATTGGCTCAAGTGCCCTACTCTCTCTCTCTCTCTTTTTCTCTTTCTGTTCATGCGTAGACCCTCTCCCACAGCCTGCCGCTGTAGCGAGTTCAGCCCGCCATGAACCGCGCGTTGCAACTCATCAGATCACAAGACATAACCGCAGTTTTGGCTGGGCTTTAGAAGAGAGAAAAAGAAAGACATGAACGAGGATGCAGGCAGCGTGAACCGGGTACCGATGAAGTCCCCTTCACACTCTTCTCTTACTTCATTGGCTATTCACCTACTTGGTGAAGAGCTACCACAGCAGCCACCTAGGGTTACGGCAGGGATACTCCTCCACCTCCTCGTCCTCTTTCTCCTCCACCGCATCTCCGCGCGCCCTTGTCCTCTCATCAAATTCATCCTTCGTAACCCTTGGGAAGTCTCCGGGGGGGATATCCACCTATCCCCACAAAAGACTTCGTGGCATGCTGCTCATCCCACCTCGTGCGTGCCGTGTTCTGGACGATCCTCGCCTTTACACGTCTGCACGAGGAATTCCGCACCCCCGATGCCCAAAACACGCCTGGCACTTCCAGACCAGAGACAACCTCCCGAGGCCTCATCCCCAGCTAGGCGTCTCTGACTATCGAGTGCAAAACTTGACGAATAGTCCGCATTGCCCGGCGACCGCCGTCACAGCCCCAAAATCGCGAGACCCGCACACACACACACACGATCGTAGATACCATGTGTGGTGTGCGGACGGGACACAAGCCTCAAGCCTGTATGTATCCGTAGTCTTGTTCGGTCCTTCTGAAACCGAAGAGCTCTCTCTCTTTCTCTCCTTCTTTAAACCCCTTCTCTCCTCCCCAAAACACAGTGGGGGTGTATTCGCACAGAACACATGGTGTTCCCACGTGGTCTCAGATCGTGGCCAAGCTGAGTTGTGGAGAAGAAATTGCGCATTTCGTCCTTTCCTCGCTCTCGAGACTCCCAAGGCAAAGAGCACGGCTATGAGCCCGGTCCGATGGTGTGTCCCGAGAGGACACTCATTGTCAATAGAATGCGTTTCGACGGTGAAGCATGCTGATAGAGCAATTCAGCTTCTCCCGTACTGGAAAAGTCAGTGCCAAGACAAGGAGGAATAGCGAAGGCGGAATGGCGCCGCGAATCGAGATCCGTATTTTGTCTCTGGGCGATGACGAAATGCCCACCACGACCATCCCGACATCGTTGATGGATGCCGTGCGGCCATTCCGCAGAAGACTTCTCACGCTTCCGGGTACAGAAATGGTGTCCAATGCCGACCATGGCCATGGCCAAAGCGGGCTGCGTGCTGCATCACTGCCTGACACGAACTCAGTCGCGTGAGCATGGCGCGGGTGACCCGCCCTGCAAACCCTGAGAAATCGGCCATGAAACGACGCGACGCCGGCGTTGGCTGGTACATGCGCAGAAAAGTCGTTCGTAGAACAGTCCGCGACGCGGCAAGAGTAGTCCAGCGAAGCTAGCCAGCCGACCTCACTAGGTAAGCAACCTCCTCGTGGTGCGATCCGGGCTCAACAGGGCGCAAACACGGTGCGCCCTGGCATCCACGACGCGGCGGTGGTGAGTTACAAGCTCCGCAGAACTCCTCATGTGCCTCGATATCCGACGAGCGCCATCAGATTCAGTCACTGCCGACCGGAGCTCCTTTCATGTTGCTGGTGTCGCCAAATGAGCGACCAACACAGCAAGACCGCCTTGATCGGCACGCCAGCCTGCTAGGCGCATGTTGTTTTTTTCGTGTGATAAATTCCTGACGAATCAACACGCTTCAAGTCCACGGCATGCTAGTCTCGCTGGCCATGGATCCACGGATCTGGGACTCCATGATGCGCAGCCGGCATACGTGGATGAAGTTGGTGAGCGACGTGGGCTTGGCATTCATCATGTCCGGCGCATTGACAAGGGCATCGCGCTGCGCAGCCTCGATCGTCATGTTGCTCTCGATATTCTCTTCAATGTCCAGGGGAAGCTGCGCCGCAGGAGGAAACAAATTCCAGAGTCAGTAAAGAAAAAAGGAAAAAAAAAAGTGCTACAAACGAGTGCACAACTACCACAATCTGGACGTACCTCGATATCAATAACGGTATCCGCGATAGCCGGGTTCTTGCCGAGCACACCCGAGATGTGCCGATCAAGCGAGTACCCCGTCCAGAACACCCTCTTGCGCATCTCCAGGTTGAGCGGGCTGATCTGGTTCGTCGTGGGGTCAGCGCGGCGGTTCAAGCCGAGCTCTTCGCAGCGCCGCATCGCAAGGTCCGCATATGTCCAGGCGTTGCTGACCTGGTGCCGGCGCAGGCTGTATATCGTCAGGAACAGCAGGAACTGGACCGAGCGGATGTTCTGCGGGATGAGGACATCCTCGAGGTGCTGCATCGCCGCGTCGACGTGCATCTCGGCGTCGAAGCCGCGAGCATGGATGTTGCCTGTCTGTTTGAGATATGTGCTGCCGATGGCGTAGATGAGGTGGAGGATACTCGTCCTGGGAGAGGGAGGGTCAGTTGCTATCACCCACATGCCAAGACTGCGACGCGGTAACTCACAGGACAACATCGTTCAGCTGGCTGCGCTGCTTATGCAGCAACTGCAAGAACGGGGTGTGCATGATGGGGTGCAGAGGGGCGACATGGCTGATATACGCTTGCAGGAGCTGACTGGCGATCTCGAAAGGCGGCCATGCCGTGGACTCGTCGGACGGGGGCGACGGCGCCCCGCGCAGGGGTGGCAGGCTGAGGTGCTCCCACTTGTGGCGGCTGTACGTCGTGATGTCAAAAGAGCGCGCCTGCTTCACGGCATCAATCATCTGGTTCATGGAGGCCATGCGACACGAGGGCGGCGGCTCCCGCGAGGACGCGTGCCTGAGCTCGGAGATGATATCCTTGACGGACTTGAGCGCGACCCCGTGCGACGGCGACCTTGTTGAGGAGGACGAGGATACTGCTGGCGAGTAGAGCGTCTTGTGGTGATCCGAGGAGGACGAATTTGGTAGCGCGGACGGCGAGAAGGCGGCGACAATCTGGCTGGCCTCGGCGGCCTTTGGGGATGGGGCGGCCATGGGCTCGCTCTGAAGGACAGTCTCCAGGGCGGCGACCCGAGTCCCGATCGACTGCCGGGCCAGGGTGGCGGCATCAGGGGGCGTGGGGAGTTGCGACTGGCTGTAGACCTGCTGGTCCGGTCTGAGGGGAGCCTTGTCCCATTGCTGGAAGGTGTTTGGAATTGGCGGCGGCGGCGGGAGGAAGTTCTGTTGCTGATGGGACTGATCCGGCTGCAGCTGTTGGGACTGAAGCTGGGGCGTGGTGACGACAGGCCTAGCCCTGGCTGGAGGATATTCGCAGGCCTCACCAAGGCCAAAGTCGAGGCAATTGCTGCATGGCGTCTGGCCGTTGCACTTTTGCTTGCGGTGCTTGCAGCGCTTGCAGGCCCTGTTCTCGAGAAGAAGGAAAACGTCAGTGACACGACGAATGGGAACATGTAGCGGCTCGAAGAGAGCGGCGCCTGGGAGGGGAGGGCAAGTCGTACACAGCGACCCGAGGTCTCCTCTTTGCGCGCGGGGGCTCGTTGGCGTGCGCCGGGTCGTGCTGAGCGGCCGCGGCGCTCATGATGGCGAGGCAGAGGGTTCGCGGCGAAGGAGATGCGCAGGTTATCGTCCGTGAGCGCGCGTGTCGTCTTGTTGGTAGTTATCAAGCCGCTGGTGGTGGGTAGTGGTGGTGGTGGTTGTCGTCGTTGTCGTGGGGCGCGGCGGGCGTGCGCGAAGCAACTGGAGTCGTCGGCAGCCGGGCAGCATCACCAGCTGGAGAGAAGAGGACGAGGATGCTGCAAGGTCGAACTGGCCTGGGCCGGAGATGGCGATGCAGTCTGGCAGGACAGGGCCGTGCAAGGAGGAAAACCGAGGATGGTTTACGGATTGGAGTGGTAGGCTTTGGATCTGGGGCGGGCGTGATTGGCGGCAGCCGGCGCAGTGGTGCAGACAGACAAGCCAGGGCTGTTGGCTGCCCGCTGCTGCAGTCAGTCAGTGCCCGGCCTCACTTGTGGGGGGGAGGCTCCAGTTGTGTCCCTCCCTGGAGGTCCCCAAGAGCTTATCTCAAGTGCCCTTGCGCACTCCCAGTGCTGGGGGCTCCAAGCCCGTCCGCACGCCTGGGCACGCTAGCTCCGTCGGCCTTTGCCAGAGCTGGCCAAGCGGCTCTTCGCTGGCACCGTTTCTCGTCTGCACCTGCTCCGGCACCTCGTGCCACTGCAGATTCTCGTAACCGAGCTGTGCGCATGTGCCGTCGATCCCCGTGGGTCTGGCAGTCTACTGTATGTGCGTGCGCCGTGCTGGTAGGGGTTCCCATGCAGCTTTTCCTCACAAAAGCCCCCAATTCTGCGCCCTCCCCAGGGTTCGCCTCGAATCGATAGCGCCGGGGGGGAACCCCTTCCCCGGCCGATGCGGGCTCCCAGGGGGGCTTTCTGGTTGGCTGCCAGGATTCTTGCGCCGGTTGGTCGGCAGAGCAAGCGGTCGCATGTTTCAATGTTTGGTAATCTCCAAATGCTTTGTCCGCGCATCCATACAGGTCTGGATAGAGCGCCTGCAACGGCTTTTTCAGACCCAAGGATAATTAATAGTCGAAACTTTCTCCCCTCCCGCCCTCCACAATTCCCGTGTGTGTATCGCACCACACTGGCGTAGACAACGCCATCAGCCGAGGCGTAACTTATCGGCCACACAGCAAAAGAAAACGATGCCAGCCGCTTTCCCCCGACCCAGCCCGTCCCCCAAAAACTACGTACCCAGGTACGTACCTTGCGTAACCTTACAAGGTTTCCAAGGTTTTCCCTAATCCCCAACTCCCCTCCCCCCTAAGCTCTTGCCAGCGCGACACGTTCTAGATCGTGTTCCATGGGACTTGGCCCAGGTAGCACGCAGCCCACTTGTGCATGTCTAGACGCGGAGTTTCCCCCCCATCATTATCACTTTTGACACATTTACACTTTGGTGCGCCCGCGCCCGCGCGCACGCCAAAAGTTCTGCGCCAAGAAATCAACTGCCGACGGTGGGTGGTCGTGCTGCTGCTGGTGCTACTGCGAGTGTGTGTGTGGATGTGTGCGCTGCTCCACCAAAAATGACCAAGGCTGGCTGGACCACCCGCCGCAGCAACAGGGGGATTTCTGTAGTGGGTCTACCGCCGCCGCCATTGCTGACGCAGGACGGCAAAGGTCGTTCGTGTTGGTTGTTTCATGTCGTCATCCGCCTCTGAAACGGGAAGTTGTTGCGAAAAATATCAATAAGAGAATCTCTCTTTTTCATTCTGATGTATACCAATCCAGTACTCTCCTCAATCCATAATGAGAGGAGGACTGAGGCATCGCCCAAACACCTTCACTGGCAAGTTGTGGCAGCAGGGGGGGAACAAGCAAAGACAATTTATGGAAAACAGCATGTCTTCGTATGAATCTATTTTGTATGGTCTTTGATGATTGTACAGTAGATACAAGTACATGATGCGACAAGAACTTGTCCAAAGCTCTCGCGGGACAGGCCTTGTAATATATCACACAGCCCCAGTTGTCGTCCCTCGTCTCACTTGGACAGGAACTTCTGGAACGCCTCCTGCTCAATCACCACGTTGCCCACGGACCGCAGCTTCTTGCGGCCCTCCTTTTGCTTGTCCAGCAGCTTGCGCCGGCGCGTAATGTCGCTGGCGTGCAGCTTGGCCAGCACGTCCTTCCTGAACGCCTTGAGCGTCTCGCGCGCCACAATCTTCTTGCCCACCGCGGCCTGGATTACCACTTCAAACATCTGCCGCTTGACGTGCTCCTTGAACCGCTCGACCCACGCCCGCCCCAGCCGGTCCACCTGCGACAGGTGCACCACCCGCGCGATCGCGTCCACGGGCTGCTTGTTGACCAGCAGCTGCAGCTTGACCAGTTTGCTCTCGCGCCACCCCGCGTCCTCGTAGTCGAGCGTCGCGTAGCCCTTGGTCGCGGCCTTGAGCTTGCCAAACAGGTCGTCGACCAGCGAGGCCGTCGGCATGTGGTACTTGAGAATAACCTGCATCCCGTGGAAGATCTCCAGGCTCTCCTGCTCCCCGCGGTACGACTCGCACAGTTCGATCGCCCGCCCAATGTACTCCTCGGGCATTGTCATCGTGGCGAGCACGTACGGCTCAAAGTACGTCGCCCCGTGCACCCGGGACGAGTCGTCGCTGTCCGGGAAGTCCGCGGGGCTCTGCAGGACCTCCTCGCGCCCGTCGCGCCAGCGGACCTTGGTCTGCACCGCGGGCTCCGTGATGATGATGCTCGCGCCGTGCTCCTGGCGCAGCCGGTCCTGGAAAACCGAGCAGTGCAAGCTGCCCAGGAACCCGAGCCGCCAGCCCGCGCCCAGCGCTTCCGAGTGGTCCTTGTACATGGTGACGCTGCGGTCGTTGAGGACAAGCTGCCCGATGCTGTCGGCGAGCTTGCTGTAGTCTGACGGGTCCGTGGGGAACGCGGCCACAAACACCATGGGCTTGGGCTCCTCAAAGCCCGGGTACGGCTCCACCACGCCCTCGCTGCCGACTGTCGTGAACGTGTCGCCAATCTTGGCGTCCTGGATCTTCTTCATGCCCGGGTTGAAAAAGACATAGCCGACCTGGCCCGCGCGCAGGGTCGACTGCGGCACCTGCGTCGGGTACCGGATGCCCACTTCGCCAACGGTGTACTTGTTGCCCGTGGCGAAGCTGACAATGTTGTCGCCCGCCCGGACCGTGCCTTCGAAGATGCGCACGAGGCACACGACGCCGCGGAAGTTGTCGTACCACGAGTCCACGAGGAGCAGCTTGAGCGGCTTCTTCTCGTCCCCTGTCGGTGCGGGGATGCCCTCGACGATCGCGGGCAGCAGGTCCTTGACGTTGAGCCCCGTTTTGGCGCTCACCCCGATCGCATTGCTCGCGTCGAGCTCAAAGGTCGACTCGAGCTGGTCCAGCACGCGGGGCACGTCGGCGGCCGACATGTCGATCTTGTTGACGACCGGGATGATCTTGAGGCCCTCGGCAAAGGCGAGGTAGAAGTTGGCAACGGTCTGCGCCTGGATCCCTTGGCTGGCGTCGACCAGCAGCAACGCCCCGCCGCAACTGGCATACGACCGAGTGACCTCGGCGCGGAAGTCGACGTGGCCCGGCGTGTCGACCAGGTGCAACAGGTAGTCAAGCCCGTTGTGGTTGTAGATCATGGTGCACGTCTGGGCTTTGACCGTGATGCCGCGCTCACGCTCGACCTCGAGGGTGTCGAGGATCTGCCGGTTCGCCGAGGAGGAGCTGATTGTGCCGGTGATCTCGAGCAGGCGGTCCGATAGAGTCGACTTGCCATGGTCGATGTGGGCGACGATGCAAAAGTTGCGGAAGCGATCGATGGGGATTGCCGCAATGCGCTGCTCGAGCTCGGCCGGGGACGGTTTCGCCGCGGCGGTCGTATTCATGCGCGTCTGACCGAGTGGTTTGAATAATGTGCAATCCTTTAGTCTGTTTGTGACCCGACACAATGTTGCCCGAGGTGTTGCCGTTGATGTTGTTGTCCTGTGCTGAGGGAGTGACGACTGGGCCAGGGCGATGCCGTACTGCGCGGCACGGCGCGCCCTGGCAACGGCATTATAACCAGTGTGCTGCCGTGATACATGGCGCAGGCATGATCGTGCAAGGCCGACTGCCGGATCTAGCCTCACACCCATCCATGCGACTGCTGAGCTGGTCGATTGTGGTGGTCGCTGCAGGTCATGGTGGTGAGGTTTTGGTGGTGTCTCTCCTCCGTCAAAAAATTAGTGGTTCCATGCCATGGTGGGCGGTTTTTTACTGTGCCTCGCACGGTACTGTCCATTTCTCTATGCATCATGGGTTTGAAGGCAGCGCCAGAACATGCCCAGTTGTATTCCTGCATCGGTAGCACGAAGCGTTGCGAGCTTGTCGGCTTCAACATTGGCATGACCGAAGCATCCTAGAGCGGCCGTCCATGACTCAAAGAATGTTTCCCAAGCAGAAAATGAGACCTGCACAGTCTCGACATCGGCAGTGAACCCTGCAACAGGCCGCCATCACAGATCATGCATGCATGGGCACTACAACTTGTTCCCTCCGGTGATGACGCTCTACCACACCTGTCTGACATGGTCAAATGACTGCGTTTTGTCTCGCTAGGGAGACCACATCGCTTGAGGCAATATGCTATGCCCTGCGACGCATCCAGGGAAACATTACCGGATCGGAGTCCATTGAGGGTCGAGGGAGTCAGGCTTGTCAAACAAAGGGCGTGACGCAAGGCGAGCTTGTCCGATTAGGCTTGTCCCGGGAATCAATCGCTGGCGACGGTTCTGGAACTTGCTGGTCTTCAGCCATTGAAATCTATGCCCTGTATATATCGAGGTAAATAGACCCACGGAACATTAGGTTCGGCCCAGTCAAGTCTCGCTTTCTAGGCGTTGTGCCTGTTACTGTTGCTCTTGAGTTCCCCACCACGACCATCCAGCGATTGCCAAGCCCATTACTCAAGGAGAGCCAGTAAACTTTTACATACCAGAAAATTTCGCACAAGTCAGAGCTCTCGCCCTTTCTTCAGTCATTTCATCAGAGTATCAGCAATGACTGTGACTATACCTGCCAAGCGGGCATTTATCATCCGCCCAGCGCGGCCCGCCGACGCCGCGGCCATCGCCGATCTCGGCGCCCACACCTTCACAACAACCTTCGGGCACTCGGTCACGGCTGAGGAGTTGCAGGCTTTCCTGGACGAGTCGTACACCACGGCCGCCATAGAGAAGGACCTCGAAGACGCAGACCGGGATGTCATCGTCGCCGTCGACACCGACGAGGACAGCAACAACAAAACCAAAAACAACGGCGACAAGGTCCTAGGTTTTGCCTATCTGACCCGCAATTCCGTAGAGCCCTGCCTCGCGCACCTGTCGGGCACGGCCGAGCTGCAGCGCATCTACGTGCACCCGGCGGCGCACGGCAAAGGCGTGGGCAGTGCTTTGTCTGGGCGGATCACGGCCATGGCGCGGGAGCAAGGCTTTGACAAGCTGTGGCTGGGCGTGTGGATGGAGAACTACAAGGCCATCCGGACATACGAACGCTGGGGGTACCGAAAGGTCGGACACCACGACTTCAAAGTCGGACCGGTGGTGCAGACGGACCACATCATGCTCAAGGAGGATTTGTCGTCTTAAGGGCGAGATGTTGACAAGCAGGAATGCACTTAATGAGGCGCAATTGGTGTTCTTAATGAGACCGGAATAGAATAGAGACTAGACACTCCAACAAGAGATAGAACGAGCAACAGCCAGCACCCAAACCCTTCGATAACCTAGAGAGAAGCCTCAGAATCTGCAACGGTATACCTCTGTATAACCACTTTCACCAATCGCTGTGATGGATGATTTTCGAGATTTGACATGTGCTACTCCTGCACACTTGTGCACAGTGCGCAACCTATTGGTACCGGCCTTTCGATGCCACGACTTGCCCGAAGCAGTAATCATTAGCACTGTATCCGCAGGGGTCGTCACCCCGCGACAGCGGTCCCTGGAGCTTGGCGCAAACCAAACAAATCCACGGCCACTTCTCCAACCATCACCAAACATCAATCCAACACAACCTCAGCCGTTTCCAGTGCGCATGCCACCAACCCACGAGCTTCGATCCCACAACGGCAGACCCCGATCCGCGCCACAATACACATAATCGCAACCGATCGTCACAGCAGCAGCGAAGATGTCGTCGTCCGCCGCAGCAACGGAGAAGGACAAGTCCAAGGTCCACAAGCTGTCCCTCAAGGGCAGCTCCAAGCTCGTCGCCGAATTCGTACGCCGTCCAACCCCCCGCGGCTTCTCTTGGTCGCCTGAGATGCCGCCTTCCCATACTGACTCGTTGTCTTGGCTGAAACCAAATAGTTTCACTATTCCATCCACACAATCCTCTTCCAGCGCGGCGTGTACCCGGCGGAAGACTTCACAGCGTATGTGTTATCGAAGCTTGCTTTCAGTACCCAATCACGAGCACAACGACAAATACTGTTATGTCACCTCGGCAGAGACACAGCCCTACCTCTCAGATATATCGCTAGCAGTCTTGCTAACCTGTTCGTCGCTTGCACAACAAACAGAGTCAAGAAGTACGGCCTGAACATGCTCGTCTCCTCGGACGACCAAGTAAAAGCATACATCAAGAAGATCATGTCCCAGCTCGACAAGTGGATGCAGCACGGCAAGATCAGCAAGCTCGTCATCGTCATCACGGACAAGGACACAGGGGAGCACGTCGAGCGGTGGCAATTCGACGTCCAAATCTTCAACTCGAAATCCTCGTCGTCAAAATCAAAACCAACCTCCTCCTCGTCAAAATCATCATCGTCAGAAAACGCCGCCCCGCAGGCCGGACCCGGCTCGACATCTCCCGACCCCAACAAGACCGAGGCCGAGATCCAGGCCGAGATCGCCGCGCTGTTCAGGCAGATCACCGCGTCCGTCACGTTCCTGCCGCAGCTCCAGGGCGGGGACTGTACGTTTAACGTGCTCGTCTACGCCGACAGCGACAGCGACGTGCCTGTCGAGTGGGGCGACAGCGACGCAAAGGAGATTGTCAACGGGGAGAAGGTCCAGCTGCGCGGGTTCAGCACGTCGAACCACCGCGTCGACACGCTGGTGAGCTACCGGCTGGGGGAGTGAAACAGGTGCGAACCCGTGCGCGCATGACCACATTGAGGAGTGGAGAATAGATCTTGGTAGTGAGGGTGGTGGTAGTTGTAATCTAAGTGTCCATGGGCGCGGGCGGAAAAGAGTGCAAGTGATGATCATACCCTAGGGTATGGGACTGCATACGGTGCGAGCTAGAGCCCAGCACGTCCATGGCACGCATCAGGCTGCATGGCACACTGCTGCCTCAAAGTTTGTACTCGGGGTGAAACACTTGACCGAGAAGCGGCCGGATGCAGGGAGAAAGCTTGACATCCAGCTGAGTGAAGTCTCCCTTTAGACAGGCGACATGGCCTGGAAGCGCCAGGCATGCACTTTCATGATCGAAAGCGATGTCGACACACTCATGCACAACCTAGAGAACAAACATGAAAACATCCTGTGTCAATTGCTCACTCCACACCATGCATCTAGAGATATGCTACGTTTTGCTGAATGTCACAATAAACCCCGCGAAATCTACTCTAGTGAGCCCATTCTGTGGTATGCAGTAGCCTTTCTCTAGTCAGAGGTTGATAGTCTACCTTGACTACAAGCCCGGACCGAATCTTGCCTCTAGACCCGCTGGAAGAAATAGACATAGGCTGTCTTCTTCATCTCCTCTACGTCACCTGCCTCAACGACCTTCTCGTCGTTGAACAATACCCACTTGGGGTCAGTGACATCGAGGATCTTGCGAATGAACGCGACGTAGTGACTAATATGCCATGTTAGCACCATCTCGAAGCATCTGACGCAACGCATGGCAGACTTACCCTGTGTGAATGCTTGTGCCCTTGTGGCAGACGATGCTGCGAAGCTGAAAGTTGGCCGGGAGCTCAGCACTGCCAGCTGGACCCGCAGCCTCCTTGGGTGCGCTCGAAGCCTCGGCAGCCCCATCATCAAAGTCTCCCTGGTCATCCGGGTGACTAAACACCCATTCGACAGCACGCTCCACGTCACCGCTCGTCTCCTTGAGCGCCTTGCGCGCCTGTGGCACGCTGAAGCCCATGGAGGTGAGCATCTCAATCTTTTCCGGCGAGTCGTACGCAGGCTTCGAGCCACTACCGCTAGTCGCTTCGAGTTTGAGCGGCTCGTCAATGTCCGGGTCCTCCATGTGTCCGAACAGCCACTCCATGGCGGCGTTTGCGTCGGAGTTGCCAGTCGCGTGCAGAGCCTTCTCGCACCGGTTCCGAGGAAAGCCCATGGCCATGAGCCCGTCCAACGCAGTCTCATTGGGAACAAATGCCGGGGCCGAGGCGGTGTCCTCTTCAGGCAGGAGCTCTTCACCAGCCTGCTGGCCACTCGAAAAGTACTCGTCTAGCGGGAATGGATCATCCCCAACAATGACAGGGACGTCGACCTTCCGTGGCACCCAGTTCTCAATGGCCATCTTCCGGGCGTTGACTATCAGAGTGGTCGGGAAAGTCTTGAACAGCGAGCGCTTGGTGAAGCCATCCTTGCTGTCACATCCCGCACACGTCAGCTCAACCACCTCCTGGCCGGTGAAGTTGTCCAGGCACTGCTTCAGTGTGACCGGCTTGTAGGTCTCCCCTTCGCCCTCCACCGCCGGCAACTTCTCGAGAGGCACATCAATGAATATGCTGTCCTGCTCCACAGACGTGTATCGCACCTTCTTGCAGTTCAGGCACTGCAAGCGCTGCTCGAGAACAAAGCGGAACGGCTGTGTTGGATCTCCCAGGTTGGCGGGGTGTTGTGACCGTGTGATGAGCTTGATGAGGTGCTGCAGAAGTTCAAACGCATCTTGCTGGCGCATCGTCGAGAACTCCGCGTGGCCTCGTCCTATCAGGTGCTTGAGCATGCTCGGAGCCAGGCCCCGCTGGTGCGGAATCTCGGGGTTGTCTTCGGAAGCAACAACGTCCGAGTCGGGCTTAGAGTACCGTCCAGACAAAAGTCCGTCACCAATCTTGCGCAGTTGGGTCTCCAGATCCTGAGCTGGGTCTGGCACGATCGGTAGGTCAATCTCGGGGATGTTGTATCGTTCTTGGAATGCCGGCAAGTCGAAGAGGCACTGCAGTATACTGGCGAGGTAACAGCTGTTGCCCAGATTCTTCAGGCCGGTAAGTCCGGGGCCGAATACGGGCTGCAATATTCTGCCGTCGTCTGTGGTCATTGAGAACTCCCAGCGAAGGTTTTGCTCAATCTGCATCTCTGTCAGACTTTTCTCGGTCTTGATCTGCTCCGATAGAATGATGCCCCAGTGCGCTAGATGCGATGCCAAGTTCTCGTCAACTCTCTCCTCATCACACTGGTAGCAGTATACGTCGGCGGTTCCCTCTGGCGTGATGGAGCCCAGTTTGACTGCTACGGCGTGGCCAGACTCGGTTGCGTGTGCGAGGCCGTGGGAATTGCCACCAACGCCTCCGAACTGTGCACGACCACAGCCAAGGTTGCCACACTCGAGGCAGAGCCAGAGGTTCTCCTTGAGATCGCATTTGGAGCAGTGGCCAAGATCGCTCTGCAGCTGCCTAGCCTCGTGCTGTTGCAGGAGTAAGACGTGCTCGCATGATGCCAGCTCTTGCTCCCACGCCTTGACCTCTTCCTGCCGCGAGAAGGTATTGGCCTTGAGGATGCCTTCCACGATCGGGGCGAGCTTGGGGCTTGTCTTGTCGAGCTCCGTTGAGCACTCGAGGCACTTGACGGTTGTGTGGTAGTCGTAGCGATCGGCCTCGGTCTCGGCGGCGATGGCAAGCTTGGTCATCTTTGCTGGTGGTTCATCTTTGACAACGTGCTTGCGAGTGCGGCGTATGTTGAGGGCGAGCGGGTGGCTCCTGGTGACATGGTGTAATTGTGAGTGTGTTCGAACGCCAGTGCATCCGCCGTTGAAGCACTGGAGGCATACATCGAGACCGGAGGGCTCGTCCTGCGCAGGGTAGTCAGAAGAGCGCAATCATAAGGTAAAATCAATAGCTTAGCTTACAATCGAGTCGAAGCATTGTGTACAGTCCTCGCGATACACGGACTGCGAGGGAGAGGGCAGGTTGAGAGTGGTACTCTCGAGATGTGGGCAGGCCATGTTGCCAGTTGGACGCTCACGAGATGATGGTGTACCGTAGCTGTGTCCGCCAACGGCAGTGATATCGACAGCCTCGTGGTGGTCGTTTGCGGTCGAGAAAAGTCCTTGCGGCGATGACGAAATATTGCGGTCGTCGATGAGCAGGGTTTTGCAGGCGGGGGCGCCACAAGGGTATCGTGATGCTGCAGAGAGCAGAATTATCTAGATGTGCAGCTGTGCTCGTGTCCCCGGAGTACCGATGTGTTTCTAGAATGGTCCGTGAGACGGATGTGGTGGTGCAAAGCCGTCAGATGGCAGCCTTGCTGTACGCGCAGGCACCCAAGCCTGTGAAGCTCTCCCCACAGCCGACAAGGCAAGCTCCACCAGCGTTGACGTCGGCGGGGGGGCGCGGGCGGCCACCGCGCAGCGTCAGGGTCAGGACCCCGCTTCAGCTGGCGGAAGCCACCCTTGTCAGCTGGCCGGTCTCAGGCACGCCGCTCATGCTCGTTTAGAGACCGCGCTGGGCAAAGAAAGCAAAAGTTGTGCGGCGAGGCGTTCAAAGCCATTGTCGTCGTTGAGCTACTTCTCGGGGATGGCGTCTTGCAATCCTGACTGCAGCCACGAAGTTGGGACAAGCATGGCCGGGGCCTACAAGGGCCGACTCGAAGGGAACTGGGTTTAGACGATGTGACGGTGGCCAGCACATGTCCCGACTGTGCTTCAACATGGAGGCGGAAACAAGGGTGGATTCTTGTCGTGATTGGATGACATCTCTCTGTATCGTCCGCAGATGATTTTCTGCGACCACAATGGGAGATGTACAATGGTGAAAAGCCACGTCCACCCATGCGGTGCAGTTGGGCCAGCCCTTTGCTTTAAGCGGACCTCAAGGTTCTCCCATCTCAGAGAGGCATAAAAGTCGATACTCGACTGGAGGAGGGCTGTGGTCATCCATCGTTGCACTGGTCAGTGTTTCGCAGCAACTCACAGGCAACAGCCAGCCAGTCAGCCAGTCGGCAGTGGTTTGTCAGGCGACCCCAATAATTAGCCGCACGCTGCCGGCCCCGGAGATGCAGACCAACGAATCTCGGTCTGCGAGCATCCGGGATCTGATAAGCGGCCTGCCTGGGCACGGCAAATACAGTGTGCGGCCGAGCCTCCCCACGGGAAACTCGCCCGCTTGGCGGCGCAGACGTCCAACTCTCTGGACCCATGCGGGCTGCTTCTGCTGGGATTTGTTGACTCAAACGACAAAAATATAACCGCCGCCATGGAAGCTTCATGAGTCTGCAAAGAAACCCGATGACGACCGCCTCTCAGGACGTCCTGGTAGAAGCATGCAAAAGCACATTGGCAAGTACCAGTGCACAGTATGATCAAATAAGGTCACACTATCTCCGAGCCCCCATGCCGTTACATAAGCCCGGGTTGCCACAAGCGCCGAGATCGCCGCGGGCTGGGTGCGGTGCTCGCACTTGGGGGTGGGCCAGTGCCCGCCCGCTCAGCACTTTTTTCATTGGTACTGCCGCACCTGCGAGCCATCACCACCCGTCAATCCGACGCAATCGCTGCCGCCACCCTGCGCTTTCCCCGTCTATGACCTAACTTACCTCCGCCAGCTCCCTATACCTCTACAAATCCCATCTCTCTCAACCACCTGCACTCACTGCACGACCACTACAATCATCACCACCCACAGCAGCCAGCAACAGACGATCGCCATCAAAGTCATCACCGCTGTCAACGTCATCACGGTCCTCCACCCGCGGTGCATCGTACCATCATCAGGCCATCCGCTGTGCCTCTACATATAACCATCCGGATCCACCACCACATCCCGCCCAAAATGTTCTCCAGGACACTCGCAACCACCACCCGCCGGGTCATCGCCTCGTCTGCGCCCCGTGCCGCCCTGAGGCAGTCTGTCGCGCCCGCTGCCGGGCCTTCCGTCGCCGCCCGTCGCTCCTACCACGAGAAGGTCCTCGACCACTACAACAAGCCGCGGAATGTCGGATCCATGCTCAAGACCGACGCGGACGTCGGCACAGGCCTCGTCGGCGCCCCGGCGTGCGGCGACGTCATGAAGCTCCAGATCCGCGTCGACCCGTCGAACAACACCATCTCCGACGTCAAGTTCAAGACTTTCGGCTGCGGCAGCGCCATCGCCAGCTCCAGCTACCTCACCGAGCTCGTCCGCGGCATGACCCTTGACGAGGCTGGCAAGATCAAGAACACCGAGATTGCCAAGGAGCTGTGCCTGCCTCCTGTGAAGCGTGAGTTTTCTCAAACCCTTGCCCATGTTTTTCAATATTTCATATTTACTGACTTGTTCATGCAGTCCACTGCTCCATGTTGGCCGAGGACGCCATCAAGTCTGCCATCTCCAACTACTACACCAAGAACCCGCACGCCAAGAAGACAAACCTCGCCGGCACCGAGGCTAAGCTGCCGACCGCCGAGGCCGCCACTGCCTAAATTTGTCTCGCTTAGTGGTTGAAGGATGGTGACAATTCGACACGATTGAATTTTTGAAGTGCGTGGACGATTCGACAATGGCAGAATGAAACGAGGACGGCGCATGCCAGCTTTGCGTTTTATCGTCGCGGAGAGATTATACCCAGAAAAGGAGAAAGGCGAGATTGCTAGGCCGGAAGGAGATTACGAAGTTTCACGATGTTGAAGCAAGCAGAGGGCAGGTTGAACAAACCGCATTGTGGGCAAGAGTACAATGAAGGGCGTACTCCGTGCCATCAAGTTTTCAGCAAGGCGATCAGGCAATGGTCTGAACAGATTGCGACATTTTGCGGCCGCCGGGTTCTCTTCGTAGTATCACTATTGAGAATGAAAATGTATTATATGTCATACTTGTCCGCCCTGCATTTTCAGGTGCTGCATCATCCATTACGAGTCGGGCCTGGCTCAACCCCTGAGGGACATTTCGACAGGTCGGTTCATAGTATATCCGCCAATTTCAGCAGCAAGGCCAGACGAGGAAGGAAGCCAGTGGTTCGGCCGATGTCGACCTAGGGGAGACATGTGTAGCTGCCATCAATCCTAGCTACATCGACCCAAACCACAAGTAGCCCCTGACTACAGCGACAACGGCCACATCACCGCCGCCAACAGATCGTCTGTGTTTTCACGCCCAGAAGGACAAGCCGCACGGTTTAAAATGGCAGTAGGGAGAGCGAACATGCCCGGTCTCCGGCCCAGATTGGCCATGGCGCTCACCCGTCGCCGGCTGAGGACCAGTAAGAATCTCAAAAACGGTACATTCCCCACGAGTATCGGCTTTCAAATACGGTAAATACACATATATCATGAGCCGTCATTAGAAAAAGCGCACGGATAATCACCATGGCGCGGCCAGCACCAGCGATGGAGTCTACAATCTACATCACTACCGACGATAATCGAGCAGCAGCCCGGTGATGCCAGTCGTGTTGCGCCATCTCGTGCTTGCCGTGCTGGCTGCTACGGCCTTGGTGGGTGCTTACACGGCCTTGCTCGTGCCGCCGATCGACGGCCTGTGCGCTGCGATGGACTTTTACATCGGTGGCGGGTCTGCTGTCCTTTTATCCTCTTTTTCTTCTTCCTTCTTGTTCTTCTCCCGCTTCTCCTCATCTTCATGGCTCTCCCCCCTCCAGTGCTACGTCGAATGCCGACACGGCTACAACTGTAGCGCCGGCGGGATCCGGGCCTTCTAGGTACCCCGGGTACCCCTTACTGCCGCTGTACACGGGTAACCCCGTGCTGGACGGGATCTTGCCCGTATACGGTCGCGTTCTTTTCTGCGCTGCTTGATGGGGCTATTCTGTCAAGGTAGAACATTTGGTTTTCAGGATCTGAGGCATGGCGCAACACGCTGGGGTGGTAGTGCTGTAATGCTCCTCGAAGGGGGGTTGAGGAGGGAGATTACGGAAAGGGTAGCGGGCTGGTGGGTTCTTCTTTTCTTGCCCTGATTTGGTTTTTAATCTTAGCAACCCTTACCTTTGTTTATGAGTGTGTTTCTGAGGGTGTGTATCCTGTTGGAGTGAAATGGACATCAGAATATTATTTCGAAGAGTCCTGTTCTGATACATGAATGCTTTTTGGTCAAGTATATCCGCCCAGGGCGTTTACCTTAATACCGGAAACTCTGACGATATGTGATTACTGATAACTGATATTCAGGACTGTAACGTTCACCATGCCTGTCCAGATCCTGTCCTACATGGTCACCCAGCCGATCCGGGCGATTGTGTGCTTATACGTACTCAGCTCGCCCGTCGCTGGTCCTGCAACAGCAACAGGAGCAGCAGCACCTTCTTTCCCCGTCGCTTTCACGCTGACTTACGTCCTGCTAACAGTACCAATGCTTCTCCCCTCGCCGACGGTGCAGGCGGCGTGCGAACATTACCAGGTGGATTACCTCTGGCAGGCGTTTCCGCTGTATCACTTCCTTGTGCACTCCGTGCTGAGTTCAATAGCAAGGCTTGTGTTTGGGCCGCTTGATCAGTCGTCCACCATGAACAACAGCAGGAGCAGCAGTAAAACCACCACGGCAATATCAGAATCCAGGGCGTATCTCATCCGCATCCGACGCGTGTACATGTTCATCACGGCCATGGGGGTCGCAGCGCAGATCCCCATGCTGGTTGGCTCTGGTCCTTTTGCCAGACTGGTTGTTGGCAGCCGCGGCAGCGCGGGGCGGCGCCATCCGAGACATGGTGCCCGCTACCACTGCCGCCGCCGCCGTCAGCCACGAAGCCTATCTCGGCGGCAGGAATGGGCTCTATCGCCCGGGTAGCAACATGAGCGAGAAGAGCAGTCTCACTCTCCGCTCCATATTTGTGCCCTTCTCACCATCTGCTGGCCCTCCCGACCGTCGAGACGGACAAGCTCAGTCCGGCGACCTCGCCCCTCCAGGGGTGCACTTCCTACAGTGCGACATATACCTGGGCCGTGGAAGCATGCTGCTCTGGGCGGTGTATTCTGTGCAAGACGATAGCAGTGGGTACGAATAGAGATGAGGGCGGTGGTAAGGGCTCTGGAGGAAGAGAAGCTCGGGCTGATGATGTCCCGGACTGTCCAGCGTCCTGGGTCAAGCTGCTGCATGGTTTCCTCTGGAATAGGGACGTTGCTGCTTGCCAGGCTTCAGAAGAGGATGTATCAGAAACAACAGGCCAGAAATGATGTTGAAGGATAGGTACCTGCCTGGCCAAGGCTGGATTGTGTCGGGGTGACGAAAGGGGCTTTTGCTCCTGGACATCTTTGACATAGCACACAAAAGTCGGCAGCGCAGGGTTGCCGGACCGTTCCGACGACTAATTCACTTTTGCTTATCTCGACCCGCACACAGACAGAATGAGAATGGAGAAAGTGAGACATTCCGTGCTGCCAGACGTGCATGAGGCTCCAATCAGAGATGGCTGGGGCTTGTCGGGCCCTTGCGAGTTGTCCGAAGGTGTTTGCGGCGTGGAAGCATCGAGAAACGAAGGGTTTAGGCAGCCATTACTTCTCTGGTTATTTCTCGATACATTCAACCATGAAGTAGGACAGCATCGTATGGACAACCCCAGGTGGATGGTGTTCGTTCAGGTTGCAAGCGAAGAGTCATCCTTGCCATGGAGCTGTGCATTGCCGTGCTGCTTGGCAGTCGTGCATGGGAGGAAACAGCCAATCGCACCACCGGGCCCTGCCAAAGATCCCGGTGCTCGCGCCAAACCCCATCAGGCAATCAGAAGTACAAAGCACTTCCGCCCAGCAAAGGTGCCTCAGGCGTACCTGCCTGCTGTCACTTGCACGCCTCAAAGCTACACCTCTGCTCACCCGCCGTAGCCTCTTGACGACGTGCCGTTGAGACAATGTCTCTCCCTTATATAGCCATGCCGCGCTTTAGCTTCTTTAGCTCGCTGTCCCGTTCGCGGGCTCCGAGGTTGTGCCCACCAGTTCGAGAATGGTGTTCGTCCGTATCTGTTGACCTACCTTGGCATCATCACTTCCACATCTCCTCGTCCAACCTCGCCTCTTGTCGTCAACCCGCCGACAACAACTTGTGTTGCCACCGCTCGACTAGACCTGAGCCCACGGAGTGACGAATTATATGTGTTCGTTGACAATCGCTTGCTTCATCCAACTGTCTTCCTCTACACTACGCCTGGCCGTTCGGCCTTGCTGCTGGTGCCATGGCGCTCCAGTATATCCCGTCCTGCCCGGTCGGGGTTGACGACTCATTTGGACCGTGGGCCGGCCCGGTGTGTCGCGGCGGTTTCGACTTCACTCTATTTTTCGAGGACACCATCTTGACGATACCCTTGTATTGCCTCTTTTTGCTCGCGCTTCCAGTCCGTGTCTTTCAGCTGGCGCGAACCGATGTCAAGGTCGTTCCTAGTCTTCACAAGAGAGTCAAGCTTGTAAGCCACATTCCTCCTCCATGGATCAAGACGTGAGAAAAGTAGTCGCTGACAGGCTTGCTTGCAACGACCAGGCCGCCGCCGCAGCACTCGCGTTTGTCAATGGCTATCTCCTCATTCTCTGGGCGACCCTGCCCGTCGACTCCCCGATACATACGTCCGCCAGCGTTCCTGCTGCCGTCCTCGCCCTCGTCGCGTCACTCGGCTTCGTCGGGCTCTCACTGCTCGAGCACGAAAGAGCCCTTCGTCCATCATTTGTGCTGACATCATCTCTCGGGCTCTCTGTTCTGCTCGATATGGCTCGAGTTCGCACGATATGGCTCATCACAGAGAACGCCGGCAGTACCACGACCATTCCTGCAATATATTCGCTTAGCTTCGGCCTCCGGGTTTTCATGGCCGTGGTTGAGACTATCGAGAAGCACAAGATCATCGTCCCGGAGAAGCACACACCCACCGTGGAGGACAAGACCAGTTCCTTGAGCCGCAGCGTCTTCTGGTGGTTGATGCCTCTCCTCCGACTCGGATATGGCAGGGAGATTGGTCTTGATGATATGTATGTCCTTGAGGAGGACTTGATGCCGGAACCACTGAGCGAGCAACTTGCAGAGGCCTGGGAGAAAGGTACGTCGCCGGACTGTTATAATTCGTTGAAGCTACAGAAGCTCCTGCCACTGTTCTGGCATGGATTCTTGACCTTTGGAAATATGAATCATCTACTAAACCGCTGCATAGTACCAAACAAGAAAGCTCCGATGGCTCTGTTTTCCACATGGCTCAAGACGTTCATTCGGCCCGTGTTGAGCCCCGTGCTCTTCAAGCTCATGAACTCGGCCTTTTCTTATTCCCAGCCTTTCCTCGTCACTGCCGGTATCAACCTTGCTGCTTATCCACAGACACAGCCGTATAACAACTACGGGTACGGTCTTATTGGCGCTTATTTTCTTGTATATGTTGGCCTAGCAGTAAGTGCATGCAGAATCCAATGAACGCGACGAATGATCTCACACAGTCCAGGTCACCAACGGGCAATACGAGTGGCGACTCTACCGCTGCGCCGCCAAGATGAAAGGCAGCATCATCGGTGTCATCTACCAGAAGGCGTTACGATTGGACGTTCAGTCCTCCGGCACTAGCCACGAGGCTGCTGTGACCTTGATCAGCACAGACTCTCATACCATTTTGCATGCCTTGATCCAATTACATGAGATCTGGGCTGGCCTTTTTGAGATTGTCATTGGTGTCTACTTGCTGTCCCGTCAGTTGGGAGTGGCCTGTGTTATGCCTGTCGCCGTGACTTTTGGTATGGTACCCTCCCCCATCTTTGGATGTTCTGCAAGTCCGATTTCCACTTTACTCACGTCAACAAATGTTCACAGCTTGTCTAATCCTGACCGGGTCATTGGCCATGCCAACGGGTAAAGCTCAAGCAGCATGGATCTTGGCCTCGCAAGAGCGTGTCACCACCACCGCAAAGACCCTTGGCAGCATAAAGTCACTACGGATATCAGGCTTGAACGAGCGGGCTTTCCAGGTCATTCGACAACTGCGAAATGACGAACTTTCCATCTCCCAAACATGCCGTATTCTGCTTGCGGCATACCTTGTTCTTCGTACGTTTTGCGCTGGCTTGTTAAACTTTTGACAGCTTAACTGACCATGCGTTGATAGTGGTTTATGTGCCACTCTGGGGCCCAGCCCTTACTTTCGCCGTCTACGCCGCGACTGGATCGAACGGGGGTACGCTCACGATTACCACGGCGTTTACGGCCGTCTCTTTATTTTCCCTGGTCAGCAGGCCGCTTGTGATCATGATCTTTGCCATTCCGACCTTCGCGGGCGGGATCGCCTCATTCGGACGGATCCAGGACTTCTTGAATCGCGAGGAGCGACATGACGCTCGTACACACGAGACTTTGAACGAAAAGGGACACTTACGCTCGAAACCATCCATAGTTAGCGTTGCAAGCCGCCGGACTGCTGTTAGCCGCAGGAGCAATGGCAGTCGCAAGAGCGCCGTCGAAACCCACGAACAGATCATGCTGGAGCCATTGACCTTCCAGCATGAGCAGAGAGATACGATCGTTTCTATACAGGGTCATTGTCGTTGGGCCGAGGACGAGAAGCCAGTCATCGATATCCCCGACCGCCTAGATTTCCAGCGGAATGCATTAACCGTCATTTTAGGACCCGTTGGATGTGGCAAATCGACAATGCTCAAGGCGATCTTGGGGGAGCTATCATTGTTCAAGGGCGAGGTCCGTACAAGCTACACAGGCGTTGCGTACTGTGGGCAGTCGCCGTGGTTGCCGAATGAGACTGTCAGGGAGATTATTACTGGTAGTGACGACGGACCAGAGGGCTTTGATGCCGCAAGATACGACGAGGTCGTTTCGGCTTGTGCTCTCAGGCCAGACTTCCAGATGTGGCCGCAGGGCGAGTTCACGGTGGTTGGCACCAAGGGAATTGCCATGAGTGGTGGACAGAAGCATCGCATTGTAAGTCATCTGCGTTTTGTCCGATTGCCCCTGGGCGATATGGAAGTGGCTTAACCAGGATCGTGAATTTGAGCTAATCCGCATGCAGGCTTTGGCACGAGCGCTGTACTCTCGTGAAGAGTTCTTTGTGCTGGATGATGTGTTTAGTGGACTCGACATGACAACCGCCGATACGGTCTTTCACAAAGTCTTTGGCAAGGAGGGGCTGCTTCGGTCAAGCCACAGGACGGCTGTTCTGGCTAGCTCTGATGGTGAGTTGAGTCAAATTCCTTACTCGTCTTAAAAGTTCTGGTCAACGGCTAATGGTTTATTGCTAGTTCGCCGCATGCGCCATGTCGATCAAGTCGTGATTCTAAACAGCAAAGGTCAAGTCGAAGCGAAAGGCCCTCCCGAGATCTTCTACAAGACCAAGGGCGTGTCCGAGCTTCTCGGTCTTGCTGGCAAGACCTCCGCGGGAAGTTCCACCGAGGGTGACAGCTCGGAGAGAAAAATGTTGACGGGGCCCCAGAAACAGAGCGAGCCAGTTGTGCTGCCTGGTGCGGAACCGGAGCTGTACGACAAGCTCAAGGACCGCCGGTTCGGTGACTCCGCCATGTACGCTTTCTACGCCCGCGGTATCGGCTGGGTCACGATCTTGACCTTTGTGATGGCTATGGCTGCGTATGCTGCTTTGGGCACGTTTCCGAGTAAGTTATCTCATAAGTTGCCAGATATCGGTTTGAGTGTGATAGAAGCTGAAGTCGGTGAAAACAGGCATCTGGCTGAAGTGGTGGGGAGAGTCGAACATCCTTCATCCGAACCAGGATACTGGCAAGTGGCTGGGCGTGTATATTGCACTGACTGTTGGTGCCTCTCTGGCAATTATCCTTGGCGCATGGTAAGTCAGAACGAGATGCCTAAGTGGTGGAGGCATCGAGTCCTCTCTTGTGCTGACCCTTTTGCAGGCAACTCCTGATTGTCGTGATCAACAAATCAGGCGTCTACTTTCATGATATTCTGCTCAATACTACATCAAGGTATGTCTGCAGGTCACGCTGTCAGGGGCATGACACCAACGGAACGTTGACTCAAATATAATAGGGCACCAATGTCCTTCTTCACCAAGGTCGACAGTGGTGTCACCGTCAACCGCTTTAGCCAGGATCTCCAGCTCATTGATATGGAGCTTCCCATGACCGGATTTTCCGTTGCTACAGGTGAGGTTCCCCACATTGACTCTGTCTTCACCTGTGTGTCTACTGACTGTTTCTGACACTCCCAAGGTCTGGCATTTGCCATCGCGGAGCTCGTCCTCATTGCCGTCTCTACGAAGTACCTCGCAGCCTGCCTTCCCATCGTATGCATTCTCTGCTACGGCGTCGGCCACTTTTATCTCCGCACGTCTCGCCAGGTCCGTCTCCTTGACATTGAGTATCGTGCGCCGCTGGCCTCGCAGCTTCTCAGGACGCTCGACGGCCTCGAGACAATCCGTGCCTATCGATGGGAAGACAAGTACGAGGTCAAGAACATGGCGTTCCTCAACGACTCACAGCGTCCGTACTACATGCTCATGTGCCTGCAGCGCTGGCTCGTCTTCTCTGTCAACTTGGTTGTCGCAATGATCGCGCTCGTGCTCATTGTTGTGGTCACGACTTTGCGCGAGCAGATCGGTGCCGGATATATGGGTGTCGCGCTCAGTAATGTGCTCGCATTCAGCAGCACTATCGAGGCGGCGGTCATCTCGTGGACGATGCTCGAAGTTTGCCTCGGAGCGGTGTCGAGAGTGCGGCTCTTCCAGGACGAGACCGAGTCGGAGGAAGCGACAGCCAATGAGAGTGTGGTACTGAAGAAACCTGATGATGAGCACTGGCCAAGAGAGGGCAAGGTTGTGATTCGGGATCTGACGGCCGCATACAAGTGAGCTGCCGGAATTCTGTTCCATGTGCCACGACATACTGACCATCATTCACTCACAGCTCGAGCGGTGTTGTCCTTGACCACGTCTCTTTCACGATCGAGGCCGGTCAAAGGGTTGCCATCTGCGGACGAACAGGAAGGTATGTATCAATCACTATCTCCTTCGGGTCCTCGCGAAGAATGAGAGCGTAGCTGACCATAAATCTCTCACAGTGGCAAGAGCTCCTTGACAATGTGTCTGCTGCGCATGCTGGACGCAAAGCACGGCAGCATCACCATCGATGGCGTCAACATTGCCAACGTCCCACACGACCACGTGCGCAAGGCTCTCGCCGCGGTGCCCCAAGATGCGTACATCTTTGGCGGCACCGTTCGTCTCAATGTCGACCCAGACAACGTGGCTGCCTCCGACGAGGAAATCATCGAAGTGTTGCGCAAGGTCCGGCTTTGGGGAAAGCTCCAAACCCGAGGCGGACTGGATGGCGTGATCGGTGACGACTCGGGCTTGTCTCAGGGCGAGACGCAACTGTTGGTTTTCGCGAGAGCGATGTTGAGGCGAAGCAGGATCTTGATTCTCGATGAGTTCACGAGCAGGTTCGTTCCCCCAGCTACATCACGTCGTCCCATGTACTTTGAACAGCAAGATGCTAACTCCTGGCCCACAACCTCCAGCCTCAATGATGAGTCAAGCAGCATAGTCTACGACGTCTTGCGTGAGTGGTTTCAAGGATGGACCATCATTGCGATTGCCCACGAGCTCGAGTCGGTTCTCGATTTTGACCGGATCGCGGTCCTCGATAAGGGCCAGCTGCTCGAGTACGACGAGCCGGGGGTGCTGCTTCAGACGCCTGGATCTGCGTTCCGGGCGCTGTATGAGGGCGGCGGCGGCGGCGGTGGCGAGACTGGAGAGAAGGTAGAGGATGTCTACTTTGGCGAGTCAGGGGAAGAGACTGGTTCGGCGAGTGAGAAGAATGCTTCTACTTAGAGTCAGAAGAACGACGATCTAGAAGGAGTCTAATGCCACGAAGTGGTCGGAACGGAAGAGGAATATGGCAGGAAAGGGCTAACGCAACTCATGTTTTGTAGAAGTATATAATTCCACTCCGTCTTGTACAATTCTAAGTTACTTCGTTCAATTTTATCCCTTTAGTGGCCTATGATAGTTATGATACGAGGGCGAATGTTCGAGAGCCACATTTGGGCTGGAGTTCAACCAGTTCCCGACAGTGTTGTGTGATTCCTTCAGTTCTCAAAAGCGCAACTGCTAGATGTTGCGAGAAATATTTCTTTTCTCTGTTTTATTCCTCAACTGGTAGAATTGATTCTCTCGGTCAATTCCATCAGAAGTTCTGTGCATGGAAGGCGCATGCTTTCGTACAAAGTCGAGCCTCATGCATTATTTGATCTCCATATCGCAAAACTGACAGGCGAAACCCTGATGAGATACCTAATGGGAGAGGGCGCTCCAAATACGTTTTTGGCAGATACGAGGTAACGTAATCCACGGGTGAGCGGGTCACACGGGTGAACGGGTCACCTTCCAGTGACTCGTACAACAATATGTAAGACAATTCAACCACAACGCCTGAAATCAATTAAAACTATTCGGAATCCTCTTCTTCAGAGGTAGATACAACTTTCTGATACGTACGAGTATTATAACCGGGCTCGCCGTAGACGCCATATCGCCGCGTGCGCGTTTCGGGCCTCATCGTACGCCCACTATTCTAACTCGTTTCCGCTACTAACTGCTACGTCGTATCGATTTAAGCCTTCAAATCCTTTGCTTGATCAATAGTAAGGGACCCTCTTTTCTATAGCTGCTTTCTTTTCGTACGACGACGGCGGCTAAGGCGGTCGTTCACATCTCGAAGTTCGGCGAGGTCGTAGCGTATAAGGGTCTGCTCATATACTATTATCGCGATCCCTTTATTAAGCTGCTTAAGGCTTGCGATTATGGATAACGGTGAGCTATTCTAGTGTTATACGATGCGATTTTTAATATACTCCGTCTGCGATTCGGCCTTAATCGGGTTATTCGGCGTCTTTGAGACCCAGGGGGGTGGTAGTCCGGCAGAACCTAGTAGTGTTGGCGTACGAAGCTTTATATCTAGCTGCGAAATTACATAGTCCGGGTCGTACGGTACTAGGCCTGTCGCTCTAAAGCCTGCCTGGATGTTTGATTTGGTTATTGCAGCGTTGTACGCCTTATAAAAGGCTGGGAGGAAGTCCTCCTTTGAAACGTGGGTTACGTACGCCCGCATTAGACCTTCGATTTCTTTACCGTACGCCCGTTTTAGAGGTCCAAAACACCTAACATCGAGAGGCTGGAACTTATGCGACGAATAAGCAGGTATATAGAGGGTAACAATATTCTATTCCTTGTAGTAGAGCTCGAAATCGACGGAATGGTGGCTCTCGTAGCCGTCGAGGATAAGGAGGCGGTAGGTACCCTTCGTACGACTCTTTATATGGAAATCGAAGTGTTTTACCTATTCTAGGCCTCTCTCGTTCGTCGTCTAACCGTTTTCTAAAAGCGCGATTACCTAGTTAGCCGGTAGAGGGCTATTCGCGGTCTAGGAGTTAAGGTGGACCTTCCCGGCGAAGATAATGTACGGCGGGATTAAATAGCCGTACGACACGATACCTTAGATTACTGTAACCCATTCCTGATTACCTTGTTATACGGCTCTTAGCCTCCCGCGTTGATCGGATGTCGTAACGACAGTTTCAGCGGAGATTTTACCTATCGCGAAGCCCGTTTCGTCGAAGTTGTAGATGTTGTTATCGTGGATCCCGTATTTCGCGATTATATTTCGTACGAGCTTAAACTACGTACGATACGCGTCCGGATCCTCGTAAAGGACCCTCTAATAATCGATTCTTCGATTAAAATACGTACGGAGCTTAGGTCGTCGTCGTACGAAGGTTGAGTGTCACGATCCTGCCTCCGGGGTCAACCGTCTGGCAGGGCGCTGGGGTTGCTGTTCTGCAAGATAGGTAAAGCCTGTACAATAACAACTAACACTCTGCTGTCGTTCTCTCTCTGGGTTGTCGTTCGTGTCTCTTGGAAGAGATACCAGTCTCGGCAATTGAGTGACTAGTTCAAGTGTGGGTGAAACTGATACTTAGATTGATCGCTGAAGTACAAAGGTAATGACTGTCTATCTAGGAGATCCTTCTGGCTCTATATATCCCTTTGTCCTTCATCGTGCCCGTCGTCCTGCGACACCGTTGGGTCGCATGCCGACAGTTTGTTGTCGCAAGACCGACGGATGATGGTCGCCGTGCGACCGTTCGTCGTCGGCTGCTGACGTAAGGTGGGTGCTTACATAATGTGTTCCCCGCCAGCCTTCGCTGGTCCGCCCTTGTCCCTGGCCTGATCCTGCGGCCTTGTTTGTGCTGGGCTTGTTTGTTACCTCAGCCCCAAGCAGTTCCCCTGTTGGTCGGGTCGTCACATTGAGGCCCAGTTCGTTCTAACGCGTAGCGCGTCGCGTATACGGAGGAGTCGATCCGCCATTTCTCAAATACCACTTAACCGCGGTGGAAACGAACGCGAATCTAGGTCGAGTACGTATCGTACGATACTCTCCTCTTCGTATAAGGTTAATTTCTAGCAGGGTAGTCGGGTGTCGTGTTTCGCAGCTCGGCCGTGGTATCGTTACTGGAGTGTCGTACGAGATACATTATAGATCTGCGCAGCCTTTCGTACGCTTAATTTTGGGTCGGATTGGAGCGCATTTAACGCTAGAACCAAATCACTTTCAATTGATTGTCGTCCCATAATTAGAGGTGGAGAAAAAGGAGAAGGAAGTGAACCTCAATTAAATTGCAGTAAAGTGACCCGTTCACCCGTGTGACCCGCTCACCCGTGGATTACGTTACTCGAATGAATAGCTTGTAATTATGAATACTAGGACAGCCGCATCACAACGTCCGTGCGTATTGTTACCGCTCTGGGCCGAGTTCATCTCTGGCAGCCATAGTGGTCGACTTTTGATCCCGCTTTGACAATGAACCAACGAACACGTGCAGGGATTGTAGAAGACCCCTGGGCGGGGGCACTAAGAGTGGGGACTTCCTGTCGGCGGCGAGTGGGACCCAATGGGGCGCTTTACTCCACTTTGGGGCTTATCGGGTGACCTTATCGGCCTTTGCGCGCGCCGCAGCCGGGTGAAGCCGACTTTTTTTTTTGGGAACCCGCCAGCCAAAGCCAGCAGTCTAGGACTTTTTGTTTTTTTCTTAGTGAGAGGCGATATCTTTTCTCCTCCCCCACAATCGCTCTTTGAACACTCTGCTGCTGGATCATTTCATTGTCCCTGGCCTCATTCAATATTCTTGGGGACAGCCAGTCAGCCAAACTAGAGAGACAACCGGGCTTCCCGAGGCAACACCCGCCCGTCCCAGCCACCATGTCGAAGCGCACGCTCGAGGACGTCGAGGACGTCGACGTCAGCAACGACGCCTCGCTGTCGCGCAAGAAGTCCAAGAAGGAGAAGAAGGAGAAGAAGAAGGCTGCTGCTGCTGCTGCGGGCCTGCCCACGCCTGCCGACACCGAGAACGCCACGCCCGTGACGACAGACGGGGAGGTGGCCGAGGAGAAGAAGAGCAAGAAGAGCAAGAAGGAGAAGAAGGAGAAGAAGCGCAAGGCCGAGGCCGAGGCCAATGCGGAAGAGACAGTCACTGCGGAACCCGCGGCGGTGGAGGAGAAGGACGGCGGTGATGATGCTATGGCGATAGACACGGAGGAGCCCAAGAAGAAGAGCAAGAAGGACAAGAAAGACAAGAAGCGCAAGGCGGCGGCCGAGACGACAACGGCTACGGGAACAGAGGCCACAACCGATGACAACAGCACATCAACCACCCCGGCGACCACAAAGTACGAGCAGTCGTCGAGCCTGAGCGCGCTGCCGCAGTCCGAGATCGACGCCTTCCTCAGCAAGCACGAGATTGTCATTACCGACCCGCTGTCGCCCAACGCCAGCACGCTGCGGCCAATCACCGAGTTCTCGCACCTGCCCACATCGACGCTCATGTCCAAGAAGCCCTTCAAGTCGTTCAAGTCGCCGACGCCAATTCAGGCCGCCTCGTGGCCGTTTGGCCTCTCCGGCCGCGACATTGTCGGCGTGGCCGAGACGGGCTCCGGCAAGACGCTCGGCTTCGGCGTGCCCCTGATCAACGCGGTCCTCGGCATGCCCAAGCAGGAGCGGCCCGGGTTCAACTCGAGGATCCGCGCCGTCGTCGTGTCCCCGACGCGCGAGCTGGCCATGCAGACGAGCGAGCAGCTCACGACGCTGGGCGCCCTAGTGGGTCTCAAGACGGTCTGCGTCTACGGCGGCGCGTCCAAGGACGACCAGCGCACGCAGCTGCGCCGGGCGGACGTCATTGTCGCGACCCCAGGCCGCCTCAAGGACTTCATCGAGGAGGGCACCGCCAAGCTCGAGGGCGCGCAGTTTGTCGTGCTCGACGAGGCGGACCGCATGCTGGACAAGGGATTCGAGGACGACATCAAGCGCATCCTGTCGTGCGCCCCCGCCAAGGAGAGCCGCCAGACGCTCATGTACACGGCGACGTGGCCGCAGTCGGTGCAGGCGCTGGCCTCGACCTTCATGGTGAGCCCCGTCAAGATCCAGATTGGCGGCAACGCGAGCGGCGACCTGCAAGCCAACACGCGCATCGAGCAGCGCGTCGAGGTGGTCGACCCTAGGTCCAAAGAGCAGCGCCTGCTGCAGCTGCTCAAGGCGGAGCCGCGCAACGAGCGCGTCCTCGTTTTCTGCCTGTACAAGAAGGAGGCCACGCGCGTCGAGCAGTTCCTCCAGCAGCGCGGGCTCAAGGTCGGCGGCATCCACGGCGACCTGCGCCAGGAGCAGCGCACCCGCAGCCTCGAGGCGTTCAAGAAGGGAGAGACGCCCGTGCTCGTCGCGACCGATGTCGCCGCTCGCGGGCTGGATATCCCAGAGGTCAAGCTCGTCATCAACTGCACTGTAGGTTTTCTTTTTTCTTTCTTTCTTCTCGATATATCTCCTCTCCTGTTTGTTTCACTCCTGTGCCATCACACCACTCCTCCATCATGGAGATGAACTTGTCGAAAGAGAAAGAAAAAGGAGGGGTTCGGGACCTAGAAACAAAGGGCTAACACATTTCAAAAACAGTTCCCCCTCACAATCGAGGACTACGTCCACCGCATCGGCCGCACGGGCCGCGCAGGCAAGACGGGCCGCGCCATCACCCTCTTCACCGAGCACGACAAGTCGCACTCGGGCGAGCTCATCAACATCCTGAAAGCCGCGGGCCAGCCCGTCCCCGACGACCTCATGAAGTTTGGCACGACGGTCAAGAAGAAGTCGCACGGCACGTACGGTGCCTTCTTCAAGGACGTCGACATGACAAAGAAGGGGACCAAGATTACTTTTGACTAAAAAAGAGAGAGAGAGAGAGAGAGAGAGAGGGCGGCGAGGAGGAGGCGGCGGCGAAGGGAGCCGCGTGGAGGGGTTTGTGTGTGCATAGGGAGATTTGTATATAAAAGGGGGCGTTGCAGAGAGGGATTAGAGAGACTTTGGCCTGTTGTTGGACGACCTGGCTGTCTCTATCATGGTACACTTTGAGCGCATAAAAGCCCGAGAGAGAGATATGCTTGCTTGCTTGCTTATTTGCCTGCTAAATCACAAGACCATCAAAAACAAGATCCAGAATTGGCTTTCTCGCAACATTGAGATGTGTGTGCGGGAGTGTGCAGCTGAAAGGAGCTGAGGATGATCTCAGCTGGTCGTTGCGGACACAAGAATTGCCAGTCTTGAATTGAGCTTCACCAAGACCGCTCTGAGCGGCGCCGCGAGACCCATATCGGTCAGATCTGGTATGTACATCTTTGCTCTTGTATGTGCACCACATTGCCTCCTTTTCGGCTTCTATCGCCTACCACGCAACGATTGATAGGCTTGAAGCAGATACTCACGCTCTGTGAATGCTCTACGGGGGAAAAGCTATGTCAGCCAATTCTGTCCAGCGTCGTCTTCAGAAGACCTTTCAGCATCGCACGGTGTAACTTACAAAGTCGCAACGTAGGGCACCGCGGCAGCGCCGACAACTACCAGGTCCTTGAAGACGTGGGAAGAAGGTGCTCCCAAAACAATGCCAGCCTTGGTGAGGATGGACCACAGTACAGCAGCACCAGCGACATGCAAAGCCATGCCTTTCGGCAATGTGCCCTGCCAATCAAATGTGACATCGTTGGCTCGAAAGTATCTGGAGATGAAGGCCGTGCTCCAGATCACACGACAGAGCATGTTGATGCCGTTGGCGCAGACGAGACCTGTTGCACCGAGTTGCAACACTCGGAGTGACACGAAGCCCGCCACACCAAAGGCGATGCTGAATGCTCCCATCCAGATGCTTTGCCTGTGCACCTCGCTCTTGGTGGCGACAGACGAGACAAAGGCCTCCGTGATGCCATTCACGGCTAGCAGTGGTATGTACAGGCAGTACACGGCGAGCACTTTTCCAGCCCCGCTCGAAGACCAGCGACTGCCCGCGATGATCTGCACCAGAATTGGTGCAGCAAAGGGGCCAATTGTGGTCACGATGATGCTGAGCAGGGCATAGAATTTCATCAGAGCCTGGAGGTCGATGCGGGCCTTCTCGACGGACTGCTTTTCTGGCTTGACCTTTGCATCACTGGTCGACAACAACTTGCTGAAGTAGTTGCGGCTGCTCTCCTCGATGGGTTGGAAGACAAGACGTGCCAGCAGAGAACCATAATTGTTGGCAAGCGCGTAGACGCCCTGTGATTGGGGGGACGAGAATATGGAGACGAGAAAGGTGTCGCCTTGCGTGAGCAGGTGTTTGACAAGGGACTGCGCCACCAGGCTGGACGCCAGCTGCAGAGTAGGCTTGTAGAAATAGCCTAGTGCGTATTTGTCCGTCGGAGAAGGAGGAGCATGGCGATCTTCCTTCTCCTTGCCTGCCTTTTCTTGCAGCCCGCCAGACTTGACTGGCGTTCTTGGCAACAATGAGAAGCCCTCTGCAGACGCCAGACGGGTTCCGTACCAGGTGTATACGCCAAGTAAACCGACTCCGTATGCGAGTTGTCCAATGGCAAACGGCAGGACACCAAGCTCAAGGCCGGCCGGCCAAGCCCAATTGGCTGCCGCGAACGTCGACAGACATCGTAGAAAGGTCGCTATTGACTCGGCGGCTGCGCGGGGCCCAAAACGAAGACGGTGCTGGAGTGCCACAAAGGCGGGCTCTGACAGCAGCTCAATGACGGCAGCGAAGCCGTAGATGTAGAGGGAGGTGTCGAGATATGGCGTCGAGGCGGTGGCCTGGTCGACGGCAGACAGGTAGGCCCAGCCGAGGCCGACAGAGGTCACCAGGCCGAGGAGGAGGGAGATGTGGGCAATGTTGACGACGGCCTGGCTGCCACGAGCCGTGCTCTTTGGTACATCATCTTTGGTGGAGTTGGAGTCGTCAGTGGTCTGGCGCTGGAGGGCGACGCGTAGGCTCTCGCGGGCAAAGAAGAGGACCGAGAGGTAGTAGACCTCGAGCTGGGTGGCGACGCCGAGCAGCTGTGCGGTGAGGAAGCGCAGGAGCAGCTGGTTGGCGAGAAAGGTGACGGCGCGGGAGAGGATCTGGAGGAGGATGAGCAGCGAGGCACCGCGCACCGCAGCAGCCTGCGCCGGCGCCGGCGGCTCAGCAGGGGGAGCAGCCATGGGACGGAGAGGACGCGTCGGGATGCGTGCGTGTGCTTCCAGGTCGAGCTCAGAGAGCTACGTTGGTGGCAATTGGGGAATGTGGTGCAGCACGCACTCAGAGCTTGACCTCCAGGGCTGGCCTGGCCTGGTGACCCCACCAGACCCCACTTGCAGCCGAGCCAGCTTGGGTGGGGAAGGCGCGACCATGGGCTGCTGTGGGCACCTGTGGGGCTTGGAGCTGACGTGGATCCCCGGCTTCTCAGTGGCCGCCAAGGGTGGGAAGCACCTCTTGGCCATGCTTGTCGGGACGACAAACGTCTGCCCATGATGCCTTCACCAAACTCGCCCGTCCTCTCTCGCTCCACGCTGCGGGGGTGGAGCCACCAGATTGGACCTCCATCTCCTACCATCGTACGCCCTATTCCCCCGCGGCCCTTTGTCATCATTTCCCCGTTCCTGTCCGCCGTCCAAGGACCTCCAGCTCTGCTCTTCAAAGCAGCGTATCGCCACTAGACAATGGGACTGACAGAGTCCGTCCCCAGGGCCAGTATTTGTCACCCTTGGGCGAAAAGGTGCACCTCCGTCCTGAGGGGATCTGCCGCCCTCGCCACGGTACTGGATCTAGGCTCTTAGGCTCAGATTGGATGTGTCATGCCACCACGAACTCTCTGCAACCTTAGTCTGCATTCCAGCACGGCACCTGCCGAGCAGGCGAACGACAGGAGCGTCGTTGCCACAGCCCTCGAGACAAGCTGGGACGCCTCAGAGACCGCATCTGGCCTCGCCGGAGAAGCCGGCCTTTGTTTTGACGAATGATTACGCGCTCTCAGACCACACCGACAGCAGCACACCGTGGGCCCTGGTTTCCCAGGAGCATGCCCCCTGCCCCGAGTCTGTGGAGCGCCCCCGTCTCCCCGCAAACTCATCCCCAGGCCCGAAAAGCGCAACACCACCCACCGCCACGTTGACGCCTTGCCCTTCATTTGGCCGAAGAACCACCTTCAGGGGCCTCGTCCGTCGGATCCGTCCTGGGAGCTAACAACAGCCACAGAGTTCGGCCCTGCCATCTGTCTGGTTACCAATGAGTCGGTCAGGGTGAATTGCCGTCAGCCGTGAATGGGATGCTGGGCCAGAGCCGAACAATGGCTTTTCGTCGATCGATTGTGCAGGCACAGGCAGGCTGGATGGCCGGCAAGCAACCGAGAATGCAAGCAGAGTATGTTGAGACAAGTCGATGACGCATCCAGCGCGCTGTGGGCACTCAGCTGGCTCGGCTTGACCTTCCAGACAAGCATTCCCCATTCCATTCCTCAGGCCCGCGAGGACCCATTGCACCAGCAGGAGGACATGGCATGCCACGACATGGCACTGCACTTTCGATGCCGTCGGGGAGCCAACCGATACCTAGCTCCTGATCAACAGAGACTCGCTCGCTGGACTGGCAGTGATTTACTTGGTGGCGTCTCTATGCAGGACCTTTGCTCCCGACGGCGCCGTTTCGACAGGTTAGCGCTGTAGCGGAGCGCCGAGGCGAGACTGGCGAGCTGGGACAGCGGCGGGAAGTGCCCTATGCCATGATGAATGCCTGCAGGCGCGCGGCGTGCTTGGCCACAGCATCCTCCTGGGCAGACAGCTCAGCTGGGAACTCTGTTCTCCAAGGTTCTGCGGCGGGGACCCTTGCTGGCACAGCATCGAAGCTCGTCCTCTCTGTCTCCGCACCTGCTGCCCCACGCCACTCACCAGGGAGCCCGCCTCATTGGACAAGCCACGGGGACACCACCAATGCTTAGCACCCGGCACTTGCTGGTCCATGATATCATACCTAATCACCAACCCCCGTCGGCCTGCTCCAGAGTCCCAGCCCAGCTGCTCATCTGCCCTGCCTGCCCATCCACGCACTGCGTCGTATGGAGCCGGGCGCGCCTTTCTGCGTCCCAAGGATGTGACATTCCAGAGGGTATGGGTTGCCCGACGATTCGAAAGGTGTGGATGCAGGCGTCTTTGCAGTCCGAGGACGCAGAGCAAATCATGCGAGCTGGGCCAAGCCCGTCCTAGCAAAGTCCCATCTCAAATGGTCTCGTGCCCATCGCCGTGAACTCTGCTGATCGAGACAGGCCATGCGATGCGGGCCAGCCATGCCGTGGTGGGCTCGAGCGCTAGCGCGACAGTGCGTGTCATCTCCCTCGCAACCATAATCGGCCCGTCCGCGAGAATCCTCGGTCCTCCTATCTCAGCCTGCAGAAGTCGAAAAGCGGATATCGCCAGGTCTTTGAGCCTATGGCGTCCCTCGAGGATCCTCGACCTGCATGATCTCGCCCCGTAGTTGGCTGATGGTCCAGGCTTACCGACAGCCTAGCTCAGGAGCTCCACGCAAGTCTCAGTCCATTTGGGACCCCAGGCTCTGCACCATTAGATCCCCCGCAAGCTCGCCAGGTTTGAATGCGGAGCCCCAGCCTGGACAAGAAGAAAATGGGGGAAATGGAGAGGGGAAAGAAGGTTTTGCATACTCCGCACCATGACCCCTGGCACGGGACCAGTAGCTGTGCCCATGGTAGTGGCGGTTGCTTGCCTCGTTCCTCGGAGCTCCCTTGATCTCTCGTGTGCATATAAGGTCTCAAATGTCCCCTGCCACATTGCAGTCTTGTCCCTACTGTCCCAACCGCTCACGATCTCTGGGCAGCTCACCAGAGACAGGAACAACGCAAATCCCTGAGATCTTCAGAGCCTGACCAGCACGATACAATCGCCCAACATGTCCGGGGTCCGGAAGTTGTCGTTGAGCAAGCCTGAGGGCGTCGAGGGCAAGGCTTGGCCTGCCATTGTCATCGGCTTCTTCGTGGCATTTGGAGGTGTACTCTTTGGGTAAAGATCCTACACTGTCCCTTAGTAACAAGTGTCTTTATGTGGCTAACACACCAAATAGCTATGATACTGGCACGATCTCCGGTATCCTGGCCATGCCGTACTGGATGACTCTGTTCTCCACTGGCTACGTCAATCCCGCTGGGCAGCTTGATGTCTCGCCGTCCCAGACGTCCGCGGTCGTTTCGATTCTCTCTGCGGGAACATTCTTTGGTGCCCTCGGCTCCGGTTTCGTAGCCGATGCCATTGGCCGTAAAAAGGCTCTCATGTCTTCCACCATTGTCTTCACCTTCGGTGTCATTCTTCAGACTGCGGCCACAGCTCTACCCCTGTTCCTTGCTGGACGCTTCTTCGCAGGTGCCGGAGTTGGTCTCCTGTCAGCCCAGAGTGAGTAAACACTGATCGAATAGTTCATCCGTCATCTCATGTACTGATCACTGTCCAGTCCCCCTGTACCAAAGTGAGACTGCCCCGAAGTGGATCCGCGGTGCCATCGTGGGAGCATATCAGCTTGCCATCACTATCGGCCTGCTTCTTGCGGCTATTGTTGATTGGGCCACAAAGGACCGCAACGACACGGGCTCATACCGCATCCCCATTGCGGTCCAGTTCGCCTGGGCCATCATCCTCTTCACTGGCATGATATTCCTCCCCGAAACACCCCGCTACCTCATCAAGAGGAATCGCCCGGAAAAGGCTGCTCAAGCGCTGTCCAAGCTCCGTCGCCTTTCAGCTGACCACCCATCTATTCGGGCCGAGCTTGCTGAGGTCCAGGCCAACCACGACTATGAGATGAGCTTGGGCAAGGCGAGCGTTCTTGATTGCTTCCGTCCACCGATCCTTAAAAGACAGTTGACCGGTATGGGATTGCAGGCATTGCAGCAACTGACTGGTAAGTCGCCTCCCAACCGGTGCGATCGCGCGACGAGGTGATTCTGACTAGGCCCTTTTTTTTTCAGGTATCAATTTCATCTTCTACTACGGAACTCAATACTTCAAGAACTCGGGCATCCAGGACGCGTTCACCATTCAGATGATTACCTCCTGCATCAATGTCGTGTCTACGCTCCCTGGTCTATATGCCGTCGAGAAGCTTGGCCGTCGGCCCTTGCTCTTCTGGGGTGCCATCGGCATGTGCATCAGTCAGTTCCTGGTCGGCATGCTCGGCACGTTGACGACTGGCCAAGACGCTGCGGGTAACATCATCGTCTACAATGTGGCCGCTCAGAAGGCCGGCATCGCCTTTGTCTGCATCTACATCTTCTTCTTCGCTTCGACCTGGGGTCCTCTTGCCTGGGTCGTCACTGGCGAGATCTTCCCCCTCAAGACTCGTGCTACCTCGCTTGGTATCACCACTGCCACCAACGTAAGCAAGACCCTCTTTCCAGCGCATTCCGACTTTGTGACAGGTTCGCTAACCAACATGTGTCATTCTCATAGTGGCTGCTCAACTGGGCTATCGCTTACGCTACGCCTTACCTGGTCAACTACGGTCCTGGTGTGTACGCGAACTTGCAGTCCAAGATCTTCTTCATCTGGTTCGCCTGCTGCTTCCTCTGCATTTCATTCGTCTACTTCTTCATCTACGAGACCAAGGGCCTGTCCCTCGAGCAGGTCGACGAACTGTACGCCGAGGTTTCCCAGGCCCGCAAGTCCAAGCACTGGAGACCCACGAAGACATTCGTCCAGCGGCAGAGCGTATCCGGCCCAGGTGTTCTTGGTAACAAGGATGGCGGTTCTCCTGTCGGGGAGAAGGACGAGGATGTCAGCCACCACGACGACGTTGGCCGTGCCGAGGCTGGTGGCTTGCACAGCAACAGGGAGGTCAACTAGATGGTGAATGGTCCATGACTAGTTACTTTCTTGTGAGAGGGTGCAGGTCGTCTCATTTAAGTCGGACGTGTCGAAGCCAAAGCATCGGGCCGTAGTCGGAGAGCTTGTCGACGTCGTACGACGGATTCTCCAGCAGTCTGAGCTCGGTACAAGGATAATCCGTTGTGTAAATGGTGATAACCACCTTGCCTCGTTGGCCACCATGGTCTCGAGAGACAAAGGAACATCTGGTCGCTGCTTCTTACATAGTTGGCTCCTCTTCCTTCAAGAGGTCTTGATAAAAATCATCGCCTCACTAATAATGACCATAATTGTTGCCTATCATCACTGATCTCATTCCCCTACCGCTGACCACCAACGAGTGACGTTTCCACACTTTGCTCCTCGCTTTTCGCAAACATGTCACGGTGATGCTCCCCCAAGCCCCATGGGTCCGCCCTTTCGAATCCTGCAGAGTGACGTGGATACATCGTCATTCGGCGCTATAGTCATAGACAATGGGCCGGAAACGGTGTGCGTGTGTGCGTGTGTGAGTCTACACGAGTCCCAGGAGCAGATAATACACATGTTCTCTGTTTCCGTGTCCGAGTGCGGAGGAGTGTGCAGGTAGGAACGGAGCCTCCCTGGCTGCGAAGCAGTCACATGCCACCTTTGTCCTTTTTTTTTCTTTCTTTCTATCTCTGAGTCTGCTGCGTTCCTTTGTCATCACCCTGCCCCGCTGTCCAGCTTCGTTCATCCGTGATCATTTATTTTGGTTCCGAGAGGGGCAGTCAGTCGCGAATGTAGCACCTGAAAGTGACGTGTGGGCTTGGACATCACCGCCGCGAATGGAGAAGGGCCGGGGGGTTGGGAGTGACAAGCTGTTCGGTCTTGTCCCTGTCCTGTCATGCCTGTGTTGACACTGGGCTAATCTTGCCTCTCGTCTCTAAACTACGTACTTATCTCGGCCTCAGCCTCGGGGCGCCTTTTTTTTTTCAGAGGGAGTTCTGCCTTTTAACTTTGCCTGGGCTCATGGAGCACGTCTGTCTGTCGTATCTGGGTTCGTCCATATCGCATGGGAAATCCGGAGACAGCGCCGCCCCTTGTTGGGCAAATGGACGACCTCAGGGTTGGAGCCCCAACCCGTGTGCCCAACGAGGTGCGTGCCTGAAAGACAAGCACATGCATCTCCTACACGGAACCCAGCGAGCTATCAAGAATCCGGCGGAACTCAGCCTTAAGGGGAAAAAAGAGTCTCTCGAGGCTGCTGAAGGCGGCACAGGAGAGCAAATGGCCCTGAGCCCTTCGTGATGCTGCTGCTCAGGTGAAGACTTGCGATGATCGCAACAAGTGGGACGAAAGGCTGCTTCTAATTCAATGACAGTTGCAAAGATGAAGGCTACGGAGAGAACATTGAACTTTGTTCATCTACAAAGAGAACACGAGCGGGCTATGTACATAGACCAAGTAGTCGTCTTCCAGCTTGGGCGGCGAAACCCACGATGTTCGTCAGTACCTGAGAGCAGACGTCCTTGACGAACCCCTCTCGGTCATGGTCAAGGAGACCCAAGTGTGTAAGTCGTAGAAGAGACGTGTACATTGATGACATGGTGCCGATATTGATGACTCAAGGCTTGGTTGGTGGTACTCGTCGACCTGAGAGGACAGAAGAGTCGAGGCGCGTACACCGACGACACAGACGACACAGTGTCTCCCACCAAAGGTGCAGGTTCTCGCTCTGGCCTGGCAAGCATGACTAACTATCGCAAAGGCAGAGTGACGCACACTCTCCTTCCATCTCTCGCCAGCTTACATGGATTGGAAGCAAGCAGAAAGCTCCACAGGCATTAGCTTTTCAACGAGAAACCATATCCCAGCAGATGACCAGGAACTCGGCACACCTGGCGTATGTAGACATGGTTTGAACGTGCCATATTTCCCCCGCCACTGACTCTTGAACGTAATCATGCGTAGCGCTGTGCATGACATCCCCAGCGCGCGCATATCACAAAGAAAAAAAAAAAACGTCACTCCCAGCCGAGTCATGCCCGAATAGTTAGTACCAATGCGCTATGATGTCCCACTATCGATTTTATCGGACCACAGACGTACGTGCACCACGCACGCACGCATCAGATGGGGAGGGGTTGTTTCCAAGGCATGTGTGCCATTCTTCGTCTCAAGCGCACAGTCCGTTCGCGCATGCCCGGGCGAGGTTGCTTCTGAAACCGGAGCCGTTGGAGCACGGCGGTCACTGATTGGCTGGCTGGGGATGGGCCAGGGATGTGGCAGATCTGCCCTCCCTTTCTGTGTGTGTGTGAAGTTTGCATATATGCATGCATGGCAGCAGGATGAGATGATTTCAAGGTTTGACCCTGTTGATGCGTCGTGGTACACGGGTAGTATAATACCCATATCACCTGAGTCGTCTTTATGGTGCATAGAATGGAGAACGGGACACAGAGACACTTTACCGTGATGGCCAGGTATCAGGAGTCTTCTGTATACCACGTTTGATCAGAGTGCTCTCTGGTGAGAAGGGGAGTGGTACCCAGCGGTGCCTCACGAGGCCCTGCAGGCCATGCTAGTTCGGGATTTGAGAATTGATGAAATGTCGTTATCCCTGGAGTTGCCCCTTTCAGTTCAACTGGTTCAAGGTGGTCGAACAACTGGGTCTGCCGGGGTGACACAATGAGAGCCTCCTGTCACGACTCTGGGCACACGGGCGCGGGGGACTGACTGCCTCAGAGCACGCGTGCCAGTCACGTATTACGATGCACATCATGCGGAACCCGGCGCGTGTCGATGTGGCAGAAGCCAAGCAGAGCTTGCTGTTTCGCGAACAATCCGTCGACTGGTGGACCTCGCGCCTTGCGCCTGATGACGAGCGACACCCACATCATTGTGGTCCGAAAAAAAGAGGAGGGAGATGATCCAATGGAAGACGCCACATGGAAGCCTCGGAGACGGGCGATGGAGCGCGCGCGAGCTTCCAAGGCGACAAACAGGGTGGGACAAACCCCTGACTAGAGACGGGTTGGACCAGGGTGGCCAATGGCTGGCCGCCGAGGAAAAGGGGTAAAATTGACGTGAGCAGGGGTCAACCCTGGCGGGGGGGAAACCCCTGAAAATGTGCAGAAGCTCTCTTTGACTCCTCTTCGTCGGAAGGCGCTGCTCGAAAGAGTCAGGTGTGCCCAGCGCGATCTTCCAGGCACGGGAAGGCGTCTAATGAGGAGAGAGTCAATGTATTCTCTCCCACCGTCGTGGTCGTGGGTCCGGAGTGTCGAGCTGCATGCCACACTCGATAATGCTAGCAAGGCGAGAAGGCCTCCGCGACAGGCAGTGACGCTTTGTACCCTGGCCTGGATATCCTTTGGACTAGTGCCATGCATACACCCTGAAAGCTGGCCAGTTCCAGAAGCCCGAGCACACTACAGCCTGCTCATTAAGAGTCGTGGTATGCTGAAAGAAGACCGGATGGGCATAAGATCCGGCTCGGATCGACATGGAAATGGACTGAAGAGTGCATGCCGCGCTTTGGAGACAGACATGACGTTGCAAGGGCAGACATAGCATCCTGGCAATCTATTGAGCATTGCTGCAAGTCAGACTGAGTGGCCATCTGCAAGTCAGTAATCCGACGAGTCCTTGGGCAACAATCCGCCAAGCGAGCTGCCAGGGGTCTGTGGCTCCGCATTTTGGAACACCCACGGGATGCCACTTTGCGAGCAGACAGTGACATCTCGGCGGCAGAAGCTCGATTGGCTCATACTCCGAGAATGATGCCAGTCTTCTCGGCGAGGGACGAAAGTGTGGCCCTGGATAGAACAGACGATCTGTATTTACCGGATTTGCGCGATGTCCTTGCTGTGTCCGTGTACAACGACGCTCTCTGTACGGCCGGCCCCTATGCCTGGCGCACCCCGCCCTTTGCTGCTTGCTATCCAGGGTTGAGAGGGCACACCCCTGGCTGCGGTGGCTTGAAGTTGAGTGTCCGTAGTAGGCTGATCCCAGGGAAACCTTGAAGACCCCGAGGAAGAATCCGTTTGTGCGGTAGATCGGGTGCTGGTGGACAGCGCTGGTCACTGGCGGTTGATCGATCTGCCTCTGCCAAAAAAAAAGACTGTTGCTCGCGGAGGCACGACTCCCCCAACTCCTCCATCACCACCCGGCCACAACACGGCGCCGTCTCGCCACGAGGAGGAAGCAACGCCAGCCCGCCAGCCAGCCAGCCTGCGAAACCCAATTGACCCACCCGCCGCGCGGCGCTGGGCTCCCAAGCACCGTCGAAGCGCTCAGTCTGGCTCAGGTCTAGCCTTGCCGCCGCCAGTGCCGAAGCTGGCAATCTGCAAAGGAATTGACAACCAGTTGCTGGCCGACGCTTTGCGATTGCAGCAGCAGAGACGGACGAAACGCCAGGTATTTGAGCTTGCCGCGAGCTGAGGCGACCTGCCCACGCACTCGGCACGCCTGCACGGGTCGCGGCCGAGCTGCTTCAGGTTGATTGCGTGCCTTGGGTGCTTTCCGTGCTGACTAGTCGGGTGCTGAAGCGCGCCACCGCGAGGCTTGCGGGTGCAAGCTAGCGGTCTAGCTTGACCTCGAGGGAGCTACAGCCCAGCCGTGCAGGACGACGGCGCCAGGCCGGCAAGATTGGCATTGGGACGGATCCGGGAAAGGAGGCATCTGAGGCGTCTCGGTCGGCTGCCGTTAAGCGGCCGTTGGGGGCCAGAGAGACACACAGACAGTCGCAGTGAGTCGAGCAAAGGGCAGGCATAATCAATAATGGACCGGAGCGGCAGTGGTGCATCGCCGGATGCGCCTGCACACCCGGGCGACGCACTGGCACTTGCACCACCACCACCACCACCACCACCAACAGCGCCGCAGCAGCAGCGCAGCAGCGCAGCCACACCAGCACCAGCACCAGCAGCCTCCATTCCTGCCGCCGCCGCCGCCCAGCACCACACCTCCCAAACCACCCGCCACCACAACAACCTCGCGCGTGCTCCCACCCCTCGCAGCCGCCTTCTCGACTCCCCAGGCCACGATCCCAGCCTGCGGTCCTCATCCTCGCCGCCGCCCTCGCCTGCGCGTCGCCCACCCACGGCCCAGCTGCCTGCCGTTCCCCCGTCATCTCACCGCCAGCGCCAGCACGGCTCCCCGCTGCCTTCACCCCTAGGCGCCGCCGCTGCCGCCCCCCGACTGCCCTTCCGCGCGGATCCCTTGGCCCGCCTCCGGCACAGAGACAACGGCGACACCTCGCCTTCTTTCGACCAGTCCCCGACTTTTGCCACTTACGCTGCTGGCACTTCACGCTCTGGTGCTGCCTCGACGCCTCCAGTTGCCAGCCAATTCCACTACAAAGTCAAGGGTGCTAGTGCCGGATCGAGATATGCCGCGTCCGGTGCCCTTTTAGACCCGCCAGCTATCCTCTCCAGAGGCATCGATCATCAGGACCTCTCCGACTCAGACGACATTGACGCCAGGGACCACTTTGCGCGCCAGCCACGGCTCAGTGAGCTGCTGCCGGACGACGACGACTTATTCGACGACGAATACGACGACGACGAAGACAACGACTCCCACCATACCTATCACAACTACCTGTCTCGGCACGCACCGCCGGCCACAACTTTTGTGAACCAGCCAGAAGCTATCGCCATTGAGAGACCTTTTACTGCCACTGGTATTCGTGGTGAGACGGACAGGATCGACCGAGGTGCGAAACAACCCGCCACCAACAACTTCTCTCGCGTCAGAAACAACCAGCAGGGTGCTCGTTGGGACGTAAACGACAGCTTGAATCCAAACCTTGCGCCGCCATCGCAGCAGAAACCCAGCAGGTTTGGAGACTCCCTTTTCACCCGATTCGCTCCACCCTCGCCCGAGCCGCAACCTGGACCGAGCCAGGAAGCCGATTACCTGGGGCCTGTACCCAGGCTTACTCGTGCGCGAACCGACACGTTTGGCGATCGAGAGCCAGTCTCCCCAAACACTGAAGGCTTCCGAAACCTTAACAGGTGGTCGACTTCATCCGCTGGGACCGCCTACCGACCAGTCACTCGTGACCGAGACGAGGACTTCCCTGCATCCCTCGCCGCCAAGGCTGCAACCTCTGCAGAGCGTCCACCAAGCGTTGACTCTTTCACAAAGATCATACCACCCTCGCTCCCTGCAGCCAACTCTGCTTCGCCCCGGCGTCTAACGAAAAAACGACCGTCCGCAGCCGCTCCCAGCAGCCCATCGACCAAGTCAAGACTCACGGGGTCGACTTCGCGATCGCGACGACAATCACCACCGCCCGCATCGGCAACTGCCCCGTCGCCGCCGCCAAATCTGCCGCCCATCATTTCTCTTCCGCCTCTGGACACAACCCAGAACAGGCTTGTAGGCTCCCCCCGCGGAGATACAGTGACCAGTCCGCTCGTCGCGACCCCCAACTCCGTCTTTGCGCCACAGAACGGAGAGCGGAGCGACTACTTTTGGAATGCCATCACCGATCGTAATAATCAACCACACACCTCAAAACCATCTCCCACTGTACGATCTGTAGCCTTTGCTGTGCACCACGACGACGACATGCCTGGGCACACGAGGAGTCGCTCCTCCAATGCCAAGGGGAGCTCAGACTCCACAAAGACGAGGGAGAGGTCGAAACCTTCCCAGAAGGCTATGCTGTCCAAGGCGTTGGGCAAGGCCAATACTGCCGTTCAGCTCGATAATGCTCAAAACTACGAAGGCGCCAGAGAGGCATATGTGGAAGCATGCGAGCTTCTGCACCTCGTACTAGCGAGAACGACAGGCGAGGAGGACAGGAAGAAGTTGGAAGCAATCGTAAGTCGTGTCCTACGCCGCACGTATTCGCATCCGTGGCTAACATGTACCAAAATTAGCGTGGCACGTACACAAGTCGCATAACCGAGCTTGAAAGCCTGCTGCCTTCGAGACCGATAGAAAAGCGCCTGCCGGCACGACCACAAAGTATTGAACGGGTAGACAGCCCGGAAGATATGACTGCCTACGATGACCCCGATGACCCGATCATCATCGAAACCGCCACAGTACTTGTGCGTGAGGACGCGCAGGCAGCTCTGCCCCCACCTGCAGGCCTTGCGCCAAGTCCTATCCCCTCTGACTCTAGCCGATCAATAAGCCATACCACTTTGTCACCTGGCCCGGGACATATGAATGGACCGAGCTCACCATTACAATCGTCCTTCTCGGTCCGCAGACCTTTTGGCGGAAACTCACTTGCAATCCCTCGTGGTGATGTCATGCCGGCACCACTATCGCCCCGCAGAGTGCCGTCACCGTTCAAGCCTCCAAGCCCGGAGCCGATTGTGCGACAAGACTTTTCTCTGCCGTCCGATCGGCTTGCTGCAACTACATACACCAAGCCTACGCACACCAGGAACCCCAGCCACGAGTCAGTATCATGGTTGGACCCGATTGACGAGAGCGGCGGATCTGCCTGTTCGTCCGTCCACTCCAGGACGTCATCACTGGGCATCCGGCGGAAACACATTCGTGGAGTGAGCGGAGCCACTGAAGCCGAGTTTGATGCGGCCCTCGACGCGGCAGTCGAGGCAGCTTATGACGACGGCTACGAGCCCGCAGACTCCGATGCATATCATGATACAGACCCCGAAGATGTTGTAGCGAACGCCATGCGCAGAGTCGAACTTGCAAAGAAGAGGGTCCGGCAGACCGAGCGCGAGGCAGGCATCGAGTCGGAGCGTGACTGGGATAAGCAACAGCCATACATGGCACTTGAGCGCGATTCCATGACTTTCGGAGAGCTGTACAATGGCAGTGACTCTGAAGAGGAGGAGCGCATGCTGGACGAGATGACCAGAGATTACACCATGGGCGACTTCTCATTCTCCTCCAGGGATAAGCAACAGTCGAGAGTCACGAGAGAATCCAATTCAAGCGGCGTGACGAGTCGCACGTGGAACACGTCGTCCATGGGATCCAATGCGCCCACGGCTACGTCGGGGCTGTCGACGGTCAACGAGAACTCACAGGGCTCCATGAACATGTCACCGCCGACACTACCTCCTATCGGAGCACTTCCGCAGATTCCTTCGCCCCAGTCGAAAGGTGCCTCGGGTAGTGTTCGGGCCCGAAGATTGTCTGGACAGGGTGCGAAGCAGCTCAAGATTGAGACTGCAAAGTTGGGTTCCCCTCCACGGATGCCACCTCCAGATATGCCTGCATCGGCAATACAAGCCAAGAGTGGTGGCTATATCGCTCAACAGCGCCAGAACCTTTCGAGCTCCGCTGGAGGCAGAGCTGCAAACTTCTCACTCCGAACACCCTCATCACCAGTGCGGACAGCAAGTCCAGCAGGTGCGATGGTCCCTCCTCCCACACCACCGCCTCCGCCGCCAAACTTTTCCGCATACGAGCACGACGAGCGGGCCGACTCGCCCTCCTCGATGGCACCCAACCTGCGCACCAACTTCTCGTCATCGAGTCTGAAATCCCTCAGGCAGCGCCAGATGTCTGTTACGGGCTTCGAGGAAGCAGACCTGTCACCAAACACACCCCTGAGCACAACAATGACAAACAATTCTCTGACAAGGCAAACCTCCATACCTGCAGTCCCGCCTACGCCCATGGGACTAGGGTTTAATGGCAAGAGCGGGTTTGGTGGCATGCAGCTATTCGAGTCTGATTTCCACCTTGCATCACCGACGACGTCAACTCATATGCAGCGCACCTCCAAGGAGCAGTCAGACGACATCCCGCTTGCGCTCGAGCCCTGCCCATCAGACGTGATGCTCAGGCCATTCTGGTTGATGCGTGCGCTGTACCAGACCCTAGCCCACCCGCGCGGGGGCTATGTTACCAACAGGCTGTTCGTTCCCAGGGACGCGTGGAAGGTCAAGGGCGTGAAGCTGCGGAACATTGAGGAAAAGTGCTCGCAGTGCGATCTGCTGACTGCGGCCCTATCAAAGCTAGCGTTAGTGGACAGCAACGATGCCGACGCCGTTCTCGAAGAGATGCAGAGTCTCGAGGGCGTACTCGAGACGGTGCAGCAGAACCTTATCAAGAAGCTGGGCAACGAAGTCGGCACCCAAGGCGTGACGTCGTTGGGCGGCGAGAAGGACGGCGAAAGCGCGCCTCCAGTCCCACGCAGCGCCAGTGTCAGCGGTAAAGGCGGCGCCTTCAGCTGGCGCCGGCTCCGGAGCAAGAACTCGGCAGCCAACCTGACGAGCGCATACGGCGGCAAGAGCAGCAGTGGCGGTAGCGGCACTTCGGTGCCGGAGCACAAGGAGGTGACGAGTGGGAGCTTCGGGGCCGGTACGCTACCTAGCCTGCCGATGGTTGCGCAGCCGATGAGCCGGCCGGCGAAGCGGGATGTGCTGTCTGTCAAGTTTGACGGGCCGTTTGCTGGGTACATGGCCAGCTTGGCGCGGTTGTTTGACGCTGCACAGACAGTTGGTGAGTTGTTCCCCCATCTCTTCTTGCGTACATATTGTTGGGAGGGATGTTGTAGTGTCACGGATTCAAGTATGCTAACGTGTGGGACCAGATCAAATTGCCCGCCAAGTGGACGACCCTGGCTTGCGCCACGCCGACAAGACGCAGGTTGGGCTGGAGCTGTGCACGCGCCACGCCGCCGAGTTCTTCAGCTTCTACATCTGCCGATTTGTGCTTACAGACCTGGGGATGCTGCTTGACAAGTTTGTCAAGCGGGGAAGCGAGTGGGTATTGACATGAATGAGGTGCAAAACGGAGGAGCATGTGGCATGTCATGGTGTTTTTACGAGGGGGGGAGGGGCGGGATGGCCCGGATATACCCTGCCAGTGTGTGTGATCTGGCAAGCATTTAGAGAGAGAGGTACACGGGAGGAGGAGCTCTAGAGGGCTCGACAGTGGCGGGGAGTGGAAGATAGAGTCAAGCAGGAGGGGTGTACTGCAGTTGATATATTGTAGATCTGTGCTGTTTGGTCGAGTACATATACCCTTTATCTTGTTGTTCCAGACGAGCTGTTTCCAAGGAGCCACGTAGGCATGCTGGGAGAGTGACGAGCTTGGCGACATTGTGTAGAATGGCTCGGTGTCCATGCCATCCGTGTGGATGACCCCTGTGCCGCCCGAGTTTTTGACAGGACCCCTGCTTGGAAATATTGCCCATGGATGCCGCGGTTGTGGTTTACGCGTGTAAGTGGGAGGGCATGTGTCGGTTCCCGTCGAGTGATGACGTTGATGACGAGGAGTCCCCCTGGGCCGATGTCGAGACCTGGACCGGGGTCCTCCCACCTCCTCCCCACATTGAGAAACCACGAGCGCATCATAGCGCAGCTCCAGCCAATGGCAGGACGTCGCAAGCGAGAAATGCCCATGGGCATGCACGCCATGGCAATCCGCAATCTGCCTCTGCTGCTTTGCTTTGCACTGCACCTGCACGCTGCACCTGCAGGTGCGCCGCCGCCCGCCCCATTGCCGGCCGCCGGCCTTTTTGCGCTGATCCAGCCGCCCTTGCTCTTTGTGGTCTGCGGATTCGCTCAGAGAGCTGTTGCTGGCTGGCTGGCTGGCATGGTTCTTGTGGTCTTGGAGCTGCCAAGGTGAGGCCAGGTCTCGCATTCGCCAACAGTTGCCTGAACTGGAGAGAGAGAGAGAGCCTGAAGGGCCAGACTTTGTGTGTGTGTGTGCCTGCCCGTTTTTGTTTCTCGGAGGGCCGCAGCATCCGTCGGCACAGCTACACCTGGCACCCTTTACTCCCACACTCAACGTCTACCACAACACACATACAACACATACCTTTTACACATCTGGCGAACCTGTGTTTGTCTGTTCCTGGTCCAGAGATACGGCACAAACTGGCCAGGGCAAGCTGAGAGCATCGCATCGCATCCGCCACTACTACACTGATAGCTTGTGCCTCCACGACAAACACGGACCCCAGCGTGTCACACAGAGCACTCTGGTTCAACGACCACTTCTAGGAGGATAGAGCACGCGCAAGAGCGAACCCGAGGTAGCTCGCTCTTTGGGGACCCCGACTGTCTGCTACTGCAACCAAGCTGCTTGCGTACCTAGGTATGTATGTAGTAGTCTGAGCCTCCGGGTCAACCAGGACAAGCCGGCAAGCCGCTCCACCACAGAAGATCGGGCCACCACCACCAAGCACCGCTCAGTCCCGTCCAGGTTCTGTGTGCCTTCGAGTCGAGCAGCAGCATCAGCAGTCCTCTAGGGCGGCAAGTACCGCGGCAGCCAAGAGTCAAAGACACCAGCACTGGAAAAGGACCCAAATCACGCCACCACCACTCATCGAGCCCACCTCGCCCTAGACTTCCGGCCTGGGCTGACACAAAGAACTGAAGTTTGATGGTCGCACAGGCTCTATTGTCTATTGGCGACACTTCTCTCGAAACTCCACTCTGATAAGGAGACAAGGCTACTGAAAGGTATGGCTAGCTCTTCACTTTTGTCTTAGTCCCCTGCTGTTTCTCCGTTCAAAACTTGTCAAAAGTCGGGGGCTGTGGAGAGTTGAGAATCATGCAGTCGGCCACTTCAGCCGCACGCTATGCCGGTACACAAGCGAACCTTGGCGTCGGGCCATTGCCCTAGTAGCCTATCACTCGCCTTCCTTTGCATGGGTGTGACTTGAGCATCAATGCTGCGGTGTCTTTATATATTTGCTTGACGTTCCTGCCGATTCTGTTGTAAGCCAATATCGGACACTGACTTGTTCTCGTCGTGCTAGCGCTGAGAAGCCCATCATACCATTCACCATGCCAACGAAAACAGTCGAAAGCCGCATCCCAGGCAGAGTTGATCTGCTTCGCGGACCAGAACACCAGGAACAGGACTACGAAAAGCTCGTCCGGGATCTCGTCGAGCAGAACTTTGACGACTGGCCAAACGAGGCCGGTGTAAGTAGACCCCCCTGACCATGACGTCTGCATCTTACCAAGTCTGACGCTTCCTTAGTTCGAAGGACTCACAGAGGTCCGTGGCCCTGTCGAGCTCAAAGTGAAGGGCTATTTCCCACCCTGGATCGCTGGCACGCTCTTCCGCACAGGACCAGGCCAGTACGATATTGACAAGACATCGAGTGGCCGCCCGTATCGCACGACGCACTGGTTCGACGGCTTTGCGCACTCGCACAAATTTGAGATCATTCCTCCAGGACCTGAGAACCGCGATGGTCCCGTACGAGTCGAGTACTCGTCTCGACGACAGGCTGAGAAGCTCATCGAGACAATCAAGCAGGACGGCCAGCGGGATCGATACATTTCCTTTTCGCAGCGCCGCGACCCCTGTGTGGGAAGGATGGGCAAATTCATGACGGTGTGGCGACATGGAAGTGCCCCAGAGAAGCAGCCGGATGAGGACAACTCGTGCGTCACTGTTATTACAAACGTGCCAGGTCTCGGGCCGCTGAAGAACGGGTCAGCCGCGACCGAGTCTGGGCATCGAGCAGGTGTCAAGAGCGTGTGGTTGACGACAGACTCGAACACGATGAAGCAGGTCGATCGGGACACGCTCGAGCCAATTGGGCTGGCAGAACAGAAGGAATTACATCCATTGCTCAAGGGCCCGATGAGTTGCGCTCATGCTCATGTCGATCCTGAGACCGGCGATCTCTTCAACTACAATCTTGACCTGAGCAAGACATCCACCTATCGCGTTTTCAGGGTGAACGCGGCCACCGGCACCACCGACATCCTCGCCACCATCTGCCGGACTGATGTCCCGCCAGCTTATGGCCACTCCTTCCTGCTGTCCAAGTCCTTCGTTATTCTGTGTGTCGGCTCAACACACATTAGCCAGATGGGCCTCAGCGTGGTGTGGAACCGCAATATTGCCGACTCGATCGAGCCGTTTGATGAGTCGAAGCGGTGCAAGTGGATCGTTGTGGACCGCCGGCCCGGCCGAAGCGGCGTGGTCGGCACCTTCGAGACGCCAGCAGGCTTCTTCTTCCATAGCGTCAACGCGTTCGAGGACGACGAGGACGACAAGACCGGCGACATCAACTTGTACTGTGATGTGCTGTACTACCCAACGCTGGATATAATCCGGAGCTTCGAGCTGGACATCATCCGCGGGACCAACAACGGCAAGGGCAAGTACGACGATGCATACACCCAAAAGGGATTTTGGGCCGACGAGCAGAGAAACCGGAACAGCCTGCCGACATTTGTTCGGCAAAAGTTTGTCATACCGGGCACTAAGAAGAGTAATCGAGCAAGCTGGGTTCCCTGGCCTGTCACCACTGCCGTGGACTACGTCACTGGTACTGGCGGAAGCAGCTGGCGGACTGGCGAGAGATTGTGCGCAATCAAGGCCCCTCACGTGGGTGAACTGCCCACAATCAACCCGGCTTACTCGACGCGGCGGTACAGGTATTTCTACAGCCTGCCGAACACGGGCAAGACGGCACTGCTGGACAGCATCGCCAAGACGGACATTGACACGCAGAAATCGCTGTTCTGGGATAACCCGAAAGGCCACACTCCGGGCGAAGCGATTTTCGTGCCGCGGCCGAAGGGTGCGGCGTGGGGTTTTGACAAGGAGGCGGGAGTGCGAGGCGACAGTGATGAGGAGGAGAGGGCGGAAGATGACGGCGTGTTGCTGAGCGTGGTGCTGGACGGATTCGGCAAGACGAGCTACCTGGTATGCCTGGATGCCCGGACGATGAAGGAGGTTGGGAGAGCAGAGTGTGACTGGGCCATTGGGCATGGGTTCCATGGGATGCATGCTGCTGCTGTTGTTTCAGCGCCATAGCTGTTGTGGGCGACTGCGCCGAAAGCGATGTGTTTTGGTTTAAACCATGGGCGAGTTGCGCCAAGACAGTTCTTTTGAGCCTGCATGTGTCAAATTATCTAGAGGAATAGAACACCCATATGTCGCCGTTCATTATTGGCAAAGTGGTTTGAGGTGAAGCCAGGTGCAAGGAAAGCATGCAAGCCCGCCGTAAAACCCTCAGAATGTCAGCCTGCAAGGGACGGGACATGAGGTCATCTGACAAGAACTGGAGAGCCATAGCTCGTTTGCCATTGAAGAATATATACAAGACCGACCCGTTTTAATCTTTGACAAACTACCATTTCCTTCCTCCACGCCGCCGCTTTCTCTCCCGCCCCCTCTCTGAATATCTTTCCATTCTCACCGCTTGACGTGCGTCAGCCTGCACATCAGAGGCGGCTTGTTCCAGGTGTTGAACGCCTTGACGTGCCTGCAGTCGCCGCTGGGGTCCCAGACGTCAAACTTTGTGTTCTCGCTCACGGGCATGTCGATATCCGAGCGCTCGAGGTCAAAGTGCCACAGCAGGTGCGCCAGGATGAGCCTCAGCTCGAGATAGCTGAGGTGCTTGCCGATGCATCCCCTGGGGCCCAGGCTGAAAGGCTGACTGGCGTCCTTTTGGTCGTTGGCGAACTCCGGCCCACAGGCTTCCTCGTCAGACATCCAGCGCTCCGGGATGAACTCGTCGGGCCGGTGGAAGTTGCGGGGCGAGTGCGTCGCCGACCAGGCGTACACGGAGACCGTGATCCCCCCCGGTAGCCACTCCCCGTCGACCGTGTCCCCGCCCTGGGGAACAGTGCGGGTCAGTCCCGTGGGCACGGGCGGGAAGATGCGCAGGGCCTCGTCGATGCATGCGTTCATGTAGGGCAGCTCGGCGAGCTCGGTGAACTTCATGTTCTGCGCGGAGTTGGGGAATGAGGAGCGGATCTCTTGCGTCAGGCGCTGGTATGCGTGCGGGGTGCGGAGGAGCCACATGAGCAGGCCGGATAGGAGGGATGCTGTGGTCTCGGAGCCGGCGACGCTGGGTGGTAAGGGGAACCGAAGAGTTAGCGTCAGGCCTTAAAGCTGGGGTGTGCTTTTCAGAGGATTAAGGAGGGGAAGGGAGGGACGATGGGGATGGAGGAAAGAAAACAAGGAAGGAAGGAAGGAAGGGGGGATTGTAAGTATTTGAGACTTACATGAACAGGGCGCTGTTGAGGATGATTTCGTTCTGCCGGACGCCGCCCTTTTCGTTGGCGCGGAGGATGTAGTACAGAAAGTCGTTGTGCTCGCGCGTGAGACCCTCGTCGATGCGTCTGGTTTTGGAAAAAGGGGGGGCATTTCGTGGTCAGCATGGGGCCTTTACTCTTTGTCCGAAAAGAACTCCTCCTTCTGTAGGTGAGGTGACTGTAGTAGACGGTTGAGAACTCACTGCATGCACTTCTCCCTGCTCAGCTCGAGATGCTGGAACCGCTTCCGGCGCAGGTCGGCCGGGATGAGCTTGACGAGCTGGCGCTGCAGGAAGCTGTTTGTCTGGAACATGCGGCGGGTCGCCTGCTCGAAGGCGCCGGCCTTGATGGTCTGCGTGATGAGCGAGACCCAGTCGTGCCACACGCCGTCCCTCAGGCACCCAAAGGGCCGGCCGAACGCCATGTCGCCGATGATGTCGAACGTGGTGAAGTCTGCGGTCACATGAGTTAGCAATGACCCGGCCGAGAGGGTTCGGAAAAGGGGGAGCAAAGGGTGTGAACTGACTGAACCAGTCGCACATGTTGACGGGCTTCTGGTTGTCGGCAAACGCAGTCAGCTTGGTGACCATGAGGTCGACGTAGCCGCGGATGATGGTCTCCTGCTCGAGCAGCGCCTTCTGGCTGAAGGCGTGGCTCAGGGTGCGGCGCTGGCGGCTGTGCTCCTCGTCGTTGGCCATGGTCAGCGTCGTGCTCCCCGGCAGGTCCTGCACCGAGCCGACGTGGATCGGGTCCTTGTGGAACTGCGGGTGGCCCTGCCGGTGGCCGTAGATGTCGCGCCAGCCCCCGGGCGTGCTGAATGAGAGCTCGGTGGGCATGAGCCGGACCACCGGCCCGTACTTGAGGTGCAGCTGGTGCACGTCAAAGGGCCACCGCCCGCGGAAGAGGCCGTAGATGCTGTACACGGGCGAGACCTTGGCCAGGAAGGGGCCCGGGAAGCGGGCGAGCGGGTGGAAGTAGATGTTGTAGATGCATCGCCAGACCATATAGAGGAAGCCCTGTGGTAATTTGTTGTGATTAGAAACTTGTCCGAGTACACAAGAGAGTGATTGAGATGGTTTCCAGGCATACCACGCCAACAACCCCCAGGGCAACCGTGCCCAGGTTGTCGAGAACGAGTTCGACGAGCCCCATTGCGGCGAGCTTGTGTCGTCTTGGCGACTGGATATTGTATGGCGCGTTTGTATGCTGTAGTGGTCGGGGAGGTCTAGAGCTGTTCCTTAAAATATGATCCTCAATCAAAGTGGGCGAGGTTGAATGTCTTGTTGCGGCCAAGGACAAGTGATTCTGAAGCATATGTGAAAGTGAAAAGACACTTATTAAGAAAGATCAACGTTTAGCCCACCCGCGGCTCGGAAGCAACAAAGACAGTCCCGGCCACGCCTCGAGCTCAATTCTCCAGTATCAAGAAACGGGGACTGCGCCGGGCTGCCCACCCCTCCATCCCAACGACATCCAATTGTCGTCATGGCTCAGCCCCGGCACCAGCAACATCCCCGTCTACCCCAGGCTTCCCCACATGGCCGCCCCCATAATTCCGTCCCTGAGACCTCTTTTAGCGCCGTCTTGGCGGGATATCCTTATCCATGGCCCGCCGTGCCCCGCACGCGGGCATCCCTTCGTCCCTTTGATCCTCCCCTTCGGCGAACAGCAACAGCCGTGGGAGGCCCGTCTTGACCTCTGCCAGTGGTCCCATAGGCTATTTCGCTGACCTTGAGCCGCATTTGTGACTTGTTCATGGCCCCGGCTTCTGATAAGGTAGTGTTGAAGTCCACTGGCTGGCGTGTTTCAGCAGGGTCTGTGGGAGTTGTCTTCGATTGTCGAATCTCAAGAGAGTTGAGTACTGCTGAGAGGAGTCAGTTGTCTGTCTAATTAGACAGAATCGTTTTTCTACCGTCCGCTCCTCGACAACTATCTTCACACTCGCATTCGCCATGATTGCACTCATTACAGGCTGCCTAATAAATTTGCCAATTCAAGGTCTGACATGAACTCTCAACGTCACAGCCAGCGGCGAGTATGGCTGCAAAACGACCCTGAAGGCCTTGCGCTGCTGTAGTCCCGGTTCTGCTTACCCGACTCAGATGGTCGAGTTTGCGTACAGAGTTACAGGGGGCGTGAGTGGCTGCGCCCCCCACCACCTCCCTCCGAGTCAGCATTTCCTCATACTCTATATGCTACTGAGTCAGGGGATGAAGCGCACCGTCTTCAAACATTAGAGATCCGACACTCCGAAAACCAAAATGTTCTTGCGGATTGAGGCGTACACAGATACGCAGATGTGCTGGAGCCTCAATTACCTGTACCCTTTGGGCACATCACTTTTGCCGAATGGCTGCGGGAGCCGAAGCAACAGCGCCAAACGGAAGAGTAATTCCAGTCGCGAAGCAGCGTCCATGACTGCATGTCAATACTGAAGACTCGCTTTATTGCAGACCATGTTCTCCATTTGTTGTAGATGCTAGGCGTGGCAAAATCCACTGCTAACTGCAACGGGTTGGAGGGCCAGCACAGCTGAGGATGCAGGTCCCGAATGCAGTGCTCACAGAGTGAGTATTGTGATAAAGAACGTTGCTGTCAACTAATCCTCCGTGGCGCAATTGGCTAGCGCGTCTGACTGTTATTCGCTTGTTCACCCAAGCGGTCGGCATCAGGAGGTTGACAGTTCAAGCCTGTCCGGGGGAGAAGTTATTTCTTTTTGGACTTTTTGGTTCCAGCGGAACCGCGCCGATCTCCACATTAGCAGGGTCTGGAACCCAATCATCTTCTTTTTGTCAATTATACAAGACTGCCTGACGTGAAAGCAGTTCTTATCCAAGAAGAGGGAGCAAGTCAAGCCATCCGAGAACAAAGTGCTCAGGCATTCTGCAACCCTAGATTCTATTTTTGTTTACTTTGCGCAAGACGTGATTCATAGCCTCAGACCGTATGACCTCGTTGATGTTTTTGACCTGGGAATAATGCACGCGCCACGATATGATGTTCTCAGAGGGCCGGACCAACACTAGGCACATGCCTGCTTGTATGTGATGTTGGATTAGCAGGCCTTGTGGCTGGCGCTAGGGAGCATGCGGGATGCAATGTCTCAGAATGTCCGCAATTGTCAAAGCCTAGTGGGTGCCGAACTTAGACGACCCAAAAGTGCTGTGAAGCGTGACGGCCAGTCTGCACACACTGCAAATTGCTATGCAAATCTGTACTCGAGGCTGTCGTCCTTCCCAATGAATGCTTTGCACTGTGTTGCGATCCCCCATTGTGTCCCTCAGGAAGCGCGGACACGAAGACAATCGATATTAATGCGCCTCACCGGGAGCAGGCGGTTCTGCGCAGTGCTATAATGATGAAGGTCGCCTCTCTTGGGATCATTCTGGGCTGCGTCCTGTTCTCTAGCATCGCGGCAGCGACTACCACCGGAATAGAGAAGACACTCAAAACAAATCAAGCAGGAACAAGAGGTGCGAGCGAGCGGACGACGTCGCTGGCAACATGGATGGGAGCACTGGCATTGCCACTATCAGCACCAGCACCATCGCCTGCAGACCCAGGAGGAGTGGGCGCAGTTGTAGAACCAGCTGCCAGAGCACGTGGCGTGGACCTAAGCTACCTCGCCGACATGGTTTCCTACGCGTCCGGCCAGATCCCGCAGAACACGGCATTCATCAAGCAGACCATGCGGGCCATCGCAGCAGGACAGCAGCACGTCGAGGATCCCGCCGTCCAGGCTGGGATCAAGGAGGCACTGGCAAAGACGAGATCACACCTGCAGAACGTCGGCGGGGCGCTGGTCGCGGCTGTCGATGCCATCAAGAACCTCCAAAGTGCTGGGAAGGGCGTGGTGTACTCCGAACAGGCGGCACAACTCCTCCAGCTGGCCGGGCAGATGAGAAGGATGGGCAGGGCTGCGAAGAGGGGGCTTGTCAACAAGTCGGGAAAGGTCAGGCCACTACTCGAGAATATTGATGGCGGAGAAGGGGGAAACAGGGATATTGACGCCATGTTGAAGGCTGTGGGCTTGTGGGCTGGGAGTTTGAGAACGGTAATGGGGGTTGTCAGGAGTAGTGGCGACCTTGGTCAGACACAGAAGAACGAGGTGTCTGCAGCACTGGAAAAGGTGATCAAGGTAGCACGTGGTTTACAAAAGCTGCAGTGACCTTGAGATCAAGATCAAGCCACAGAACAGATTGCTGCCTACATCATTAGCGAGCGACGTCTGTTTGTGTCGACTCGTGACCCGGCAATGTGACTATACCGACAGGAAGTCCAAAATGGGAATATGGCCCGCTTTGTCAGCAATGACGAGTTGAGAGTGTTGCTTCTTCAAGCCTCATCTCACTAATGTCGGGGCGACCATCGCACCGCCGGGCCGCTGGACCGTGGACCGCCATTCTGAACAATGCGTTCAAGAGCAGCAGTCTCCCGTGATAATGCCCAGCCTGTTCTAACTCATATTGCATGGAATGGTTCAGGTGCTGCTTACAAACGCGAATCATGCAGCCACCCTCATCACAAGAGGGGCTTCTTGACATCCCTTTGTTTCGATGGCCAGCATCACAAGTGTGAGTCATCCCGGGGAAGGTGGACATGGGACGTCGAGATAAGCTCACCTAGCTCTAAAAACCCTTACTCAGTAGGGCGCCCCCAGAAGGGTTAACACGTTACACGAGCCAATACAATTAGCCCGCGAGGTCGTAAGCATGCATTCGCTTGCACACGTGCGCGTCCTTGTGAGAGAGCCCTCCCTACCCCTCAATGCAGACTCAATCGCACGCACCTGTGCATTCTTATCTCGAGGCGCCACTGACGCTCTGGCGAGTGTCTCGGAGAGAGAAAAAACGTCTTGGCTGCATAGCACATAGACCACCCCGAGGAGAAATATTCGCAGCACATTTAGGGAGAGCGGACTTTATAACAGCCAAACCCCGCTATGTCCTTACGTCTTCGTGTGGCTTGATTCTTCTTTGGTTGGTGATTGACTCAGAGAGCAGCACAAGTCAGGCTCTGCAAGGCGTACGTGAAGGCGTGGACGATGCTTTGTCAGTTGAAAAATGTCGGTCCACGGCTGGAGGTGTGACGTGATTCTTGGGATGACATCAGCAAGACTATGCGAACTACGGCATCAATGATGGGGTTACTGGATGGGCTGACAAACATAAAAGACCACACTCTCTCCCCGATGAATCTCCATCATGTTGCAGTCAATAACAACACGATATCCAGCACATCCCCCCAAACCTGTCAGTGCGCCCTCTCCATACACACATCACCGTCTTCACGATTGACCAGGCCCAATCAACTGATCACAACCATGTCCAACGAGGCAGCACATTTCCACTCCACAGCCGCGGCGTACGCGTCGATACCACGACGGCCACAAAAGCCTCGCCAGCCACTGCTATCTGACAAGCTGTCTGTCAACATGTCTGACAAGATAAAAGCGGCGTACGGACATTTAAAGGGGGGGACATCGAGCAAGCATAGCGGCTCCAGGGTCTATACTTCGACGCAAGAGCTAGACGAAGCCAAGCAGTCGTTTGAATCTCTTGCTTCGACTTTGAACGCCAGTCAGCGAGGCAACAAGGACGCTTCACCAAAATACAAGAAGAGCGACGACATGTACCGCTGGGGCTTCGTGCCGAAGATGCAATAGACTTTTGCGATCAAGATGGACCACCGGCGCAGAAGTCAGAATGCCACCTGGCACTGATAATCGATAGCAGACCTGCAATCGATGGATTGGAAAGCTTTTGCCAGCCGCGTCTCTAAAGATTGACATCTATAATTCTACAATATATAAGGTTGCCGTGCTAAAATGTCTCTATCATCCATTCACACTGTAATCGAAATTTGTGATCCAGGAAAACCCCGCGGAGATCTCTGCTCTACCTTGCATCAAGACCTGCCTTGGGCCACCTCACCATCCACTGCTATCCTGCCGCTAAAACGCACTCCGTGATCATACCCCACATCAAGGCGGACCGCAAGGTCTCCCAGCTCTGCACTCAGTCCCGACGGCTTGTTGAGACCATCTCGAGCCGCAGAAAGTACATTGCGGTCTAGATCCAGATACGCGTACAAGGGCACCAGGGGGTCCGCTTTCCAGGGCCTGGTGTTGCTCGTTGTTGTCCGCGTGATCTCAAAGACGAGATAGATGACAGTCAGCAATACCAGGACCGCTGGATATGCTAGCCAGTGCCATCGGGCCACGACTATGACTTGGACGACGTGCGCCTCGCCGTCGTAGGCCAGCGTGGTGTTCTTGTAAGGACCCATTTGCCGCAGTCCGTTCGTTGTGCTCTCGGCGAGTCGGCCGATCCATTGGCTAGGGTCACCCAGGTTAGCGGACAAGGCCTGGATGTAGTCAGATGAAAAGACCGGAGACGGTGGGGTCCCGGACAGAGTGATGTTGCCATTCAACATGGGCTGTATAAAGGACTCCAGTGAGACGGATGGCTCCCTTGTGGCCCAGAAATACATATCTTCGTGGCCCACGAAAGGCGGACTGGGCATGTCTATAAACGGAGTACCGATTCTCACATCGACCTTGGTCCAGCTTTCGATCACCTTGTCAGTCTGCTGGCCAGCAGTGACGCTCACTCGGCGGGCCTGCAAGCAGAGCCAAATCCCACACTCGAAGGCAACTGGTGGTCCTCCTTGCCACCGCAGATTCTCAAAACCTAGCATGGCGAACTCGGCGAGAGCGAGGGCCCTCTCGTACTTGGGATTCGGCGATCTGACTGGGTCGAACAGGCGAGTCGTCTGGGTAATGTTTGCAGAGAAGCCCAGAGTCTCGTTGGCAGCGGTGGTCGCAACAGGATTCCTGCCCACCCACAGCCCATTTGGCAGGGTGTAGGTCTCGGAGAGTGTCGACTGAGTGAAGCGCACGTCCTCGGTGATGTTGACGCACCTCCCACAGGCACCCACCGTCGTGAAGTCCGGCCAGGTGCAGTTGCCAGTCGGGCACGACAGCGGGAGCGAGGCAACGTCTGGGGCCATGATGCCCTCGATGATTGCGAGTTTCACCACGGTCGACATACTGCCGAATTCACCGGCCGACCAGACCCGAACATTTGGGCTATCCGTCCATGGCACGGACGCAGTCTTGTTCAGGGTGTCGCCATCTGTGGCCGGCACGAGAATGCTCTGCAGGGAAACGACCTGCTGCGAGAATGTGCTAAGTGCAAGCGACGCGATGGTGATCACGGCGCCTATGCAGCTGACATGGCTGTGTTTCCCTGGTCGGTCAGTGGGTCACTATATGGAAAACAGAAATGCCCGCTGAGAGAGTGATACGTACAGGACGCCTTTGAACTTCCACAGGACTTGCAGGCTTCCAAGCGAGCCTCGCGAGGCTTCATCCAGCAGCTCCCACTCGGCGAGCTTGTGAGCTCTCCTGCTCCTGCTGTCGAACCTCGTCCACTTGGACTGGGCGAGCACGGATGCGACCGGCACCATCAGGCTGCCTCGACAGAGGGTCGCCAAGATGGCGATGAGGCCGTTGAGGGTCAGGGTTGTGCTGGGCCAGCTCTCTTGGGGTCTGCCATTGAATCGCAGCATGACCACGGCCTGGGCCACGATGGCCGCGACTGAGGCGAGACACGCAAATATCTCGATCTGCCACCACTTCAAGACATCCCATAGCAACGCCGGGACACTGCCGCGCTTGCTTTCGGAGACTGCTGGGGCGGGCGGCGAAGCATCGTAATTAGTAATGTGGGAACCGAAGACTGCACCGTCGGTATCGTTCCACGCTTCTGTTTCTGCAGTGATGTTAGAATCGCCATGACGGTCACTTGAAGACACACATACGCTGCGGTTGGGGCTGAAGCGGAAAAGCATCAAAGATCTCTTCGTAACCCCACAACGCGCTCTCTCGCGTCTCGGTGAGCAGCGGCTGCTCTTGCCGGGGCTGGCGGTCCATGGGAAAATGACGCAAGCTGTCTTCGAGCGTGTCGAGAGACGTTCAGGATTGCGGACAATTGGGAAGAAGAAGAAAACGGGCACTGCTGTAGCCTGTAGCACGGCCGCGCAACATGCGGAGGTTCATGTCGACGGCTACGGTAGCCATGTAAGCTTGTACGGCATATGCATCGCAAGGCTCTGCGTAGCAAGTCAGGCCTTTGTTACGAGAGCACTTGACAAGTCCTGCTCCGAGAATGCCCCCCGCGCAAAAGACTATACTCGCCCATGACCACCATCTCTTGCGCGTGCTTGGCGGTAAGCCGAGCCTTTTTGGGGGCCGGCTCTTTTGCCCCCAATCCTCTGTCTTGCAAGAGTGACCTCCATGTGTAGGAGGTGACAAGGGTCGCCGTGGCTGTGCGTGCTGACAAGTCTGCCTCGTGGGGGCCACGCATCTGGCACCTGCCAAATGCATGAAGCTGAGCTCGCATATGGTTGATCGAGGATTAACGTCTACCCTGAGCCCATAATACTCCAGTACCAAGGCATCCCACACTATCCTCACGCTCATTGAAGCACCTCTTATCAAAGGTGGCCAGTAACTGTAGCACTTGTGAGTCTTTCGAGAAAGCTGCTCTTTCACATGATGAACAAAACACCCAAACGATACGGATCGTACTAGCTCGGACCCCAAAGTTTTGTCGAGTATTCTCGCACCGGGTTCTATGGCAATGACTTCCTAATATACCCAGCTGCTCCCTCCTTTGCTCATCTGCCCGAGTTCCTGGCCCGATTATGTGACCTTATTTACGCAGCCCTCCTACCTAAAGAACCCCCCACTGGCCCGGTTCGGAATACGATCTAATTATTACCGATTAGATCCCGTCCTTGAGAGGGGAGAGTCCTTGCGGGGTGCCGATCTTGCTCTCGAGCCAGTCCTTCAGCCGGCCAACCCTTGCCCTGTCCACCATGAACGGCATAAAAGCCCCAGCGTTTGTGTTCTTGTTGTCGTCGAGCTCGCCAAAGGGGAAGTTAGCCGGAAGCGGCACATCGCGCCGCACCGACCAGCCCCTGGGCTGCTGCCACTCGGTGCTGAGGAGAAAGCCGTGCAGGAGCTTCGCGCCCTCGGGGTGCGGGGCGTCTTTGAGGATGGCGGCGGTCTGGGCCCAGGTGACGAAGGGGCCCTGGGTCGGAAGCGTGAAGTTGACTCCGTTGGAAGACACGAATCCGCCCCCCGAGGTGAAGGTGGCGGCATAGGTGGAGTTTGCCTGCCGGAGGATGGTGGAGGGTGTCGCCGTGCCGCGGACCCAGCGAGGGTTCTGCGCGAGGAGGCGGTCGAAGAAGCCAGTGCCGTAGCGCTCGAGGCTTTAAATAAAGTCAGCTCTAGACCTCCAAGGTATATGAAGTCTTACCCCCGGGGAAAGGGAGGGGGGCAAAATACTCACATGAGGTCGAAAGCCCACAACACGGCATCGTCGTCATTCGGATAGGTAAGAACAAGCTTGTCCTTCAACTCCGGATTCAGGAAGTCTTCCCACTCGTTAAGCGCAACGTTGGACTTGTTCGTGTTCACAATGAACTTCCAGCCATTGATGGCCACGCCGTAGTAAGTCGCGCCGAGAGAGTCCTTGTAGGCCGGAGCTACCTCGTTGAAGCCGAGAGGAGCGTACTGCAGAAGAGCCCCTTCCTCATTCCAACGAGGGTAGTCTTGAACCGTCTGGAGGATGATCGAATCAACGTAGACGTTGTTGTTGGCGAGTTGCTCGTCCAAGGCGGCGTCGTGGTACTTGGACAGATCGACCGTAGAATTGAGGGTCATGCCAGGGAAGCGTGCTTCGAAAGCTTGCTTCAGCGTGTTCTGCTGGGTAGTCTCATCTCCGCCATGCCATAATGTCACGATGCCGCCCTCCTTGAGAGCTGCTTGATGAATCTCTTCCAGGGTCCGGGTCTCGACTTCCGGGCCGGAGTTGGATGCAACGAGTGGATTGGCGGCACAGCTTCCTACTCCAAGTAGGAGAGCCTGGAGGAGAGTGCGTGTCGACGGCATTGTATGGTGAGAACGATCCTTTTCGCTTTGCAAACTACGAATTGGCGCTTGCGGGGGACAGTCATGATCACAGATGCCAGGTGCGGAAAACCTCTGCTATTGTACTCGAGTGCGCAAACAAGTTTGAATCAAGCAATTAAGCTTGACTCACATAAACAAGGCGTCACCCCGGCCCTTGATCACGAGCGCTCGAGTCAGGTAAATTAGCACTGCCGGATTGTATCCACTATCCGCTTTGACTGCCCCATGTATGGTAACGTTCGGTTACACTGACTACAACGCAACAAGGATATGATTCAATGATGTCGCCTGATCTATGCGTATTTTGGCATATGTCTTTGACCAAAACGGGCAGCTTCCTCCCCATGGCCGTGCCCAGGAGCTCGATGAAGCACGTGATAATGGCGACTGGTTTGGACTTGGCGGGAATGGCTAACGTCGCGGCGTCACGGTCGATGGCGTCATAAGCTGGCCAAACGGTGGCTTCATCGGTGGTTAAGCTTGAAGTCAATCGTCTTTTCTACGAGGATGGCGTTCGTGTTGATCGATGTGCAGGTTACGCCAAGGGTGCTAACCGTGTAGGATCTCCAGGATTAATGGAAAAGTTCCGTTACTCGCCCTCTACGGGGCCTGCATGCGAGCAAGGTACTCGAACTGCCCGTTTCGAGAGGAAATGACTTAGGGGAAGTAGCGGAACCTATGACCAACCTGCACTCTTACCTTTTCGTAACAAGTAGAGGCACGGACAGGTAGATTCCATGTACGGAAGTAGCGTAGGGTGATCGTTAATCCTGGAGACCCTGTAATGGGACGAACCCTTGTCCATGGAACTCAGGCATAAAGCCCCTTGGTAAGACCCACTGATCGACATTCGTCGAATCATCCAGCATGTTCAAAGAATGCCAGATGTTCGCGGGTGTACGTATTTCCGGGGGAGGCTGAGTCGGGTAACACAAACTTGTTACGTAGTACGCGTGCCGACCATGTGTATGACAAGGGTCGCCGTGGAACTTGCAAGGCTGCGTTGCGGGGACCACGCATTTGGCAGGTGCTAAGTGCATGGGTATGACGAGCTTATTGCCGCCTGCCACAGTTGGATACCGAGCTCGCATAATTATGGTTATTTTAGGATTGCCATTGACCCCGAGCCCATAACAAAGGCATACCACGCCATCCTCACGCTCATGGAAGTACCTCTACAGTCGAAAGTGGCAAGTAACTGACAATCGCTAGTGTTTCGGGGGAGGAAGGAAAAAAAAGCTCATTCACATAATAGCAAAGTACACCCAAACAGACCCGAGCTTGTTGGCTTAGACCCCTATAGATTTTCTCCGTTATTTTCGTAACGGAGCCACAGGGCTTCACCTAGGATAGAACTCGGTTTTCTATGCCCAGGATCATCGCACTAGAATACTTTCGAGTCTAGCATACGGTCGCTTTTATGCTTGTCCATCAGCGTCGCAAAAAGAACAGGGCTTCAATGCTGCTGGCTGGCCTTCAAAGCAACTCCAATAATCTACCAATAGTATAATGTCTGCAAACCTTGATGTCAGCCATAAGCTCCTCTTATTAGGGAGCGCTGAATTCAAGAAATGTCATACTTGAACATTGGTAAAGTGGAATCACGTTGTGCACGTGTACAAGTTAAGTTGTGACGTGACTCGGCCGAGGATCAGTCGTTGACGGGAGGCAAGACCGTGAAAGGGGTAAAATGACATGAGAGACCTTCCATATGCCTGCCACGCCCCGGGGACCTATTACTCTCGACTGCAACCGTTCAAGGACTCTCTACAAGAGCATCGCAGTAGACCTTGCAGTGGTCTCACCAACTAAACATCGACCAAAATTACACGGCATAGCCGGACGCCTATGTGTTTAACGCAACGAACAAGCACTAAGACCCTTTTTTGAATTTTTGATAAAAACATAATCTATCCATCGCTGCCCACTACCAATTTATATACACACTACAAACACCCGCATGCATCACACACACCCCGAGGAAGAAAAGCCTACGCCGACCATACCTTGCACAGCAGCGCCCGGGGCGGCTTCTCCACGCTCTTGGGCGCGTGGTTGAGCGCGAGCCGGATCAGGTTGAGCGCCTGCGCGCCGAGGAACACGGGCATCTTGAGCCTCTGGGCCTCCAGCACGGCAGTCTGCAGCTCCGCCGCGACGACCCGCAACCCAATACTATCCTCACTGGGCTTCCCACCCTTCAAGATCTCGATCATGGCGGGGCCGATGTCGCGGAACACGGCGGAGCCGCCGGCCGCGTTGGCGCACAGCTCGTAGATCTGGTCGAGGTCCATGCCGAGGAAGCTGCCGTAGGCGAGGGTCTCGGCGGCCGAGCACAGGTATATCCCGCGCAGGAGGGCCTGGACGAGCTTGAGCTTGTCCTCGTCGGTGGTGGCGGCGGTGCTGGCCACCAGGGGTCCCACTTTCCCCTGGCCGGCGTCGTAGAGCTGGATGAGGACACCGTCGTCGAGGGCGCCCCAGCCGCGGCCCAGGGCGTCGTAGTAGACCTGCTCGGAGGTCGAGGTCATGGGTGTGGCGAAGCCGTGCCGCACGGCCTCGCTGGTGATGATGCCGTTGTCCTTGAGGATGATGGTGACGGCGCTGGCGACGGGCCCGGTGAGGGTGCGGTCGGCGGCGGCGAGGATGCGCGGGAGGCGGTTGCTGAACATGAAGGCGTCCGTGTCGGAGGCGATGACGCGCTCGGCGGTCCAGGCCGGGTCGAGCCCGAGCTGCTTGGCAAAGGCGAGGGACTCGCCGGCCGCGAGGATGTGGACGGCCGCGAGGACCTGGTGGACCATCTTGAGGTTGCTGCCGGCGCCGATGCCGCCCTGGCCAATGTAGAGCTTGGCCGGGTCGGACATCTCCTCGAGGAGGAACTTGCCCTTGGCGAGGGCCGCCTCGGAGGCTCCGACCATGATGGAGAGGGTGCCGTCGGTGGCGCGGATGACGCCGCCGGAGACGGGGGCGTCGATGAGGAGGATGTCCGGGCGGCCGATGTCGACGAGCTGCCTCTCGAGGCTCTGGACGTAGCCGCAGGCGACGGTGGAGCAGAGGAGGATGGTGGCGCCTTGAGGCAGGGCGGGGACGGCGGCGTTGGGCCCGTCGAGGAGGGCGGCCTGGGTCTGGATCGAGTTTGCGACCATGACGACGCAGAAGGCCTTGCCCTGGGCGGCCTCGGCGGGCGTGGTGGCGGCCTTTCCGCCGGCGGCCGTGAAGCGCTCGAGGATCGGTGGGTAGACGTCGAAGCCGTGGACAGGGTAGCCCTGCTTGACGAGGTGGGTGGCCATGCCGAAGCCCATGGCACCGAGGCCGATGAAGGCGACGTCGGGTTTGGAGGCCATGTTGTTGGTGTTGTTACTCGAGTGCTAGAAGTGCCAGGTGTGAGAAGGGGTGGTAAGAGGAGGCTGTCGAGGCTGGTGGTGGTGGCAGAGATCACCGGCGGTTTCTCCGTGGGTGGTGCGAGATTCAAGGAGAGAAAGATGGCAAGCAGGAGACAAAACACTACTGGGACAAGTGTGGCGATGGTGATGGTGTTGTTTTTGTTGGAGAAACGGGCAGCCACCCTAGGGACGAGAAATGTCTAGTCCGGTGCCGGGGCCGGGCCAGAGGCCTGCAGGCTGCTTACTTGGACGGAGCCCTAGACAGACAGCCTTGGAGCCCGGGTCAATGGCCGGGCTCGTGACGTGCCAATGTAAAGTAAGGTACGTATCTCCCGAGAGTGACCCCTTCCTTGGGCATTTAGGCGTAAATTGTCGGGCCAGAGAGGGGCGACGGGCACCTTCCCCCACCCTCCCGCACTTTTGGACTCCCGGCGCCGGCCCACGATCCAGCACGGGATGCATCGATGGGGACCTCGCTGGGCACCGACCCGAGCCGAGTCGCCATGTCACTCACCCACAGCTCAGCCCGTTGTCACGCGTCCACACCCGCGTCGGAGTCCCCAAGCCCGTGCATTGCCGCGCTCGACTACCGCAGCAGCACGATGCCGTGTTGTTCCCCGTGCACATGACACCCAGGAATTTAATAGATGTGCAATGAGGCTCGGTCTTCTGCCCGAGCTCCAAAAACCCCGCCCCGCCTCCAACAATCGGCGCTTGCCCCGGCTTGCCCCAGCCCGAACGGATGTGGGGGAGTGTTTGGAGGGCAGCAGCCTGGTGAGGGGCCGTTGGGCGACAAGGGAAACTTCACTTCACCTGAGGAACACGCACGGGGAAATGAGGACAACAAAGAAGAGAAAAAGATTGAGCCATTTCAATCACGGGTATTGCGTCACCTCACATGGTGTCGAGAAATGCCTGCTTCTGACAGCTGCGGCTCTGCTGCAGCATCAGCTGCCGCGTGGGATTCTGGCTAATTGTGTCAATTCACTCACTGACTGACTGCCGGCGCGGCATGCATTCACCCGGCCGGGCCAGGACAGAGCCTCTTTCAGCCGGTCATCGGGGCGCCGATGTTAAAGTGGCCCGTCCTTGCGACTGCCACTTCCAAGTACTTCCACCACCACCCACTCCACACACATAGCGGGGACCAACCCCATTGCCGTCATTTCATATTCCCACGTCTAAAACTGGCAACCTCAATACTTTGTTCCCTCGAGAAGACATTGCTTGATAGATCCTCATCTGCCGGTACCTGAGGGAGCCCCCACGCTACCCTTTTCACTGCAGAGCTGCTCGTGTACAATCGGCATAGCCCGGGTAATCTGTCGTCACCTTTTTTTTCTCTGTCCTTTTGCCTCCATATCCAACCTACCGCACAAGACAAACACCATCCTCGTGCCTGTCGAATTCCAGTAGCTGGACATTTCAGAATCCCCTCTGTTCCCATTCCCGGTATCCCACAGCCAACCCAAAACCACCACCAAAGACCAAAAGAAGAAAAAAGAAAAACCACCACCCAACATGCCCCGCCCTCCTCTGCCCGCCAACCGGTCCCTGGCGATCCTCGAGGCCGCCAAGGCGAACTCGTACGCCGTGCCCGCCATGTGCTGCTACAACATCGAGTCCATCATCGCGACCGTGCGGGCCGCCGAGGCCGCAAAGTCCCCCGCCATGGTCCTCCTGTTCCCCTGGGCGATCCAGTACGCCGGCGACTCGCTGGTCAAGGCGGCCGCCGACGCCGCGCACTCGGCCTCGGTGCCCGTCAGCCTGCACCTGGACCACTGCCAGACGCCTGAGCTGGTGCGGCGGGCGGCTGATATCCCCGAGGCGTTTGACAGCATCATGTGCGACATGAGCCACTACGAGAAGGAGGAGAACCTGGCCCTGACCAAGGAACTCACCGAGTACTGCCACGCGCGGGGGATCGCGACCGAGGCGGAGCCCGGTAGGATCGAGGGCGGCGAGGACGGCATCGCCGACACGGCAGACCTGGGCGCCATCCTGACCACGCCCGAGCAGGCAGAGGAGTTTGTCGCCACGGGCATCGACCTGCTGGCCCCGGCTTTCGGCAACGTCCACGGCGAGTACGGGCCCCGGGGCATCCAGCTCGAGTACGACCGCCTGCAGAGCGTCAACGCCGCCGTCGGCGACCGCGTCAAGCTCGTCCTCCACGGGGCCGACCCGTTCACCGAGGAAATATTCCACAAGTGCATGGCCGCCGGCGTCACCAAGATCAACATCAACAAGGGCATGAACAAGCACTACGCCGCTGTGCAGAAGGAGATGCAGGGCAAGCCGCTGACCAGCGTCATCGAGAAGGGCACAGAGGCCATGCAGAAGGCCATCGAGGAGTACATGCGGCAGCTGGGCAGTGCGGGCAAGGCGGACACGGTCAAGCGGGAGGGGTGGTAGGGTTTTGTTTTGTCCCTGTAGTATGTATAGTTTTGAAATTTGAAAGAAAAATCATCTCGAAACCGATGAGGTAGTCGTGTGCAGTCAGAGTGAAAATGTCGAAAGTGGGAAGTCGGGCTTGGGCGCGGGTTGGTTCATGCTATGGCATGCATGGTGGGCGGAAGATCTAGCACCGAAAGGGTGGGGAAGTAAGAATTGCGGTATGGCCATTACCTACAATTTTACAATGCACGGCTCTTGACTTTGTAAATTGAAATGCCTGCCCTCTGCCTTGCCGTGTATCCCTTTCCGTTCTCTGTTGTGTTCGCATGTGCGCGCAGCCGGATAAATGCTCGCCGTTCCTCTGCACAATGGAGTCAACCCCGGTGTAAGATGTGGGAATGCGACTCGAGGGCCAGTGGTGTAACCCGACGAGAAAGGACGAAGGCACATGAATCTAATCACTGCTGATATATCATCCTGCTGCATTTGTGAAAGCCGTGCCCTTTTGTTTTCTTTCCTTTGTAGATCTGCCTGTGTACCGCCATCTAGTAACAACCACTTCTACCGCCAACACCCCTCACACCCCTAGTCCCTCATGTGAATCGATTTTACATGTCCTTCTCAAGCTCAGTGATAACCTCGACCTTCTTGGCACTCGCGCTCCCCTCATCAAAGACATAGCCCAGCCACTCCCTGGCCAGCCTGCGCGCCAGCTCGAGCCCGATGACCCGCTCGCCCATGCAGAGGACCTGCGCGTTGTTGCTCAGCACCGCGCGCTCGACGCTGAAGCTGTCGTGCGCAGTGACCGCCCTGATCCCTTTGACCTTGTTGGCCGCGATGGCCACGCCCAAGCCCGTGCCGCAGATGATGAGGGCGCGGTCGGCCTTGCCCTCGGCGACGAGCTTGGCGGCCGCGGCGGCGCGGTGCGGGTACGCTGTCTTGTCGGACGTCTCGTTGGAGCCTACGTCGATGATGTCGGTGACGCGCGGGTCCGAGGAGAAGTCGGCCTTGATGGCGTTCTTGTAGGAGACGCCTGCGTCCTGTTTGGGAGGGGGGGTTGCGTGGATGAGTCTTTTGCTCGGTTTATGGGAAAAAGAAAGACAAGGAGTGTGAAGGCCTGGGACTTACATCGCAGCCGACGGCGATCCGCCACTTGGGTCCGGCAGACATTGTGGGTGGGAGTGTTTCTTTTGTGTTGTTGTGCTGACGGGCGGACGGGGTGCTTCTGGAGAGAGAGTGCAGTTTTGCGCCGGCTGCGCGAAGAAGCTTGTGTTTCTAGCTGTGTGTATGAGGATGTCGCGACGGGAGAAAGGGACAGGATGCGAAAAGTCGTGACCATGCGGCAAAGCCCATTGCGTAATGGACGGCGGGTAAACAGCCTGCTTGCTTGCTTGCTGCTTACAGTAGGGTACAACTGCTACCACCCCCCTCCAGCTCACAACAATCCCGCCGGGCGAATGAACAAGCTGCGTCTCGTCACGCACACAATGACAGCCACCGGCGACAGAACGGGACAGCACAGCACTGCACAACACAACGTTGCCCGTGTCCAGCCGAGCCCTTCCTGTCCGTCATCGGCTCACCAGCAACGGCCCAGCCATCAGCCGAGTGTGTGTCTGTGTCCTCCAGTGGCCCTCCACTTGGCTTCCCCATCGATTCCCCGGCCCCTCCCAACTGACCCCACCTCCGCCTTCTGCCCGGGTTACCCAACTAGGCAATGCGGACCCCCCATTCCCCGCCTCTGGTCCCCTTTCCTTCCTTTCCTTTTGCTTCCGTCCCACCACAGAGCAGAAAAAAACAGCAGGCCGAACCACCGCCCACCCGGACGGTCCCCAACGTGCCCACTTCTCCCGCCCCCCCCCGGCGCTTCCTCCGGGGTCCTTGGGGCGGGACTGGTCTCGACCCTTTGCGGCCGTGTCTTTAGGCTAATTAGGCGGGGCTTCATCTCATGCCGCATGCATACCTTATGGAGTCGCTGCTCTTGCCGATGGCGGGAACGGGGCATCGTGATCACTAAGGACCCAGAGCTGTGTCTTTACAGCGGTAGTCTCGGGCGACCCGCCGATGCCCTGTTGATTTTGCTTTGGGGCCCGTCTTGCTCGGCGGCAGTTTTAGGCGCTCCTGTCTGTATTTCCACCTTTTATCCTCCTCCGAGCTGAAGCCTCCCCCCGCATCCGCCCTCTTGCCTAAACGGGTAGCACCGGGCAGGCCGTAGTCGGTTCGGCACAGCTCTCGTCTCGTGCGAAAAGGACACGAGAACATGGCCGGGTGATTGCCAATGTTGCAACGACCAAGACCTCTGGCGCCTCATCTCTTTTTTTTCTGCCTTGTCCTGGCTGGCTGGCAACCCACTCCGTCCCGACAAGGCAATTCGTGGCTTGACGCTGTGGGACAGTAGAGAGAGAGAGAGAGAAAAAGAGAGAACCGGCGCCTGCTTGTGCTTCTTTCTTGTGTGCCTGTGTCTACGTGTCTGCCGGCACACGAGGTCTTGGCCTTTTTTGACATGACGCTAATTACTCTCTCGGCCTCCTGCCTTTCTCCCCAATAACAGCCTGACGTACCCCAACTCATCCGTGACGCCTGCCCACTCGTGACCGTCGCTGTAGCTCCTTCCCTTCTGTCATACCACACCTTCACACACAATCCTCCCTCTCTTTTTTCGGTCTTGCCATTCTCTGTGAGCGGCAAGTGAGCCCAATCAGCACATCACTACAAGCAATCTCCGTTCCGACACACACCTACACACACACACACACACACACACACACACAGGCAGGCAGACAATCACAACGGCCCATCCACCACAATGTCGAAAAGGCACCTCTTCAACAGCCCCGACGGGGTCGTGACAAAGTGCCTGCGCGGGCTCATCGCCTACAATCCGCGCCTCACGCTCGACGAGAAGAACCGCGTCGTCTTCGACTCCGAGTTCCCCAGGTCAAAGGTCGCCATCATCAGCGGCGGCGGCTCCGGCCACGAGCCCGCCTGGTCCGGCTACGTCGGCACCAACATGCTCGCGGCCTCGGTCGCCGGCGACATCTTTGCGTCCCCCAGTACCAAGCAGATCCTCTCGGCCATTGAGGCGGTGCCCTCCGACAACGGCGCCATCCTCGTCGTGACCAACTACACGGGCGACTGTCTGCATTTCGGCCTGGCCAACGAGAAGGCCAACGCCCGCGGCCACAAGTGCCGCATGATCATCTGCGGCGACGACGTCTCGGTCGGCCGCAAGAAGGGCGGGCTGGTCGGCCGGCGCGGGCTGGCGGGCCAGATCGGCGTGCTCAAGATCATGGGCGGCGCGAGCGGCGAGGGCGCCTCCCTGGACGACGTGTACGACCTCGGCGTCGCCGTGAGCCAGCAGATTGTCTCGATCGCCGCGACCCTCGACCACTGCCACGTGCCCGGGCGCACGGAGCACGGCATGCTCCTCGACGATGAGCTCGAGGTCGGCACCGGCCCGCACAACGAGCCCGGCTACAGCAAGCTGTCTCCCGCGCCTAGCCCCTCGGAGCTCGTGGCCACGCTGTACAAGTACATGTTGGACGAGCAGGACCCGGAGCGGGGGTACGTCAACTTCCAGCCCGGGGACGAGACGATCCTCATGGTCAGCAACTTTGGCGGCATGTCGCACCTCGAGATGGGTGCGCTAGTCGACGAGCTGCTCGAGCAGATCACCAGCCCGCCCTGGGGATTCCCGGAACCCGTGCGCGTCGTGTCGGGCTTCATGGAGACGTCACTCAACGCGCCCGCGTTCTCCGTATCGGTGCTCAACGTCTCGGCCGCGGCGCGGACGCTCGCCCAAAAGACCACCGGAACAAAGTACACGGCGGAAGACATCAAGCGCTTCTTCGACGCCCGGACAGACACGTACTGGGAGTCGATGGCCGGGGCGCAGTCGTCGAGCAAGCGGCGACCCCGCGCGGAGCAGTTCCTCAAGGACAACTCTGTGGCGGAGAAGCATGTCTTCGACGCCTCCAAGGACCTCAAGGTCGATCCGGCCACGCTCGAGAAGATGCTGCGCACGGCGTGCGAAGCCGTCATCGCCGCCGAGCCAGACCTCACCAAGTGGGACACAGTCATGGGCGACGGCGACTGCGGCGAGACGCTCAAGACGGGAGCGAGCTGCCTCCTGGCCTCGATCGACGGCGGCCTCACGAAAGCCGGGTCTGTGGGGGATGTGCTGCTCGAGCTCGAGGACATTGTGGAGAGCAAGATGGGCGGCACGCTGGGAGGAATCCTGGGCATTTTCTTTGTGTCGCTGCGCAACGCGCTGCTGGACGAGGTGTCCAAGGCAGGAGATGGTGGCGATTCCTCGACTCCGATCGGCGAGAAGCTGCCCCTGGTGTGGTCCGCGGCGGCCAAGACGGCGCTGGGCAACCTGCGGCGCTACACGCCCGCCAAGGTGGGCGACCGGACCGTCATGGACACGCTGATCCCGTTCGCCGAAGCCATGGGGTCGACCAACAGCTTCGCGAGCGGCGTCGAGGCCGCCGTCGCGGGGGCAAAGGCCACCATCACCATGGAGCCCCGGCTCGGGCGGGCGACGTATGTCGGCGCCGGCGCGAATGCCGCGAGCGGCGAGCTGCCTCCGGACCCGGGCGCGTGGGGCGCCATGGTGGCCATCAAGGGGTTGTCTGATGGTTTTGCTTAGGGGGGCTTGTGGTGTGATGTGAGATTTTTGATGTATCAAGGGAGACTTGAGGAAATAGGGGCTTGTTGGTAATGGAGGGGAAAGGAGGATGATCTAGTGTCTGCAGGGTTGTTGTATTGTTGTGTGTTTAGCAGCGATATGAATATTTCAAGTTTCGTTCAGATGGTCAGTCCATGTTAGGTGTCGACGTCAACTGTGTGCATATCCTATTCCACAGGGTCCAATTGTCTTGCGTTGTTGTGTTCATTGAAAAGCAATTACTCTGGTCACTGACGTGCTTGTACAGGGAAACAAGTCTTGCATGGGGTAAGTGGATGGTACTGGCCCACCAACTTCCCCGACCGCGAAGAATCAACAATAGTCCGTTGTTTGTTTCCGACCAAATTGCTGCTCCATCCACAGCGCCGGTCATGGAAACCCCAAGCTGCTCCTTTTCCCGTTGTCGTTCAGGGCTACCAAGTCTTGCACTTCACCGCACTACCCTTCTCCAACTCCGCCGGCCCTCAAAGCGCAATTAGAAGGGAGGCGGTGCGGGGAAGCGGGGGCGGCCAGGCTCGGCGGGCCCTCTCCCTCTGCCCTCTGCGGGGGGTTAGCGGCCCGGAGCAGCGCCGAAGTTCGGGATAACGTACCCCGTCCAGTCACGGTCGGCTCGGTTGGCGGGCGGTGGGTTGGTTTCCAACGCTCGTTCTCCCAGCACTAAGCAACCGCAACTTTTCCATTTCCACAATCCGCCGGAGTGTGGCTGTGACTTGTCCATTTTTAGGTATACCACCTTTCGAGCTACCACTCACGGCCCTGGCGTTTGAAACACGACGGACAAGGAAGGTACAAGGGAAATGCAAACGATTGTCTGCAGGTCGTAGGAGCTTGGACAGCGACGCAGTAGACAGGCTCTGGGTTCCATTCATCGTCACTCAATAATACCTGTGTTCGGCAACAAAATTGCCTTCACCAGCCTCAACATTGAACGTCAAACATCGAGAACAACATCAAACACCGGCAGCACGCCTCTGCAGACGCCACGACTGGAACAAAGCCAAAGCCTACAGCCATGACCACATCTCCCGCCCCTCCTCCGCCGCGGCGGCGCATCGTGGGCGTCTCGACAAAGATGTACTTCTCCGCGTCCCGCACCCGCGCCTACGTCGACGCCCTGCTCGCCATCATCGCTCGGAACCCAGACCAGTACCGCGCCGTCGCCGAGAGGTGCGACGTGTTCCTCATCCCGGACCACGTCACCCTCGCCGGGGTGGTGGCGCAGATCGACAGCTTCCCCGAGTGGCCCTCAACCTCATCCTCAACCTCATCGTCATCGTCACTGTCGACACCAGCGGGGCCAGCGAAACAGGGGGAAGTACCAAGGAAGATCCTCCCCGGCGCACAGGACACCTTCCACGAGGACGCCGGCGCGTACACGGGCGAGGTGTCCCCCGCCGTGCTGGCCGAGGTGGGCTGCCGGATCGTGGAGCTCGGCCACGCCGAGCGCCGGCGCATCTTTGGCGAGACGGACGCCGACGCCGCGGCCAAGGCGGCCGCCGTGGCGCGCAACGGCATGGTCCCGCTCGTCTGCATCGGGGAGCGCACGCCGCCCAAGACCGCTCCCCCCCAAGATAGTAGTGGAGATGCAGACGCGTCAGAAGCGAAAGCATACGAGGCCGCCATCGCCGCCGCCGCAGAGGAGTGCCGCCCGCAGATCGAGGCCGTCCTGGCCGCCGTCCCCCGCGACGCCGACGTCATCCTCGCGTACGAGCCCGTCTGGGCCATCGGCGCCGCCGAGCCCGCCTCCGCGGCGCACGTCGTCGGCGTGACCCGGCACTTCCGCCAGATGAGCTGCGTCAGGGCCCGGCCCGAGGGCAGCCTGCGCATCTTGTACGGCGGGAGCGCGGGGCCGGGCTTGTTTGCGAAGCTGGCTGCCTCGTCCTCGACGTCATCGGCATCCTCGACGTCATCGGCATCCTCTTCGGAACGGAATGCGGACGGGGGAGGCGTGGACGGGTTGTTCCTGGGCAGGTTTGCGCATGATCCGGAGCAGTTCTGGAAGACGATACTCGAGGTCGCTGAGGCGTGAAACTACTGCTGCTGTTATCGACGTAGGAATGTAAACTTGACTGATTTAGTGGTCAATAGTCGACAAGCTCAGGTTCCGGGGTACCGTAGGCAGTAGACAGAAACAGGCCGCCTTGGCTGGGATATCTTGATTGAAAGTTCCTACATGAGTACCTGGATTCAGAAAACAAAAGCGTAGTAACCTCACATGACCTCATGCTGGTCCAGGTCTTTAGAGTTGGGTCATAACCTCACCAACACCCTCCCCCACAAGAAGCAACCCAAGTTGGCTCTGCGGCCCGAGTCCTGGCTCGGAATGTCCTCAAGCCTCGTCACCATTTCGTTCTTGGAGTTCGCAGACGTAGCACCATCCATGTAGTGCTCACACAGCTCGTCAATAGCCAGACTGCTCTTTCCTGTCGTTGCCTCCGCTCCCACCACTACCCCCTCCGGCTCCACTGCCACGCGCCGCCGCATCCTCACCAGCCTGCTTGATGCCCGCCTCGTCACCCCGCAACTTCGCAAAGTACCCCTTGATATCCTCGGCGCTGATGGCCTGCCCGCTCTCGGCGAACTGCTGGAAGAAGGGCTTCAGCTGCTCCTTGAGGTGGTTGTACGCCATCACGCCCTCGATCGCGCGGACCCGGTCGACGTTCTTGAGCGCCGACTCGCCGCGCTCGAGCAGCGAGTTGGCACTGCCTCCCGATCCGCCGGCCTCCGAGTTCTCGCCGTCCGTGAGCGGCGGCTCGTACGCCTCCTCCTCTTCGAGCAGCTGCGGGTGCGCGCTGAGCTGCGGGAAACACGAGGGGCAGCGGCAGAACTGCTCCCGGAAGTTGGGCTTCACGAAAAGCGAGTAAACACCGGGATGTTGCGGCGGTAACGCCTCAAGTTTGCAGGATGAGATCGTGACAGTCTCTGACGGATCTGGCTTGGCTTCTGACTCGGATGGTTCTGCAGTCGCAGGCTCGGGCTCGGGGTCTTGCTTGAGCCGCTTGGCAGCTACTGTACTCCGCTCTGGCTCGCTGTCGTCATCCGCGTCATGTTTCCGCTTCTGTGATGTTGCGGCTGTCGCCGTGGTCGCTGCGCTGTCCTTGGACAAGTAAACTGGTGGCAGGAACCCGTCTGTGCCAGCATAGCGCTTGATCCACGGATTCGCCTCGACGCACTTGTGGCAGATGAGATGCTCAAACTCGTCCTCGGCCGGGAAGCCATCTGGAAGCGGAACATCATTGTCATCATCCTCCTCCTCATCTTGCGCCACCTGCGGTGCCGCGGTCGGCTGGCCATCCTCTGCGATAGACTCCAGGTTCGTTTTTGGTGCCGCTTCTGTCTCTTTCTTGGCAGGAGTCATGGACTCGTACCACTTCGGGCCCAAGCCCACCAAGCAGCCCGGGTGGCACCAGTCCTCACCGCAGCCGCCGGTTTCGACGGTGCCCAGCCCCAGACACTGGAACATTGTTCCCTTCTGCTCCTGCGGCTTGTAGTCCACCGCGCAAGAGCAGAATAGGTTCCTGAAGTTGTGGTTGTACTTGTTGTCCGCGGCTGGCTCTTCCGAGTGGACATTGCCCTTTGTGTTGGTCGCCGGGTCGACACGGATCGTGCATGGCTGGTCGGGTCGGAACCGCGTCGTGCCGCAGTCGCACGTGAAGTTGCGCTTCTGGAAGATCTCGACGAGCTCGTGTTCGCCGTGGCACTGTACGGAGCACGAATAGCAGATCCCTGCAGGCGCGAAATGATCGGAGGGGGCGGCTGGCGGGGGATTGCACGTCAGGCAGGCAAAGACGTTCTGGCGTAGCGAGCCGAGCGGTTTCGTGCAGTTGTCAATGCTCTACAATGCCAGGGTCGTGGTCAGCAGGAAGTAGGCAAGGCATGGAGCGCATTAAGAGTCAACGACTACTTACATATGGCATTGCCTCGCGGGCATCAGCCTCGAGCTGCATCTGGCTTCTGATGAAGTCGGCAGCAGTCTGTGAATCTGTTGACTGTTGCGAGGTGAAGCTGTCGCTTCGTGTCTTGGGTGGAGGGCCATTGCTCTGCGCCGCACTGGCTGTAGGCTCATCAGCCATGGTGTGGAAGATCTGCGGGGAAAGGATAAGAATTGAGACGTTTGGCTGCCGTCTCTGAAGAGATGGGACGTGGGAAACGACCAAGACTCTGACGATGCTGACTTTCAATTACACAACAACGGAGCAGTAATGTTGCGATGAACCTGCTGTGAGAGCTGTATGCGACGCGCCGGGCAACGGCGATGACGACCGACGCGCACGCCTTATCGCACCGGCTGACGACTTATCGGACGATGCATGGTTCCTGCATGCTTATCGCTATACAGATAGAGCTCATTTAGTGCATAAACCCCGCGGCTATGATCAGCAAATCGACCATCTTAATCAGGATATGCAGAGATAGAGTCCATTAACAAGCTCGATTGGGCAGGCACTTTACGCGACCTCGACGCGTCGCGCCTCAAGCACAGACGCGTTCTGTATCATGCACGGCGGGACCACTTTCTCGACCAGCATCCATCCGTTGCCCCCCTCGCTTTGTGGGTTGCCCAGCACCTGTCGCCGCACTCATCCCCCCGTCCGTCCTCACGCACTTGCAAACCCACCCCCCGACATTCTCGACATCACAGTCACCTCCCACCAAACCCCTCAGTCCATTCTCAGCACAGCTCGCAACGAGGCATTGCGGCACCCACATCAATTCGCCGCCTCACCGCTAGTGTAGGAGACGTCGGCTCCCCCCCAGCGTTCAGAAGACTGCCTCGTGCAGCACTCACTCCAGAATGAGGTCAGTCCTGCTTGACTGCACTACCGGCATATCCATTGCAGAGCACAGCTAACAAACCATCGCCGCATAGTTCCCCTCTCAGAAGCAACATGGCATCGGCCAACCGCGGGGCAACTCCCCGCGCCAACCGCAAGCGCTCGAGAACCGGCGGCGACGCCTCGTCGTCGGTTGCCGCCTCCTCACCAATGCCTTCTTCTCCACCAGCGTTCCCCGTCGCCCACGGCGTCGATGATGACGATGTGGTTGAGGATGACGTTGAGATCGAGGACGACATCGATGAGCTTGACGAGATGGCTGAAGATGAGGTCGACCTCTTCCGCGAAGGATTCGAGCAAGATTACAGAGAAAGAGACGAGAATGACACATACGAAGCCGTCGACATTGATGACGAGGGCGAGTTCGGCGAGATGAGTCTGGCTGATAGACGCCAGCTCGAAGCCCAGCTCAACCGCCGAGATCGCGAGGTCGCTCGCCGGCGTAGAATGCCTGCGGCGTTCCTGCAGGACGAAGATGAGGATGGTGACATTGACTTGACAGCGCAGCCTCGCCGTCACCGCCACCGCATCTACGACGAGGACCCTGATGAGGACATGGACCGTGACATCATGGACGAGGAGCTATCCCTCGAAGCGCTCCAGGATGTCAAGGCTTCGAGTCTCACAGAATGGGTCTCTCAGCCTTCCGTTCAGCGCACCATCAAGCGCGAGTTCAAGGCGTTCCTCACCGAGTACATCGATGAGAGCGGCTCCTCAGTCTACGGCAACCGCATCCGAACTCTTGGTGAGATCAACGCCGAGACCCTTGAGGTCTCGTACGACCACCTCTCCTCTTCCAAGGCCATTCTCGCCTATTTCCTGGCCAATGCGCCATCTGAGATCCTGAAGCTCTTCGACGATGTCGCCATGGACGTTGTCCTGCTTCACTACCCCGACTACGAGCGGATCCACAGCGAGATTCACGTCCGCATCTTCGATCTTCCCGTCCACTACACCCTCCGCCAGCTGAGACAGTCGCACCTCAACTGCCTCGTCCGAGTCAGTGGTGTCGTCACCCGCCGTTCGGGCGTCTTCCCCCAGCTCAAGATGATCAAGTTTGACTGCACAAAGTGTGGCGTCACGCTCGGCCCCTTTCAGCAAGAGTCGAATGCCGAGGTCAGAATCAACTTCTGTCAGAACTGCCAGTCGCGCGGACCCTTCACCCTCAACTCGGAGAAGACAATCTACCGCAACTATCAGAAGCTCACTCTTCAGGAGTCTCCTGGTACCGTTCCTGCCGGTCGTCTTCCACGCCACCGCGAGGTCATTCTCTTGTGGGATCTCATCGACAAGGCCAAACCTGGCGAGGAAATTGAGGTCACTGGCGTGTACCGCAACAACTACGATGCCCAGCTCAACAACCGTAATGGCTTCCCAGTCTTTGCCACCATCCTCGAGGCCAACAATGTGGTCAAGTCGCATGACCAGCTTGCTGGTTTCCGACTAACAGAGGAGGACGAGCAGGAGATTCGCAAGCTCTCTCGAGACCCTCAGATCGTGGAGAAGCTTGTCAATTCCATTGCCCCTAGCATCTACGGCCACACAGACATCAAGACTGCGATTGCCTTATCTTTGTTCGGTGGTGTCGCCAAGGTAGCCAAGGGCTCTCACCACGTCAGAGGTGACATCAACGTCCTTCTCCTGGGTGACCCTGGTACAGCCAAGTCGCAGGCTCTCAAGTATGTTGAGAAGACTGCCCACAGGGCGGTCTTTGCCACTGGTCAGGGTGCTTCCGCTGTCGGTCTGACGGCTAGTGTCCGTCGCGACCCTCTGACCAGCGAATGGACACTAGAAGGTGGAGCGCTCGTGCTCGCTGACAAGGGCACCTGCTTGATCGACGAGTTTGACAAGATGAACGACCAGGACCGAACATCCATTCACGAAGCCATGGAACAGCAGACCATTTCCATTTCCAAGGCTGGTATTGTGACCACCCTCCAGGCCAGATGTGGTATCATTGCTGCCGCCAACCCTATCGGTGGGCGTTACAACTCGACCATCCCTTTCTCCGCCAACGTCGAGTTGACCGAGCCCATCTTGTCGCGTTTCGATATTCTATGTGTCGTGCGGGACACCGTTGACCCCGAGGAGGATGAGCGCCTTGCTCGCTTTGTGGTCAACTCGCACAGCCGCAGTCACCCGACGGCCCAGGCGACCCAGGACTCAGCCGATGGTGAAGGCGAGACGCAGGCTACCAAGGACAGCCAGGCCGCCACCAAGGACACCGAGATCCCCCAGGAGTTGCTCCGCAAGTACATCCTGTACGCACGCGAGCATTGCTCTCCCAAGCTCCTCCACATCGACGAGGACAAGGTGGCACGTCTGTTTGCCGACATGCGTCGCGAATCGTTGGCCACTGGCGCCTACCCCATCACTGTGAGTAACAACATCTAGGCTCCCTCCTTCAGTCCAAAACTAACATGTATCAATAGGTCCGTCATCTGGAAGCTATCATTCGCATCGCCGAAGCCTTCTGTCGCATGCGTCTCTCCGAGTACTGCTCGGCACATGACATTGACCGTGCCATTGCCGTGACAGTCGAGAGCTTTGTCGGCAGCCAGAAGGTCAGCTGCAAGAAGGCGCTTGCGCGGGCATTCGCCAAGTACACGCTGGCACGTCCTGGTGCCACGGCGCCGCGCAGGGGCGGTCTGCTGAGCAACCGCCGCACTGCTGCTGCTGCCTAGACGATTATTGTGATGAAGGAAAGAAGTGGCGTTCAGGAGTCTGGGAAAGATATTGATGGTTATTGTTGGATTTAGGCATGATACCTGTGATATGTAGGGGCACGATGATGACTGTTGGCATGGGGGAACTGGAAGGACAGCCGGATAGGTATGATAACAGCCCGGGTCATGAGCATACTTGTTTTTCATCCATGTTGTTGCAAAATATCAGATACATTGATCAAAACCTGCGGGACTGCTGCACTCTAAGGTTTTGTTTGTACGAGCACGTCGCCAATAGATGAATCTGCGGTCAGTTGATGGGAGACAATCTCAGCAGCGGTACACAAGACAGCGACAAGGACATTTAACCTTGTCGACTACGCCCTTCTCAGCAGCACCACCATTTGCGATGATCTCGTAGTTGTGTCCTGCTTATCGGCACCAACGCAGACCTGTCCCTGTTCCCAATGTCCTAGCCACCGCCTGGCAGGTGGTTCATACTCAATAAGGTCATGGCTGCTCTTCCTTGGACTTCATGTTCGTGCAGGGTTGCGTACTGCCAAGCGCACAGTGAAGGAGCGCGGGAGAAGCCCACATGGTGTTTTCAGAAAACCGCACCAGAATGACGAACGTCGTGACGTGCGATCCCCGGACAATTTCTCCCGGCATACCCGTGAAGTCCGCACGCAAGCATGAGACGTTATGTGTACGGGGGAGGACCTCCGATCACTTCATCAACCAGGAAAAGCGAGATCTATGATTGGCCCCGTCTTGCCCCGGATATAAAGAAAGAACGGGAGGCGAATATCGAACAATAACGAGATCGCCAAGACCGACAGGCACAGCGGGATACCTGATCTGATCTTGCCTTGGCGATCTTGCGGCGATCTGAGGAGAACACAATGGGGAAGAGGGGGGGCCAAGGAACGAGCCGAGGCTCAATGCCGAAGGGTGATACTCTTGCGCCTATGTGTGAGGCCCGGGTGCTCACGTCAATCAGATCTGTAGCGCGAGCTAGTGGTATGATGCTCGGTAATACTGAGATCTGCTATGGCTTCCGCCCTGCAGCCACCAATCATGTCAAGGCTTCATGGTTGTCCTCAAGGGACAGGAGCAAGCGGTTGCTCTGTTTTTCTGCCGATTGGAATGCCGGGCAGCAGATCCGAGACGGCGTGAGGATTCAGCTGGGCGGGTAGACGCAGATCTTTTGCTTGAACTGGGCATTGCCTATATTGGGCACGTCGGCCTCTTTGACCGGTGATGATGATGGCAACTTTCGCTCCGTCTCACCAGATGTGAGCCCGTCAATCCACGAATCGGCGATCAAAGCGACACGTTGAAGGTCGACAAATGCTGCAGCTACTTCGTCATTCTCTCATTTATGGGACTGGTGCTGCGCAAAGGGTCCACCGTCCAAGTGTGTGGCACAGCTCAAAGATTAGGCTGCACCGCCCGACTAGGCCATAGTGTGCCGTCCCTCCACCACGAAAAGGACGAAAGCTTCCGGCCTACAGCCTGAAAAGGAAGAATAGCAGACTCGGCTGTGGAGACAGAGGAGATGCCAGGCTTGAGCCGCATGCGCTGGGCTTTCATCATCGTGATGGATCCATGACATTGGGGCCGTCCTAGTTCGTTCGGGGGGACTGATCTAGCTTGCATTAGCGCCGTGGTAAATCGACCCTATGCCACAACAGGCTCCGCGTGGTTGCGGGATCTCGTCGTTAGAGGAGAAGGAACTCAGAAACAATGCGGAACCTCGATGGTGTGTGTGGGGGGGACGACCCGGCTATCCGCATCCCGAACCTTGATATCTCCCCGAGCCCTCTTTTTCTCGAGTTCGGAACGAGGTAAGGGGACGGCCATTTCTCAAGCGATTCCTGTATCCAGCATAGTGGCCTTTTCCCAACGACACGGTAGTTATCCTTGGTGACCAGTTCTGTTACCCCACGAACCGTCCAAACTCTCAATCAGTAACGGCCACTTCCAAATGCTCACCTAACAACGCGCCGTCTCTTTTATGCTTACCGTCATTGTGCATCGGCACTTGTGCTTGGCACTAGATTTGAGTTCGAGCTGGCTCTCCCGGAGCGCCGCACACAAGCGTTCCGGTAGCCATCGTCAACAACCTGCCGCCGTTATGTGGCGTTTCGCCCAGGCCACGGCACTCGATGTGTCAGACCCTGACTGCCAGCGTGGAGGACCCTGCTGCGTAAATATGCGCAGTCAAAGTTGCTTGAGAGACTGCACGGACGTCATGACCTAACACACTGTCGAAACTCCGCCAACGTCCATTGGCTTCGCGTTTGCAGACTGCCGATAGGAACCCACAAGCAGACGATGACAACAACAAACTTCTATCCTACCGGCGAGGCAAGCGGCAGTCGGCCATGCGGAAAGGCTCTTCTGCAACGCTGCCGATCTTTTTCTTACCTCCGCAGTAGTGTCAATAAGCTTGGTTCCACAGCACGGCTGGCACTTGTGCAGATCAACAGGTCTTGTAGACAGTCAGCTCGGTAAGCCACCGAATCACCGGCTTGGCGTTGGTGGTTACACGAGTGAGACGCTTGGAGGCCAGCCGAGATCGCTATGCGCTGTGCTCTTTAGAAAAGTATGACATAGGGAGTGATTTATCGAGACACGCCATCAACATCATGACCGCAGAGGAGGTTAGACGAGCCGGGGACTCGTGGCGAACCCCTTAGCCAGTCTTCTGAAAACACATGGCATATAAACCAAGTGTTTTCATCCTCGGGCTTCCCAATTTCGTCACATCCAACTCCTGCCCAGCATCTGAATGATCTGACTAGTAATACATAGTCCCTGCATCTGTCACTAAGTCCCTGCAGACACCACAGCAACACCTCCAATACCCCTAATCCTTTGTTAAAACCACCTCATCACACAATCATGAAGGCAGTTACTTCGGCCGCCGTCCTCGGTGCGCTGCTCTCTTCCGTGGCGGCATTCCCGCGCATGGACCCTGCTCAGATCGAGGCACTTCAACAACACGCTGCTCGCGAGGCCGCAGGCTGCCCTTATGCCAAGCGGGCTGAAGCGGAGGCTGAGGCACGGTCAGAATGTCCTTTCGGCAAGAAGAAGAAGCGGGCGACCTTCAACGCTCAGCAACAGAGGATCAGTACCTCTGGCGAGCACGCTTGGGTCGAGCCCAACTTTGAGGCCGGCGACCAGAGAGGTATGTGACTGACTCGAGATGCCACATTTTATGCGGGTCGCTGACACTTCTTCCACCACATAGGTCCTTGCCCTGGATTGAATGTATGTAACCCATTCGGAAGAAATAGTCTCTTGTCCTGATCACTGACGGATTTCTACTACACAGGCCCTTGCCAACCACGGCTACCTTCCGCATAATGGCGTTGCTGACATGGCCACCATTATCCGTGCCACCAACGAAGTATACGGTATGAGCTTGGATCTGGGCGGCTTCCTCGCTGTCTACGGCACCGTCTTTGACGGCAACCCCCTCTCCACCAACCCAGGCTATTCTATCGGCGGCCCGAGCTCGCAGAGCCAGAACATCCTCAATGGGCTCGGCCTGCTCGGCACCCCGTCGGGACTCAGCGGCAGCCACAACAAGTACGAGTCGGATGTGAGCGCCACTCGCGGCGACTTGTATGTCACGGGCAACAACTTCCACGTCCAGCGGGACCGGTTCATCGAGTACTACAACGCGATCCCCGAGGACACGCCCGCGCCGGAGCAGTACACGGCACTGGCCCCGTTCCACCAGCAGCGCTTTGAAAACTCCGTCAGCACGAACCCGTACTTTTTCTACTCGCCCTTCGCCGGCGTGCTGGTGTCCCCGGCCGCCTACTCCTTCCCGCCCCGCATGATGGCCAACCACTCGGACGAGTACCCGGAGGGATACCTGTCCCGGCAGACGTTTGCGACCTTCTTCGGCGTCGACGGCAACAGCGAGGCCAACTTCCAGGTCAACCAGGGCTGGGAGCGCATCCCGGACAACTGGTACAAGCGGCCCATCGGCGACGAGTTCTCCATCCCAGACTTCCTGATCGACGTGCTCGAGCACGCGGCCTACTACCCTCCCCTGCTCAGCATCGGCGGCAACACGGGCACCGTCAACTCGTTCTCGGGCGTCGACGTCGCGGACCTGACGGGCGGCGTGTTCCACACCGCCGACCTGCTCAACCCGGACAAGCTGCAGTGCTTCGTGCTCCAGATCATCCAGGCCGCCGCCCCGGACGTGCTGGGCAGCATGTTCGCCGACGTGCAGTCCGCCATGGCGCCCCTCACCGACAAGCTCGCCCAGCTGCTCGCCGGCAAGGCCTGTCCCCAGCTGCAGGAGGTCAATGCCAACCTGTTCCAGAAGTACCCCGGCTACACCGAGTCCTATGGCAGCTATGCTGGCCTGTCCAAGGGCACGGTGAGCGGTGTGCTTAAGGGCATCACCGGTATTGTCGGCGGCGTGGTTCCCACGGGTAATAAGGAGTAGGTCGAGATACGGGTGAAGCTGGGTATCTGGAGGGAGGATTTAGAGTTAATATTTCGATAATTGTAATCGTACATTTTACACCGAAAATACATGTTAATTCATTCTTGACCATATTTTCAGACCAGCACCGCTGGCTCGATGAAACATCATCTGCGAACAAATGGTATACCACGTATGCTGACGGCCTCCATGAAATTGAACGGGTAAATACTCATAGATAGACGTGAAAATATGAGTGCGTTTGTCACAAAAGACCTTGTGTATATGGCGGTCCTCTAATGTGGATCAATCCCCAGTGTCAAAGCACGGTCAAAATCTAGCTAGCATCTACTCCAGGCTCATCCCCCAAAAATATGTATGTGCAGTCGCCAAAACAGACACGACCCAATTAAAAAAAAAAGACTGGTTGACCAGAAGGGAAAAAGAAAAAAAAAAGAAACAAAAAAAGAAGTTGACATGCTCCTGTGATCAGGAACGCATCGGGAATTGAGCCCGATGCGGGGGTCGAACCCGCAACCTTGAGATTAAGAGTCTCACGCTCTACCGATTGAGCTAACCGGGCGGAGGCTTCAAATTGTTGAAAACCTGATCTCTTATTTGCCTCTGTCATGATTGCTGTGAACCCCCAAAGACCGTGAATTGGTTTTCCTCACGATCCATGTGGGCTCGCAGAGGGTCACTTCCTTGACCCCCACCTCCACGTCCCCTTTCCATGTGGCACCATAATTAAATCCTCACGGACCCAGCGTGGCTCCGGATACGGTGACGCGATAGGTCTTGATCCATGTCGAGCCGACTCAGGTATTCATGCTGCAGTAATTGTGGCAACTTCCGGTCATCAGACTTTGCTGGGATGAACACGACGCTCCTATCTATACTGACTTTCCGACGACCTATAGTAGAAACACAGCACCATTCGGATCTCGTGGCAGAGTGACAAGGTGGCGTCGACTTGTTTCCTCGGAGGTGTGGCCCGCGACGTGTGCCAAGGACAAATGTCAGGAGGGGACAAACATGTTCGGAAGCCGGCTGTGCTAAGCCTTGGTGGTGGTGGTGGTGAAACAAAGCCCTGGAGGCGCCGCGTCGTTTTCCTTTTTGAACGCGCGCGTAGCGTCGTCAGGTGGCACACACAGCACAGCACACCGTTGTCCATGTGGAAGAAGCCGCCGGCTGCACGAGAGAGGACGAGTCGCATGTGACCAGACCCAGGATCGCAGCAGGGGTGAGCCCCGTCGGGGGATTCCAAGCCTCTTATCAGACGATTCCAAGCGCCAGGGGTCGAGTCCCTTGAGTGCCACCGCATGTGCACCCTTGGGAAAATGCTGCGGCCGAGGCGGCTCTGCGCCGTGGAATCCAGGGACGGCTCCGTCAAAAGGGCCGGCCTCACGGCAGAGGGTCCACCAACCACCGCAGCAAACCTGAGACCGAGCTCCCGGACCCCTGCCTGGGCGCTCCTTAGTACCATACCCCAGATCTTAACATCTGACTCGGTACGGACGGGCCGTACCCTTATAAACACCGCCGTCGATCCGTTCCGTCACGATGAACTGGAGGATGATACCAAGCTTCGCAACAGCGAGCCGTCATCGCTCAGTCTCTCTTTAATCAGAATCATAGATTCTAGTCCCTCGTTACCAGTGTGTGCTCCAGCGCTACCTATCTTTCACCACCCTCATATCTTCTCTCGAAACAGTTTCTTTTTCTTCTTCTTCTTTTTCAGTATCATATCGTCTTCAGTCGTCTCTCCTTCACAATGTGGCAGATCAAGGCTGCCGCAGCCGCTCTGCTTCTTGCACAGCCGACGCTGTGCCAACTCTCGAGATGTCCTTCCGGCGAGGCACGTCTCGGCACCCCCAGCGGCGCTCTCTACGCCGTCTGTGAGGAGGCCGACTTCCGCGGCTCTACCGTGCAATCACTCGACACTGTCGCTACTCTGGCCGACTGCGCCCAGGCCTGCGAGCGGCGGCCCGGATGCACCCGCGCCGTCTACGACAAGACCAAGTCCGAGTGCCATCTGAAGTCCTCGTGCGGCATGAGCTTGATTGCCGCCGAGCCCCAGTTCACCACCATCAAGTGGCTGCATACCTTTGAGGCCGGCGAGGAGATTGGCAGCTGTGTTGCCACGGCCCGAAACATCACCTCGGCCGACGGCAGCGTGCTGGCGACATGTTCCAGCGCCGACTTTAGCGGCAGCACGCGCGAGACCATTGACGGGGTCGCCTCCCTCGACGCTTGTGCCAGCGAGTGCGGCCGGTCCGCGAGCTGCTTACGAGCCGTCTACCACCAGCAGGCCTCGCAGTGCCTCCTCAAGGACGACTCGGCCGAGCTGCAGTGGACTTTCCAGCCGGGATACGACACGGTCCAGAAGATCTCGCCCCCATCCGGCCCTGCTCCTGTCCCGACCCCTCCGGCCGACCCTGTTGCCACTCTCGGCCGCTGGTCCGAGCCCATCAAGTTCCCCATCATCCCCGTGGCTGCCTACATGGTTCCCAGCGGGCCTGTCGCGACCAAGATCCTCATGTTCTCCTCTTGGGGAGCCACGGACTTTGGCGGCGCCGGCGGCAAGACGCAGTTCGCCTCGTACGACATGAGCACTGGGGCCGTGTCGGAGCGCACCGTCGTCAACACCCACCACGACATGTTCTGCCCCGGCATCAGCGCCCTCGGAGACGGCAAGATTGTCATCTCGGGAGGCTCCGACGCCGCGGCCGTCAGCATCTACGACCCGGCCACCGACGCCTTCACCAAGGCACCCGACATGGTCGTCGCCCGTGGTTACCAGAGCTCGGCCACCCTCTCTGACGGCCGCGTCTTCACCATCGGAGGCTCCTACTCTGGTGGCAAGGGTGGCAAGACCGGCGAGGTCTACGACCCGGTCCAGAACAAGTGGACGCTGCTGCCCGGCACTGACCCCAAGCCCATCCTGACCACCGACCACGAGGGCATCTGGCGCGAGGACAACCACGCCTGGCTCTTTGGCTGGCGCAACGGCTCCGTCTTCCAGGCCGGCCCCAGCAAGGCCATGAACTGGTACCTGACCGACGACGAGGGCTCCCACGTCCCGGCCGGCACCCGCGAGGCCGAGATGGACCAGATGTGCGGCATCAACGTCATGTACGACGTCGGCAAGATCCTCTCGGCAGGCGGCAGCCAGGACTACACGGACAGCGCGGCGAGCAGCCAGGCCCACGTCATCGAGATTGGCAACGTTGGCGAGGAGGCCACAGCCATCACGACGGCCAACATGCACTTTGCGCGTGGCTTTGCCAACGCCGTCGTGCTGCCCGACGGCCAGGTCATTGTGACCGGCGGCCAGAAGAAGTCGCTCGTCTTCACCGACACCGACTCGGTCCTGATCCCCGAGATCTGGAGCGAGAAGACCAACGCCTGGGCGCAGCTCGCCCCTGCCGCGATTCCCCGCAACTACCACTCGGTCAGTCTCCTGCTGCCCGACGGAACCGTCTTTGTCGGCGGCGGCGGCATGTGCTACGGCCAGAAGAACTGCGACCGGGCCAAGGACCACCTCGACGGCGAGATCTTCACGCCGCCCTACCTCTTCGCCCGGGACGGCACCCCCGCGGCCCGCCCCGTCGTCAAGAGCGTCTCCGCCGCGGAAGCCACCGTCGGCACGACCCTCGCCGTCGACCTCGAGGGCGACGCCGAGGGCGTCTCCTTCGTCTTTGTGCGCATGGGAAGCTCCACGCACAGCATCAACTCGGACCAGCGCCGCGTGCCCCTCACCCAGACCCAGCAGACCGGGCCGGGCGCGTACTCGGTGACGATCCCCAACGACTCGGGCGTCGTCCTGCCGGGACCGTGGTACCTCTTTGCCATGTCCAAGGACGGCGTGCCCAGCATCGCCAGAACCGTCATGATCACCCCGTCTTAAGCTTGTCGGGTTTTATGAAGTGTGGTGAATTGTAATATGGGGGGCACAATAGCCGTGGACGAAGACGATTTGACACGGCCGAACAAACCGGGTCCGGGAAGAGGACTATGCAGACATACTTAACGTTTACTTTTTAATACATAATAGCATCAAAATACATCACATACACTGTATTCTATCCACCTGTCTTTGGACCAGTACTGCTTCCTTCGCGCTTTCATCACAATGACCATCAGGGATAACATGAATCAGCTGCTGCCTACGTACATGTACATTCTAAGTATTTTCATGGGCTGCTCAATCCCACACCGCATCGTCGTCGTCTAGTTGCCCTTCTCCTAAGCCCACACAATCATGTCCGCGGCCAGCGTGACCAGCAAGCCAAACGAGTCCGCATAGGCATACCACCGATCATGCTTCTCCTGCCGCCGATCCCTTCGCACCCTCTTCGACAACTCCCAGTCCCGCAACCCGCCGCTACTGCTCACCTCTTCTTCTCCCGCTCCTCCTACTCCTTCCGCCGCGTCTGCCGCTTCCGCCGCCGCCTCTTTCTTCAGCTCGACCAGGTCGCAGTTCCGCAGCATCCCGTGCAGCGCGTTGCTGTGCAGGTACTCGGCGTAGTCGGCCTCCCAGTCCTTCTCGTTGTCCGCGTTCCACAGCTTGGAGGGCGACGGGGCGGGCGACACGGCGTACTCGGGCATCCTGGCGGACCGCGGGGTGATCCGGGCGTGCAGGACGGCGTTGATGATTGCGAGGGCCGTCGAGGTTCTGTTTGTTTCCGCGGAAAAGTGAGTCAGCACATGGACATGCGTTCTTTTTTTTTTTTTTCCATTGTTGACGAATCTCATTTGTTGAGAGGGGGGAAGGGGGGAAGACGGGGACAAAAGGAGCAGAAAGGACTAACCGCCGGCGAGACTCATAGAACGCCCAGTCCTTCCACGACATCATCTGCCCCATGATCTCGTCCGGGCTGATGAGCTGCCCGAACCGTGCGCAGAGGGTGGCGCATATCGCCTGCCGTTTTTGCTCGTGGAAGCTCCGAGTCAGCCTTCCCTCGTCCAGTTTCTTTATTTGTGTTCCCTTCCCTCCAGTGCTTTTCCGTGAAGAAAAAAGATCGGTTAGGGATGGAGGGTGCAAAAGGCTTACAGTGATCGAGGCGACAAGCATAAAGTCATGGTTCGAGTACTCCTGGCGCCCATCGACGATGCGAAGCAGCATGTAAGTCACGAGCGCCTGGGTCGCCTCCAGGAGCTCCCACTTGTTGAATTTAAGATGCTGTTTTTTTTGGTCCAGGTCAGCCAATCCCACGGGTGTAAGCAAAATACTGCCCCAAAGCCTAGAGCCAAGAGACCCCCCGCGTTGCGAGCCAAGTTTTCACTTACCTCTGTGAGCAGCCGGTCCTGCTCGATCAGTATGAGTCTCCAGACCAGGCTCCTGTTCAGGCCCTGGCCGTGCAGCAGCATCTTTGAGAAGCTCAGGGCGGCCGACATGGGGCTGGTCCGGGTGCCGTCGTGGTCGGCGAGGTCGCGGTACCGCGGGTGGATGAAGGGCGGCGGCGGGTTCGTGCCGTCCTCGCTGGCCAGCATGTGCGGGTACGAGCGGAGGATGTGGATCGCAATGTCGCCGGTGGCGTCGACGACGGGGTGCGCGAACACGCGCCGCTCGAAGAGGGAGGAGGATGCGGCTTTCTTGAAGTCTAGCCAGGCGGGTAGCGAAGGAGATGGTGATTTGGCCGGGTTGCTGAGATATTTGGCGATGTTGGTGGTATTGTTGCTGCTGTTGTCAGAGTTAAGGGTGTTGTCTTCCGGGTGGTCCTCGTTGACAAAGGTCGATGCGAAGAAGTCTTCGTCTATGTCGTCTGCGAGTTCCCATATGGGTTGGGCATTCACGGTCCTGCCTAGGCTCTCAGGGCTGACCATCAGTTGCTGAGGAGCATCGACACCAGGACCGCCATCGGAAAGAGTGCCAATGTAGTCCGCAGGTCTCAAGATGGCCTCGGCTGGAGATTGTGTCGATGCTTGAACACCGGGCGGGGCGCCCTCGTAAGTGCACCGTAGGAGCTTCGAGGCACATCGGGAACACCCCTTGGGATTGAGATTGCACCGGGTCTTGGCTCGTACGCAAGCATCGCAGGATTTCCTTCTCGCCTGGATGTTGCTGCCCGGCCCGTGCTTCTTGCGGCAATAGGACTGGTGCTTGGTCTTTGCCCGGGCTGGGCAGTGTCAGTGGGTTGCGGGTGCATGACGTGCGTGGCATAGCACACGTGAAGCTTGACCATACCAGTAGTCTCCACCCCGTAGGCTTTCTGGCAGATTGGACATTGGGATGTGCTGTCTTTGGTGGCCATGTTGCAAAAAGAGCTTGTCCAGGGTCAACAGCCACTTTCGCCGTCCTCTGTGTTCCGTGTCGTTTGTACGCTGTGGTGTGTCCAAATTCCATCCCGGGGTCGTTGAGCCAACGACGAGCAGAAAAGCGGTGCAGTCGTTCCGCGCGGGCGACGGAGCTCCGTGGGACACCCTCCGCATTGATTACAAATGCTCCTGGTGCAGGCCCGAAACCCAAATCCCTGAGGTAATCAGCCCTCACAACCACTGCGTAGACCCTTGAACCTGTTACTTCGCTTCATTCTAGCAGTGGCGTCTATTCTTGCATCTCGCTCAACAACGTGGGTGGGACATGGCCAGGTGCCCTGACAAATGCAAGCCGCCGCCACTGCCGTAACAGTAGCGTCACGGAGCCGTGAAGCCTTGGCTGTCCCACGTAACCCCGGCGCCCATCGTGGCACCCAAGTGGAGACGCATGAACACTCCTTTTCAGCTTGTACCTTCGAAGAACAACAGCACTTAGGGTGTAGTGTGTTTATGGTGAGGCTCGATGTACTTCCAGCAGAAGTTCAGCAGCGCCGGCTGAGATATTCCTAATAGTTTATACACGATATACGTACCGGAGGCTTGCGGGCTCCTCGAAAATTGTCACTATCGCATGGCCTGATGTGCTCTGCCACTGCGCGTCAGGGGTCCCGTGGAGGTGTCCCAAGTGCTCCGAAGCCATCATAGCAAATTCCCAAGCCAGGTCCAGCGGAATTGTCCCCCAGCCTTGCTCGCCATCGTGGCCACTTCAGAGGACAACGCCGGTGGCGGAGGTGTCCCAAACATTTCTAAGCCATGAGATCTTGCAGTCGTCTCTACGGCCCTGCCGAGCTTTCACATCAGTATAAATGAGAGCCGAGGACGGCTGCTAGGTCAACTATGCATGAACAAAGGAGCAGCACTGTTCTCAAGCGCATTATTCAACCACCTTGATAAAAATCAAATCTCTACTTCCATCCAGCATCCGAAAATGGAGTCCCCCTTCTGGCCATCCTTTACTAAACTGTGGCACGTAGAGCCTTACCCTTCCATATCCCCAACCCGCCCGGAGCTCTCTGCAGCAGGCAAAACAGTCGTCGTCACCGGTGGCGCGACCGGAATCGGCCTGAGCATCACGCGCGCCTTTGCCGCGGCCGGGTGCACCAGGATCGCCATCCTCGCTCGCAGAGAGGATAAGCTCCTTGCCGCGAAGGCGCTGATCGAAAAGGAGTTCCCGGGCGTGCAAGTCCTCGCTCTCGTGACGGATATTGCCAACGAGAAGCAGGTCGACGCGAGCTTTGCCAAGATCGCCGAGGTCTTTGACGACAGCAGCAGCAATGGTGCCAGCGTGAATGGAAGCGCAAACGGGCGCGGAAAAGGCAAGATTGACGTCCTGGTCGCCAACTCGGGCTTCTTCCCCACGCCCGGTGGCATTCTGGACCCAAAGACCGACCTCGCCGACTGGTGGCGGGGGTTCGAGACAAACGTGCTCGGCTTGATACACGTTTCGCGCGCGTTTCTTCGGCACTCCAAGCCCCTTATCGCCGGGGAGCGAGGAGGGCCCCGGATCATCAACATCTCCACGGGGATTGCGACCATCCCGCCGATGCAGCAGGGAATTTCGGCGTACGCCGGCAGCAAGGCGGCTGGGGGGAAGGTCTTTGACTATATTGCAATGGAGAACCCGGGACTGAAGGTGTTCAACTTGCACCCAGGGATTGTGACGACAGACATGTCCAGGAAGAGCGGACGTGACGGCTCAGATCATAGTGAGTTATGTCCCAGGCACAAATCCCTTTCTGCGTCCTTGCATGACAACACGAATGATGGATGGCCCAGTAAAATGCTGGTCGATATCAGTACTGACGCCCAATTGTGCCATAGTTGATCTGCCTGGCCACTTCTGCGTATGGCTCGCGAGCCCCGAGGCCGACTTCCTCAGCGGCAAGTGGCAGTGGGTGAACTGGGACGTGGACGAGCTCAAGGCCAGGGAGAAGGAGATCACCAGCACGCCGCTCCTGACTACCATGCTCGACGGCATGTCCTTCCACGACTTCAAGGGGGACTTCAGTAGCATTTAATGCAGGGAAACCTGGACTTCAGCGGGTGGGAGGAGGTTGAAGGAAGCTGGGGCACTGATGCCAGTGCATACCTCCATCCGGCAATCTTCCACCATTCCGAAGAACTAGCTCAATCAGATCAATCAGATCAATCAGATCAATCAGATCAATCAGATCAATCAGATCAATCAGATCAATCAAACAACGCTAGCTACACCAATCTAATCAGAAGACCCTTCGGACTCTGCAACACTTATGTATGACTTCTGTTTCTTTCGTGACCCATCTCGAAATGCTTTCACTTCTTCAAGAACGGTGCTGCAGCAAGCGCGTCAGCCTGGGTCTTCCAGACAGGCAAGCCCAACTCCATCAGTCTCGGGCCATAGTCTTTCAACACCTCGTCAACCTCCCCCGGCTTTGGACCACGCAGCTCGCGCAGCTCTTCGACCGTGCCGAATGTCGCGGTCTTCCACCAGAGCTTCCACTTCTGCACCGCCTCCTTGGCAGCCTCGGAGCGGCTATTCACGTTCCTGGCCACCATATAGAAAGAAGAACGTTTCTGGTGTGCCCTCTGCGGTTTGTACACCTGCACATCCGAGAAGGTACTGAACGTGTACAGCGTCTCAACCACATCCCAGGCCTCGATCTTGTGCAGCAGGAGCACGAGGGCGCCGCCAGGACGGAGATGCTCGAGACCGAGTGCGAGCTGGACAGAAGCGAGCCTTGTGGCCTCCGTGGCTTCGCGATAGGACGCGCGCGGCTGGGTACGTAGCACCTGGCCGTCACAGAGGGCGAGGTCGACAAGCAAGTCGGCCGGCAGATGGCGAGGTAGGAATTTGTCTGCGTCTGGGTGTCCATCTGCGATACTGCGTGCGGCGATTGGGATGCCCATATCCTCAGCGAGCATGGTGATGTCGATGGAGCGGATGTTGATATTGGACATGGTCTTTCTAGGAAGCATGATTTCGTGTCCACCAGACTCGGTGGGCAAGGTAAACGCCATGGCGCGGACGCCTGGGTTGCGATCGATGACGGCCTTGAGGAAACCGCCGGGCGCCATGCAGAAGTCGAGCACCGTGCGAGGCCCGCCATCGCGATCGACACCATGGCTACCGCCGCCTGCAATGGTGAATGCGCTCGTGGCGTGGTCGAGCTCGGCTCCGACCCTCTGCATCATTTTGAAGAACCAGACTTTGCTGGCGTCCGTCGCGCGGTCCGCCTGAGACCGCTGTCGCCTAAAGAACTCATCGCCCTCGGCGCTTTTCCATCCCTGGAAAACACAAATCAGCATGTTGCAGACTGGCCTCACCGGCACGAGGACTTTGGAGATGGGTTCTCACTATTTCACGAAGATGCGAAAGTCTTGCGAACTCTGGCACCTGCTCCAGCAAGTATGCGATGATTGCGTGGTTTGCTCCTCTAGGTCTAGCTGCCGTGTCGCTGATTGGGAGCCCTACAGCGGGCGAGGCCCCCATGTTGGTTGCCATGCTTTTCTGATGGTCACTGAAATGGATGGCAAGCCGTTGTGGCAGATCGTAAAATAGCGCCTTGGTGCAAAGAAAGAGATGTTCGACTTGAGTTGGAACCGACCACGAACATGTGGCTGCTCAGCATGGACAGAAGCAAGGCTGAGGCCTCAGGTACTGGACGGACTTTCAAATCAGAGGCGGGGTCTGCCTGCTGCCGCATATTGTCTTCTCCGAGTGTGCCTGGTGTTGGTCATGCTTGTTTGTTGGTCGCCAGGCAGACTTCCGTCCAATGACATCCCTCCTCGCCGGTTGCCTCAGCATGGTGTGGCAGTGCTGCTTTCCAGATGCTGACATAGACTGCCAACAGAGCGTGATGGCGCCATTTAAGCTCTCGCAACTAGAAAAACGCAGAATACATCACGAGTTCCCACGATGGTGGGGGAACCAAAATCAGTCATTAGATAGCTTTCGACAGACCACAGTACAAAGACTTCTTCCCCTTCTACCCTGCCAACTTCCATGCCAACTGCCTTTGCCATCACCGACTCGGCTGTGGGTATGAGCTCCCAAGGTGGCGTGCGCCTACAGACGGGGTTTCAGCCAACTCGTTCATCCTGAGCGGCCTCTCGACAATCGCATTATAGCCATTCAGCTCACTAGTAGTCGCGCCTTGCTGATTAGGATAGGAGTAGTACTGCTGCTGTAGATGTTGTTGTTGGTCATGCGGGAGCTCGTAGTAATTGTTGCCTGGTTGGTGTGCTGACACCTCAGCGGCGGTTGACCATGCCTGGCCCATGTGGTGATAATACTGCTGCTGCTGCTCTTGATGCACCGCAAGCTCGGCGGTTGAGGCTTGATCAGCCTTCTCGCCAAGCTCGGCCTTCTGCTGCTGCTGTTGGTGACCGTCGTGCCCCAGCTCGTGAACGTGGTTGCTGTCCAGCTGTGCCGCCAGGCCGTCGCTCCTCATGTTGCCGCCGTTGTCAGGAGCTCCATTCACAGGAAAATCACTCCTCACGGCCGACGAAAACAGCAGCACGAGGGCAATGAAGTTGATATAGTAGAAGCCGATGTTTTGCGCAACATAGTGGGCGTCCATGCGTGAGATCCGACGCGGAAGCAGGTTCATCCGGATGCTCTCAGCGAGCGTCCAGATTGTTTGAACCCAGAACAATACTGCGGCGACGAGCGCGAGGGTGTGGTAATTCGAGGCCTTCTACGCGGAATGCGAGAGGTGAATGCGTCAGTAGGAGAGCCACATTGTCGCTGACTGCGCAGCCGGGAGATGGGACTAAGGGGAAAAGCTCACCCGTTGCCTCGCCACGTTACTTTTCCGCGCCAGAGCACACGCGCGTGAACTTAGCACCAGCGCTGTCGTCGCCCCGATGAACAGCAAGATGTCAACCACAGCTCCAAGTGTCGTAAACGGCAGGTTCACAGCCACGCCACTATCACGGTCGAACGGACCACCTGCGAGGCCAGCCTGGATCCCGCAGTACGTGGCAATGGCTAGGCAGATAAGCAGGGCACCCGCAGCAAGGTTGCCACGATGCCACCGGAGTCTCGTTTGCTTGCTTGTCCAGTTCGTGGGGATACTCGTCTCGACCAGCATGAGGAGAATCGCAGCGCCCGCGAACCTGCCGACCATGCCAGCGACGTAGTAGAACGTAGTCCACTGGCGGTTCGCGGCGAAGTAGTAGCTGTAGTAGGTAGGAGTGAAGTAATATGAGTCGAGGCCCGACATGATGGCCAGGGATCCTGCAGAGCTGTGAAGTTAACAAGATACCGTGTCAGCGGCCTAGTTGAGCAGCTGGTGCTGAAGAGAGATGGCAAGCCACGTACAAGGCCAAGCTGAGAAAAGCAACAATGATCCAAGCGAACCATCCGAGAGCTGGATCACGCTTGGAGCCCACCCACGCGCGTTTCACGATACTCTGCTGGGTCATGACGAGCGATGCAATGCCTATCATGCCCTCGAGGACACAGGCCACGAGGGCGATTGTGGAAAGCATTGTGCCGGGGTTCAGCGCTGCTGTGTTGCCGGGCTTGGTAAAGGCTGAGTCGGTGATCTCGTTTGATTCGCTGGCTGGAGACAGTGGGCAGTCTGCATAGAGAGTCGTGGATGCACAGTGAGTAGGAGAGACACCCGACGCACGTAAAATGGCAGCCGTGCCTGTCATATAGCATTACTTGCCTACTCCGGTAGGCTTGTCTGCCATTTCAGCTCCAATACATGTGGACGGATCAGGCGCTCTAGAACTCAGCCCAAGGCGTCCCTGCCGTGTCTGGCCTTTCAGCAAAGACAGTACTAGACTCTGGCATATTGCTAGTGCGCCAATGGGAGGAGCTTTAGCTGAACCACTAGCTTTCAGCTCCGAACTGCAGGAAAGCTTGACGGTCTTGGGGCGACAGTATTCGGCCAATGGAAGGCTGGCAGATGCTCTAGTCGAGCTTAGCGTCTTAGTGGGCGTCGATTAGCCCTGTCGCTGTCGTAGACATGAGGACGCGCCCTGTGAAGATCACAGTCAACCTAAGGCAGAGCTGTTCAGTTGTGGCGGTGACTGCTCTACCTCTTGCCTTTTCCTTCATGAACCGCGCGAGAATTGCCGCTACGCCTACATTCTGCATGGTTGCTAGCATTGACCATGGTATTCATGAACTAACACAGACGCTCTGCCCCCTGGCCCGATTGCCGCGCAATTGCCTTGGGTGCCGGCGTTCTCTCTTGACCTTCTCCTCGCGGCTTTCATACGTGGCGTGATTCTATATACAGTAGCAGCCGAACAAACTTCCCTGAACTGCTAAACCACTTTGTTAGCACTCTTCATCCACGAAAGCGTGCAGTGGCAATAGCGTCATGGTAGTTAAAAGCTCAGGCTAGCGGGAAGGACCACTCTGCCAGACATATACGCTATTGGAACTATTGGAAGCAACTACTGATGCTCTTTATCATCATTTCACAGGTATGGAGCATTGGCAGTATATGCAAAAAAAGCACTGTAGATTGAGATAGCTATACAAAGCACTTGCCAAGAAGTACTGATTTTGAAAAGAATAAACAGTCGCCACAAGGGCAAAGACTGCAAAGGGACAAGAAGTCTATATACATGAACGTAACGGGAGCCGAAATGATGAATCATCAGGGCTTTCGAGTTTCCTTTTCTCCGGGGAGGGGGTGAGTGCACCCTAGAGGGGGCGCAAGCTCAAGTTTGGTACAGGCGGGGCTTCACTCGGCAGGTGATTTAGAGGCACTGAGAGTACCATCTGTTGCCACGGCGGCAGGTGCTTCCAGCCTCGCAGCAGGTCGGGCCGCGGAACTCGAGGCCACCGCACTGAGCGTACTTGACGGCGCAGGTCTGAGCCGGGGCGGTGGTGGGAGCAGCGGCGGCGGTGGTGGTGCTGGTGGCCTTGATCAGGGTGGTAGCGGCAGTGGTGGTGGCAGGAGTGGCGGGGCTGGTGCCGGCAGCACCGTCCCAGACAGCAGGGCCGGGGAAGGTGAAGGTCTTGAAGCCGTTGTAGATGCTGAAGTTGGCATAGGGGTCGGTGCTCTTGTAGGCGCCGGGGAACTTGACCATGGGGCCAGGGGTTCCGTTGCCGCCACCAGTCACCTTGACCTGCACGCAGGACACGAAGTGCTCAGGCTGGTTCACGTGCGAGCGGTGAATGCCTGAAGCAGGAGGGTTAGGTACCGATCATCGCATGGCTGACAAGGAAACAAGCAGCGGTGAAGGGGGGACTTACCAATGTGCTCCACGCGGAGGAGGTACTCGCCGCTAGGGACGTTCTTGGGGATGGTTGCGGTCAGGGTGTTCTTGTCCCAGCTGCACCAGGCAGTGCTCTTGAAGTCACCGCCCTGGTTGCAGACACCAGTCTGGCCAATCTTGAACCAGTCGCCAGAGCCATCGTAGGCCTTGACATCGCCGGTGGGGGCCTTGGACATGTAGAACAAGGAAGGGCCTGAAGCTTGGTTAGCATACATATCAAGTCGCCGCCCCTTAGGTGCCGTCAGGGAAATGGGTGGGACTGACCAGGGTGCTGCATGGTGGCACCGACACCGAGCTTGACGGTGACGCTGTTGCCAGCCGCGACCTCGAGAACCTGGGTCTTTCCGGCGTTGGTGAAAGCGCCCTGGTTGCAGCGGGCATCGGGTCCATCAATGAAGGAGTTGTCGCGCAGATCGGCGGCAGGGTTGGACGAGAACTTGATGGGGTTGTACTTGGTAGGACGGGTGAAGTCGCGGATGTAGCGGAAGCTGGGACCAGCGGCGCCGTTGGTGACAACCGAGTCGAAGAAGTAGTGGGCCGATGCCATCTGGGCAAGGGCAGTGACGAACAAGGCGGAGACCTTCATGGTGACTGTTGTTGTTGGTGTTGGTGTTGAGTGAAAAAGGAGTCAAGGATTCTCGAGTGAATGTGTCAAGTCTGGCTTGACTGAAGAAACGAATGTAGAGAGTGACTAAGAAGAAGCAGGCGAACCAAAAGATGGACTGTGAGTAAGGAATGTTGGGGTGAGGAGCAAAGGAAATCCAGCTCAAAACTTGGGATCGTCCTGTCTCTATATAAGTTTAACGAAACGACCGGAGAAGCTGCAGTGCCTGCACCGTGCTATGCGCCAATCCCATGAACGTTTTGGGTTGATACGAGCCAACAGGGTGAACAGCATCCCTGCCTGTCGCTGTCGGCGCAGAAGAATCTAGTGCGTGCCAGGTGGGCACCGACCAGCTGTCTCGGTGCCATTTTGCAAATTGAAAGAAGTGGAGGGCCGCCTCGTGGAGCAGGCCACATTTGAGCCTCAGCCAAATGAACGTTGGACTTTAGCGCGGGAACAAGGGTCAGAAACAAGCCTTGGCGTTTTGACTTGATGACAGCCAGGACAGGTCTGACACATCCACACCCATGCCTGTCATTTATCCAGCCGTCCAGATTGGGCAATGCTGGATACAACCCTTCCATGCCCGAGTCAAACGTCAAAACACCCATACCACACACCGACCTGTCTCCTCTCTCTCCTGTCTTCTTCTTTCCCCTCCCCACGACCTATCATCAGTCATCCCTGTCATCCCTGGCCGTGGATCCCCCGCCTGCAGCAGGACTCCGGGTTTCCTGGCAGAAAGGGCGTGGCGGCGGATGCAACTCCGCGCTCGTCTGATCTTGGACCACCAGGGGGCTCGGCACCCTTTTCCTTCCTGCTGTACCAGGCTCCAGGTTACGTGCAGCTGGACAGTGCATCATGTTGTCATAGACAGGGGGATTGCAGCCTGCTTGGTGATGGCGAGTCTTCTCAAGCTCTCTTCCAGACCATTGGTGCTGTATGGCGGCCATGGCTACAGGAATGCCCCTCTGTCCTGTCTTCGGGAACTTCTGCCGGATCGCCAGTAGCGCTGATCCCATAGGTGGAAGAGGCCCACCACTTGGTGATTGTAGCGCGTTGATTGTATGTGGACTAGGGTATGCTTGTCACCTCCGAACCCTGCTCTGACGGCTGCGGGCCCTCGACTCAAGACCCATGCCCTTGGCAGCTTGGGAGACTTCGCCCCTCGTCACCTCTTGTTGTTTGCTTGACAGAGACCCACGACACTCGTATCGAGACAAGGCGTGCAGAGCCTCGGCAATTTAATCAAACAAGCTTCCTCCCCATGCGTTTCAGGTCGGTCGAGTCTGCGAGCCTCACTATCCATCACAATGGGTGAGTAATTACATGTCAACTGCAAAAGGAGTGAGCGATGATACATGACAATGACTGTGGCGTGGTCTGTCGGTGAAGACGGAATGGGTGCCGAGATAGATGACCTGGCTCTACACTGACTCGCACGACCGGGACGAAATTTATCGGTGGAACTGGATCTTTGGAACTTTTCGTCGTCCAAGTGTGATTTGGAAGCTCGAGATGGAACGGTCAAGAACTTTTGCAGACGTGGCATATCAGCGGTCAAGGGCGCCTGCCGGTGTACGAAAGCTGGCCTGTGTATGACGTGTGGTGTTCCATTTCAGGCACAACCTGGCATGAACCGTTGACTGAGTGATGTGAATTGGCAACAAGATATCTCAGCATATGCGCAGCAAAACCGTTGGTCCCAAGGACGAAGTGAAGCACTCAGGCTTGTGTAGAGGAAGGGTATAATAGAACAGATATTGTTTTCGTTAGAAAGGACAAAGCAGAAAGACTCTTTCCCCCTCCCCTCCTACTCAAGAAAAGGAAAAAGAAAAAAAGATAAGAATAAAGATAGAAATAAAAATGAAACCAAACCATAAAGAAAAACGGGAAAAAAAAAAGAAAAGAAAGAAAACGAAAACCAAAAACAAAGGGAGACTATCAACGGCACCAAGGTGCCCTCGTGTATCCTCCGGTTCCCGGTTGCGCTCAACGCAGAACACATTCGGCATCATGCTCAGATGACCATCCCAAGCCTCAATAGATCCAAGCAATGATTCACCTGTATAGATCTAGAATTCCTTCAATCTACATCCAGCGTAAGTGTGAGGAATATCGTCTGCTACGTGCCTGGCGACAACAGTTGTCGGGAGCAAGCTGTATTCTTATTCATCTCCCCTCTGGCTTTCCCTATTTCAAGCCCCATATCTGAGGGAAAAGGAGAACTGGACCTAGCCACCACCATGAAAATGTCACCTTTGCTCGACCGCGGGCAGCGCAATGTCAATGTCTCTCAGTGTACCTTGCCACCACGGCTTCCTGATCCCTCCGAAATCCGCCTTCCGCCACCGCCAACTCCTCCATTGGACCACTGCAAACGCAAGCCCGAGCCCGCCCGCAATGGCCAAGACCAGCGCCACTATCCTCAATGGCGTTATTGTTGACCCGGCCTCGCCGGACCACGACCCCGGATGTTTTGCAGGCTGCTTGGACGATGTTGGTGAGTGACCACCACTCCCAAAGGCTGACTGTAACACGACGCCCTCTTTCGCGAGGCAAGCGTAAAAATACTCTCCGGGAGCCTCAAGTGGGTTGAGCGCGCACCAGAGCGTGCAAGGGGGCTGGTAGTTGACTGGCACTGGAGCACAGCATTTGACGAGGCGCTCATCGGTTGGATCGTTGCCGGCAAAACCGATGTGGGGTACGTGTGGGATGGCGCTATAGTTTGGAGAGTGCCAGCCGCCCAGCATACAGGCGTCGACTATGGCTCTGCTGTGCGTGTTTGAATCCATGGTGTGTGCTTTGCTATGGCGAATCGATGGAGGAAGGGTATCGTTATCAGGGACTAGAGACTCCAGATCTCCCTCTGGTGGATCCGATACTCCCTGCGGCTGGGTCTCATAGAATGTCGGTCAACACTTGCGTCGTCGTAAGCCATGCAGGCAGGCCTGGCTGCGTAGGATCCACGAAGGCGGGCGGGCAGATGCGCTGAAGGGCCAAACGATCCTCTGTTGTTGTTCCTGCTGTTGTTGACCTCTGCTGATGCTGACGCCTCCAGGCACCGAGATATCCTGAGGAGAATACTTGGCTGGGGTGGCTTGGAGACGTTCCATTGGCCCGCATGTGTGCTCGGAGTTGGAGTGTGACGACAAACCCCTGGCCAGAAACACCAGGGAACTTTGCCATACGACAGGGGAACTTATGCAGACGCTCAACATGCATGACATAACGTTGAGAAAGGGGTGCATAACCTCGGTGGAGACGGTCTTTGAAGGACAATGGCATGACAACATCCGCGCGCTACATTGCAACATTTCAATACCGTTCAAACCCACAAGAGCAGCATCGTGTTGAGACTTGAAAGCTTCGCTGAACGCTCACGCCGGCCGAAACGGGCGCATTGGACCTGATGAGCTTGTCTCCGGAGATGGATTCAAGAAACCGCGATTTTTAATATTCAATTGTGTGCTGAGCCATGGGCCATTTTTGAAGCTATGCATGACTCAATGATCGCCAGGTATTCTCGTATCCGCCGCTCGTCCAATGCCGCTTGCGCGCAGATCCCACTTTTCACAATCTTATCAGATCATCTATCCGTGCTACCACCTCCAAGTACTGTGGTACCATCAACCCAGGCTCGCGTCATCACATTGCACGTTAGCCTGCAAGTGGTAAGCAATGTTGCAGATCGACACAGGAACCCTGTTCATGTAGCCTATTAAACTGCCACTGCCGGCTTCGTCGGACTTGCAGGACCCCGCTCTCATCGTTGCAATTTTCTTTCACGGTTCATGGCCGAACATTAATCCCCAAAGGTACGGGCACGGGCCGCTGCCTCCAGGTCTGGCGAACCCTAATGCAGTGACGGTACAAAAAGAGGCCTGTCTCTCTTCCCACTTCCTTTTGCAACTCTGCTGTGTCTGCAATTCCTTTGACCATAGGGATAACTGCCTCTTCCGCCACCGCCAGGATGCATCTAAGTACATTGGCCGCACTCTCACTGTCCCCGTTGTTCGGCTCAGTGCTGGCAGCAGCGCAAGAGCCACTGCGCAGCAGACAAGACGACACGGGTTCCCCTCCCATTGAAGCGAAATGGCCACACCAAACCTTCAAGTCCCGTCCAGACCTGCAGCCTCCCGTGTTGGACATTGCCAAGCACGGCCCCGTGGCTGAGGGATACCTCTTCTTCACTGTCGCGGGTGACGCGGCACACAACTACTCGACCTTCATCATGACTGACGAGGGCGAGCTGGTGTGGCAGTCGCCCCTAGCAATACACACCAACGCGCACGTGCAGACCCTCGTCGACACCAACGCCACCACCACCACCACCACCACCAATCCCAATGCCGGGGATGCTGGCGCCGGCCGAGGGCAGCAAGTCCTGTCCTTCTTCAACGGAATCACCTACAGCGAGCCTTGGGGTCTGGGTTACGGCCTGGTCCAGATCCTCGACTCGGCCTACGCGTCGGTAAAGAACGTCACGGTTGAGTCGGGCATCGAGGTGCTGCACTTCCAGGAGACCGACGACACGTGGCTGTCATTTCTCGACATGCACGAGTCCCGCATCACGAAGGCGGGCACGTCGATGCTCGTGACAGCGTACAATGTCACTCCTGCAGATCTGTCTCCCGTGAATGGCCCCGCGGACGGGTGGATCGCAGACTCGGTCTTCTACGAGAAGGACGTCGCGACCGGAGAGGTGCTGTTCGAGTGGTCTGCCCTCGCGCACCTGGAAGAGGTCCCTTTCGAGGGGGCTATTGACTACTACCCCCTCGAGGATCTCGGCCTTAACGGATCGTATCCCTGGGGGCCGTTCCACATCAACTCTGTCGACGAATTCCCTGATAACGATGGGGGCTATCTGGTCTCATCGAGGTTTTATTGCTCGTTGTTCAGAATCGCGCGGGATGGTAGCGTGGTCTGGAGGCTCGATGTAAGTCTGCTCCTCGAGAGGTCCGCCTTGAAGAATCTTTGCAAAGCTCCCAAGCACTATGGTTGGAATTTGAAAAGAAAAAAAGGTGAGAAGCCCGCTGACCGACCTTGACACCAAAACACAGGGCCAGAAAGGGCATGACTTCTCCCTCCTCAACGACCTACAGTTCGCGTACCAGCACGACGCGGTGATCCGCTCCACGAGGCCGTCCGCGGCGGACGCCACGAAGAACGTATACACCATCTCCATCTTTGACAATGCGTGGTCGAGCACGTCCTCGCCTGCAAACGGGCGGACCAACACGCGCGGACTGGTCTTCGAGGTTGACGAGGGTGCGATGACTGCCTCCTTGCTGCAGGCCTTTGAAGATCCGGAAGATCCGATGAAGTCTGTTTCGCAAGGAAATCTGCAGTTCACGGAAGGCAAGGGCGCGATCAGCGGGAGAGCTGGCAGAGCTGGCAGCGGAGAGCAGCATGCACTCCTGGGTTACGGATCTGTGCCCAAGATTAAGGAGTTTGATCACAGCGGGAAGCTGGTCATGACTGTGCAGTTTGGGGACCTGGGGAACGTGCAAAGCTATCGAGCTTACAAGATGCCGTGGGTAGGAAAGCCCACGGCCCGACCCGATGCGGTTGCCCTTCGCGAAGGACCAGAAGGCGTGGTCAAGGTGTACGTCAGCTGGAACGGCGCGACAGAAGTTGATGGGTGGCAGGTATTCGCTAGTGCACTTGAGGATGGAACTGGGATGGTCAAGGTGGCAGAGGCTGCCAAGACTGGGTTTGAAACGGCTATTGAGATCAAAGGCTGTGGCGAGGATGTCAAGTACGTCCGTGTACAGGCTGTGGGTGATGGACTAGAGGGCGACGAGTCGAAAGTGGTTAAGATTATCTAGCGACCGAACGTCAATATAATCAAAGTCCATCTCAGTCAATCTCGCCTGATTTTCTTATATACACTTCTACGTGCCTACGTCCAGTTGGCTGACTCTTGTTTGTACAAGGTGGCAAGCCCTGCTAAATCATGGCCTTGATGGTTAGTACTCCCGATCTGCTGACGTCGACATCTGCAGCCCCCTTTCTAACTGCCCAGATGACGTCCGGGTGGGCAACGTACAGCCAAGGCGGGTTCTCTGCCAGCCTCGTTAGACATTTTGCGTACGCTTTCGCCCTGTCCTCGGGGGTGATGGTCTTCCTCGCCTCAGCAACCAACCCTTGCGTCTCATCGTCATGGTAGCCGAGCCACCACGTGTTCTTTGACGAGCTCGACACCTTGTCGTCCAGAACGCGGAAAGTGCTGTTGGGCGTGGAGTCAAACAGAGCCAAGTCACCAATGTCCTTGCGCAGCCCTATCGACCGGGCGTATTCCGGCCGGTTCGTCTCGAGCTTCACCTCTACACCGGCGTCAAATCCTGCCCGCTCCAGCGCAGCCGCGACAAACGCCGAAATCTTCTGCGCGTGCTCGGGCATGTACACGGGTGTCCGCAGAGTCAGCTTCCTCTCCAGTGACGGATTGGCCGCAAACACGCCGTCCAGCAACTGCCGCGCCTTCTCTGGATTGTACTCGATTGGCGAGAGCCCGGATTCCGCGAAGCCGAGATGCCAGGGACTCACGATGGTGGACGAGGCCTTGGCGTGGCCCTGGAAGACCTGCTTGACCAGCTCCTCGTTGTCCACGGCCAGATTGGCAGCTAATCGCGCCTCTGGGTGCGAGAACACCCCTGAGGGGCAGTTGAGATAGTACATTGCCGACAGCGTGCTCGTGATTTGGCCCCAGACCAAACTCCCGCCGGCGTCATCCAGCCCATCAAGCTCGGCGAAGTCCTCAACGCGCTCGAGGTTGAGTGCCACCTCGACTGCGCCTTCACGGAGCAGCTGCAGGCGTTTCAGACCGTTGCCTTCGTGGATTGCAACGATGATCTCCGGCCCGTCGCCGTTGTGCTGAGGTGGTACCGACGAGGCTCGGCCGTCCCTGCGTCGCTGCATGGTCGCGCTGCCGATGTTGTCTACGCGCTCAAAGGCAGTGACCTCGTATGGGCCCGTGCCGAGAACGGGTTTCCCGTCGGCTGCCAGCCGGCTGGGCCAGAATTCGGCAAGGATGTCCAGGACATCTGCAAACGGCTCCGGGTTCTCGATGCGCACTGTCTGCGGGCTGGCGGCCGTGATCTTGGACTTGGCAAAATACCGCGCGTAGCTCCATCGCATGCCAAAGTAGTCCAGCGAGTCGAGCAGGCCTAGGATGTACTTGACAATCTGGTCCGCATCACAGACAAGGCCGTCGTGGAAATAAGCGTCGTCGCGGATCTGGAAGTCCCACACGCGCCCGCCATCGGAATGTGTCCAGGACGCAAGGAGGCCCGGCTTGACGAGACCACCCGGCTGCCACCGGACTAGGGGCTCAAACACAAGACTTTTCAATGCCGTGACGCTGTTGTCGTCGGTGACCTGCGTCGGCAGGCGGAAGTCGACATTCTCAAGGGCGATGCGGACCGTGGACATGGCTGGTGGCGTGGAGCTTGGGTGTGAGCGACGAAAGGGGGAATTGTCTTGCTATGGCGGAGCGTGGACGGTCGACAATCAGAGTTCGACAACGGCCGTGATGCTGGAGGGTGGTGATGATAATGCAAGCCTCGCCCAGGATCTTGGTGTCGTGGAGGTGTGGCCGCCCCCAAAAACGCCACCCGACGGAACGGAGCTGAATGCTCCATTTTGCGGGATCTGCGGATTCCCACGCCTGACGGAGCACGGCGTCGTCTTCGTGTATGCATAAAGGGGCATTGTACTGCATGGGCAGTCGACAGCGTGTCGCTTCTTTGTTGCTTCTCTCCGATAACGCTACGCCATCCCAGCGCTTCGGGAGCGGCCCTCCGACCCGATGCATTCGTCAAGGTGGACCGTTCTCACGACATGTGTACTACGGAGCGGATGGTGGCACCCGGGACAACACTAGCATCATCAGTTCAACCCACGGCTTGCTGCGGGGAAGATAGGCCGCCTTCTGGAGACGATAGGTTCATTCTGGGGATGATAGGCCCATGCTGGGGACGATAGGCCCCTTCTCGACCAAGCCTATACCAGTCTGTGCCTGTCCCAGCCAAGCAACTGTCTGCAGCGATAGAGCCCCAAGATGGCTCCGTCCCTGGCCCCTTCAGCAGGTGGTGCCGCCCTGCTGGCGTGGGGGCGATTGCGACATGCAGGCATGGGCTGTCACCTTCTGCACCATCCCAGCCACTAAAGCTTGAGGGTCCGGGAGAAATCGTTTACGTCCCAAAGCCAAAGTATATAGCGATTCAAACGGTCGGGGATCTGCAGCTCTGTTTCATGGGTACGCGCGACGGGCTTGTTTTCGTGCATCTCGCCTGGTCGTGCAGCTTCCCAGTTGGTGCAAAAACATCATCTCTAACACAAATCTGCCACCCTCCTCGAACTGCATCACAGTCATGGCTGAGCAAGTGAGCTCCGCACCCAAGACCACGGCAGATGCCGCGGTCGTCTCCAGCAAGGACTCTGCTCAACTCTCGTCCGAGCCATCTGTCGCGGAGGGTACCCACACAAAATCCCCCTTTGGCGCCGTATCCTCAGCCTGGTCTGGGACTCTGCAGATGGCGACCCCGAGTATCGCAGATATGTGCAAAGACTTGATCTCTTTGTCTTGTAAGTATCTCTTTGTTGAGGAATAGTGTAATAGTCTCGGGCCATGTTGCAAGCCGCCGCATCTTCTGCGCATCTCACGAACTAACAACTTTCAACGCACAAGCCCTACCATCTGCCTTGGATACTTCATCAAGTACCTGGATCAGTCCAACTACAGTAAGTTTGTCTGCAGTTCCCGTCTTGGACACACCAGAAAGTGAAATTCTTGTCTGACTCCTGGCAGGCAATGCATTTGTCAGTGGTATGCAGGAAGACCTCAGCCTGTATGGTAACGAGCGCAACTGGCTCAACACCTGGTTCGCCCTGGGCGTCATGGTGGGCACTGTCCCAGCCCAGATGTCCCAACTGAAATTCATCCGGCCCTCGCTCCTAATCCCGACGTGCGAGCTTATCTGGTCGTGCCTTACCATCGGCATGGGTTTCACAAAGAGCATCAATGCGGTCAGTTGGAGCCCTAGCATGTTTCTCGCGAACTCAAAGCGAAGAGTCTCAGTTCGTCGGCTCGATCTTGGTTCGCTGATACGACTTCTTACAGATGTATGCCCTCCGCTTCTTCATCGGTCTCTTCGAAGCTTGCGCATTCCCTGGCTACATCGCGATTCTGGGAAGTTGGTACGGGCCCAAGGAACTCACGAAGCGTGTCGCCATCCTGCTGCAGATCGAGTCTATCGCCAGCATGTTCAGCGGATACCTCCAGGCCGGGCTCTACACGAGCATGAATGGCCGGGCAGGAATCGCAGGCTGGCGATGGATGTTCATCATCAATGCTGTCATCTCGTTCCCGATTGCCATCTGGGGATATTTTGGGCTGCCGGACACGCCGCACAATACCAGAGCCTTCTACTGGAAGCCGGAGGTGAGTGTCCTTACCACTACGAAGGACGCACAAAAAGTAGATCACTAACTTGTTCTCTTTGTCACAGCATATCAAGTACGGAATTGAGCGCATCGAAAAGTTCGGCCTCATCGAACAGCCCAAGTTGACGAGGCAGGAGCTGAAGCGCATCTTTTTGGGTTGGCCGCTCTGGTGCTTTGTCCTTCCCTATGTGTAAGTTCTATCCATCATGCGCTGCATGCCCAAGGTTAATGGTCCAGCTGACACGAAAGCATAGCATGATCGCCGCTTGCCACAGCGCGTCGAGCTACTTCAACCTCTGGCTCAAGGCCGTGGGATACAGCGTCGTGCAAACCAACGTGCTCCCCACGGCCGGCAGTGCGCTCAACGTTGTGGTCACGCTGACTTGGGGTATTCTTGCCGATCACACTGGCCAGTACTTCTTGCTCATCTGCATCTGCATGGGCTGGTGCTTGCTCTCAAACATTCTGCTCGTCATTTGGAATGTCCCGAAATCGGCACTGCTGTTTTCGTACTACATCTCGTATGCGGGGAGTGCGGCGACGCCGGTATTGATTGTGAGTAGTTGCAATTCCCCCTCTCTCCCCGGCCAGAAATCTGTCCTGGAGGACGTTTGACACTGACATCTCTTTTGCAGTCCTGGGGCCATCGTCTCACCGCCGACGATCCCAACTTGCGCCAGCTCCTTGTCGCAGTTGCCAACGTCGTCTCATATGCCTGGGTTCTCTGGGTTCCTCGTAAGCATTCACGTCCTGGCACTCACGTCGTCAACCATGATACTCAACCCCAAGCTAAACATGCGGATTCTGCAGTGGTCCTCTTCCCAACCTACGATGCTCCTCGATACAAGTACGGATACCAGATCCTCATTCTTTTTGGTGGTCTGGCAATCATCGGGACCAGTTTGATGTGGTATATGCACAGGCGCAAGGCGTAAGTTCTGGCCTTTACGAAATGTCCACAACAGATTCAACTAACACGACGCGCACGAGCAGTCAAAAGCAAGCTGTGCAGACCGATGCCGAGGCAGAAGCTGAGGGCAAGGACAGCAAGGTGGTCTTGGATATGAAGCAGTGAGCGGACAGATCTCTACGAGGAGACCTGGGCGCTGGAGGCAGTTGCAGGGGACAGCATGAGTCAAGTCTCGGGGTCGGGGCGGCAGGATTGCCTGCTATGTCGGAATGATTGACGATAATGGCACAAGGCGGCTCAGATAGATATCAGTGGCCATGAGGATAGCGAACTCCGTAGACGCACACCTTAGTATGGAGAGCACCTTATCAACTCGAATCCGCTAGTGTTGGGATCATGTATCTTATCCACCGGAAGCAGCTGTACCGATGCGCACTCCCCACAGATGCAGCTCATCTGCCACGCTAAGATCTGGCCCGCATAATCTCGCGCCACAAGCGTCTTGGGACGGTAGTAACTCTGCCCGTCCCGCGCACGCGGACTAGGACTCTCGACCGGGGTCTTTTATATAGCTCTCCCACTCCTCCTACCTTAGCTAAGCCTAGATACACTGAGAGTACCCTAAGCCTCGAATTAGCTGTTAATCAGATACCGAGCGTACGCGCAAACTTACAGTCGTTCGAGTACGTGCACTTGTACGGCGAGACACACTGGCAAACGATTTAGCGACGTCCTCGTAAATGGACAGTTGAATTGACTTACAGTCGTCGGCCCAGTCCAGCCGATGCCGCCGCATTGGCCCCATTGGACCTGTCTAATGCAGGCGTTAGTCGCGCAGGGGAAGATCAGCACCCACGAGTAGGACTCACCCAGAGCCCGGAGGCGAGGTCGCCGTCGTGCCCGCGGTGGTGGTGGTGGTGCTGCTTGGACCTGCCGTCGTGGTAGTGCTCCCGCCCTGCGTTCCTGGTCAAAGTGGATTCACGAGCAGCGGGGCCAGGCAGGGCAAACTTACCACGATGCCGTACCACTTCATGTCGTCATCGCCAAAGATGGGCACGTTGTGGCCGTAGTTGGAGGCCCAGATGCCCTGGAGATTCGGCCCGTACACATACTTGGTGAAGCCGCTGCGCGGGGTGCTGGGCAAGACCTGCATGGGGCTGGAGTAGCCGAAGATGCCGGACCACTCCTTGATGGTCTCGTTGTAGTTGTTGGGCCGGAGGGTGGTGTCGGTGGCGCCGTGGTAGATTTGTATGCGCGGGTACTTGCCCGTGTAGCCCTTGTACATGTTGCGCACCTGCGTGGCCCAGTCCTGCGCCGACTTGCTGACCTTGCCCTGCGCGCAGTCGCTGTTCCAGCCGTTGACGGTGCCCGTGTAGAAGCAGCCTGCAGGCACGCCGCTGTAGACGATGACGGCGGCAAACATGTCGGGGTACGTGGCGGCCAGGACGTTCTGTGAGGTCAGCCATCTACATTCCCCCCGGGCCGGATCATCTGACTCACGGCCATCATGGCGCCGCTGGAGCCGCCCTGGACGAAGACGCGCGAGGCGTCGGCCTTGTACGTGGTGAGCGTGTAGCGGACCATGTTGGCGATCGAGTTGCTGTTGGCGCCGCCCTCGTGCGTGAGCGTGGCTGTCGAGGAGACGTCCCAGCAAGTGCCGCTGTACGGAGACTCGGGGTAAATGACGAGGAAACCGTACTGGTCGGCCAGCTTGGCGTAGGGCGTGCTCCCGTAGTAGGACTGGGCGGTGCCCTGGCAGTGGTGGACCGCGACGAGGATGGCCGGGTTGCTCTTCAGGCTGGTGGGCACATACAGGTACATCTTTGCGCCAGAGCTGTTGGCGCCAAAGTTGGTCACCTGGCTGTACGTGCCGGCGGATGCGAGAAGGGGGTGGCAGAGCACCGCGAGAAGCACGGAGATCCAGAGGGAGGCAAACATGATTGCGGTTTGACTTGGCTTGCACAGAGGAGTCGACTGGGAGCTGGGACTGCGTATGCCGCATTTAAAGCTTCTTGGGCACATTCTTCTCTTGTGTCGTGCCGCGGAGCTTGTGCCTCCGGGTACTGCACCACCCCCATTGGAGCGCATGGATGTAATTTATTTGATGGGATGTTTCTTCCACGACTCTCAGGAACAACGCCGCCGTGCGGGCTCTTTACGTTAAGTGGTGGAAAAGCATTACAGCAATACCAGGCACTTTTGACACCCGACGGCTCCTGCGGTTCCAACTTTGTCGTCAAAGGCGGCGGCCGCCGGTGGTGTCGCGTGAGCGGGCGCAAGGCCCTGGGCCTCGGCAAAGGCGACTGGCTTGTCATAGACACGCCCGGAGGTGGTGCATTGGGAAAGACCTGTTACACCACGGTCCGGGGACTTGAAGGGGGCACAGGAAGCGGCCAGGAAGGCGGCGGCGGTAGAGCGCAGGTTCGTGAGCCAGTACCAACTTACACAAGAGGCCAGGAACTAGGCTATGAACAAGTTGGTTGGAACATGAGTGAGTATGCATGAGTTGCGCTTCGACTAGAAAAGAACAGACCATTGCGCGAAAGAGCATTGATCAATACACCTGGGAATAAGGGAGGGCGTTCCTGGCTGAAAGATTATCAGCATGCAGCGACCAATGAGTCGAGTTGCTGGTGGTTGCCTAACATACTGCGTACGTTGCGCAAGCGTAAGGGGTGGTATGGGTGCACTATAAGGGCCACTCAGCCGAACCCCCAATTGCGTATAAGTTAGTATATTCATGTTAGAGAAGTTTGGCATAATCACCCCAGCATAATCTGGCGATAGCATACACGCGTGCCCAGTTGATGACCAGCTCCGAGACCGGTTGCTTAATCAGCACTGCCTTTATCAGCGGCGGCCAAGCTCAGGCCGCTCAGTTGTGGCTCAGTTGCAATGTGGGTATAGCTTAGGTGGTACCCAGGCGTGTGGGCGAGCAAGTCATTTGGTACGACTGAGATTAGCTTGCGATTTGAATGGAAGCTTCTCCGCACCCTCACCAGGCCAAGTGGGTTGGCGCTCGGCTCCGGGGCTGGGCTTTGTGTGGGACAGCTGTGAAGCACGCCTTCGAACCCCTGGCTTATCGCTAGTCAAGGACGGACCTTCCGTCGGAAGCACCAGAAAACGAGCCGATGACCAGCTGGCATGGCCAAGGTGTCGCTGCGGAAGCCCGTTCATCGCCGCAAGGTAGTGCTTAGTCATTAACGCCCATATTCAGAACAATCTCATCACTGTCACGGTCCAGTTCAGGGCAGTGACGCAGTTCTGCGGCCTCCCTGCCGGTCCGTGTGAGTTTCCTTGTCAGCAACCTCGAATATGACATTGTCCCAGCACCACTCGGCCGCATTGGCCTATGGCGGCGAGCCACTCCTGGCCCTTCCCACTGGCACGATACTGACCCTCGCGACGAGCTATATCCCGCTTCTGGTGGCCTTCACGCATGAAGATAAAGCCGCCAAGGGTCTGCGCAAGGGGCGGACCGCAGACGAACAGACCGACCCGGTATATTTCTCTGCCCTCGAGGCGGTGCGGGATAATCGAGCGTTGTTGCTCACTGGTGACCCGGGTAGCGGGAAGACGACATTTGCCAAGCATCTTTGCGTTTGTGCAGCCAAGGGCAGGGATGTGGAAGCAGGGCTAGAGACTCCTTTCAGGGGAAAGGTGTGCAGGAACGAGCAGAGCCTCATGTTAGAGGAAGAGTGGAAGGAACTTGATTCGGCCAAGGTAGTGGGATGCTATTTCGACTTATCAGAGCTTCCCGAGCAAGTGAGCTCGCAGGCTCTCATGACCACCACGATATCTCACCTGCTCCGAGAGGCGCAAGAGAGGGATAAAGATATAGTGGTTATCCTCGACAACGCTGAGGAACTGGCTCGAGATGACCCCCAGATATTCGAAGAGTTGATGGCCAGATTCGAGCAACATGCGCAGAAGGCGAGACTTCTCCTTCTCGGCAACACAGAGGCATGCGAGTCCTGGAGACTGCCTTCAACTGTTACGCGATTGAGCTTGCTTCCACTTCTTGCATCTCAGCGTCGTCACCCGGTATCTCAATTTCTGGATAGTACACCATCCGCAGCTCATTGCGGTGATGTGGCGACAGGCACTGCGGCTGCGAATGCAGCACTGTTCGCGCTTGCACTTCAGAGTCGCCATGCGGGCCAGACTGCTGAAGACATTGTCGACGCTTGGCTTGCCGCCAATATTACTTCCGAAAAGGACCTTGCGACTGTTGAGCAATCAGCCCTCGACCAGAGCCTGGCTAGCCAAAGTCCCACAGGGATGCGTCACACACTGCCAGAGTCACCGTTTGCGTCGGCGAACCCAGCATTCGCTTCCGATGCAGTCCAAAGCATCATAGCTGGACAAGCTGCGTTCCGCCTGCCGGTCACTGAGATTGTCCAGCTGTATCACAAAGCGCCGACCAGAACACCAGCAGTCATCGCCAGCACACTAGCCCGACTTGGTTCCTCTCCTCGTAGCCGAGATCTGGTGGAAGCATTCCTCAACGACTCAGGTCCACATGCTCAACGTGGCGCGCTCCTGGTCGCCGAGCACGTCGACGAAGGCGACAAGACCATGGCCGAAAAACTCGCGAGCCACATGCTCAGCATTATCGAGGAAGGCCATTTGCCGATTAGTGAGCGCGTCCGGGCAGGTCGTGTTATATCAAGGCTTGGCGACTCGCGGGACCTTCAGGCCTTGGCAGTTGTCCCGGCCGGCGAGTTTTCGTTTGGCTCGACGACACACGACAATTCATTGCCCGTCTCTGAGATTTGGTTGCCTGGATTCCAGATCGGGCGGTTCCCAGTGGTGAACAGGGACTACCTGAGCTTCGTGGAGGAGACGGGTCGTGTTTGGCATAGCCCGGATCGTGCTGATCCTGAACGGCGGAATGTTCCTGCTACAGATCTCACGTGGCACGATGCCCGGGCGTACTGCACCTGGCTGACTCTGCGATGGCGGGAAGAGAGCAAGATTGGCTCCTACGAAGAAGTGCGGCTACCTGCTGAGCCTGAGTGGGAGCGAGCGGCGAGGGGTGATCAGAAGGCACAATCAACCACCGACGACGCTGTCGAGCAGGAGTCATATGTCTACCCCTGGGGCACAGACTGGGACGCCGATGCATCGAACAACGACGAGACCGGCCTCAACAGCATATGCTGCGTCGGGCTCTTCCCGCGAGGCAGGTCGCCATATGGAGGCTACGACATGACGGGCCAGGCTTGGGAGTGGTGTACGACGCTTTGGGGTACGGACATGGCCACGCCGCATTTCAAGTATCCTTATACGCTAGAGGACGGACGCGAGGATCTAACAGCCCCTGACTCAATTCGCCGAGTCTTGAGGGGAGGTTGCTTCTCGAGCGGAAGAGCCAAGGCGACATGCACTTACAGAGGTAGCCTGGAACCATCAGGGTCCTGGAGAGGAAATGGGTTTCGCATTGTAGTCGCTCCAGTAAAGACCTAGCGGCAACTAGGGACGATGCAATTGATGCGTGTCGATTGATCCAATGTACTCGACGCAGTGGCCTTATGATTACGTGGTGCTCTGTCAAAAGCCTGCCTCATAAGACAATTCAAGCATCCATGAGATCAGCTAGAATGGCCTGGGGCTAAAGACGGCACTTGATCCATTACGGCGGAGCACAGGGTGTTGTCGGAATTGATCCCACGGTTCCACCATTAGGCTGGACTACGCCTTATCACGCCATGCTGTTAGCACACCGAAATCGGGCTGCCACCCTGTTCGATCGGGGGCCCCGGCGGAAGTCGTCCCGACACTCTCCACCCACCGGCTGCAGGTGGATTCATACGCCATCCGCGAGCATTCCGAGGCTATCATTTCCAGGGCTTTTGATGATCTTTCGTCCTTTGGCAATTTACACGTCTTGCCTTTCTTTGCGACCACACAGCCAGTCATCAATTCCATAGTCTCCATCAACACAGGCCCTCACAAAAATGCCCATTGTTGCTGATTTCCAGCTCCCCGCGTCGGCACAGGACCTGCCCGTCCCCAGCGACGGCAGCGCGCCATTCTACGTAACCATCATCTCCTCGACGCCGCCAGAGACAGGCGAGTCGTGGTGTCCCGACGTCCGGCGCGCGCTGCCGCTTCTCGATAAGACCTTTTCCCCCGAAGACGCGCCCCGGATGGGATACGTGCCTGTTGACAGACCACTGTAAGTCCCTGCATTGCCCCATGTTTCCCGAGGATTTGATGACCAGGACTCTGTGCTGATTTCAATTGGCGGGACATTAGGTGGAAGGAACCAGGCAATGTCTACCGCACAAAATGGGACCTGCATTTCGTGCCGACAGTGGTCCGCTACGAGCGTGTGGATGGAGTCGTGAAGGAGACGGGCCGGGTCGTGGAGGGTGAGGTCATTGTTGATGGCAAACTGGAGGCATTGCTTCTTCAATGAAAAAAACACTAGCAGGGAAACCCTGGACGAGCAGACCGCGCGCCAAAAGTTCCCGATCTTGCGTCGACAGAGACATTCTACAAATGCGACGGTAGGCCTTCGGGCTCACGAGTAGGGCCAATCTTGCTTGTTGTCATTAGTGCCAAAGTGCACATAGAGAGTCATCCTGGAACGCGCAGTGCTCATAGTCTGCAAGATGACGATGACCCGCGGTTATGTCAATAGTGGACGCTTCGCAATCACACGGATGGCACGAGATGATTTCCTGTCCCAGTTAGGTAGAAGAGCCCCTATGGGTCGGCCAACGCGCATGCAAAGAGGCTGAGCAGAAAGTGATGAATCGAGCTCCAAATTCCAGCATAACACTTGCCGCATTGGGACACCACGATGTTGTTGTAAGCACGGTTCTCAAGCCCCCACACGTAATAAAGCTTGGCCATAGGACAAGCTTTTAGGCTGCACTATCTCGGGCAACATTGCCAGGAGAGAATTCGTGCGAATGGACGGCGATCATCCCGTTCATGCGCAAAGCATGGGCTTAGCAGCGTAACTACTGCCGAAAATGCACTGCGCAATTGTCTGGTTGCGCGCACATCCCGGCTCATGGAAGTTATTGGTGCCTAGTACTGGTCCAGCCACTGAACTTGTATACATGCGAAGATGCCAATCAACCTTGCGACGCTCATTGAACAACCCCTATCCATCTCCGGGCGCAGTCTATTGTTGTTGCCTGATCGGCAAGCTTGTATTTCCACCCTTCAAGGACCTTGTTGATGCATCCCAGACTCCTATATAAGCCGAAGCAAGTGCCAACATATCCAAACTACTACAACCCAGACTCCCACGTCGAACATCATCGTACCGCGAGAGCAGCAGTCGCACCACAGTAACCGAAGGCCAGAGCAACAATCCGACCTCTGAACGGATTGCACTCGCGAATCATCAAGATGTGGTCACTCATGAATATCTTGGCCGTGGCGACCGCGCTAACGGCCAGTACTGTACGTCCAACGGTGTCACTCATCTTGCCTATCTTGATCAAGCAAAGCTGCATGTTTTCTCTCCTGCCTTTCCTCACTCTAACGGAACATACGCTGCAACTGTCCAGGTCGCGCAATCCAACAATTCCGACGTCGACAGCAGCAGCATCATCTACCAGCTTAGCACCGACAGCGAGTTCGCATTTCTGCTAGAAGAGTACTTGGCACTCGCGAGCGGTGGAGGATCGGCGACTGGCGAAGGTTAGTCTTTGTCGGTGTGACTTTCTTGCTGTAATTATGAAGCAGCCAATGGTTAACAGGTAGCCATGACCATACAGTCCTCCGTGCCGCAAGCCAGATCGTTTCAGGTGACTACGAAAGCTGGTACTCCGAGTTCAAGTTCCTCGGCGACGCAATGCACGAGAAGGCGACGGCCACCAACGCGACACGCTTCCCCGTGTCGGCCCGGGACAATTACTTCCGCGCTGCCAGCTACTACCGGGCGGCCGACTTCTTCCTGCACCAGAACCAGAGTGACCCCCGGATCTACTCACTCTGGGACATAGCGACCGCCGACTTTGACACTGCGACCAGCCTGCTTGATGTGCCGCCCATCATCTTGAACATATCCGGACCAGGTTTTACCATCCCCGCCTATTACTTCTCTGCTAGCCCCAAACACAAACCAGGCTGCACACCTGAGAAGCGTCCCACCGTCATCGTGGGTTCAGGCTACGACGGCTCTCAGCAAGCCCTTTACCACTCCCTTGGCCGTGCCATGCTTGAGCGCGGGTACAACTACATCAGCTACGAAGGCCCAGGACAGCCGAGCCCGCGCCGGTACCAGAATCTCGGCTTCATCCCCAACTGGTGGGACGTAGTCACGCCCGTCGTCGAATACCTGCACACGCTCGGCGACGTCGACACCACGCGCATCGCGCTGATCGGGGAGAGCTTTGGCGGCACGCTCGCCCCGCGCGCCGCCTCCGTCGAGCACCGGCTCTCCGCGGTCGTCGCGATCGACGGCATCACGAGCATGCAGACTACACTGCTGGAACAGTTTCCGGCGCAGCTGACCGCGTTATACAACAGCGGGAAGCCGGCCGTGTTTGACGAGGTGATGCTCGGCCTCATGCGCAACACGAGTGTGCCGACGAATCTGCGCTGGGTCATTGCGCAGGGCATGTGGTCGTTCAACACCGAGAGCCCGTATACCTGGCTGCAGAAACTGGGCGAGATCACGTCGGAGAAGGATACCCTCGAGAAGATCACTTGCCCCGTGCTGGTGTTTGGTGCGGAGCACGATATCCTGCCGGTCCAGCAGAGCAGGGACATGGCTGCTGCGCTCGGGGACTTGGCGACGTATTACCTCTTCAAGGCTGATGTTGGTGCTGGCGAGCACTGTCAGCTTGGCGCAGAGGCACAGCTGGCACAGGTGACCTTCGACTGGTTGGCGGATGTCTGGGGGCTGTAGGGATGTTGAAGTGGTGCGGTGCGTTCAGTTGAGGCAGACCAGCATGACGAGGCTAGCGCGCCTTTGCTGCGATGGTTTCATGCCTAACGCCTATGGAAACCATCGCCATGGCATCGAAGACTGTTAGTTTTCACGCACACTTTATTCACTTTGCTTCTGCCAGTGTCATATGGAAGAGAAAATGTCGCGCAGCTACATTCACGCAGTTTCACAAAAAGTGTCAACGAGAAATCAATCTTAAAGCTTTCAATCGATCAAGATTGCAGGACATCTGCTTGCTTAGAAAGAGAGGACTTTCTGGGGTCTTCAGCTCGTGCATAAAAGAAAGGACGAAACCCCGGTCTTAGTCCAACCTTCTGCTAATGCTGACAGTCCAGCCCAAGTCCACACTACAGGTTGATGCGAGAAAGTGCTGTCCACGCCGCTAATTCGTTGGTGTCTGCCGCCATTTTAACCCGCTTCGATAGAGTACTGTTGACCAAAAGTGATCACAAGGAAGCCTGAACCAGACGATAATTGCACTTGTTTGTGGCTATGGCCAATCCGAGCATCTGAAGGGTGCAATCGCTGACAACCGCATATGATGCCGCCTCTCATCGCAGCTCTTTTGAGTTATTTTCGAATAGAATTATCTCCTATCGCTTTGGAGATTCACTCCTCGGGCTTGACCGAGGCGTATGTTATGACGTATGCGGGTGCGGCATCGATTCGCGGTTGATTCCGTTTCGAGAGTCCGACTTATAGCAATGGGCTTAGCACAGTTGCGCGACCATAACTAGCGATTTGTTCATTCTGGCCAGCGGTTTCAAGTCTTGATGGGATGAATGTAGGTTCCGCACCGGCCTATGGCTGAAGATACGACTCGGAGAGCCGCACAACGTTCGTCACGAATTTGCGGAGGCTGACGCAATCTTTCGGGAGTGGCAAGCTCTTAGGAATGATAAATCGCAGCATGGTTCAAGTTCTCAGTGGGTGACGGAAAGTGCCGGACAATGAAAAACGAACGAGGTGCGGAGTTCGAAGTTCAACAAATGCTCGAGTCGAAAAGGATCAAAGCCTGTTCAATTCAGTGCGGAAGCGAGAGTACTCTGATAGTCAAACCTAGGTCAGCAGCGCAGTACGGTAAGGATTGGAGCTCGGCATTATCCCAAATTGTGAATTATGGAGACCAAACAACCAGCCAGTCACTCAGATATGTGCAACAAAACCCCTGTAGTATGCAGATGATCACGAGATAGAGACAGGGTTGGGTAGGACACTACACCAAGATTCTGGTCTCCAAGCCGCGCCACCTCGTATATGGGGTCCTTCGAATCCTCACAGAGCAGTGCAGTGAAGCTGACACCTCAATAGTCTCAGGGAGGCGGAGGAGGCTGGCCAAGGGATGTAACACGCGGCGGCATATGAATCACAAGTTGCCTTGGCGGTCGCCCACCTGTCCCTGGCAACATCTGGTACAGTTACAGTTTATTGCCTGATTTCCGTACAAGAACTTTGTTTGACTAAATTCGACGGGTTACTGGGCGATCCACGGCCGCTGGAAAAGTGGTCTAACTTGCTCCAGATCCTTTGCCATTCCTGAAAAGGACGTATCAATAAGCGGCAGTTTGAGACGTTCGCTTGTCAGGTGTGGTCTCCTGTGTTCACTCCATTCAGGCCATGTTTTTGAGGTACTGGCTACCCGCCCCTTCCAGGCCAATGAATGTCAGTATCAAAGTAAGTTTCTGCATAGATCTCGACCCTGTTTCCGACTTGGGCGCTTTTATCTCGCATCTCCAACTGGTTGATGCAGACCGCATCAATGCAATCACCGTAGCGTTGGATGATAGCGTGCTTGCTGGAACGCATAGTGGAATTTCTATCGCACAAAGAAACTGCCATCCATCGAGGTGAATCCCGCGCTGCGGCTGCTCCGTCCTCCCCTCCCCCGCTTCGCATGATGCCATGCAGTGCTCGTTTGGGTCCATCTGCAGCGCGATCCTTGCAGTCGGTGCAGTCGGTGCTTGTTGTACAATGAGCTGTTTTACAACGGAATCATATACAGTTACGTATGGCATATGAAACAAGATTGCGTGGAGCATTATAGAATGAGAAACGTTCATTCATCAATTGACCGTGGGTTTGGCCTGCACGTACAGCCAATATGCAGGCAGCCTACGTCCATTGCATGACTGATGCCTGCCATCGACCAACATTGGCTGTTTATGGCCCATGCATATCAGGCGCCATAACCCGCCTGATAAGGATCAGGCTCTGCCACAGGAAACCACGTCTTTCGGATGACCAAGCGCTCAATGAACGCTCTTGTTGAGTCCGCTTGATGATTTGCAAATGCAGCGAAGGCGTATTGTGTCAACCAGAACGCTTATGCCAACAAAGATTGTCAGATTCATCTTTGGGAGTACGCTAGACTCACGATCTTCATTCAGACTGTTCATACGTGCTGAGTTGCTGGTCCGAAGTGGGACATACTCTCATTGCTGACCACGTGCCTGATCACCTGCCGATAAGTCTTAAATTGCTGAAGAACCAGACCTCTGCTAGCCTCGGTTGGTGCTGGCCCTCAAGTTGAGCGGTGTCAAAGGCCGGTCAACCCAGGCCCGTTCCTCGGGGGTCCCCGCCACGGCCAACACATGCAGGTCAGCTGCGCCACCATTGCATAGCCTGCTGCTGGAGGACCAGGATTGTCACCATGCTTTTCGATGCGGGGGACTTCCAATCTCCAACATCAGCATTGCTGCACAGACACAGCTGCAACTGTGAGCACTAGCAATGGAAGGCCTCGGGGTGGCCGCCAGCGTCATCGCAGTCGTCGACCTATCCGCCAAAGTCGCAACGATATGTTTGCAGTACTCCAAAGAAGTCCTTAGCGCCCGAGCAGACATTCAGCGCTTCCAATCGCAGGTCAAGCACCTCGGCGTGGCTCTGCAAGCTACGCAGCACCTTGTCGGCCAAGATGCGGCAGCGCGCTCGCTGTCAACGTCCCGGGAGCTTCTGAAGCCCTTGCACAATTGCATCGCGGAGCTTCAGGGGCTCGAGAAGAGGCTCGACCCGAAGCAATCAGGGCGATCGGCGATGCGCCGCTTCGGTCTTCGCGCATTGAAGTGGCCTTTCAGCAGCAAGGAGGTCGACCAGCTGCTTGCTAGTCTGGAGCGGCACGAGAAGACGATCCTGCTCGCATTGCAGGCTGACCAGACGTACGCGAACTTCTCCTGATCTCAGATTTATGAAGCTGATTGGGGACCAGGGTGATGCTTATCAATATCCAAGAGGGCGTGAAGCAGCTTGGACTGGAGAAGGACGGCCCTGACTCTACCGCCCACAAAGCGCATTTCATGGTCCCATTTCCTCCAGACCCAGACTTTGTCCGTCGACCCGATATTGAAGACTGGATGCGAGATCAATATGACCAGGAAGGACGCCAACGCATGGCACTTGTCGGCATGGGCGGCTTTGGGTAGGTCGACCTGGTCAGGACTTTGTGGCATTAGAAATTAACAAAGAGATGAACAGCAAATCCCAGCTTGCCATCCACTTTACGCATAGACTCCACGCGGAAGATCCTGCCACCAGCATTTTCTGGATCCACGGTGTTAGCAAGGCTTCTTTCGAGAAGTCATATCGCGCTCTCGCCGACGTGCTAGACCTCCCTCGCCGCTACGAACCTCAGGTCGATGTCCTTGCGCTCGTTCGGGATTGGCTGCAACGAGAGGACGTCAATAGATGGCTTATGATCCTCGATAACGCTGACGACATGGATGTGTTCTTCCCCAAGGGCGTGGCAGACGGTCATGACGACTCTATGGATGCACCGCTGGCCTCATTCTTGCCCAAGTCGACCCGGGGCAAGATAATAGTTACTTCGCGCAGCATGGATGCTGCTGAGAGGCTGGCTGGGAGTACCCGAGTGATTCATCTGATTAACGTCATGTCCGAAGAGCAGGCTCACGAAGTCTTGGTCCGCCGCCTTCAGGAGACGCCAGGAGACGCTGCCGCCATTGGTCTCGTTCAGGCGCTTGGCTGCATCCCACTTGCAATCAACCAGGCAGCAGCCTACATCAACCGACGCAGCCCGCGACTCACAGTAGAATCGTACCTAGACGAATTCCAGCGGACCGAGAAGCGGAAGGACAGTCTTCTCCGCAGCGACAAGGGTGACCTAGGCCGAAACGATGGAGTGTCAAATTCAGTCGTGGTGACGTGGCAGGTCACTTTTGAGCAAATCAGGCGTAGCCACCCGCAGGCTGCGAACCTGCTGTCGCTAATGAGTCGTTTCCAAGCTCAGGGCATTCCCGAACTCATGCTAAGAGGCTACAGCACAGACGTTGTCCCAGAGGACGGGAAGGACGGAATCGAGAGGCCTGACACAGCGCGACATGGTGACAAAACCACTGCCGAATTCAGGTCTAGTGGCGAAGAGAGTGCGAGTGACAGCGAAAGTGAGGGTGAGAAAGAAAGCGCCAAGAGGCGGTTTGAGGACGACATTGAAGTGCTTCGAGGATACTGCCTCGTCACGTCTTCAGGAACAACCCAATGGGACATGCATCCACTGGTCCAGTTCTGCACTAGGTCATGGATAATAGAGAACGGCGTTGAAAACCGTTGGGACGAGCTTTTCCTGTCGCTAGCAGCTCATCATTTCCCTGAGCCAAACGTCAGGTCTCAGAGGCTTCTCACACACATCGAATCCTTTCTCCTACGAAAGCGCCCTGCCAAGTGGAAACCTTGTCAAAACTTGGCCAAGTTAAGCACCAATATGGCTCGCTACAAGCAGTATACTGGCCATTGGTCAGCGGCAGAGACGCTGGCAAGTCAGGCGGTCAAGACTTGGACTACGGCACTGGGCCCTGAGCACCCGCGCACAGTCGAGAGCAGGTCTATCCTGCTGTCGACGTTGTTCACGCAGGATAAGTGGGAAGAAGCTCAAGCACTCGTCGAGGAGCTACTTGCTTCCCAAACGGCGCGACTCGGAGCAGAGCACGAATCCACTGTGGCATCTATGGCAGAACTGGGCATTATATACAGCCGTCTTGGTCGTTACGATGATGCTGAGCAGCTCAATCTGACCGCCGTGGAAGTGAGTACTGTGAAGCTAGGTCCTGACCACTCCGTGACGCTGTCACATAAACTCGATTTGGCACATACGTTTACGCTGCGAGGTTATTATGACCTGGCAGAAATAATGGAAAAAGAGGTGCTACAGAGTCGTCGGAGAACATTAGGGCCTGAACATCCGGATACCATGTCCAGCATGTCGAACTTGGCAGTCACTTATCTATATCAAAGTCGCTGGGCGGAGGCAGCAGAACTTGCGAAGGAGGCCGTGAAACAGAAGAAAGCTGAGCTGGGTCCCGAACATCCTAAGACTGTCTATCTCATGGAAGTTCTGAATCGGGCGTTGATGGGGCTTGGTCGTCGCCAGGAAGCGATCAAAGTCTTTGAGGACATTGTCGAGCAGAAAAAGGCTAGGCTCGGCGATTACCACCCCGAGGCACTGTCTAGCATATTCCACTTGGCCGGGCTCTACCGCCAGGCAAAACGAGACGAAGAAGCCCTTGCCCTGATACGAGCGTGTGGCCTGCTTGATCGGCAGACTAGCGGGGGTTCGGATCCGGACACGAAAAGGTTGAATGAGCTGCAGGACCAGTGGCAGAAGGGATTCGCTGGGGTATTGTAACTAGGCTAGGGTTAGGGCTAATCTCAAGTCTTGACTTGTTTCTTGTATCTCATAGTAAAGGTAGATTACAATTAGAATGAATATCTCAAAGATTAACGCGCTTTGTAGTGGCTGCTTACTACAAGACTTGGGACTATCGCTCCAAGTGCGACTGGAAGGCACCCAGCGACCTGCCGCTTCAAGAACTCGCGTACCTTGAGTATGCTTTCGCCTTTATCGAGCTTGAAACCTTCATGCTAACAACTAGGATAGCGAGATATCTGAAGACCTGTGGTAACTAGAGGTTAATGCGAAGCGATATAATAGTAATCTGAAGATCTATGTCGCGATTCGGGGGTGGACGTTGTATAATGGCACGGTTACCTAGTTCTTCTCGGCGAAACTGCTCGATCTTAGGCAAGCCACGAGAAGTTTACCGGCGATTTGCAGGGCGGAATGTAGTCAGTTACGCAGTTCTGTGATTATCGTTTCATCTCATTCAAGTGCTTCATCAATTACCGCCTCCCTAATGTTAGACTCATTCTCAATAACAATGAGTCAGTCTAATGCGAAGTCGTGCAGGGTTCCAATACGCCCCAAAGTTTCAAATCGACCTGCTTGGAGTCCGCTGTTTTACATTGTTTGAAAAAAAAGTATGGCGTGGAAAAAGCTTGGGATGCAATGGTACATACTAGCTCACTAGTTGTAACAGCCTGACCTATAATAGCCCCATTTTTCTTTTTTCTTTTGTTCGAGGTGGATCAAGCTCCGAATGCATATCATCGTTGATTAGTGTCAGATACGTTATGTTGTGGCTCTATGAGGAAATTTGGTGAAGGAAGTGGTGATCTCTGCATAATCAGGAGGGCAATCCGATTCATGAAGACTATCATCCACTTGCGAGAAAATCTTTTGCGCGTTTGCAACTGGTACGTTTGCGAAACGCAAAGATGACAGGTGCTTGTTAGGTCAGACACGTTAATAATAGTTTGCTGCTTGATGTGCTCACGATATCACAAATCAATGTTGAAGACGTCCGTTGGCCTATAGTACAAGGATACGTCTACCAAGCTACGATTTCATCATATCGTGCAAAGAATAAAGGCTAGCAATCATATTCTAGAGCCCAGCCTTGCGACTGCCATGGCATGGTATGGGAATCGAGAGCGTGGGTTATGGATCACGTTGGCAAAAAGGTTCAAGAATGCAGCCGCTGTCTATCCAGCAGGTTTTTGTCAGTAGAATCACATGGAGGACATGTGAAGAAAACAGAAGTACCGTCCGTGCAGGTTGATGTATCAAGGTGGCGGGGCAACAGCTCAGACAAAAAAAAAAGTTGGCAAGACAGGGGTCCGCCAAATCAGGGTCCGACCATGACATCATTCTCACGCGACTCCAGGTTTTTGCGTGCATGAACATTTTCGCCTTGGCCTGGCTGGGTCAATTGGCTTGTGAAAGGACAGATAGGGCATTAGAGCCGTGCATGATTTACGGTGGCAGCGATGATACCAAAACATTCGCTCTGCTCGGCTTCCACAAGGCCCGTCTTACGGCCCGTGTCCTTCCTTGGTGGCACGGGAACAAAGATCTGGTGTGACACACCAGCCCACACAACCCAACGCTAGCTTTGTGGCTAGTGTCTCGATCTCGCCCTGACGATCTGATGTTCAACCCTCCTCCAGCAGCGCACGGTCGAGTCCCAGCGGCCCGCCCATCAGGGGGTAACACGAAATGAACTAAATGAGGTACCACACCACACACCATTCTGACCATGTTCTGGATCATGCAAGGTACACGAGTTTACGAGCTGTGGTGCCACCCCATTCCTCACATAACAATCGCCATGCGATCTCCAGTGCAGTACAGTGATCTGACAAACAAACAATGCGTTCATTTTCGCTCATTAATTGCTCTCCAGAGTTGTCCGTCCCTAAACATAGAGGGAGCGGCAACGGAAAGATGTCTAAGTGCTATATATATATATACATGTTGCCAGTACGGCTAAATCCGTATTGGCAAAGTGCAGAGCGCGCGCGCGCGCGTGCGCGGGAGTTTTGGAGAAAAGTGAGAAATCTAGAGCGCAAACCATGTGTCGTCATTCCACCCGAGGTATCTGAATCCTTTGCCCTCCCTTTCTTCTTCTCCCGCGCAAAAACAAAAAACCAATATGTGTCCTGCAAAATCATAACATCGTGGTCGTCAAGGTCGTGGTGTGTCATATCGTGTCGTTTCGTGTTTGAATGGACAAGGGAGATTCGTGACTTTTCTTTTTTTTGGTTGTTTACTTTGCCGCCCTTCACTTGAGTCGTGGTGTCGCGGATGACGACATTCCGTGTTTAAAAGGGCGGCGGCTGATTTGATTTGCGTCGGCATTGTGCTGTGGTTCAATGCAGCATGCTGGCTCATTTCTTGGCCTTGCACTTGAATGTCTCGCCGACAGGGTCGCCGTAGAGGTCTTCGTCAGTGAAGTAGTCCTGGCCGTAGGGGACATTGACGCATTTGCCGCCTCCAGTGGGGCCGACGTGAGGGCAGTGGTGCTGCAGATTGCGCGGACAAGTCAGCAAATAACGTCGTGTAACAGGGATTGCATAATGTCCCAGTGGGCAAGCAAGAAGACTCACATCAGGCCGCACACCCGTGAGAAAGATGTGGATGCTGCGGCAGACCACGTTGTCGCCCCAGGCCTCGTCGTAGGTGCCGTAGGGCCTCTTGGACAGCGTGGCGACGCACTCGTCAAACGAGGCCCACTGCTGGTTGACGCCCGTGCAGCGCTCCTGGGTCGTCGCGCAGAGCTGCTGGATGCTGCCGCCCTGGACCTGCGGGTTCGACAGCGCCAGGCCGGTAGTGGCCTGCACCCAGCTGTTCAGGTTGGGGATGAAGGCGTCGTACTTCTCCACGGCCCCGTTCTGGTCAAACTTCCAGAACGCAATCTAGAATGACAGGGGCGAAATGATGTCAGTCAACGGCTGGGCAACAAGAAACAAATTTCCCTTCTTTTTTCTCATCGCAATTGGCAGGGTCCATGTTGTCTGTCGCCTGGCGGTTGCTGCTTGAGCCCCTAGAGGATAAGATAGCGAGATATAAGGGCCTAAACTCACCTGCTTCAGGGGTGCGACGGGGGTGCCGTGGTTCGGCTGGCCGGGGTTGTACACGCTGCAGTACAGGTACACCACAGAGCTGGCGACGTCTGCGCAACCCGAGGAAAACTCCGTGATCTGGTAGCTCGTGATGGCGACATTCGATGTCGCAGGCCCTGGAATCGGCGCGAGCGCAAAGAAGTATTCAATCGAGTCCTGGAAGCCTTCGAACTTGCCCACGGGGTCGATGCGGCCTGTCACGTTGGCGTTGAAGAGCCCCTTCGGCACGCCTGGTCCGCCAGTCGAGATGACGGGAAGCATGTTGGGGTACACTGTCAGGTTGTAGATCTTGGATATCGTGTTCAGGTTGCGCTGTTCGTAGCACGGCCGGGCTGGTCTGGCACTCGCGGTGGAGGCGAGGCACGCGAGCAGCGTGCTGGCGAGGGTGGAAAACCTCATTGTGGTTATGTGAATGAGCTGTCTGGGTCTGAAGGAGCTGGCGATGTGCTAGATTCTTCAATTGCAACAAGACCGGATTCGTATCGTTTCGTATGTCGTAAGCAGTCGTGAGGTTGGTAGTACAAGGCTTCAAGGCTGGAACAGTGCGGTGCAGGAATGATGCGAAGGACTAGAGACGAGATTGAGAAGGGTCGTCCCGAATAAAAGCACGGCTGACTTTTGGTAGACAAAGGAATCGCTCGCTGAAACGACGAAGCAAAGCGCAAATTAGATGACGACGGCGTTGCTGTGCACCTGGCGAGCGGGCCGCGACAGGTTGGGGGAGCGACGGGTCCTCGACGTCAACGGACAAGGAGTGAGGCCTCGGGATGGTCCAGGCGCAGTCGCTGGCGAGATTAATGCGAAAAGACGGAACACTAACCCGGAGACCAAAGGATAACGGAAGTATTAAGCAAGGCACATGCAATGACGAATGTGCAGATACAGGTACGGTCCTCGTCTTGCGGACCTGTTGTGGTTAGATTCTTGGAGGTGCAACACCAGACTGTCGAAGCAGAAGGGGGAGAAAAGAATTCGAGACCGGAGCAGCACGCCGGAAGCCATGGCCTTCTTGAGACCCAGGCAGGTCCCTGCCTGCAGCAAGACCGGCGAGGAGATGCCTAAGCTGTGGCTTGACGGTACCGAGAGCCCGGCATCGTGGCCGACCAACGTGGCAGCAGGGTCCGGACTGTCGTGTTCTGGCGTCGGGCCAGCGTCGTTGTCGTCACGCCTCCACTGGCAGCAGCATCATCGACCGGCGGCCCTCGGCCCAGGTGGACTGACGTGTCGGCCCCGTATTCGGCCGCCAGCCAGGACCCCTGGCATTGTTCTTTTGTGCAGCAATGTGCAGCGCACCCCGCATGCCCTGCGCGTCTGGTTCAGGTGAGAGAGACACCAGAAATGCAGAATGCTGGCTGCGGCCAAGGGCTTGAACCGGTTGTGCGCTGGCTAGCGTGCAGGGCGTGCGTGGTCTTGTGCATGGTGTTTCTGGTCTCGTCCCTGTTGTTCTCGACTTTTTCCGTGGGTTTTGCTGGGTCGCCTACCCGGATTGGGCACCTGTTGCGGCTGACCCTAGTCGGCGGCGGCGTCATCGAGCCCAGACCGTCGGGCCATGCTGAAACCGAGAGCAGCGGTCAAGCATAAGCAAGCAGGTCAAAGCCGTGGAGAGGTTGGGAACCGCATGCCTGAGCCGAGTCAAAACTTCGTCATGGACCGGCTTCTGTTCGCATAGTGGCAGAGCACGAGCCGTCAGAGGGTCAGAGGGGCGATTGCGCTGTTGAACGCAGCATGGCTTGAGCGGTGCTGTGCCACAGAAAACCTTGAATAGTGCAACCGCAGAGGGAGCTGAGAATCAATGAGGCGGACCGATCAAGCGGGAAAGAGTGGCTCAGCGTAAATTACGCTGAGCCACAACCATCAATCAGCCTAATGTTCCAAAGCTGATGGTGACCTGACACGGAGAATCAGCAAAAGCGTAGACACATACGTCATCGGAGGGGAGGTGCGGCCTTACCTCTCTCGCTGGGTACCACGGCTCAGTGCAACCACTGCTGAGAGGGCGGCGAGTAGAGGGCCGACGCTAACCAAGGCTCAGCCCGGGGGCTAGAGCGCCTTTCCGCGTGGGGTCGAGCTTCTCCCTTTCCCCTGACATTAAGGGACGGTTTCTGGGTCTTTGGCTGTCGCTCTGGAACAGAGGCCTCGTAAACGTCGACTCACCAGCTATGCTATGAGGTGCTTATATTGAGACAGATGTGCTGGCAGGAGGTAAAGATGACCCTCGGCTGGCTGGTAGAGTGGCCGCGACGGCCCAACCTTCTCGTGGTGGTTGCGTGTGACCTGGCACTGTCGACAGGCGAGCAGGGCGCATCTGTGCTGCTCATGACGAAGCAACGCAGGAAACAGGTATTGCGATGCAATGTCAAGCCCGAGCACGTGTGTTGGTAGAAGGTTCCTGGTGTGAAAACCGCGCGAGTCTCGAGGGTGGGATTGAGCAAAGACTTGGTTGGGCATCGTGGACTCTTTGAACAAATCTCGAGGCTCTCTCTGTCTCTACTTGGGGGGGAACATGCACGTCGACAACAATGCACTGGCCAGTGCTCCTGCATGCTTGCTTGCCTGCCCGCACACTCGCCCTTGAATAATTGGCTTCCCAAACTTCTGACACTATTGCCTCCTAGTTTTAACAGATTTTAATGCTGCCCAGTGCTTGTCAATCACTTGCCTCCATCCACACACCACAATTGACTTAAGCCTTATCTGTGAAGATTCAACCGTCCCGCTCCCGCCGCTAGACATTAGCATGCCTCGCTCCCGAACAACGCGCACCCCATCCGCACTCCGCGATCTAGATTTCATCCCCTGAAATCATTCAGCGGCCACTTATTTGAGCATCAAGCACATTCACTGGTTGAGAAATCACACAACGAAAGAGGGAGCCCAGAATGCATTCTCATAGGCTCGGACAGGAACGACGGTGATCTCGGGGCACATTGCCACGCTAGGGCCTGATTCGCACCGCCCCTCGAGCTGATCGACAGAGCCGAGAGCGCGCTTCTGCATTCTCACTGGCTGGCATGGGTAGGCCAGCCCCTGTACGACCAAGCCAGACTGGAATGGTCCGGACCCCACGACAGGGTTCCGCCATCCGCAAGACCACTCGGATGGCCCTGAGCTCGTGTCCGCACACATCTAGATCCCATTCCGCCAGGCACCTTCATCGCCTGCCAGCCTATGGTGACTACCCGTTGCCGCCAGAGGGTGGCAGCTGAGACGTTCGCGGGGCCTGGAGCCGTCCGATTCGCTGCCGCATCCCGGTGTGTTCCCAAATGCAATATCAGTCGCCCTCTCTGGGATGCACAGCATCCATCAGCCACTCAGTCTCTTCCATTCTGCGTAGTTGGCCCCAGTCTCGTCACATTCGACCTCTCACAATGTGCTCGTGGAGACTATCCAAAGCATCTGCATGTAAGTCATAGTAGCAGCCATGCGAATGGCACGGTCGACTGTCCAATAAGATCGGTCGTCATCGTTCCTGCATCCAAATTTGCCGCCGGCGTCGCACGACTCTCGACACGGCTTGCTTGTTCTGGCCTGAGGCTCTCCCTTGTTTTCCCATCTAGCACGTCTCTCGTCAAAGTATATTCTCCCAGTCTGCCCGGGCACGGATCAACGCGGCGCGGGCCTTGTCTCTTTTCTTTTATCCCCCTTCTTTCAACCGTCCTGTCTCAAGTCTCTCTTGGCGCCCGCTGCCCACGCAACCCCGCGTGGCCTGTCCACGGATGTCATAACACGATCCAGCTTCATCACGGACGTATACCTTCTTCTTGGTTTTCACGGAGAGGACAAGACTATACTCCTGAGCGTCCAAGATGGCGACAGACCCAACCAAGCTCGACAACGTGGGCACGCTGCGCCACACGGTGCTGCTGGCCATCATATGGAGCTGCTTTGGCGGCGCCCTGCTCATCGGGACGGGTCGGACTGCCGTGCGTCTCAAGATTGTCAAGCGGCCGTCCGCCGAGGACTACTGGATCCTGTTTGCCCTCGCGGCCCTGCTGAGCTTGTGCGTCCTTGAGACTATCCAGCTGCCCAGCTTATACTATATGACCGCCGTTGTTGAGGGCACCCTCCTCCCCTCGCTCGACCTCATCGGCCACACGGAGACTTATCTGCGCTACCAGTTCCCCATCACCGTGCTGTACTGGACGGTGCTGTGGTCCATCAAGGCCGGCTTCCTGGCGCTATACTTCAAGCTGTTCAAGGAGCTGCCCATTTACCGCCGGGTGTGGTATGGACTCGCGTTCTTCACTCTGCTTGCGTACGCGGCGTGCTGGGCGTCTCTTGCCGTCTCGTGCGGCACGCTGAGCAACTTCTTCAAGTTCAACCAGTGCGGGTCGGAGCAGCAGATCTGGATGTCCAACTTCAATGTGTATCTGAGCACGTCGGTTGACGTATTCACCGACTTGTGCAGTGAGTCTTTACTCTACTCATTGGCCAAGGGGCAATGGAGGACAACGTCGCGTACTAACATGCTTTCTCTGCCCGAATAGTCATGGCCATGCCCCTCCGCCTCATCTACAACGTCAGGGTCTCCACCGGCCAGAAAATTGGCCTCATTGCTGTCTTCGGCCTCGGCTTCGTCATGATTGCGTTCTCCATCATCCGCGCCAACCAGATCCTCGTGCCAAAGATGTTTGTCAACCTGTCCATGCTCATGCTATGGTCCACCTTGGCAGCGACAATCTGTGAGTTCACAAATCCAATCCCCTCTCGTCATCCTCTTCGTCAAGATCATAACGCTCCCCACGACCGCAAGGCATCCCACTGATTTTTGCCATTTTCGTCGCCTCCACAGCCGTCATAGTAGGCAGTCTCCCCGCATTCAAGGTCTTCATCGCCAACCGGACCGCGACCCGCCGCGCGCGCGGCACCAACGGCTCGTCGAGCGCAAACAGCCGCCAGCTCCACCACGGGGGCAGCTTCGGCACGGGCGGCGTACGTGGCAGTGGCGGCGGCGCCTCGGCGAACTACATGCCCAGCGGCAAGGGCGTGCCCCTGGGGTCCATCTCCAGCTACAAGTCCGCGGCGGCGCGGTATGGGAAAGAGGGCGGACTCTCGACCGACGAGATCCTCAAGCCTACGAGCAGCGCGGGGGAGAGCCCGAGGCTTGGTACCGCTAGTGGGGGTGGCAATGGTGGTATCCATGGAGCAACCAGTGGTGGGTTCGAGGGTGTTGAGAGGAGTTACTCGATCACAGGAGGGTACCGCAATAACAACTACAACAACGGCTCGGCTGGAACCAGACCGCCGCCGCCGGCTTACGGAAGGGCGTTCTGAACCCTGGTGAGAGAGGTTTCTTTATGTTTCATGGTCCGGAGTTGGCGGCAGTTGTCGAGTTTTTAATTCTGAGGTCTGAGACTTCAAACGCGCGCGAGATCATGATGCTCGTAAAGTATATTACTGGATGCAGAACACAGAGCGGACACGGCAGCTCGTGTACACGATGGGGAAACACCTACATATCTGTCTACAAGATCTTTTGTCTCGCCGACACAGAGCATATACACTTCCATACCAATATTCAATAATTTCAAGTCTCGAATCAACTTCTCACCGTTGTCTGGCCTAGCTATCTGTCTCTGCTCAAACGCGCGCCTGCGTTTAGCATTGCTCAGCGCAAGAAATACCATTGCCCGCGGGCTTCTATCCGACACATGCCAAGCGAGAAACCACTCTGGCGCCGCACTCAATGCATGACGACAGGTTCAATCCACCCGTCCTCGTCAAACACCAACCGATCCACCGCCAACACGCGATGGTCTGCCACCGTGTCCCCCAAGATCCGGCGGTGATAAACGATGTAATACTCATCCTCGCCCTCCTTGATGATCGAGTGGTGGCCCGGCCCGTCCGCGACCGAGCTGTCGCCTTTGTCCAGGATCAGGCCGATCCGCACAAACGGTCCCAGCAGGCTCTCGGACCGCGCATACGCCACGCGGTAGTCGGGCGTACCGTACCCGCCCTCGGACCACATCAAGTAATACCACCCGCCCCGCTTGAGCATGTAGCTCCCCTCGCCGAACCCTTCATTGGGAGTGATGTCCCGCGGCTCGGTAGACCCGTCATCATCCCAGGGCGCGATGCTCGCCATGTCGTCCCCCAGGGGCACGATCCTGGTAAAGCTCCCGCCCCAGATCAGGTACCACTTTCCGTCGCCGGGGTCTCGGAAGGCCTGCTGGTCCATCGCGTTTGCGCCGCCGTAGCGCTTGCCGATCAGCGGCCTGTCGATGGCGTCGACAAACGGCCCCGCGGGGGAGTCAGACACGGCGACCCCGATCCCCGCCGTGTCCTCGTAGTCGATTGGGTCGTTGGCCGTGTAGTAGAACCAGAACTTGCCGTCGCGCTCGACCGTGCAGGGCGCCCAGAGCCACCTGTTCGCCCATGCCGAGCCGCCGCCGGCCACGGGATCAAACACGGCGGGGTGTTTGGTCCAGGGCCCTGCGAGGGAGGACGCGGAGAAGGCGTCAAAGGTTGTCTGGGAGTCAAACGCGATCGAGAGGGTCGCGTAGATGAAGTACGTCCCGTTGCTAGTCTTTATGGCGTCCGGGTCGGCGTACCAGCCTGGGTCGATCGGGTTGGGGCCTAGGTCCTCCTGTCTAGGGAAAGGGGCATGGGGTGCGTTGTGGGAGTTGGGCAATGAGAACGCACTGGCGGTCAGATCCAGGAAGAGGAGCAGGCTCGAAAGCCGGTGAAACATTGCCATCATGCCGACTCTGAAAGACTACCGGGATTCGAATGTGGTTGCTGTAGGAGAGGTAGGAAAGGAAGGCAAGCAGATCCATTTAGTCGGCACAAAATCACTCGTGGTGGGAGTCTTTATACATTGTCACACGGGGGCGGTTGTAAGACACGAAAATGGACCAGTTGATGCACTATGACAATGCTACAGACCAGTTGCGGTCCGAGTGAGTAAAGTCTGGCTCGAGACTCGTGGACACAGGCCTGCCAAGAACGCGCGGTGCATGGCGATCCAAAGCTGCCCGGGCGCAAAAGGCCAATGTCCAGGTCTGGCGAAAGGTCGTAGCAAGAGTACTATGTAATGTAACATTGCACACTTGTTGCACGCGTGACTTGGCAGAATGGGGTATTTTCGTGGGTCGATCCCCACGGGGTCACGCCAGCATGTGCGCAAGTAATGCGGGGAAGATGCTGCAGGTGATGATGATCATGATCATAGCAGCAGGTCAGCAGTCTACGCTCCTATTCGTCGAAGCCTCGAGGTCTTGTTCCAGTTGCTCGGCTCGTGCTGCTCTCTGTTCTTGAGAATTGAGCTGGCAGCAATCACCCTTCAAGTAGTAGAAGTCTCGGCACGCTATCCGGCTCTCCTTACTATGCTTTCGGGAACATCTTAGCCAGAGGACAGAAGACTGTACCGCCAGACTTCTCGTCCTGCTGGCCCATCAGGTTGTCCTGATAATCTGGTTGCAACTTGTTGATGATATGCATGACCTGAAGTGAGCACATTGATGAGTATGTAGCTCATTCACTTCAATGTCCCGAGTGCACAAATCGAGCAAGCGAAATTACACTCACCTTGCCGAGGGCAGAACGGTCCATGCCGCTCTTGTACATCTCATGCCCGAGCTGCACTGCCAGCGACGCGGCGATCGAGTTGCTCTCCGCGCCCGCGACCAGCAAGTCCATCAGCACACCCAGCTTTTGCTCCGAAGCCGGGTTTTGCGTTGCCGTGTAGTCCTCGAGGTACGCAAACGACGCCATGAACGCGCCAAAGGTGACAAACACGTTGGAGAAGTCGACAGTCGGGTCCCGCGACGTAGTCACGAGCAGGGAGAAGATCTGGTCTGCCGAGACGAGCATGCGCGCCGACGAGGCTGCGAGCTGGCCCTCCGCGACGGCAGGATCGCTGGTCCCGCTGGGAGAGGCGCCAGCGTCGCGGACACGGGCGGTCAGCTTGCGGTGGATGGCGATGACGCTCGTGTGCAGCTTCAGCACGATGGGCGCCGCGTCCGGCCTGCCGTCGAGACTTGACGGGTGCACCAGGCTGTCCGGCAAGGCCATGAACATGAGCGCCAGGCGGTTGTCGAGGTGCTGGTGCGTCCTCGAAAAGTCCTCGCTGGTCGGGGTGTCAAATTGGCCCTGGTGTGCATCGTCGCTCCGCTGGTCAGTAGAGTAGGTCTGCATCGTGTGATTCGCGCATTCGTGGTAGAGCAGCGAGCCGAGGATGCGACATGCGTATGTAGAGTACGGTGATGCGGGATTCTTCAACGCTCTGTTCAACGACACCGATGCCTCCTCGAAGCCGCCTATGAAGCTCTCGTCCGACGCAGGAAGAAGGGTGTAAATCTTTGCTTGTCATCAGTGACCTGCAAGTATCTCTTGTCATGGTTCACGGGACTAACCGTGTCTGGCCGGAGCATCGTCGGCCAATTCGTGGTGCTGCTCGTGTCAAGATCGGTGCAGAAGACGGACCACATGGTCCTCCGCCGCTCCTCCTGCTCTATCCAGTCCTTTGCCGGAGGCAGGACGGATTGGAGGCCGCTCGGACCTCCATCGATGCTGTCTAGGCCCAGCATCTGTGCTAAACGCACGCTCCTGCTGATGCTTGCCGGCGCCCGCGTGAACCATAGCTGCTTGGCTTCGAAGTGGCTGAGCAACACCCAGCACTGTGCGTGAGCGACTGTCACGCCCAGATAGCCGTCATCCTGCTCACATCGGTCCCTTAGCGCTCCAAAAGTCGATACGATCAGCCTCGTGACATCAAAATAGACCCACCGTCATATCATCGTAGTGCAGGTAGTTCTTTGCCCTTTGGTAGAACGGCAAGGCCAGGTGTTTGTGCTGCGGGGACACGGTAGCACCGAGGGCGAGAATGATATACTGCAGACACATGGGGGGCTGCAAGTGCGGCGGCTTGAGCAGAGAGGCGAAGTAACGGCCGGGATGCTGCATTGGCGCATTGGGATAGAGATGCAGGAAGTAGAGGTTCGTTCTGGCGTTTACGAGATCAGCGGATGTCCTTGTTCCAGTCCAGTGTCTTTCAGCCGGCTTACAGCTCGTCTACGATGTCTTGCGGCGGCTGCTGCTCGAAGCGGCCAGTGTATAGCAGCTCTGAGCTAGAGGATATGGGCGTTGGGTAGTCAGCACCGCCTGGGGCACTGTTGCCATTCTCATGTGAAGGGCTGGTCTCGTCATCCTTGAAACGGTGCTCGAGCTCGTCTACAAAGGGATCAGTACCACCCCATACGACTACCACTACACAGGATGCGCCATAAGCATCGGGGAGGGCTGATGCTCACGCAGGCGTGACTCGAGCTGCTTGAAACGGGGCCGCTTGATGGGCTCCTTGGGTTTCTGGCGGGACGTGGGGAATTGACACTCGGCGCCGGAAGCGAGGCATCTGCTACACGGCCAGACCCGGTTGCACTTGAGCTTCCGGGATCTGCACTGGTAACAGGACAGGAGCTTCTTCTCCTCGACCTCCGTGACCGTGGCGGCGCAGGCCGGGCTGGCCATGATGGCTGGGGGGTGGCTGCTCCACGCACCGCTGATCAGTTGGCCGGCTTGTCGACCAGGGTCGGGACTGGTGCACTTGAGCGAGTGTGTGCAGCGCGCGTAGTCAGGAACAATGCTGCATGCTGTGTTCGGTGATGGCGGTCTGTCTTTCTGGCCAGACTGGTGGTGAGATATATCTTGGCCGGAGTCATATCGCGTGTCCTCTGGCCGGGACAAGCACAACTCTGCTTACGAATTGGTGGTGAGGTGAGGGGTAGCTCCAGCACGTCGAGGGGAGCGAGAGTGGCTTACGTGCTCAGCCCTACCCCTGCCCGTCGTCCAGGAATGGCTTGATGGCACCATTCCGCAGGCACTCGTGCGTCCAAAGTGACAACAATACCCGTCGAGCCCTCGAGTTTCTCTGAGTAGAATATTTCCAGGGTACACGAGCAAGCACAGTGTATCTGCTGGTCTTCTCGAGGCTCATGAAAAGTCTGCAGAGGCCGTCATTCTGACCAGAACTCCATCCGCGACAATCTTGGCTCTGGTGCTGAAACATGGCAAATGAGCAAGTGCATGGTATTAGACTGGCTGTGACTTTGACCCATCAAAAGTATTCCTCGAATGTTCCTTGTTCAGCATGACGAATATCACAGCCGCCAAGGTTGGTTGCCCGCGGTGGGGATTGTCGGAGCACGGTCTGAAAGGAGCCCGGCTGCCTCCGTGGCAAGCCCAGCATTCCTCCTAACGAGTTTTCATCCGTGTGGCATGAATATAAGCTTTCGGGACAGGGGACCAAGCCAAGAGAACTTGACCACTGGACGCAACTCCGGCTCTTGACATGTTCGCAACGTCAGAACGCTCTTTTTCAGTCACTTTTCTCACCTTTGCCCCCTGCCGGCTCGGCACTAGGCGTGCCGCTGGCCCACCTAAACCCGCCCCCAAATCAGGAAACAAGTATGGGTCACGGAGGACTTTCTCCTAAATAGTGGACCCGAGAGTGCTCGCTGGATGGCACCGTCGACAATGATTCTCCCATAGTTGTGGACCAATGACGAAATGCGGACGGGTGTGATAGCAGCTTTGTGGATGATGACCAGATGGCTGATGCCTTTCCCGTCTCGGGAAGAAGGAATTGCCGTGACCGAATAAATACACGGGGTGGCACCTTTTGACGTTCTGTGATGGCTCCCGGCGAGTCCCTTCCTTGGCACACGGTCACTCCTGCTCGAGGTTCACGGGATTGACGATTTCGACAATACTTTCGCCAACTTTCTTCATCAAATGGTGTCTCCAGTGCGAAGCGTTCTCCAACGACTTCGACCACATCCCCAGCATGGCGCTGGCCCGCAGCTGCCCTTTTTCCGACAGGATGGCGACAAGGTGACAGACATGTGCCCCAGCACCAGCCCCGGTTCCGACAGCACAGCCGAGTCGAGCCACCATCCAGACCATGACCATGACCCAAGAGAAGGTCTAGATGTTACGCGTAAGGCGCTGGGGCTGGGAGCGGAGCCAGCTGTCCGCACGATGGCCTACGAGCACCTGAAATGGAACCGAATGCGGCTGATCCTGCGCGAGCCCATCCTCGAGTTCTGGGGCGTCTTCATCTTCGCGCTGTTTGGAGACTCTGTCATTGCACAATGGAAGCTCAGCAAGGGCGAGTATGGCAGCTGGGTGACGGTCTGCTTTGGGTGAGTCCTCTCTCTTCATCAAAACTATGACGCATACGCCGAGGAAAACTCACGTATGGCTGACCACATCACATGTTTGCTATTTTCAGTTGGGGCATAGGTCTCATGTTTGGCATCTACGTCGCCGGCGACTCTGGCGCATACCTCAACCCAGCCGTGACCCTGACCAATTGCATCTTCCGTGGGATCCCTCTGAAGCGATTCCCCATCTACACGGCCGCGCAGTTCCTGGGCGCTTTCTGCGCACACGCAGTCACATACGCCAATTACTTGAGCGCCATCAACGAGTTGGAGGGTGGCGCCGGGATACGCACCCTCCCTCCCAGCAAGACGTCCACCGCGGGCATCTTTAGCTCTTTTCCCGCGGGCGACAACGTGCCAAAGGGGAGTCAGGTGCTGAGCGAGTTCATCGCCAACTTTATCTTGGTGTTCTGCATCTTCGCGCTTCGAGACGAGAACGGTGCCGATCTGGTAGGGTCCACCCCACGAAGTACTACCCTGGCTGATCACTCGCGGCATGTAAAGCTGACGACTCTCAACAGAAAGGAGGAGGCAGCGGCTTTGTTTTTGCAATAGGCTGGCTTGTATTCGTGCTTATCGCATGCTTCGGGTGGCTTACAGGGTACGCGCCGTCTTGTTTTTCCGCTCGTCTTCTGCCCAGCGAAACCATGATCATGCGCTAACTTCAGTACATATAAAAAAAAGGTCACCTAACAATCCAGCACGAGATCTCGCAGGCCGCGTCTGGCTCACAATCATGGGATACGACGGGGTCTGGACGACCATGCAAAACTGGGCATGGGTATGTGGCCCAGGCTGTCATCTTGGCCCATTTTCTTTTCCCTCTGCTTGTATACCTTCGCTCCTGGTGAATATGGGCAGTGGCTTACGAGAGAAATAACAGGTTCCCCTTGTGATCCCCTTTGTTGCATGCCTCGCGGGCGGCATATTCTACGACTTCTTCATATACACTGGCGAGAGTCTGCTCAATACCGACGGCTGGCACGTCTCCGGGGTGTGGCACTTGCTCTCCTGCGGCCGAAGCCGGGCGTGGAAGGGACACAGGGAGAAGTATCAGAAGAAGAAGAATGATCAGCCCGACCCAGAGGAGGCTTCTGGCGATGCTAAGCCCCACAAAGATCAGGAAGCTAAAGGAGGAGGTGCTGGTGGTGGTGCCTGTCAGTGTTGTGGCCGCGGATTGGATCGCGGACAGGCACAGAATGACCACGGCCGTCAGCAACCTGGCGGAGAGAAGTCTAGGCCCGGTGCTGGACAGGACGACTCGTCGCGCGCTTCAGGCACTACTGATCTGGAGCACAAGGAGGATAAAGACTGCCCGTACGATGCCACGCCGGGACAGCGAAGCCAGGCCGACGGCAACAACGACAACAGCCACCCAGATGCGACGAACAACGGGGCGATGTCGATGGCGAGCACCGAGCTGCCGTGTTGGCAGGGTAGTCGTTCCAACTCGGATTATTTCGGACGACAGTCTGCAGGAACACAACAACACCAGAGTCCCAGGCCCTTACAGAATCGTCGGTCGGGGTTGATGTCCCGACGGGGGACCGGCCAAGGGTCTGTGATGGGCGGTGCTGGTCCGCCATCGAGCGCGATGCAGCAATGGGAGAGCAACCTCGACGATGTTCCTGAGCGGGATGGTACTCGAGGAGGGTCGACGGGCCATTGCCCTGCTCGGAACGAAGCAGGGACGAGCAAACGGCCACAGCCCCAACAGGCGAAAACAAATCCGAGAAGGTGGCAGTGGTCGTCGCGATGGACGGATGCAGACCTTAACAAAAAGCTTGCAAAGGACAGCTACTATGGCTACAAGAGGACATCATGATCAGCCATGGGAAACAGGATCATAAATGAGCACAAGAAGGGATGAAGTAATTAATGCCTTGACGATCATTTCAGCCAGAATAGAGTAATGACAATAAAGCATCCTGCCTCATGAAAGTGCATAAGGAGCCTTGGGGTGTGTTGATTATGATGAACTCGCTTGATTCCTTCTACTGTTGGTTGTCCACGTCCAGGCGGAGGTCTCCCACGGTACGGCTCCACACCCTACCGTTGAGTGCTTTATATATACTGATATAATATCTCGCCTCTCCACAAATAACATGACTCGCCTCTATGGCACAGGGGTAATGCGTAAGTCTACAATGACAACTCCCGCTGTCCAAACTTCAAAGCTAACTCAAAAGGGAAGGTCGCACTCGTATTACGTAATCACGAGATGTCTTCCTATCAAGGTTGCACAGTCTGATTCACGCACGATGCACATGCGAAGATCCGCGGTTCGATTCCGCGTGGAGGCAGTTCTTTTTTTTGCGAGCGTGTCCGTGGCCTCTTGGCAGTGTCGGACGTGTCTTTTTTTGCTCTTGCCTCCGTCCTATCCTGCTGCGAAGTCTGGCCAAGCTCTTCTTTTTCAGGGAGGCGGAAATTCAATACGGACAAATTGAAAATATCCCTTTTGCGCTTTCACCTCGTTATTTAATGACAGCAAGTCAACGTTAACAATATCAAGCGTCTTCATTTTGAGTAAAATAAATCAGTGAATCACAGCTCTGTATAACATGCAGTACTCTTCCAAATGGTGAGCGGCCTTCTGGGACAAGTCCCTCGAAATGCTCTGTCTTCCTTCCACGATCTGTAGTTCTCCTACCAGGGCACGCACGCTATATCGTAAAGTGATTCAAGTTTTGCCTTTTCTGTTCGGGATGATATAAGCATCAGACCGCCTCGCTGTTCACAATACCCTTTCTCATTGCCCAGAACGTCAGGACAGCCATCACTCATCATTTATTACGATTCAACCTTTCGCCATTCGCAAACTTGTCCGCCTGTCGTCTGATTCCTTCCGCTATCTGATCTCTTCAGCAGGGACCTATAGAAGCTTGTGACCGACGATTTGCCAGGGCTCAACATGTCAAGGCACCGCCAAGCGCGGTTGCTCCATAAGCGGAGTGAGTTGTCTGGCAGGGGATGAAGTCTAGACCCGGAGAGGCCCGATCCCAATCGCCTATTCCATGTCGACCCCGCACCCCGGTCTTCTCGGCGAAGGCGCTTGAATACAGTGAGCCACACCAGACGAGGGACTAGGAGCCATGTGCACAACCATGTGAAACTCGTGCTGAACCAGGGTCGACATGCGAAGTCGATAAGACTGCTGAACCTTAAACGATCTAGTCAGACGCCAGGGCTCGGGACGAAGCCCGACGAGTCCCCCTTGGCCTTCACCTTCTGTATTTGTCTTGTTGGAACCAAGTCATTGCGAGCACAATCAAGGGCAACAGATGTTCCGCGGTTTCGCATGCTCCAATGTTGCGGGTTATGGCCATTGTGCGAATCGACCGAGCTTCCTTTGCTTTCCGAGCTCTCACATAACGAACTGAATCGATACTGCTGATATGTCAATTTTGCGGGTTACCGCCCTTGTCCCAAGGGCCGTGGTCCCTCACGACCACCGTCGCTGCAGAGTCTACGTGGACAGTCAGCCTGCCCGAATCCACAACGATCACAACAACCACTGCCGCCACTGAGACCACCGCCTTGGAGGCCGCCACGGGGACGGAGACGACCTCTGTCAAGCTCACCACGGCCACCACATCCTGTTTCTCAATACAACTCTATCACTCAACTCCGGGAATATCTAGTCATTCATTAATAAAGAGCTAAAATTGGTCTAAATACCTTTGCTAATCTATGTATTCTCAACCGAGCCAGATTGCAGGATAGCTGCGAAAGCGGCGGCCCTCGCATAGCCTTATTAGATTGCCGCCAACATATCCCCCCCCCCCCCCCCCACACGGGGGCACGAGAGCACGTGTTTTTCGACAAAGCTACACAAACATGGCAAACTCGGCCTTGATCCCCTCACACACCTCCCCAACCAGCTTCTGCTCGCCCTCCAGCGTCCTCGTGACATCCCCCAGCGCCCCAGCCTGCCAGACCACACTGATGACCAGGTTCCCGCCCTTGACACTGACCACATCAAACACGAGCGGCGACGACGTCGGGTTCCGCGGCTGCGCAAAGACGATCCATTCCACCTCGACCGCCGCTGCCGCTGCGGCAGGAGCGGTGACCGCAGCAGCAGCAGCAGGAGGAGGAGGAGGCGAGAAAGCAAGCAGATTGCTGACCTCATACGAGCAGTCCCGCTTCTGGCCCATCTTCTTTGCCATCCACCCGCGCACGCTGGGCGCGTAGCGCAGCAGGCCGATCGGCTGGTCGGCCAGGGTCGCGGCGCTGAGGGCGAGCTTCTGGGTGGTTGCGGCTGCGGCGGCCCATTCTGCTTCTGTCAGGGGTCCGTCTTGTTGATTTAGTTGTTGTGATGACTGCTGGCTGCTCTGGGCCGAGAAGGTCCTGCTGGCCCTGACGCGACGTGGGTGGTAGTCGAAGCACCCGTTGACGTACAGCCCCATCTTTGTGTTGGGGATGCCGAGCGTGGGACGCATGTTGATGGCCGACTGAGACACGAACCGCGTGATGGCGGTGGACGACGAGGCCGTGCCGCCGCCGCCCTCCTTGTTGTTACTGCCTGCCTCCCTGTTCTTGTTGCCTTTGGCCGTGGCAGAGGGCAGTGTGTGGCCTGGCAGGGCGTCGCTGAGGGCATGCACAATGACCTGGTGCAGCACGCCCGTGAGCTTGGCGCCATGCCTGCGGGACGTCCGGAGCGCCGCCTCGACCTGCGCGGCGGGGATGTCGATGATGCGCAGCCGTGTCGGGTCGGCCTTGTTGTCGTCAAACATTGGCGGGCCGATCCAGGTCCCTGGCTCGAGGGTGCTTGTCGACGCCCGCACCCCGAGCAGGATGGCGAGCCACTTGGGCAGCAGCACGGCAAAGAGCGGTCCGAGCAGATAGCCCCAGGATATCGGCAGGCGCTTGGGCGTGTCGAACGGCTCGTCCAGGGTCGTCGTGGGCGGGATCGTGACCGTCGTTGCGGATGATGCATCTGCGTTGGTGGACGCATCGCGGAGGCCCTCGAGAAGGTGCTGGTGGAAGGTGAGCCCGTTCATGCCGTCGCCAAGCATGTGGGAAAACGCAAAGGCAATGAAGAGACGAGTTGTCTGTCCAGTCCCCTGGCCCAAAGGCAAGACGGTCACACTCCATGGGGGCCGCTCGGCAGCATGGGCATGGTCGACCAGAGAGGGCAGCAGTCTCTCGATCCTGGCCGTCTCGTCTTCGGCTCTTCCCTGTTCGTCCTGGGACGCAATGAATATGTGTTCTTTGAGACTGACACTGGGCACATGCTCGTAGTATGCCTTGTCCGTGTGCTTGTCCTTGACCACCACGGAGAGAAACGGATGCCTCTCGACGACTTGCCGGACCGCGGCGTAGTAGTACGCAGGGGATAGCAGATCGCCAGCAGTGCTGGTGTCGTGGCCAGCAAACGTGTAGATGGCGCCCAGGACGACATTGTCGTACCAGCCGAGATCCTCACGGCTGATCGTCCGCAGCTCGTTGGGACCTGGTGGTGAGGAGAAAGGTTGTGGCACGTCAGCAAACGGGCTCCTAGAGGGGTCGGGGCTGGCGGTTGCCAGACCTCCTGGGCATCTGGCGACTTACTGGCGTAGCGCATGATTGTAGTAGACGCAGGTCTTCTTCTTCTTCTTCTCCCGTCCCTGGCGTCGTCGAGAAATCCCTTCTGCTCCTCTTTCGGCCCGTCTCTTGGTAAGTGCAGCTGGAGACAAAGAGAGGCATCTCGTGAGGCTGAACGAGATGTCTTGTATAGTGAGCAAGCAGCCGCCCGGGGCCCCCCTTTCATTGGTTGGCGTTCTCCGTCGTACTCGCTCGGCCTGCTGACGCGGGTGGGAACTCGACGGCTACGCTTGCTATGGCACCAACTCCCCGGGCGGCCAATCATCCATCCTGTCCCCCTGCAACGGTCCTGTTCCCTTGGCTCCACGGATGTCGCTTAGTGGCCACTCACAGGCCGCGGATCTGAGGCCACCAGCCTGGGTCCGGGAGTCGTCGATAGGCAATGCGATGGGAATGCGATACGCATTGCGTCTGCAGCCACTGTGCCGCCGCGCATGGGGCCCTGCCTGCCTGTGCAGCGCAGTGCAGTGCCAGTAGATAGTCCCAGATGAGATGGACTAAATACTGCTTTCGGCCGTCGCAAGGAACATCCTGGCAGCACCGGGCGGGACTGACTTTTACCACAAGCTAGTACAGCAGTTTTCTTTTTGCCTTCGGGCTCCATTTTGCGGACGGGCATGCTCACGGTCCATGCTAAATCCCAAAGACGACCCTCCCATAATATCCGCGGCCCCCGAGACTTCCCGCGGACACAGTGCCCCGACCCTAGAAACCGAATTCTGGATGCCTAATGGTGCTAAAATTGTGCCTCTTACGTCACTTTCCGAGTCCAGGCCTGATCACCATTGCCAGATTATTAATAGAAGGTAAGTGCAGCATGACAACAATTGTTGGCAACTCGAGCTGGCCCAGAAGGGAGCTGTGGAGACACGAAGACCATGCATGGTTGGCACGCAGTATGGATTGATCGTTTTGGGCAGCGAAGAGAAATCAGATTATGCGTCGCTAACGGAAGAAAAACAATGAAATGCCCTTGTCCACTACTACCGGCTCGCTCGGCAACCATGGCAATACCCGAAATGAAAAAAAGAGAGCATACGCCAGCCTGCAAGAGAAAGACGAATACGTCTAGGAACCCCTTGGCGAATCACCGCCACGGCCACCACTTCGTCCTTTTGCTCCCATCGCACCTCGCCCACCGCCGCCGCCCGTTTTCACTACGTGACGGGGAACAGGCCAGCACCACCACCCCTCATCTGGTCCCAATTCAACCACGCCATCATGCCAGCAAAGACACCCACGAACACGGCCGTGGCGACGCCCGCACCGGCGCGGTCCGCCGTGGTGACTGGCCGGAACCTGTCGTACGGGTCGTAGTCGCCGTTGGTGCCGGCGTTGTAGTCACCGCCGGACGTGCCGCCCGTGGCGTTGGTCAGCGGGGGCCTGACCGACTCGGTGCGCATGACGCTCAGCAGGGCGCCGAGGACGTTCATCTGCTCGCTGACACCGGGGACGTCATCGGCCTTGCCCGGCCCGGCGATGAAGCGGCCCTCGCGCCAGTGGAAGCCGCACATGCGCCCGTTGGCGCCGCCCGTGCACGTCTTGAGCGCGGCGCGCAGCGACGAGCGCAGCAGGGGCATGATGGTGGGCTCGGTGTAGGGCGCCATCTTCATCGTCGACGCGAGCCAGCGGTGCAGGTACCCCTTGAAGGACCGCATGTCGGTGTTGCACCCTTCCTCGGCGACCAGCTCGCAGTTGCGCTCCAGAGGGACGCCCGTGTCGCCAAAGAAGGAGATGATGGTGCGGTTCAGGATGCCGTCGATCTCGCGCTTCCACTTCTCGGCGCCGTCGGTCTGCCAAAAAGATTTTCAAAAGTCGTCAGTTGTGCCCTACAGGCCCAAGCCCCCAAGCTCAAACACTGACTTACCACATTGTACATGTACGCCGCCGACTGCAGGACGATGGCGGCGTTGTAGGAAAAGGTGAGGTTGTTGATGTCGCGGCACTGGTGAGGCTCATGGGCGCCGTCGAAGACCTGGTAGTCGTCGGAAATGTACTTGAGGCCGCGCATAAAGTCGTACGTCTTCTCTGCCCACTCGTAGTAGGAGCTGTTGCCCGTGTAGCGGCCCACGCGCACCGCCATGTTCATGAAGCAGCCGTTGGAGATGGTGTTGATGTAGTCGTAGCCCGTGTTGCCCGAGAAGACCTGCCACCGAAGGCCCCATGCACAGGGCGTGTTCGCGTTCGGGTCGATGCGCCGGTTCATGTTCATCTGGCTGTGCAGCGTGCCCTGGGCGAGGGCGAGCCACTGCGGCTGGTCCTCGGGGGGTCTGGGTAGCCCTGCTCGGCCGCGGCGATGGCCGCCATGGCCCAGAACGCCTGGTCGTCGTTGCCCATCGACAGCGACCAGTTGCGCGGGTTGAAGTCGAGCTGCTCGCCCACCTGCGCCAGCATCGCCTGCGTGATCCACTGGTCAAACGAGTCGTCGCCCGTCTGGTGCCGGTAGTCGAGCAGCGTCCCCCACATTGCGCCGGCCTGCCACCAGAAATACTGGCCCTTGACGCTAGGTTCCGGGGGAGGGCCTGGCAGGATGCCAATCGTCCAGCCGGGCGCACTGCCGCCATATGGCGGGTAGAAGGACATCATGTCCTGCGCGACAATCTTGGCCACGGCAGCGATCGAGTCTGGACAGGTCTCGGGGTCAGTCTACATGTTGTTCGCGTTCGCACGAAGGGGACCAATCCTGCCTGGACCAACGGAGGTAGGTGTGTCGTCGTGACTGACCATTGTCATCTAAATCGACGTCCGGCAGTGCCGCGGACGCGATTTGCGCGACGGCGCTAGCCGCCGCAATCCATTTCCATGCCCGCGCTAGCATCTCGCCTGATGGTCCTGCCGCTGAATTACGATTACAGAAAAGTCGGTACGGTGACGAGGATCACCTCCTCGGCCCTGTCCCCTTGTGTCGTTGGTGATGGTACTTTGTTGTTGTTGCTGTGCTGAATTCCAAGAAGCGCCGGCAGTAAAATGAACGAGTGACTCGGGCCCTGACGGTGTCGCTTGCTTGTTGTCTGTCCGTCTCAGCTACTGCCCATGGCGCGTCGTCGTTGGCAAGTGACCTGGTCGATCGTCAAGGAATCAAGACGGCGGGTTGATGCTTTTGACGTGTGCGGACCGGACCGGGGTAAGCAGGGAAGGGCAGCATAATGTAGCAGGCGCGGGGCCGGCCAGCAGCATGCGGATTTCCAAGAATCCATCGAGAACAAACAGGCCAGTCATCGGCAGTGCCATGGCTGGGAGTGGTGTCTTGGCGCTTGGTGAGCAAGCAGCGGCTTTTCCCCCAGCGCGCGTTGCCAAGGGGGCCGTCAGGTGGCTGCCCTCGTGTTGGGACCACGGGCAGGACCGCCGCATCAAGGCGCCTCTCGGTTGGCGGGGTCCTTATTTCGCTCACTGGTGCTGCGCTGACTGACTGACACGACACGGGCGTGCCATGGGGGCCCCTGCTCAAAAGGGGCCTGGCCAGCAGCCGCACCCGCCAAATGCTGGGAATGCCATACGATGGGCCCACGAGCCTCAATGATGGCTCATGACAAAAAGAGGCGCGAAAGGAAGGCAGAGATGCCAGTGTGCCGTGTGCCGGTGCAGAGGGGCGGGCAAACACCAGCCATTCGTCACAGGATTCGTGTGGGCGGCCGAGTGTCTTGGGAGCCAAAGTGTCCAAGTTTGTGGCCGCTGCTACTGGCTTGGCTGACGGGCAGAGTGGTCAACACACCACGCTGGGTGGCCCCCCCTGTTCCGTCATGCCATCCGACCCTGCCGCCGGGACCCGGACAATCACAGTCCTCCTCCAGCATGGTCCAGAAATGCGACGAAGCGTTATTAAGGTTGCAGGCCCTACCCCAGCAGCACAGCCTCACAACACTGTCCGCCCGTCGTCCCCAGATGTCAACCATCCCCCATTGGGGTGCGCTCGTCGTCGTGGGATTGAGCATGCCACTAGCCAGGAACCACAGAACTGGCCGGTGGATACCCGTCCAAAGTACCCTATTTACGAGGTCCCCAGATCTCGTGCTGGTGGAGCACCCGTTAAACTGTTGCCTAATCGTCAGGGGCCCATCCACGGAATCCTGTCCCCTTGGCGGTGGGTGGGCACTTTGCTTGGTGGAGGGGCCACCCAGACCCAAACGCTCGTTTTAGCAGGTCCGGGTGAACCGTATGGGGGGGCCAATGAACGGCACACCTGGCCCTCTCCATTGTTCTCTCAGGGTGAGGCTGTGCTCGAACCAATTTCCGTCACTCACGATCGCTTAACTACACGGGACCATCCCGCTGATACACCCACTTGCGATCACAACTGGAGCATCCTGACATTCCAGGCAGCAGCATTCCTTCATCGAAATTGCATCACAATGGCCTTCTCCTTCTCGTGTCTGCTGGTCGTGGACTGGCCAGCCAAGAGAGGATCTGGGGGGCGGTGCACTGTCGAAGCGAGATTGGAATCACTCCACGTCCCGCAGCTCGCACGGGAGGCCACGACAAGCACAACATGCCAGTCATGACCACAAACACAGCGTCACAACGTTTCTCGAGTGGTGTCCTGTACATGTCTCGCGCTGCTGCGTCCATTGCATCTTGACAACCAGAGTCAGCTCGGAAGGCTACCTGCGACGACGGGACCCCCATGGCTGATCGACAACCAGGATCGTGTTTCGCTGTTGCAGCAGATCTGCAACTCTCCACGCACGGCACGGCACGTAAACTTTGTGCAGGGTGATTTGTGGGAACGCGGTTGAACCTGCCCTTCGGTTCACGAGGCCAGTGACCGTCCGCTGCCGGCATACGTAATCCGCTTCTACCTGCATCGCCAGAAGAAGCCCCGCGAACCTTGTGATTAGTTGCAGGCGCCTGTCGCGCTCTATCTGTTCAGAGACTTGGAGCAAATATCATCGAGGTTTGTCGCGCTGCTCGCCAGTGTCGCGGCGGCCAGTTGCTCTGCGGCCGTCATGCTACCGCTTTCTGGCCTTGGTCACCAAGAGCGATGTACAGGCTGCCGGCTGGTCTTCGCCCGGATTCTCCTGACGCCAAAGTATTTTGTCATGTTGGAGTAATTGCACCAAGATCTCGTCATAACCTTCCGCCACAACGTCATACTGCGTAATAAGTATCCCGCGGTCCGGGTCCTGTCAGCCAACCGTATAACGGCCATTCTGGGAGTTTTGGAGAATCGATCCGTTCCGGCAAATCAAATCGGGTGCACATACCCCGCCATCAACTTGTCGCGTGTTAGAACTGTAGACGTACGGAATTCCAACTTCGCTGGAACAGACCCGTAACGCGGAGAAACGCTTCATGGCTTTGCTGCTCCTCATCAACCTCGTGTCCATTTGTCCCGAACAGCCAAGCGGTCTCACGTGTTCCGACAGTTCAACCACTTGTTCAATCTCCAGTCTATCCTGATCAGTCGTCACCGCCGTTCCTCTACATGCACCGAAGTCTCACTTTGCACGACAATCCCGTGTCCAGGTATGGCCTCACTCCCTCTCCGGCCGAGTCGTCCTCCCCGCGCCGCATTTCGAAGCTGATCCGTGCTCCCCACGCGCTTCGCCGCATCCCCGCCGTTCGCGTTGATCACGGTCCGGAAATCCGTCCCGTCGAGCGCACCAAGCTCATACTCGCCACTGCTGTTCCCTCGCGGGCTGTCCACGAGCTGGAACTCGGAGTCGCCGTCCCCAATTGGTGACCTGCCCCCGTTTCGTCCAGCACCGTTTGTTCCTCCGGCAAGCTTGCTGGAGTCGAGACCTGCTGCATGCTTGGTACTGTGGGTGTTGGGGCCAACGCCGCCGCCGTCGGCCGTCGAAGAGAACTTTGTGAACCCCGCGCGGCGGATCTGAGAGCGGCTTTTGCTGTTGCTGAGCGTTTCCCATTGCCGGTTTGAGTGGCTGTGGTGTCCGCCGGCATATTTGCGGCCGCCCGAGTCGGAGTTGGGAGCTGCGCTGGAAGATCTGCGGCCGATGAGCCAGAGGAGGGCTGGGCGGATCGTGGGCAGTGATGCTAGGTGGTGGATCGGGGTGTTAGTCCAGATTTATTTAATGCGAGACATTGGCCTCAATGGGACCTGCGGGCGTGGATTTGGATCCCGGGGGGGAGGGATGGAAGACGACGAAATGGGACTTACCCGACACGACAACCATGTTGACCTCGACCGTTGCCCATGTCACGATGGGCTCAATGTTCCACGTGAGATCAATCGAGGTGGTGTCGAATTTTGTCGATTCGTATATGATCATGATGCCGGCAAAGCAGATGCTAATTAGATGTTTCTTCCCGTCAGTTTCTTCCCCCTCTTGCCCGCGCACACACAGTAAATCAGAGGCAGAACACTCGGGCACTCACAAGAAGCCGAACATGAAGACAACGGCGATCGCAACCCTCTGCCGCATAGGCAGGGTGAGGTGCTTGATGGGCATCACCGGCAGGACGATGATGGCAATGTCCATCATCACGTGCACTAGGATGCTGCCAAAGAAGAACTTTGTGTCCTCGATCGCGCAGTACCCGCCGGCGGACGGGTCCCAATATGCCTGAATGGGAATGCAATGAAAGATGCCTAGGAATGTCTGCCAACACAAACGAATCAGTCCCTTGGCGGCTCTCTGAGTCGGTGGAAGGGGGCCTAATGGATAGCAGGACGTTGCGTACCCTGATGATGATCCATATCAATGCGCACACGAGGAGGATCTTGATCGCGAGCTTCATCCTCGCCGACACACCAAAGATGCGCCAGTAGAAGCACAGTATGGATGTCTTGGCGAAGTACAAGGAGAAGGCATAGAAGAACTCGGCGATCCACAAGATCAGTTTGTTTGCGAAGAGCAGCTGGTCCACATCATAGCCAGAGACATCTTGTATGTGGATGCCTAAACCATAGTGTATCCCTGTTTGTTATCCAGGTCAGTATGTGTGTATTGACAAGCCGTGCCGCATGGTTTCTGTAACTCACATATTGGGACGAGAACGAGCCATGCGATTGAACAGGACTGTTCGCGGACCACTGTGTCAGTCCCCATCCTCGTATCCTAGGTCGTCTGGCAGGCGCGGCCCTCGGCGGCGGCGGCAAGCAAGTGCACAGAAGACTCACGTAGCCCGCAATAGCCATGTAGTCGTCCCACCATAACCGGACCCTTGTCAGGCGTCGGCTCTGCATGCGCAGAGCAAAGCATATCGTGGCTGGCGTCAGCGTCACGAACAAGACACCCCACGAGATCCCCTGCTTCGAATCCACCCCCATGGCGATGATTGCGCGTGCCGCCTGTGCACGGACCGAGTCTCAAAATAGATTTCCGCTTCGTGTGATGTCGTGCATCCGGTGAGATGGTTCTCGATGGCGTTGGTACGCTATGATGGAGAATTCAGTATGAAGACGAGACGTTGGAAGGTCAACACAAGAGGGCGTGGATGATGAGGTCAGAGATCGGCTGTTGGTGGCTTGGGACTACGCTCCATGGAGCATGACAAGAGGAAGAGACGGTGCTGACGAGGCCAAACTCTATCTTGAGAAATTTGTGTTCCACGGATCGAGGGATGAAGTACAGAAGAACTTTAAACAGCCGGTAGATGAACGAACAGGATTCACGCCCATATATACACTTGGGCAACTGCGCTTGCATTTCTCGGTCTTGCTCACTGCACTTCTTGCCGCTTGTTTGGGGAAGCTGGCCCGCGGGAGCTCAATCACGCCGCCCCAGAAGATCTGAGAGCGGCGATACAAGTCTGCATTAGCTGCTGGCGCGCATTAGTCAGGGGCCTAACCCAGTCGTGAATCTGGAGAGTGCCCCTGAATCTCGTAGTATGTCGCTTTCAGAGCTATCCTATCCCAGTCAAGCTCCTGCATCACTGGGGTTCACTCGACATGAGCTAGAGACTGGCTTGTGTAGTGGCTTGTTAGTTGCTTGTAGTAGCTTGTAATAGCGTGTGGTAGTAGTTTCTCGCGCGTCGGATTGCAGATCGCGATAACGCACAGGCCGCAAGACCAAGGACGTGACTCGAGGCCATGCAGGCGTCTGCTAAATCTGCCACTCCCAACGATCTACCCACCAAGATCTCCAACGCCACCGAGGCTAGCGCAATGTGAAGGACCCCTTGATTGCGAGTCAGGCATCACATCCTCCAGATTCGAGGTTGCAACCCGCCGTGAACATTGAGACCAAATGAACCAAGTGAGATCACAGCTTCTGCATTGTTCACAACCATGTTCAATATACCACAAGCCTTTATTTCTGAGGGGCCTAGGGAGACCCACAGAGAGAGAGAGAGAGAGAGAGAGAGAGAGAGGACGAGAGGGGAAGTGAGAGAAGAGAATACCAATGTTCAGTCGATCTTCATTGCCACGTCCAATCTGTCAGAGAGGTCACAAAGGAGAGTTTACGCTAATATCGCACCGTTAATACTTGGCCTTGGTGGCTCAGACTCCGGGATGTATGGAGAGAATTATACTTATCGTATCCAGATTAGCATCTCTCTAGATTGCCATATACCTTATCTCACGGTTGAAAGGAGGCTGTATTGAATTCTTGACGGTGATATACGTTTGTCAGTATAATAGCTCGTCGGGGCTTGACGACCGGCCTCGCGATTTACTGGCTGGTCACTCCAAACTTTTAGTGCCTAGCTCGGAAGGAGCGATTTCTGGTCTTGGGTTGTGCGACCTCTCCGAAGTGAGCTTAGCGAGATTGATGCTCTCTTTGAAGCATGGTGTAGCTGCAAGTCGGTGAGCAAACGCCAACCATGGATACACAGAGGCACAAACGTAAAGTCAAGGAACATGCATTCTACTGTAGAGTTGATTGTGCAGTATTGTCGACCATCCAACCTTGAGCCCCGGAACGTCTTCTTCGTCAGAAACATCCCAGGATCAGGTGTTAGCTTCCCTCCTGGGCCATCCCAAGCCATCTTTGTCTCCGCCCAGCGAGCCGACATGTAGTGCCAGGACTTCATTGGAACGTCTCGGGCGTCCCAGGTAGCGCTATTCTTCGGCCCGGAGGGTATCCTGACAAACGCAGCCAGGTTGGTTGCAGACAGATCTCCTCGAGAACGGACCAACTGTACCAGCCTGCACTGGCACGGGTTGCCCACCGTGCCCTTCAGACTTGCGCGCTAGAGCCCCGAAACAGACTAGTTTGCGGAAGTGCACAGATCTGGTCTTGTGCTGAGTGCGGAGGCAAGCCGATCAGGAACACTGACAAGAAATCGCCATGGCCAGCAGGACATACGGCGGGCCAGGCCATGTCCCCTGGATAGAGCTGGATGGCTCAAGTTTATCCTGATGCTTCGGGACCAGTGCAAGTGGCGTGTCTCTAAATTCACAAGGCTGACTTTGACATGCATAAGTGCCACGAGTTTGTGTTCAGCGAGCTGAACTTCACAGATCTGTGATGATTGCCTCACCCTTGCCCTCGATCTGGCAGCGGCAGAAAGTGCTCATTTCAGCTTTGCCATCATCAGCAAGTACATTGCTGTCTACTGTCGCCCTCCAAGGCCATGAGACATGCTGAAGTGACTGATTGTGTGCAATAACATTCCCCCGAGCGGTGCATCCTGTACATATTTGAATCACCATAGTAACCATCAGCGCCACGCCACGCGTCCTGCCCACGTAAGGAGACTGCCGCCTAGAGGTGTCTTTGTTTTCAGTGACGCGAATACGCGTTTACCTTGACCGTGACATACTCGCGTGTTTGAAAAGTCAGTCACCTGCCGAGATCATCTCATTCAACCATCAGCTTCCCCCTCAACCACAAACTCGCGCCTCGTGTCCACAACGCAAAGTCACTATCGGACACATTCTGGGACAAGATGGCGAGCTCACCCCTGTTCTTGAAGCCGTGGACCGAGCACTTCAACCCATTCGACGCGATTGGTTTCACCAGCATCACGTTGCTGCCGCCGTCTCAGGCCGCGTTTGACGAGGCATGCCTCGCCGCATATGTGGCCAGCAACGCAAGAATCCTCGAACGAGCCGGCATTGAGGTCGAGAAGCTACCCTACAGCCGCACCCAGATCGACCAGGCCGTTGACTTCACGAAGAGCGGGGATGACGATGACAGCGGTGCCCTGGACAGTGAGGCCTAGGTCGCCGCCTTCCATGCATTCTACGTCAGGCCTCAGAGAACAGACTATCGCAGAACCTGGGCCCCTGAACGCCGACCACTGCAGCGCGTCTTGCTCAGCGATCCCATTGACGTCGCCATCGAGGACTACGTGAAGCCAAGACACGCCTATTCTCAAGACGGTATCTATGCTGGCATCAGCCAGAAGAGGCTGCTCACCGCATGCTCATCCCGAAGGCGAAGGTGACAAGGACTGGCCGAGTGGCTCGTCAACAGCTTCAGGCCTCCACAGAAACCCACGAGACTGCAGACCGCGGCCTCTCTGGCCCCAAGGTTTCACACCGCGCGCCGCAAAATGCCCGTGCCCAGCGCATCCCTGACACGAAACTTGGCAGCGCCGCTCGGCCTGTGGTGAGAACGGCGCCCTTCCAGCTCCCGCCGCCCACCGCCCAGCCCGTCATTGCGCACGAGACGAGCACAGCGCAGAGCCGTCTCAACCACAGCAAATCTGGAAGAACCAACCGCTCCTCTGTCAACCTTCGCTCTTCATCCCAACCTGCCACCCTTCTAGCGTCGCAGTCTTCATCATCGACGACGCAGAAGAAGTCCCGCACGAACTACCAAAAGGTGTCCGTCCGCGATGCCACCCCGGACGCAGTAGACAGTGGCTACTCGAGCGGCCTCTCCCCTCTCCGGGGTAAAAACGAGCCTGTCATGCGATCCCCGTCTCCACCTTCGTCGCCTGTCCCCCTTCGACGTTCGCCCCCAGTTTCAACTTCCAAGTCTCTGTTCGAGCAATGGAAGAGCATGACTTCGGACAACCTTCCCACACAGGGAGGACAGAGAAAGACACAGCGCCACGCCGGACGCACCACCAGCACCCGAAAAGAACAACCCGTCCGATGCGAGCCTTACAAGCAAGCTCGACGACTACCGGGTCCCCAGTAGTGGACCAAGGACGGTGGACGGACATCCATGACATCCAAGTCCCGTGGCACCAAGACACTACTTGAGTGAGTGCTGTCGTTAGGTTGCTGCATGGATTGATGTGATGTCAAGTCTACATTGGAGGGGCTGGAAGAGTTCGCAACCCAAAGAGACATGATCCGGACGGATAGACTGCCATCAAGGTTTTCAGGTTTGTATGAATGATGGCCTGTTGACATTTGAGGAATGCCATGATGACCAGGCGTAGGGGCTCAAGCTGGCATTCAGGTACGACAGAGTGAACCAACGAGGCACGGCGGTACATCGAATGATTCGTGTTAGACTTTGAGACGGACGCTGCCGGGGCAGAATAGATCAGCAGGAGCTTCGGCAAGCTTCTAGCCGTCCTAGTGTATGATACTTGTCAGTCTTGTAGTGCAACATCTCATCGCTCTGATTCACAAGGGAAACGCATGTCGAGCATACTCGTGCCAATGAAGCTGAGCCTGCCGTACCGGGACCTGGCCACGGTTACCCGAGCTGTTTTGTCTGCGTTGAAGCCCGTAACCACGTGGCCAAGACAGCCCAATGCGCCTGATATGCCTCTCGGTAGTGTCGTTTGAAGTGAAACTCAAATGTTTCCTACAGGTTCCCAATGTTCCTACAGGTTCCCAGCGCTTGTGCAACACAGTGCTACCCGCACTCCTCTGTGCTCGACGTGGTAGCTTTCCAAGACTGGCAATTCATCAGGAACAGGGAATGTTCCCGATCGTTGCCAGACTGAAGTCACCTTCACTCCCTCTGCATGCGTCCTCGCAGGGCCGCCGATCGATCAGACCACACGAGACAGCACACCGCATCATTGCGTCACCGCGGTGTCAGTCAGGCCACTGGAACCGACCCCCCGAGTCGAAAGTGCTGACGAGTCGCGACGACCTGCCGTCAGCTATACGTGTACAACGTCACCGAGCCGGCTGCAAACAGCTCGTCTCGGCCGGGTAAACAATAAAACTCGGATCCGACACGTTTCTTCAAACAGGCGCCCTCTTGCGCCTGCGGTTGACTCTATCTGCCAACCTTTGTCGACGCCTACCAAAACCCCCTAGACTGCCAATGTGAGCATCCAAAAGTCTCCCATTGGAGCCGGTAACAACCTCCAGCCCGACCAACCCCCAGCGAGAAGACCAGCCAGAAACACCAATTCCAAAGGGAAACCCTCCCTCCCTCATATGCTGCAGCACCTTGCCGCCCGCCACCACGGCCGGATCCCCAGACACGGCGTCGTACTGGGCTGGCACAAGATCCAGATCCGGCACACCGGCACGCACTACAAGCGCGGCGACGACCACCGCCAGATCGTCTACGCCTGGGTCGACCCGGGCACGCGCCAGGTCCAGCGCCGCCTGCTGCCGTGCAACATGGCCCACGAGCGCGTGACCTGTCGCTACTGCCTGCACCCGGAGCCGGCCGTCCCGCACGAGCAGGTGCTCTACCTGGGCGACTACGCCGAGCTGGAGGACGACGAGGGTAAAGTGGACGCCAAGATCCAGCGCGAGGTCCGGCAGATGAAGGACCGGGCCAAGAGCCATGGGTGCCGCAAGAGTTGACGGCTCCCCAATGCCTAGTGGCGCAATGCCTGGGAGGCGGCATGGTAAGAAAAACTTGATTGTCGAGAAGGTGTTGCTGTGTGCTGCTGGCTAGTATATGAAGGTTTTAATACATAAGGGCTGATACGAAGCACGAGTACTATATGTGCGATGAAAAGCTTAGCATCATCTTGCTCTATGCAAGCGTGGGACGGGGATTTGTTGATGGCCATCAACGGCTCGGCGATTCCTATAGAGGCGCAGGGCAGTCTCCTGATGTCAGTTTTTGGAGGACCCGTAGTGCTCTTGTAGCTTGTACCACTGGTAGTATCTGTAAATCAACAAAGTACGTTGCCCGGGAGTGTGAAATGTTAAACAATCATCTTCCAGATCTAGGAAGTTGATAGCTGGACGATATAAATTCTGTCACAGGATCTGACATAGCTCCATCCAGTTGTTGATACCCGATCTACAATCCGTGATCTCACATCCTCAATGATCTTGGCCCTTCATGAACTTCTCGGACGTACATGCACTGCACAACATCCCCCAAGGATGCCCAAGGCAATCTGATTTTCGCTTAAAGAACGGAGTTGAGGCACTTCGAGAGCAGTCTTTGTTTAACCACCCACGTGAGACGACCGGTCACAACAAAGCGCCACGGTCGTCTTCTAGCATCGCCCAGCGTGAACCCAGGCCCTGATTCAGTGGTCAGCAGCAAATATTAAACACCCAAAACACGGATTACAACGATGAATGGTAGCCGGGGGGGGGGGGGGTGTGACAAGACTCACCAAAATCTCCAGCCCTCCTGCGAGCCGCTCCCGCCCCTCTCGCACGTGTTGACCAGATACTGCGCAAGCTCTTTGCATTTGGCCACGGACAGGTTCGCGGGGCTGCCAAAGTTGTTGCTGATCTGGAACTCGAACTTGTTCACGCCCAGCGGAGCATTGTAGCAACCCGTCTTGGCCGCCGCGAGGCCGTACGCGCCGCTACCGCCGCCGCCGGTATTGCACCACTGCGCGGCCGCGCTCAGCGCCGCGTCCTTGTTGCCACCCCAGGTCTTGTCCGTCGCCAACGAGCTGCACGAATTGAAGGTCGGGGGCTGGAAGCCGATGGTGTGCACGCAGACGTAGGCATTGGCCCACAGACTTTGGCAGCTTGTGCCGATGGATGGCTGCCAGGATATCAGGCGCGTGGTGCCGATGCCGTACGCAGCACCGATGGTGGCGCAGGTATCGCCAGCCTTGACAAGGTAGAACTGGTCACAGTCTCCCACCATGTAGGGCTGGGTAGGCTGGGGCGTCTGGATGCCATTGGTGGGGCTTGTGGAAGTCGATTTGGTGGTGCTTGTGGAGGTCGATCTGGTGGTGCTTGTGCTTGATGTCGAAGTGGAAGTGATTGGTGCCTCAACACAGTAGGACCGCCCTACAACGTAGTTACCACACTGGGCCGTGATGGATGGATTCTGTTGTCACCAGAGGCGTTAGACTCCACTATACCTGGCTAGTGACGAATCCGGAATCACTACATGTCGTGGTAATCTCTCAGATCTGATCATAGAGTGGAACTTACCCAGCTCCGAAAGTCTTGCAGGCTAATCCCCCATTCACTCAACATCTCCGTACAGCTAATCCATCCATCGTTGTCCACCCACCATGTGCACTTTGCACTCGTGCTGGGGTCAAAGGGGAAGTTGGGCTGGTCGGCCAGCAGCGACAAGTCCTTGCTTGGGGCAGCGGTCGCTCTCGGGTGCTGTGGTGGGACAGCCTCCACCGCACGAGCGGCAAGAAGAGCTGTGATCCCGGCCAAGACAGAGAATGGGGGAAATTTGACGGGATGCATGGCAAGAGCTATCAGGGCGTACGTCGCGGATACTTTCTTGAGGATGCTCTCGTTCGACAGAAGTGATCTGCTATGACCATATATACTTGATGACCCGTGAACTGCTTCCACAGATGAGTCAGATCAAGCAAGGAAGGGGACTGCACACGAGCTGCAGGGGAACATACTGCGTGCGCACAATGCCCCTGGGTATCTGATCATTCCACGGCTGCTCCTAGCAAATTGGAGATGCACATGGCCAAAGAATTGACATGGCCATGTCTGCCTGCCGGATTTGGAGGTCACGCATCGGCATCAATCTGGTTGAAGTTTTCGATTCAGGATTCAACATGAGATGTTATCATTGGACCAATTCGCAAGTATTACATGCATTCCATGAGACTACTACTCAATTGGAGGATCCCAAGCCGTATGATGTAAGCCGTATGAGGTGCAAGGGCCAAGGTTAACGTTGCATATAAAGTCCCTGGCGGGACCCGTTCGCCACTGGAATTACCAGTATCGATCATGGGTTATTGGGAAAGTCTCTTGGTTGCGAAAGTGTAGAGTTCCGCTTCGGGCCTCAATGCGCGCCTCTGGATGATTCAGCCATGTGCGGTGCTTATATGCCGGGCACCCTACATCCCTGCCGGCGCTTACATTACGGGAGCCGATCATGGCCCCTGCATGGCATGTTTGGCGTCCTATTGAGGCTGCCCAAGTTGAGCTCTGCTGTAACGTAATCTCATGATTCCTCCAGGCACGAGTGCATTCCTTCGCGACTCGCGTCTTGGCTTAGCACCGTTCCGAGGCTTGTCACTAATACGGTTTTTTCCTTTCTGTCAGGGTCCGAATTGGTCATGATTTTGTTGCTTCCGGACTAAAAGCTCAATAGTACCACCAACGAGATCTTTCTCCTGTCTACAGTGTTCACAATGCAGCATATCATATAGGGGGTATTACGACTGTCAAGGCTGCAGGACATGCCCATGGACATCAAGTCCATGCCCAAGCCTGCCATTGGTCCAGCAGGTCGCTGGCCCTGCCGGGTATGCCGCAGTGTTTGCAGTCTACACATTTGGACAAGCCTCTATATCAGCTTCACCTACCCGTCCCGACCATACAATCTGCTCGACATGAAGGCGCTTGTGCTGGTCGTAGATATTTAAGACGGCCGCCTTGAAGACGCCGAGCTCGCAACCCTTTCTACTGCAGATCAACCTGGAAGACAGGACTCCAACTCCAGCCACCGTCGGATGACTCTGGTTCAGCACACTCGGCGAACCTAACTTTGCACCTGAATTGTCCCGCACGCTCTTCTATTGTCTGAGCTTCTACTGTCTGAGGACAAAACTTGGACGAACGAGGGCGATGTAAAAGATGGTGATTTGTTCCTGCTGGAAATGTCGTCTGGTCACACAAGAATGCGCATTCCTCGCAGAGATATTGAGGCACCGAGTCATTGAAGCATGGACTGCTGTATTATGGTCACTTCTTTCAATATGAGCTCCATCTAACTTGCTTCGAAAATGAGAATATCAGTGCCTCCCGGCTCTTCACCATCGTCGGGAGCCACCCACATCTGCAACTTCGAATCCGCAACCAACAGCTTCATCGGGTTTCTGTTGACCGAATGCCCATTCTTCGACCACTTGGATATCGGGATGGAACTGAGGAGGTTGTGCGTCTCGAGGTCGACCAGGTCGATACCTCCGAGCTCGTACTTCGCCGTCGTACTGGTGTTGCTGCCGTCTGCCGGCGGCGACGCGAGGTTGCTCACGCCACTACAGGCCGCCATGCCCGACTCGATGTACTGGCAGTCCTGGTAATCGATGAAGAAGTTTGGGTTCGCCCATTTGTGCACCTCGGTGCCGTCGAGATTCCACTGCGTCCAGCTGCGGGAGCCCCAGTTACCACCAACCAGCATTTTGGCTTTGTGGTCGTACAGCACATTGCCGCAATGATCATTGGCATCAAACATCTGTGCAGCCTCGAGTGTCTCCGCGTCGATTCGAAATATGGTCGCGGCTGAGTTGGGCCGGTACTCGGCCAGGGGCACCCAGATGTGCTTGCCGTCATAGTCGATGCCTCCGGGATGGTATTTGTCGCCTTGAATCAACTTGATGTCGCTGACAAGCTTTCCGGAGTGATCGAGCACGAACACGTGCCCCATTCCCTTTCCCGGGGATCGATCATACCCATCTCGAGGCTGTGGATACGTCACCGTCGGCTCCAATATCTCCACGGACGACACGAATATCCGGTCGGGAGTGATTGCCATGCCTTGACAGTGGAAGGAGGGAAATTCAAGGTGAATGGTTTGAGTCTGGCTCCATACCGTGTTTCGATTCAGAGACTTGAATAGCGTCGCGATCTCCGGGTTGGCAGTTGCAGGTGTAGGTCCCTGCGCGGGGCATGCATTGCTCGCTGAACCCATGCTTGCCATGATGCCGATTCCGACGATGAAAGTGAAGGATACCCGTAGCCCTCTCATGTGGGCAAACAAGTTCAGCAGACTCGTAGATGACTCCAGTCTGCTGTCTGTTCCAAGCCCCGCGTCTCGAAGATAAAACTTGTTGCTACCCTCGTGCAGATTCGCCAGCTCTGCTCACCCCGCATCGGAGGTACTTCGGCCGTGGGAACGCTGACACGTATAGCGAAGTGCCAATAAGGATAGATGGAGCTGGTCTTGGCACACCTCCCAGCTTGAAAGCGGCTCGCCTGCTCACCACGTCCACAACGAGCCTCCAAATCGTGAGCCAAGGTCACTGAGCGGCTCTGGCATCTGCATTGCTTACGATGCAGCTGCATGGCGGCACAGGGAAACCTGCCGTCCTGATCGGCCCCCACTGGACCAGGACCTCGCGACACGTCTCTGACCTGGGATAGCTGGTTGCCAATGCAGTATCCTCTCGTCCCAGCTGCACGGGCTGGCTGTCGACCGCAGTATTTCTGTAGGGTTGCCAAGCCAGAGCCTGCCTGGGAGCAGGCTCTGGCATCGCCCCGAATGTGTGGTGTGTGGTACTCCCACGCGGCATGATGCGAGCCACGTTGCCTGCTCGGGCATTCCGCCCCCAGGCATTCCGTCCTACCTAGGTACTTGTGCCCCGTGCCCTCACACACGTATACTGCACACTCTTCGGGCGCGTGCCAGCGAACGCCCAAGCCAGCAGCTGACCCTACCTAGGGCTGAGAATCATGGTCGGATCCCTGTCCCACGAACGTGACAGCCTTCTGGCCAGGTCCATATATGATGATGATGGCCCTGAGGCTTCTGATTCTTCCTTTTCAACGACTGTCCGGGATCCATCACCCCACAGAGCACCGAAAATGGTTCCAGATGACCTCCGAGCCCTCGAGGAGGGCGCACAAGGCTCCGAGAAGAAACCACTCGCGACCGCGACCGCCCGCAGTGTCTCTTCCGAGTCGTCGACAACCCCTCTGCCGACACTTGCGCTAACCAACACCCAGCGCTCGGCAATAAACCCAAACAAGAAGGGCCTGCCGGTCATCCAGCTTCCAGCAAATCCAATCCTCGTAGGGGAGGGCTACTTCGCCGGCTCCATCTACAGTACCCGCACGAGCGGAATCGTCGAGGAGAGGTATGAAACCCCCCTAAAGGAGCGCAAGGTCCTGCATGGACGATTGACTTGTTACTGTCAGGACTCATCCGTACGTCACTCACATAAAGTCCCTCGCACGAGAGTGGCCGCGACTCAAGTATCTGGCCGATTTCGTCGAGGCTGGCACTATTCCGAAGAGGTCAGCCGGGCTTTCGCAGCCAGATCTCGCCGCGCGACGAGCCAGGGTCAAGGTCGCCGCGATCGACTTCAGCGACGCTCTTGACATGAAGCACAGACTATGCGAAAGCGATGCTGAGCTGTCTGCAGAACTCGCTCGCCCTGCACGTAATCGCCTCTTCGTTGTCGAGGATCTGTCTAGTGTCATGATCGAACGGTTGGGCGACGCTCTGAGCATCGACCCGACATTCTTCCGTGCGCATATAGAGGACCACACGTGGTACAATATTCAGGATGAGTGGGTAGAGATGCCGGAGCTCGAATCCCAGACCGCAGGGAGGAAGTATGTGACTTTGAAATACATGCAGCCCCGTTTCTTCGAGGACGAACATCAGACGGGGAAAGCCAGAGAAGCGGCTGGCGGGTGGAATGTCCTCAGACGGCTGGACTGTGAGGGGCAGGTCAAGTCGGGCAAGAACGCGTGGTGGGAGGATTCGACACACCAGGTCGGGCTTCTACGGCGGAAGATCAGCATTTGGTCTAGCGAAACGGAGGACGGATGGACTGGTGAGTCCTCGACAAAGTTGACCCCCTTTGACAAGCAGACATCACCAGGCTGACAATGCATTACCCTGACCAGGCGTTATTCTGGTCGACCCAACTTTGCGCGAGGGTAATCCCCTCTGGAACGGTTACGGGAGACTCGACATTCCACCAACCCCCAAAGAGGCAGCCTCGCGGCCATCTCTTGGAACAACAACTCTGCCGCAGCCATCTCTTTTCCACCAGCTGGTCTCCCGTATCCTGGGCCTTGGTGAAGAAGAAAAGCAGAAGCTTGCTTTGGAGCCCGAACACATCGTGTCTCATGCTTATCCATTCGTCTTTGCGGCGATCCTGATCACCTTACAGTACACATTCACCGGACTTTTCCAAATCGAGTGGCAATTGGACTCGGAGCGCGCTCGGCAACTCGAAACCCTGGGCACAGCGCTGGACAGCCTGCACAAATGGCAGCGCCGTCTACCTTTCTACGTCGGCTGGGTCCGCGACGCCGTCACTGCGCTGGAAGGCAAGTATGCCCTCTGGCAGGACATGAGCAGCACACTATCCCCATTCACGACGGTCAAGCCAGGAGAGCCACTGCTGCAACGGGCGAATGGCCCCCAAGCTGGCTTAATGTCGCCCGCGTCGTGGCAGCGCGGCCTCCATCGCGATTTCATCAGCCTCCTGGCGCGCCTGCAAGCGCTCCAGCTGCGCGCAGACAAGATCATGAAGATGGCCGTCGCAATCATCAGCGTCGAAGAGAGCAAGAAGGCCGTGGTCGAGAGCCGCAACATGGGCCGCATCACCTACCTCGCATTCATATTCGTGCCCATGTCGTTCGTGGCTTCGTTTCTGAGCATGAACGAGGAGATTAGTGAGCGCAGCCTGATGGTGTACTGTGTGTTCTTCGCGGTCGCGATACCACTGGGATTGCTGGCTGCTGTGCTGGCGGCATATTGGAACTCGATCATGGAGTGGTGGGAGAAGAGACAGGCCAGGAGGGCGCCAGAAAGGATCAAGAATGTACGGGGATTTGCGAGGGGAAATGGGCTTGGGAAGAAGTCGAACACGGGCAAGGCGAAGAAGGGGTGACATGAAATGGTCAGAGTCTTCCTCTCTGATTGCTTTGCATCAAATGCCGTCTTCAATCTCATTGATTCATAATCGTACCATTGCGTTATCGGCATTCAGCCCTACTACAATCTTTGCACATAAACAAGACGCAGCCGCTGATGGGGCCAGAGCCATGCCTCTTGCTTGATTAAGACAGGACTGATGACGACCTTGCCGCCGTCCCACTCTCTCTCCACAAAGTATACTGTCCGATCCTTTGACAGCGTGGCCTGCGTCGTCCGTGTGCCATTCGACTTCAGCATGAACTCTCCCTCGACCCGCTCGGGTCGGTTCACATCGGTCAAGCTCTCGACCGAGACAAGGAGTCCGGCACCGCCAGCAATGTCCAGCTTCTTGTAACCGGCGGCAAGCCCACCATTAACAGAATTAGGGCTAAGTCATGAAAGCTAATCATGCAACGACAGTGGTCACCAAGGTCATCATGCCAAACACACAGACAAGCGTCCACGGCACAGACAACACACTGCCAAAACTCTCGCCGGGCAGCGTGCTACCCGCAGTCACGATCTGGTCTGCCTTGACGCATGCAAAGACGATGTGGTTGGCCTCGATGGTTGGCAGGCCGGCACTATCCCGCTGCGCAGCGTTGCCCCAGACCAACATGACCGGATGTGTCCGCGAGGCGTACCTGTCGTAGAGATCGGCGTCGCCGGACCAAGTGTATCCGTAGCCCGCCTTGCGCGAGAAGTTCTGGTTCAGCGGGATTTCTAGGGGTCTCAGAAAATAACGAGTCAGCATCATGATCCAGCAAGCCAAGGAGTCTCTAGCGGTAAGGGGCGCGGTTTTTGTCGAGGTTGGGTTCCACACGTACGAGAGTATTTCCCCTTGGTATACCCTTCGCAGTTGCGCGCATTCTCGATGAGCGGCGAGTATCCCTGGGTTCCCGGCACACCGACATTCCAGGCACTCTCTGGGCGGGCCATGACCTGCTGGCGCAGTTCTTGCTGGCAGGCCGCGCTGAGCACGCTCTCCGGGCACGAGCCGTCGGTCATGTTGTTGCGGTCCTCGACAGTGCGCAGCTCGTCAATGTCAAAGTGCGCGAGGAACAGCCGCCACGTGTCGGTCACGTTCTTGTCGACATCCCACACCAGCTCAGAAGTAGAGTTGCTGCTGTTGGTGTTGGTGTTGCTGCTGGTGCTGTACAGTGCGCCCTCTGATCCCGGCAGCGGAGGCGCGATCTCGACGATGATGCCCACACCGTAGGGTCCTCCTGGGTTTTCTGGGATTGGCCGCTGCTCTTTGACGGCGAGGACGAGATGCCAGCGGTCCTGCTGGGGGTCGCTCTCCGGGCTCCAGTCGCCAGGATACGGCCTGTCCATGCGAAAGCTCGGGATGGGCACGACTCCGCTGACGTTCACTGGGACCTCGGACGGGACAGCAATCTCGATACCCGAGTAGAGTCTGCCGTTGAAGGCCTCAGGAGCTGTGGCATGTGCCATCAGAGCGAAGGTGGCACACCCAAGAACGGCGGCCCGGAGGAGCGTTGTGGCATACATGGTGTGCGCGAGGGGAGCGCGGGGAGTTGGGGGAAGGTGGTTCGGTAGACAGCCTCCGTGCTTTTGATCAAGAGAGGAAGAATAAAAGGACTGCCAGGTCTGTTTTAACAGGATCACCAAAGTATAGTCCCAGATGGAAGATATGTAGTAGATGAGCGCCGTGCACGGGACATGGACGCAAGGGCCGCCTGGTTGGCGGATTGTCCGCTGCCGCCAGTCACGGGCAGCGACGAAGACCAATGACGTGAAGCGTCAGCGTATTCTTTTCACCATTGAACGTAACGGATATCCTTGCACGGTGTATTGGCTTGCTGCAGCTTTCCCGTCTGTGTTGGCTTACAATGACGTCGGAATTCTCCGCTCTGGATGTGACGGCACCGATCGCCTCACTGCGGCTTGTCGTGTGGGGAAGGCCACACCCTTTTATAGGCTTGGTAGGTTCTTCAGAGCGGTAGTATACTGGGGACTTTTGTTCCACGAGCCATCATTCGCCAGACCGGCGAGGCTGTAGCTGATGCCGAAGCTTAGACGTCCTGTCGTGTCAGTGCGGGCCGCAGCGGAGGGAGAATAAGCACCGCTTTCTAAGCAGTGAGCCGCATCGCATTCTTGCACAAGTTCCACCAGGCCGTCCGTTAGCGCGTCAGCACGAGTAGAGGCAGGCCATGCAACCTGCCAAGATGAGACAGGATCTTCAAGGCATTGCCGGCATTGAGTATCAGCGTGATCCACTGATCATCATGGTGCATGCTGTCGCGCACTCCGTCAAAATACAAGAAAGGGCTGCTTGTACTCATGGCCATTGCAACATGTACTTTATGACCTGCAAGGTATTTTTGTTGTAGTGGATTGAAGTCCTCATGCTTCTTCTAAGTTTTGCTAGACTCTGTATGCACTATGCACATATGCTACGATAGGGCTATGGACGCTTCGCCGACAAATCAATCCTCTGGATGTGAGCACTCATGACCCAACTCGACGCCACGCTTCCCGGCCATGTCCTACACGCTCAACCAACCTGTCATTGAAGGGTTCCCAGAAGCTTGAATCCTCTTCACAAAAATGAAAGTGTTTCTCTGTGTGAACATATCATCCAGAGACAACACGGAGATATTGAATAACCCATGCTCGTCCCCCATGACCTTACCGGACCTAACCAGGACGAGCCCAACCCTTGCTTGGACGCAGGGCTCCATACTTGTTCCAGGCAGCTTGGGCGAGTCGGCGAGCAGGTTCTAGACCAGGTGTAGGAAGCATCTGCTCATGTCGCCAAATCCAGAGAGCTAGCTGCTCAGCGGCAGTTGCAACTTCAGGGTGGACTGTGCCAGTCAGCCCATGTCCCGGAAAGCACCAGAGCAGGCTGAACTTCAACTTACGGCGAAGGCACCGGTGTGATAAGCTACCACAGTAGGCACAACGGGTTGCTCGATTACTCCGCTCGCCTGCCTGGTGGCGACAGGACTGTAGTGCTCCTGCCAACTGGCGACGAAAGCACCTCTCACAGGGAGTTGATGCCACCTCCCCGGCGACGGTAGGGCGGCGCGTAGCTTCCGGAGGATGCGCAGAGGGGACCGATGGCGCCAGAGTTGTCGACGTAGGTGGCAACCGCAAAGAGGGCCGTGGAAACCGGAGCTGATAATGGCCACTTTGGCGGTCTTTTCTTAACTGTTGCAGTGGCTGCCGAGGCAGTTGTTGCTGCTATTGCTGCGTAGAGACGGGCCGTAGATGCGGGTGATGCTGAAGGAACTGAGGGAGCTGTCGTTGGTCGTGCTGCTGGGGATGCTGCACAGCTGGACTGCTCGGTTGCGTCAATGGCGGAGCATCGACATCAAATGACAAGGTCGTCGGGGCCGGTGTACCGACTGGATGACTTCCAGGCCGGGCGGGAGATCCTCTCTGGATGAGGGCAGTACTTGGAATACCCTGAGGAACAGGGCTGGTGCTGCGCTTCAGGGACACAGTCGCTGTGGACGAAGTCTGATTTGGAAGGACAAGAGGTCAAAGTCAACCACTAATCTAGAGGTCATGGCGTGGCATGCAGCGAAACTACCGAGGAAACTCACAGCACGGAGGTCGAATATCTCGGGCAGTCCCGCAAGCACTGCCGTCGGTCGCACGCGTTCGGGCGCCCACGTGCGTGCGTATTTGGAGTCGTTCTGCTGCACAATGATGTCTTCGTGTGCCCATTCCCATGCAGTAGAGTCGAGCTCTGCACGGCCATTGTCGTCCTGAGTAAAGTAACGAATAGCCTCTTCGACTTCGTTGTGAGTGTAGGGAAGTGCCCGAGACGAATTCGGTGCTGGGTTGTCCTCCGCCCGCCTGGAGACGAAGCGCGCAAACTTGACCGCCTTGAGGAAATCGGCCTGTGCTGGAGCTTGGGGGCTCATGTGCTCCAGCGGGATTCCAATTGCGTCAAAGGGTCAGTAGTATTGCAGCCAAAACTTGAGCCCCATGGTGTCGTGAGCCATGATCGCTCACTCTGTTTGGCGCGCGGGTGTGGTGAGGTGGTGGTGATGTTGCAGTGCAGCAACACTGTCTGTGCTTCGTTGACGGCTGTGGTGCCAACGTGCCTTGTCTTGTTACCAAGGTGCAAGAGCCGCCTTTGTGGCGCAACGGGTCTGGAGTCCAGCACCGGAGAAATGCTTCTCATGAGCGGCAAGGCAACTGCTACGCGCCTCTGCCTTGTGGTTGTGACCCGCTGGAGCCCTAGGCGCCTGGGAGTGTGGGCTGCATGATCTTGTTGACAACTGAAATGGCTGCCACTTGCCCGCTACATCCCAACACGAGACAACAAGATCATCAGTACAAAATCACCGCAGGGCTTGAGCCCAGCTCCACCATGGTTCAAGACTTCTCCCAGGACTGGGAGCACGAATGGGATCCCTTTGATGCCATTGGATTTCCCGAGATTGGTCGTCATCCTCCCTCTCAAAGAGACTTTGACCGGGCTGTCAAATACGCTCGGTTCATGACCGACCCTGACCGTGTCAGGGAAGCAGGTGATGCAGCATCCCATCTTCCCTACACCCGAGACCAAGTCAATGAGGCGGTCCTCTACTTCACCAACGGCGAGGACAAGCTCGACACGGAGACCTGGGAGTGGGCGTTCTACGACATCATTGTCCAACGCCAGGACAATCAGTATCGCCGCTCCTGGGCGCCCTACACTCGCCGCTGGGCGTCGTGCGTCCTCCAGCAACCCATCATCATCGATATCGGCAAGTCGCATAAGCAGCCGTCGACCACTACGCAGGTTGCCGCTTCATACTCACCCCTGTCGCCAAAACCAGCTGCGACAGCATCCCGTAACTTAGTGACCCAAACGTCGGCTTCGCGCACCCGGCTGGCCAGCACAACGATTACTTCGCCTTACTTTGAGACCCCAGCCAACGGGTCGAGATTGGAAGACCAAGACGTGGTTATGACCTCGGCTGATGGGCAGCTTGATCTAGCCAACGCTTCTTTGCAACCTCCGTCCAGGAACATCAAGGCTGAAGACCCATTCGAAGACATGTTCCCATCACAATCATCACCAGCTAACGGATGGGAGCACCGCATCCTCCTCGGCTTCCACAGACCCCAGCTGGAGCTTGCTGGCCGGCACAACACGGTCGAGTCGGATAACCGCATGCCCGATGTGGGGCTGGCTCGACAAACGCGGTGCCGTCCAGCGCCGCCTCAGCAAGTTCAACCTCGCGGGCAAACTGGTTCCGTACGCATACCGGCCCGAGCACCTCTCCACCCCGGACCACAGAGACATTGTGTTCCAGCCGGAGCTTCGCGGTTTTTCGAAGCGTCAGATCCGCCAGAAGATCAAGGACGCCCGGGAGGAGCCGCCCAGGGAGCATCCGGGTTGGGTGCGCACACAGACTCCGCTGCCGTCTGCTTGATCATCGACTGTATAGGAAGCTTGGAAGGTGCGTATTATCAGAGTGGTGGGCTGAGCTGGGATGCACGGGTGCCAAATTTCAAGACCGCGGGCGGTGCTTAGTCGCCAATGGAAAGGCACGGGACTGGGTTGGCAAATGGCACGTATTGCAAGGCATGCGAGATCATCTCGTTCAGCATTCACCACCATCCAGGCCGTGAATGTCAAAGAACAATTTGACTCTGATCCACGGAACAGGCCGTTATGTACTTAGCCCCATAAATATTCAATTCAACACTCGATGGCTTTGTTACCAGACTACCGCACAGTTGTCAAATCTATGATGAATCAAATACAGGCACTGTTGATCACTTTGTCTGTAAGGGAAAGACATCAACAATTGTTTGCATTTCGTTGTCTGTGAGCCTCTGAGGATTTGGCGAATTGAACACACAACTCTTGCTCTCCACAGACAGTCTGTGGAAGTAATAGAAACAAGCAACCGGTTGGGCTGGGTTGTGAGAGCTCTTTCTTGAACCCGGCTGGGATCATGGAACAAGCAGAGGTCAACTTACTGCCGGTTCTTGGTCGCAGACCGGGGGGATGGCTGACACGCAAGACGCAGCCTGCCCTCGACCCTTGTGCCCTTGCATAGATGGAACCAAGGGAACGAGCATGCAAGAGGACTAGCGAATCAGACCGTGGAGTTTGCTCCACCTGAGAGTCCTGGAGAGCCTTACCAATGCCTGGATGCTTCACCCGACCCCGCCAGTCCTATGTTTGCGGAGAAGTCACAAGGGTCGTCCCCCGCGCTCCTTACTTTTGCTTTAGGCATGGTCGACCCTCGTCCACGATCAACAAGGGGAGGAACGAGCACCCGACGGGGTTTCACGACACAGAAAACCTGCTGAGACGAGCGACAGAATAACTCGGATCCCTGGTTGGGTGGTGTCCGGGTTTTTTCTTCTTCGTCAATCGCCTGCCTGCCACTATGCCAGGTCGTGACCAGTTTACTATCGGGTGGATCTGTGCGGTCGATACGGAATGTATCGCCGCGCAGATGATGTTCGACGAGGTCCTCGACAAGCCAGATGACATCCCATCCCAGGATGCCAACGCCTACCGGTATGGGCGTATCGCTGGCCACAACGTGGTAGTGGCCTTGCTGCCACTTGGCCAGTACGGCATCTCGTCTGCCACCAGCGCGGTCAAGGACATGATCCGCACTTTTCCCATCCGCAACGTGCTCATGGTCGGCATCGCCGGTGGTGCGCCACGCCCCGACCACGAACCCGACATCCGCCTCGGGGACGTCGTGGTCAGCACGCCGGGTAACGGGGACGGCGGTGTCCTGCACTATGGCTTCGGCAAGAAGTTGCAAGACCAGGAGGACCGGCAGCGGTTCCAAACTACGGGCCACCTGAACCAGCCGTCGATAGCTCTTCTCAACGCAATGAACCTGCTGAAGACAACCCACAGAACCGAGGGGCATCAGATCCAAAATTGCATGCAGGAGGCGTTGCAGGCAAAGAAGAAGCTCAAGCCGAGGACGAGAAGGGAGCTACAGCGTCCTGACCCCAGCACCGACAGGCTCTTTAAACCCGATGCGCTCCATGCCCCAAATCATGACAACTGCGACCACTGCGGGGATGGCGATTCCGCTCTGGTGGACCGCCCGCCGCGCGACCCCGACGATGATGACGACCCCATGATCCACTATGGCCTGATCGGCTGTGCCGACGAGCTGATGAAGGATGCCGTCATGAGAGACAAGTTATCACGGGAAAAGGGGATCCTGTGCTTCGAGATGGAGGCTGCTGGGCTCATGAACTACATGCCATCCATTGCCATCCGGGGCATCTGCGACTATTCCGATTCGCACAAGAACAAGAAGTGGCAAGGTTACGCGGCGATGACTGCGGCGGCCTATGCGAAGGAGCTGCTAAGCAACATTACCCCTGATCAAGTACTGGCTGAGGCGCGACTTGCCGACAAGATTGATGTTGGGTTCTCCAAGAGTGCGTAGATGAAGAAGCTGGCCCTTTTCTCTCTCGCTCTCTCTCACTCTCTCTCCCTCCTTCCTTGAGTAGATGTGCGTGTGTCTGACAGCCTCTTAGTGACTCAACAGATTCAAGATGTCAAGATTGAGTTGGGCAGCCTCAGAACAGCATCCACTTATTCCCATATAGCGCGGTGGCTGTCTCCAGCCGATCCGTCGACGAATTTCACGCGGGCGCTGAAACAGCGCCACGAGCATACGGGCCGCTGGCTTCTCGAAACGCCCGAGTACGGCTCATGGAAGGACAGCCCGGATTCTTTCCTGTGGTTACACGGCAAGCCGGGTTGCGGCAAGACCGTTCTGAGCAGCACGGTGATCCAAGACCTGGACGAAGCTCACTCCGGGTCACACACTCTGCTGTATTTCTACTTCGACTTTAGCGATACAGCAAAAGAGACTGTCGACAGCATGGTCCGGTCTCTCGTCCACCAGCTATACCACCGGGTAGCCGGAGCACGGACGTTTCTCGACTCGCTATACGCTTTATGCGGTCATAGTAGCTCCCAGCCGTCGACCGACTCGCTTCAATCGACGCTCGAGTCCATGTTTCAATCGGCGGGGGGCGTGTGGTTAGCGTTAGATGCGCTGGATGAGTGCACGACCCGACAGGAGCTCCTAGATTGGATCCGACATCTTCGAGAGACAAGTCCTGGGGTCTCCTTGATCGCGACAAGTCGCCTCGAGCAGGAGATTGAGGCTTCGATCCGCAGGATGAAGTCCGGCACCAGCATTATACCGCTGCAGAGCGAGCGTGTGCATTGCGACATACAGCAGTATGTCGAGGCAAAGGTGTATGGCGACAGTGCCCTTCGCCGTTGGCGGAACAGACCCGCTATCCAGGCGAAAATCCAGAAGGCTCTGATCGAGAAGGCTAATGGGATGTGAGTAGCATTACACGGTAGCAGTCACGGATCTACACGACTAATGCGCTAGTAGGTTCCGGTGGGTAACATGCCAGCTTGACACCCTCGAGGGCTGTAAGGACCCAAAGGTTTTAGACAAGGCGTTACAATCCCTCCCAAAGACCCTGGATGATACATACAACCGGATCATAGAACGAATTCCCGATGAAGATAGACCATCTGCGATACGCATCTTGCAGCTCCTGGCATTTTCAGAACGCCCGCTGCATGTTGAAGAAGTCGTTGATGCGATTGCTGTGGATCTCACGAAGACGCCGCGGGTTGACCCAGCAGATCGCATGCCCGAGCCGGACGAAATCTCCCACTACTGTTCCGGCCTGACAGTTGTTTCGGAAACCAGAGATGAAGACATCGTTACAAAACAGATCCAGCTGTCGCACTACTCAGTCAAAGAATGGCTAGAATCACGTCGCTTGGCAGAGCCACTTGCAACTGAGTTCCAGGAGCAGCATGCCCGGGCGGCTATTGCAGAGATTTGCATAGCATACCTGCTGGAACTCCCTGATGATTTTTCTCTTAGAGAAGCCAGGGACAAGTATCCATTCACCCATTATAGCGCTGCTTATTGGCCGGGACATGCCTCAATCGGCCAGACTGCTACACATATTGTTACCACCCTAGCTATAGAGCTGTTCGGGAACGCGCAGGCGTACTACCTGACTTTGGTTCTCGGTGTGTACACACAGCGGGCAAGTGGTACTGGTGGTTGGTCTCTCGCGACTCCCTGTTTGACCTTTGCAGCACATTACGGACTGCAAGGAGCTGTCGAACAATTAGTTCACCAGGGCGCCGATGCCAATGCCCAGGGGAAAAATCACGGCAATGCTCTCCAGGCTGCCTCATCAGAGGGATACGAGGCCATTGTGAGACTACTTGTCGAGCATGGCGCTGACGTCCATGCTGGGGGCGGAACTTACGGCGGCGCTCTTCAGGCTGCTTCTTGGGCAGGGCGCGAGGAGACTGTGAGATTGCTTGTTGGCCTGGGCGCCGACGTCAATGACCAAGGCGCACGCTACGGTACCCCCCTTCACGCCGCTGCGAAGTCGGGGAACACGGAGACGGTGAGGGTTCTTGTTGAACTGGGCGCCGATATTGACGCCGTGGGCGGATACACCGGAAACGCTCTTCAGGCTGCTATAATGGCAAAACACGAGGATACTGTGAGACTACTTATTGGTCTGGGCGCCGACGTTAATGCCCGGGGCGGAATCTACGGTAATGCTCTCCAAGTTGCTGCATCAAAAGGACACGAGGCTATTGTGAGACTGCTTCTCGACCATGGCGCAGACGTCTATGCAGAAAGCGGTTGCTACAACAGCGCTCTGGAGGCTGCTATGAAAGTTGGAAACGTGGATATTATCAGACTGCTTCTTGGATAGATTATATAGGAATAAGACGAGAATACGTAAAGAAGCCCAGTCTATTAACATCGTGGCCGTTCTTCTAGTAAAGGTGCAGGCGCGGTCCGGGTTTTGGCCGCCGCCTCGAGGTACTGTGTTGCGATCCTCAGGAGGGAGAACCCGTGGTCTAGTGGCTGCTCAGTTGATTGTGCAGTCATGCGGCAGTGCTAGGTACTGGTCAGTATTGCGCTAACAAAAACCTGAGTAGCCGAAACAGCGGCTGGGTAGCAGGGCTCAGGGAGACAGTGCGAAAATACCTACTAACCCATTTTGCCCGAGGCCCGCCGTCGGTTTTCACGGATGACCAGTTTGATAGCCCGGTGAGCTAGTTATGAAGGCTACGTAAGTATTCTACTACTCTGATCTATAACCCCGCGGAACTTGGATAAGAGAAGTAATTAATCTTATCTACTTCTCGACCAATATCTAAAGAAGACAAAGTCTTCTTAGGTTCTACTAGTATTATATATCCCGTACGTCTAATACTAGAGCACAGCTCTATTAGGGGTAGGCGAATTACCTGGTGGTAATATTTCTCCGGCTGAACGCGGATAGCTATCCTAGCTAGGCTACTGCCCACCTTGAGTTGCAATCGCACAAACCCGAATTTTGTTTTCAGCACTCGTATCTACGTTAGTCCAGCCCTCACCGTAGCACGAAAGCCAAGCACAACACCACAACACCACAACAACACAACAGCACGACCTCTCCCCAGAACCCGATAAACGATCGGAGCGCAATGACCGACACTAGAATGGCCCCCAAAGACTGGGCGTATGGTTCTTGTCCCTTTGACACTCTGGGCATTTCGATCAACTTGATGAGCCACAATCCTCCGACCGACGAGGACTTCAAGAAAGCCATCCGCGCTGCGCGGTATGCTACAAACCCAGACCGTTCTGATATTGCCAGCCTGCCGCCACCTCCTTTTACCCGTAGTCAGGTCGAAGAGGCAATACAGTACTTTGTTATGCCCGACAGTAGTCAGGGAATCGAGCTGGACCATGACATGTGGGCATGGGCATATGACCATTACATTGTCCAGAAGCAGAACTCACAGTACATCCGTACCTGGACCCCGGAGTACGGATATAAGGCCATGCTGGTTCCCGCGATGCCAATTAACATCAACCTGTCCACAGTGCGTTGGATCCTATCAACTCTGCATCTGCTCAAGAAGATCTGACCTCAAGGCACAGGGCACTTCAGCCAACACTCACTCAACCATCTCTCATGCCCAAAGTTCGTCTGTCAATCACGTCCCTTCGGTGCCGCCCAGAATCGACCTGGCCATCGAGCCTATCTATCGTCCCGTCCCTTTCCCCCTCACACGACATGACGTTAGCGGCGTATCGCAGACGGCCGGGCAGCTCCACCTCGACCAGCAATTCTTCCAACAGCATGTCGACAGCCCCCCACAATCTTCGCCATCCGTATCAACAGCCACGCTCCGTGCCCTGTCTCCATCCCCGCCCACATTGACAGGCACCATCTCCACCCAGCCGCAGCAGCAGCAGCAGCAGCAGCAGCAGCAGCAGCAACCTGATCTGCCACCCCGACTATTCGTTGGCTTCCACCAAGATCAGATCTTGAAAGCAGGCGACAAGGACCAGCCAGGCGCGGACTACCGCCAGGCTATATACCGACAGGTTCCTGCTCCAGGCCGCGTGCGATGGCGCATGCTGGCGGAGAACATGGTTGGCAAGCGAGTACCGAGAGCGTATCGTCTTGAGCCGAGGCAACTCAATGTCGATCCCGAGAAGATTCTCTTACGGGAAGCATGGGACGACCCGACTCATGTTTGCCCAGACTGGATCCCGACGCCTGAAACGTAGTTGGCAAGGACTTTGCCACGGAGAGCAGCGGAAGAGGAAGTAGTGGACCAGGGCACGGCAAGGGTGTCACAACCGTGCGGAACGTGCCAGACGGTCTGTGGTCCTGGTGGGATGGCGCTTCTGGCAGCTCACAGGATCAGGACAGTTACTGAGTATGTTGTCTAGGCTGGCGTTGAGCACGGCGCACAGAGGTTGCCGTGTTGGAATTCTCCGGGCGCAGGTCACAGGGAGAGGCATCGATGTTAACAACGGATCGGACCATGTCACAAGATCAATGGACGATTCTGTACCCAGTCTAAGAATTGTAGGAAATACCATCACACCATCGCGATCCACAACAAATGCGTGATTGCCCGCCCCAGTGCTTCAAGCAGACGTGCCGTGCCCAGTGACTTGATGATAACTTGCTTCCCTTGCTTTCAATTGAAGAACCGTACCAGTGCGCTAGGCTTCGGCTCGACAAAGTGTATGACGACTTTGGAGAAGCTGAACTTGACCTCGTGACCATCACGTGTTCCCATTCGGTAGCCTCCGGCCAGCGATTCAATGTTTCCACTATAAGGCGCCCGCAGCGAACCTGGGCCCTTGATCTAAATTTGCATGACAGAGTGGACGAGATCACTCACTCTTCGTTCTCATTGTCGTCTTCATCGCCGCTGTCGAGAACTTCCTCATTTCTTCCCGCCCACCGGGGATCAACAGGTGTAGGTATCCAGATGGGGCAGTCCTGCGCCAGGGGGTCTTCGCGAAACAGCACATGGTCCTTCCTGATCTGGGCGGGGTTGATGCGGTACCTTCGGGGTACGTCCTCGCCGGCCATGTTAAACCGCCGGAGGCGGTAATGGGGCCGACTGCGCGGATTTCTGACACAGTGGACAGCCTGGCGGTAGTCACGGCCGGGATGGATGTGCCGGCCAGCCACGTGAACTTGCTCACGATGGAATCCCACGAACCGCCAATGCGGGTTAGCCCGCAGATCGACAAGATATGCCCTTGTTCCGGAAGAGATGGGGTACACCTCGCATGGGGATCTAGCCTCTCGTTGCCCATGGCCCCGTCCATGACGTTCCTGGTAGTCGTGTGGCTGGCTGCTGGCCTGTGTGGGAGTCTGAGGACCTATCTGTAGTGGTTGTTGGAGCAGATCTTGTATCTTCTGTTCGAGATGTTGAGAATCCATTTGTGCCCGTAGGCTCTCTCGGTCCTCATAGTGCTGCTGAAGTGGAGTGTTGGGTAATGCTGGAGGTTCGTCGGTAACAGTGGAAGGCGACGCAGGAAAACTGTTCAAAATGATGACAGGATTGCTCCAGAAGAAGTTTGGAGGTGAGCTGCTGCTCATTCCAGCTGCCAAGAACGCTCCAGACCCTGGTGTTTCAGCACTCTCGCCGTGCTTGGCTGACCCTAGGTTCGTCGACCTGCTCTGCGTGGGCAACGCTGTAGGCTGCTGAGTGGTTGTGACTCATCAGATAGTGAACTAGTGTGGATGATGACAAGGACAGGACTCCATATTTTAGACTCACGATTCTGAGACGAAGAGTCTCGGGCATCCCAGAGATAGCCGCGCCAGGCCGGACCCTTTCTGGAGCCCAGGCGCGTGTGTACCATCCACGACTGCGCCGGACGATAATGTCCTCATACGCCCACTCCCAAGCAAGAGTGTCCAGACCGCCAGAGCCATCGTTGCTCTGGGTAAAGTATTTCACCGCTTGATCAAGCTGCACAGCGCTGTAAGGCATGATCAGCCCCAAAGAGTCCTCTTCTGCCTTCCTCAATACGAAGTGTGCACGCCACACAGCCTGGTCGAATACGTCCTTTGTTGGGGCTTCTGGTGTCATGAGTTCCAAACTGACGCCGACTGCGCCAAAGGGATTGTACGATTCCTGCGAGAGCCTGAGCCCATGGTCGTGGCCCGCCGCTTCCATCCTGCCCATTTATCGTCTGGCCCCAGACGAAGCGGGCAGGCCTTGATGAATGTCAAGACTGTCTTTTAGTGGCTGACATGGCAACAGCTTGACAATTAGGTCGAAGGCTGCCTTTAATAACGACCGTCGAGGACGCCCGGAAGGCAGAGCTCGCGGTGCCCCAGCCGATGTGTCACGGCTGAAAAGGATTGTTTGTTACACTCGATCACGCGAGAGGCCTGAGGGGCTTCAGTGTCATGTCCAGGGGCCAGACGCATGCAGCAAAAGCAATCTATACATGCAGCCACCCACAAGAAAAGGCGTCGCAGGTGCAGTTTGGACAGGTGAGCCTAAGATGCTGGGTATTTGCGCCATGTCGGGAGTTCTGTTGAATCAAAACGGCTTGGGACTGTTGATGCGAGGGACAAGTCACAAACAACAAACACAACAAAGCAAGCTCATTTACGCACGGTGTGAGCATGTTCAGGCAAGACCGCTGTTCAATTGTCATTAACACTTATCTCTTTGCCCCTGTCTTCGTGTCAGTGCTAGCTATACCACTGCTCAACCGCACCTCAACTAGTCGCAGAAGACGCATCAACGGCATCATGGCCACTAGCAACATACCCACTTTCTGGCAGGAGGCCTGCGACCCTATTGCCGCTCTTGGCATTTCTGGGAACCTCATGCGGCCGACCCTTCCTGCGCAAGCGGCTTGTGCGCGGGTCGTCCAATGCGTGAGGTTGGCCACGGACCCCGTGTGTGTCGGACGGGTAGCTGCAGATAGCCCTGGTCTGCGGCTGTGTGTGGCCGACTGGACGTGGTCGCCTGGAAGTGGGCGTACCAGGATATTGTTGTGCACAGTAATGGGAACCAGTACATGCGCTCGTAGGCGCCAGAGGAGATCTGCCCGACCAAGCTGGCGGAGGACAGACCATTGATCTGGCACGGCAAGTAAGTTCATCTCCATTCTGGTTCTGATCCTTTCAACCCACCTGCAGGAACACGAAATGCAAGCAGCCTCGTACGTCCCCGGCACCATTCTTTAGCCACTCACCATCAGCAAGAGTGCGATAACAAGCCTGATGTCACCAGGCGGTCTGCTGAGAAGGAACCGTGTCAGCCACAGAGCAGGGCTCTTGGGACCCATTTTGTTCGCACCGCCTCGCTGCCAGACCTGCCCTCCTCTCGACCTGCCCGCACAACTCGCGGCCCATTGCCAAGACAACAAAGACCTTCCGATTTTACCCCTCAGCAGGATCAGCACCACTCTCGTGCGGCACAGCGTCCCTCGCCGACTTCTTGTTAAGCTTTGTGAGTCATAGAAATCATGCAGTACCATAGTTCAATTGCGGCAATAAGCATCTATTTTCTCTTTGTTAGCAGAAATCTCGCCATGTTGCTGCGTTCCTGATTCTGTTGGCTGCTGTCTGCAGGCAATGGTCGATTCGATATATTATGGAGGCAGAACTTTATCTAATAAGCATACAAAGCACCCCCCTCATCTCCTCTTTCCCTCAACTTCCCATTCTCCTTCTTCAACCAAAATCTCATCCCCCAAGCACACATAATACTTGTCGCCGCAAAAGCAATCATGCTCCCAAACCCCATCATAAACCCCGGCGCACTCTCATTCGGCCACAAATACGCACAATAGATGTACGCCAAATTGGCCGTGACGTTGACGAGACTGTACGCCACGGCCTTCTTCTCGGGAGTCTGGGAGAGGGTATTGCTCACCCACCCCAGGATCACGGACCCTACGCCATAAGCGCCGGTGGCGTAGAGGAAGGTCGAAGTGTAGCGGACTGCGGTGTTCATGGTGCCCACCGACATGGCGAAGCCGATTATCGCGAGGCCGAGGCCGGCAGTGATGTGCCAGGTGCGTTCGTTGAGGCGGCCGGAGGAGTAGGCAAAGGGGATGCCGAGGAGGCCGGAGACGAAGTAGGGTGGTGCGGTCAGGAGGAGGGCTGTGATGGATGTGAAGCCCCTGGATTTGCAAGTGTGGAAGTCAGTTGGCTGTCCAGTGCTTTCTTGAGTTGTGGAGAGAAGTGAAGAGGATAGCTTACATGGATTTGACAATAGTGGGAAAGAAGTTATTGAACGAGCAAGCAGAGATGTGCAAGTTCTGCATGAGACAGAACAACCAAGTGCGAGGGTCCTTGCATGCCTGCTTCAGCCCATCCCAAGTCGAGCCTCGAGCCTGCTGGCCAACCGTGTCCCTCCGGATACGCTCGATAGCGAGATCCTTCTCTGCCTGTGTGAGCCAGCGGGTCTGCGACGGATCGTCGGGCAGTAAGAAAAAGCCGAACATGGCGATTCCTGCGGTGACGGCGCCCTCGATGATGAAGAGCCATTGCCAGCCTTTGATGCCGTATTTGTTGTCGAGAGTGGAGAATGTGGCTGCTGCTATCAGGCCAGAGCAGCCTGTGCTTACGACTTGACCGGTGTAAAGGATTGAGATGCGCGTGGCGAGTTCCTTGCGGGTGTAGTAGATGGATAGGAGGTACAAGGCACCGGGGTAGAAGGGCTGTGTCAGACGTCAGCGTTTTGATCAAGGATTGAGGACTCGAACATGCAGCTGGTTTGTGATGTTTGTAGACTTACAGCTTCGGCAAAACCGAGGAAGAAGCGGCAGGCAACGAGACCGCCGTAGTCTTTGACTCCTGCTGTAGCAGCGGAGACTGCAGCCCAGATGATCATACAGACCGAGAGGTAGATGGAGGGTCGAGTGCGTGTCATGAACATGTTGGACGGCACTTCGTCGTCATTGTGTCAGTATTGATTGAACGTCCAGGCATTACAGTCTCTCTTACCCTGCATCAACAGGTATCCCACGAAGAGGATAGAAATAGCCGTGTTGTATTGGACACCGACCAGACCCAGATCCTTTTCGAGGTTGTTGAGGTTCGCTTGCGGCAACGCGTTTCTGTCGAGGTAGTTCAGGAAGTACATAGCCCAAAGGATCGGCTTTCGATGATCGGGGCATTTGTCAGCGCGTGTCTGTTTGGACGTTCGTGGGTAGAACCTACCATGATTCGCAGGTCTAACTTGCGCACGAGAGCAATCTCTGCAGGATCAGTCTTCGCCTCAGCTCTGGAGTAGTCGCCTCTGATCTTGTTGGCTTCGACGCCAGCATCACTATGGGCAACCTCCGCCTTGATGTCTGTGACATTGGCGGGAATCTCGGGGGATGAGGACGTCATCGTGTCCGAACCTGTTCGGCTGAGCAAGAAGGAAAATGATCAGAGAAATGTGTGGTTCTGCAGTCGTGCTCAGAACGGATGTGCTCGGTTCCAGGTGCGCTGCTGATGATCAAGGACCAGAACGAGATGCATTACAACTCCACGGAGGGACAGAGCTGTATTATATGCAAGAGACCCTCACCTCTGGTTTGCTAACCTTGCCCTCATTGATCCACGATGGGGTACAGGGTACCCCAACGGCTACCAGCCCCGACTGCGCTCCCCACGGGGTTCGCAGTGCTCACCGCGAGCTTCCAACGCGGGGGGGGAAGTTCAGGTACAAGATGGCCCGTTATCCCGTTAATCCGTCCTCACCCCGGATCTACTTCGTGGGGTGTTTGGAGTACAAGCACCACGATTGGCTGAAAGGGAATCTGGTGTGGAGAATATGTTCCGTCGGATGGGGCGATTTCATCCCGTTATTTCGTTAATCCGCTACTCCGCTGGCCCGCTCCTCTCACGTAAAGCTTGGGGCACTTGTACATTTTCTGCCCGAGCATCGGCCGGAGGGGAGTAGACCATATATCTAAGACTCTTCTCTTCGTCTCGCGGGACGGGAAGGACATCTGATTCCTCATTAACCATTAGTCAGCCTGAAAGCAACCCTATACAGCAACATGTCTGCAGCCACTGTTTTCGACTCGCAGCTCTTCGGCAACATCTTCGGAACCAAGGAGATTCGACAATGCTTCTCAGACGAATCCTACGTCTCGCGCCTGATAGAGGCTGAGCTGGCTCTCGCCCAAGCACAAGAGGACGAAGGCGTGATCCCACCAGGCACTGCCGCGATTATCAAGGCTCATGGCAGTGTGAGCAAGATCGACTGGCCTCTGCTGGCTCAGCAGGCCGAGATCGTTGGTTACCCTGTGCTCAACCTCGTGGAGCAGATGACGACATGGGTACCTCCTGAGGCTTGTAAGAAGATCTCTGACGCATCTTCTCTTCCATTTGAAGCTAACCCTCAATCATCATAGCTGGCTACATCCACTGGGGCGCCACCACACAGGACATCATGGACCTTGCTTCAACATTGCAGATGAAGGCAGGCCTCGAGATTGTGGAAAGACTGCTCGTTCAGCTCGAGACCACGCTTCGCAAAATGTCACACGCCTACAGAGACGTACCCATGGCTGGACGTACCCATCTCCAGCACGCCCTACCCATCACATTCGGCTACAAGTGCGCAGTATGGTTGTCCAGTATCCGTCGTCACGTTTTGCGTATCCACCAACTACAAGAGTCAAGCTTGATGGTCCAGTTCGGCGGCGCTGCTGGCACACTAGCCTCGCTAGGCACGACTGACGCCGGCATTCGTGTACGGAAGCGCCTGGGGGAGGTCCTGGGGCTGACTGATCCAGTCATCACATGGCACGTCGCCCGCGACACAGTGGCAGAGATCATCAACTTCCTGGCTCTCGTGGGAGGAAGCCTTGGCAAGATCGCGCTGGACCTGATAATAATGTCATCCAACGAGCTGAACGAGGTCGCCGAGCCATACGTCCCCCATCGAGGAGCGTCGTCCACAATGCCGCAGAAGCGCAACCCGATCTCGAGCGAGGTCATTCTCGCGCACTCCAAGATCCTGCGTGCACAAGCTGGCCTCGTGCTCGACGGCATGGTCTCAGACTTTGAGCGAGCTTCAGGACCGTGGCATCTGGAATGGGCTGCGATTCCTACGGCATTCATCTCAGTGGTTGGGTCTCTATTCCAAGCTGATTTTGCGCTTGCGGGGCTGGTTGTGAACCAGAGCGCGATGCGCGAGAACCTCCTATCTACACGCGGGCTTATTGTGTCTGAGGCGGTCATGATGGCGCTGGCAGTACATATTGGTCGTGTTCGGGCTCATGACGTTGTTTATGCGGCTTGTACCAAGACGATTGACACGCCTGGGACACATCTTTTGGATATGCTCAAGGAATCCGAGGTTGTTACGAGCCATCTGGGACAAGAGGAGCTTTCGCGCCTGTGTGACCCGGAGCAGTACATGGGCTGCTGCCAACACATGGTTGATGATATGCTCAGGTTGTATCCGGAGACGGCTCCCAACGGCATCTCAGCGCCGGCGAAGAAGATGAACAGCGCGCTGAAAAGGGAGACAAATGGTTACACAAATGGAGACACGGATGGGTTGTCCAACGGTTATACTAACGGCCAGGTCAATGGCGTCCATTGAGGCAGTATCGCCTAAGTGATAAATAGTATCGGCTTGTGTAACTGCGTGGTAATAACTAAAGTTCTTACACCCCGGCTCATTTTCGAAATCTGCCTTTCCATGGGCCCAGCTTGCAGATATGTGGCATTTGTGAGCTGACTGAAACGTATGGGGGTTTTCTGGGTGGCTGTATCAGGGAAAGAGTAATTTTGTCTAGAGTCATTGTGCCGACCATAATTAAGTTTCTGAAAATATTGCAAGTCTGAGACTCAAGAGATCCTGTGATATGGACTGCGCTGGCGCACGGTGTACTTGTCTACTGTAAGACCATAGATGCACTGTGTTTTAGGGCTCCTTCTACCCCAACTTCAGTGCCCCAATTGACAGCACATGGATCCGTGGATCTTCTCCTCATCCATATTTTTTCGAGTGGCACGGGTCGCGAGTCTGCACACCAACATGCAGGACAGTGCGCGTGCTAACCAGGTCTGGTGAGTTCTTGAAATAGCGCCCATCCCAACGATAAGAAGACTAATAATTGATGCGTTGATGTAGTGACCGTTGCCGGAGGTGAGTTGGCGCCGTGGGACGTTTGACGTCATTTGACGCGCTCTTACACTGCGACCATTGAACACAGGCGCAAGATCCGATGTGCTGGTGACGGAAGTAGCGTGAGTCTTGAGTATTCGGTTGTTTTACCTGGCCATCCGTTCTCTGACCGACCACAGGCCCGTTGTACGCCTTGCACAACCGCACAGGTTCCTTGCCTTAGGTCAACTGCGTTGAAACGAAACCGAAAGCGTAAAAGGTGAGAGACTTCGGCGTCCGAGAGATTACTTATAGCGTAGCGTTGGTTGACCTGATACCTTAGCTTTTACGAGAACGAGGCCATACAAGAGCGACTTCTGGAGCAACATCAAGACAATGAAGCCGTCGAAAATGGCCAATCGCTGGCTGCTTCAGCTGAACAGGCACGACATCGACCAGCCACTTTTGCTCATGACTTGATCTTGCAACAAGCATCGCCACGGCGACATGCTGAGCAAGGGACAAAGGATCTCGGGAGCACGCCTTCTCTGGCGCCTGCCCGGGGTTCTCAGCATGCGACGTCGACGCCGCGTGATTATCAGAGCCGTCCAGTCTCCAAACTTAGCCCTGCAGACCCAGTTGTCGGCCATATGGGTCGCCTAGTCCCAAATGATGGCGGTGTCTCCTTGTTCGCAGGGTCTACCTCAGGTGTTCATTTTGTCAGCCAGACTGAGCAGACGATGCAGCAGCTCAGACTGAGCACAAACCAGTACCCCAACAGCGCCTACAGCTTGCATCTGCACAGTGTGGCCAGGCTCGGCACTCAGGAAGACGACCTAACTCTTATCGCGAACATCGTTCCCCAGATCCAGAGCAACGCCATCACAGTCATAGAGTCAACCATCGACTTTTTAACACCACTGTATCCCGCCATACACAAGCCCAGCTCCTTGCCAGTCTATCGACACCTACTCGTGGGGTCGGGTTGCAAATACCCTCTTGTACAACTGTATCAAGTCCTCCTGCTCTTGGCAATTGGGAGTATCGCAACACCATCACCGTCATGTAGCAGACGACACTCGCACTTACTGTGCCACGCCGAGTACTATTATTCACTAGCGACCGTCATAAGCGCTAGAGCAATGACCGTGTCCTGCCTCGAAACCCTCCAAGGGCTTGTTCTTGCTCAAATCTACTTGCAAGTATCGAGTCGCGGAGAAGAAGCGCTTCAACTTGGTGGTGTTGCCACGAGAATGGCGCAAAGTCTAGGACTCCATCGACACTCTGCTCGCTTCAAGATGAGTCCACTTGAGACGGAGATGCGGAGACGGCTGTGGGGTTGCCAGTCTACCCTAGATACGTAAGTCCGCCATGCCCTTTCAGACCGCGGATTCCACACTAGGATCGAGCGGATTTGGCATGAAGGTGCATTGTTTCTGACTCTGGATCTTCGATCTAGATTTGCAAGCACATATCACGGTATGCCACGCTTGATCCGCACCCAAGACGTCGACGCAGACAACCCGACGCCCGTGGACCACGACCAGATGAGTGCGTCACAGATAGCTTTCCCCCTCCCGGGAGAGCGATCTGAGATAGACTATGCAATTTGCACTTTCTCGATCGCACGCACCCTTGGAAAGACTCTTGAGCGTCTCTACACGACGACAGACCGTCGCGGCGGTGTCGACAAGATCCACCAGCTTCGGGCGGAGGTCGAACTTTGGACGAGGACACTACCTTCAGAAGTGAACGATGACGAGTATTTCAACACAATCAGTCCACATCAGCACGGAAGAACTCCAACAGGTACAGACACTGCACAATTACACAACTGCGAGGGCCAGCTGGGCCAAATTGAGTTCTCGACGGCTCAACACTCAGCTCCTGGAGCCTCGGCTCTTAGAGGGTCTCTTGGGGCGATGCTCTTGCGGATCATCAAACGCATCACAACTATCCACATTCACCGACCAGCACTAGCATTCACAAGCTCAAATCCCCAAGTACTTGAGTCTTTACGGACGTGCACCTCGGCATCAGGTGACCTTATCCGAATTATGGATTGGATCACCACGAACCAGAGCGAGGATGCACGTCACCCACCCTCGGTTGAAACCGGAAGAACCGGGCCCACAAACACAAATGGAAGCCCCGACATACTACGCAAACGTCTCTTCCTGTCATCACTATATCCCAATGGGGTGCACATGCTGTGGCAAGCCGGCCTGACGATCCTCTTCTCGAAATGGAAGGGCCATCCGATCGAGGCCTCTAGCACAACAACACAAGGCTTTCAAGACGCCTCGTCAGACACTGGGTATCATCTCGTCCTCAAGTGCGCATCCACCATGCGCAGTATCTCGGACTTGTGCGACGACGACGACGACGACGCACCATCTGCTCATGGTGGACACAACTCCAACGGCGTCAACATATGCGCTGATATTCTGGAACAGCTTGCCAGGAAGACATTCCCAAATGCCCACTCGCCACATGTAATTTCTTGGACGAACAGCGACGGCAGGAATGATGGTGCCAACACGACTGAGCACCAACAACAGCACATGGCTTCTCAGAAATCTAAGCAGAGTGCTTTGGACAATCAAACTGGCCACTACGCCGAGTGGCAACAGCAGGAGTCGCCCAGCTGGGACCTATGGGACTGGCCGATGGCATCTGCTCTGGATCTGGCTAATATTTTGGACGCCTTGCCGTTTGAAATGTCTATGGAGGAAGACCTCGGGACGATGCAGCATAGGCCTTGAATCGCTTTTCAAGCTTTCCAATAGCTGGTCACAAATGGACCAATTGTCCCTGATGTCATGATATGCATATCCGACTAGTTCAACTAATGGGTGAGAATAATACCTGGATTGATCGCTGAAGTATAAATGAGCGACTGTCTGAACAATAGGAATCCCGATGCTCATATATCCTTCGTTCTTCATCTTGTTCTAGCGCTGGAGCTATTGCGGTGCTCCTTGGTGCAGTTAGCTCGTAGTGTTACGCTGTCAGCTCCAAGACTCTTAGCATGCCTTCATCGGAGTTGCACTCATTCCATTAGTCAAGGGTTGGCCTGCACCTCGTTCCCCGAACATAAGGAGCCTCTGTGCATGACCTGCCCTAAACTTGGCCTGATCCTACGACCTGTTAGGTCGTTACAATTAGGTAAAGCACTTCACTGTTATCTAGGTACATACTAGCCCTACGTCTAAGTAGATGACAGGCGTATGATTGTCGAATAAAACATCAAGAAGAAAAGAAAAAGAAGTCTCCCGGCCTACGGAGCGGATGAAGGATTTTGTCCCGCCAGAGCCCGGGCCCACAACAAGAAGTTATTAAGGCTTAAAAATCCCTATATAGACAGCGATCAGACGTGTCTCGCTCAAGTGTGTGACGCATTTACATGTGGATTCTGGTAGTCTATTGATAAATAGGTACAAATATATGTGCGCTTGTCCCTGAGCAAATGAATCAGGTCCGTGATACGCTCGACAGCTCTCAAAGCTTGTGAACTCGCTTTTACTTCACCAAGAGCCTACGGCCAACATATGTTGTGCCTTTCCTAGATAGTGTACATCGCTGCCGGAGGCCGCTTGGCAACTCTCACCAAGGCCATATGTGTGAGGGTAAATGTCCCAGGACCTGGATGCTGACTAATGAAATGTCCACATCAAGGCTGCAAGGCACACTCGAGAAAGCCTGCCTACCTCGGCGGGGCCAAGGCTCAAGGAAGTGCTTCAATCTCACCTGTCTGGGTTTCCACGCCTGGATGGGGAGCCAAGCCCCTACTTTGGCTCAACTCTGAAGACCGACAACTCGAGTGGGCCAACGGGTAATCTTGGCCAAAACTGTCGATATGTCTGCTTCTGCTACCGCGCAACATTACCAATACCAGGCAAAGCTCGAGGAGCGAGGAGAGATCCGCCTGATCAACGTCAGCCGCAAGCCTGGAGGCCTGATCCAATGCTCTTTCATCCATGCGCAGCTTTTCCGGACAAGCATCAGCAACAAAAGCCTGTGCGACGATGTCGATGTGGAGGACAAGTGGCGCTGCGACTTGCCCTACTCCGCCATCTCCTACAACTGGGGCAGCGACTTGAGGGAGGAGACAGTAGAGGTTGAGGGGAGGCCGTTCCCCGTCACTACTAACCTCTTCAATCTCTTGCATGAAATCTGCCTCAAGCGGCCCGGCGACTTGTTTTGGGCCGATGCGATTTGCATTGACCAGGGCAACCATGCCGAGAAGAGCCACCAAGTCCAGCAAATGCCGCACATCTACGAAGCCGCGGAGCAGGTGTGCATCTACCTGGCGGGCTATCACCTGAGCGGCGCGAACTCTGCGCTGATGCAGGCACAAGAGAACTTCGACCGCAGTACACGAGGCCAATATTGGCCTGCAGACAGTCCCATGTGGGAGTCGGCCTGGAAGGGCAGCCGGGCCGGCATCGAGCTCAACGCGCTCTGCACCGAGGTAGAGCAAAAGACAGCTATGAGGATGCTCTACTCGCACCCCTGGTTCTCGAGGGCATGGATCATACAGGAAGTAGCCAAGGCTAGGACAGCAGTCATCTACTGTTCCGGCCACCGCGTCTCGAGCAGAGTGTTCGCCCTCATGCCGAGGCTAATACCCCTCGAACTGGGGGCACACCGCCAGGCGATACTCGACATCATGCCAGGACCGAGCCGCCAGACGTCGTGGTGGAGGGAAGACCGGTCACTTCTCAGGCTTCTGCACAAGTTCAGTGGATCACAAGCGCGTTTCCGCCATGACAAGATTTACGCATTGCTCGGGATTTGCACCGACTCGGCAGCCAGGGCGGTGTTGCAGCCCGACTATCACAAGGGAGAAGAAGAAGTCGCTCGCGACGCAGTGGCTCTGTTGTATTCGATACCTAGACATGTTCTGGACGAGGTGCCGCTCAACATCCAGTATTTCTTCGAGGCTCAAGACTCGGCCATGTTTGAACGAAAGTTGACGTCTGAGCCATTCGACTTGATTATCGGTACAGAGGACGACGAGTTCAATAGTGGCGGCGAAGAGGACGACAAGGACGACCAGAAGTGGGGCAAGAAAGTCTGGTCCAGTGCTTCCGACTTCGTTGCTCTGGGCTACATTACCAGCTGTTTACCGAGCTCCAGCTTCAATCACCAGGAAATAGGGGAGCGGGACGGTGACCGTCTATGGAACCTGGCAAGAATATTCTTTGGCAGGGCCAGGTTACTCAACTGGAGTCTCAAATTTGCCTATTCGGTGGGTGCACGGCAGGCATTTGCCACTGATGCTGCGCTCCCCAACACCAATGAGCTTGCTGCTGCTGCGTATTCCAGGTGTGCTTGGAGGATTGAAGCGGTGAAAGGACCAGACAAGCAAGTCAGCAGCAGCGAGACCCTAGGCCCAGGCGGAATGTTGCTGTCCACAGCTGCCACGCAGCTCGCTCAGTCACGGGACGTTGTGCGTGCCCTGTCTCGCAAGATGGGCCAGGGTGCATATAGCATCCTGCGGATCATGCTCAGGAACTTTGAGCTGAAGTCCAAGGACTCGGGGCCCAGCCTGCTCGAAACGATGCTGCGTTACAGCAACGCCCCGGCTACAGTCTTGTCCTTGCTGAGGGAGGATGATCTTGTCCATGCCATTCCTTCGAGTGCCATTCTCATACATGCACTATGGGATAACAAGCAATGCGGTAGGGAGATACTGCGGGAGATACTGCGCGACATCCTTGACAGCACGGCGCGCCAGAGACATCCTGAGATTCAACCACGGCACCCACCAGCCATGGTTCTCGGCACAGTGCCCTTTCTCGACGATCCCAATAAGTTTTGCCTTTCAGACTACGAGCTCATAAATATCTGCACGCGTTTTGGTCACACGGACGAGGTTGAATACTGCTTGCAGTCTCTTCCGCCATCAAACGACAATCGAGTCCTCATCACCGCGCCAAACCTACAACTGCTTAGAAAAAGCAAGCTCACGGACCCACCAATCTCTCTGGCCATCTTGAGACTTTCAGAAGTCCTCAATTTCTCTTTTTCCTTGTCGGGTCTGCTAGCACTGATCAAGGCCTGCAACCAGGACGAGCTGGGTGCTCTTGTTCGCGCACAGACGAAGACAGCCGACATCTGCAGGTTCTTGATACTCCCCAGCCTCATGCTCCGCCCCGGTGCGAGCACCTCCGATGAGCAGCAGGTGGCCGATCTCGTAGCAGCGATTGAGTCGGAGCTCGAGGCCAACACCACCACGAGTGAGAGCCCCGGAACGACGGCAGAATCAACTCCATCACAGAGTCCGCGGGAACAAAATAGGGACGACGACGACGAACATAGCACCCTCCCGAACAACCTTGAACGCTTCGCGGCACTGATCCTAACGTCGGGGTTTCGAGACAACAACAGCCTCGACCCGGCAGACCGAACCACAGGCTGGTCGCCACTGACGAGGGCGGCGGCCAGGGGAGACGTCAAGGCCGCGGAACGGCTGATCAGCCACGGAGCGGACATAACTGAGGCGGACGACTATGGATTCACCCCCCTGACGTGGGCGCACTGGCTGTCCCAGCAAGCCATGGTGGACCTGCTGCTCGAGAACGGAGCTCTGAGCAGCCTGGCGGGAGGAGGCACATCATCAAGGGCGTATAATGCCGTGTTTGGAGAGTTTGACACGATACCAACGTCTTCTTCCAGCGGCGGCAGCAGCGCACCGGCGGTGGACGGGCCGGAGGTCATTATACCGAGCAGGTATCTGGAGATGTTTGATAGCTTCATCTCGAAGGTGATTCAGACTCGGCCGTGGCATAGTGGGCTTCGTGCTGGTGCCTCGCGAAAACGGAGCCGCGCATGGGAGTGGGCCGAGAGACACCCACGAGACGAAATCCCGGTGGGGGAGCTGTAATTCTCTCAGAGCTGTTTGTCGTTTTCCCCGTATTTATTTGAGAAGAAGTAATCTAGTCAAGTCATAGTATGTCGCCACCTCACCAGGTGCTCCTTGCTTGCTAAGCGACGTAGGTGTCATTCGCTAAAAAGGGTTGTGGCCGAATCAGGACCAAATCCAACTGTCAGAGGTGGAACAAAGCTAAGTACTCCCCGATCTGAGGCAAGCGGTACTAGACAAACCATGTGCCAAGGTCTCTGTGGGCATTTATGGCGATCAACAGTCTACTTTGAGTTTCCTGCATTTACGTCGCCTGCATTTACGTCAATAAGCCGGGATCGAACATTAATAAAGCGCGCCTACTACAGTTTTGCGCTCCCCTCGACCAACTTGTTCCAATCCGTCTCGGTGAACTCGACGTACTCCTCCGCCCCAGCGCTCGGCAGCCACAAGATGACATCCTTGCCACCACCAGCGTCGGCATCACTCTCGGCACTACCTCCTCCTCCGCCTCCTCCTCCGCTCAGCGTGCCCACGAGCGCCGGGTCCACGCCTTCCTTCCGCAGGGGCACCTTGTTCTGCTTGTGGTTGTGGATGTGCGAGCTCCGGCCGGCGTCCATGACGCGGATGAAGACGGGCACGGCGTACCGGGGCAGTGCCTTGCGGGCATGCGAGAGGAGCTTCCTGAAGTACTCACCCCCTACTCCTGCCCCTGCTCCTCCCTTCTTTCGTGGCTGTTGTACACCCTGCGAGCCGACAACGCTCAGGTCGAGCGTCAGCGCCGCACACCCGGCCCGGCCCTCATGCCCGGGCACCGTGACGCCGTACACATTGGCCTCGCTCACGCCCTCGACCTGGCCCAGCACCTCGGCGACCTCGGCGGTGGACACGTTCTCCGACTTCCACCGGAAGGTGTCCCCCAGGCGGTCGAGGAAGTACCAGTGGCCGTCGTCGGTGCGCCGCAGGGCATCCCCGGAGCGGTAGTACAGGTCGCCCTTCTCAAATACGTCCGTGGCGAACCGCTTGGCCGTGGCCTCGGGGTTATTCCAGTACCCGCCGAACGCGGCGCGGTCGGGCACCTTGACGAGCATCTCGCCCCCGACGTCGTAGGGCATGCGCCGCGCGAAGCCCGTGACCGGGTCGCGCCAGATGTCGCCCGTGTCGACGTCCACCTCGACGGGGACCAGGACTTTGCGGGTGAGCAGGCGGAGCAGCAGGCCGTGGTGGCCGACGCACTTGCTCAGGTACTCGCCGCGGTCCCAGACGACGAGTCCGAAGACGCCCTCGCTCGAGTTGAAGAACTCGGCGACCTCCGGGATGGCGAAGCGCTCCTGGAACCGCGTCCAGACGTCCGGCCTCAGGCCGTTGCCGTACGCGCAGCGCAGCCGGTGCTGCCGCTCCAGCGGGTGGTGCGGCGCGTTGAGCAGGTACCGCGCCGTCTCGCCCACGTAGATGAAGATGGTGGCGCCCGAGTCGTGGATGTCGGGCCAGAACCCGGACACGCTGAACTTGGGCGCGATGGCGATCCGCAGGCCGCCCAGGAGCTGTGTTGTCAGGCTCATGACCGCCGTGCCGTGGTACATGGGCATCGCGCTGTACCACGTGTCGACGCCCGGTTTGCCGTTGAATGGAGGCGCGATGTGAGTGCTGAGGAAGTGGGAAGACAAGCACAGGGGATGTGTCAGCCAGCCAGTCCTATAGTACGGTTTGGTCGGTGCCAAAGGATGGTTTCTCCCCTGGGGGTTGGGCTTTGATCTTGAGAAATTGAACAACTCACCCCATCTGGTGCACACGGCTGACAATGAACGGGCACCCCTTGGGCAGGCCGGTGGTCCCGCTGGTAAAGAGCAGGATATAGGGATCGCTGCCTTTGACGTTCCGCCGCAGCGCGTCATCTGCATCCTTCGCCGGGTACCCCGCGAGCTGGGCCTTGAACGCACCGTCAAGCGTGACAACCTTTATCCCCCTGCTGCCGCCCTCAATCTCGTCGCGGCTCTGGTCAATACGGCGCTGGCACTCCGTGTCCGGGTCGACAATGAGCACCTTTGAGCCGCACACGTCGATGCAGTGCAGCAAGCCCTGGCCCTCGAGGTTGTAGTTGATGAGGCCCGGGCTGGCGCCGATGCACCACGCGGCAAAGATCCAGAAGATGAACTCGGGGCTGTTCTGCAGGTACATGGACACAATCTCGCCCGGCCGGATCCCTTGCTCGAGCAGCCACTGCGCGTACCGCAGGCTGTGCGCGTACACCTCGGCGAACGTGTACTCGCCCGACCGGGACCATATGGCGGGCTCCGGCCCGTGCGCCTGGCATGCCGTCTCGACAAAGTACCACGGCGACAGGCGGTTCTCCTTGGCCTTTTGCTCGTAGATCTTGGCGAAGCGCCGCATGCTCAGCAGCACCTGCGCGTCCCGGGTCAGCTGGTACTTGCCGTTGAGGTACGCGGCGGCGGCGGCGCTGGCCGCGACACCCCCGGCGGCGAGGGCGGCTGTGAGCGAGGGCGAAGGAGAGATGGTTAGCGAGTCAATCAGTCAGTTTGGAGGATGGGGTGCGTCGTGGAAATGGACATGGAGCGGCAGAGAGGCAGCTCGGGGGATCGACCTACCGACAGACATGGTCGTGGTCTTGCTCTTGTGTGTAGAGGTTGCTCGCCCCCAACCAAATAACTGGGAGATGTATCCGGGCTGGATCAGAAAGCAGCAGAGAGAGATGCTGGAAATCCTGTTGCGGCCTGCTAGCAATGCTATCGAGAAGGACCGGGAATGCCAAGCAGAGGGTGCGAATAGAGGAGAAGAAAGCTCTCGTCTCTTCAAGGAGTCAATGCAGCAGGAGACTTGAGAAGATGGGCAAACAACGGGCCTACGGGAGCCAGCCTCCACCGACCAACCGTCATCGTCCCCGCGTTTGTGTCGGACGGCGGCTGGACCGGCTAGGGGTGTCGGGACCATCAAGGGCCCGCCCAGCTCGGTCCAGCACAGCAAACTCGTGGTTCGTCGTCAACCCCCCTGTCGTGCCGCATGACCCGCGCGCTCCTCCAAGAGTTTGAAAGCGCCGGGTTTCCACAGTAGTTGGGGTCCGCGTGCGGGGGAGGACCCTACTGTGCGCCAGTGGCTTCCCGTACGTCGAGAGCTAACTGGAGCATTTTCCTCCCCGCTCCTCCACGCCGCTAAAACAAAATCACCATGCAGCGGGGGTTGCCTCGGCTCATCGACACGGTCGGGGACGCACTGGCCAGTCTCTGCAAAGTAACCCTTTCTGACGCCAGCAATCTACTGTAGTCTAGGCGGCCAGATCGACTTCGGGGACGAGAAAATCCGAAAACCCGATTCCGCTCGTAACACTTTGGCGAACCACATCAGCGTTAATTGTTGTCGTTCCAGCTCCCGCTGCTGCTGCTTCGACTTCAGCTGCCATGGCTGCCAACCTTGCTGTCTGGTTTTGCTTCTGGTGCTGATGCTGATGTAGATGCCGGCGGTGTGCCAAAGAGGACTTCTGCGTCCAGCGTCTCGACCCCGTCTCGGAGGTGCAGCTGCACCAGGTCCAGCCAGTGCGTGCGGATCCGCCGGGACCCTGGGGCCAGGCCCGGGTACTGCGCCGGGCCCGGGCCGCACTCGCGGAACTCGCCATCGAGCACCACCCCGTGCTCCCACTCGACCACCCGCTTGGCCACTGCCACCGCGCTCGCCAGATGCCACAGCGACTCGCGCTGCACCGTCAGCCACTTCAGGCACGTCAGCGCCGGCCGCCGCACCGACAGCTCGCGGCACTTGGTCACCACGAAGAACATGGGCAGCGCCATCCCCGTCTCGAAGGCGAAGTGGAGCGGCCGCCGCACCTGGATCTGGTGGCTCTCTGACGAGCCCGCCGTGAGCATCTCCATGGCCAGCGTCGCCATCGACGCCAGTGTCTCCAGGTGCGCGTCGTAGCAGTCGTCGTCGTCGTCGTCGGTGCCGCCGCTGCTGCCCAGGCACGTCGCCACCAGCACCCTGCACAGCGCAAGGCGCACCTGCAGGCCATGCCGCAGCACCTGGTGCATTACCCGGTGCGACATCTTGTACCTCTTGAACACTGTCTGCGCGTACTGGTTCACGTCCAGGTCGAATGTCGCGTACGCGCGTTGCCACCGCGCCAGCAGGTCTTCCACCTCGTGCCGCTCGGCCGTCAGCTCGGGCGTCGTCGTCGTCGTCGCCGCCAGGTCCTCGAGGTCGCCAGATTCGGCGGGCGCATGCGGACGGCGGTTTCGATCCCGGGCGGCCTTGTGCGTTAGGCGTAGGATCCGCCCGAGGATGATGTCCAGAGACGTCCGGGCGTCCGTCATGGAGGAGAAGGCGCTGTCGCTCAGGAGGATGGTGTCTGCGTAGGGCAGGCTCGGGACATCTGCAGTGCCGAGGCCGTCAAAGACCAAGGGAACCATGCTCAGGCGGTGGAAGGATGGGCAGATGCGGTCGCGCATCCATGGGTGGATGGTGCCGAGGTCGCACAGCAGCCTCAGGCCGTGGCGGCAGTGGCGGACGGCGGCCTCGGCGTTGGCCTGCATGAACTCGATGCAGATAAAGAGCATGCAGACGAAGATGACGAGGGGCTGGTTGCTGCTCTGTTTGAGCTCTTGGATGGCCGCGTTGTAGTGCGTGAGGGCGAAGTCGTTGTGGCGCAGCGAGGCGGGCGTCTGGGGCCCGGCGGCGAGCTGCTCGTAGAGGGAGCTGATGGCGACGAGGGAGTGGCGGACGGCGGGCTCGAAGCAGCTGAACTGGAGGCTCAGGTCTGTCCAGAAGTAGGCATCCAGGCCGCCGACGAGGTACGGGGCATGGATGCGGAAGTAGTGGAGGGCCCGGGACTCGAGCGGGTGCTTGGAGCCGGCGAGCAGCTGCCGGGGCTGGACGGCGAGGGCCGGCGGGGACGGGAGGGCGGCCTGCGAGACGGATACGGCATAGCCGGCGCAGGTCCGGCCGGCCCGGATGCACCGATCGCAGAAAGGGCGAGCCTCGTCACACTAGAGGGCGGGAGGGACTGGTGTCAGCAGGGTAGGGCAGGGCAGGCACAAGAGACTTTGTGTGACACGACGGGCGATGGAGGAACGGCCCGACCCAAACGCCAGTCGGTCAGTGGAGGGAGACCATGTTCACGGGTGCAGCGGGGGAGGGAAACACTTGCCTTGAGTCTACGGATTCTGACGGTGGGCGGCGGAGGACAGAGATCAGCATTGTCTGCCCAGACATGGACACAGGCCACGGCGAGCCAAGACAGGACCTACTTGCATGTGAAGCAACCCGTGCGGACCTTTGGCTGGCCTTTGCGGGCCATGTTGCGCTTCTGCTGCTGCAAGGCAGCAATAAAGTGCGAGGGCGGCAGGTGTGTGAGATGGTGGGCGGTGAGCTCGGATCCGAGATTGCCTTTGTAAGAACTGCCTATGGAAGAACAGAAGGGGTGCGTGCGAGTGCGGGTTCGCCTCGAGGCAATCCGCTGGATTGCTGGTAATAGCGACAGGTCGTGTGCATGGGCTTCCGCTTTGAACTGGCCGGGAGCTGCGGTCGCTGCGGTCGAGGCTTGGTCCTAACTGGGAGCCTGGCCGTCTTACTCGGAGCACGAGGCAAGAGAGGAGAGAGAGCGAGAGAGGACCATGGGCATTTGTGGTGGCGCTTGGCGTCTGTGCTGCTCTGCCCTACGCCGGCGGCGCCAGGTCCGGGCTTTTTTCCGGGCGTGATTTGGAGCGTAGCTGACTAGCGTAGACCCTTGGAAGCCGCCCGTGTTGGTCGAGAAGGTGGGGTGGTGCTGGATATGCCTGTATCGTGCCGGGACCGAGCTCGAGGCGGGTTCTCTGGTGGCGTCTACGAGGCAAGCAGACATGGTGGACGACAACTGTCGCGCTGGAACGCCCAAGAGAGTGGCAGGCATGCTCGGAAGGCGTGGCTTGGCTTGGCTTGGCTTTGCGGCTGTCAACGTGTCGCGCGGAGGGAGTGGATGCGGGGCGTTGATGAAGCTTCTTGGACCCCTGGCCTGCTGATGTTGAAGCTGCCCATTGCCGTTTGCCCAGTCCTGGAGGTGTCACTTACCTAAGATACAGTACGTACCTTGGTAGTTGCCTGCGTGCCTGAGGCATTCCAGCTCCAGCATGCCTTCCGTGGCGGGAGCACGGCACAGTGCTTACCGTCGCCCTACTGCACGGACGGTCAAGACTGCACACTGTAGCGCTGCCTCCACCACGTTGACCTCATCACGCGATCCGATTCAATGGCAAAGTCCAGGTCAGTCTCAGGCTCTGTAACAACATGGCATCTCAGTACCCGCCACTACTGCCAGTTCTCCAGCACCGTGTCCCCCTCCTTGATCCCACACCACTTGACACTCTCCCGCCACAGCTCCGCCCGCTTCGCCTCGTCCTTGGCTTCCTTGCTCACCGGCCACACAAGACTGCCGTTCAGATTTACTCCTCCCTGGCCATCACCATACGCTCCACCAAAGCCCCCGGCGCTAACCCCGGCAGCGAAAAGCGTGTCCCGCGCCGCCTTGGCCTTGCTCCGCAGGTACCCGTTCGGCCACAGCCACGTGAGCACCGGGGCCAGCAGCGGCAGTATGAACTGCATCGCGACCACCCTCGTCATGAAGGAGGGGTCGTCGCGCGTGATTTGCGTGGGCATGGCGCCCGGGTCGTAGGACACGACCTTGATGTTTGACAGGGCCGAGGGCTGGCTGGTAAGCCGCGTGTGTAGTTCCACCCTGTGTTTTGTGTAACCTCGTCAGCCTTTTTCCGTCTTTTCCGCTCCGTTTTGTTGAAATTGTGGTAGTGGTGGTAGCGAGCGCGAAAACAATTGTGGCTTGCAGCCAATGCTGAGGAGCCAAAGGTACGGCGCATAACACCCGCGCGTGCCAAGTAGTTTCAAGAGCTGCCATGAACGAGAAGAGGAGATGAAAAGTAAAAGACGGAGAAGAAGGGATGACAAACATAAACATGACCTCGCACAGATGCGCAGCCCCGTACCGCCGCTGGCCCGACATTGGGGACGGGTCGTCCGTGAAGGAGCAGAAAGTTCCCTTGGCCAGAGACTCGGCAGAGTGGAAGAGCGTTTTGTACTTTGGGTCCTTGAAGGCGCCCTCTATCTCGTTGCGGGGATCTTCAGTACTATGTTTGCAATCTGGTTAACAGCAGTCTAGTCTGCCTCCACTTTCTGATGGAATAGAGACAGGACCAGAGTTCAAATAAGGCGTGAATGAGCAGAGACAGAGATGGGAAGCAATCGGCAGGGCGCGACCTACTCGTGGTTCATCCCGCTAACAATCACCACCCGGCCCTTCTCCCGGTCCATGCTGCCCAGCAGCAAGAGCACCAGCAGGAACTCGCCGAGGTAGTTGTTCTGGAATGTGGCGTCGAACCCGTCCTCGGTGAACGTCTGCTTGCTCACCTCGCGGTACCCTGCGGCCAGGACCATCGCCCGGAGCGGCGGGATCTTTCCCGCGTCGACGAGCTGCTTGATCTGCGCGGCGCCGGCGCGGACCGAGGCCAGAGAGGACAGGTCCACCGACACCACGGTGTTGTTTCCCCCCCGGCGAGTTGCGCTGGCGAGGATGGCGTTGAGGGCGGCGGCCTTTGCCGCGTCGCGCACGAGGAATAGCCCGTGGTAGGTGCCGTCGAAGACCTTGCCCGCGACGACCTGGCTTGCAACGGAGGAGCCGAGGCCGCCGTTGGCGCCGGTCACGAGGATCGTGCCTCCTGCTGGCGGCGACTGGTTTGCGGCCATTGCTCTGCTTCGGCGTGTAGTTGCGTACGTGAAGAATTGGGACTGGGAAAGTCTCCCGGACTATCTCGCTGCGAATGTATGTCAAATGCAAAGATTGGATTGGACTCAAAACCACGTCACCCATGTACGTGTTTCATGAAGGTAAGCTTGTGTGCGCACTTGGTTGCAAGGGCCCGCGGGCTGTCAGCATTGGATCCTTTGCCGCCCTATTCTGCTACCTTGGGACAGAGCTGACAAATACTTGCCTCTTTCCTATCCTGGGCTCGGCGACCTTACTTAACCACCAGCAGATATCTGGAACGAACGGGGATAGAGACTTGCTATTGGCACTCTGTTCCGTTCCCGTTGTTTGGCGCCTTTCTCTGGGATTGGCTGGCGTCATCGTGGCTCGGGCTCTAGCTTGTCCACGCCCATCGGCCGGGCACTCGACCTGCTGCCAGCCAAGCCTTCGATCCGTCGCTATGGTCCCCGGGCTTCCACTTCATTGGCCACAGTGAGTGGCCGAGATACACCCCAGACCATGTGGAGACGAGGCCAGCATGACGTAGCCCCTTTGGGAAGTCTTTCCTGGCTAGCATCGTATTCTGCGACCACCCACAGTCAAGAGGCAGATTCCCGTTGTCTCAGCCGGGATCGGGCGTCAGCTGTGGCCCGCTTGCGAGGAGTGATTGTGTCTGCCTTTGGGTGCTCAGGACTGAGGCAAGGAGGAATGATATCGGTGCCGAGCTCAACCAGTTGCGCACATGGTCGTGCTGGCACGTTGAGCGAGCTTTACAGCACGTGCTACTCAAGTCTCATTCTCTCCCTAGGAGACAAGTTGCATGCGCAGCCCTAAGTTTTCCAGCTGATAAAGGACAAGAGCCTCCTAAGCCCTTGGAAGTTTGACTTGATGCTGGTCCAAATCGCACACATGAACTCACTTCAAGAGACACGTGTGTGCACGAGTGAGCACAACCCCCCGATGACCAATACTGCCGCCCAACCTCTCTCTCGTCTCATATCGCAAATGTCGCGACATCCCACTTACGGCCAGGCCCATCCCCAACTTCCATTTCTGCCTTCTACCCCAAAAAGCACCTCCCAGCCCATCTGTGTACTGCCACGCGTGCCTGGCTGCTTTGACAGCATACCCATCTACATTCCACCCCTCTTCTCCTTCTCGCGCTGCCTCTGCTCCCCGACCAGCCTCGTCACCTCGTCGTTGATCGCCTCGTGGCCCATGGCCCGAAACCGAGGCCGGTACACGATACTCGCGCCGTCGATCATGCCCACCCCGGGGAGCCGGTACTCGCGCGGCACGAGCTCCCCCGCCATGTTGGTCGCGCGCAGCCAGCGCTGCACCCGCCCCAGCGCGTCCACCACGCTGTGCACGGCCTGGCGGTAGTCCTTGTTGTGTTGCAGGTTGCCCGTCGTGGCAGGGGCCACAGTGGGGCCGGTTGGAGATGCTTCTGCTACTGATGGTGATGCTACTGATGGTGATGGTCTGCCGCGGAGATGTGCTGGGAGGCTGTGCAGCTGGCGGCGGTGGTGGCCGAGGATAACGCCGGTGTGGTGGACGCGTCGGTGGGATGAGCGGGTGGTGTTGCGGTTGCGGTCCTGGGGACGTTGGTAATTATTGGCAGCCGGGGATGAGTGGGATGTTGGTGAGAGGAGGGAGGGGTGTCGGACTGGCTGGGCCATGATGGTGTTGTTGTCATTCTCGGTATGGCGTTTTGCGTGATGACCAAGTCGGGTAGAGAAGAAGCGGTGTCTCTGGCCTGTCTCCTCGATTTGTGTTGACTGAGCATCGAACAGACCAAGGCGGGCAGGCGTCGTGGGCTCGAAGATGGCGCCTGTGGTGGCAATCTTGGTGTTGACAGCCTCAGTGGTCATGTCTTCCGCCACCTTGCCACAGCTCTGTCCTTTCTGCACCTGAGTCGAGTTGTTGTGGGCCAGTGTTTGCTTTTCGTCGTTCTTGTCTTGTCCTTCATTATCATCTGCCTTGCGTGTTGAGATTACCGGCGGAGCGAGGTCGACGGCAATGGCATCCTCGAGAACAACCTGATCCCAACGCAGTCTCTCCGGCGCCCAGTGCCGTACATAGACATGACGATACTGGAAGACGACAATCTCCTGGAACGCCCACTCCCACGCCACCGGATCCAATAATTCGTCCTCCGCAGACGTTGGGTTGTAATTACTGCTGCTGCCGTGCTGAGTGAAGTACTTGACTGCCTGGTCCACCTGTTCTCGTGTATACGGCAGCCTTGAAGCGGCCTCGCCTGCTTTCTGGATGCGCGCTGGGTCGGTCACGAAACGCGCGACGCGGACTGCTTTCGCAAAGTCGTCTTGGCTTGGTGGTGACGGTGTGAGGTGGGCGAAGCCGATGGCGTCAAAGGGGCAGAAACCCTGCTGCCAGTCTTTGAAGGCGGGATTGTCCATGTTGCGCAATGCGAGGACGTGTCGTGTCAGAAAACGGACGAGTGTACAACTGAAAAGGGACGAGTTGAAAATATGTGATGGAAAGGTGAGTGGTCTGTGATAAGGACAGCTGCTTGGGTGGACGGAGACGGGAGAGAGGGGGCAATCTGCCCTCCTGAAGCAGTCTCTATTGATATCACACAATGCGCAGAGGGAGATGTGGAACGCAGTAAGATGGGAAGACCCTAGTTATTTGCTTCGATTCAAGGGCTCAAGATTCAATGCCCGGCTTCTCTGATCGACTGCATTGTTGCTCTGCGAGGGAGAGTGCATCTGCCAGCTACCACCGCCACCGCCAACCTCTTCGCTCAGATCAACCTCGGTCCGCCGCTTCACCTTACTTCTCATGGCATCCGCGGAGTTGGTATCCATATCGGAAAATCATCAGCCTCGCCCGGGACATCCCAGCCTTCACGAAACAGAATGTCTTCCCTCGAGATGGTCGAGACGCGTCCATTACGGTACTCTGCAGGGATACCCTCACCTGCCATGTTGCTAGCTCAGATCCGCCACTGCACACGGCGCAGCTTGTCGACCTGTCGATACACCGCCTGCCGATAGTCCTCGCCATGGCGTGTGTGGGCACCGGCCTTGGCAACCTGCTTTCGATGGAATCCGACGAAAGTACGATCTGGGTCTGCCTTCAGGTCGGCCCGGTGCTGGCGTGTCTGCTCGGATATGTGGAAGTGCTGGTCGTACCGGTAGCCACGTTGCTGGTGGTCCTGCTGATTCTGTTGGTGCTGCTCTCGTGTTCCTTGCTGTTGTTCGTGTTCTGAACTCACGTCGACTACTGCACCAGGAGGCGTCGAGAAGGGCAATGTTGTTGGCGTCCCCACGGAGGACGACGGTTCTTGCGGCGGCGGCGGCGACATTGGCGAGTAATGATATAGCAGATCCGCGAGATCTCGCTCTAAAAGCGTGCGTACATGCCCTGACACGAGCGGTGCCTCACTCAACGCGTTCGACGATCCGCGTTCGTAAGCAGCAGCTGGTGCTGGTGATACTCCTGTTACATCTGCTTTCAACTTCCAGAATGCCTGCCCCGTGGCGGAGAATTCTGAAGCAAACGGCGTCGTTTCCTGCGTCCGCCCAGTCCCAATGCTGTTGCTAAACAGATACAAGGGCGAGCTGGACCTTGTGGAGGGAGGTGAAGAATCTAGATGTGCCTCATCCCAGGTTGGCTGAGCTCGGGGACTGCTCACGGGGGTCGCGCCCAGGATTGGTGACTGAATCTGTCTGCAGGTCAGAAAACGCCTCAGGTTGTTGTATGCAAATAATAGTGTGGCTAAACAGCCACTCTAGGAGGGGAAGACAACCAGCAACTATGAAGAAATGTACACTCACGTTTGTGCACGGCAACACATCGTACACCTGAACTCCGCCAGCAAGCACCAGCCGCGGCGAGATTCTCTCGGGAGCCCAGTAGCGCAGATAGAAGCCGTCCTGGTCGCTCACAACGAGCTCGTCAAACGCCCGCTGCCATGCGGCTTCATTCAACAGGCCACGGCTGCTGTCCGCGTCAGGCGGCCTGCCTTCACTGCTCTGTGTGAAGTACAGGAATGCTCGTTCGACCTGCTTCCAGCCGTAAGGGAGCTCCTCGGGATGCATCCCACGCTGTCTGAGGCGGTCGGGATTCGTGGCCAGCCGTGCGTACTCCAGCGCGCGTTTGAAAATAATCCGAGAAGGTGGCTCGGGCCGCATGTGCTCTGGCTGAAGTCCGACAGCGTCAAACGGGTTGTAGTTCTCCTTCCAGAGGAGGGGTGAGTCCATAGTGGTCACACCACATCGTCGGCGCGGGTCGGATCGTTGCATGGAGACGATGTCGGCCGTTTGCTTGCTTCCGTGCATTGGCCAGGTCGAAGTTGCTCGCCATTGTGGGCTTTTCCATACTCCTAGGCGACAAGAATTCTTCAGAGTAGGCCTCCTTATATAGATCTCCCGTGAAAAGCAGCTGACATAGCTGGTCGCTGGTAATAGCAAACACTGGCGCGTGCGAGCCGCGCTGCGTTGGTGATCTGGAAAGCTATGGCCGCGCAGCGTCCATCACGCAAGCAGAGACTGTTTGTCATGCGCGACAGAGCATATGACAGCTCGTTAAATGTGCCTCGTCAATGACTGAAAACCACCAACTAATGAGACCATCAGATTGAGATGCTAGACCCTGACTGCCAGACATCGTGGTGGTGTCTAGCACCCGCTGGGACCGAGGACGCAAAAGCAGCGCCAAATTTCTGATTACGCTAGTCTTTAACCCTATTAACTTATAGCTAGAGATGCTAGATAACAGTGATGTCTGCCCCCTTAGGAGCAAATCAAGTCTTCAAGGTAGTGTGACTAGCTGGTGCACAGCCCTGGAGGTGAGGACGTCCATATATCCACAAGTCAAAGTCAGAATGCTGGCTGTGAGTATGGGGACTGCTCTATATATGTAAGGATAACTCTATTAGGTACGATTATAATAGACCCAGAAAGCTTTCTCAGGGCCTTACCGAGTAGTAATTAATAATCCCTCTTCTACCTGCTATACTATATCTCTATAATAACTTGTATGTATCTCCGCGTCTTTCCATATCGAAGAGCCTCCCCATTCTTACTGCTCTCCCCCCTCCCCTCCGTACTCTTGACCTCGTGAGCACTAGCGATATCGAGCATCGTAGCTCAGACAAGTGGCGCAATGCTCCGAAGCCGATATTTGATAACTATTTGGAGAACTCATCGTTGTAAATAGCGATTAGGTTCCTTGAGGGTAGTGCCAAAGGTTATCGTCTCCGGTACGGAATAAATCGCATCAATATTAGTAGCCAACCAGAAATCACGAATATTCTAGAGCCTCTTAGACATCGGACACTCCAGTGACACACTTAGTACATTCGTCTAACGAGAGTAATTACCGTTCTCCTATTGTTTGCATCGTTCACCGTACCTTCGTTCTTGAAATGTAAGACTTGCTCGACTATCTAACTTCGTGTAGTTGAAAGAGATTATAGTTGTGCCTTGTCGTCGACGATCTCTTTATTCTATTTGATCAGCGGACTGGCGCATCGCCTTGAGCAGGGGAACAAACACTTTGCTTCCGAGGACACCCCGAGATGCCGGATCGTGAAGTCCGAGCTGTCGTTGCAGCGTGCTCGGTATGGTAGGCGCTCTGATCGAATTGAGGCAGGGGTTCCTCTGACCAGATGCCGGCTGATGACGGGAACGTGGTCCACCATCATCCAGAGCCTCGACGGAATGGACCTGTTCTTAGCTACATATCGGCGAAAGTGGCTGGCGAAGACGGGCAGCTGTGTTGCTGAGCCGATGAAAGATTAGAGTTTGTGAACAGTCCGGGTGTTGCACCAATCTCATTCTTCGCGCAGTAATTGAAAGCACAAATACATACGACATACGAAATGTTTTTCCCCCCGTGATAAGGAGCAACCTAGCTTCGCCTCGCAGATGCGCCAAGCATCTCATCGCAAACCATGAGACCCGCTATACACCCACGGTTTAGCCATAGCAAATAGTAATCAATTTCCGAGAGCATTACATAAATCGAGCCTACTGCCAAGCTTGCGGCTTGTCCCAGGCTGCGTTTTCCGCGTCCTCGCAGCCGACTCCACGTCAGCCGCAACGACACCTGAGAGCCAAGAGTAGCGGCCAAGGCCTAGACTTGGGTCGAGCTGTGCCGAGGCTCAGCTACTGCCATCAAGTGGATCGAGCCAAGACTGCTGTACAGGTTGCGTCTTGCCATAAGCCAGCCACTATCGCTGCGGCTGTTGGAATCTAATGAAATGTCCGTCGCCCCCCGTGTAGTTGAGGTACAGCCGTCGAGCTTTTACTCATGGGACCTGCACGATGAGAGCTCTCGGGGAAGCAGGTCCCAACTTCCTAGCATGTGCGTGATCAATCGGAGCGCTGGTCACTCCGCCACCGGCCAACACCCCATGCACGGCATGGTACGGCTGAAGAGGGTCTGGAAGTATAGTGCAGCTAACAACGCATATGATAAGTCAAGAATGACATTATCTTTGAGGAGCCTTCGCTAGCGGTACCAATATAAAGACGCTTGGAAGTCTCTGTCACTTTGCTGGGATTCTACGCTATGCCAGGCACTCAAGTCTAGCGTTAGTTTGCTTTACTTTGAAGATGGCATTTTGCCTGATACAACTTCTCGCCGCTTTCTTCCTCGCCTTTCCATCCTCGGCTAAGGACTGGGAGAGTCCCGAGTACAAGCAGATATACAAGAACCCCCTGCCCATTCCGCCCCAGAAGCAACCTCTGCGGCAAGTGTTCTCTGACTGAAAACGCGCACTACTTCGCTGGAAACACGAATTGACCAGTGGAGGCAACAGGACCTTCACTAATCCCATCAATGGCAAGCCCATATGGTACTACGAAGTTGGCATCCAGAAGGTCCAGCAGCAGATCTATGCTGGGAAGAAGCCAGCCACGCTCATTGGCTACGATGGCAGCGCACCAGGTCCGACATTTCTTGTACCAGTCGGTACAGAGACAATTGTTCGTGTGATCAACAATGTCACCGACGAGACTTCCGTCCATCTCCATGGCTCGCCGTCTCGTGCGCCATTTGATGGCTGGGCAGAGGATCTTACGTTCCCGGGCCAGTACAAAGATTACTATTGGCCCAACTATCAAACCGGGCGCTTCCTGTGGTATCATGACCATGCTATGCTGAAGGCATGTCCTATCTCAACGCATCTGGCTAGCAAGCGTTTCCCTTGTCCTCGAAGCCCAGGCGAGCGCGCGCCTATGCCTCAAAAGAAGAGACGCCACGATTATAAAGACACTTTGCTGACCATTGACTGCAACAGTCTGCTGAAAATGCTTACTTTGGCCTGGCTGGCGCATACATCCTCAACGACCCAGCAGAGGCCGCTCTGGGCCTCCCTGCGGGCTACGGAACGTTCGACATCCCACTCGTGCTCTCGTCAAAGTACTACAATAGCGACGGGACGCTCCGCAGCACCAAGGGCGAGCTCGATAGCGTCTGGGGCGACGTCATCCACGTCAATGGCCAATCTTGGCCCTACATGAACGTGAAGCCTCGCAAGTACCGCTTCCGCCTACTCGATGCCTCTGTGTCTAGGAACTTTGCTCTATACTTTGCCAAGTCGTCCGCCACGAGCACAAAATTGCCGTTCAAGATCATCGCGTCTGATGCGGGTCTTCTTGATGAACCGGTCAGCGCGCAGACGCTGTTTCTATCATGCGGAGAACGTTACGAGGTCGTGTTCGATTTCAGCACATTCGCGGGCCAGTCGGTTGAGCTGCGCAATCTCGAGGATGTGGGCGGTGTTGGCACAGATGATGATTACGGCGCGACGAACAAGGTGATGAAGTTTGTTGTCAGCTCCGGGGCTGTGCAGGACTCTTCAGTCGTGCCTCAGAAACTTCGCAACGTTCCTTTCCCTCCCCAGACATCTGGAGTTGATCGAAGATTCAAGTTTGGGAGAAGCAACGGCCAATGGACCATCAACGGCGTCACTTTTGCAGACGTTGACAACCGCATCCTCGCCAATGTGCCCCGCGGAACGGTGGAGATCTGGGAGCTCGAGAACAGCTCCGGCGGATGGACGCATCCGATCCACCTCCACCTTGTCGACTTCCGCGTCTTGTCCCGCTCCGGCGGGCGCTCGGTTCTGCCCTACGAGTCGCACGGCTTGAAAGACGTGGTGTGGCTGGCAAAGGGCGAGACGGTCACCGTAGAGGCGCACTACCTTCCCTGGAATGGCGTGTACATGTTCCACTGCCACAACCTGATCCACGAGGATCATGATATGATGGCTGCCTTCAACGTGACTGCGCTGGCAAACTTTGGGTACAACGAGACGACGGACTTTTCGGATCCGATGGACGCGAGGTGGAGGGCAAAGGCGTTTAGCAAGATTGATTTCACGTCGAGAACAGGCGACTTTTCGCAGACGACGATTGCGACGAGGGTGGATGCGCTGGCGAGACAGCAGCCATACAGCGAGCTGAGTCAAGTGCTGGATGCTCTCGATTCTTAGGTGCAGGTGAGCTAAGATGCATCACAATAGCATGTTAAACCTTAACAAACTATAAGGGCCGTATTGGGGTTTAATTCGGATTTGAACACTAGTAGTGACTTCGTGTGCCTTCTTATTACCACTCGACGCCGAGAGGTTTATCGAGATCGCATGCTTTACCCGCGCTTTCCCAACACGTCGACTTTCGAATTTGGTTCAGAATCTTAGGGGGCAAGCGATAAAGACTGGTCATTGAGATGCACCCCAAGCCGACTGAGCTGTTCCCCAAACGAAATACAGTATTGGTATTCATCCAGCTGGTACGGTCTTCATGCTCCCGTCGACGCCCCAGCTAGCCATTGTAGTATGGAAAAAGGACAATATGTGATGTGAGAGCACCGGCCAGGTATGATCGCGCAACGTTTCCAGGGCTGCGACGCATACGCGCAAACTGCGCGCAGCTTCCCTCCTCAATTTACCCCCACCAGTCATATTCAGAGCATGAACCAGACCAGCGCGCAAAACGTGATAGGCAACAAAGGAAGGAACCATGTGGAGCTCCCCAAGAGACTCCAGCTTCTGTAGAAGCCTTGCAATCTCGCTAGCAGCAGCACTTATTTCATACAGTGACGACTGCGAGCGGGCGGCAGATTGAGAGTCGGCCGGGCTCAGATACCGACGGTGGAGAGATATGCAAGTTGCATGGTAGGAAATCCAGAGGGTAATCTGCGATCGCTCGGGTCGACTGGTACGCGTGAGTAGCAGGCAGGGGTCGACATTCTGCCGGAATAGAGTGAGCGCACTGTATGCTCCAAGGAAAAGATCTTCTCTCTTCCCCCATGGCAGGTTTCGGAAACTGGGCGAGTATATCGGATCGAGATGATTTTGCTGAATTCGGACTAGCTGGCAGTGCGACTCGAATGCGACATCCGAAGTACTAATCGATCCGGGAGCCAAAGTAGAAAGATAGCTCGGTGCTTCGCTCATGTCCCAGAGCATGCGGACATTGGCACCAAGGGTGGGAGTGCCGAGTCCGTCGACGAACAGTAGCGTCCAGAGAGTTCTCACCCTCGTGTCTCGTGCAGCCATGTCCAGTGGTTTCGTGCTCTCTGCTGGCGAGGGATGACTCTGGTCCACGTTCAACGTACTCGACATTCCAATGGCCATGTCTAGATGAGATTTGTCAATGGAGAGGACAAGACGAAGGTCGAGAAGATGGATTAGAGTCCCTAAACCCACAATGGTATATCCAACCTTGAGAACAGTCAAGAACCGCATTCTTGTAGCAGCTCAGGATGACCAGCCCCCTCAATACAGAGATACAAGGGTGCTCCCGACAACATTGAGATACGAGGCTCTCGGCATAATTGATGAAGCACTCAGCTTCCCTATGGGATGTGCGAGTTGAGCAGTGTGCTGCAATACCGAAGATGGTACTGTAGAGGAACTGCAGCGCAAGATCATTCTCTGGGAAAAGACCAGAGAATTGTAACCATGGCTCCTCGACAAAGTTGTAATAAATGTTGATTTTCTCCAGGAATACCTTTTTCAGATGTTCTTTCAGCTCTGCATCCTGTGAAAGGTGAGACACAGTCACAGTTTCTCTGGAGTCTATTTCAACAGCGGGAATCTCGAATGCGACCAAGGACTTTCCGAACGGATTATTGAAGCATCCTGGGCCGACAAAAATCGGCTCATCGCTAAAACCGGGATATTTCGGCCAGGTGAGTGACGTAAACTCCGTCAGAGCTCTTGGAGACAGGCAAAGATTCGCGCCAGTCGTATCTGTTGCCCGCGAAGTTGTAGGGTCGCAAACACTCTCGGTGCTTTCATTATCCTCGTGTCGATTGGTCGCAGTCTGTGTCGATAGTATGCGGACCTGGTTCTCGAGGGATTGTACGTAATCCCGGTCCCAGTATTTTTTCCTTGCATAAGAACAGCGCTCAGTGAAATGATCGAGGTCTTTCGGATAACTTGATCTCACCTCTTTCGGTGTGATTCTCTGCCGTACAGGCAAGGGGATCCGTAGTTTCTGCATGCCTTGCAGACAGGCTGGTGACCATCGCACTTGAGCAATCCCTGTCAGTGTTGGAAAAACCGGAGCTCGGATATTTCGGTACTCGCCTTTCGCTTCCTCTCGCGACAAGCGTCGCACGCGAGTGCTGTACGTCCCATCTCAGTTCAGGAATGTTGCTGGCGCGGTCGACAAAAGCAGTATAGAAAAGGTGATGGAGACGTCACTGCTTATGAATCTGGCCTGCGCTTGTATCTGACCCGCCAATCAGCATGATTAGATCATTAGTGGTCTCTCTAAGGGATCTGATTGGTGGCTCCATTACATCCGCCAGATCCGATAATTCCCAGACTCCACTTCACGGGTCATTCCTGGCCAAGCGTGGGCTTTATGTCCGTTCCTCCTGGTGCCTCCAGAGCCACGTGTACGCCGGCCAATCTTACCTGCGCCGTGCCATGAGGGGTTTGTGATGAATGGCGTACCCCGTTGTGCCTGGGACCAACAGGTCAAGCCCACCTCCGCACTTCTGGCGGGGCTGGCAGAGCTGCTGACGCCACTCCCGCTCGGAAAAAAGCTTGTTTAAGTATAAGTACTGGCCAAGAAGGAGGAGATACACGTGGAAGGGGAACGGATAAAAAGCACACCAGACTCCAGCAAAGTAACAAGCAATTACAGTGCAAGACGCAATACCAGCCAGCCAAAGATGCACCCCATCCCCGAACAAATCGACGTCCTCGTATGTGGCGCTGGCCCTGCCGGCCTGCTGACAGCTCTTGGTCTCGAGCAGCAAGGCATCAACACGCTCGTGATAGGTATTAACTTCTACATCGGTCGTTATCTTGTCTCAGGAGAAAACTGACAATGCTCCAGATAAGAGAGCGCGCGACGAACAAGAAGCCACGGGGCGGGCGACAACCCTGTTCCCCCGGTCGCTGGAGCTTCTTGATCAGCTCGGATTGACCGACGACATCACACAGGAATGCTTCATCGCCCGCTCGGACGCAACATTTAACAACGGTGTTCGAAGCACGGAACGGGGATGGCATGAGGTATTCGCCAGCATGAGGGGCACCTACCACGACTATTGCGTCAACATCCGTCAGAGGTACTCCGAGGAGATCTTTGGCGCCAAATATGCAACCCTCTCCAGCACGCCCATACTTTATGGATGGGGCCTTGTGGGCTTCGAGCTCGAGAAGCTTGAAGGGGACGATGACAACATCACGGCAATCCTCGCCAATTCGAGCTCGGGACAGGAAGCACGCGTTCGCTGGTAAGTGTTCATTGCAACACCAATTGCTAGCCGAGCGTAGGCGCTCATATCTCTAGCAAATATCTTGTTGGCGCGGACGGCGGCAATTCAACAGTACGCCGGCTCGCTGGCATCACCATGGAAGGAGATGAGACTACCATGAAGTGGATCCGACTCGATGGCAAATTCGAGACGGATTTACCCGATGCGAACCTGGGCTTTGCTGCCATTGAGACCAAGACACATGGCAATGTACTCTGGGTCAGACTCGACAAGGACGCCCACCGTGTTGGTATCTCTTTGCCGGCAAAGCTGCAAGAGAAGTATCGCGCCGGAATAACCCAGGAGCAAGCTGTAGCTGAGGCTGTGCAAGCCATGCAACCCTTCAAGCTCGACGTACAACGCGTCGATTGGTGGACCCTCTACAGGTCAGTCATTCTTCCTGTCCACATTATCAGACCCATACTTACCTATGTCGTGCATAGTATCAAGCAGAAAGTCGCTGTCACCCTTCAGCAGAACGACTTCATCCTCCTCGTTGGCGATGCCGCCCATACGCACTCCTCTGGATTCGCTCAGGGAATGAACACGGCCATTCATGATGCTACCAACCTGATTTGGAAGCTCTCTGGGACTCTCAAGGGCTGGTATTCGCCCTCCACGGTGCTGCCATCGTATGCAACCGAGCGTCACGCAGCCGCCCGTAAGCTCATCTCCATTGATGTGGCTGCGTCTGCCGCCATCTCTGGAGCCATTCCTGACGGGTACGGGCCAGCGGATTCAGATCCAGATGATGTGCTTGCCCGTGTGGTTGCGGACAATACCAACTTTACCCTGGGCGCGGGTGTTCAGTATGGGCCATCGTGCATAAATCGGTTGGCCAACACCACATCGGTGTCACTTGGCAATCGCGCGCCTGATGCCTTGGTCCGTCGTCCCGGAATTCGCCTCCCTCGCAGGCTTCAAGAGATTGCCCTTGTCAATGGGCCGGGCAAATGGTTTGTGCTCGTCTTCGGAGGCTGGCATCTGGCGACTAGGGACAGGGTCAATGCGCTCCGAGAGGAGATCAACACAGGAGGACTTGGCAAAACACCCCGGGAGATGCTGAACATGGCTACTTTGTTTGTCGGGGTGGCTGCAAATGCCTGGGATGCCCTTGGAGGGCCCGCAATCGGCAGGCTTTACTTTGATCACGACGGAGACGCCCACAGCAAGTACTGCATCTCACTGGATGACGGAGCCATCGTCGTGATCCGGCCCGACGGCGTCTTTGGTTTCGCTGCCCGTCTGCATGAGTTGGCAAAGGTCAAGGACTACTTCGAAGGCTTTTGTCTATGAGCTTCCCCGTCATGTTTTAGGTGGTTGGTGAGACATTTCCACTACTTCACTCGAATTGAACCAAGATTCCAAATCACCTGTGTCAGCCAATAAGAACAATCAAACTTGTTCATGGCCATGGGGATACTTTCGGGCTAGCCATACTGTTCGTGACTGGCCCGTGAGCTCAGCCACCACGGTCGTCCTAATAAGCTGATACCGAGAAGGTACGAGCAGAGACTAGTCCGCTCTGCCCAAGCATAGCACCCCAGCATAAAATCATAGCTGCACGGGCGGAGAAGGGAGATGTTCTTCTCTCTCCTCTCTGTGTTCCTACTAAACTAATCATACGCCTACTTTCTGCACAGACCTAGGGCTAGTACGTGACACGACCTATAGCTTAGAGGGCGAGATTTAATTGATTAATCTTTGGCAGGAGTCTCCATAGCTAGTTATTAAGAGATATGTGTGAGAAAATGGACTTTTGGTGAAGTGATAAAGGTGGCCCACTCATTGGGCATTTACGCTAGTTACATAAATAGTATCTTTTACGCTTCGCTTTTAATCTTAGTTAACTCATCGTATTCCGCATAGGCATCGATGGGCTCGCTCTTGAACCTTCTCGCGGGAATGCGCCTGTCGAAGAGAATGTCGAGTTCCTCATAGGTGCGGCCTTTCATCTCGGGCAATCTTAGGTAGACCCAGACTAGGCAGAGGATACTAATACCGCCGTAGAAGAAGCCGGCCTTTGCGCTCCAGTTCCAGGCGGTCGGGTTCAGCATGTATGGCACAATGATGCCTGAGATAATAGCCACGAGACAGTAGAAGTTTCGGGCGAGAGCGACGGTCTTGCTCCGCAATCGACTAGCGCCCACCTCGCCTACGATGACGTATACAGTTGCGCCGACGGTCGGGCAATAGAAAAAGAGGTAGACAATAAGCAGCGACGACTTGGCCCAGTTGGCGGACGTGTTGGTCATGTCGGGAATACCAGCGAAACCGATGGCAAAGTACAGGACGGTCATGCAGCACAGACCACCGAAAAAGACTGTGCGACGACCAAAGTAGTAGAGCAGAGGCCAGGTCAGCATGGTACCGACGAATGAGGTAGCATTGTTGCCAATATTGAGCTTGAAGGACTCGCTCGTCGGCAGACCAGCCTGCTGGAAGAAGTAGGTTGTATACGCCTGCAGCGGGTTGCCCACGCCAGCCTGAATGCCATAGACGAGGCAGGCGATCTCGGTGCGGCGCAGGTCTGTTCCCCTGAAGCAGTCGAGGTACGAGACACCGGAGCTGGTCTCCATCTCGAGCCGTGTCGTGTGAATCATCATAGCCACGGACTCTTTAGGGTTGACGGAGCCATCCGTTAAACGAATGACCATCTTCTCCGCCTCATCGTAGAGTTCCTCGCGCACCAGCCACCACGGACTCTCCGGGGCGAACCAGATGAGTACCAAGAGTGGCGGGATCCAAGCCCACTGGACCGCGATAATGATGCGCCATCCCCATTCGTTATGTAGCTTGGACAGCTCATATGTGACGCCAGCGCAGATGAATTGGCCCATGACCCAGCAAAGGCAGACATACGTCGTCAGGTAGCTTCGCAGAACAGTGGGACACACCTCGGCCGCGTATGTGTTTGCCGCGGCTTGGAAGACACCGATGGGCACCCCGGCGAGGAACCGACCGACGAGGAAGACAGGGAGGGTTTTAGCGAAAAACTGCATAAAGATGAGACCAGCCAACATTGCTAGTGTGACGAGCGACACGGTCCGACGGCCCAGACGTTCGGAGAAATAGCCGTCGAGCAGCACGCCGATCATGTTGCCGACTTTGCCCGTCACGTGGAAACCTGTCTGCCAGGCGGCCGAGATCTGGTAGCCGTTCTTGTAGGGCTCGCCGAATTGCGCTTGGAAGGCTGGGTGGGCGTACAGAGTACCGGTGAAACCCAGGTCGTAGCCGTCCATGACGATGCAAAGCGAGAAGACGACGGACCAGAACACGGCCTTGCGATATTGCTTAATGCCCTGCCAGACGGTCATGTCATGCTCGCCATCGGTCGCGTTTTTTGCATTGGCGGCGAGCTCATTGGGAATAGCAGCCGCCGCCGAGGCAGCGGTTGGGGTTGGCTTTTCCACCGAATTATGCGGGTGCTGCTGCTTCGCCTCCATTGTTCTGGATTTGTCCTTTCCGGCCGTCGTTGGCGTACTCGTTCCAATAGTACAGTCAGTCGTAGTGCGGTGGAGATCTTAGCTGCGCTCCTTCAGGGTTCTGTTATGGGAGAGGGGGCGGCCTTTTGTGGTTAGGTTGGAGATCTGGCAACGGGGTGGGCCTGGCCTGGGCTTATTCTCGGACAACTTGCAGCTGAACATAGCGGGGTTGCCACCACTCTGCGTCATCTTATGGGGAAATGTAACCTCAAGTCTTGGCCACATATTGTCGAATTGGGCAGGTTGGTTTTAGGGAGGCGATATCGGCAACTGTGCGAGGGTCGCAACCTGAGATGCAAGGCCTGATGTCAGGGCTGGGCTTCAGGCTTCCGAATGTTATGTTCCTTAGAGGTTCGACACGATGTAAGAAAAAATACGGGTCGCGCTTTCAATTAGAACCGGATAAGAAGACTGCTCGCAAGCATATTACTGCTTCCCATCAATGTACCACGTCTAGGTGAGGTGGTCCGGCAATCGCTCAATCTACCAGAGGATCAATAGCCGTGGGAGCCACGAGGCACCCGACAAAACAGCGACAACAGCCTTTCGTGAGTCGTGACAACGTTGCTGCGAGCAAGACACGCAACATGCAGGATGATGTGAGGACCCTTTCTAACAGGCTCGACCCAGACTTCCTCGCCTCATACGCTCCTCTGGCCCGTGCTAGCTATAACTTACAGCGTAGTTCTTCACGCAATCTCCAGCCAGAGGTGGTTGAGCATGACCTCTTTTCGCGGCTCGACTAGCCTCTGTGGAACCGCTACCGGAAATTAGGATGCTCGACGTCGGTAGCCTTTCAGAGGATGGTCCGATGCAATGGCAACCACTTCTCAACGACGCACTCAGACCTAGCCATGCTATGGCCAGTCTTGCTCCCATCAAGCCCTCCCGCGCCAAGGTCATAGTCTATATTACCACGATCGACGACCGCCATTGGTGGTAAGCCTCATGTCTACGGACCAGAGCCCGCCGCCCTTGGTCCTAGATCACACTTTCACGGGCACTGAACAAGGCATTCGTAGCATAATCACCGTTGCCGACTTTGTTAGCTAGATCAGCACATCCCTGGACACGCAGGAGATGCGATCAGCGTACGAAGAGAGGTTCCCGGCAGCCGGCCTGTGTACAAGCCGATATGGCCTCATCCAGGGCTGCTTGGGACCCAGAGAAAGCCAGGTAGTGAATCCTGACCTACCTTTGGGGCTCGACTTCATGGACGGGAATGTGAGTATGAGGAAGGACCATTGGGTGGGCTCGAGGAAGGGGATGCTCCACAGAGCTTCTACCGGTGCCACATGAGCTCGACGCGCCCTTTCCACGCATCGTGACCAATAATCAGCGTACAAGCGTGCGAGGGCGGGCCTCGTCTAAGCATAGCCTTCCCTATCTAAATCTGTATTTCATCATGTAGCTACTGTATAGATTTTACCTGCTGTGAAAAGTTATAGGCTCTTAAAAAATTCGCGAGTAGTATATATTGTCGCATAGTGCAGCATTAGCCATACTTACGTGGACTGGAATACCAGTAAAGTCTGCCTAACGCGCTAGTCTCGCTGTTCCGCAGCGCGAGCTCCGCCTCTGTGTCTTATGCGCTGTGAAGCGGCCACATATACTCACGCGGACATCAAGCATGGTGGCTGTGCAGGCACTGATAATGTAGGCTTACAACGAGGGCCGTTTTTGCTGCGGTTGTGATAGGCCTGATGCAGCCTCAGAGCCTTGCGGATAAGTACCTTGGCTTACCCCTCCTCCACCTGCAACATGTCACCCCTCTAGTGTTTCTCCCATCTCTCACCCGAGGTCAACCGTCTATCGCAACTGTGTGGCCCCAGGAGATGGCGGAGATGACTGGTCTGGCGCTAGGCGCCATCTCTCTTGGCATACAGGTCTGCAAGGGCGTGATCGTGTATGCCGATGCACTTCGAGGCAAAACGGACGACCTCGCGGGCCTCGAAGAAAAGGCCAGAGCGCTCTCGGGCACTCTGGACGCGGTTAGTCGGACAATCGACCGTCTTTGGCCCCCGCCCACGAACCCGCCATCGCCAACAGCGGTGTCTTTACTAGCCGCAATCGCCAACAGCACAAAAGCTTGCGAGGCCGACTTGTCCGAAATGGAGCGCTTTCTTGTCAAGTACGCAGGCGGTTCCACGTTATCGGGATCGATGCTGAGAGAAAGATTTCAAAATGCCTGGAAGAGACTCCAGTACGGCTTCAAAGCCGGAGAAATCAGTAAGATGGAGGCTAAGTTGGCCAGTGTCAATTCCATATTGCTGCTAGCCCTGCAGGGTCTTGGCATGTAAGGCTGCCGGTACCTTTTGTACAGAATCCCAATTTCCATGGTTGTTAACGATTTCGCCTGCCCAGGGACCTTGCGATCGACGAAGCTGCCAGCACCAAAACAATCCTAGATAACACCGGTCAGATCCTGAAGAGGACCGAAATTCAAGATCGAGAACTTTCAAGAATCCAGTCAGACACAACAAAGACCTTGCAGGAGCTTGGTGCAGCGCAAGAGAGCATTGGCAGGATGAACAGATCTCTCGCGACCACTCTCACCACGAGCCTCCCAGCACTCCATAACGATATAAACGAGGCCGCCATAAGCGCGGTCGGGCGTGTTGAATCTCTGTCGACGCGTATCGAGGACGTGGTTGCCTCGAGTCAGACAATCCACACAACGGAGGTTGCATCATTGAGACACATGTTACAGGTCCAAACCAAAGCGTTTGAGGATCTGACCGCCGGACTCAACGGCTGGATTCTTCCCAATAACAGACAACTCGTCGTGCAACGGCTAACTGCACGTCCGGCCATGCTTCAACATGCCATGCACGACATGGATCGCGTGCGTGCAACTCAGGAGCAGCTCGAGACGGCGCTGTACGATGGAGATCCGACTACGAGAGACTTGGCTATGTGCAACTGCCGACCAAACTCTTCCACACAGTCTTGGCGGACGCGCCTTGGGGTTTCCTCTTTTGCGCTGACGACCCGACGGCATGTCTCTCAACATCACCCAGGATGTGTGCTCTCAAGAAACTCGACTGATCGGCCCACCACTGAACATGCAGTAGCCGCCCAGATCGGGGTGTTTAATACCGTGATTGACACGGCACTGAAGCTTACCTACTTCTGGCGACAGGGAGCCGGAGGTTTCAGCATAAGTCCTGCATTCTCTATCTGTGCCGTTGTTGACTCACGGCTCTCGCCGTCATTTAGGCTTACCAAACTCCTCTCTCGGTTTATGATTTACAACAATCCAGATGCTTCTATTGGCCCGGTCTTTATTTGTCACTATAAAGTGAAGCTGAGAGAAATCTTCCAGTCTGGCAGGGCATCCCCAACCGACCTCGACCAATATGGCAGAACGATTCTCCATAAATTGGCAATTTCCATGCATTATGTGGTATGTATCTGCATGCTCTGGGTCTTTTCCACGGGCTGACGCGTGTGGCCTGTAGAATGGAGACGCGAGACTAGGCCAAGAGTCGGCACACAATGTCATCTCAGATATGGTTCACGTGCTTGGGGTTCCGCTTGAGCAACAAGATCATGGAGGCTTGTAGGTCCAACCCAACCCTGGCAATACAGTCCTCGATGGTTCCCATACTCATACAGGATTTTCAACATGATAGCTTGGCTTTACACTGGTATCTCCGGGACCTGGCCGGCCTAGTGACGAGGTTTCATAGAGCGATCAAAAGTTTGATTCCACAGGGTAACGGTGGCAAATATTCTACCCCGAACTTCAGCCACATCAACTTGGCAATCCTTGTCGCGCAATCCAGCTACGCTTACCAGATCTGCGATGGTAAGATTGTCGACCGCACATGACATGACCGTCAGCTAACTCTCTTTTGTCTCAGTATGGAAGCCAGATCGGCTCAGTGAGGCAATTATTCGAAATGAGGCTGCATGTGTGAGGGATCTGATCTATCATTACCCTGGCTGGCTTGATGACAAGCCGGCTTTTGGGGTCAAAAGCTATATGCATCTCGCATTGTACACAGCACACTGCTTCGAGGACCTGGTCTCGGGCCTCGTTATGGCCGCGGAAGATAAAGTTCCAAACGCTTCCAAGATGCTGAATTGGCTTCTGGAGTACGCAGATTCGTCCGGACGAACACTCGCAGAGTTAGTAGTCTCGGCCTGCAGCCAGGAGTTTCATCCCACCTCACACGGAAAACGATGTTGGTATACGAGCATTCTACACGTTCTCTTCGCCAAACGATGTAGGATGCGCCCGTCGCGTCTCACCATGCCGCCTTGGATTTCAGCACGGTGCCAGACCTGTCTCCATACTTACGTACTCGAGCTTCGTGACCGCCGAAATTACCTCAAGGATATTGCATTGCGACACTTTACAGTACATCAAATCAGAAGATACGAACTAGACGAGGACGCACCACTTGATCGTCATACCGCATTGGTTGTGCAGGAGTTACGGCAGCTCCAAATTCACATCCCAAAGTACCTCATAACCGCCGAGGACGACCAGGATATTTGCCCTTTATGGCACAGCCCTATGCAACATACGTGGCGCAGCTCAGGTTTGATTCGTTATCCTTCTGTCCCGATGTGCATCCCGTTGGCGTCGGCGCTGTATACGTTTGGTTTTCGGGACTCACAAGCGCCACTGCATGATGGGTCGACGTTTCTGCACCACCTGATACATCTGCTCTACACTCCACTTCCCTTTGATCCTGCCAACTTGCAGACGCTTCGTTGGGCATTGCAGGACAGCACTCCAACCACAGTGACGCTCGAGAGCTTTTGGAGGTTTGGATCTGATGCTCACAGAGATTGCATCTTGTGCGTGTGGATGACATCGAATTTGAACCTGACGGTTGCGCACGTGCTCGCCGGCGCCCTGGGACGAACCCTCTCGGTTTTCGCGGATCCATCCAACCTTTCCAGCCGTCGCGAGTCTTGGCTCTCGCTAGTCAGTGAGATCATGCCTCTGACGTTAATGGATACAAGCGCGTGTCTCTGTTCACAGGACGGGCGCACGCCTTTCGTCATTTTCCTCCAGCAGTACTTCAGTCAATGGTCCAACTTGTCGAACTTCGGTACTCCTACATTCCTAGCCAGCCATCTCAGAAGCGTAATCTTGGCCTGTGGGCGGGCGTGGACGCCACCCACGTTCCAGGCGGCGATTCGCCTGCTCACATTCGAAGCACTCTCCATGGAACATACCTGCAACGATCCTCCTGGAAGCGACTGTGACCATGACTTGGCTGTCGACCTGGATCCAGCGCCTGCGAATACGCAAACGGACCCTAGTGTCGCGATCTTTTCCAAACTTGTCAAGGAGTTCGACAGCATGATCCGAGCAGAGGTCCAGGTGGATACATCAGAGATTCAAGGCGATGCGCTGAAGTTTGCAGATGGAGAGGAGGGACTGCATAACGAGCTTATCTCATTGGACGATTCGCACTGCGAGTCTGCTAACAGGGTGAGCTTGGGAGACTCTCGCGGCATAAGTCAGGCTACTTGGGAGCGCTGGCTTCATGTGTGGGTAGAGCTTCTTGACGCTGAGATCAGCGATCTGCACGCTCAAAGCATTGAAGATGATCACCTCAAGGCTGCAGAGAAGCTTGGTATTAAGTGGTGCCAGCCGCCGCCGACCAAGCAACAGCCACTTGGCCAAGATATGTCGTCGCTGGAGTTTTGGATGGGGGAGCTGGACAAGATTTGAGGAGATGATGCGGAGCCTCGACTTGGATTGTAGCCAAAGGCCAAAAGCCTACGGGTTACATATGGAAGATCGCACATCTCTGGCTGAGTAGCACGCATTTGTCTAGCGGGCATGTGGTTTGTACTACGTTTTTCGTATGCCTGGTTCAGCGCTCGAGAATTGGCGCAGTCATTCACTGCGTCACGCAATGGGGTCGACGAGGCCTACCAATTCCTGTCCGCCCTTTCTATGGTCCATTCAAAAGACAGTGCCACTTGAGATTTGCACCTCGTGATCACCTCCCCACCCGCAAAGAATCTTCGTGCTTTGGGCGGTTTAAATCCAGTGAGTTACATTTATTTTGCCCATAAGCTGACTGTGTGTTGCACCTCTGAGCAGATGCAGCGTCCCTCAAACCAGATCTAAAGAACATCAAGGATGCATTCGGCTTGAGCCGGATCATCGAGCGGGCCGCCTGCACTGCGACACTTAGAGCTCCCTCATATTGGCCATCCAAGGTACGCTGGCACCATTGGACAATTCGAGAGTTGTGAGAGACATGTGCCTGGCTAGACGCGGCGAGGCGGTAAGGACTGAAAGCCGACTGCAACCTCGGCGGGCCAGGCCTCGGTACGTGTCTTTGTGTGTGGTGGCTGAAGTCATGTTGGCTCCAGCGGGTCACGTCACCATGGCCCATATGAGCGTGCTGCTCGGCAGAGATAAGACCTGCCTCATTGCACTCAAGCCACACGGCGTGCCAAGAGCCTGGCGCAAAGAGTGGGCAACATGTCTGGGTCAACACGCTAGCTTGGGGCCAACGGCGCGCGCAATAATTATGTCAGGGGGGTCATCGCCACTGGGGCACGCTTTAGAGTTGACGGTTACCCCACGCTCAGCGGCTCTGCTGGGCTGGCCACAGCGACTGTGGCGGGCAGGGCTTTACTTATTTCATTTCCATGCCCAGCCAGAAAGGATCTGACTACTCGTACCCCTTCATACTACTTTACCCTCCGTCCACCAGCAAGATGGCTGTCCAAGACAAGAAGTCTCGCAGCACCTACCCACCCCTGGCCCACGCACGCGAGCGGTCTGCACTGCAACACTGGCGAGTGCAGACACGAGCCGGGTGCCTGCTGCATGGGGCTAGGTGCCGAGCCGCCAAGACCGATATCAAAATTGCGCGCCCCCAGCGGTCATGCCCAGATGGCCCCCCAGTTGTGCTGGCGATCGCGGACCGACAGCGCTCTCCTTCCTCATCGGGGCTCTTGGCGATGGCGGGTTCCCCAGGCACGCAATCCACTCTGCATAGCGACAGTATCCACGACGCCTGGGCAAGTACACAGCCAACATAAACACTCCCCCAAGGCAGGGAGAGTGGCTCTGAGATCGGCATGACAGGCCGATGCCCAGACTGCAACGCAACGCTCACGCTGTCGCTCGCCAAGCCATGCTGGCCTGCGATGGGATGCCCACTATATTGTATATTGCTTTCCTTGGGGGCCTGCCATTCACGGCATGGGCCGTCCTTGGCACGCGATAGCATAAAGATCGCACGAGATCGTCATTTTTCTCCTGGCTGTGAGAGGTTCTCCCCTTCCTTCTCCATCCCACTCAGCGGTTCCTTGCTGTGAGATCCTACATTCTCTTGTCTCTGCTCTGGTCTCCTGGTCCTACGTGGTCACCCTTAATCCGTAATCATGAAGTCCCTCAGCACCGTTGCGCTGCTGGCCTCTCGCGCCGCCGCCAGCAGCTCGTGCAAGCCCTACGTCGACTCGGAGAAGCTGCAGTCGCTCATCAACCTCGACGACCTGCTCGCCGGCTCGCAGAAGCTGCAGGACTTTGCCGATGCCAATGGCGGCAACCGCGCATTCGGCGGCGGCGGCCACAATGCCACTGTCGACTGGCTGTACGACACCCTGCAGGCGACGGGCTACTTTGACGTCGTCAAGCAGCCCTTTGTCGAGCTCTTCTCGGCCGGCTCCGCCACCCTCACTGTCGCCGGCGAGGAGTTCACCCCGGGCGTCATGACGTACTCGCCCGCCACCGACGGCACCGTCTCGGCCCCCATCGTCGCCGTTAGCAACCTCGGCTGCAATGTCGCCGACTACCCCAGCACCGTGAGCGGCAGCATTGCCCTAATCTTGCGCGGCACCTGCTCGTTCGCCATCAAGGCCGCCAACGCCAAGACGGCCGGTGCTGTGGGCGCCATCGTCTACAACAACATCGAGGGTGCGGTCGCTGGCACCCTCGGCGGCGCCGGTGACTACGCCCCCGTCGTGGGCATTCCCCAGTCCGAGGGCAATGCCATCCTCGCCGCGCTCGAGACCGGCGAGGTCACCGGTGACCTCTTCGTCACGTCCATCCTCGAGAACCGGACCAACTTCAACGTCATTGCCGAGACCAAGCAGGGCGACAAGGACAATGTGCTCGTCCTGGGCGGCCACTCGGACTCGGTCTTTGCCGGCCCCGGCATCAACGACGACGGCTCCGGCACGATTGGCGTCTGGGCCGTGGCCAAGGCACTCACCCACTTCAAGATCAAGAACGCCGTCCGTTTCGCGTTCTGGGGTGCCGAGGAGTTTGGCAAGCTCGGCTCCTTCTACTACGTCAAGCAGCTCAATCAGACCGAGGACGAGATTGCCAAGATCCGTGCCTACCTCAACTTTGACATGGTGAGTCTTTGCACCTGAGTGCATCCTCGATTTTATACTGCTCAGTCAAGACGACTAACACTTGGATCACAAACAGATTGCCAGCCCCAACTACGTCCTGGGCGTTTACGACGGCGATGGCGGCGCCTTCAACTTCTCCGGCCCCGCCGGCTCTGCGCAGATCGAGAAGGACTTTGAGGAGTTCTACACGGCCAACGGCCAGGCGTTTGTCCCCTCCGTCTTCTCCGGCCGCTCCGACTACGCCGGCTTCATCGAGAACGGCATCCCCTCGGGCGGCCTCTTCACGGGCGCCGAGAACATCAAGACCGCGGAGGAGGCCGCGCTGTTCGGCGGCGAGGCCGGCGTCGCCTACGACGTGAACTACCACAAGGCGGGCGACACCATCGACAACCTCAACACGGACGCGTTCCTGCTCAACACCAAGAGCATCGCCAACAGCGTCGCCAAGTACGCCATCAGCTGGGATAGCCTTCCCCCCGTCGACCTCGCCAAGCGCAGGTGGTCGGCTGACCACCACCGTGCGCTCAACAGCGCCCGCTCCACGCACGGCCACGACCACGCCCACGCTGGCCCCTGCGGCCAGGGCAAGGATCTCATTTGAGCTGTTGTGGTTGGACGTCGGCAGAGTCGAAAAAGTGCATTCTTGCTTTTGGTCGTTTGATGTTGTTGTGCACATGCATGGCGAGGAGTTGTGTTCCGTTGGTTGGGTGTAGTTTGACGCGATATATGAAAAAGATGGCCATTCAGATGGCCGGATCAAGATGAATAAATCTTAATGTGTACATCCACCAGAAGATCCGCTGTGCGTGCTATTCCGGCCCTATTGCTGTACATGGCCTCGGTGATTGCGTGCCCGGTTGCCTGCCACCTTGAGGCCGGCCAGGAACAAACAGACCCAGCCGTGCAAATCCGTGAACACAGGACGCTTCCTTCTGTGGTGGAAGCCTACGCAATAGGTCGTCATGTTACACTGTGCCTACTTCCTCCACCTCTGTACAGTCAGGGTTCCACCACCTGACGATGGATGTCCACTACACATGAGATACATATGCATCAAATACTAACGCTTACAAATGTCCCTCCCAACTGCGGGAAACTCCCAAACTCTCAAGGTTGGTATGCAGCGTATATCTTGAGAAATCCGGCAACATAAAAACATGAACAAAACTCCTTCTTTGCCCTCGCTATGCGTGTTCAGAACAATTCCAATGCCACTCCCACGGTTCTTTTCCAGCCTCCGTCATCACCCTCACATTTGACGCGTGCTCGTCGGACCTCAAAAGTCTCTCTCCCTCGTCCTGACCCTGCCCAGTGGCATTGGCGGTGGATGTGCCAAGGATTGGCTCCCGGTTCTCGGTAGTATGCCCGCCCCGGGCGATGGGGATATCACGTCGAAATCGTAGTCCACCTCTCCGCCGGCGGCCGTGGCGCGCCGGCTCAGCCGCAGATGTGCCTCATAGGACGGACTGGTCAGCGGTATCGCGTCGAGAGGGGCGGGGGACGGTGGCACTCGAGTGTGGGAGCGCTCGTATGAGCTCGAGGGGTTCGGATGCTCGCGGTTGCGGCTGCCTGTTACCCAGTACAGGACTATGACACCTACAAGGACTGTTTGGGCGGTTAGTTGAGGTCAACCTTGTAATGTCTGATGGGGAACACGAGAATCTCGGAATGTCCCCCTAAGTGGCGAGGGGCATTGAAGTGTTGCTACTTGTAGGAAAAGACTTACTGTCGGCCTTACAGGTCAGGAAGCACAGCCAGTACACCTCGCCGTCCCTGATTATTGAAGCGGTGAGATTGCTTCAGGGTATATGTCAGCCGCGACTGGAAATAGATGCCGAGAGTTTCGTCAGGCCAGGAATAATGGGAACAGGAAGTATGCATCACTCACGCTATTGTGGCAGCAAGCGAGATCGCCAGGCCGATTACGGTACGCACAGCCAGGCCGCGTATCTTGGCGCCGACTTTCGGCTCCGTGTTACCTGATGAGATAAGGTCCATCGGGCTGCGTATGCCCCGTGACGGCCGGATACTGAAAGTCTCTGTATTCACATGGATGCATTAGTTATCGAATGGTCAACCCAATGGGCTAAATTCAAGGATAACTTACTGCTGAGGTAGTAGAGAAAGAACGAAGTCAGGTAGATCTACATTCCCGTCGATTGGGTCAGATGCGTCATAAACCGTAATCCTGTAGGGCCTAACTCACATTCATAAGCACGTCCACGCACAAGCCCGCAAGCATGATGTAGCGGGAAACACCGATGACACACTGGCCGTACTGATAGTCGTTGATCCTCCTAGAGTTTTGGTAAGCAAACGGTCTCTCGCCCATGGTTTGATGAACAACTTTGGAAGACCCAGGTTTAGGAATCGCGAATGCTACACACAGGAATGAGAAGACTATGATCATGACTATGATCCCCACTATATGAGAGTTAGCACTGGGTTGTATGAAAATGTATTGCTGAGCAGTCCCTGCGAGCAGTGCCATGGAAAGCTGACCTGTGATGCCTGTCGTGTGGAGGAGGAACAGCTTCGAGTGCGACCGACTTTTTGTTGACGAGCGGACGACATGCTGGCGGATACAGGCCATGTATAAGCATGAATACACATTTTTGTATGTCGCCATCAGAATGACTTACGAGTCGATCTGCAAGGAACAGATAGAACAGCTGTCATTATGTCAATCCTGTGTACGCGAGACAGGCTCGTCGCATATCACGCACCATCTAGCCGAAGCTGTCAGCATCTCTCTCCAGATATTATGAACTGCCACTGCTTTTACGACTGACCTTGATCAATCCGTATACCACGATGCAAATGATTGCTGCTCCGCTACAGGCCGCATTGACACGATTTGCGTCATAACCGTACTGCAGTACGCCGGCGATCAGGATGTAGATGAAGGCGCCCGCGTATTGTAGTATCACCACTGTGTCCTTCCTCGTCAGAACTTGTTGTTGACTGCCCGGTCCGACGCACCATGGAGAGCCACTCACGCCACCGGATATATGACAACCTCCGCCACGACCTTACTGCCGATACACGCTGTGCTGCAAGTCGAATGTCCTAGTCAGCAATTGTATCTCCTACAAGTCTCCTCCCTGATCTGTCGAGGCCCGGCGTGAAGCGTACTGAATAGGGAAGTGCAGATGCCCGCTGTGATGATGGTGAAGAGGATGCCAAAGACACGCGCCGATTGCGGTTCCGCTTCCCTGTATGTGTCCCGACGTTGCAGGGGTTCCGTTGTCATTGAGAGCCATGGTGTCGGCGCCGTCGAGCCGTGCTCGTGGGTAGCAGCTAGCGAAAGCACGTGTTTCGTGGCCTCAATCATGACCTCGATAGGCCCTGCTTCGTCGAGGCGGATCCGTGGCATGGCGACATGCGAGCGCCTCGCGCGGCGGAGGTCGCCTTGCCTGCAGATGTGCCACTGCCTGATGGTGGATAGTCAGGTGGCTAATCGCTTCTCTGCGATGAGAGCTACTCTCGTGTCGACATCGGCTGTGGGGGGTGCCTCGTCGGCAGCGCAGTCGTTGTTCGTATGTCGGGTGGGCCGGAGCACAAGCGTCGAGAGGCAGGTCGAAGAGAGATGCAACAGGTATGTGACGGTGTCTTCAGACCGAGAACCGCCCCTTAGGGGTCTTTTCCGCACGGGAGAGACAATCAAAGACTACCTTGGAGTGCCTGGCCACCCCGGATTGACAGCAGGGATCACATTCCAGGCCTCCTTCTCGCCCCCGTATGAAAAGCACGTTGCGCCCCGGCGAGCCCAGACCGCCCGTCTCCATCAAAGCGCGCCACGGCATTTCTTTTTCGAGCGCGCGGTCCAACCAGCTCGACACCCTACCAGGCCCATCGGCATTCCCCCATCTCTGCCATGCGGCCAAGCCATCTCCATAGGCGAACAGCGTCACTCTGCTGCAGTCCTAGAGTCTAAACAATTGTGTGGCAGCCGCCTTTTGTCCCAAGCTGACACACGCTGACCCAACCAGGAGCGCCCGCCACAAGGTCTTTGCATATCTAGCGCCAAACGCTTATGCGGAACCCTGACAAGTGCACCAATCGCTAGTCCGTTGGTTCCTTTAGACGGTAATAGTCGCTCTTGATTTCCCCCTAGGTCTGACCTAATGCCCATCTGACGCTTCTCCGCGGCCTTTGATGTCACTTTCTCAATGCCCGCATGCGGCTGGTGCGACAGTTGAGATTATGGACTGGTCTTGGGGAAGCCGAGACTGGCGATGATGGCGGTGATGGCTTCCTGCAGCTGCCGGTTTGGGTCTTGAATGGATAAGCAAGTCCACAGCCTCGACCCTACCGAGCAGAATTCCCCGTGGCCGTGCCCCTGGTTTCAGCCCCGAAAGCCACACCTTGAGGTGCTGGTTGAAGTGAGATCATGGCTTGGCTGGGGAAGGAGTAGTCATGTCGCCATCCAGTAATTCGGCGGTGGAGCGGGGAGACTTGCACACATCCTCCGTGAGCCGGGCGCATGTTGATCCTGCGGCTGGGCACTAGTACTTGGACTTGAATGGGCGCGCGGCAGCCACACTGAGCCACGAGAGTTTCCCATCGTGATCGACACTCGCCCCAGTCGGCTCATCTTGCCCCACTCCGGAGCCAGCACCGTCGATAATTGCCCACGTCGTGTGGCTTTGCCAGGGGGAGATACAACGCTTGCCCCACGTCGATCAAGAGCTCTGTGGTGTGGCATCATTTCCTACAGTAGGGGCTGAGCTGCCCTTTGAACCACAGCTGGCCGGTGACGTGGCTGTTGCCTTGGTATGAGCCAAGAAAGCTGTGGTTGAACACAATCTAGCCTGCACTCTTCCGTAATCGGCTAGTTCTCCTCTGGTCGGATCCTGTTAAGGGCTGGCCGGCCTCATCGCGGGATCATTCAATGCCGCGAACACTATCCAGGGGTGAGGTAGGCCACCGGACAAAAAGGCGGTGGCACATGGAACAAACTGCACAGTTGAATGCAATTGGTGATAGGAAAGACGTTGATTCACCCCCAGCGGCTACGCAACTGACACTTGGAGGTCATTTCTTCATTGCAGCTCAGCGATTTGGACTTTTCTCTTTCATTTCAACTAACACGAAACGCCAGTTTTGCCGTTAGCGCCTATGCTGCACAGCCTCTCTGCGGCATGTAAGATAATTCAGGGGGGTTTCTATGCCTGGCCATGCGGTCTTGGTCTCTCCAATTTGTAATCAGGATCTTGGAGTAGGGTTTTCGTGAGATGGCACGAAGACCCTCCAGATAGGCAATGATTTGATTTTACCACTCGTTTCCTTTTGCAGACTGCCTATCGTCTCAGCCTAGCTCCCCGACTGGGTGAGTGTGAAGATACGGGGACATCACGAAGACCGCTTGCTCTCAAAGACCCATAGTCGTGAAATTGGCAGACGTACGTAGAGCTCTCTCTCTCTGTCAAGTCTACACCACGACAACGCGCCTCCGCTCAAAGTCCTTGCTGAACGCCAGCGCGCGTTCCTGGTTCTCAAAGTACGCCTCCATGATGCCGACCCGGCGGAAGGTCCCGGCCCCAGCGCGCACGAGAACAAGACCCCAGCCTTTATGCATCAGCTCCTCGTCTTCCATGGGTCCTGTGCTGATCCACAGCAAAAGAGATGTCTTCCAGATGTCATCCAATGAGTCAAAATCAATATCCGTCGGATCGCCTTCATACAACGTGTCTGTCCGCGTATGTACTTGGCCTCGAAGGCCTTCGATGCGTTTGACTTGCCAGGATGCGTGTTTGTGCGCCATCGAATAGGGGCTCCTCTTGCCGGCTCGAAGTACAGCGCACAGACCAATGAGCTTGAGAGCCGCGTGTTTGATGCGACCTGTCTCGTCCCGCGGATTCTCGAGCTCCAGGTCCGCCGACAGGAAACGCGTCAGGTAAGTCCGGTCCCTGGTCGGGCGGTTTCCACGCATGTTGACTATCCCGTCCCGTGACGCCCATGATCAGGACGGCGCCCTGTAGACAGCCGGTCTGGTAGGCCCCTCATCGGCGAGCCACGATAGCGACTCCATAAAGTTATAGTCCCAGTGACCAGCCAAATAACGATGAGGGCGTGGGATCACCTTGCACAGCCTTGCACGAATCTCCTTAGCGAGCCCTGAGATTGCGACGAGCTTGTCGCTTGGGTACGTCAGCTTCTTCGGTGCATAAGTTTCCACAATAGTATGCCAATTGTCGTAGAGCGAGGTGTATGGGTTGTATTCCACCCCGTAATGGGTCCGTGGCACCATAAGGGGTTGGACGCAGAACAATAACTTCCACGAGGCGGTGGGCCAGTGCTCGGGGACTTGAGGTGGATACATCCATTTCTCCCGGGCTGGCCGCTTTTTCGGGTTGATGCGTGTTTCCGGGAATGTCTCAGTGGCTGCCAGGCGGTGGCACTCCCAGTAAATCTGCTGCGTCCCGAAGTAAATCGTCCTCCGTGCTAGTAGGCGTTCTTGGACAACCCAGGATCGTTCAGTAAGGGGCTCCATGTTGAAGGAGTCGCGCCAGGAATACGCGAGCGCTATTATATCGATAAAGCAAGTCTGCGTATCTTGCTCGGATGCCCCGATTCGAACGACGGTAGGGAGGACATACTCGGGTTCTCGCTGAAAGAAGCACCCGCCGTCACTATCTTCGGCCCCAAGAGCAGCAATAGTGAAGTGGGCATGGCGATAGGCATCGCACATAGCTTCCGCTTAAGAGAGCTGCTTACGATTGTGATTTCAGGGACGTCTTTGATCAATCCGAGCCGCACGGTCCGTGTTGGGTCCCGTACACCCTCCAAGGTGCTGACGCACACGTCGCAGAGCATATCGGAGATCGAGGGATATGGCAGGACGCTTAAGTTGTGGTGATGATGAAGCGAGGCAAGAAGTCGGGTGATGCGCTTAAGTTCTCCCCTGCATGCCAGACAACGCCAGAATAAGAGGGGTCGGGCCGGGCCGGAGGAGCAGGGGTTAACAGTGGACCTGGTGGGCTAATCGGCTCGTGGGGGCTCTCGTTTTGACAAATGCCCACTGCTGGTTACGGGGTACTTCGTAAGCAGCTCTCTATCGAACGCCCATGGGCACCTACAACGGGGCCTTCCAATCACATTGCAACCGCTTGTACTCCGTGGCAGACAGACTTGCGAAAGGCTGCAAATCCCGCTAGTCCTGGAAACTGCGGCAGTGATATGGGTGGATAGTTCGCTCACATGACCCGTCCGGAGGAGTAAGAGCCACTGCCTCTTTAAAAATGGCGAGTGCCGATGGGGATTGGTTTCTGTCGGAGTCTCGTGCTAATTCTTATGTCGCAAGTATATCGGAAGCATCAATTTTCATGAACCTGTATCCTTCTTCCTGTATTCTTCCGCTCGGCGACCGTATTCGTCTTTGAAATTCGCATTGGCGCCGGCGCTTCTGAGCATTGCTTCCATTTCTGTCTTGCACTCCTGAATGACCAGGTGGAGTGGCGTCCATTTGGATGCTGCCCAGGGCTCGTTGACCCTCTCATTTCCTCCTGCAGAATCCTTCGCAGATAAAAGCTGCTTAAACTTCTCATCCCGGCCTAACAGGATTGAAGCGTGAATAGAGTCGCTGTGCTCGTCGAATAGCTGCCCGCCCCCGTCATCACAAAGCAGTTTCAATCTGCTTACAAGCCGTGCACGTCTTGTCTGGATTGCCTCGGACAATTCTGCGAGTTCGTCGAGCCAGGGAAAAATCTGGTTCATGGCACTCAATAGGCATCCTCCGGGAGACGATCCAAGTACCTTGTTCAGAGATTGACTCAGCGAAGTCTCGGCGACACCCACGTTTTTCCGGGCGCACTCCAGTATGCTGAGACTACCTGGGCGTTCATGCATATTATAAGACCTACATCGGTCAAGTAGGTCAAGTAGTTCAGCTTGTGGCTCCGTGTGCTTGTATAATTCGTCAATCGTGACTAGGCACGAGCTTGTTAGCCGTGAAACCTTCATGGCTGTACGAGAAAGAACTTACCGTCAAACAAATAAATGTCTCCTTTCATGGACCAACCTCGGCCTCCATTCACCTCCTTTTCAAGCCATCAGCTGCCATATCATATATCTCGTAGACATGAGTGGTGCTTGAAGCGGCATTGACTGTCAACTGTGGGCAGACAACTTACTGGCAGCGAAAGGTCTGGCGTTCCTATCTTCCGAGTGTTCCTCTGTCCACTCAAAATGGCCTTGGCTAGGCCCAGGTCGCAAAGCTTGACGATCAGCTGCCCTTTCGGATCTGCTTTCAACACAACTAGTGCCGAGCAGGACTAGCCTGAAGCTTCGGGAAGCAAAGGCAAAACTCGATGTGCGTCGACTTACTATTCGCCGGTTTAATGTCCCGGTGGATGACTGGTTCCCAGTATTTCTCCAACTCGAACTTCCCGCGTTTGATGGCCAGGCCGTGATGGAGGTATGCGATCGCAGCGGCGACTTGAAAGATGATGGACCATACTTGGTCCTCACCAAGTGCTAAGGGAACGCAGTCGGGCCCGCCCTCTTGCTCGTCGTCACTGTCCAGTCTCACGTGTTTCTGGTTGAGGTCCCCCCCCCCCCTCTCGCAATATTCTATTTACAGAGCCGCCTCTAATCGTGATATCCGCTCTTCATAGCCAAGATAGGCCACGATGAACGGGGGGATAAGTTTCTGAAAGATTCTGTGCTCATTGAGAAGATAACGCCTCACTTTGTCCACTTGGTTGCCCCTTGAAGTGCTCCAGTTGAAGGTTTTGCGCAACACGAGCTGGAGACTAGTCAGTCAGGTGTATACTCCCTCACCCTGGATCTTCACAAGTACGTACCTCTCCCGGGTCGGCTCCGGTGGTGCATCTCAACACCTCACAAGTAGCCTGTGTGCCCTGCTGAATGACTAGGTGCTCGTCCACCACATAACCAGACCACTTCCGTTGCTTCGAAGACCATGCTAGCGTCGTGGGCGTCTGACCCGCACTGTCCTCCATGTTTATGTTGGCGCCGCGACCGGCCACAGTCTCCTGCGCGGCATGGTGGCCTCCCCGGGTTGCTTCAGGGAGCGGCGTGGACCCGGTAATATCAACTGCGTCAATGTTAGCCCTCTTGTCGAGGAGAAGTGTAATGACGCCTTGGGGGCCATTTCTTGCAGCTTGATGCAGAGCTGTTCTCCCTCCTTTTTCTTGCCAGTTCAAATACGCCTTCGCCCGGAGCAGCTTGTCCACAACTTCCTGGTGGCCCCCGGCGGTTGCCACGGTGAGAGGCGTCTCGTTGGCGGTGGTGGGTAAGTCAATCGAGGGGTTGAAGGACAGGATTGCTTCTATTGTTAGGCTGTGTCCTTGTGCCGAAGCGTACCATAGGGACGTCCGACCGTATTTGTTCGTTTCGTTCAGGGAGAGCTTATCGTCAGAGAGTAAGGCGTTCAGTTCTTCGCTGAGCCCGCAGTACGCAGCAAGGTGAAGCGGAGTATGCCCTAGAACATCGTGCCGGCTTGGGTTTGGAGCTTCTGCATCTGCTTGGGATGTCATCAGCACTTGGGCTGCTGCCTTGGCTGGTCCGGGGCTGCGCAAGAAGTTCCGAGTTGAGGGAATCGTTGCAATAGCTCCGATATGGTAGAGTCGATCGTGTTGCCGTTCATCGCGTGGTCACTACGGGGCGAGGCTGCTGTACTCAACAAGACCGAAGGGGCCTGGTTCATCATCCCCACCTTCTTGAGCCGCGTCTGCGTGAGCTTTCCAAAGTCATACTGGATCAGCCCAGGACTGCCTTTTCTGGCTTTCCCGGTGACAACGTCGCCGAGGCGTATGTCGTGCGTTGAGCTCGGTACTCCGCCGCCAATGCCAACCAAGAGGCCCATTCGTATCTCCAAAACTACGGATCATATCTCGCGCAACTACCGAGCTCGACAAAGCGCCATAGGTGACTACCGAGCTTGAAGAATCGCGATCCGTGGAAGCTGAGCTTGTGGCGATGACAACATTGTGCTGCCCGATTTGTCCAAAGATGTAGCTGTTGCTGTCGGAGGCCGAGATGTCTTCGGTGCCTTCAAACTCCCTATCGAGCAAGATCCTCGCAGCAAGACACTCTACGAACGTGGCGCAGATCCAGCCCACGGTGTATGCTCGTCTTTCGGCCATGTTCGTCGGAAGGTGGCCCCATCGATGATGTCTCGTTGGGCGATCTAGACGCGAGGAGATGCCCTCATGACTCCATGATGTGGTTACATGGAACACAATCTTGCCAGCAGAACTGCCCACGCGGGGAGGAGGGGAGCGGGGCTGTGCCGCTATCATTTCATATACTCAGCCTGATGACCCCTTGGGTGCATCGCGTTGCATTCGCCATGCATGCAGTTGGGGTCGTCGGGTGACGTTGATGTGGATGGCTGCATGGAGGTCTGCATGACAAGGCGCGGCATTCCGTACGGTGGCCAATCCAGGGTACCAGACATACAAGGAGCATTGCCAGATGGCATTCATGAGCTGCGCATCAGTTGCCTCTTTCGCCCCTGCGACATGCAGTTGGCTGCGGTCAGCGCAGCGCTCAGCCTCAGCCTTTCGCAACCTCAAACTGGTGACCCCGCGCGCCCAGGTCTCAAGCTTGAACACATTTGCTGCATTGACAAACACCGTAACATTTGGGGCCCGGAGCCGAATCATTGGAGATTGCAGATGACTTCGAACCATCTCAGTCTCGCCCACGACATACCCCTGAATGACTATCCACTTCATCTAGTAGTCCATTGCCTGCAAATTTTATTTGTCCACTGCCAACAAGTCAATTCTTTCATCATCATGTCGGGCGTAGTTGAAGCAATACCCCTCATCGTGCTGGGCATCGAGATGCTCATCAAGCTTATTCGCAAAGCCGTGCAGACTGCGGAGAAACGCAAGGAGGTGAAGGAGCTCGCGAGCTACTTCTACCAATTTGCACTCAGCAGTGACAAGGACGTCCTCAAGAAAATTGAGCGCCGCGCAACACTCATCCTGCGCGACCCTACTGTGAGCAGCGACGACAATAAGAAGCTACACAAAATCATGACGACCATACGATCGACCATCGTGACGATCGAGGCAGACCTGGACGCCTACGTGGCCGTTGCAGACAAGGTGTTTAGTCGGGAGAAGAAGCGCTTGCTCAAGAACGTCGACAGCAACGCGCGGCGGCTGCACGCCGACTTCAACCGCTTCACGTCTCTGGTCGACAGCCAGGAGGTGCTGAGGCGGACGCCGGAGCACCTCCTCGAGACATACGACTTTGACGTGGATCCGAGGACCCCAAGGATATGGATCACGAAATCGACTTGTATTGCCGTAGGCCGGCTTTCTAGGCCGACTAACGGCGTGGAGGCCGGCAGGGGTCTCTTTCTGCTGGGCGTCCGCCCGTACTCGGGCAACCTGCAGCAACGGGATGCTCAGACCGCCACCGCCGTGCTGAACCGGCACCTCGCGTCGGCGGAGCCCATACCCGGCATCCGTCGTATCATTGGGTTCAGGAACGAAGAGAATCCGCACGTGGGCCTCTCGGGCGAGTTCCTGTTGGTCATGAAGATCCCCGAGATCGGGCGTCGATCAAGCTGGTCCACGCTGCGAAAGTGCATGCCTCGAATCCGAAAGGTCCCGTCTCTTAATGAGAAAATCGGTCTCTGCGCCAAGCTTGCAAACGCTGTCTTACAGGTACACCGTCTCGGACTTGTTCACAAGAGCATCCGACCCGAGGCGGTCTTACTTGTCGAAAACAGCATAGCTGGGCAAAAAGGCGGCGGCGGTGCCCAGGAACAACGACAACAACAGCAGCAGCAGCAGCAGCAGGCAGAAGGTCTTGATCGTGCCAACCTGTACCTTGTTGACTGGAAGCACGCTCGCCAGTCTACCCTCCACCAGACTCGATTATTTGGCGACAGTGCCTGGACGGCAAACATCTACCAACACCCGCAGCGTCAAGGTGAACTCGCCGAGTCCGAGTACTGCATGGGCCACGACATTTACAGTCTTGGCGTATGCATGCTGGAGATTCTCAGCTGGAATTCTCTTGTGGTGCGACAGCACGACGACAACGACGACAAAAACTTGGAAAATGACGAGGATGCTCTGATCTGTAAGGACTTCAGGGACGCCTTCGTGGCGCTTGGCCTCGACAAGCGCGGGGCTCCACCAGACACATTCAAATCCGAGGCCGAGTGGCTCACCAAAAGCCCGGCAAGCGTCAAGTCTACGTTGCTGCATATAGTCGAGGTTATTGTTCCCATACGAGCTGGCCGGAGGATGGCGGCGACTATCAAGAAATGCCTGGACTGTCTGGATGATGGAGACGAAAGATCCCAGCATGACGACAATGTCAGGAGATTCCAGGAGCGGACCGAGAAGGAGGTCGGCGCGGACTTTGTCGAGGACATTCTGGCCGAGATCCGAGCTGTCGAGTGTGCCCTTTGAGAATAGGCGTGTAGTTGCTTCGTTCTAAGATAAAACCAATCCATGTTTCAAGGATTAAGTTGTCCTGTGCTACAATGAAACTCAGTGTCGATCAGGCATCTTCATTCGCTCAAGTTCGTCACATGTCTTTGCTCACTCGCCTTAATAGCAGCATAAACTTGAAACAGACTTGTTTTCGTAAGAATCTATACTCCATACTTGGGAAACCGGGTGCAGCGGTTCGCCAGGAGCATTTATCTTATAAGGTCGTTTTTCGCAGGACTAGTCATCCATAGAAGCTCATTAAAGTAGTTTCGGATCCCTGTAGGATGAGCCAGATGTGTTGACACCAGTAGGAGGTCGCGAAATTTAGTGAAGGAGGAAGGCAGGTCACGCATGCGGATAAACGGCCACGGCATGCACAAACCAGGTGTGCAGCAGCTTGCCGGCGGTTGTATTGGTGACGACGACGACGGGGAGTCCACGACACCAGCATTGCACGCACGGAACGGCGTTAACTCATTCTACTCGCAAGCCTTCAAGTTAACGATGTAACCTAGGTACAGGGCCGTTGAATTGCTACTGTGTACACTGCCTAGAGCTACTGTACATTGATCCAAAACCGCCTTTTCGTCCAGATTTCATGAAATTTGCACGTATCTGCTGTATATTGACCAGGAAACAAGGGAGTCGAGCCCCCTCGCCGGCCTCACTGCCACTGGTCTGCTTCTCACACACGCCCGAAAACACGCCACCTCTCTACTCGAGCTGCCTGACGTATGCGACAGGACCGGCATAGTGGTGCCGACCCTTGGCGAAGAAGTACGCAACGGAGATGAGCATGACGACGCCATAGATCAGGATGTTCCAGTTCATGAGCTCGGGGGCCGGGTTGGGGGAAGACGGCATGAACGCAACCACGAGGATGAAGACGAGGAACACGACCGAGGCGATGTTGATGGGCAGGCCCCACTTGCCGAGGGTGAAGGGGGACTTGAGCATGGGGGCACCCGTGGCGCGGCGCCAGATGATGCAGCTGATGGAGACGATGTAAGTGGAGATCAGCGAGGTGGTGCTGAGCGAGGTGATGGAGTTCAGAGCTACCGGGGAGCCGATGTTGATGAGGGCCAGCAAGCTCGAGACGATAAAGGTGAAGAAGATGGAGTTGGCCGGGACGTCCCAGCCAGGGCGGATGTGGGCGAAGAAGCTGCTGAAGGGGACGGCCTGGTCGCGAGCGAAGGCGAACAGCTGGCGAGACGCAGTGGCAACCATGGTGATGTTGCAAAAGACTGTGAGGGCCGTGATGAAAGACGCCATGGCAATGGCGGAGCCGGCATTCTGCGTGGCGTTGAAGAAAACCTGCATAAAGGGCTGGCCAGTGGGAGAAGCCAGGATGTCCTCAAGGCTGCCCAGGCACATGCAGAACGTGATGATCATCAGCCAGCCCATTGCGCCATTGATGATTGTGCTCAGAATCATCGTCTTGGGCAGAGTCCGGCTGGCATCGCGAAGTTCCTCAGACATGTGCACGGCCGCATCAGCACCGAGCAGAGGAAGAGCACCAGCCAGGAGTCCCACGATTGTCGAAGCACCGGCCGATCCCCAGCCGCCTCCGTCGGTGAATTCGGTAAACACGACGGACGCATCGCCGAGGGGCGCGAGCACCCACAGCGTCACGAGGATACCGATGAAGGCGAAGATGTGGATGATCAACACAATGCCCTCAATCAGCGGCAACTTGCGGGACAAGACCGTGTTGAAGAAGACGGAGAAAGCAGCAAGTGCCATGGACAGCAGTGTGCCGTGGTACGGCTCGGGACCGTAGGTGTCGGGATACGCCAGAATAAGGAGACCCTGGATCTGGGTGCCAGCAACGAACGACGTGGAGGCTGCCAAGGCCTGCCAGCCGAGCACTGCGAGCCAACCCATGAGGTAGGAGATGACCTTTTGGTGCTCACGAGGGGCAAACTCGGAGGCCCAATGGTATTGACCGCCGCTGGTTGGGGCCCTATTGATTCTCGTTGTCAGTAAGCAAGATCGCGAGGCCCATGAGCAGGCATGATTTTTCAAGGGGGGCGGGCGTCTGAGCGCCTGGCGTGATTGAACGTACATGGAACCCATTTCAGCCATCGAGGTGTTGACGAGGATGAAGCCCATCCAGCAGATAAAGTATCCCCAGATGAGTCCTGCCGAGCCGCCGTTGATAAGACCGATGATCGCAACACTAGAGTTGTAGCAAGGTCAGAGACTGCACTTGGTGTGCAACGTTTTGGTCGCTTGTTCTGAGCGATGAGCTAGACTTACCTGAGCGCCGCCTCCCACGAGGCCATCAAAATCATTGAGAATCCAAAAATCGAGACGAAGCGGAAGTTTCTCTACAAAGTTATAAAATCGTTAGCAGTCGCACAAGACGCTGAGAAGCAACAGCGACAGGTTTCCGGCTCACCCTCATCTCCTGGACCTTGCCCATACGGTACATGTTGGCACGGTCCATGGAGTTGCCCTGCTTCTCATCGAGGCCATCGGACTCGGCACCATCGATGGGCGACTCGCATGGCTGCAAGTCTGTCTTGATGTCGTTGGCCATCGTGTTCGAAAGGCACGGTAGCCCTGTCTCTGATCAGATGAAAATGTAGATGACACCGATGAACTAACACGACAGGAGTGTGATGCAAAGGAAAAGTATTAAAAAAGAAAAGTAGCGAGCAAGCAAGGATCGACACCCTGCGGAAGAAGTTTGTATGCCCCACGTGCAAAATACTTGTTGTCTGCGTTATGCAAGAGAAGCCAAGAGGCGAGAGTAAAGAACAAAAGAAGAAAGGATTGCTGCGCTGTCGAGAGTACGACCAGTGTTGCCCTCTGCCACGAGGGCCGCAGCGGGCGTCGCTCCGGCGTAATCAGTCGGTTAATCATTCTGTCGCGCGTTCACATGAAATTCACCGACAAGGGTAGGGCAACATGGCATGCCAAAGAACCAACATTCGACGGCGACTGCAGCGTAACATGCGGGACATGCTCAGTTCGATCCTTTGCCGCAGAGCTGCAGCTGCGACCTGGAACGCCAGGCTGCGGTTGGCTGCGTCCCTTGTTTCCGGCCTCTGCTCCTGCATCTTGCCGGCCGTGGCAGGTGCCAAGGCGGGTGGACGATTAAAGTCCCTTGTTTGGAAGCAGTTCGCTCTGGGCCGTGGGCCGGCCAGGCCGTGGCGGAAGGTGCCGACGGGGGTGTCGATCCCCTGTCCAGAGCCTTGAGCCGGGGAGGTGGCCCGGGCACGGAAGCAGGAGCCCTGGTCTCCGAGAAGCGAGGCCGGGCATGGGGCCCCCTGGAGCTGCGTTGTTGGTTGTTGCCCTGGACAGGCAGGGCCAGGGCAGGCCAGGCTACCTGTGAATGTCCCGATCTCTCAGCCTGGTTCTGCTATTCTATTGGCAGTAAGGGCTCGGTGTCGTATTGTGCATGGGCGTGGAGCCATGTCTCTATCATTACCTCAGCATGAAAGATCACTACTAAACACAGAGTCTGCGGTTTGTGGCGCAAAGAAGTTCTTATTCCCGTAGTGGCTGCTTAATGTAACCCCCCTTCAACACACAGCCAGTGACTCGCCTGGGGCAGACATTTGCTGCGCTCTCACAAGCACTCAGCAGAAGCTACGAGTGCGAAACAAAAAGCAATGGAGCAGCGCGTCATAATCAACCACTCGAGTGGAAGAGAGTGCATCGCAGCTGCCAAGTGTCTGTGCGTTGCATGAAGGTCTCAAGTTGAGATCGGGAACTTCAGTGCATTGAACAGCCCTTTTCTGTGCTTTCGCCTGCACATCTGGGTGATTCCACGCGCCAAGGCCCAGGGACCGGTCCAACGGAATCCTGCCAGGGAGGTGTCGCATGTCAGCGTCGCAACAAGTTGCAAGCCCTGTTTCTCCAGTAGGAATCCAAGCCTTCCCGTGAGGGCTGTCTGTGACGGCTTCCTCGCCCCTTCTGCGTCGTTCGATCCAGCAAACCGCGGGTGAATTCGACCGGACGCCTTGTCGTTGTTATCAGCCAGCAGTGTTTTGTCCCGATGCAGGGGTCAGCCTGTTCTGCTCCCGTATCTGTGCCTGTTGTGCGACTCCAGCAGCGCACCCTTACACATCCAAAAAGGAAAGCGACGACTCGGGCAGCCGAAGGAAGTGTCGTGCATGAAGCACGAATATAATGAGACAAGGTGCGCCAGCCACACGTGTCGACGCTACTGGATCTCCTGGCTCTTGCTCGACTCATACCACATCATCAACAACGCCATACTTTGACGAGTTGCAGTCGCCGCTGTGACGGGCAATTGGGCCTCATGGACAGTCAGCCGCAGACCCAGCCCGGAGACGACTCCCGCTTCTCGCCGATCTACGAGGATGATCACGCAGGCTACATCTGGATCGTGGGCATCATAGCCCTCATCTACAGTCTCTCTGCGACAATTGCACGAGTGTTTGTCAAGTTCCGCCTCTTTGGGACGGACGACTATCTTCTTGTTGCTTCGACTGTGAGTGTGCTCCAGCACCTGGGTCTTACGACAGGTCGCGCAAGATCAGTACTCTGCGGGCTCCTTGGCACGGGACTCCACGCTTTGTGCTGATCTTTTGCCAAACGTTTACTAACAGCGTGCCGTCTTGTGCTTGCCAGGTTCTCCACGTTGCGCAGTCGATTGCTGTGTTTGCTGGAGTCAGCGGCGGATTGGGAAAGTTCAACTCCATCACGACGCCCGAGCAGTGGGCCTCGGCTGGGAAAGTGAGTCGACGATGGCTGGACATGAGCATATTCATCGCACTCCAGGACCACTGACACGCTCTGCCATCTCTCACAGGCGTACTACGCGGCCGATGTCTTCTTATTTCTCGCGCTCTGTCTTTCAAAATGCTCGATCCTGGGATTGATCCTCCGCGTGGTCGAGAGTAAGACGAGCATCATGCGACGTCTCTGCCTCGCAACCATTGGTCTCAGCCTGCTATGGGGGGTCCTCTCGGTCCTTCTGGCCACTGTGGGCTGTCCAGCAGAATCAGTCCTGGCGTCAGCTCGAGCCGGCTGTCCCGCGCAGGTTTGTAGTCGCTCCTCCTTGTCCATTCTCGTCTTTGGTGCATACTAACGGCTGGTTTGCGCCACACAGGAAGCTCGCTGGATCACAATAGCGATCCTCGACATCATTACCGAGATCGCCATCTGTGTCTTCCCAATTGCACTCGTCTGGCGTGTCAACATGAGAGTCTCACTCAAGTTTCAGGTCGTCGCCGCCTTCATGTTCCGTATCCCGCTCGTCCCGCTCGCCATTGTGCGGTTATATCTCCTCAATGCCAATGCCGGCTCGACGGAGCCGCTCTTCGCCGCTACCGATGTCGTATCTGTCAACCAAGTCATCCTCTGCTGGTCCATCATCTCAGCCAACATCCCAAACCTCAAGCAATTCCTCAAGTCGTTCTTCACGGGTCTTGGGTATCCCCTGAATCTCGACGGCACGACTTCGGGCGGCATGTACGACAACTCTCGCGGCAATTCGTATGCCATGCGCTCTCTGAAACGCTCAGGCGGACGATCAGGCGGCGTATCAGCCACGACGACACGCATAACCATGGGCGGCGCAGACCAAGACGATGGACACCACGGCCCGGACAGAACAATGTCTCTACGACCCGCCGACCACGAGCACAAGGCACACGTACAGCTGCACCGCAAAGAGAGCGGCGCTCGTTATGGCAGCAGCCGCAGCACCGGAGAGGGATCCGACAACGACGGGCATAGCAGGACTGGCAGCCAGGAGATGATCATTCGCAGGGAGGTCGAGTGGCAGGTGACCCACGAGGACCGCATGTAGATTGGTTAGATGGACTAGAACTTTTGCACGTTGCAGCATAGACAGGTACATTGATGGTGTGTTTAATATCTGCTTTTCTCAACGTCCTGACAGGCAGCATTGGCATCATCCAAGCGCTTGCACATCCGAGCCTCTGCACCTCTAAGCTGCTGCACTTCGGAGCATTTGTTTGGCCATCTGAGGCAGCAGGGATGGATCGGTGCGGATGCTTGCCACAACATATCGAGTGTGGATCTCATGCACCACACGGCATGGCCTGATCAATAATCAACAGCCTCTCTGTGTGTCGGAGATATGCTCATGAACGCCGATGCTTAGCGAGAAAAGCAAGTTCGTACATGGAGACTCTCAGATGCTGGGACACTTCACGTGCCAGAGGTCCACGGCATAGATGGCTCACCCGAACCCCTGTCAGGTTCAGACGCACAGCAGAGGTTCTTCGTGGGCGGGAATTCATGCCCCGCCAGCCCCTGATGCTGGTCTGCAGACCACTGCCAACCTCGCAGGAGCAGGTGGCATCAGCAACCCCGAGAGTGATATCTTTTAGGTAAGGCCTTTTGTTTCGAACCTAGTCCTGGCATCCCCTTCCCTTTGCTCGGAAGCAGCGACTGGTCGCAGACTCATGGAGGCCCTGATCCAAGCTCTCTCGTCGCCAAAAATAACCAAGTGAGCCTCCGGCTCGGTCGCCGAGCCAGGCTAGCCCAACTCAGCCCATGACAAATCAGATAGGGCTACCTAGGCTCGCTTTTGGCATTAACCTAGCGGACGTTACGACGGACGGTTAAATGATTGGAACCCCTGAACGACCGCCCCTGGTCTCTTCTGCCCCATCGTCTCTCAATCTCCACAGATCTTTACTGATGGGGGTGAGCACTGCTGCAACCCAGGACCAGCCAGCCCGTACGGGCTCTTCTCCGTCCCGGGGCCGACCACCACCCTTGCGACCGGTCAAGCTGCGTCGGCCGGGTCGCCTGTGTCTGTCTTCCGCGGATGGTGAGCTGAGGGAGCGGGGGAGGGGTTCATCAAACGGCAATACGGGAAGTCCCGAACACTCGGATTGATCAAAATGATAGGTCGCAGGCTTAACTTCTGAACCCTGGGCACTCTGCGGGGAGTCGGGAGTGATGTGTATCCCGAGAAACTCGGCTCCCATTTTGCAGATGACAAGCTTCTGACGCTGCACGCTCGTCAACGCAATCCAAGGGTCGTGACGGCGTGCGGATGTTGGCCAGCGCCATCTTGTCAAGTCCTTTTCAGCCATGGCAGGCAGGCAGGCAAGCCCCTCCTCTGTGGCAGGGATCCTTTTCTGCAAACGCCCCGGTTGGCCGCGGCCCGACCTGGTCGACAAGGGTTCTGCCTCGTATGATCAGCACTCAGGTTTCTCCCCGGGGGGCCCCTGATTTGTTAACCAACACGACGAGGGGAGCGAGAGAAAAATTCGTGCCTGCATCTGGGCGTTCTCGGTTACGGCGGCTTCTTGACGAGTGCGAGCGAAATGAGTGCCACTGAAGGGGAAATCAAGTCGGCCGTCACATGCTGAGAGCGAATGTGATGCTCGCCTGCCCGGAGGTCATGTCCGCATGCAATTGTAGACCTGAGCGAGCGAGCGGCACAAGAAAATGAAGCCATCGTCAGTCCTGGTGAAGTGCAACATGGACAAAAAGCTGACGGATCGAACCGTAAACGCGCTGCTGATGCTGCGGTGCTGATGCTTCGATACTTGAAGCTGCAGCCCTGTGCTGACCTCCATGTCAGCCCACAATAGGCTTTTTCGGCAACGTGGATCGGCCATGAGAAGAACGTCTCCGCTCTCCTCCGCGCTTTACGATCGGGTCTTGCCTTGACTCGTCATAGCCGCAGGACTTACACAGTCACTTTTAGCTCTTGCAGCACCCACTTCTCCACGCGGCACAGTCTGCACGAGCCGCCGATCATTCAGGGCATAAAGTTTGCGATCTGCGACATTGTGATCACCGCTGTCAGAAAGTCAAGCAAGGGCCAGCACAGGGCTCTCTCAGTTATCCGAAACGCACGTCCTCCTTACCGCTTCCACGATGCCGGCCACACAAAACGCTGCTGCTGCTGCCGCCTCGCCAGCATCTACAACTGCAACAACATCGACGTCGACACCGCAGCCCGCGAAACCGGCCGTCGTCTACCGCGATGCGCGCTACGGAGAGCTCCCGGCCGTTGCGCACGTCTACGCGCTCGCGTTCTGGGACGACCACATTTTCGGCCACCTGATCCACCCCAAGCGCGACCAGTTCCCGCTCGACTCGGATCTGTACTGGCTGCGTCGCGCGCGCGTCAACTACTGGGACTACCGCTACAAGTGGCTCGTTGCGGTCGTGCCGGACGAGAAGGCTGCAGGCGGGGAGAAGGTGGTTGGCGTGGCGCAGTGGGAGCGCATCGGCGATGGTGGCAAGGCGCTCGAGTGTGCTTGGTGGGATCCTCGTAAGCGTTATTCTTTTTTTCTTCCGGCAAGCAAGTTCATGCCTCTTTCCAGGGCATCGGGGGAGCTAGGTCTTGGATTTTCATATTTGCAGATCGAGAAGCTAATGTGGCTATTTTGCGGATTTTCACAGGCAACCTCCTCAAGCCCGCCTCAGCACTAGCTATGTCCGTCCACGAAAAGATCTGGCCCAACCGCGCAGCAGACCCAGACAAGGAATACGTGATAGAGAGTGCAATGCCATTCCTCCACGACGTCTGGGTCGGCGAGCGCGGCGAGTCGTGGTATCTCGCCTTCCTCGGCGTGGACCCGGACTACCAGGGAAAGGGCATCGGCAAGGTGCTCACCAGGTGGGGGCTCGACCGGGCCGAGAAAGACGGGGTGGTGGCCTCGGTCATCAGCGCCCTGGGCAAGAATGGCTTCTACTACCGCTGCGGTTTTGATGAGCAGCACCGCAGGGCAACGGACGGCGAGGGGAATCCCCTCGGCCACACGGAAGGCTCAGATATCTTGTGGAAGTGGCCGAGCAAACGGTAACAAATGTCCATGCAAAAGATGCGAGGCACGGTCAATGAATGATGTCTGTTCATCTCACGTAGACGAGCGTAGTCCCCAATGGGTTTGTGTCCCACTATTGGAAAACTATAGTTCGGCCAAAATCAGCTCAGTCCTCGTAGGTCATGAGACTTGATGCAGGTGATCACTAAAGCTGTGGCCCACGGCCACCGAAACTTCAGCTGTTCCAATTTTCCAGAGATCCTTTCAAGGGGTATGATTTGCCACTACAACGGCTGGTCCAGAAGATCTCGGGGGAGATGTAGCACAAGCACGCATCTGGGTCAATCACGCAGAGCCCCGCTTCGTCGTGGTTGTTGGGGTAGTGGTGGTTCTTTGAGTCGTTGTAGTCCGAAGACTAGTAGTCGTCGTGGCACGGCTCGTGGACGTTGTTCCAAAGTTACACGTCCCCGGCGCATGCTCCGATCGGAAAGTCGGCGTAGGTGAATTGGGCACACTAGTCTTAGGCGGTGTCCCGACCGTGATGTTTGCCGACCCAGCACCGGCCTGTCCCTCAATGACTATATCCATGTAAAGTTGCGTCCCCAGCTTCAGGCCCGCGGCCTGCCAGGCTCGAAAGTGATTGCCAGTGTTGATAGTCCCGCCGACGTGTCTGGAGGTGCGGACCGACCAGTACTGCTGAAAGTTGGTCTTGTCGCCCTCGATGGAGGGCGCGTTGATGCGCTCCTTTTGCCAGATCTCATAGGTTCCGCCGTCGCTCTGTAAGCAGCCGTATTGCGTTGCGCTTTTGTTGTCGGACGGGTTGTGGTTGCCCATGGACTCGATCACGTAGTACTCGACCAAGGGGTTCCGTGTCCAGCCGTACAGGGCGAGATATGCTGCGCCTGTGGTGGTGAATGTGCCTGTGTAGTTGACAAGCCTGCAGACTGTCAGTAAGGAAGAGGGACCACAGTGTCGTGCTACTCATCTTGGGACACTTGCATGTCTCGAGCAGGCTGATACCCTCTTCCGACCACAAAGTTGCCCCCGAACCGGTTGTTCCACACCGCCGAGAACGAGCCATTCGACCCAGTCTTGAAGTCGACAGTTGCAAAGTCGTTCTTCCAGTTCTGTATCGAGTTTGGAGCTTGGCCGTTGACCAAGGAAATGGTGCTGGCAGCGATCGCCGCCAGGATAGTGGTAGCCCGCCAAAACATAGTGTGTACCGGAAAACTGGCTCTTTGCTAACTTGCTGATTGTCGTGCTTCCTGCTCAGACCGGGGGCTTGGCTCAATTGTCTCGCCTTTATAGTTACATTGTATGAACTTGAGGTTTTCGCCAAAACTTGAGTGGCGCACATTAATTCTTGCGTTCGAGCGGGTCGGCGGTCCGCAATATCGAAATGCATATGCGCTACATTTTAGCCTAATCAACAGACATTGAAATTCTGCAAATGAAATCAAGGAACAAGCACTATCTGATGCAGATTGACTCCTCAGCCGCTGCGGTGCTACCTGACGAACGTATAGACAGACGAATCCGGGTCTCGATCTCGTGTTGGAATGGGTGCTGAATCGTACAGTTGCAGCGGCTAATAACCGGCTATTCGTCAATTCAGATCCCTCGTCTCAGCCGCTCCGATCCGCACCCTCTTAAAGATTCTCGAGTTGAGGGGGCGCTTCAATCATCGATTGTTTGAGTTGACTTGCAGCAAGGAAAGCACAGCCAACGGCGGTAATATGAAAGTTCATTGTAGTATCTGCTAACCCGCCAAGAAACACTCTTTGGTGAGCTGACTTATGCTGTACTTCCACTTTCGCTCTCGCATCGTTATGACCCTGACTGCTAGAAGCTGCTCCTTTATGGGCAGAGGCATCGTTCTTGAACGACGGAAGCCAATCAGAATAAACTGTCGCCCCACCTCGTACTTGCTGTTTCTCGATATATTCCAGTAGCTGCGCTAATGGTGGTCTATTTAATCCATAGTCTGTCTGTTCTGGAACAAAAAGTTCAGTCGCACACCCCGAACAAGCCGCTTGAGCTTATTTTCTAATGTCGGCAGCCTGCAGCACACGAAGTCGAGCCTCGGTCTTTTGTGCATGTGACTACATGAATATGTGTCTGTTCGCTGAGGATGTGCACTATCAGGCGTCAAACCTGTCTGCTTGGAATTCGCTCGTGAGGTTCGGTCAAGCATTTTACGGACCCGTTCTTCAAGTCTCGTTTACCATTCTGGGAAAGGAAGAGGTGCCCTGCATTTGGTCCTCCTGTTGGTTGACCCCTGTCATGTGTCTCGAAAGCTTGATGTACATACCCAGGTAGTGGGCTCTCCCCGCTCTAGGCATCCAAGTTTGCTGTTTGCATGTCTCTCGCCATTACTGGTCGCACCCTCCTTGCCTGCAACATGTAGTCGCACCGCTCAGGATCACCGACACCATCAACCAAAGTCCTTCGCACTTACGGTGATGGATCTCAATCATCTGACATACCGACTTGTCGACAGGCAGAACCCGCAAGTGTTTCTGTTTTGCGTTGTTGCAAGACTTGGCCCAGATGACACGCACCGGCCGCTGGCTGTAGCCCAGGGGCCATGCCACTGCCACCCCGGCTATGCACCACTCAACCTCGATGCCAACGATCTAGTTCGAATTCGCAGATATCTCTCATCGCCCGACAACCGTCATTACATCAAAGCCGAGTTGAAGCTTGCCGCCGACTTTTATCGTGCGGGTGGCCCAGGGGCAAGCTTACCACGTATCGAAGTGCCCAGCCCGGTAGAGTTAGAGCCGCCTTTGGATGAGCGACAGGCAGAGGCTCTTCGACAGACACCGATACCCAAGGCAAATTTCGAGTTTCCCTTCACTCTCAACTGTCTGCTGACCGCTATGAACTCGACATCATGGGGTGGTCAGAGGATTTGTGGTAATGTGCGCCCATGGCCGCTCGGGTCCCTGTACAATCCCCTTAATCTTGGCCAGGGCCTTGTTGTATTTGACATCACCGATTGCGACAATATTGCATACGGTATCCATGCTTTCACGCCAGAGTGGTATGGCTGGGTATACGAAGATTCTGAATTCGGATGGGATCCTGTTGAGGACACGCCACCCCGAAACCCCACTCGAGGCATGCTTCCCCCGGGCTTGTCCATAGACCACGTCCCCTTGTCAGCTAGGGAACTGGTGGACAAGTTCTCGAGCAGTCGTGAGAGCAACGCAGATGCTCTGGCTCAGCTCAATGGCGTACCTGTCATCGATGTGTCTGCATCTGACTGTGAGTATGAATGTTATGATTGTTTTCGCCTCCTGTGGCAACAGGTTGTGTCGGACCATGGTTGGTCCGCCGAGAAAAACCAGACTTGAGAAGCATGCGTAATTGATGGGCTAATACTCAGCAAATGTCGACACCAAAGTCATATGGCCCCGCGCAGAAACGACCGGGAATAGTTCTATTTACCAAGACTGCTCGCCATCATCGACAGCTCCAACTTCTGAGGCTGCACCTGCCCAGAGTCCTCAGATCCAAGGACGACGTGCTCGAAACCTTAAGGATCAGGCTATCGCTAGCTTGTTGCACCATGTATCTGCCATTGATCGTTTCAGCACGGACACCTTCGACGTAATACGGCAAATCCCCGACTTCCAACAGCGATTGTTGGACCAACTCAAAGCCAATCCCAGCCAAGTTGGAACTTCGGCAGCATCGGCCCAGCTTCTGAGTCTCGCCTACGCTGGCGAGAAGGATCTGGATTGGGCATGCTATCATATCCCTCTCGCCTCGCTAGACCTAGCCCTTGCCGATTCATCCCTGAAAAGTTGTCGCTCAATATCGATATCGCTTGAGACCCTGCAGACAACGCCCGAAAAGTTGCTCAAGGTCATTCTCGCCGCCCCGGCGACTAATGTGGGTAATTTGGTCCGACTCAGTCTCCTCGAGGGCCCCAATAGATCCAACGATCGCTTCAGCATGCAGTTCTTGCGGCTACTGATTGATGCTGCAAATACATCAGCACATGCTCGACGCCTACTACAAGCTCCGCCGTTAATGTCTGGGTATCTCAGTTGCTGCCTCCGCGGGAGCCAGTCGGTCGATGACAGCAATATGAACGAGAATTCGCGACCAGCGCAACTATTACCGATCGGCATCTTCCCCGTGCGGCACATGCTCGTCAAGCGCACCGGCCGTCCACGATATCTGCATGCAGGCCCTCCGTACAACCACATCTATCTTGGCGATCGAATGTTGCGGCCTGCGCACATTGTCACAGGTATCTTGGACTTCCTAACGATCCATTCAAAGAACCCAAGGGTCCAGCGGGCGTTGTTTCTCTCACCGTGTCCACCAGCAGCTGTGCCTTCACATGCTCCACTTCACGGCAAAGGCCACAAGAACGATATATTCAGTGATCATGACCGGGACGAGGACAGCGACGACAGCGACGACGATATGTTGCAACCGACCTCATTACCTTCGATACCAGAAAGACTCGAGGACTGGGCCGAAAGTGCCGAATGTTTCGAACCCGGGACCGAAGATTTCAGCCACGAACATACCTCAGACTGCCCCGAAGATGCCTCAATCTCATCGCAGTGTTTCACAATGTGCCCGGGTCTGCTTGAGCCTGAGAGCTGGACGATTCTCGCGTCCTACAGCATTTGGTCCAATGCGCCGCTCAAATACGCCTTGGTTCGAGCTGCGCGGTACTCAAAAAAGGAAGATGGTGATGAAAGGGTGAGTAATAACACTTCCCGCTCTTGCGAGCCGACATCCATGACCGTCGCTGGCCACAGCGCCACCGAGGTAGACTCGCTTACCTGGAACGACGACGCTCATCAGCCATATCGCGCCAACCATTTCGACATGATCACTGATATCCACGGCTTTCTTGACGCAACGACCGCAAGTGAGGATGCATTCACACGGCGGTCCGCTCAAAAACGACAAAGGAAATATGACATGATAGAAGCACAGCTACAAAAGCTACCCAAGTCGACAGTGCTCATGTCCTCGCAGGAAGCCCTCGCCATGTTGAACGAACTCGCCCAAAAGACTGATACGTTGGTCAACACGACTGATAAAAACCGTGCTGAGGAAATAAAGAAAAGTCGAATAGAGTGCCTTGGTCAGTGCTCACGCCAGTCTCGCCCATCTTCATAGTGTAGGGCATGCTCTAGCATACTAAACACTTCTGGTGTAGTGTCCAAGAAGTACACGCCGCCCAGCATTTTCGACTAGAAAGTGACAACCAGGTATCTCTGATGAGATTCGACTGTATACGGAATTTGCGAGCACGGGAGGAGCTGCCCCAGCGCCCATTGCGAAATAGTTTGGTACTCCATGTGAGCCTCATGGGGATAGGCGGTTGCATTTTCGAAGGACATACTGACGACAGTTGCGTCCTTCGCCGTGGCCTAGTCCTTACTGCACAACTCTGGGATCCAGACGGAGCCGGAGCCACGCGTCAGAGCCCAAATGGGAAATAACGGCCCGTAGACCCAAAGCTATCAATCACGTTGCGTACACTTGACAGGCCGAGATTCTGATGCAACTTCTGATGCAACTTCAGGTGATAACATGAACGATTATGTCACAGTCCTTACTTACTTTTACTATTGGTTGGTTGGTGCTTTTGGCGGCAGGGTGCGAGGGTGCTGTAGGCGCCCCGTAGAAACCCTCTCACGGGGTATACGGCGTGTGAAGCTACCACTCAGTCCTTACTTACTCTTAATATGTATTAGTCATGAGACGACTATAGGTCTAATCAATAGCATAGAAAAGTTGCGTGTAATAGTACTTAGGTTGAACAAGCTTGTCTAGTTGTGGAACCTGCTAGTCCATAGCGCATGGCTGGCCAAGGTCTTGTTTACGCAGTGGTCCTTGCTCGAAGCCCACTTTGGTCTTTCCATGCCGGTTGAGTTACTTTCCAAGCTAAGCTGGGATACACGAAATCATGCACGCGGCGGCCAATGAACAAACTCGCACAGTATGCCCGGCATGATCTGAGATCCGCAGCTCCATTAGCCGTGGGTCAGCCAACTTTTGTGCCAGGTGTCAGGCAAGCAGCGAATTTTGTGGGATTCATCGATCATTCGGGGAGTACCCGAGTGTGGACAGTACGTTTCCAGGGGGTAAGCGCCGAAGGTAGGGGGCATCCAATCTGACATTTGCGTATCTGACTGCTTCGGAGCTCTCGGGTATCAATAAGATCATTCGACGTGAGCCACGCTCTGGCGATTACCTGTCTAGCAATCACTGGTGCCGTCTGTGTCCAATCCTCTTGTCGAGCCAAGGCAGGCACATGCGCCACCCTGCCATCGTGCCATCCATACATGGCCTTGGTCAGCGCCCAGACTCGGCGCCCAGAGGCTCGCCAAGGACAAATTCGGATGGCGGTCCACGCAGCCGCTGCCCGGCTCGGCGCAGAGTCTTGTCTTTCTTCTTCTTAGCTTGAATCCATGGATGTCTGCTTGTCTTGTCTCTCGATCTCGGCCCGTCTGAAGACAGATGCGCTTGGCGCACAACGGGATGTGAAGCACAGACGTAGGGGACTGTGACCGACATATGAGGACGTGCCAAGGCTGCCCGCAAGCACGTTGCAGCAAGGCAGGCAGGCAGGCAGGCAGGCAGTCCACCATGCTTCCCCAGAGATCTTCCCCAGAATGCACGTAGCTCCATACTTTAAGCGGCCGCCCTTGTGGTGTGGAGGCAGATCTGGCCACTCAGAGGGCCTCTCTCTTCGGCCGAGAGAGCTTTGATCCGCCAATAATCTTCTTTTGGTCCTGAGCCGTCCCCGGATTCTCCTCCTTGATCAAGTCTTTCGGGTGCATTGCTGCCGTGCTGGCAGGCTCAATCTCGTCCCATGTCCGGGGCGGCCGCGCAGCATGCCCAGCCTTGCTTTAGCCTAAATAACCGCCATTATAGCCGGTCAGCAGAGCCCTGCGTCTTTTCGCAAATGGGTGTTACCCTTGGCATCTCGCCTCCCTTTTGGCACTACCGCACGTGTTTTCCAATGCCCGTCTTGGAGCCTGCATCGAGCTAGCAGGGCTGGGCATGTAAGCCACGGGCAGCCACCTTCTCCAGGTTTTGTGCCCCTTCCCCGCTGTCTTCTCCAAACCCGACAGCTTGGCACCGGTATTTTGAGTCATGGGTGGGAATTCCTTTGTTGCACTTTCTCTTGGCTCGCCAGTCCACCAAGGCCAGCCCCGAGAAAGTCTGTCTCCATGCGGAGCCCCAGTGCTGCCCGCCCCTTGCTCGGGCGCTGTGGTCATGCGACCTCTTGGCAATCATTTGCCCGGAAGCAGACCGCTCGGACCCGGGGGACTCCACAACGACAGGAGCAGTCATGGTTTTCTATAAGACGATCGGCAGTGCCTGGCACCTCCAGAACTGCGACGCTATGCAGCCTTGCCTATGCCAGAGCTTCACGTTGTCTTGACAGCCTTGGAACGTCACCTCCTCAGCACACCAAGAAAGACTTGTGACCGACAGTAACGTCGACAATCTCGCCAACATGGTCGCAGGCACCGCCTCGGACCCGGTCGTCGAGGCCATCATTGCCAACGACAAGACGCCATGGTACAAGAAGCCCAACTTGCGGTACCTGTATCTCTTCCTCGTGCCTTGCTGCATGGGCATCGAGTCCACCTCGGGCTTTGACTCTTCGCTCATGAACGGCCTGCAGTCCCTGAGCTACTGGACAAACTACTTTGGCAAGCCGGCTGGAGCCACGCTCGGCATCCTCAATGCCTCGTACAACCTCGGTGCCATCACCTCGCTGCCCTTTGTCACCTACGTCTCCGACCACGTCGGCCGGCGCGGGTCCATTCTCTTTGGTTCATGTGTCATGATCGTTGGCGCCATCATGCAGACGTTTTCTGTCAACAGTAAGTCGCCTCCTTGGCTTTGATATCGCTTTTGATATGACCAGCACTAACGGGCACGCCAAAGTGGGCATGTGGATCGTCTCTCGCATGATTCTCGGTCACGGCATTGTCTACTGCATCGTCGCCGGCTCTGCCCTGCTGGGAGAACTGGGCCACCCCAAGGAGCGCGCGTTCCTAGGCTCATACTTCAACGCCTTCTATTATGTCGGCTCCGTGACCGCGGCAGGTATTGTGCTCGAGACTTTGGCAATTCAGAGCGATTGGTCCTGGCGCCTGCCCAGCATTCTCCAGGCGGTGCCCTCGCTCATCCAGATCGCCACGGTGTGGTTCATCCCCGAGAGTCCCCGTTACCTCGTGTCGCGCGACAAGAGCGACGAGGCCCTCGCCATCCTCGTCAAGTACCACGCCGAGGGCGACGAGACCAACGAGCTCCCCCACATCGAGCTCGCCCAGATCAAGTCTGCGCTGTCCATCGAGGACGCCTCTCGCAAGCGCGGCTGGGCGGAGCTGTTCCAGAGCCCTGGCATGCGCCGCCGGTCCCTCATCACCGCCATGCTGGGTCTCTTCACGCAGTTCTCGGGCAACGGCCTCATCACGTCCTACCTCGTCGTCATCCTCCGGCAGATTGGCTGGACCAACCCACGGAGCCAGAACCAGCTCAACGTCGGCATCCAGGGCTGGTCGCTGCTCCTTGCCATGACCATCGCCAGTCTGGCCACCCGCTGGCCGCGCCGCCGCATGTACCTCATTTGTGCATGCTCCCTCATCTGCGTGTATACGGCTTGGTGTGTCGCCCAGTCCCAAGCTGACTATTCGGTGGCTGCCGGCAATGCTGTCATCGCTTTCATGTTTCTGTACTGGCCGGCGTACATTATCGGCTACAATGCCCTCACCTACGTGTACCTCATCGAGCTGTTCCCCTTCTACGTCCGTACCAAGGGCGTTTCGTGGTTCCAGTATGTTCCCTCTCCTATGTCACCAAACACACTGCTTTCATGTTTTTGCGCGCCCTCCTTTGATACAATCACTAATCTGATTTATTCCACCCCTTACAGGCTCTTCGGTCGCTGCGCCGGCTTCTTCTCTACCTTCGTCAACCCGATCGGCCTCGACAACATCCGCTGGAGGTACCTCCTCGTGTACATTGCCTGGCTGGCCTTTGAGATTGTCTTCATCTGGTTCATGTTCCCCGAGACGTACAACCGCACCCTGGAGGAGCTCGCCTTCCTCTTTGAGAGCGAGGAGGAGAAGGCCCGCATCGTCGAGGAGTCCAACATTATCAAGCAGACCCTCAAGATCGACGACACCGAGAAGAAGGATCCCGCCGTGCACAATGAAAATGTCTAAAAGGGTTCGTTGCTCTGCGACTAGCGGTTATAATGGCTCAGCTGTAATCAGTGGACCATACCAGCTGAGTCTATGTAAGTGTTAGTTGGGAATGCGCATCCTCTAGATAAGACATGCCACTCTCGCGCTGCACGGGCTCGAGAGTTTATTAGGGAATCTTCGAATCAGACCTATTTTGGCCCCCGCTTCACGCTGACAGCCCATGCTCGTGATCAAAAGCAAGCGAATGGCATGATCATAACCCATTTGCGCTCATCGTAGCCATCAGCTGAAGTTATACATGGTGGCATAAAAGTCTGCAACGTTCAGTCTTCCCTTCGCCTCAATGCCACATGATCCATATCTGGCCATCGGCACCTCCTCAAATCCACGCTGGTCCAGACAGCTGATGTACTCGTCGGCCAGAGCCCATCGTCGGCTCAGTGTCGTCAGTCAAGCCCTTGCCTGTAACATCCTGAGTGCTCGTTCGTCTTCATTTGATGTTGAAGCTGTAACGATCCTCATGTGCTGACTCCGACATAAACAAGACGGTCCGTAAACTGTGCTGGCGCGATAGATGGCGTCCATGATAATGACTGGTAGTTGAGCCAGGTCTTCCATTTGTTGGACGCCTGCCATGATGTCTGCGATCGCCGCGTAGATCTGACCTGCAGTCTTCTCAAGTTCTTGAGTGGGATCGATGGTTACAAAGTGCTCCTCGGCAGCGCTGGAACTCATGCCCATGTTGATGGCGACGGCGACACAGGCGTGATGCTTCTCCTCGCTGAGTCTCAGGAGAGACAATCTGCTGTCGAGTACGAGGATCTTGGCAGCAGTCAGACCTAGAAACCCAAGGCGGCTCGTGGCTGACTCGGCTGCGAGGGCATCGTCCAGCTCCTGTATAGTTACCATGAGTTGCGCCACGCCACTTTCGGCGTCATCGTCGTTTTTCCACTCGGGTTCTCGTTCGTGACATGTCTGTCGTAAGACCCTTGAGGCGAGCATCGCAGCCTGGCACAAGCGTGCAAATGGTGATTGCGGGTCCGAATATGGTGCCAAGGCAAGGCGAGCTTCTGAGCTGGGAACCATCTCTCCAGACTCCCACAGCAAGTCCTCGCAGGGGAATGGAGTCCTGGGTGTGGGCTCGCTGCAGACACCACCTCGACAAGTGAGTGTGCCATCAAAGGCAACTCCAATCATCTTCTCGACAATATAGACTGCCCACCACGTTCGCCGCCTTTCTTCAGCTTCCGTCCAGGTACTCTGTTCGAAAGCGGAGTTCGTTAGCTCTTTCGTTGTGATGTCTGGACGTAGGCAGAGTCTCCGAGGCGGCGTGGTGACAACGCACGGTTCTGCCCGGCTGTCCAGGTTGTGCGACTTACACTGGCACCGAGGATTCCAACCTTGTTCCCTCCCGGGTTGAGCCTGAGCAGGTCCGCGTATCGTACACACCGACCTATGGTGATCCAAGCAGCCGGCATAATGCCATGGCCGTACTCATACAAGGCCAGAAGAACCAGACCCTGCAGGTACCTGATTGACACCACGCCATCGTGCTCAAGTTGACTGGCAAAATGCCTAGCCGTGCCATAAATCGTCGAATTCGCTGCCCTGGCTTGTGTGTAGAACCTGGCAACCTCCGAGGACCCGTCCAACTCGATCTCAGCTCTGCTGCTGGTGATGAGCTGCATCGAGAGCAAGAGGAACGACGCGTCTGACTCGCGACACCAGTAACCGCCGTGGAGGTAGCGTTTCGACACCATCGGCAGCCACGAGTTTACCGTGTCAAAGTATTGCGTAATGGTCGATTGAATCGAAGATCCGTCTCCGAGGCTGTTCAAGACATTCTGAAGACGGTGTTAGCGGGGTCCAGGCCACCACACGAGCCTAAAAGGACGATACGATCGGAGCAGAGCGATATGGGGCAGGCCGTCGAGAGTGAGCAGCAGGAGTTGGACAGCTTGACTCACCATTGGCACAACACACGTTGTTCTGGAACCAAAAGGTCCGTAAGCCTCTGACAGGCGCGGGTCTAGTAAAACGGATGTCGGGAAAGCTGGCATGCAAAAGTCTATGGGCAAAGGCAGTGCCAGACCCTGGTGGACATAAGGAAACCCTTCAGCCCAACCGCTTGTACCATCAGATGCTGTCGGTGGTGGGCCCATGTAGGTCATAGGTGACGAAGTACTGCTTTGTCCGTGATCGCTGCTCCTGCTGCCAGCACTGAAAGTACTGGTACCACGCCAATTAGAAGCTTGTAGCTCAAGCAAAGCTGGGCTGCTTGCGCAGCTCGAACTGTTGCTAAAGTTCTCTGCGGAGCTAAGTCGTTCTTCCAGGTGTGCGATCTTGTCCAGCAGCTCAACAAGGGTCGAATCATTCGGAGATGGCGGTGGGGCGGAATAGTCGCATAGTCGTGCCGCTGCAGATATAAAAGGTCATTAGACGTCTTGATCAACCGACATCCTCCTTGTCCTCGAAGCGATGGAGCTCTGATGACTTACTTCGAAGACACAGGCTGCACGCTGGTATTGCTTTGTTGCACTTGCGTTTCTGAACCGGGGAAGCGTCAGCCCCGCATCCCCGACGAGGGAAAAGAGGGATGGGTATTTTTCCTGCGGCAAACCCACCTGTTTGCGACAGGAAACGCACGTCTGCGGAGCCTTTTCAATACTCCCAGACATTCTCCTGCAGCCACGTATCGGCCTTTGGGCAAGCGCAGCTGGCATGCTTGGCGATAAGCCAATGATAGTCCTAGTGGTGCTGGTGAGAGTGTTGCGTCCGTCGCGAATCCCGCACAACAACTAGGCTGAGTGCAAGACTTAGTTCGAGAGCTTCGAGCAGCATTGATGTGTAGATAGATCATGTTGAAGGGACGGTCACGGGCGAGGGAGGTGCGCTGGATTTGAAGGTGGAATGTTGCACGACGCAAACTTTAAGGTCGATACTGCTGAGCCTCGTGATTCATTGCTATACGGCGATGCACATCCGAGAAAGAACAAAGCCCCGAGACCTTCAACCAGTCAGGGTCCTCAATCATGCTTATCCCCACGACAGAGGCAAGGCAGTGCAACTCAAGGACAAGGGTATGCGTCAGGGAATACACTATTCAGCCGTGAACAGTTTGACGGACGAATCCTAGGTCACACCAGTTCCCCCTAAAGCCGATCAGCAGCATTAAAGGGGACTCCAGGCTGCCTATTCCAGCAATTCGCGCCAGTAGAATGCGGTAAAACTTGCAAGGCGACCCCAAAGGGCGGGAAGGTTATACGAAACCTGCATGATCAATACTGGAGCCTAACCGGGGATGCCGGGCTGAAAACGCACATTACTCGACAGGGCGGGGTTCTTCATTTGTGCCCCAACCACCACCCTCCTTGCCTGCTGCTGACTTAAGAACACCTGCGCCCCGAATCTGCACGATTCGTGTATCGATTTGGGGAACAAGGGTCATCTCAAGAGGTCCACCCCTGCTTATCAGGAGATGGATCCGCGTCATCAATGAGTACAAAAGCCGGCAGATAAGAGCTTGCCGTGCCAATTGACATGCATTGCGAGCGCAGCTGGCCCTGCAGGCGCGTCAGCTAAGACTATACGGCTTGGAAGCGGCACTTGGCAAAGACATTCTTCTGGGCTGACCAACACCATTATTCCTATGCAGTGGCAGGCGCACGTCCGCGGAGTACCGAACGTCGGATAGGTGACAGCGTGGAGGCCACGACACGGAGAGGTCACGTGAAAAAGGAGAGCCATTTGGCACAGAGCGAGAATTGGCCCACAGATTTGTTGAGATGCCTGTCACGTGCTATCACTTGCAGCAGAACTCCATATCTTTGATGACGACCGTGCACCTAGAATGGCGTAAGCTGGAGGAGGTACAGTAGGCGGGACTGCACTTTAGTCGTATGACTGCAGGATTCCAGGAACGCCATGCAGGTGCCGAAAGGCCCGCGTTAGTCGTTTTTGAGATGCGACTGATCGCACTGCGAGCCTCGAAGGCTCAGGATGTTGACCAATCGGCTCGTTTGGAGGGATGCGGAGGAGGCTATGAGTTCCGTGGATTGAAGACGTCTATGGATTCTCCAAGAGAGAGATCCCTGGGTTAGTCCGTGCATCGTGAATCCGCAGTGTTCCTCCTGCCCAGTCCCTCCAGCGGGCCATGGGGCAAACCAGAATTTATCTCTGTTTGGATTGGCGCCATTATCCCCCAACTTGTGTGTTAATTGAAGACAGCACCCGTCAATTGAAGACGGGATGTACAGTACCGGACGTGGAAGTTCGGCATACGTCAGTGGCTCTCGGCCAATGGGACTAGCGTTGAATAGCAAGATAGCAACAAGGTTCATGACTAGCTTCATGACTAGCCGTTGCCGAGAGACCCAGTTGCGTCGCTGTGCAAGCGCAGTAGCAGCCTATCCGTTAAGGTCGTTAAGATGAGACCCCACCGATGATCACGGATTCCCCTGCACCCCAACGGCGCTGGTACGGCAGACTGGCTCGGTACTCCGCAGCCTGGTGAACTTTGCTGACTGGAGCATCCATGTCTGCATTGTTTCCTTGATCAATCCATAGATAACGAAGTGGGGGGAGATGCCGTTCCAGCGACCTCGGGATGGACAGGTGCAATACAAGTAGCGGCTTGCGACTCCAAGATCGCCCAGAACTGCCTCTTTCTTCAGCTCCCGCAGCAGCCGTTGTTGCACTAGTTACAGCGAGACAGCTTAGGGATCGCAAGGATGAAGGTCTTCAACCCGTCACCGGCCACCGCCGCGTGGCTCGCCGGTCTCGCACTGGTGCCCGCCTACACCTCGGCCCTTGCTACGCCACAAGCGCCCTCGGCTCGGGGGGTCGACTGCCACGGGGGGCCGGCGCCCGTGGTCCTCCGCCACTGGCCGCCGGCTGCGGCCAAGGCGCTGGGGACGATGATATCCCGCAACGCGCACGCGGGCAACTATGCCGTGTTCGACATGGACAACACGTCGTGGCGCTACGACGTCGAGGAGTCGCTGCTGCCGTACCTCGAGAGCCGGGGCGTGCTGACGCGCGACAACATCGACCCGTCGCTGCGGCTGATTGCCTTTGAGGACACGCCCGAGTACACCGAGTCGCTCTACAGCTACTACCAGCGGCTGTGCGAGGTGGACATTACCATCTGCTACCCCTGGGCCGCGCAGGTCTGGAGCGGCCTGACGCTGCGCGAGCTCAAGGGCTACGTCGACGAGCTCATGGCGCTCAACACGACCATCCCTGTGCGGTACTGGAGCGCCGGCGAGCTCGTCGACGACGATGTGTCGCCGCCGCGCATCTTCCAGGGCCAGGTCGAGCTGTACAACGCCCTCATGGACAACGGCATCGCCGTCTACGTCATCTCGGCGTCCTCCGAGGACCTCGTCCGCGCCGTGGCCAGCGACCCGCGCTACGGCTACAACGTGCCCCCCGAGAACGTCATTGGCGTCAGCACGTACCTCCGCAACGCGACCGACGGCACCCTCACCACCACCCGCCGCCAGCTCGCCGACGGCGTCTACGACGCGGAGCGCAACCTCGACCTCGTCATCGGCCCTTACCTCAACACCCCGGCCGTCTGGTTCGCGGGCAAGTGGGCCGCCATCCTGACCTACATTGACGAGTGGAAGCGGCCCGTCCTCGCCGCGGGCGACACCCCTGGCAGCGACACGTACATGATCTTCCACGGCGTCGACGTGGCCAAGGGCGGCGTCCACCTCTGGATCAACCGCAAGGACACGTACTATGAGAAGCTGCAGGGCATGATTGCCGACGCGGCGCAGGCCCAGCGCGAGAACGGGCTCGAGGTGACGGTGGACAAAAACTGGGTCGTGGTGAAACCCGAAGACATCCTGTGAGGTCTCCACCTTTTATTGCGGGTGATGGTCGATGTAGATATTCGTAGACAACGTAATACAGACTATCGCAAGTAAATTCCATGGCAGTCGAAAATCTGGCTCCAGCATTATTGAACTCTTCCGCATGTCAACCTCGGTTGCGTGTTCTGTGCCTACTCAACTTTGGTGTGTGAGGTGTAATTTTGGTAATTTATTTTTGATTTATTTTTGGGGTTTTCACTTTATTCGGAGAAAAAAAAGGAAGCCAAAAAAGCGAAACAAAAACAAAAACGATCAAGTTGAAACATGTGAAAAAACCGTGTTAAACGTATCAATGAAGAGCCAACTCAATCAATGTACCTACGCTTGATGTTTTTCTAGCTCCCTATCTGGAGTTCGAGCTCACATTCCTCTGACCGGCGGACATGAACGAGACAACCCCATTATTTCCAACATGCATGTTGTACATTGGTGACACGTCCGGGAATGGCCAGACAACATTTCAACAGTTCACCTCTGCCACGTCCTTGAATTTCGGTATTTATGGACAATTCGCTGTTCGGCGATCAAAGGCATTGAATTGAATTGATCTATCTCTGCGACGCTGCTGTCCTTTCCACCCGGCCGAATAGATTGATTGGCCCAAATGGGATGACCGACATTCTAGCTACCTAACATTTGCTGTTGGAATTGACCATAGGGAGCTGAACTTTCGCAGGAGCTTGGGATGGACATGATCAGACCGCACGAGTCCGTCCGCGAGATCGGCCGCATTCGCAGAGGGAGGTGCTGCTGCTCGAGATCGGCGACCCACCTGACTATGGTCGATAGCTTGTCAGGTGGGACGAGGCTGCACTGGCCTTTGCGACAAGTCAAACATGATGCACGAGGAATTCTGCGAACATCTCTGAATTCGGGATATGCCCATTGAGCCATGCTAGCCAACACGAGCTGTGACGATCAACTATTGAAGCTCACGACGCGCTGCTCTGTCTCCAATCCATTGGCCGCTGGGAGGCGTCTCCCCTCACACTTCCCAACCCTCCAGCGACGTCCGCCTGCTCAATTCCTGTAGTGTGGCAGACGAGTCCCGTCCCTCATCATTGGAAAGCCATGGCAAGCGGTGTGAGCATGGCAGAGCGGTCCAGAAGGAGTCCAGACGTGGAGCCAGTGTCGCAGTTTTGGAATGCATTTCGCGCCGACCTCGCCGCAGCATCGAGGGCGGGCGGGCGGTCGACTTGTTACTCCAGGCCTCCAGCGATGCTACTCCGTAATTAGCGCCAGCGAGGCGGTGGGAATGGGTAGGACGGCACAGAGCTGAAGCCATCACCGTCGTTTCCAAACATCAGTCGAAGATGACGCGCGACGTGGGGTCAGTCTTAGCGTGGTTTCAGCGTCCTCGAGGGACCCCGTGTTGTGCTGTCACAAGCGACCCCTGACCCGCGGGACTAAGCTTGTTTTTGGGTTTGCACCGGATCGGTGCTCTAAATGGACCCAGTCGAGGGCGGCGCATGGCTGCCGGTGAGGCTGTGCTCGCCCTGAGGGCCATATTCTCCGGCACTATGAGCGTGGGCCGGCACCACGATGCCGTCGTGGAGTCGGCGCACCAGCCAAGAAATGTCACGATCAGGGTGACAAGGGCAGGGGTTTTCTTGCTGTGGGCCTGGCAGCCGAAACGCACCAGCAGCCCGTCCAGCCTCTTTTCGACCTGACCTGACCTCACCTACCTGCCTACCTGACTGCCGTACCGCAATGGCCTGCTTTCCCGTGCGGTTTTCTGCGCACATGTTTCAGGACCGCCACTCTGGGCCGTGCCTCGTTGTTGTATTCCGCAGCCGCTGGTCACCTCTTGACTCGGCTGCCAACCACTGCAAAGACCCCTGTGGCAATCAGGAGCCCAATCTAAGCTTCATTCCCGCCCGCCGGGGGTTTCTCCCACCCAACGCCTCACGGCATCTCCCATTTCCGTGCTCCGCTCTCCCTCCCCCACGAACCCCTGCGTGGGCAGAGCCTCATGGCTGACTTGCCCATTCCGGCCAAGTGACAGCACTCGGCTAAGAATGGAGGCGGCAGAGCAGCCCCGCAGACCGCCACGTGAAGCTCCTGGCGGCTTCCACGATGCTTGCTCCTCCACACGAGTGACGGTGGCACAGCCTCCTGCCCTTAACTCCTGTTTGAAGTCTCGCGCGACCTGACTGGTCAACAGAACGTCAGGCAGGAGAAACATGGCGATAATGGGTTTCAGAATCGAGACCGCAGTCCCGGATTATCGTGGCGGGCTATAGGGTTTGGCGATTCGTTTGTTTGTCCCGCCAGCTTTGGCATGAAACTCGCAGCTGCCGCGGAGGAGGGTGGCATTCTGTGATGGTCGCCCAAGCGATCCTCACACCAGCATCAACATATAAAGAACCCGTCACGCCCTCTCAACTCGACACTTCTTTCTGTCCTCATCATCATCATCAGCATCATCATCAGCATCTTTCCTCTTCCTCTTCCTCCTCTCCTCGCCTTTCAGCTCTGGTCAGCTTGTTCGAGTTCTTCATTTCCATTCTTCAGCATTATACCCGATTCTGTGAATCACTTCGACCCTCAAACCTTTCCAACAAAAATCCTGTTCCATAATCCAACCATCAAAATGATTGCCTCCGTCTACATCGCCTCCACCCTCCTCGCTGCTGGTCAGCTTGTTGCCGGCCACGCCGCCATCATCCAGGCCCAGGGCGACCTCGGCGGTCTTGGCTCTGCCATTGCTGGTAAGCTTTCCACCTTCTCTTTGCACTCTCGCCTCCATCACACAGCGACTAACCACACATGACCACAGTCGACGCCTCCACTCCTCGCGATGGAACCCGCCGCAACCCCTTCCAGGCCGACTCGACCCGCTTCCGCGGCGAGGCCGCCGACGGATGCGGTGAGACAATCGGTGCCGGCACCAACAACGTCGAGAGCGGCACCGCGGCCGTCATGGCTGCCATGGGCGCCACCCTGCCCCAGGTCAGCGCCGGTGGCTCGCTCACCATGACTCTGCACCAGGTCAACGCCGACGGCGCCGGCCCTTACACCTGCATGATTGACGCCACTGGCACCGGCACCAACTGGACTCCCATCACCGTCACCACCAACGTCGAGGGCGACCAGCGTGGCCGCAACCGGGACGGACAGGTCCAGGACCACGTAAGCACATACACTCTCTTCATCATTTCACACATCACCATGTTTGCTAACTCGTTCTTTCCAATAGCCCCTCATTGCTGCCATCCCCGCTGGCCAGACCTGCACTGGTACCGTTGCCGGCCAGTCCAACGTCTGCATGGTCCGCTGCGAGAACCCTGCCCGCGCCGGTCCCTTTGGTGGCTGTGTCCCCGTGCAACTGGCTGCTGGTGGCGCCGCCGCGCCGGCTGCTGGCAACGGCACTGCCATCGCCAAGCCTGCCGCGGGCCTCACCCAGGACGACCAGGAGGAGGAAGTCGACAACTAAAGTCCGGGAATTGACAAATCATTGGTTTATGAGTAGAGGGTTATTAGCATGGAGAAGTCTGGGAAAGGACTGGACTGTATGAGTGGCTTGGATTTGAAGCCGCTTAATCTGTGGAATGAGACGATCTGGCCCGGGTTGGATAACGGGTGCTGGACGACGAGGACGATCTCTAATAATTAGAGAGCATGTTGATCATGCCTAGGTAGAGCTAATATGACTGGTTTGATGCTTAATATCCTGTCTTCCATCTCAAAGAGGCCTGCTCATCTCAGTGAACTAAAATCCGCGCGACATGGTATCAGCTATAGTCTTTCATGGCACATTTTGGAGAGCTCTAAGATTCACATTGGGCCAGTAAGATTGGGAGACGCCGCACTGGGTTAGCGCTTGGCTGTCATTTCCTGGGGAAGCCAGGGATGACAGACGTGGGGTTCCCGGCACTTTCTTTTTGCCTCGGCCCTTCTCCGCATCAGAGTAGCGGCGGCGCCACATCCGGCTGGACAGCGTCGATCAACGCGGATCCACCTCACCTCACTTAATTGTCGAGGGGGTTTCGCGAGACACCATATCCAAGTGTCACCGTCTGCCTTGTGACGCCGTAGGCCACCCTCTCTGCACTCGCGACCGGACCAAGGATCCGAGGGACCCCCGTCACATCGAGAGCAATGGCGGGCCGAGTGCGCCAGCCGATTGACGTGGGTGCTCTCGAGGCATACTTGTGTGACAAGATAAGCGGCTTCAAGGGCCCGCTCGAGGTCAAGCAGTTTGGCTTTGGCCAGTCCAACCCGACATACCAGCTCGTTTCGGGCACCGGCACGAAATACGTCATGCGCAAGAAGCCTCCCGGGAAGCTGCTGTCGACTTCGGCACACCAGGTCGAGCGCGAGTACCGCATTCTGCACGCCCTAGCTGGGACCGACGTGCCTGTCCCGGCTGTGTACTGCCTGTGCGAGGACACGGCAGTCATTGGCACGGCGTTCTACGTCATGGAGTTCCTCGATGGCAGGATCATCGAGGACGCCGCCATGCTGGGTAAACGTTTCAGGGAATCCCATTGACGCCTGGCCTCAGGGATACTGACGTGTAATAATGGCAATGACAGAGTATCCCGCCCAAGACAGAAGTCTCATGTGGCAGTCCGCAGTCGAGACACTCGCCAAGCTGCACCGCATCGACTACAAAGCCCTGGGCCTCGACACCTTTGGCAAGAGCAGCGGATTCTACAACCGCCAGCTCAAGACGTGGCAGATCACCGCCGCGTCCCAGGAAAAAGCCGTCGACGTCGACACGGGCGAGCCTGTAGGCAGCATCCCGCACTTCCCGCAGCTGCTCGCCTACTTTGCCAGAGAGCAGCCGCGGGACCGGGCGACCATCGTGCACGGCGACTTCAAGATCGACAACCTCGTCTTCCACAAGACGGAGCCCCGCGTCATCGGCGTCCTGGACTGGGAGATGAGCACCATCGGCCATCCGCTGTCCGACCTCTGCGGCCTTCTGGGCGTGTACTACACGACAGACGCCGACGTGGAGTGGACAATGCAGAACAGGGCCTTCAAGGCCGGCTGCACGCCGGGCCTGCCGACCGTCGACGGGGCGCTGGGCCAGTACGCAGCCGTGGCAGAGTGGGATCCCAAGCCGGACATGCAGTGGGCCATGGCGTTCTCCATGATGAGAGGCGCGGTGATATGCCAGGGCATCGCTGCGAGGGCGGCGAGGCGCCAGGCGTCGAGCGAGGAGGCAAAGAGGTATGCTGACTCGTTTGTGCCCATGGCCGAGTATTCTTGGGCATTGGTGCAGCGGCGGGCTGCCGAGAAGGGGATCGAGCCGGGGGCGTCCAAATTGTGACCTGGGTGGATATCGTCTGGAGACTGCAAGCAAAGGGAGTCAAAGAAAAGGTTATGTTGTTTGGTGAGAGACATCATCTAGCCAGCCTCTGAAATGATCGTCGGCATGTGATAATGGAATTGCTACAGATATGATGTTCTGATTTATCGAGGTGGAAATGTAGCATTAGTCTATCCACTCTCCTTGAACTTCTGTGGGCTGACTTATTGCTCGGATCTTTGATGGCAGCTTACGGTTTATGGGAGGGAGATCAAGACAGCATTGACTAAGGTGGAGAGAAGAGTATAAGAGGTGCGGCACAAGACTTGTGCGTGTGGGGCCTCTGTCATCCACAACCGGAGTTCTGTTCGGCCGTCTCCCAGTGGATGGTGTGCGTACAGGTAGTCCTTGGCAGGGAGGAGAGCTACTCGGTGAGGCTTATGCTCCTTGGAAAGCACATGGCCACATTATTTCCTTTATGCAAGGTACAAGAACACCTTGGCCAATAGGCGTTGTGAGCAGCCAGATGAAAGTCGATGATGCGTCAATATAAGATCCAAAGTACCTGATTTGCGTGGTTATGATCTCGCGAAACTGCCCTGTTGATTCGATTCCTAGGCATTGATCTTGTGATGTGGATAGTCATTGTTATTCTTGGTTGAAAAGCAAGTCCCCGAACGAAACTATGGGACATTTTGAAGCCACTTACACGGCGGCCTTTCCAAAGTCTGAGCAGCCCAGTTTCGCACCCGCGGCGTCTACGTCAATAGACTTGAGACCGCTCTCGATCTCTTTCTCGCTCTTGCTCGAACTTGACCGAAGTGGCGAAGCGGCACGAGGCTGCTGTCCCGGCTACGAGAAAACGAGGCGGTAGGCGGCAGTGTCTGCCGCGCGGGAGACTGACGTACCAAGCTGGAGGCTAGAAGTTGGAGACAACTTGGCAGCATTGGCGAGTATTGGCGACGCCTCAGTGTGCGATCGCTCTGCCGGATAACCGAGATACGTCTGTTGGTTCCTCGATACATGCCAAGAACGATAGGTGAAGGGGAGGACTTGGCGGATATGAGCCTCTTCCAAATTGCGGATCGCCACCTGCCCTAGTAGCGCTTTGCGTTGACTGAAAGAGTGCGGTGTTGCTTCGGGATGAACAGCTTGCTGGCCTCTCTCCGCAATGACTGGTATTTGGTCTTTCATATCTGTAGTGATGCCTCTTCTCTCAGTTGAGCGTATCCTATCGCTCCTCATGGGCCGATAAGTTTCCTGTTTTGCGTACTGAAGCTAGTGATGCTTGCCGCGACTAGTCAGCTACCCACCAGGAAGAATCAAAATCATCCCATAACACAAAAAGTACATAGGTATGCTGAGCCACCGTCCTGGGGGCACAGAGACGTCCCAAGAATCAGTGTGGGCTCCCCAAGCCTTGGCAGGGCGGCCCTGGAGCCCCTGTAGACGGCGATCCACACCGCAGGCGCGGAACCGGCACCAGCCCCAAGACTTGCCAACCCATCCCAAGCTGGAAACCGGCACAGATGGAGCCCCGGCCTGCCAATCACACGGCGCCCTGCACCGAGCCCAGCATCCGAGCTCCGGGCCGCATTTCTTGGTCGTGAGTTTGACAACGACACCTCCCATTGTCCTGGCTTCCGTGGCGGCAGAGCGTGCTCTCTGGCCCTCTAATCTATGCAGTAGCGCTCTCTCTGTTGCGCCAGGGGAACGTCCACTTGGTCTCAGCCAAGATTCTCAGCATATTGGATCTGCATGGTCTTGAAGCATTACCACGTAGCAGGGGGAATTCAAGGCCTCACTCAGCACGAGGCTATTGAAAGCCAAGACACGCATCCAACAGAAAAGAAAGGGTGCGATTTGACGTACCGAAAGCTTGAGCTTTGTCTTGAACGCGCCAGCTCTCTCCTTATTCGGGGCCAAGCGGGAAGTCCCAAGACACAAGGCTCCGCCTGTTCCTATCTTTGTCGTCAATACCTTGATATCCTTCCCGGCCCTGTTGGCAAGGCGGATCCAGTTGAAACGGGAGATGTCGGTAGTTCTCCGTCCAAGACTTGCGGGAATTAAGATGCGTGATGATCGCCGTGTCCGCCCGTCACCTGCTTGGACCATCCCCTGGTCACATATCTATCCGCAGGTACTCTGCTTTATTATATCCACCACGATGTCATTGCCAACACATCCTTGATCCTCTTAACTCCCTTCTCCTGCATGTCTCCTTGTTTTGATCTCGCATTAGCCAGCTCGTTGTTCTTCCTTTGGTCCCCTTTGTCTTTTCCTACTGTCCAGGACACTCTCGCCGGTCGAGTCGTGTCTACTACCACACTACTCGCAAGATGCCTGCCCTTGACATCATCGAACTCAACACTGTCATCTCAGTGTTTGGTACGTCCTCTGACATTCCCGTCGCGGCAGGAATCACAACTGTCGACTAACTCACACATCTTCTAGGGGCCTTTATTGTATTATTCGGGTTCTTGTCGGTCAAGCTCAAGCGCCAATGGTACCTCGGTGAAGCCTGTTCGTACCTCTCACAACTTCCTCCTCTTGCACCTCATACGACAGCATGCTCATATAGACTACACAGTGCCGGCTGTCTTTCTGGGCATCATTCTCGGCCCTATCGCCGCGAAATTCATATTCCCAGAACGATGGGGCTCCGCGTCGCCTGACCAAGTGTCGCCCATCACTCTGGGCGTGATGAGAGTCATGATCGGCCTGCAGCTCGTCATCGCGGGATACCAGCTGCCCGCCAAGTACGTGTGGCACCACTGGAAGGAGATGGTCATCTGCCTTATCCCCGTCATGGCCATCATCTGGGTGACGACGTGCCTCTGCGTGCTCGCCACCATCCCCAACGTCTCGCTGCTCGCCTCGCTCGTTCTCAGCGCCTGCGTCACGCCCAACGACCCCATCCTCTCGCAGGCCATCGCCAAGGGCCCCTTTGCCGACCGCTACGTCGCCCGCCCCTTGCGCGAGATCATCTCGGCCGAAGCCGGAGCCAACGATGGGTTCGCCTTTCCCTTCCTCATGCTGGCGATATACTTTATGCGCCACTCGGAGGTCCCAGACACGCCGGCTACGGGTGGCATAGTTGCCCGTGCTGCCGAGGTGGGACGGCTCGGCGGCGGACCACTGCTCGCCCTGCAGAACTGGGTCGTCGAGACGTTGCTATATGTCGTGCTCCTGGCCATGGTGTACGGTGCTGTGATCGGGTTCTTGTCTGGCCAAGGTCTCAAGTTCTGCTTGAGAAGGAAGTGGATTGACGAGGAGAGCTACGTGCTGTTCCCTACGGCCATCGGTGTAAGTCTTGAGACGGTAGCCCATTGCTCGAGATTGGCAAGTGTATTGTTGTGGTGGCTAACATGAATGGTCACTGTACAGCTCTTCATTGTCGGCACCGCAGGCAGTCTTGGTATCAGTGACCTTCTCGCCTCCTTCTGTGCCGGCTGCGCGCTCAACTGGGATGGCGAGTATCTTGCTGAGACGCTCCGCCGCCATGACGAGGTCAACAACTGCGTAGACGTCATTCTCAACTTTGGCGGATTCATGTATCTCGGTGCGGTCATGCCGTGGGCCGAGTTCCACCAGCCCGAGACGACGGGCATCACGCTACCGCGGCTGTTAGGCCTGGGCATCATGGTGCTCATCTTCCGCCGCATCCCGGCCATCATGCTGACCTACCGGACCATGAAGAGCACCGTCACCGACTGGAAGCAGGTGTTCTTCTTTGGATACTTTGGTCCCATCGGTGTCGGTGCCATCTTCTACGTGGAGCACACTCGTCTGCACCTCATGCCCAGCCTAAACGAGGCCGACGAAGGTGAAAGAGTTCTGCTTAATGCCATTGCTCCAGGTGGGTCCCTACTCCCCGTCCGAACCTCTCCACAAGGTCGAAGAACATCTCTGACAAAAAGTGCTTAGTCATCTACTGGCTCGTCCTGTTTAGTATCGTGGTCCACGGCCTCTCGGTGCCTGCCCTGAGCTTGTTCTACAAGTACTTTGGCGCCAAGCGCATCACCGACGACGCCGTCTCTGTCCGGCGCAAGAGCATCCACGCGCCACGTCCAGCTAATGCTGTAGAGGGAGACTCCGAATATTTCATCGCGTTCAACCGCTTCTCGCGGCCCGTGTTCCCAGTGGATCTGCCCATGTCGAGGGCCGTGACGAGGGAGAAGGAGGAGAATGGCTCGGACACGTCATCGGAGTCAGTCGAGGAGCAATGGAAGGAGGATCAGAGAGGTGCTACCATGGCAGGGTCTCAGCTAGGTGTGCCAATGTCGAGAGCCGTGACGAAGGAGAGCGCGAGGTCTGCTCGATCACCCGGTGTAGAGGGGATTCAGTGGAAAGACCAGAGGAATACCTGGGTGTGAGCTCGCGGAAGGTAGATGGTCGGGAATTGACTCTAGCCTCACTACCCAAGGATAGAGAGAGCGTCAGAAGAAGCATAATTTGGCGAGATTGGCGTTGGCTAGATTTGCGCTAGTCTCTCCCCCGAAAGTTTGTGGTAGGAAACGCAAGACGATACTTATCCACGGAGCGGAAGTGTGAGCCGGGTCAACTACGGCTCCCAATAGGCGCACGGGTACCCGTGCGTATAATATTACACGGGTACCCGTGCAGATTCTGCTTACAGCTTAGCGTGTCTTAATTCCCGCCGACATCGCAATCCTGGATCCATATCCGGGGTGCACCCATATCAGCAGAAAAGGTCTGTCTTGACCTTCGCTGGTGATCTCAGGTGCTGTCAGCATACAATACTTTACGCGCTACAAAGCGCGCTGAGGTGCTTTCGTGTATTTCTTTTATTACCATTACTAGCCTCAGATTTGTCTCCCGATGGCAGCTACTAGTAGTACCCACCATTCATTTCCCGATGACAGTCTCCCTCCGGAAGGCACCTACGAGTCCCGAGATACCTTATTTAAAGCTATCAACGAGTGGGCGTACACAAGAGGCTACGCCTTTGTTACGAAAAGGTCAACAAAGGAAAAGACAGGCAGGCTCTCAGTCGTATATGCATGTGATCGATCATGTCGCGACTACGCCTCTGGAAGACCGCGCCAGCGAAAAACATCTACGCGAAGTACCAACTGTCCGTTCTCTGTACTAGCAAAAGAGTCACGAGACAGCGGCACATGGACAATACGACACCGACCCGACCCGCAGTTTGCCCAACACAACCACGAGCCAAGTTTACACCCATCCGCCCATCCTAAGCATCGCGCACTCGATACGGAAACGATCACTCGTCTATCTAGCCTCGCAAATGCTGGCGTCGCACCTAAGGAGATTCGAACGTACATACACCAAAACACGAGTTCGATTGCAACGCAGCAAGATATCTACAACCGAATCGCGGACAGTAGGCGCGAGATGTACGAAGGGCAGAGCACGATCAATGCCCTAGCTAACCGGCTTGACCATGAAGGTTTCTGGAGCCGTTTACAACTTGATTCGGAGAACCGCGTAAAGGCTGTGCTTTTCGCCCATCCAGAGTCGCTAAGCTATCTTCAAGCTTATCCGGATGTTTTAATCCTCGACTGTACCTACAAAACGAACAAATACGGAATGCCGCTCCTAGATATAATCGGAGTAGACGCTTCTCAACGATCCTTCTGTATCGCATTCGCATTTCTTAGTGGAGAAAGCGAGGAAGATTTCGTTTGGGCTCTAGAGCGCCTCCGGTCACTCTACGAAATTAGCAAATCCCGCCTACCTTCAGTTATTCTTACCGATCGATGTCTTGCTTGTATCAACGCAATCGCAGTATGCTTTCCTTCTGCTGCTTCATTGCTATGCCTTTGGCATGCGAACAAAGCCGTCCTTCGATACTGTCAGCCTTCATTCGCTATCCAGCTACAACTCCAGGACTCCGAAGCCGACAAATCTGCGAGACTGAAAGAGTGGCATGACTTTTACCAGCACTGGCACCAAATTATTCGTTCTCCCACCGAGGCAATATTCGACATCCGTATGTCGACATTTGAACAACGCTATATTACAACGCATGTACGGGACGTGGCCTACATTAAAGAGACATGGCTTGACCTGTATAAGGAAAAGCTTGTAAAGGCCTGGGTTGACAGCTACCCTCATTTCGGTAATGTTGTTACTTCGCGCGTCGAAGGTGTCCATGCGCTTCTTAAAAGTCATCTGAAAACGTCGACACTCGATTTGTTTGAGGCCTGGAGGGCTATTAAGCATGCGCTAATAAACCAACTTGGGGAGCTGAGGTCCAACCAGGCAAAACAGCAGATTCGGTCTCCGATCGAACTTTCCGGTCCACTTTATGGTGTAGTACGGGGTTGGGTATCACACGAGGCTCTTCGAAAGGTTGAAGAGCAGCGGAAGCTTCTCCAGACGAGCAGTCCGCTACAACGCTGTACAGGCATATTCTCTCGGTCGCAAGGCCTACCATGCGTTCACAAACTTGAGGCTTTGTTGTCCGAAGGAAAAGCCCTTTGCCTAGGAGACTTCCATTCGCATTGGCACCTAATCCGGAGCGGCGCGAAACCTTTTCTCCAAGAGCCTCGCCAACGTATTGATATGACTAGTACCAACACTTCTTTACCGCGATCAAGTAACCGAAGGGAGCCTAGCGGCTTTGAAGCTGTTGAAGTCGCGGCTAAGCGAAAGGGACCTTTAACCTGTACTAGATGTCACCGTCTAGGTCATTCAAGGACGTCTCGATTATGCCCCCTAAAGTACGCAGAGCTACAACTTCGAGTAGAGGCGGCATCGCAACAGCTACGAATAACACCAGAGCCGCCGGCCGACACGTCGATACCTGAAGCTACGATTGAATTATCGACGTGCAGACCTCAACATGAGTCGCCAATTCCCGAACTTCTTAATAACTCGTCGGCCCAAGAAGGGATTACGGAACAGATCTTAGAAGAGATCGAAGCTCGGCTCTCAGAAAACGACCAGCCCTTACGACGAGCTAAAGAACCCGTCTCAGAGTACGCCGAAGAACACCAGCAAGCTCCGGAGCAGCCTTTAAAATACAGTGACCCAAAAGCGATTTACCAAAGATACGTCGCTACGCGAGAGATCTGGAAGAAGTCCCTACTCCCGGGTACCTATGCGAGCAACCAGATGTACCGGCAGGCAATGGGTTTACCATTACGGTATAGTAAAGCGCAGTACGATTGGTGCTTAGACCATAAGCAAATGACGAGGCGTTGCTTAACGCGAGAGGGTGAACGGGCCTGGACAAGGGAAGAAATGATGGCATATTTGGACTGGGATCGGTCTGAGACGGAGCGAATCGATGTTCAGGTTGCCCAGGAGTCGACAAGCGGTCTAGCTAATCGAAGAGGTATGGGTGATGTGTGGAGGAGGGCGGCACAGGACTGTGAGGAGCAGCAAGTTCTTCACCGGGATGATGATGAGTGTATTATAGTTAAAGGTTAAGTCAAATACGTTATACGTGTAAGGCAACGCACATACTGTGATCGGAGGTCAAACAGCACCTGAGGTCACTAGCGAAGGTCAAGACAGACCTTTTCTGCTGATATGGGTGCACCCCGGATATGGATCCAGGATTGCGATGTCGGCGGGAATTAAGACACGCTAAGCTGTAAGCAGAATCTGCACGGGTACCCGTGTAATATTATACGCACGGGTACCCGTGCGCCTATTGGGAGCCGTCAACTACATGTAGCTTACGTAAGTAAACCGCTCTTGGCAATGCCTTGCCCTTATTTCCGGTTCCCACCTGCGACGTGACTTGCCTTGTCGTGTAAAGGGGGAGGACGCTTCACATCTATCTCGAGCCTGCTGTTTCGTGTCACTGGACAGTCCTCCATCACTGAGACATTGCCAGTTCCGGATAGCTTCACAGATGGCCCCCAAAGGTCTTCAGCAGCTGCCAGAAGAGCTGCTGCTTGAGATCGTCCGCTCTGTCGTGAACCCTGCGCCGAGTCGAACGTTCTCCAAGACCAAGCATGCGCAAGAATTTGTACGGGCGAAGTGTCTTTCCCTAGTTTCACGTCGTTTCCGGAGCCTAGTCGAGCCGCTTGCCTATCGCAAATTGGTCTTTACCGACGAGTCGACTCACGATAGCCTAGGCAGAAGTGAGTATGCCTATCACCTAGCCGAGGCACTCAAGACGAGAACAGTCCCGGTGCCTCAATTCAACTTCCTCGCTACGAACCAGGCCGTGGCTCAGTACATACGCCACTTTCGCTGCCGCTGGGTCAACATGCCGCATGGTGGTGGAATCATTGCGACACTCAACGCCGCTCCATTCAGGGCCTATGTCCGCGAGATATACTCTCCTGGCTTTAGCCGGTTTCTGGAAGACTTGCTGGCCGGTATTACTCGACTACCGGGCGTTGGATTGCTCCGTGGCCCAGGGCCTGCTGGAGCATTCCATTTCCAACGCCGCCCTCGCGACATTGGACTCGACCTGCTCGCCATCTTCGCGCTGACTCTCGCGCACAGTGTCGAGGCCGTCACGCTGTCGATTGCGGAGGATCACGACAAGACGCCGCCGGATCGGTTCTTTGCTTTCTGTAGTGCCCAGAGGAGAGTGGCCAGCGCAGTCGGCTCGGACAGAGGCCATGGCAAGTTTCTGGCGCCGCTGTCCAGGCTCCGCACGCTCGACTTGACTGGCGAGGAGAGATGTGGCCTCTCTGGCTAGGACCTCTAGTCGCTTATACCGTTCCAGGCCCTCGAGTCGTGTCTGGTGTCCGCGTGCCTCGAACGGCCTCTCGCCGGCGCACCAACTGAAGGTGATGCCGGCGATGATGATTACCACGGCGCCATACGTCATCCGACGCTCAAACATCTCGAGTTCACAGAATCGGAGATGTCCCGCCGCGGCGGCTGTGAGATTGTCGCTCACCTGCTAAACACGTACCCCCGCCTGGAGACCTTAGTGTTGAAGGTGCAACCGTACGGCCCTTATGTTGGGCTAGATGATCAGCCTGGGGACCATCAGATAGGCACGAGTTACCATGGCTTCGCCCGTGCCCTCAGAGCACATGGCCGGCGTCTGCGCCGCTTCGATCTCGACCTCTACGAAATGTCTCCGGGCGAATGGGAGCCGGAGGACTACGAGGTGGACGACGACGGCTCACTGGGCGGTCTGAGGGGGCATCTCACCGAGCTCGAGTACCTCCGGATCCGCTCAGCAGGCTCGCCAGCATCACGGAGCTCACAAGAGCCCCTACGTCAGCCGCCCTACTCCCCCCTGGAGCCCAGAGGCCAGCGCCCGTCATCATCAGAGAGCCCGACCTGGGCGACTTTCTGCCGCCGAGTCTGCGCTATCTGTGGCTTCGCCTCTCCGTCGACACCCTTGGCTCGCACCGGGCGGCTCTCCTGGCAGACGCGAGTGTCCTGGCGACCACGCTGCGCAGCTCGGCCGAGAAGCTGCCCCGGCTGGAGTATGTGCTCGCCGAGATGGCTACTGAGGACACGCACTCGCCCTGTGCCGTTGCCGAAGTGCCTGCGGGTTGGACGGAGGAGAAGATCGAAGACCAGTATTATTTGTTCCGACGGGATGGACAAGCGACGCTGGCGACAGGAGGGGCGCGTGAGCCCAACCGCAATAACAGCAATGTGCTGTCCAAAGCAGAGCACTCGGAAGGGTGGGAGCACGTGCTACACGAGATCATCTCCGGCTGATTCGATCATAGTTGTGTTTGAGTGTTTCTGATCGTGAGCCGGGTAGATCAAGCTCTTGGTTCTAGATTGTTCCCGGTCGGCCGTTGCGGGATCATGGCCAGGACTCTTGCGTAGGTGTTCCCTGCTGCCTTTGCTCCACAGAAATGGAAACCAGACAGATTAAGAGCTGCTTTTCGCGCCTGGGCATTAGGGGGCATGATGCATTGAGTCGTCCGTATAACATACCGTCAGAGTCCCGTGGCTGTGTGTGATGCGTGATCTTTAAGACAGATTTGCTCAGTTGAACTGCTTTACGAGCACTACCCACTCGATAAACTTTGTAAAATGTCCACTGTTTGGCTGAGAACCCTTAACAGATTGCCATCTCAGTCCTGGCAGAACGAACCCGACAAGTCTCGCATCATGCCGAAATCCACCCGCTTAGCAGAGAATGCTCTCATCGCCATTACCCAATTCCACAGCGAAGCACATGCCAGGGAGGCCAGTATCCGAACATGTCGGTAAGGCCGCTTGGCCTTTGTATTATTGATACGCCAGATACCTTGTAAGAGACAGCGGCCGGGTGTTCGTCTTTTTTGAGTGTCTTGCCTCTGTTGCTAGATTTTGGCTTGTCAGTCTTCTTGTGGAAGAGCTCAGCATGACTTTGTTTGCGCGGCGGCACCCATTTGTCTCTGAGGACCGCGCCGCCCCACGCTCAGAGAATCAGGCCGCAAAGGAGGAGAAAAGTCAGGCATTGATACGTTGGTGACTAGCTCTAACGGGCTGGAGGGGCGGCGCCAGACTAGCAGGGTCCACGGGGCTTAAGAATGTTCACAGTTACAAAGCCAGCATGCGATAGGCTTAAGCTTGGCCCAGCAGAAGGTCTGGTGCACGGCGATCTCGAACGCTTTTCCAGTGAAGAAAAGGCCTGCCAGTAGCAGGCACAGTATGGCACCGACAGTGACTAACGCCCGTTCCGCGGAGGCACGCGGGAGAGTAGGAATGACACGCTTTGCCGTGCCAGGACGATCCGACGTCATTGTGACCAAGCTGTATTAGTCAGGGGGCGAGCCACGTACCACCCCAGCTTAGTCCAACGGGAAATTCCGAGAGCTCCACGCTGCGGTACCTGTGGCGTTTCTGTGCGCCTCGTGCCGCCTGGATAATCATGAGGGGCACATGCAATTCCTGCCCAGAACAGGAGCGGAGGGCGTCGAGGCGCTTCATGCGACCGGCGTGGTCATGTAGGAAGTTTACTCTTGCGGTACCACAGCCACCAGGTAAGCATGGATCATGTTGATAGACACAGACAGCACTTGCAACCTGCGTCATCGTGCCGCGCTAGGGAGACACACAGCCATATGACAGGGCAGGTTGATCAGTGGCGAGGCCACAACACGTCCTTGCTTGGCAACCGACCGCCTCACCGTGCTGGCCGCCCATAACAGCTAACGTTAGTGGCCGTAGTGGCCGTGGCGGAGAGAGGCCTAGCCCCTTCCATCGCGAGGCACCCCCCTGGCCTTGCACATCATTTTCGCTGCCATGCTCTGGGCGGGCCTCGAGGCCGGACATCTTATTTTTCTTTTCCCCATCTGTGCCTGCATGGCCTTTGTTACCGGGATTCCGCCTTTGCCACTGTCGCATGTTTCCCCCCTCTGCCAGAAATACCACGTCCCGTCTCATGATGCGATGCATGCATGCTGCGTATGATGATGCTCGAGCCGTCCTGCCCATGATCCCCTCACCGACTCTTATTCCACTTGGCCACCAGCCACGATAACGACGACAGACCGCACCGCCTCACGTCACGACCACGACGGCCCGCCATGGCGGCCGCGCCGCCCAAGGACAGAGATGCGGCCCGCTCACGCGAGGTGCGGCAGTGCCTCGAGAGCTGGCAGACGGCCCAGGGGTCGTCCATCAACGTCGCCCTCAATGTCGACAACATTGGCTTCGCCAACCTGCAGCGGACCGGCTACACGCCGCAGGCATCGCCCGACCGGACGCTGACGGCCTTTGCGCAGCTCGCGGTGCTGCGCCTCGGCGTCGAGCGAGCCATGGTCTCCCTCATCGATAGCTCGACCCAGACGATCCTGGCCGAGGCAACGCAGGAAGACAGCCATTCGCCGGCGGACGACCTGCCGCATGCCCCCGCGACCTTGTGGTGTACGAGAAAGAACCCGCCCTTGACTCGATGAACGAATCGAGTTTATCTGGGCCACTTTCGCTGACCTTTTTCTTTTCTGTTGCTTCCAGTGGGCACCACTGTCCTCGCCCGCCACGATGCCGTCTGCGAGCACTGCCTCGACGGCTCGTACACGCCGCCCCCCTCGACGGGCCCCGACGGCATGCCGCAAAAGAGCCACACGACGCAGGCCTTTGTGGTGCCCGACTGCAGCCTCGACCCGCGCTTCCAGAACCGCCCCTATGTCCGCGACAGCCCCTTTATCCGCTTCTACGCCGGCGTGCCCATCATCTCGCGCAGCGGCCACAAGATTGGGGCCTATGCCGTCTCCGATGGGCGGGCCCGGGCCGGGCTCGACCTCCGCGACGTCCAGTTCATGCAGGGCATGGCCCGGACCATCATGGAGCACCTCGAATGGGCCCGCGACCGCGTCGACCGCTTCAAGGGCGAGCGCATCGTCCGCGGCCTCGCCGCCTTTGTCGAGAGCTCCTCCGGCCCTGCCGCCGACGCGGCACCGTCGCGCCCGGCCTCCACCGCCTCGTCCGATCGCCTGCCGCGGTCGCCGCCCGTCGCCATTAACTCCCCGCGGCACCCCCTGACCCGCCAGACGTCGTACTTTGGCCCGCGGGACGTGGGAGTGGCCAGCACACAGCCGGCTCAGCAAGGGCTGGGGATCCATGAAGCCCTCGAAGTGAGGACGCCTGGCTCGCTTCGCTCTGCCTCTGGGCCGCGGAAGCCGTCCAGGGGTCGCGGTCAGGACAAGGAGGGCGTCACGGCGAAGCTGGACGCCATGTCGACAATGCTGCAACAGGCTGCCGACATTCTCTGCCAGTCGACCCTCGCCGATGGCGCAGTCATCCTCGGCGCCTCCGCGAGCACATCACGGCAGACCAGCTGGGCGGCAGCCACGGCGATGCACGGCCTCAGCTCGTCCGACGAGGATGAGCCTGCCTTGCCATCATCGCCTGGTGTACCAGATGGCGTCAAGGACGTCCTGGAGAACATGGCCAGCCCGTCCAGCTTCCGGGGTGACAAGCTGTCCCGGGTGCTGGCCTATTCCATCATCGACCAGCAGACCCGTGCCATGTTCGAGCAGGGCCAAGGTGCCCTGACACTGGGCACGCTTGAGCGGTACTATACAATGTATCCCAAGGGCAAGACCTTCTCCTTCACGGGCCACGGAGCCACCATCACCTCGGAAGACGACAGCGCCAGCGAACGCGAGACGCCGCTCGAGCCGGGCTCGAAACTGCAAATACCCCTGAGCCACGATCACAACAACCACCATGAGCGACTTCCGCACTCTCGCCACCACCACCATCGTGCACGCAGAAAGCCCCAGGCAGACCACACGGAGCTCCTCCAGCGCATCCCCGGCGCCAAGACGGTCATCTTTGTGCCGCTGATCGACCACACCGAGAATAGCTTCTCTGGCGGCTACTTCCTATGGACATCCGTGGCCGGCCGCCTGATTACGCTCGACACGGACCTCTCGTACCTGCGAGCCTTTGCCAACAGCATAATGAGCCAGGTCGCCCGCATCAGTGCGCAGAAGAACGAGGCGGCCAAGACAACTTTCATCGCCAGCATGAGCCACGAGCTGCGCAGTCCCTTGCACGGGATCCTCGGGGCCGCCGAGTTCCTGACCGACACCTCGGCCGACTCGTTCCAGGCGGGCCTCATCTCATCCATCTCCACCTGCGGCAAGACCCTCCTCGACACGCTCAACCACGTGCTCGACTACAGCAAGATCAACCGGCTGGGCCGCTCGCGGCGCCGGCGGTCGACCAACAAGGAGGACGAGCCGAGCCGCGGTGGTGCAATCTCATCCGACTCGCTCGACAGCCTCAACCTGACGGCCGTCATCGACCTATCGGCCCTCGTGGAGGAGGTCGTCGACGCCATCGTCACGGGCCACACCTTCAAGGCACTGCCCGGCACCGTCGTGTCGCAGGCCAAGCAGTCGCCCATCATCAGCGGGCTCACCAGCTCGAGCCTGAACAGCAACAACACCAACAAAAAGCCCCAGCCGGTCTCTGTGATGCTGGACATCACGCCGCCCGGCACGTGGCTGGTGCGCACGCAACCCGGGGCCCTGCGGCGGATCGTGATGAACCTCTTTGGCAACGCGCTCAAGTACACGTCTGCGGGTTTCGTCATGGTGGCACTCAGCGTCAAGCAGACGACCGAGGCCGCTCAGACGGACGTCCTGATCCGCGTCATCGACAGCGGCAAAGGCATGTCGGCCGAGTTCCAGCGGGACCGGCTCTTTGTCCCCTTTATGCAGGAGGACCATTTCCAGCCCGGCACGGGCCTGGGCCTTAGCATCGTCAAGCAGATTGTCGACTCGCTCGGCGGCTCCATCGATGTGACGTCGGAGCAGGGCAAGGGCACCGAGATCGACGTCCGGGCCAGCCTGCCCACGGCCGTCGAGCACGGCATGCTCGACCAGGAGCTCGCGTGGATCCGCAGGCACGCCAGGGGGCTGCGCATGGTCATCCTGGACACCGACATCGAAGCGCACGGGGGCAAGGTCGCCGCCAGGCAGGCGGACCGGCTGCACCAGGCCATTGCCAAGACGTGCAAGACGTGGTTCGGCCTCGACGTGGTCCACGAGCAGGACCGCGGCGCCGGGCTTGACGCGGACCTCTTCATCTACTGCGAGCCCCCCTCCATGGAGGCCCTCGAGCAGCGCTTCAGGGACGACAAGACGCTATCCCGCCGCAAGTGGCAGATCCCCGTCATCATCGTGTGTCTCGACGCCCAGGAGGTGCTGCGGATCTCGCGCTCCCAAAAGGAGACGCTGGCAAAGGGCTATGGGAGGATCGTCGAGCTCATTCCACAGCCGTAAGTAATCACTTCTGACCTGGACTTTTGCCTTCAGAACGGGCATCACAAACTTCTTGGGTGCTGGGCTAACTAGCGAATGATCCAGATGCGGACCTCGCAAGCTGGCAAAAGTGATTGAACTGTGCCTGCGCAAGGCCGAGGAGCTGGCATACAAGGCGACGCCGGGCGACGAGGACCACCTCTCCTCACCCATGCAATTCGAGAGCAAGAAGAAGGGGCCTACAGCAGAAGAACAGAAACGCAGGGATGGCTTGAGCCTTGAAGACCGCGATCAGGACGTGCTGCAGACAGACCCAACTTCCATCCCGATGCGGCCGATGGAAGACGACGAGAAGGACGGGCAGGTAGACGACGGGGCCAATGGCAATAGTCATGACAACAACGACGAAGGCCGGGACCTAGAGGCACCCGAGGCAGAGGCATTGAAGGAGATGGAAGTCCAGCAGCACGAGGGCAACAAAGACGGTGGGGTCGACGCCGTGCACGTCGAAGCTCCGCAACCAGCTGCCATCATGCAAGATGCACAGAAACCCCCACAGACATCCAACAACGAGGCCGAGCCGCTACGCGTGCTCGTCGTCGACGACAACAAGATCAACCTGCAGCTCCTCGTCATGTTCATGAAAAAGTGCGGCTTCTCCTACGAAGAGGCCGAGAACGGCAAGGAGGCCCTAGACCACTACACGGCGGCCGCACACGCCCGGAACAGCGCCCAGGGACCGCCCTCGGACAGGGACACGGACAGGCCTCGGCGGGCAGCCTTCGACTGGATCCTGATGGACATCAGCATGCCCGTCATGGACGGGATCGAGGCCACGCAGCGCATCCGCGATTTCGAGCTCGAGCAGGGCCTCGCGCCGGCCACTGTGGTCGCGCTGACGGGGCTCGCGAGCGACGATGCGCAGCGCGATGCCAAGCTGGCGGGCGTGGACATATTCATGGCCAAGCCGGTGAGGTTCGCGGCCCTCAAGAAGGAGATGTTGGCCACTTCAAAGGCCCTGCCACGCACGGGGGACAATTCTTCCGCTGGTTGAGTGAAGCAAGTAGTGCCAGTAAGTAGGATGACCACGGGCGCTAGAGCTGTGCGTGTTAATCATATACCAGCAGGCCAGCGAGCTGACCCGAGACTGTGAAAAGTCGTCCCTCAGCAACAAGGAATCGTATCATCGAGGGCTCGGTCACCCGTGTGCTGACATGCCCGTGATAGACCAATGTCCGTCGTAATGCTTGAAACACAGCTGCCACTGTTTTGATTCTTTTCTTCTCCAACTCGGCCGAGATGTGTGAGCAACAGTTGCATCTAGTATCACGCCCGGAGCATATGGTCCTTTGCGGGTGTAACCTTGCATGGTGTGTCGATGCTTTAGCGCAGTGTGGCTGCAGTGCCTTGACCCCCCTGATTGACAGCGACACCTACGTCATCAGAAATGACCCCCTGATTCCCTGCACGTGGCGCCCGAATTCCACGTGTGCTGCTTGCCTGTGAGCTGTTCCATTCGCATCGCATTCACACGCTGCCATTCTTCTCGCAACTAGCGAAAAGAGGTGAGCGCGACGAAAAGCAGCCATCTCCCTCTCGGGAGCATAGCGCCAGCCCGCCATGTCGTCCCTCCGTCAAGGACTGTCTCGCGCAGGCCTGACCCCGCATCGAAATGGCCGCATTTGGGGCTCCGCCAGCGTGCCATGGTTGCCCTGTCGATCATGCCCGCCACGGCATGTCGGAATATGGCAGCAGCAGTCGAGAACATTATTTGGGATTGGCGAAATCGCTGGAGTCATTGCGAACCCGGCCGAAACGCTCAGGCAGCTCAACGAGTCCAAGGACATGCTGGTCAAGGCCCGCGAGGATGCCAAGTTGGCGAGTGAGAAGCAGCGAATCCCAAAGAAGCATACTTTTGCGCCGCTCCCTGGTTTCCACGGGCGCGAGAATGAGCAAGGTTGGCACCATCCTTGAGGCCCCTTGTGTCTTCAATTCGGGGACGTTCGAGAGAGGCTGACTAGAAAATTTCGTATCCCTAGAATTACTCCACAAGATACTCGCGGGTAACCCGCAGCTCAACGTCATGTACGGCGCAACGTCAGTCGGCAAGACGGCGCTCCTCAGGCAGGTCCTTGCGAGCGACGACAACTTTTACGTCATCAAGTTTGACCTGCGCATCAGTGGCTTTGGTGACCTCCGCAGTCTCTACATTGCCCTTTGCCAGCAGTTTAGAAGCGTCTTTGAAGAGATGAGTTTGAACGTGCGACAAATGAGGAGAGATGCAGATGGCTAGAGGACTCAATAGAAAGACATCCCATGCTTCTCCCATTATCCCTCACTTTTAGAGGAGGACAGGTTGCCTGACCTCTTGCAGATGAACGATAAAGAAATGGACAAGCTTGCAATCACATTCAAGCATCTGATCTTGGATGTAGACGGGGAGAGAAACGCAGATCAGCCGCCAGTCGAAATAACAGTGGCGCACCTGGCCGATCTCATGGAGACTCTGCAGTCCTGCCTCCTACGGTACTGGGAGTACGACCCCGAGGCGGCAGCAAGGAAAGAAGAGGAAAAGAACGAAGCGGCACAAACGAGTCAGTCCCAGGGCGACGACAGCCGACCAGCCAGACGAGTGCCCGTCGCCGCAGAGGAGGAAGGGAAAGGGCAGGCCAAATCAACTCCCACATCACAGGCGAAACAAGGCCACCGCCAAGACGAGTCAGCAGAGACAGAGGAGGAGAAGCCGACTTTCAAGAAGCGGCCAATTGTGTTCTTGCTCGACGAAGCACACAAGCTCCCAGCACTAATCAACGACCAGCTCAGCCTCAAGGTATTCCTCGATGCAATGCTGGTGCTCACGAAGCAAGATCGCCTCTGCCACGCTATCCTGTCAACCAGCGACAGCTTCTTTCAACACTTCCTGCGCGCCATGAATGTTGGCCACCACGCGCAACTTCTCACCATCGGGGACTGCTCCAAACCAGAAGCACGGCAGTACTTCAAGGACGAGATCCTGCCAAACATCCCGGAGCACCTGAGGCAGAAGATTGACTTTGAAGACGTGTACAACGCCTTTGGTGGCAAGCTGAGCCACATTTCCGACTACGTTAGTGCCTGGGTGAACAAGGAGGGCCGAGACCTCAAGCCACTACAGTCCGCCATCTTCACCCAAGCCTACACGCTGCTGCAGTTCCACATGACCAACGAAGAGTTTGAGACCTACAGCCCGCTCTCGACTGCCACGGCATGGGCTGGCAAGGCTGGTGCCGGTGCCAAGTCGGCAGGCGAGGAGGGAACCGGCCGCTTCTCCCGCGAGGATCTCGTCCACGTCATGCGCAAGCTGGTCAAGCCGCCATACTCTCTGCCCTACTTTTCCCTGTGTAGGGCGATAGGCACATCCCAGGCGGACGCCATGATCAAGACGAGGATCCTGGACCTGAGGTGGACAAGGACGGTCACGCCCGAGCTCGACAGGGCCGAGGAGGTGTGGAGCCAGGACGGCATCGAGCGCCCGATTGTGCTGCCCATGACGCGGATTGTGAGAAGAGCCATGGAGGTGGTGCTCGAGGAGCTGGACGACGAGCAGAGCAAGAACGTTAGTGATCGCCCTCCTGGCAAGAGCTCAGGCGTGCGGCCGGTTCCGTCGAATGCATAGCAGGGGCCGGAGAAGCTCAGCTGCAGCGACCACCGGTGACTGATCGTGGCCACAAAGCATGCTGACCTAGGCTGCACGACCGTCATGGTAAGCGCTGTGCATGCACCGAGCCAGAAGGTCTTTGGTGTCGACAGGTCAGGGTATGGCGCAATGTTTTGCTTGGGCGGTCTAGATCAGCCGGGTATCTTAAGCAGCCGTTTTGTTAACAGGCTCAGAGCAGGCAGTCAGACCTACCGCCAGTTGGACGGTCACCGCCATCGAGAAAAAAGATGTGGTCAGCAGCAGCAGCGACATTGAGCAGAATGCTGGGTAGAGCATGCGGGAAGTGTGAAGAGTGTCCGGCTCTACTGAGATTGCCTGCGTAGAGGCTGGACTCTGAGTGTCATTTACTCGAGGCATCCGAAACAGGAGTTGATTGGGCCATGTCAACTTGCGCAAGTCGTTGTTTCAGCGTTGAGCATTGCACGTTGCTGCTTGTCGCCTTCAACCTGGCGCCAGGTTGTGAAGAAAGGGGATACATCGTGCCGTGGCTCGATTGCCACTGTCTAGCGACAGCGATAGGAGAGCTGACCTTGTATTTCTGGAGTTCAAATTCATGTCTGGATGTAGTCAGGTGGACCACGGCGTGCGTATTGGTTGAAAACGTGACGGGTATCACAATTTCGACGGAGCGTGCACTGGGCTCGAGTGTGATAACAACCGTCAACGAGGGGGCCTGTAGCATAGCAACATGAGACATGCTGCTGACGAGCCGGAAAGGTTGTCTTCTAGAGTCGAATCAATCTATGACTTTCTCATATCCATGCTCACAATGCCACAGAGACAGTACAGTGCCTGTCAGTGCCACAGCCGGATTTCATTCTCCCGCGCAGAAGAGTGTGGTCCCCGCGTTATACCTTTTTGATGAGTAGGACTTTGCTGGTCAAGTCTCCCGTCAAATCGGCCACGACTCCAGCATTCATGAGTGTCGCCCCCGAAAACTGCTTGTCTCCATCCAAAATATAGCGAGCGTCGGGGTCCAAGCCCTGCAGTTTGATGAGAGGGCGGTCGTGCATCACGACGGCGCGCAGCTGGAATATGAACAAGACCCCCGTATCGCCTTCCGAGGACATGAACAGCACGGCAGGGTGGTTGGACTCGCTCGGCAGACTGAGCCTGTACATGTCACCATTAACAACGACCGAGTTGATCTTCTCCGCGAACTTGATAAGGTCCGGCAGCTGTGCTCGTTCGTCGTCAGAGAGCCGTCGTGGGTCAAGCTCGACACCAAAGCTACCACCCATCATGGCCACGTGTGCACGGAATAGCAGGTTTGACGGCCTGTGCGTGACCTCATTGGGCGATCGGGAGAGGTGCGCACCCATTGTCGACGCGGGATAGGCCAACGACGTGCCGAGCTGGATATGAAGACGGTCCAGCGCGTCGGTGTTGTCTGACGTCCAGATCTGCGGGAAGTAGTGCAGCATACCAAGGTCGAAGCGGCCGCCACCCGAGGCACAGCCCTCCCACAATATGTCGGGATGTTGCTGGGTAAGCTGCTCGAGCACTCGGTAAAGGCCAAGCATGTACTTGTGGTGACTAGCCGGTGTTGGGCTCTCAACGATGGGGCGGTTGTAGTCCCACTTGATGTAGCTAACCGGTACTGTCCTGACGATACTGGACAACGCTTGGATGATGTAGTCCTGGACCTCTGAAAGTCCCAGATCGAGTGCAAACTGGTGACGGATGGCTGTGGTGGACATGCCCGGGACCTCGAGGACCCAATCTGGATGCGCCTCAAAGAGTGCGGACTTCCTGTTGACCATCTCTGGCTCGACCCATAAGCCGAGCTGGAGGTTATGATCTGACTTGATCTTGCGGGCAAACCCTTCGAGCCCATCAGGAAACCGCGCTGGGTTGACCTCCCAATCACCTAGGCCCGCATGGTCGTCCACTCGGGGATGCTTGGAGCCTCCGAACCAGCCGTCATCAATGACAAAGAGCTTGACGCCAATCTCGGCCGATTGCTTGGCAATCTCAGTCAGTATCTTGTCATCAAAGTTGAATAGAACGCCCTCCCATGGATTAAGCAGCGTCGGGCGAGGCAGCAGGGCGAACTTGCTGCGCACGAGATTGTGCCGGACAAGTCTGTGGAGCTTTCGGGACATGTCCCCAAACCCAGAGCCCGAGTAAACAGCGACTGCTTCCGGCGAGGTGAAAGACTGGCCTGGGCCTAGCCGCCATGATAGCTGAGAAGGGTGGATGCCCATGCTGGCCCGAAGACTGCCTCTGGTGGCAAGCTCAACCTCGCACAGGTGAGACCCCGAGTAAACCAGCGCGAGGCCCCATACATCTCCGTGTTTCTCATTGGCATCCCCTGAGCTGACGGCCATGAAGGGGTTGTGCCAGTGCGAAGATGCACCTTGGGTGCTCCCGAAGCTGAGGAATCGTTATCATTGAGGGATCTGCGACACATGGATCTTTTCAAGGGGAAGGACACAAAGAAGTGGTTTGGAACAATGTCATCGAAGGACACTACCACTTACCTCTGAACGCCGGTTCGGATTCTATGGCGTGTGCGTTGTCTCTCTCGAGCCCACTCGCCATGTAGCCCTGTCAGATCATAGCAGCCATCAGCTGGGGTGGGGAGGTCGAAGCTCAAACTGGCCAGCTTTTCGATTGTGACTGGGTGCTCGCCCTCATTGACAACTCTAACGCTGCGCACGATCGCATCATGCGCAGCAAATATGCTGTATGAGAGATATGCCGATGTTGAATTAGCCGTGTCGCGCATGTGCACAATTAGAGTCTGCGCTTCATCATCAGATCCGAATGTACTGGGCAGGCCTTGAAGACTAGGTTTTCCCTGGACGACCCTATGAGACTCGAACTTGAAGTCAGACGCTGCGTGTCCTTCCCCATGGCGAATGTGGACGGCTGGCGTGCGAAAGTCCCCGCGGCCGAGCTCCGGGAACTCACGGCGACGAAGCTTTGCCTCTGGAGACCAGACGCCAAACTTCGCAGTCCATGCTGGGACATCCTCGTCGATTCGGCCGCCGAAATGGGTCGAAATGAGGTCTCTAGTGTCTGGGTCGACCTGGAAGCGATATGAAGAGCTCTTGCCGTTCAGGGCGAAGCTTAAGCTTTGAGCCGAGACCGAGATGGCCGACTGTGGGGTTTCTGTCACAGGCATTGGTACGGATTTAGAAGTCTTTGCGATGTGACGGGAGAAAAGAAAAGCAGAATTCACGGCCTGAATGGGCACCTGTGGGGCGGCTTGATTGACGCCCAAATTCGGACCCGAAATACACCAGACACGAAGATCAAGAACAAACAAGCATGGAATGCCAAGCTGTGGCTTTGTCGATGTCTATTAGGTGAGCAGCACGGCACAAAGGCCAGTCGAGCTGTCTCAGGGCAAGTTTGGGCTAATAACGCTGCTCGCGGGATTGGCTGGCGGCTAAACAGAACAAGCCCTGACTGGAGAGCAACCCCGCAAGCCAAGAAAGCCCTGTTGCTTTTGCCGCAGGGGTGGTGAAGTCTGGCGCCTGAGCCTCGAGCGGCGCAGGAGAGGCAAGCACGGAAAGATTGAAGGTTCAGCCAGAAGAGAAGGAAAAAAAGCTGATCCAGTTCCACTTGCCGTCGCTGCTCTCAGCTGCTCCACAGCCCTTGGTTGCTGAAGTTCAGCGTGATTGACGTTCCTGTCACTGCTGACTAAGCACTGTTCCATGGAATATCGACGACATGGTTGGGAATGGACGCAATCTGTTCCCCAAATATGCGTGAGAAGGTCGCGAATCATACTTTGATGTTACCGGCTGCAACCAATAGAGCACGATCACTCTACCTGGTTGATCTCGAGGTGGCCCGCACTGGATGCATGACCGTGACAGCGTTCCGGCCAATATTGAAACCTTCGTAGTAGCACAGTCTTAAAATAACATTCTCGGCACATTTGGGAGAAGAGATAATCAAAATGGAGGCCATGGGTGCTCTCATCGGGCTGTCCTCTGTAATCACCCACATCTCCGAGACCAGAAGATACGTGACTACGTCGGAGTTCGATTCCCGAAGAGGCATTACGCGCTGTGGCCCTTATCGGCAACCTTACAATGACATCCGTGCAGCTCCGGATTCGCACACTTTCCGTGCGGCACACGCACGGCATCGGGGTAACTCTGTGACTGTTGTTCACGGGCCAGATAATGCTTCCTTGAATTATTCAAGCGGGTTATCGAGAAAGTCAAGCGTCTTCGGCAACCCAGGAGCTCCTTCACAATCTATGGACTGAATGATGCACGGTACAATGGACTTTTCAAGCTACGGAACCCCAACAGATGAATGGACTCGATTCGCGGCACGGCAGTCTGCACCGGTTGTCAGTGATGGCGTCCCCAAGACACAGAACCTCGACGAGATACGCGCGGCCAGCAATGCAGCGCGGGAAAAGTGGTCTGTATTATAGGTCACATCTCAGTGCCTGGACGGCAAGTTCACATACGAGACATACGAGGCACCAGCAAGAGACAGCTTCGGCATTCCGGTCCGCTACTATCGACCAATAACCAGAAACACCCACGCTGAGAACCAGACCACCTCAACACCACAGCCGCCGGCCGCGACGTTCGACATAGCGACCAGTGTGGCCAAGTTCACACGCCCACCCGCATTTGTACACATTCACGGCGGTGGATACCTCAACGGCTCGCTCGACACTGAGATCTCCGTCTGTGCTGCCATAGCTGTTGCCCTGCAGATGGTCGTCATCCACCCGCTCTATCGCCACACCGACTCGGTCAAGTTCCCCGTGCCGCATCATGATGTCCAGGACGCCCTGGATTGGATCTTCGCCAAAGCAGAATCCCCGTCTGATGCGAACAGCCCCTTCTGCTTTGACCCGGCGAGAGTAGTGATTGGCGGACAGTCAGCGGGGAGCGGGATCGCAGCAGCCATGGTCCAGGTTGATGCCGAACGTGGACACGCTCGCCGGCGCTTTTGTGGCCAAGTGCTGACGATCCCATGGTTATTCCAGTCCAACGTGTGGCCGTATGATCGCTTCGAACGGGCTGGTGTTGACAAGAGCAAGACCTCGCCTTTTCAATGTGCTCATGCAACAGGTTTGTCGCGGGAGAAGCTGTGCTGGTACGAGAGTCTGCTCGTCGACGGCGAAGGCCGTACCGGCTCGGACACGAGCGGCGATCCAGAGAGCCATCATGAAGAGGGTTCAGAGGAATGCCCGTTGCTCAATCCAGGTGTCAAGCAAGGGTCCCAGCTCCGCAACATACCACGCAGCGCCTTCATCATTGCGGGTGCTGATCCGCTGCGCGACCAGGGACTTCTGTATGCCAAGAGCTTGATCGAAGAAGAGTATGTTGCATGTCCGCTCGCGCGCTTTCCCTGTTCTTTTAGCGTGGTCGGATCTGAGCTGACATTTAATAACGTGCAGAGTGCCGACCAAAGTATTCATATTCCCTGGCGTCCCGCATACCTTCAGAAGCTGTGTGGGACTGCCCTCAGCGGAACTCTTCATGCCGAAGCTTTTGGACTGTATAGCGTGGGCAATGGATGACAGTGAAGTAGATGGCAGCAAGAAGAGCACTTGGGATGTAGTTCAGATATCCAGGCAATAATTCTAAGCACATGAGTCCCCAGTCGCGATGTTGCTGCACATGATTGCAAGGTTTGAAGTTACCATAGGGCTTGTCTTAATCTATTACATTTCGATGCTTGGGATCGGTGGTCTCGTGCTCCGGAACTGTACACCGAGCATTTCGGCCAGGCCCAGCAGCGTATCCTGCAGCTCCCGCAGCTCCTCGCGCGTTGCCCCGTTGTATAACATGCCCTTCATGTGGTGCCGGAGCTGCGGCTGACAATCAATGCCCATAAGCGCCGATACAACGACGTAGCCGGTTTCCAGGTCGTCGAGGATGCCATCATATGAGAATATGCGGCCGTAGAGGAGGTCTGTTTGAGAAGGGCGTGAGTGACTTGCGCGTGTCACCGGATCATTACAGCAGGTTGCGTACCTCTGACCACGTAGGTATAATCTGGGCTGGCCTCGACCGTGGCGTTCGGGTCGAACTCCGTGTTGCGGCCATAGATTCGCTTGTGGAATTCGTGACCTCGCTTGGAAGCCGCTTCTTGGCTCTCTTTTGATCTGTGCGGTAGGTACAAGTCAATGAATCTCAGTATTACATGCTTCAGCAGACACACAAGGGGTGAAGAGCGATTGCGACTGACCGAGGCGCCTCTGGGTCCCGTAGCTCAGCCGGGATATGCTTGCACAACAATCGTATGGCGGTTCCGGTCTGCGGGGTGGGTTCGTCAATGCCAGCTATCATTTTGATCAAAGCCGAGTCGGAGTACCTTGGCCGGCCCCATGATGCCGCAACCCTTGATCAGAGCCTCGCGGAGCTTTTGGACGGCCTTGAACTGGTCGTCAAAGCCCAGCCCAGACATGGCGTGCTCCGACATGTGCGCGTATACACTTGGGATCAGTTCCGGATAGTTGAGGCCTGCCAGATTGACAATGATGCAGTAGTACCAGCGGATTTTGGCGTCCTTGTCCGTAAGCATCTCCACTGGACGGAAGAACTCGGGCTTGAGCACTGGTTCTGCCATGTTTGCCAATAGTTGTTAGAGAAAGTCCCTCTGGTGTCACTAGAATTCCCCCGTTCCGGGAGCTGCCCTGTCAGGTGAGGTGTTTTGATGGGCTATGTTGTGCTGTATGATTATGGACCAGCTGCAACAGAGAAAGCCCCCTGGGTCGCTGGCGACTTGAGCACATTATCCAGACATGGCTGCCCCACGCAACCCCTGCTCAAGATTGGGGAGATAGACATCCGGTGGTGCACCCCGCAGTCGGCCGGTGCGGAGAACGTGGAGCACGGACTTCAGAGTCCGTAGTGCCTTGCGGGGAAAGCTGGATTTACCTCTGATCACGGCCGCTCTCAAAAGCCGGCATTCAAAATGTGAGCCAAGCTGTGGACCGATGTCACACAATAAGCGGTGTTCGAGTGAATGCACGGGTTGCATCACATGTTTTTGGTGCCGCCACTTTATCAGATACCGAGGACACAATGTTCGTTATCAGTCCAATGAGCAACATTGGCTCTCTGGAGAAGCGAGATATCGTTCGTATTCCTTCAGACGCTTTATCACCCGCCATGACTGTGACGGTGCTGCAGGCTGACCATTCGCACATCAGTTCTTGCAACACATTTCGGACATTGCAGACACGACCATCGCGACAGAGCTGGACGTCCTTGCATATGCGTGGTTCTGCAGTGCTGACGACAACACGGCCGTCCCGCGCCAGTGGGTCCGTGGCTTCGAGGTGTGCGTGTGTCTCTGTTCCGCCCATTCCTCTGCATGCTGATGCTAGAGTCCCCCCTTCGCAGCTACAAGACACTGGAAAGCAGCACCGTTCAGCACAGGAGCAGTGACGCGTACAAGCGCTTCCGCGCTGCTGTTGGCAGCGAGTCCTTACTCGACAGGCCGAGCGACCTGCGGTACATGAGACCATTGGATATCGGCTTCCTCACGCGCCCCGGGGTTGCAACTATCTATCAGGGTCAGAGTAAGACGAAGTGTTATATAATAATCGATTCACTTCGACCGGCTGAGGACAGAAGAGACCAGTTGTTGAGCTTGCTGGCTGGCACTGCTGCAACAATGGCAGAACACTACGAAACTGCCGTCCAGAGCTTCTGGGCACTAGAATTTGTCGAGGAAGCAAATGACCCGACTGTACTGCTCTTTCAACGGTATGAATCAAAGGAAGAGTACGAGAGCGCACTAAAGGAATCAGCGGTGTTACAGCAATATAGGTAACGAATTCTTCCTCTCTGAACGGAAACCTTAATATGTCGTTAACGCGCCGGTAGGATCCGAGTCGGCGAGCTGTGCTCCCAGCACCTTAAGACAACATGGCAGGGCTCGGGGTTGGGTTTCATCGGGAGATAGGAGCAGGACAATAATACAATTAGCTGTCATGGCTCTAGTGCAACTTACTCGAATGTAAATGGGATGCACCGATTTTGCAGCTAATGTACGAATAACACAACCCAGTCCTTCCAAATCTACATTTTCTCCAACCTTTCAAAGTATGGCAATCGCGTTTGGTGGTGATGCAACAGCCCCCTGGTAATTCAAAGGCGCGCTTGTGAAGAAGAAACTCCATTTCTGATGCTTCTCGCATAATGCCGCGAGCCTGTCCAGGTCGAAGAGCTCACCAATAGGTGTGCCCCAGCCTGCGAGCAAGATTGGATGTAGATGCCAAGCAGGCTCAATGGGAGCTAGTCATGCAAAGCACGAGGCTGTTAGCAGACAACACTTTATAATGATGATCGATCAGCAGCATTTATCACTTACGCCTGCATTCAAATCCTGGAGAATCAGACACAACTGCTGCAAACTGATTATCCCACAGCCACTCGGTGGTCTCTCTGCTCTGCGCGAGACCAATCCACTCGCGCTTCTGAGCAACGTCTTTCCTGCCTTCCTCCGTGAGCGCCCCGTAAGCTTGGACATACCCAGTCCGCAGGAATAGGACATCTCCTGGTCTCAGGTCAAGTTTGAGGTCCGACACTAATTCTTTGACCTCGCCGATAGGTATGCCAAAGCCTTGGAAGCAGTATTGGCTTGACGGTCTGCCTTGCTGGTGCGCCCAGGATGCATAGTCAATGAGGACGCCACGACCAGCTATGCCCTTTTCTGTCCAGGCTACGGCACAATATGTCAGCGCGTCCAAAGCAATCAGCCGCTCACATGTGCCGCTGAGTAATGGGCCTGCTTACGTTGAAGACTATTCAAGTCCGTTCTGGGACTACAGTGGATGTCTGCTTGGGTTGTTCTTCAGTTGCGGTCAGCGTTTGGACACGTGCCTATTAATTTGGCGATGGACGGTCATATTCCGCGCTCTTTGTGCAATGGGCATACCCGTTGTAAAACTTCTTGTCCTTCTGATACGCAAAGTGCCGCAGGCTGTCCCACTGGGAGCTGCACTGAGTGTTGAATGTGATCTGATGCGATGTTATCGGCCGTCACGAGTCGCCTGTCTCTGCCAGAAACAATGATTCGAGCTTACAACATCATCGTTGACCACCAACGGCTCCTTATTGATGACCTGCTGTGTGTGGCCCGCTCTGCCCAGCAGTGGAGGGTCAAAGTGGTCGAGAGGTAGGCTTTGGCGCCAAAATGTGTTAGTATACAGATCATGTCTGAGTTATCGCCACACAGAAAGATAAGACTTACTCAAGCCCGACTCGCTCTCCTGTTCGTACCTCTTCACGGATTGTGCTGAGCACTACTTGATCCGTGAGATAGTTGAGCGAGCCAAGTTTGTCATCTTCACCCCAGAGACCCCAAGCGGAATTGGGGGGATTATCCGGGCGTAATGGAAGCTCTTCAAGGCGGGGAATGTGGGATGGTCGTGGCATGGCGCTGCCTTGAGATGGGTAAAAATGAGTAGTACTGTGGGCAGTCCTGCGATATCGAGGGGCACGATGGATTGCACAGCATAGATGGCGAAAACAAACAGCAATGGTGTGTATCACGCTATAGAATGAAGGCAATAATGAATCGGAAGTCGTATCCGCAGAGCGCTGATTGTCTCCTGATTTGTGGTGAAGTGAAACCCAGATTATCCGGAAGGTGGACTCCGCCGGGTTTTGAAGTCCGCCCGAGCCGAGCCGTGTGCGCAGTCAACCAAGAACCCACGGGCACCCAGCTCATTTGCACGTCCAGAGCTTTCCCACCGAGTCCGAAAAGCAAGCCAGACGGCAATAAGTCTCGTGTCTTAAATTTTGGCCAATTCCACGTCGACTGCGCTTTTGGCTAGCTACGGCAAGCGCACGCACACGGATCTGTGAAACCCTTCCGGACCTTCGAGATTCGTATATCTTTGTCAAGATGCCTACCCCTGGAGTAGTCATGCGCATGCTCACGGCGCCCCCAGCTAATGAGAATACGGGAACGGCGCCGTCACCCGCCACCATCTCCGCTGGGGTCGAAGCCGTCTACCACCTTTCCGCTACCGACAATCTCCAGCCAGCGGCCAGCACGATGTACTTTCTCTCAGACATTGAGCCCATCCTCAATGATTCGTCGTTGTTTGATGAGGACGTCTCCAACACGTCTCTGGGCAGTGAAACCAGTGGGCGTGGCCTCGCCTGGCTCGTTCTGTCCTACATTACCGGCCGGGACGACGGATACGGCCGTTTCGCGCCGTCTCAGGTGCCACCCACGTCCTTCTTTCCACACGGCCACAACAAGGACACCAATGGCAGTAATGAGCCACAATTGCCGCCAGTTGGCACCGTCGTCGTGGCCAACGGCTCCTCTCCACGAGCGGACAAGGAAGACGACTACCACGCGTGGTACGAAGAGGAGCACGCGGGCCGGCTCGCCAAGGTACCCGGATGGCAGCTGAACAGACGATACCGGCTCGAAAAGAAGTACGAGCAAGGAAATTGTGTCGAGACGGCGAAATTCTATGGCATCAACTTTTATGACGAATCCAACGGCCTGGGCGGCGAGGTGTGGAAGGAGTCCACGTTGACGCCATGGACATCGAGAATAAGGCAACAGGCCGAGAAGCCAAACATTAGAAGGACATGGCAGATTGTGGCTCGATGCAACATCTGATTAAGGACGTGTTCTGGAGCACTTCGCAAATGATGAATGGTTCTGTAGAGCAGATGGTAGAATGAAGGATATTCGGCAATATTTATCTACTCAGAACCATGATGCGTCCTGTGCAAATAGGCCATAGAGCGTGTCATTCGTGATTGTCTGCTCCGTGTCGTCCAAGAAATCCAAGAATCCTGGTGGCGTTGGATCAAATGGCAAGGCCAATTGGTCGTTGCTGTTGGGAACGAATTGGCTTTCCGCGAACTGGTCCGTCACGGCTTGCTCCTCGTTCCCTGATACTGGGCGATTTGTGTCCCGGAATTCAAGCTGCTGGGACGAATGTTTCGAGAGATGTGGCTCGCTATACATTTCTAACATCTTGGCAAACAGACTGGAGGAGCCGCTCTCCACCTCTGCACCACCTGTAGGGGTGACATTCCCAAGCTCATTCATCATCTCGCGGATGATGGACACCGGCTTCTTCAGGCCAAAGTTGCACCCGCGCTGAAGCTCAGAAAGTGCTGTCCAGAAGAAGTTGATGGGCTCCCTGAACTTGTCTGCCTTGGCTTGAGGCCGCGTGGCGGAATCGGCCGGTCCAGCACTTGCTCTTTTCTCAGCTCCACGCTGTTGCTCTTTTCTGCTTTGACGCAGTATCACCACGACTGCCGAATATACGGCGTATGACAGGAGGAAAGGTGCGCGTCGGAGCGTCAGTCCAGTACGGTATGCATCGACAAGTTTCCATATCGCAAGTGCGCTTTCGACACATTTCTCCTCGTTGGCATGGCGCAGTTCGGGGCTCACCCTGTCCTGTAGATATCCGCCGTCAATGAAAGGACGCTGGAGAAGGATATTAAGCGTGTGATATGTGGTGCTGAGTCAATCCGGTCAGTGCTGGGCCTTCTCTGGCTGAACGGCGAGGAAAACTCACTGTGGGGTGATCTGATGCGGCGGTGGGACTTCAGCAGATGCAGGGTCGAAGCGAAGATGCTCTGGCAGCCCCGACAACCAACCTGAGAGGTCCTGCTCGATCTCCATCTTGATCTTGGCCGCATCAGACTTTGTACGCTTGACACAGTTGATGCTGTAGAAGGTCTGCGTTATGCGCTCCGTCTTTTGCGAGAGCTTGATCAGCGACTCAAACACTGAGACAGCGTATGCGGGCTTGCCACGGAAGCTCAGAAGCACGGATTGCGACTTGACGGGCTGGCTGGGATCGACATATGGCACCCACTCCTCGAGCTCCTCATATGTGTCTAGAAACAACTGCGGCACGCGGGCTTCCGAGGGGCGCATGGTCATCTGCCTGCCCAGGTACAGAGACTGTGTGGCGTCAGTCAGGAAGGCGCCCCAATAAAGTCGCCTCCTCCACTCGAACTCGATGTCAAGGTCGATGTCTTGATTTGAGCCTTGGGGCTGGACGTCCACAGTCAGGTGGCAGCCCATGTCGATGATCATGCGATAGGCTGTCCCACACAAAGTCCATCCCGCGCTTGATCTGCCCTGAAGTAATTGTCAGCCATGGGATGTTTGCTGTTCAAGGGTAAAAGAGACCCGTACCTGAGAGACAAGAGCGGCGCCTGTGAGCAGCAAGGCAGCTGTGGTGGGGATACTGGGCCGCACAATCTCGTCAACGAGAAGCTCTCGGAACCGCTGGTAGAAGCGGTCCCCGGCACTCTGTGTGTCCTGCGGCGTGCTTCTCAAGCACTCGCGGTCGCTGTACAAGCTGCTCGTATAGTACATGGCGTTCAACAACAGCTTGTTACACCAGCGGCCGCCGTCGGCCAGGGACTGCATGACCGCAGGGCGATAAGTGAGAAGGTAGGCATAGTGCTGTCTGTTCCAGTGGAGGTCGATCAGGTGCCGTGCGAGCTCGATGTCGACGCCGTCGAGATCCATTGTGCCAGGAGGGTTGTTGTACATGTACGTCTCCCGCTGCCGCTGGACGACCGCATGGCTGACCAGGCGAGCCTGCAATGCGGCTCGGCTTGCCCGACTTGTTGTCCGTGGTTTATCGGAGACGCGCGGAACGGGCCGTCGATGCATTAAGCTACTTGCGCCGTGAACCGAGATCAGGCCATCGTGGCCGACATCAACGCCCGCAATGTCTGCTTCGCATGGGGACAGGCTGTTCTGCGACACGGTCTCGTCTGACTCGGAGGGCTGCTCTCTGTTCTCCTTCTCTTTGGCATGGAGTGTGGGAGACTGGTCAACAGGCGTGCCCGCGGCTGCAGCACCACCAGGATCACTCTGCGGCGTTGTGGGCCATGTTTGTCGACGTTGCCACTGCTGCTCCTGAGGATGCTGGCCTGCTGTCGGCGAGCAGCTGCCCAGAAGTCCTGCAGGCCTGGGTCGAGAAATGGGACGTCGTCTGGGAGAGGCAGCTTAGCCTGCCGCGCAGCATTGATGTTGTCCCATATCGCAGACAGGCGTCGTTCGAGATGACGGACGCTCTGCTGAGGAGGACGCAACAGCCGCCTGGTGTCGGTAGGATAAGCACAGCTGCTTCCCTTTGCAGAGCAGGCTCCGCAGCTTGGCCGCCCGCTGTCGCATTTGACCTTTCTCTGCCTGCAGGCAATGCAGGTCTTGCAGGTCGTCACCAAGCCAGACTTTTTGGGCCCCTTTGCGATTCGCGTCGAGGCTGGCTCCGCACGGGTTGTCCGCGCCTGTCTGCCCCTGGCCACTTCTGTGCCTGCATCAGGCTGGGGCTCCATGATCGATTCTGTACTGACGCCGGAGATCTCACCGAGACCTTTTCGAGAGGCTGTCTGCTTGTTGTGCTGGAGATGCCCCAGTGGCGAGGTCAGAAGACTCACCGGACCGCCGTCTGGTCTGTCGGTATGGATGCTCAAGCCCTGGTCTCGGCAAAGCAGTTCATGCGGGGGTCGTCCAACCTCCCCAGTCCGTCTTCGAGTCTCTCGGAACCCCGCAAGTGCTGGGATTCCCCACAATGGTCGGCTCAGTCGCCCCGTTGCTGGGGCCGCTAGCGTCGGGACTGCTCCCGAGTCTCGGACATTTATCGCTTGGGAATCCGGACTCTGATGTCCGGGCGGTGCACTCGGCAATCCCCGCATATTGCACCCCCAACTTGGGGCCCTTCGTATCATGAAGTTGTGGGGCTCGATTGGTAAAGTGAACGAGGCGAGGATATATGCTCGTGCGAAATTTCTCAACCTCCATGATGAAAATGCGAAGAGAAGCAGGCTACGTCTGGATCTTGACCCTTTGTAGTCACCCATCCCTTCTGCCGTTCTTGGTCTTCCCCAACTTAGCAAAATCACTTCATTCACCAAGTCGAAGAATCAGTAAGCTACTTGGTACGAGAGAAACCAACCATGGCACCCTCAGCAATCCCCATCGAGCCGCTCGTGGCCGCCGACGCCCCCATGCCTAAAGTCAAGTCACTGCCGGCCAAGGCTCTGAACCAAGAGGTCCGCGCCGAATACAACATTGTGGAGCAACCAATTGGAACACGACGGCCGCTCCGTGTAGTATGCATGGGTGCAGGCTACAGTGGCCTGATGATGGCAATCATGTTCAACGAGAAGATGATGGGCGCCAATGCCACCCTCCAGATCTACGAGAAGAACACAGACATTGGTGGAACGTGGCTAGAGAACCGATATCCCGGGTGCCGCTGCGACATTCCCGCGTATGTTTTGTCTGGTGGTGCTTTACTTGCCTGTCTGTTGACTGACGCCCTGCCAGACATAACTACAGCTACAGCTTTGAGCCCAAGCCTGATTGGCCTGGCTATTATGCCACATCGGAGCAGATCTTTGGCTACATGAAGGACGTCGAAAAGAAATACAAATGCGCCAAGTACATCAAATGCAACCACAGGATCAACTCCGCCATCTGGAACGAAAGAAAGTCAAAGTGGGAGTTCAAGGTTCAGAACAGCGATGGCGTGGAGATCTCTGACGAGGCAGACGTGTTCATCAATGCTGGTGGTGTTCTGAAGTGAGTCAAGCACAACCTAGCCGTTTGGAATCCGAAAATAAATACTAACGACGATTTACACAAGCAACTGGAAATGGCCCAACATCAACGGTCTCGACACGTTCAAGGGGAAGCTATGCCACTCGGCCAAGTGGGATGACTCCTACGACTTCACCGACAAACGTGTGGCCGTCATCGGCATCGGCTCATCTGGTATCCAGATTGTTCCTCAGTTGTCAAAAGGTAAGCAAGCCGTTCGAGGTGGCTACAGGACCAATCTCAGCAGCCGTTAACATATTAGCCTTGCCTTCACTGTAGTCTGTGCAAGCATGGATGTTCATGTCCGCACACAAACCTGGATCAGCCCGGCTCCTGGAATCAACGAGCCCACAGCGAACGACCCGGAGATGGACGAGGACTACAATTTTTCAGAAAAGGCGCTTGCCGAGTTCAGCGATCCGAGGGTGCTCCGCGACTACCGCGCGGCCATCATGGATCGACGCATAGAGAACTTCCATCGCGCAATTGCAGACTCTGAGGTCCAGACAAAGGCTGTGCAGATGTTCAAAACTTCCATGTCTGATCGTCTAGGCAAGACTGCCAAGGGCCGCAAGGCTCTAGACCTCCTGCTACCGAGCTTCCCGGTTGGCTGCCGACGTCAGACACCTGGCCCTGGGTTCCTCGAGGCTCTCGTGCAAGACAACATCGAGACAGAGTGGGACAACATCGACACAATCACCCCGACGGGCATGAGGTTCAAGGATGGCCGCGTTGCCGAGTACGACGTGATTGTCTGCGCCACGGGCTTTGATACGTCCTTCAAGCCATCATTTCCCATCATCGGTAGGAATGGCATCAGCCTGGCGCAGAAGTGGACAGAAGATCTGCCCAAGGCATACTTTGGCATCTGCGTGCCCGACATGCCCAACTATTTCTGTCAGTAGTTCTCTTCATCTCCTTCTAATTTTTCATCTGTACTAACTGCTCGTCTCTGACCCAGCCTTCATTGGCCCGAACTCCCCCATATCCAACGGCTCTCTTGTGCTTGGCGTTCAGATCACGGCCATGTACGTGCACAAGTTCCTCGACAAGCTCCAGACCGAAGGGTACAGCTCCGTCGAGGTCCGCACAGATGCCAACGAGGATTACAACGAGCACCTCCAGCGGTATCTTGAGCGCACTGTCTGGACGCGCGGCTGCCGTAGCTGGTACAAGCGGGGAACAGTCGACGGGCCTGTCGTTGCGATCTACGGTGGCACTAGCTTCCACTTTATGGAGGCCATAAAGAACCCGCGCTGGGAAGACTTTGACATGCGCCGCACGCCTGAGCACCAGGGTAATCGATTTGCGTATTTGGGCAACGGCTTCACGCTGCGTGAGACCAGAAAGGAGTCGGTCGGGGCGACTCAGACGCTGGACTTCGAAGAGTACTGGAACCTGTTCAACCTTCCTGACATTCACGGTTGAACACGCAAATGAAGAGCATAGCTTATTGCAAGAGCACTAGGACGGGATGAAGTCGTTCAATATTTTCTTACCCTAGAGAATTCAAGTTTCCTAGAATGAAATTCAATTACAGCCAACTCGTGTAACATGAGGCTTGTTTTCTTTTGAACGTAACAATCCTTGATGAGCACTCGTGGACTAAATGCTTAGACACAATCTCACCCAATGGACTGCGTCAATTGGCCGCGATCACTCCCCAAAGCCTGCCAGCGCATCTTACCCAGCAAACGTCTCTTTCAATGGAGCAGAACTAGAACTACCGCGTCATTAAGACAACGCTCCGTCGTCTTGAGATGGCCGGTCCACGTAATTTTGCCTTCAGAAAACCTGCTTCCTTCTAGAGTTTCGCAATCCATTAGCCACTACTGGTGGCGGCAGCCTGGCTCATTTGCTGCAAGCCCTAGTCTCTATGAGGGCACCTACGCCGGAAACCAATGACCGACTCGGTACACGACCGGTTAAGCTAGTTGATCCCCGCACAGCCGCCTTGGGTGCGCCTGTCGGATAAGCAAAACCTGCCACTGCATACAGTGAAAGGTTTCAGCTAATGAGTCTCCACCCCCACGAACTCCCCCTCACACCTGGAGATCCATGTCCGAGCGAGCCCTGCTACCCCGGATCCCCGGACACATCCTCTACCCCAGGTCAAGTGGTCCAGGCAAGTCCATGGAGAACTCGGAGTACCCCAGAAAATCTGCTGGAAGTCGCCGACCAATTGTGGTAACGCTGAGCCTCCCCGGACCTGGGCAATTGAAAACCACTGCCTAGTTGATTCGAGCATTTAATTCCACGCATGGCCACATCTGCTGCTCCATGTTCGTTAGGCAGTCTCCTCGAAATATTGTGTCTGGGACGATAACAACACATCCACCGCATTCGTCACATATATCCAGACTCAGTATCAACCCCAGCCAGAACGATGACCTCAGCTCAACAAGGCGACTCGGCGGATGATGCTGGCTCTGTCGAGAAGGGCCGAGCTGGTGTTGCCGTGGAGCACCTGGAGCAGGCCATGCGCGTTGGGTTGTCACGGGAAGAGGCACAGCTTCTGCACGATCTCGATCCCAAGGAGCAGGCTCGAATTTTCCGCAAGATCGACTTCCACCTTGTGCCAATGCTTATGCTCCTGTACCTCATTGCCAACCTGGACAGGTGAGTACAGGCGTACGCCAGTCCCTGCACCGCGATACATGCTAACATACGCAACACGAAACAGGGCGAACATCGGCAATGCCAAGATTGAGGGTCTCGAAAAGAGCCTCAAAATGACGGGAACCGACTACAATGTCGTGACCATGATGTTCTTCATTCCGTATATCTTGCTCGAAGTACCGAGCAACAGCATCCTTCTCAAGTTCAAGCGGCCTTCAACGTACATCGGTCTCCTGGTGACCTCCTGGGTGAGTCAACCTGCAATACAGCTTTCATACCCCGTAGCGCTCAGCAGCTGACTGACCGACACTCTTCGTAACAGGGTATTGTGATGGCCTGCCATGGCGTCGTCAGCAGTTATGCCACCCTCATCGTTTGCCGCATCCTACTCGGTGCCTTGGAGTAAGTCCTGTACTGTTGTCTCTACATTTCCAAAGATTGCACCATCTGACCGCTCATCTCAATAAATAGGGCTGGATTCTTTCCTGGTGCCGTCTTCCTACTCAGCCAATGGTACCCTCCCAACATGACACAGTTTCGGATGTCATTGATGTACGTCGCTGCTGCCATTTCGGGGGCATTCTCTGGGCTGCTGGCGGCGGGCATCGCGAAAATGAGCGGCACTGGAGGCTACGAGGGCTGGAGGTGGATCTTCATTATCGAGGGCATTGCCACTGTTGCGGCAGGAGTCCTCTGCTTCCTCATTCTGCCAGACTCCCCCTCGCTGTCCGGGAAGTGGTTGAAGGCGGAGGAGATTATGGTTGTGAATGCCCGTGAGTCCCACATTGATTTCCAGTGCGACTGGCACGAGATGACAAGGAGCTGACGGTGGTCTTAGTGCACAAACGTCACCGTGGTTTTGCTAGCAGGAGCACCGAGGAAGCCATCGCCACAAACGACAATGCGGTAAAGACCAAGAACGTCAAATGGACCGTTCTCTTCTCCGTGCTCACGGACTGGCAACTATATCTTCAAGCTCTGATCTTCATGTCGAGCGCGGTGCCAAACTACGCCCTCAAGTTCTCGATGCCGCAGATCATTCTCAACATGGGCTTCACCAACACTCAGGCACAGTTGCTCACCGCGCCGCCGTACATCCTTGGTGCGATCTCGGCCGTCCTCACTTCGACTCTCGCAGACCGCTTTACCTGGCGTCTTCCTTTCATCGTTGGACCCCAGGCTCTCGTCGCTCTTTCATATGCCGTCTTGTTTGCTAAGAGCGGCAGCATCGCACGAGAGGTCGCCCTCTGCTACGCCTTTGTGCATGTCGCTTGCATTGGGACGTATCCAATCGTGCCCGGAGCCAACACTTGGACTATCAACAACCTGGCGGGCCCTGCCAAGCGCGCCATGGGCATCGCATTCATGATCTGCATCGGCAATGTCGGCGGCATCATCGGCAGCTTCATCTTCCGGGACTCGGAAGCGCCAACGTATCCGACGGGCTGGGGCACCTGCCTGGGCTTTGTTTGCATGGGCATGTTCGCGGCGTCGGCACTCGAGGCGGGGTATCTACGCATCAATCGGAAGAGAGATCAGCTAAGCGAGGAGGAGGTTCGTGCAAGGTTCACAGATGAGCAGCTGGAGAAGATGGGTGATCGCAGCCCCCTCTTCAGGTACTCGCTGTAAGCACATGGTGGTAAAAGGGTGCAATCCAAGTTGGGTAATCCTGCCAGCCTTGGATTGCGTGCTTCACGACACTTCACAGACTTTGCACAGATTAGGCAGGAAGCTCCACGAAGTAATCTTAGATTTGTACTGGAACGAGTGACTAGCTGATAAATCAACAACCGAGTGAACATTGCTGATCAATCATGGTTGTTGTCCGAGGCTCCGCGGCGATGTCACTGGAGCCTGAATTGCTCCAGACGGCGCGGGATGGTATGCTCAACAAGATATATAATGTGCCAGAAGTTTGAAAAGGCATTCCCGTTCCGCATAAGATATACACCGCAATATTTCTTCAGTGCATTGCCAGAGCTTGACAACAATGTCTCTGCCCGACACCTTTAAAGCTGCGTTCCTAGATGGAGCCAGCAACTCACTCAAAGTGCGCGACCGCACACCGGACACAGTCATCCTCGCGCCCCAAGAGGTTGCAATCAAGATCTCCGCGACTGCAATCAACCCCGCCGACTGGAAGCTGCGCGGTTTCCCATCGTTCAGCTTTGGCGACCGCCTGCCCGTCGTCCTGGGCTCAGACGCCGCGGGCACAATCTACGCGAAGGGCTCGGACGTTCCTACGGACAAGTTCCAGCTCGGGGATAGGGTGTTCTTCCAGGGTTTATACGGTGACTGCGACTCTGCATCCTTTCAGGAGTTTGCCCGGGCCGACTGTAGGGTCGTGGGGAAGACCCCGTCAAACATAAGCGACGAGGAGGCCGCAGGTGTCAGCCTTGCAGGAATTACTGCCGCCATTGGACTCTACCATAGTACCGGTCGCGGATTGAGCGCTCCGTGGGATCATGGCGGCCTTGGTGCACAGGCGGGTAAGGGCATGGCCCTGGTTGTCCTGGGCGGAAGTGGCAGTGTCGGGCAATACGTTCTTCAGCTCGCGAGGCTCTCTGGGTATGAGCGCATCGTGGCCAACGCCAGCGCCGCCCACAAGCTGCTGCTAGGAAAGCTTGGTGCGAGCGTCGCGCTTGATCGCCAGACACAAAACAGCGTGGAGGATTTCATCACTGCTATCGGGGCCGGGGTAGCCCTGGACTGTGTCTACGATACCATCGGCACGCCCGAGACGCAAACGCTCGCAGTAGCGATTCTGCAAACTGCTCAAAGAGCCAGCAATGATGCCTCGGTCGTGTGCACGAACCCTCCCGTCGAAAAGGCTGTGCAGATGGGAAAGCAGGAGGGCAAGAGGCAGGTTGAGATCAAGGGGATCTGGGCCAACGGGACCGCCGCAGAGATGAGAAACGTTTCGGAGCCATTCTATGCTCATACAGCAGAATGGCTCAAGACAGGCGACCTGGTGCCTAACCAACCCTTAGTTATCCAGGGTGGCCTTGAAGCAATAGACAAGGCACTGCAAACACAGCAGGCGGGCGTCTCGGGAGTCAAGGTTATTGTGAAGCTTTAGCAGTTAAAACGTTTGGCCACCAAAACACATCTCGCCTTTTCTCTTTTGTACACGATCATCGCCATCCCAAGCGACAAGAAATCTCTGAACACAGGGTATGTCATTGACAAATTCCCTTACTCCTTCTCTCCCACAGCCGCGATGGGCCGCTGGGCAGAGGTTTCTGTCTTGTGGAACCGCCACGGCTTGATCTTGCGCTCAAAGAGTTCGTCTAGCTCGGCAGCAGAACGCCTAAAAGGGGGAAAAATTCGATTTAGGACGTTGGCTCAAACATGGCGTGTGCAATAAGGCTGCGAAAATGGAGCGGAGAGGGGAGAGGAAATGAACGTACCCAGTCGTCTCGGGAATAAGGAGCCACATGCCCACAACAAAGGGAAGGCCGACGCCGGCATAGAACCAGCCCGTCTTGAGACCCCAATTCCACTGGATCGAGTTGACCATGTACGGCACGAGGATGTTCATGACGATACCCACGATGCAGCTGACGGCGGCAGAGAAGCCGGCCGTGTATGGCCGTAGACGCTGCGAGGAGATCTCGCCTATGTAACCCCAGCCGGTGGCGCCGTTGATGGCCAGGCCGACCTGCCACACACAGGTAAAGGCCACAAAGACGTAGGTGGAGGCAGCCGAAGTAGGGGCGACACCGACGACGCCAATGGCGACACAGGCAAGCCAGCAGACAGTGGTGCCAGCGCAAGCAAGATTTCTCCGGCCAATGGAGTCGACGGCGAGCACGGTAAGCAGGACGGTGCCGAGACCGATGGAGGCGTTGATGAGGGTGATGGTAAAGGGCTCCTGGAGGCCGGCCTGCTGGAAGAAGTACGTGCCAAAGGTGCCAAACAGGGTCAGGCCAATAAACTGCTGCGACGTGATGGTCCATAGGGTAGTGAGGGTCCGCTTGCCGTCTACGCCCTGGAAGATGGCGTACCAGTGTTCGCGGCGCTGCTCGACAGCGAGGGCACGCTCGTGCTCGGCCATGAGCGCAAGAGCCTCGGTCTCGCGGGCCGCGTCGTAGCCAGCGACCTTGCCATTGAGCCGCTCGAGCGCCTTCTGGGCCTGGTCGACTTTACCGACAGATACATACCAGGCCGGCGACTCAGGCACGACGAGGTAGATAATGCCCATAATGCCAATCTGCGCCCACTGCGTGTAGATGGGCGTGAGGTAGTCGAGAGCATTCTGGGCGTTGAGGCGCTGGAGCGCGAGGGTGCCCATAACGCCGCCGATCGACCACCAGAAGCTGTACAGCATCAGGGGGCCACCTCGGCCAGGTACGTTGGGATGATGGTCTGGATCCCGCCAATGCCCACACCGGCGAAGAGCTTGGCTACGAGCCAGTGCGGCCATGCCCAGGCGACGCACTCGACAATGACGCTGGCCACCAGCAACCCCCATAGCGCATACATGGCCGGCTTGCGCCCAACCCGCGCAGACACAAACGAGAGACTGAGCATGCCGAGGACCTGGCCGACCGACATGGTGGAGCCCCAGCCGCTGAGCACGGGGGAGGAGAGGGCCGGACCACCCGTGGCGTCGGTCTCTGTCGCGAAGCGGTGGACAAAGCCGGCGTTGGCGATGATGCCACTGTTGATACTGTGAAGAGAAGAGGCAAAGCCAAGTCAGCAAGGAGGAGAGAACTCCACAAGGGCAAAGGGGCCGCCAGACGTGGATAAGGGCATTGAGGACTGCAGGACGACTCACACAACCTGATAGCAGTCAGCAGCGGCAGAGAAGGCTGCAAGGAAGCAAACCAAGGTGGCATATCGGAACATGCTGGCGGTTTGCCACGGTGTCAGGTGCTCGTAGCCCGTAGCGGACTGTCCGCGGGCGGCAGCGCCTGCGAGAACGTCTTGCGGCGAGACACCATCTTCAACATGGCTCACCTGGGATGCGTCCTTTGCAGGAGTGGCAGGGCTGGCGACGTGTGCCATGATGAAAGAGTGAGTTTGGGGGATTTGGTCAGAACAGAGGGAGATGAAACCACAGGCCGAGCGTGATGGGAAGGACCAGATGCCATTGATCGGCGGTGCTCCATGGGAGCTATATAATCCTGTTCTCGCGAGCCTTGCACTTCCGAGTCATTTTCAGCGACAAAAACAGACTCGGCGCCTTGATCATGCGGAGAGATGAAATCTGGGGAATCCGGGGCTCTGGACCCGAGAAATGGGGTAGCGGATCTCGCCATGCGCCCTTGAACTGGTCGATCCCATTGGTGGGCGGCGGAACTATGGGCCTGCGGCAGATCTATGGGCGGCTGCCGGGGGAATTACGGAGATGTGAGCAAGCCCCGGAGCAGGCATCGGGGATCAGAGGCAGCCGCTAGTGACAGTCGAGCCAACTTGAGGGCAAGTGAGGGGAAACAAATGGAGAAATGTTGGGGAAAAGACATCGAAGCATTGACTAGCACCAGGTTCCCGACCCTTCGGTGCATCACACACTCCCGGATGCTTGAGATTGTCATCTCGTAACGGCCGCCGTGAAAGGATTACCGAGCCACCACTTTGTTTCCTCCGCCACATGCACCTTTTCGGCTTGTGATTTCCAATCTAGTCTCTCGAGTTACGGAGTCTGCTACCGAACAGCAGAAATGGGGTCCATCAGCAATCTTCGATTCGAGCATTACCGCGACTCCGACGTTCTGGGCCGACACGACAGAAGCCCGCGGCTATCGTGGACTTTCATCAACGCCTCGAGTGGGTTCCGACAAGTCCAGTATGAGCTCGAGATCTGCGAAGACGAATACCACTCAACTCCAAGCACCTACAAGATCGACTCTGACAGCACCGTCCCGGTCCCTTGGCCCCATCCACCCTTGCGATCACGGCAACGGGTCTCCGTTCGAGCGCGTGCCTGGGGCGAGGATGATGCCATAGTCACCGTCACCCCGTGGAGTGAAAGCGTATCGTACGAGGCGGGCCTGCTGGAGCGCGACGACTGGACAAGCCAGCGCATCACCGCTCCGTGGGCTCCCGGCACGTCCGCGGCGGGCCCCGAGCAGCTCTATCGCAAGGTATTCCAGGCACAGGAAGGCCGCAATATTGCCCGGGCCCGCCTCTATATCACAGCTCAGGGGGTCTACGAGGCCGAGATTAACGGACGAAGGGTGGGCGATCACTTCATGGCACCAGGGTGGACAACCTATAGCGCGAGGCTGCAATATCAGACCTACGATGTCAGTGCGCTGCTGCGAGCTGGCGAGCACAACTGCCTCGCCGTTCGTGTGGCCGAGGGCTGGTTCTCAGGCCGCATTGGCTTTGAAGGCGGCCGGCGTAACATCTGGGGCCCTCACACCGCACTCTTGGCCCAGCTCGAGATGATCTTTGAAGATGGGACTGTCGAGGCCGTCGGCACTGACATGTCCTGGATAGTCACTCGAGGTCCGATTCGCCTGGCCGAGATCTACGATGGCGAGAAGTACGACGCCAGGCTCGAGGTGCCTGGCTGGGCCGAGGCCACAAACCATGACCACGAGACCTGGGAGCCTGTCCTCGCCTTGGACACGCTACCGCTGTCGGTGGCCCTGGAAGCGGGCTGCAGCGAGCCTGTCCGCCGTGTAGATGTCGTCAAGCCCATTGCACGGCTATGCAGCCCATCGGGAAAGACGATCCTCGACTTTGGCCAAAATCTGGTAGGCTACGTGTGAGTCCAGAACATAGCTGGACAGCGAGGCCACAAGATAACCCTGAGGCACGCGGAGGTTCTCGAGGGTGGAGAGTTGGGCACGCGTCCGCTGCGCGAGTGCCAAGCGACGGACGAGTACATTCTTCGAGGCCCAACAGAGACAGACACGACAGAATCTTATGAGCCACGCTTCACGTTTCACGGCTTCCGATATGCCCAAATTGATGGCTGGTTACCTCAAGAGCAGAGCGACCCCGACAGCTTGCTCTCGTCTATCGAGGCTGTGGTCTGCCACACGGACATGGAGCCGGTCGGCACTTTTTCGTCGTCACACGAGCTGCTCAACAAGCTATACTGCAACGTGACGTGGTCGCTGCGCGGCAATTTCCTCTCGGTGCCAACCGACTGTCCACAGCGCGACGAACGGCTTGGGTGGTCAGGAGACCTCGCCGTCTTTGCGCCCACGGCTACGCTCCTCTACGACTGCTTCGACATGCTCAAGAACTGGCTTGTTGATGTCGAACACGACCAGACTGCCCTATCTGGTGTGCCGGCATTCGTGACGCCCGACTCCATGCTGACGGATCCGGCATGGTGCAGAAAGATCCCCTGTGCTGTCTGGAACGACGTCACTGTCCTGGCACCCTGGGCGCTCTACGAGGAGACCGGGGACGTGTCCGTGCTGGCCGAGCAGTACCGTAGCATGAAGGCCTATCTGAGCGTTGTCCCGCGAGAAAAGGATTCTTATCTGTGGGACTCTTCCATTTTCCAGCTTGCTGTAAGTTTTCTGTACATCGTACCTGATAACCCCCTAACCTACGCCATTGATTTCTTTCTGTGGTCTCGCTGCTGAGTTTCCGGGAGCAGTCGGCCTTCAGTTGACATACTCTGGCGCCGTCGGAAACAGTGTGACAGTCGAGGGCGATGCACTCGCCAACAGAAAATGCAGTAAGTAAAAATTCCCCTACTCTTACTTAACCACAAATTAACACCTACCGCCCGGCGTAGACAACGTTAGGTCCGACATGAATGACTAGGTTACCACTGCTCGTATCGTAAAAGATACCACTTGTATCTTTTGGAAGTCAGTTCTCTTCTAATTATCTTGACCAACAATAATCTTTATCCCCGAATCTGACTATTTCACTATCCCAGGGATTACGACTGCCACGGTACTCACATAGCGCGGACCGGTGGACTACCTGTTCCTCAAATTTCGTATGGGACGGTTGATTTCGGGTTTCCTGTTACCGTGGGCTGCTTTTTCGACTGGTCGGCCAAGAACATGATTAGCTCCTTCCGGTGCTGTGGCAAGGGAGATATGGGGCAGTATTGCGACGGCGATTGTACACTTCTATCTTCTTGAATGCCAGGCTTGGGCTTTGCATGCCTCTACAGTCTACACTTTTGTGCGTTCCGTGCCTAAACAACTTGCAGGCACTTTGCCAGAGCGCGTAGCCCCTTTGGCACCCCTGGTCAGAATACCAGGGCGGCATAATTTCCAACTCCATAGTAACCCTTGTCAAAGCCTATCGTTGTTGTTCGTTCTCCATGTTAATTGCAAATCATTGTTAAACCCGGGAGCATTAGCCTGGGGACTTTGGATCTGTGGGGATGGGCCCGTCGACCTTGGTGGAATGGAGACGCAGTTCTGTCAAGCATGCATTCACGAAGTTTTGGTGTGCCTTACGTCTGCTAGTCACGTGACCGGACCACCCCACCCGACGGGAGGATATTAGGTCAACGTCGAAAGACACCTCGCCCTTCGACTCGGAAGATCAGGGCGCTCAACAGCCAACCAATCACCTGGCAGAGGGTATCAACGTTTCCGGGATCCGATGGCTAGTGAACGTCCTATGGGAGAGAAGCGAAAGCGGGCCTACGGCGTGTCCTGCACAGTCAGTCTTGACAGATCTCAGCGTCGACTTGAGAGCATGAGCTTATAATTGAATAGGCATGCCGTCAAAAGAAGATCGCTTGTGACGGCGTCCGCCCGCGGTGCGGTGGCTGCCGGGACACTGCAGAAGAATGCCAGGTGCCGTAAGTGAGGCCCAAGAACTCGCAACAACACTTATGCAAATCCCAAACGTTTCGCCTGACTACTCTCTAGAACGCCTGTCCGCTCCTTGCGTCGACACCAAGGACGACAGCCCGCCTCTTCGGACGCCGGCACGACAGAGTCGACAGTGGCATTGCTGACTGCGCGGATGGCTCAGATGGAAGATAGGATGCACGACTTGGATGACCTTCTCGGGGTATCGCCTCACGGCCCGAACCCAGCTGAGGCGTCCATGGCAGACGATACTGTCTCGCCGTCAGCAAGCTCAGCTGCCCAGACAGCACGGCAAGAAGCTCCGGTCGTGGAAAGTCCGACCGCATCCGATCTTGGCGGCGCAAAGTACCGACTGACAGTAGACGGCACGGGGAATGTCACGTACCACGGCCCTACAAGCTGGAGTCAGGTGCCTCTGCCCAAGCCCGCGAGCGAAGGGGTCTCGCAGGAGCCGATCCCGGGACCAGGCACTCCGCTGGACAGCATGACTCACCCGTCCTTCGCCCCCTTGTTCCAGGCCATGGCCGCCTCCAAGCACATCTCCGTCGCGCCAAAATTGGGCGAGGCCCTTCTGGACACGTACTTCTGCTATCAGGTGCTCAACATCATTCAGCGCTCGGCGTTTCTGCGCGACATGGCGCTGGGAGGGCCCATGTTTTCCGAGTTCCTCCTCATGTCCATGTATGCATCCGCGTCGAGGCTGGTTTATGGTATGGGAGTGGATGAGCAGAGAACACAGGGCGACCTCTTCACTCGGTTGGCCAAGGAATACCTGGCGAAGGAGTTGGATGGCCCGACCAAGATTACCACCATTCAAGGCTTGCTGCTTCTCTCGGCAAGGGAGTGTGTGCTGGGTGAGATCAGCCAAGGTTGGAACCATGCAGGCCTGGTGCGCCCCTGCCCTCTGACATTGTCCAATGTGGCCACGCTGACGAGTGATAGGCATTCCGGATGATTCAGGATCTTGGCGTCCATCTTGCACCAAGCGAAGTTGCCGGCTCATCAAGCCTGTCACTGGAAGAGCAGGCTACGAGAGACAGACTGTTCTGGGCAGCCTTTATCTGGGATAAATCCATGTCCCTGGCCCTCGGTCGGGAGCCAACCTTGGCAGCTCGGAAGAACCGAGATCCCTCAAGCATGGCTGATTTTGACGACGACAACGAACCCTGGACACCGTATTCGGCCGATCCTGCGAGCTGCTCGCCTGCCTTCCTCAGCTATGTCTACCAGCCAAAACAGCGCGTGGCAGCTTTCCGATTCTACGCGCATGTCTGTTTGGTAGGTTGTCTCCTGGTCTTGAGGGAGACGCATCTGTTAACTGGACTACGGCACCTTGCCGACAGATTCTTCATGGCGTCATCATGGAACTCTACAGCACAGAGAGCCGGCTCCTTGAGCGCCAACGTAGAGCCTCCATCGCTAAGCTGCGTCAACGGCTCGATGCCCTGTGGAAGTCTGTCCCCGACAGCATGAAATTCCAGCCCACAACCCCCTCCCCACCGCCATGGATCTTCATGTTCCAGCTCCTCTACCATGCGACGAATATCCTCCTCTACCGCCTCATAATCGACCCTGTCAGCATCGCCACGGCCACTGGGAATGTCCTTCCGTGCCTCGAGCACAGTGTGACGGCGAACCAGATGGCCGTTAGCTTCACCAAGATATTTGGGCCGCGCATGAGCTACGTCGCCGTGTACTCGTCCTTCGTGGCCGCCAGCTTCGATATGCTACTGCTGGAGTCTGAGGTTGTCGACGTGCAGCTGGATGCCGTCATGCGGCTGCGAATCTGGCTCGGAATCATGGAAGAGAGCTTGGTCCACATGCCCAGTGTGCGGCGGTCTGTGCATCACATTTCCACGTCCGCATTTGAGCTGGTGTCGAAGCACCACGCACTGTCCATGTCAGAGTACGTAGTTCTACATCACGCCGTCCCCTGGTTTTGATAATGCCCTCGCTGGAATCGCCTGCTGACGGAACAGTTTACAGGCCCGGTCAGTGGATCATATCGTTCCATTCCCAACAGCAACAGCCCTTAGTGGCAGCCGTTAGTCCCGTCTTTGAGTTTGACGGCCTTGGCGCCTTTGACTTCTTCGACCTTTTGGGCTCGGCGCAGAACGGCTACACGGAAGCTTACGGCACGGGCTCTTCCTGAACCGATCCATACGACTGCAAGCATGTTATCTTGCGTGCCCAGGTTATTGAAAAATACAACCGCAATTACGGTCCCCAAATGCCCCCGCAACCATTGTCAGGATTCCATCTCAAATATGTATTGCGCCCGAGGCCAGAAATTCCCTATACGCGGCAAGTCCTCGGGGCGGAAAATACCTGACAGTCCTGCGTAAAGACATGCCAGCATGACTTGTGTCACGAAGGAGTGGATCAAGCTAGTTGTGAGCGGGCTGCGAGCTAGCAGGGGCCCCCGCAATCCGGACCCCGGACTTGACCGGCATTCACGGCTTTCGAGGTGGCGCGTGTTGCCGGCTTCGCGAAGGGAATCCGAATCTGGGGTCCCCACGGGAAAAAACATTCAGATGGCTTGCTCAGGGATAGGACTAAGTCTGATGTGGAGTCCCGTCGGCTCGCATAAATACAGTGATCTCGTCCCTGAGACCTCATCAGGCGGCTTCTCTGGCACGACAAGCACCGTCTTCCCTTGTCCAGGTTCAAGATATTCCCAATGAGCGCCACCGACAGCGAAAAGCACGGCATCGCCGCCGCTGACGTTCAGCACGCCGACTACGCCCACGGCGGACCGCGGAAGGGCGGTCACGACAGCCACAACGACCTGATGGCAGAGGGTGCGACGGCCGAGGGCACGGCCGAGCACATGATGCAGGTGGACGACAAAAGGGCTGCGCAGCTCAGGGAGGAGCTGTCCGAGAGCAGGCAGGCCGGGTGGCGGCCCATCTCGGACGAAGAGAAGAAGCTCAACAGCGCCTTGAATCGCAAGCTGGACTGGATGGTGCGTTGTCCGAAAAGCACAAACCAACATCTCATCATAACAGATGGCTGACTGACAGGCGCGACTCCAGATCCTTCCCATCGTAGCCCTGGGCTACATGTTCAACCAGCTCGACCGCACCAACCTGGGCAACGCGCAGACGGCCAACTTCAGCAACGACCTGGGCATCCCCGCTGCGGCGGTCAACAACGCCAGCTCCCTCTTTTTCGCCACGTACATCCCTTTTCAGCCCTTCGCCGCCGCGTTGGGCCGCCGCCTCGGCGCGCCGCGGTTCCTAGGCTGCACGCTTGTGGCGCGCCTACGTCAAGACAGAGGGGCAGCTCATTGCCGTGCGGGTGCTGATGGGGCTGGCCGAGTGTGGCTTCTATCCTACCGTGCTTTCTTACCGTGAGTTCTCGATCCAGTGACTTCCATGAAGGGATCGAGCAGAGACCTTGTGCTAAGGACGGAACTTACAGTCACTGATTTCTACCCCCGATACGAGTGTGCTTTCCGCTTCGCCCTGTTCTACGGTTTCTTCTCTGTCGCCGGTGCCTTCGGCGGCCTGATAGCTTTTGGCATGTAAGTCGCCGTCTGGACCGCTTCCTTCATGTTTGCTGTCGCCACAGAGTCCCACCAGCCGCTGACATGTGCGCGCATACGCACAGTCTCCAAGCCAATGGCGCACTCCATCCGTGGCAGTATCTCTTCATTATCGAGGGAGCCGTTCCCGTCCTGCTGGGCCTCATCACACCCTTCTGGCTCGCGAATGATGTCCGCACGGCATGGTTCCTCAAGCCGGAGGAGCGCGCTTTCGCCGAGAGGCGCATGATCATCGACTCGGTCGAGAACGCCGGCCACGCGCACAAGGTCACACTGCAGGACTTCAAGGAGGCCTTCATCGACTGGCGCGTCTGGGGCATCATGATTTCCAACATGCTGGCCAGCCTGGCGTCACAGGGCTTCACCGTCTTCTTCCCCGTCGTAGTCAAGGGCCTGGGCTACACCGAGGGCTCGCTGGCCAACCTCATGACGGTGCCCCCGTACGTGGCGGGCGCCATTGGAGTCTGGGGCTTCGCGTGGTCCTCTGACCGCTTCAGGGAGCGGACGTACCATCAGCTGGCCGGCATGACGATTGTCATCTTGGGCCTTGTGCTCACTATTGTCATCCCGCTCGATAATATCGGCGGCCGGTACGCCGGTCTCATGGTGCTCATGTTTGGCGCCTTCATTCATGCTCCGAGTAAGACCTCCTTCTACTTTGTGTCCTTTCAAATGCTCGAGCAACAACAATTGCTAACGATTGTCCTCTTCTCGCAGTTGCGGTCGCTTGGCTTGCTGGCAACACTCCAGACCCGGGCAAACGCGCCGTCTGCATCGGAATCTCGGGCTGGGCTAACCTGGCAGGCATTATTGGCACGCAGCTCTTCAAGCCCCAGTACGGTCCTAGTTACATATTCCCGCTGCAGGTCACTGTAGGCCTGATCAGTGTCGGCTGGGCTGGCTTCGCAGCCGTGGGAGTGGGGCTGCGCCTTGTCAACAGGTGGCGGTACAAGAAGATCCAGTCAATGACACCAGAGCAGATTGAAGAGGAAAATAGGAGTGACACGAGGAAGGGAGATCGAAAGTGGACGTTTGTGTACGGAGTTTGAGTGAGGCTTGTGTAAGCCCGCCGTGCGTACACTTGCGGAAAGTTCAGGCAATGTCGCTGCGACCGCGGGGAGCGCAGAACAGCACCGGCATGAGGAGGTTAGCTCGGACATGGATGTATGTGTAGGCTCAGAGGGAGTTTTGCCAGCTTCTCAAGGAGGCCAAGAATATATTGAGCACGGTTGATTGATTTCGGCCACACCGATGCTAGGCATTCTTTATGGGTTGACATACTTGTGTCTTCCTCTCTAACATTCTTGAATATGCTGCTTGTGTATATGTCCTCTAATTCTAGCCCCACAGACCTGTGTTGACCTCAATTCATTGCATACAAAGCTACAGCATTGTCTCTCATGAGCTTCTCCCAGGCACCGTTGCCAATTTCATCACACACAGCCTTTAATAATGTCAGATGTGCTGGTATATCAACCTCCATGAGGTCCGTCGCGCCCGGATGAGAAAAGACATGCGGCCAGTCACTGGCGAACACGCCGCCGCGTCCATCGCCCTTCTTGAGAATCTCCTTGACAATTGGCATCATGGCCTCCGGGTTGCGGTTGTATTTGGTCAACCCAGAGATTTTGACGACCACGACGCCCTCGTCCACAAGATCCAGCACCTGGCTCAAGGCCGTCGAGCCCAGCTCCTCGGGCTGCGCTGCAAAGATGTGGTCGGCCACGAAGACGGTGCCGAATTGCCTGTGCAGCTTCCGCATCGTCGGGATGAGCGACTGCCAGAGCGCCACCTCGAAGATGGCCGCCTCGATGCTCCAACCCAGGCCCGCCGCAGCAATCTTGCCCGCAGTCTGTTCCAGCAGCGCCTCCAGGCTGGTGCCCGTGCGTTGCGTGTTGAATCGCACGGAGCGCACACCCGCGCGGTCGAGTCGCTGCAGCTCTGTGGGCGTCATCTGCTCCGTGTCCATGACAACCACACCGCACGCATTGTGTCCCTTGGCCTGCAGCTCGGCCATGGCCTCTTCGGTGTGCGAGGTGTTGGTGCCCTCTGGGCCGGACATGACAATGACATAGTTGTGCGTGTGGGTTTCGCGCAGCAGGTCGCCAACGCTGCGCGCTGGAGGCGTGTAGCGTGTTCGGGGGATGTAAGGGTGTTTGACGGGATCAAAGACGTGGACGTGGACGTCCCACGAGGACGAAGGGAGGAGCGAGGTTATCGAAGCCATGGCAAGCCCACGGGCAGGGACACTGACGATGATGATGATGCCGCGGAGTGACGTTGGTTGGAAGTGCGCGTTTCTGGTCGAGAATGAATGGGGGATCCCGTGGATGGCTTGTCATGCGGGTAGTCATGCCTCTCTGTGGACCCTGTTCATCCACCCCAGGTTTATCCAGGCACATACGCAGTCTCGGCATGGTTGATTTCGTCTTGTGTGCCAGAGGCCGCGTCGCTCTGCGCAGGGATCAATTCCGAATACCGTGAAAGCCGGCTCCACCAGCTTCTCAAGTGTTTCGATCTAAGCAGCTAGTGTGGGTCAAGCTCCGCTGCCCGCAGGGCCGTTAAGTCCAGAGGCGGACACTTGTTGGCCACTCGATGGTGTCGACTTCGAGTCAAGGTACGCATCGCTCAAGCGAAAGTCTACAATCAGCCAATTCATTTATATTTAGCTCAAAAATGTGTCCACGCACGGCTCACGTGAAATTTAACCAAAACATATACATCTGTCGTTGAGCCGGATGTAACATCGTCGACCTGGCTCTCGCTTTTCTGGTCGGTGGCCGTAGTGACGACGTTCTTCTACCAATAGATGATGCCATCTGCGACGTTTCATATTTGACGGTCGCCGATCATGAAAACGGAGATGGAGACCGAGTTTCGACATCGTTGGACATGCCCGTGTATCGAAGCTTTGCTTTGCGGTCTGGGACCAGCTTCCAGAGCGAAAGTAATAGTTGGCAGGTAGGTGATCAGACGGGCCGAGACAGTTTAGTACAGAGGCTTCGATGACGGCCACGCATGTGGCACCATAAAGGCCGTGACCTAAAGAAGGTAGTCTAGCCAAGGTACTGTTCCTGATCAGGAATGAGCGCACAGATATTTGTCAGGAGTAGCTATGTGGTGCAGGTACTGATGGGCTGCGTGTAATACGTACGATCAGTGAATACTCGCGAGCCTCTCTCGCCCCGCACCAGGTGATGTTCAGGCTGATGGGCGATCGGAATCGCAGATCGCCAACTGGCGGGACTGCATAGGGAATCCCAAGGAACTCATCCTGGCTGTAGTAGGCATTACGTCTGCCCACATAAGTACCGTTCAAGGTGCTCGCCCAGGTCGAGGCCAGTGCGTGGCAGTCTGCGAGGGCGGAGAAGCCGACAATGGCGACGGTAAAGACAGCAGGCAACCGCATCTTTACTGACAACAACGGCTGGCTGTAATGGATCGCCAACCAATGGGCACCAAAGGCTTGGTCGACTATTTATCATTCAATTTGTCTAACAACCTCAGCTACATGTTACCATTTCCTTGTCGGAAGCCAGCCCCGCAACATTGCGTAGCTATCTCTGGGTCAATAATGGTGGACCGCCGAAAAATGCGTAGTATTACGTTACTACCCCCGACTTAGTATCGGAAAGCCGCGATTCCATCGATAGTAATAACTGGAAGTCGGCCGCTAGACGTATGTTAGGTATCAAAGCCTTTTGTACTACGCCGCTCACGAACCTAGTTAGTCAGCTCAAAAACAAGCAAGTTTCCCGCGGGCCGCGGGCCACGGCAAACGAGCGGGAAAGTTGACAGGTTCAGGCATCCGCACGCAGGCTCCCGTCCGTAGGCGTTCTCCGATGTTCTTATCTTGCTCGCCATGCAACCGAACCCGAGAGATCCACCTTTGAAGTTGACAGGCTCCCGCACGGCACCAGGACGACGTTGCCTGTCTACCACGAGCTATATTTTTACTTTTTCGATCGACAGAGCTACAAGGTGCTGATAAGGATATAGGATGTCATAGGTGCGTTGCATATAGTATTACATTTTAAAAGTATAAGTTAGTCTAACGTAATCCATAAGTAAGTGAATCACATAAGCGAGTGAATCACTGTAAGGGTTTTCCCACGAGTGGGGAAGTCAGGTAGTAGAGATGGCTGGATGGGGGTTATATTATTCCAAGACTAATTCTTGAGGAGTCAAGTTCTCCTCGCGATATCGAATCGACACCTTTGCGTGTTCTGAGCTGTGGTGCTACAGCGGGTCTGGTCCACGCCAGCTGCACGGTCGGCTCGGTGTCGAACCGGTACCGCACCGTCGTCACACGCGCGGCATTGTAGTGGGTGGCGGGAGCCAATTGCTGATTGGTCTGCAGGAGGAAGGAAGCCTAAGTCCACTCCTGCCTAAGATAATCGACACTAAGTACAAAAATGGGTGGGCCACGGATGGCTTACGTAAGAAAGTAACCACTAACAATTGCCACCTCGGTCTCCTTCTTCAATTCCCTTTCAGGTACTACCTGCGACACCGTCAACCCGACACGGCCCGATAGCATTACCAGAAATGCCTATCCGGTCAATACCGAGCATTGTCCCAGAACTAAAAGTATATCGGTGTTCTTGTGGTCTTGTAATTACCTACGAGGTCCACTTGTGCTGGTGGATATAGTCAATGTAATTACTGATACGCACATAGACGCCTGGCTGGTTAGGCTCGGCGCACCCCGTGCCCCAGGACACGATCCCCAGCAAGGTCTTAGTCAAGGCGTCAACAATGGGACCGCCGCTGTCCCCGCCACAAGAGTCTTTGCCGCCCTGCTTGAGACCTGCGCACCACATATTGTTGGTGACCGTCAGGTTCTGGGCGGCGTAGTCGGCCCGGCACGTGCCGCGCGAGATGACCGGGACCGTAACTCTGCGCAGCATCGGCGACGACTCGGAGTCATCGCCTCCGTCAAGGTGGCCCCATCCGGCAGCCGTGACGAGGCTGCCGACCACGGGGTCCCAGCCCTTTAGGGGCAGAGGCGCGTAGCGGATGGTGGAGCTTTGGTGGATGGGGCTGGCGAGGCGCCACAATGCTATATCGTTATCGGTAGTTTCGAAGTTGAACTCCGGGTGATAATAAATCTCGCTCACGTTGGCTTCCACGCCGCCAGAGGCCCAGTACTGGTCATCATGTCCTTCGTTAGCTATGATTCGTCGACATGTCGTCGCTAAAGACTTACCAGACTGCCGGCACGGACCAAAGCCCATGGCTCCTTCATTCGAATGGAACAGTGGGCGGCCGTGAGTACCGTGTAGGCGTTTATAAGGACACCGCCACAGTATTGCGAGCCGCGGTCAGATATAGCGACAATAAATGGAAAGTCGCCTGTCCAGGCAGGGACGCCACCGACGATCCTATCTTCGCGCTCGGCTACGACGGAAATGTCAGGGGACGGTAGGGTCAGGGCCATGGCCGACAGGGCCAAAGCGCCCAGCATCGACAGTTTAGCAGCCATTGTTGAAAGGGGGTTGAAAGGAAGCAAGCTGTGACGACGACGTGCTGATCTTGGATAATAAGGAAATGGAAATTCAGCATCAGGGACGAACCTCTATATGTACGTGCAGGATGTATTGGCCTTCATTTTGGAATACGAGTAACCCTTGCCTTCTATGCTGGGGTATCTGCATCCAACAGCCAATCCTCCAGGACCTACTAATCTTCACCCGCTAGAATAACGCAAGATAGTTAGCGTTCCGGTATTATAAAATCGAGCAGCCAAGAGTAGGAGGTATGAAGGGACAAACTATCGTGGCCCCTGGCTACCTGACCCTCAAAGTCGCAGAGCAGAATTCTTTGCAGTTCTTTGCAGCTGAAAGGAGGTGCAAAATGCCCGCTCCCCATCGGCTTGGTGACCTCTTTAGCTGGACGTTGCGGCTCGCCGCCGGGGGAGATGAACGCTCTGGTCCCTTTGTCCCGTTAGGCCCTACAGACGTAACGTGATCGTCGACAGGCATTGGGACCCTGGATTGCGGTGACGAGCGGTACAAGTATGCGTTATCGCTCTACTTACTCAGCCGCACAACCTGCATTGTTACCCTCCTATTCCGTCTAGAGGCCCCTGCTCAGGCACACAAGCCGATTCGCCGCTCTCCATATCCTAGCCCTGCCAAACATGCAAGCTGATATTGGTCCCTGCTCGCAGATAAGCTCGATTCGCCTGTGTTGAAATAGCCACACCCCTGCTTCTGGCTAGTTCAACCTTTCGCCTTTTGCACAGCCTGCGACCTGATAGGCTGCTCGTCACACGAAGTCGGGAGGAGCAGTGCCTGTGGAGCTAGTAGGAGAATTCCAGGTCTAAGGGGCAGATTCATGCACACAGGCGGTGCAGTCAGGAACGATTAGTTAAGAGAACTGCCGAGTCATCATGACCCAAACCTGACGCCCCAAACATGCTGCCAAATCATTGTGTATCAAGCGCAGAACACACCGGCCCGCTCACAGAAGCATCAAGGCAAATGGCTCGATGATGCCACGAAAGATAGCCACAAGTCGCGCACTGAACAACCCTTCTACGTTTATTCTCCGTAGCAAGCAAAGCGACGCACCATAACATGCGCGGTTCGCAAAATGCCGCACCATTGTCACTTTGAGGGGTTCAGGGTTAAGGCTAGCAGTGCTAAGAGAATAAGCGCCGGGATAAATGTAGATTATCATTGGTCTTTGCAGAAGCTTCAAAAATGCTCATGCATCCTCTTGATTAAAATGGCACTGGGCGCGCTTTGTTTAATTCCTCCCCTCCCGTCCCAGGAAGTGGCGCCAATCCCTTTACCCAAACATGTGTCTTGCCTCCAATAAAATCAATTGCTCCCCACCCCTTCTCCTGGTTCATCCTCCTTTTGACACCATTGAATGCCGTGCCTGCATAGAATTAACTGTCCTGCTTGCTTTCTGCGCGTTTTGGAAATAGAATTCAAAGATAGATTGGGACCAACGGCTGGTAGTAATGATGATGAGGATAATGACGGTGGTAGTAGTAGCCGGGGATCAATTCGGCCGGAAGGGTTAGGATTACATGGTGTTGTAGTAGTGGTACATATGGTAAAGACTTTTCATCATACCCGTGGCTGTACGCGTGACGGGATATTTGATATTCTGCACAAGCAGACATGTCGTGTGGTGAGCCGGCCATCATTCACATTGAGTCGTCGGTCGAAGCTCCTGATGCGAGTAGGTCACCGAAAGGGACGAGCTAGACGGATAGGAACTCCGGGCTATCTGGTCCTCCCCTGATCCTGTGGCAGCTAGATCCGGGCCCGGCGGCGCTGCGAGTTCGCCTGATGATCGCTGCCGCGAGTGTCGCCGCTGGGGCGGATCGACATCGAGGCCCCGCGAGCCCGGCCAGTGGTGGTGGCGGTTGTGGTGTGAGTGACGTCGGTCGAATTGCTGGTCGCGGTATACTACCGGCGCAACCTTCATCACGTCCTCCGCCAGCTCGATATCGTCTATCTTGATCCACGACCCGGTGGCCGCCGAGGATCCCAGCCTCCCCGGCGAGGACGGGCCCTCAGGGGCCGTGCCCGACGGCTGCCTCTGCCGCCGCGGGATGTCTGTGACTGTGCTGGACCCGTAGCGTCCGCGGTCCGTTGAAGACTTTTGCCGCCGCGCGATACGTAGGGCACCGTAGATATTCGGCGCGTTAGCGACAAAGGTCGATACGACAATCTGTATAGATGCCCAGATAGAGCGGGTCGCCTGGGATGAGCTGGTATTGAAGATAAGAACGACGCGTATAATCGTAATAACGATACAGAAGGTGCCTAGCGCAAATACGCAGTATAGGCGTAGGTGTTGATAGAGCGTGCGCTTCTGTAGGGTAAGAATAGGAAAGGAGATAACGAGTAGTATTATATCGATAATACTATTGCTAACCCCTTGGAGGAGAAGTTGGCCATACGCCCGTACACACTGACCCGGGTGGGGGTCAATCTGCCAGTAGAGGTCGATAGGGCGGCACTCGACTAATGTAGCGAGGACAGTACCGATAAAAGTGGCGGCGATTACGATCCAGGTCGCGCGGATGAGATAAGCGATAGCGGTAATACCCGAGAGGATGCGCTGGTAGAACAGAAGAAGGATAGACATCTGTAGCCAGAGGATAACGGCGAGGATAATACGGGCGACTAGTACGAGGATACTACCTACGCGGACCGTCCCCGGATCGTAGATAGTCAGCTTGCCACTAAGGACGTCATTGGTCGTACCAAAGGTAAGGTAGTAGTGGTTGATAACGATCCGGCTAATAATAAAGACGATAGAGAGAAGAACTAGGACGAAGCTAATGTCGCGCTCCTTTCCCTGCCAAATTGTCGTTACCGCGCGCAGGATGACGATAAAGAGCGAGATACTGGCACAAGTAAAGTTGGCGGCCAGGGCATCAGACATGCTGGGCCAAGGTGCTCCGCCCCGGGAGGGCGCCTCTTTTCAAGCAATTTTACTCGATTAGAATCGTGGTCGGCGAGTCTGCCAGTGAGACCATGTCCAGGCTTGAGATGATGGCGCTATTCCAGATGCTCCTGTAGCAACCGATGTGGGTTGGGTTGAGCCGCAGATGTCTTCTACGTCGCTGTCGCACATCGGTGGTTCAGGGACGTGCCGCTGGAAAAAGGGTGGAAAAAGAGTGAAGATAGCGGGTGGCTTCGTACAGAGTAGAAGCGGGTGGGGACAAATCTGGGGGAGGTGTTTCGCCATGGAACATATACTGGGCGGCACAGGAGCAGAACCGATCGTCTGGGGAACTGGTGACTTCAGAAGACTGTCAATTATGTGAGCAGAGACTCAAGGCAAGCCATTGTGCAACCCATGAAAATCTGCATATGCAGGGGCATTTATCGCGCAGCTTCGAAGTGGCGAGCTAGCACCCGTGCCAAAGCTTAAATGGCTACCTGTGTCTTCTAGAATGTCCGAGCTTTTGGAGGCGTACTGCTCGCAGATAGTCATTGCCCTTGCGTAGCCGAGCTGAGCATGACAACGATCCGAACTATGAGAACATGCTGCGGCTGAGTTAGTCGGTCTCGGCTGACAATGTCCGCAGCTCGTGTGGCCTGCCTCCCGGTCCCGCCCCGTGCGTGACAAGATCGCCAGTCACGGCCAGTCGCACAAGCACTGGCTGGTACGGTTGCTCGAGTTTCGTGGCTTTCATCCCGCTCGTCGTCGGAACCGAAGCAGATATGGTGAGAAGTGCGAGATCGGACGAGGAACACCATGGACAACACCAAGCCTGATCTAGCCGAGCTGGATTCAGACCATCATGGATAGAGGCGTCCCGCCACGGAGCTCGGCAGGGTGCTTACTGATTACACGTTGGGGAGCTGCAGTGACGCCCAACCCCGTACTTGCCCATGCCAGGCGAGGCATGAACCGCGGGCTTGCGTGCGTCTTGGCGGTTGCCTAGGCAGGATCCGGCCTGCCTGTATGTCTGGCACGAAGCATCGCTCAGAGCCAATTTGGAGTTTGTGTGGGGTGTTGCATCCCCCATATGGAGACGGCCGTTATCTCCACCACCCACATTGCGGGGGTGGGTCCGGTCTCGTCTGGGCGCCAATGGACGCCTGCTAAGAATCAGCCTCAGGGCAGCAGAGCCAGGGACAGGAGCGCCCGGATCGAGACCGATTGGCGAGCTCCTCGTCTGGTCAGCTAGCTGATGATACAGAGTGGGCGCCACAGGAGCCACCTGACCGTACGAATGGAGCCCCCTGGGTGCTTGGCTTGGAGCACGATGCGCTCGCCTGTGATTGTCCACTGCGGAAGCCCGCCGCGGAATGCTCAGCCTCAGGCGAGCAGTCCCTCTTCTGATGCCACAGCTTGCCAGACCAAGTAGCCTTCCTAATGCAGGCAGAGCAGAGCCAAGATGCCTCGTTGATTGAATGGTGCTAAGGCGTCACGGCGTCCGGGGGAACTCAGGGGATGGCGAGCGGCCTGGCTTATGGTGTGGTTGGAGTCGAGGGCCATCCTGTATGTTGTCGGCATGCAAGTTCCTTCCATTCTTCGCCCACAGCCGCTTCCAAGGAAGCCGGCTCCTGTCCACCAGGTTCGCAAGTCAAGCAGGGGTCGCGATCCCTGCGCCGATCCAATGTCGGGCATAACGCCCTGCACGCTCGATTCGGTTTGTGCTGCATCGAGCCCACGAAACTCGCCTCATTCACTCACGCCGAGCGCTTGACGCAAGCGCCACGGCCCATGGCCCCTGAAAGTCAGGAGCCACTCAGCCTCGCCAGGCTAATGCCCACGGCGATGCTGGCCTCGACAACCAGCGCATGCGGGACCTGCTTGTCCGTGCGTAAAGAGCACTGTGCATCAGTCCAAGTACCCCATGACGCAACCGACATCGCCATTCTAGACACGTGGCAAGGTACCATCGCAGTCAGTCTACTTCAAAGCAGGGGCAGATCTAGCGTTGTGATCCCTCGCGTGTTATTCCTCGCGTGGCTGCAGGTAACCCACGCCAAGCCCCCCCCCCCCCCCCCCTTTCCCCTAAGCTCGCATCCATGTGATAATCTTGGTATCGCATTTCATTCCCCCGCCTCTCGGGTTGGTTGCCGGTTGAGGCGGCGACCCACCCACGCGGCCCAGGTAGGTGGTGGTTATTGACTCGAGTGCAGCCCGTGTTTATGAAAGACCCCAGACATCCCGAGCTGCCGACAGAACAGATCACTGCAGTTGAACGTGCTCAAAAGTGGGAGCTTGAGAGGCACTTTCCGTCCCTGCCACGAGACGAGACTGTCTCACAAAGCATTGAATTCAAGCCCGGCACATCGCAGCTCTGCTCTCTCTCCACTAGCCCCGTCGGAGATGAGCCCGGCTGGGAGTTGGTTGCCTAGCATCCAGCTATGTCGCCTCCGGTGGAGATTCCATTCTGCAGGTCGACAAAGTAGGTGGTTGTCGTATTATGCCACTCGTCCAATATCGTGCCCAGACCACATGTAATGTCCTCGAGGCCAATCGTTGGCCCAACGTTGCGGCCCTAGTACAAGAATGGTGCCTCAGATTCTTCGTTCCTGGCCCGGTCGTGCCTAGATAAGTTGCAAGAAACTTCGCTCACATACAGAAGAGAAGCCTGGTTTTCTTCAAAATCAGTGAGCGGACACGTTTTGCAACCCGCCTCGCCTGCGACCTGATGGTCCAGTCGTCGTACGAGGTAGGGAGCAGTAATACACATGGAGGCCAGGGGGGGACTCCTGCTCACGTCTCAGGGGCAGGCCGTCCACGCAGGTAGGCAGTCGGGTGATTCGATGATAAGAATCGCTGGGTCAGAACGCCAAGACGTCAACCGTGCCAAAACAGTTATAGCGCAGTACAGGATGCCAAGACAGGTGGGCAGGGATGATCCTCGGCCATGCAGCTGGGTTGTCGCTAGGACAGTTCCAGCGATTGAGTCCCAATAGAAAGTCTATACCTAGAAAACTAAGGACCCTAATTATTATTCATAGGCAGTTTGTGTCCAGTTAGCGCAATTCTGCCATAGAATAGGGGGTGGGCGCGCTCGGGCCACTGCATTTATTCTAAACGTTTGAGACCTAGACTTCGGATGTGGCGCCCAAGTGGTACACCAACAAGATCACGTTCATCAACACCTTCCACGCCGCCACCGGTGATGGTGCTCCTGGCTTTGACCCTGCCATCGGCGGCTCAATCTTTGTGTCCATGCGCTTCTCAGCTCGCTGAAGTGCATGCAAGTGTCGTGGACTGGCTTGTTTGAAGCCGCTGCGCCACAACAAGGTCGATCGGGCGACTCATCTTCACTATTTTTTCACCATTTCTCTCTTGCCATTTTCCTATCTGCAGGCTTGAGGTCGTCTACGCTTGGAAACTCGACGTCGAACTAGCGACAAATACCTCGGCATCGGTAGCCCGTCATCTACGGCCTCCTTGTCTCACTGCCGATTTAGCTTCACGGGAAGCCCTCTGGATGTAAATACATAGCCCAGTGCGCATAGCTGTAACACTCATTTCATATAGGCCAAACTCACCAATACATTGCTTGTCACGTAGCTTCTACTGATAGCCTTTGAGATACAAAACCATGCAGTGATCGTGAAAATTTGCTCATTACAACGAGTCATAGTTGGCCAAGAGGATTGTCCACAGAGGCTCGACTGTCGGAATGGTGCGGCCTTGTAGTACAGAATTGCCGGCTTGGCACAGTCTAATGGTTCATAGTTCTACCCCATCCGGCTATCCACCAAACTTATCGAACGCCATCAAACCCCAGGTTCGCCTCTACGGTCGCAGGGGCTATTGAAATCGGCGCTTTTAGGGACCCTGCGTAGCTGGGTGGAGGAGATGTCCGCCAAGGCACCCAGGAAGACGCTTGCACATCTCCACCACAAGATGTCACGCACTGATCTTGCAGCATATGACATCGTCCAAGCATATTGTCTCATGTCCTACAGGTGCTGACCAGCCCCGAGCCACTGCGAGCCCCTAGAGGCGCCACAGGGATCTCATAGGGTCGTTGGAAGACACTGACCTGTCGCGGCGACGGTCGTTTCTAGTGTATATATGGACGGTCTCGCGCTGGCAGCTGCCCATTACAGCAAAGCCTACGTCTGGGTCGTGGATGCTGATTGCAGCAGGTCATGGGAGTGGCGGGTGGCACGGAATCCGCGGCACAACTCGACGCTGACATTGAGGCGTGCTCGGCCATTATGTGCAACGAGGCTGAAACCAACTCGATCGATCCAAGACCACACATAGCCTGCCGGAGATTGCGTGGCAGCAACTTGGCTCACGTTTAATTTCGCGGTTGTGGCCAGTGCAGCGCTCGTTCATTCTTTTCGACAAACATATGCCTTGACTGGGAGTGTATGCTGATTGTGTCAACGTGGGCGGCCATGGTGCGCCTTGACTGCGGCTGTGCAATGTACCTGGAGCAGTGGCGCAAATGCGGTCTTGGTCGCGTGACGACTGCGCCTCAAATCTCCGCATCTGTGTGTTTCCGTTCATTCCGCGCATCTCCACATTAGACCCTCCGTTCATCGTGAGGTTGTCCTGGCAGGCTGGATTTGGCCTGTTCCGCCCAAGCACATTTTGGTAGGTTCACTAGCAGTTACTGCATGACCTCTGAAGCCGCCAGTGCAGGAAGTCCAGCTATAACAGGCCCGTAGTTCGTGGGCAAGTACCTCATTCACATCACGATCCTGGCCATCACGAAGCAAGGGGCTGTTCAAGACTTTACAGAGCAGCAGGAACGCCAGAAGCAACCCATTTCCCTACGATGAGACTCCTCAGCCTCGAAGCCGGCGAGCTGAAGTTGACCAACTTCGCTGGCCAGACAGTGCCCCCTTATGCCATCCTGTCGCACAGATGGACAGGCGAGGAGATTCTGTTCGAGGATACTATTTGGAACGAATTCGACAAGACCTCAGCTGGATGGCGAAAGATCGAATTCTGCGCCAAGCAGGCGGCATTGGATGGCCTAAAGTACTTCTGGTGCGACACCTGCTGCATCGACAAATGGAACAAGGCCGAGGTTGCTAGGACAATCAACTCGATGTTCGACTACTCTCGCGATGCAGCGAAATGCTACGTCTACCTACAGTGCGATCAAACACGCAGCGTAGAAACTACCGAACAATCAGCAGTCTTTAATGAGGAGCAGCTCCGGCAGAATGAATGGTTTAAGAGAGGATGGACGCTCCAGGAATCATTGCTTCCGGCGCCCGATCGCGCTGTCTTTGTCATCGGGTCCTTCCACGTTGCCGGCTTCAATCCACACACGTTCACCCCAATTAACACGCCCGACTTTGCAATAACGGAGATGGTCCGGCTGAGCGATAGGGCGGACGATCAAATCACGTCCGTCCAGGCTCATACCAAGGACCTCGCTAATCACCCGTCCTATTGCCAGAACACGAAGTTGGCGGCGCGGGGAGAGCAACTCGCCAACCAACTTCGAGCTTACAATGGCGGGCTAGTCGATAGCATTCCAGCCCACGGCCGCGCAACATATCAGATGTGGCAGCTCCTTCTGGCAACGGCCCATCGCGAATGCCAAGACCCGCGCGACAAGGTTTTTGCCTTGCTGTCCCTGCTCGAGCCGCTCCCCAATGGCGGCGACGAGGGTGACAGAAACGATTTCGTGGCCGAAACGCGGGCTGCGCGGGCAAGTCTTCTCGACATCGACTACACCAAGCCCGTGGAGCTCGTGGTCCGCGACGCCCTCTACTACGCCCACAACTTCGAGTGCAGGGCCAGGCTACAATTGATCCTCAACTTGTATCTGCCTCGCCGAGAGGCCTTGGCTCCACCATTGTTAGCGGGAGACTACCCTACCTGGCTTCCCGACGTGACACCGCCCAACATCTGACCGGGCGCTCACAGTGTCGTGCCGCTCTTTCATTGGAAAGAGCAGCTTGAGCTAGAATGGCTCCCCAGAGACGCCAGCCGAGGCTTGGTAGATCGACTCCGGTTTTCAGCCAAGCCTGTCGGCCTGGTCGTCCGTGCGATCCCCTTCCCCGAGGAGACACACGCCATCATCGACGCCATGACCATACTCTTCACGCGGTAATGCTGCGGGATCCCGATGTCAAGGAACAGCTCGGTCCTGACGAGCTGCACGCCTTGTATGCCGATGCGCTGGATAGTTCTCCTATAGAGGACCCTGTCGAGAAGCGCCACGACGCGCCCCTCAACACGGCGTGCCGCGAGTTTGTGGCCGGGACAGAAAAGCCGAGCGGGATGTTCTCGCGCCTCTCCTGGGCCGTGCTGACAGGGACAGACCTCATCCAGGCTAGTATCACGGCGCTTTACAGCGGCCTCGCCTTCTGGATCTTGCTGCAGTACTGCCTCCGTACCTGGCCCGAGGGGCACGAGAATGTCGCGTACGAGCAACGGAACTTTGAATGGTGGATTGTCGACCAGGTTGTGCGACATATACGCGGGCGGGCAATCGTGCTGCTCGACTCGGGCCGCTTTGGCCTCTGTAGTAATGCAGTCCAGGTAGACGACGAGGTCGTGCTCTCAGACTGTCTAAAGGACAGTCTGCTACTACGGCGCCGGCACCGGCGGCCGGAAGAGGCTGCGGGTAGACATGTAGGAAATCAGCAAGCTCAGGATCCTCATATCGGCGAGACCGAAGCGGGTTATAACGCGCCGCCTACGCACTGGTTCGTTGGCCACCTATTTATCGACGGACTGGGCTTTGGGGTTAATCTGGACGAGGTATGGGTCAGGACAATTAGTAGAAAACCTAACCAAGTTATCATTATGGGTTAGAGAGTTAGTCCCTGGTAATGAGCCGGGGTAAGGTGAGATTCTTTCTGATTATGGGAAGAATAACCACCTAAAGACTAAAGAGGGCTCATCGCCTATTAGGTGTGGTAGTGTTACTAGTGACGATCCTTGTAACACATCAACATGCTTGTTCATTCAGGCATAGCTACTCCGCCGCATGGGCAAGCATACATCATTCAAGAAGCTTACGCACCGTATGGCAGTGGTACAAACCTGGATGACGAAGCGGGCGCGGTCTCCATGCATGCCAATATTGTATCTTTGTTCGAGACCAAGAAAAGAATCATGCATAAGCTGCAATCATACTGTATATGCAAGCCGGGAGAGACTGGTCTTTTTGAACTGAATTGTACGGTACAACTAAGGCGAGGAAGAAACAGCCATTTATCAGTAGCAAGAGTTGCATGTGATGCTGTGATCCCCTTTTGGGGGGTACTTATTATGTGACAGTCTGCAAGGTATGCGTCATAATGCGCCACAGCATATTGGTCCGTGCGGAAAGCGAACACATTTTGTGGCAACTGCTATACCGGCAACATGCGAACGTAGTCGCAAAAACGGCTCACATGTAACTTTACGTACGAAAGAATGCCTCCAAAAGTAGAACTTCACGATCCCACACTGGCGACGACGCCGGCGGCATCTGTGCCCTCCTCGCCGATGGTCTACCGGCCGGAGCATTCATACAGGAGCTCTCCGGTACATAGTCGTCTAGGTCGCCCTTTGGTCCTGCATGGGGAAAATGGAGTCCTGCTTGCAGGCAGGGGTCTGCTCACGATTTGGAGACCCTGAGACTTCCCAATGAGGGACTTGATGGAAGCACATTGTGTTTTCCCTGATCGTAAAGATTGTCTTGAGAGCACACGAGGCCTACTCTTCATGTTCTGAGCGTGCCGATGGCAGGCACGAGCACTTCACAAATCTGTGCCCCTTCCCTCTCTACCAAGTGCCGAATGTGGGGCTCCACCTCTGGGGCGATTGCTCCCTGAGGCACCAATGCCTCGCGCTAGCTCTGGAGAAGCGGCTGCCCCGTCACATTGGCTTTCACTTCTACACCACCATCACCACCAATGTGATACTTTGGACAGCACGAGCCACCCCGCGATGAACGACAGATCAAGACCCAGCCCCGCCACCAAAGCCTGCCTGGCATGCCGGGAGAAACATCTGAAATGCGGCGGCCAGTCGCCAGTGTGCCAGCGATGTCGGGACGGGGCCCTCATCTGCACATACGTCGAGTCACGACGAGGACGTCGTGTTGCCCCAACACGACCGGCCGCAGCAACGATCACGCCCACTGTCACAGCACAGTCTCCGTTCCCAGTAGGCTTTGACCTCTCGGGCCAGCTCGATCTCAGGGGACAAGCCCTGACGGTCCCTGGCGCCATAATGCCGCAGGCAGCCAGACCGCAACAGCCAGCGGTCGCCAGCAACAGGGATACAGCGTCGACCGAGGAACGCAAGCTGATCGGGCTGTACTACCGCCTGATCCACCCGGCTCATCCGTTCCTCCTTCCTCAGACCAGATACAACCAGGACGAGGGCGTCTTCCCACGGCATCTCAAGCACGCCATGTGCTTCATCGCCAGTCACCACGCGACTGTGAGCGCCACCGAGAAGCAGCGATTCAGTGATGCGAGCAACGCCATCTTTGCGCCAGATATTCCCCATGACGCCTACAAGGTCCAGACCTTCGTTTTGCTAACTCTCGCCGCGTATGCCCGTTTCGAGCGAGAGCAAGGAGTCCAGGCGCTCAACGCTGCCATCAGTACTGCCTATGAGATTGGCCTCGACTCCGACACTTATGGCCAGGATCATGACCCGTTACTCCGTGAGAGCTGGCGAAGGACCTGGTGGGAGCTGTACACGGTGACGGGCCTCATTTCGCTCGTCAGCGGCACTCATGCGCGACTAAGTCTGCCAGAACGCAGAGAGTTACCGGGCGACTGCAACGCCTACAACGCATCAACGCCGTCGTCCACACCTCACATGGATGTTCGTGATATGAGGCGGCGCTTCCGAGCCGAGGAAGCTGCGACTTGTTCCTCTTTTGCATACAAGGTCGAGGCTATGCGAATTCTGTCAATGGTACTGGACACTCCTATTCAACGGCAAAACGACAGTTCTTCAGCAGGGTCGCAGGCTGCTGAAGCAGCTGTTGCAAGTTTCCTCTTGTCACTTCCAGACGATAAGCGTGAGGCACTCAAGGCGGACGGCGAGGTCGACGAGGTGATGAGCTGCGCTCTCATGATCATCCATCTTGCCAGCATCTGCGTCCATCTGCCACTTTCACCGCTTGCGTACGCAGGTGACTTTCGGACAGTCTGTGGCAACCATCTCGGCCAGGCCGCCACTGTGTCGCCCAAATCACACCAGGTTGCGGCAATCAAGTCGGCAAACGCAATTGCGCGACTCTTGACAGTCCACGGTGGCAACCTCGCCACTTTGTCGCCATGTTTCTGCTGCGCCCTGGCTTTCTCGTCTGCCGTTCTGCTTGCAGCGTACTCACTTGACGAAAAAGGTGAAAGGCCACCAGTCCTGGAGGAGAACCTCAACCTGGAGCTGAGCGCTCTCAGATTACTCGGACAGATCTGGCCCGTTGCGGTTGTGATCCGAGGTCAGATCGCGCAATTCGCCAGAGATGTTATCGGCACTTCTCAGGACAAAGACGCAACTAGTACTGGCAGCCTCGAGCAACTTACACCGCCCTTAGACGATCAGTGGCTTCGGGATCTACTTGGGGATGTCGACATGCTGCCAGACACGCCGGGCTTCGACAGTGTTATGCCATGAGTCTCGCCACTACGAATCATTGCACCCTGTCCATTCGGAATCAGACGTGAGTGGACGGACCAGCGTCCGCCTCAGTTTGCCAGAGAAATGTGAGCAACATGTCATGACTCAACCTCAGAAAGAACTAGCGTCGGAGGCAAGCAGAAGAGGGGCCGTTGCCAGCACCATCCGGGCTAAGTTGGGCGACGAATGAAGCAGACAGCGACATCTGTCGCACGCAAAGCAGAAACTCGTACTGAAGGGGCTCTGACATGGGTCATAGCGCTGACTAACACTGACAGCCCTCAGCGGCGCATTTGACAGGGCCGATAGCTTCGCTCCGCACTGGACGGCGCCGGACTCCGGGGACCCACTTCGGTGAATCGGCGACTTCGGCACTCGCGACCAGGCCTGGAAACCCACCCATCTCCGGCGCTTGATAGCGAAGAAGCGGCATCTCGAGGCAGCCAGTGACTCGTATGTCAATCGGGGGAGCCGGTCCATATGGTGGCAGAGTGCCTGGCTCTGATAAAACTGCACGACCACCCACGGTCTTGGCCATGGCTGCACCTATCATCATCCTCAAATCGCCTGCCACTCCGGATTCGCGCTGCATAATCGCCTGGATCATCATCATCTGCACTTTTCACATTATTGAGAGATTGCTTCGCTTTTAGTCCACTAGGGGCAATCATGTTACACCCCACAGCAGCAACCCTTTTATCCGGCGCCGTCTTCGGCAGCGGGCTGACTCTATCAGGCGTTGCGAGCCCACGAATCATGAAAGACCAGTTCGCGCTCCACGACTTTCATATGCTAGCAACATTCCTGACTGCCTCCGCGGCGAGCACCCTCATTATCGCGACACACAACTACGCAACTACAGACCCCAAAAAGAACATTTCAGCGAGACCACCGAAAGCGCTTGGCTGGCTTGGCAGCTTCAAGTACGACGGTAATATTATTGGTGGCGCAATGGTTGGGTTGGGAATGAGCATGACAGGTGCTTGCCCCGGCACAATCCTTGTACAAGCAGTAGCTGGCTCAGGAAAAGGCAGAGGCTTGGCGGCAAGTGCTTTTCTTGCGGGCGCTGTGTGGGCGCGCTGGGGACCCTCGGTGGTAACGGCACCACGGATTCAGGCGGAAGATTCACCACCTGCAACAGTAATGACAACAACGGGTTGGTCTGTGTCAACGGTGATTCTTTGGTACGAATTGGCCATCGCGGCTGCCATCGCTTCGATACTCGCGCTCAAGTTGCACGGGCACAGTGCCGTGATGCACCCCGTCGTAGGCGGCATGCTCATCGGCCTCGGGCAACTGGCGTCCGTCACTTTGAGCCGAAGTTCTGTCGGCGTAAGCAGCGTATACCCAGACTGCGGCAGCATGCTGTGTAACCTATACAGAACGGAGAAGGATCAGGAGAAGAGAACTCTGCTAGCGCTGCCAAACAGCCTGGTCTTTGCTTGTGGATTGATGGCAGGGTCTTGGCTCGCCTTGCGCATGTTTCCGGCAGCGCGCATCGCCATGACTGCTACTGCAATGCCTGGCACTGAGCCTTCGTTGCTGACGACGGTGGTTGGCGGATTTGTGCTCGTCTTTGGGGCTCGTTTAGCCGGTGGTTGCACGAGCGGGCATGGTATTAGTGGTATGGCCACTATGGGCTTGAGCTCATTCGTCACGGTGTTTTCAATGTTTGGCACTGCGTTATTGTCATCCTACTTTATGTCTTGGTAGTAGACTACCGAGGTCTGACGGCGCATGGAGGTCTTCCTGGCTGTTGAGGGGAAAGTATTCCCCTTGAGTTGTTGCTTGCTGAAGCTTGGTAAGAGTCAAGGAACCCGTGACATACAACCACGTTTCTAAAACTATAAGCCAACCGCCAATATTCACAACATCTTTCAGTCTTTCTTACTAGCATTGCCGTTTGTTCAGAGTCCCCTCCATGAAGCCATGGTCTCCCTTGGCGTCGGAGCGCGACTCTCGCTGAATGCCTTGTGTGCTAAATAAACTAGACCTTGAGAAGTGGAAGTACCCACGTGGCGAGTCAGACTAGGCGTCTTTGTGCACGTTGTTCGCCAGGGAAGGCCATCTGGGTGTTTCGAGCTGCATCTCATACCAAGTCGAGTCACAGCATAAATAGGTCACAAAGAACACCCACGACCTCGATTTGTTGTTAACGAAGAAGACCTGCCTTGATCGAGAATGAGTACGAAGAAAGCTATCCACGGAAGTACTACTCCCACCACCTCAAGCTACCGTCCAAGACAAACACCGGGCGTATGTACTACCCGTACTGGCGAAAGTCCTCACGCCACCATGCCTTGCGGCAATTTCACAACCTTGTCGCCGTCCTTCTCGAAGCCATGCAATCTCCCACCACATATATTGACACGCAGCGCCTGGTCAATCAATCTCGGCGCCGACAGCTTACTGTCCCGTGTAGAGCGCATCTGTGTGAAGTCCTCCCTGCCCACGCCGTCGCGCAGGTGTATGTTGTGCTGTCTGTGCTCGTCGACGGTGGCCCATGGGCGTGGCGCCCTTCCGCTGTCTTCTGGGCTATTGGACGAGGGAGGGTAGTCGTGGCCGACCCAGATCTTGGTCTCGCCGGGAAGAGAGAGGAGCTTGTTCCGGCACGAGTCGTAGATTGCGGGTGCGCTGCCTCCCGGGAAGTCGGCGCGTGCGGAGCCGACGTCGGGTTGGAAGATTGAGTCGCCCACGAAGACGTTGTCTAATAACAGGTTTTGTCAGTCCGGCATCATGTCCGGGGTTTCCCGGCGAAAAGTCAATCGCATCATGGGTTATTGGAGGGAGAACTTACTGCCAACGTGGTAGCCCATGTGGTCTGGTGTATGTCCAGGCAAGTGAACTGCGCGAGCTGAGAGGCCGCCGATGGCAAACTCCTCGTCGTCGTTCCAGAGCTTATCAAACACACCTGCATACTCTTGTTCCGACATTCCGTACTTTGCGGCAAAGGTGCTCTGGACTTGTTTGATCCGCTCTCCGACACAGATCGGCGGCTTGACTGACCCCGCTCCGTCTACAGCCTGAGGATCGGACAGTTTATTCTGCAGGTAGCTCGCGGCGGTGAGGTGGTCTGCGTGGGCGTGAGTTTCGAGGATGAGTGTGACGTTGAGATTTTTCTCGGCAATAATACTGAGTAGGGCATCGGCAGAGCGTGTGGAGATTGCTGCGGTCGTGGAGTTGTAGTCTAGGACGCTGTCGATGATTGCGGCTGAGCGGGTGCTTGGGTCTGAGACAATATACTGCCATGTGCATGTCACAGGCTCGAAGACTGCGGTAACTGATGGTTCCATATTGTTTGGCTGTATCGGTGGTGTACTTTGCTGGGTTTGTGGAAGTAGCCGGTCTTTGGGCGAGATCTAGGAAGGTGAAAATGGTTGAAGTGGCTGAATTATCTGGGGGTCGTCGCAAGTATTCTATCTCGAACAGGACGTCCTTCGGCAGCCATCTAAATACACGAGCTAATCATTGCTGTGAATGTTAGCGGCACGCGTCAGGACAGAGTTTGTAGTACAATTTTATGCGTGCCCAGGGCTTGCGTCCAAGTCGACCACCCGGGATTCTCCCATCAGTAGTCCGACGCTCATATTGCGGGGATCATATCGCCGACTTGGTTAGAGACAAGTATAATCACAACTTCAAGGCCGCACCAGATGAAAACCGGACCGCACCTATTGCTCCACGTTATTTGCTCTGCGGATGATAATCGCAAACACCAATTGCGAGTCGCTGCCGTCCGGGGACCCACTGTGGCCCAAGTTACCGGAATCCTGGGGGAACGGCCGCGTCGGGGACCCACATTGGTCAGCCGGTAACCGCGTAGAACAATTGTAATCTAGCAATCTTAGACTAGAGACCCCCAAACATGCCCGCGGGGGGGCGGGCTATGGCCAAAAAGAAACCGGACAACTTCCACCCCCAAATATCTGGGAATGATCTCAGGCGTGCCGCCAAAGCGAGTCTCGCTGGCAATACCACCGAACCTGGCAGGCGGTGAACTCCCTTCGGTCGTTGGGTGGTTGTTCCTCCCATGATCAGAGTGAATCTCACTTTGCCCCAGCTCAACACGCATCTTAGATAGCAGGATAGAGGAAGATTACCGTGCATAGCTTTGTAACACACTACGGAGTCTAAAGCGCGTGATATCATATGCTGATCCACGTCAATCGAAGCAGGCACGATCAGGGAGACGTGCCATAACGCAATCAATCAGGGACTGGTTGGAAGAGACTGGTTGGAAGAGAGAAGGCAACGAGGAATGCCTAGCATCGATTATCGTCAGGGCCATGGGTAATCATGACGTTGTAGTTGCGCACGTCGTACTGCGCACCCATGACCTCCCATCTGGTCCAGCACGTCACCTCGTTACACATGTTCACGCCCCTTTGGCAGCCACTAATGGCCAGCTCGGCCAGGTAGCCTGTCCAGTCGCAGCGATCATCGTAATGCTGATCGTTCTAAGGCGCACGGCCCATATTAGCTAGGGTGTCTGTTCGACATGGGTAGGTCGGAGCTAGGTCGGAGCCAGTTCGAAGCAAGGTTGGAGCCAGGTCGGAGCATAACTCACATCGTTACACAACCAGATTTCCGTTCCCGAGGTACAGCCCATGCGCACGCACGATCGTCCTGGACCGCCGCAAGCCGTGCCCCCCAGGCCTCGGAGACGCTGGGCTTCTGCCCATGCTACATTAGCGCCAGTTCGGCGGCCCTGACTCCCGTTCGGGCCGCCACCGTCGCATGCGAGCCGTGTCTGCAGCATTATTCGTCAATGAGTGCACCTTGTTACAAGTCAGTCCTCAGGATGAGCTTACCGGATGGCGTGCCTCTAGGTCACGTCTAGCTAGACCCTCCTTACCGTAGTCCTGCGTAGGTGCGGTAAAGTTGAGATTAAGCTTTAGAATCTCGTCAAGGATGACCTATGTTTCAATGTTGGGTACGTGAGCACTCTCAACCCCGTTTCAGAGATCTCATACTCACCTCAACTTCGCCGTGAAACGTCATGTTATCTCCGCCCGGAAAGACAGCTCCAGTCCAGCTCATGGGCGCAATGGCATATCCCTCGATAGGCGCGCTGCGAGGAATCGTCCTTGGAATGGTCAATAAAAAGTCAGAAAACATATGTCATCCCAGTCTTGTGTGAAGATTGGAGCAGAAAGATAAGAGATCAGAACAGAAACATAATGATTACCTTGGAGGAGACCGGGGCGAGGCTCGTGAGCCCTAAAAGGACAGCAGTTGAGGTCTTCATTGCGATAACGATGAAATGTAGCTGAGCAGTACAGTGTTACGGTAACAGCCTTACAACAACACGAAATCGATAATGACTTGTACGGCCGGACGGACGGACGAGGGACGAAACAGGTTAAGTATTCCAGATATTCGAACCCTGGACTATCTCCAAACTACTTCCCAAGCCGCTCACAACCCATACGTGGGACTCGAGAAGCATGATGCTAGTTAAGTGCCAGCCCACAATACATCCTCTCCATCCAAGGGGAATGCCGTCTGGTCCTATTCCTTTTAGATTACAGTAAGAATGTGAGAGATTTTGATAAGACTAAAGTTCCTCTGCGGAACAGACCTCGGTGGACGACTTGGGCTTAGCGGTCAGCTAGTGAGGTCATGTGTCAAGGCTAGAGTAGAATGCTGGGGTAGAGGTCAGGGAGTAATTCCGCCACGAGATTGCTGAGTAACCAGGGCTTAGATGGGCTTATTGGTGGGGTTTACGGCCTTTCCCACGAAACTAAGAAAAGTGATACATGCCTAGCTTGTGGTTTATTAGTCTCCTTTGCCAAGGACTCTTGGCCACGTCTGGAATTCCTCAAGTAACACCGACACCTTGCCGCACGTCCATTTAGACGGATTCATCACACTATGTACGGAAGCGGAACTCAGCATTACTTCGTGACAGGATTATTATTGGTCCCCTATACTACTCCGTATGAGTACGCCAATGAGGATGACAGCTTTCTTGCCTGCGAGGTTGACAGCACATACTAGATAGACATCAACTGGGCTATATGCATAACATTGTTTCAACGATACTACGTGGGGCCACAACTGGTCTCATGCCGCCACGTGATTGAGCAATCGTTCATCACCGTCCTAGCTCCCAACAGCGTGGTATTGACGTCTCAGGTGACACTGGATCTTGGCATGCAGGGGATATGGACATGTGCCCCGATTTGCACTTTGGGCCCGCCAATCAAGTACCTGCCTTTTGGGCAATTAAGAAGTGCTGATATAGCGGCTGGAGTTGCATCTGCACTTTTATTATTGGTTCCTTATACTACTCCGTATGAGTTCGCCAATGAGGATGACAGCTTCCTTGCTTGCGAGGCCCGTGCTACAATTACGTGGCGCTTCTCCAAGGTCCAACGCACCCGCCGAGGTCAGGCACCCAGCGCGTTGCATATGCTGAATCCGGTGTCCTGGCCTGATGCATATTGAGCTTCTGCTCTTATCATGCAGTCCTTGACACAATAGTGAAGCTTACACTCTGCTCTCATTGCATTATTATATACTGAGCCTTGACATGGGCGTACCCTGCTGCGGGGGAAATATGAGCTACCATATATACACGCACGCACATGGTACTGTGGGCGTGAGTTGTAGTGGGCGAAAGACAGCAGACGACTGCCTATAAAGGCAGCCACAAGAATGATCTCCTTGTTAGTTGGGCGCAACCACACGGCATCGGAGACGCATCATTCTACCGTCCTGCCTGGCCCTCCATCAACCAGCGATGGCACCGAGACGGAATGGGCTCCTTGCTGGGGCCACGGCGATCTTCGTCGCCATCTCGTGCTTCATACAGCCGGCCAGTGCCGTCAAGATCATGATTGTTGGGGACTCCATTACCCACGGCACTGAGGGTGATTACACCTGGCGTTATCGGCTTTGGCAACTCCTTGCAGGGCAAGGTCTCGACTTTGAATTCGTCGGACCATATATGGGCACCAAGACTCCGGCCACCTTTAGCCGCGAAGGACCTCCACGCTTCGAGGGCGAGTCTGCGCCGCCCGAGCCACTTCAAGTGACCGGATACTACGCTCTCGATATCGATCCGAGAATGCAAATGCACCATTACTCATATTGTACGTCAAACACAGCTTGGACTGTTGCGCTTGGCATTTACGCTGTCTATAATCTCACCTTGCACATACTCAATGTTAGGGGGCCGCCAGGTAGCGCAGCACATGAACACCATCTACCAGGAGGTGGCCAAATTCCAGCCCGACATATTGTTGGTGGAGCTCGGATTCAACGATCTGGGTTGGTTTGTGTCTGGCCCTGAAGGCACTCTACAGAGCATGAAGACCTTTGTTGACAACGCCCGCCGCGCCAATCCCAATATCAAATTCGCAATTGCCAACGTGCCCCAGCGCACCTTTATCGACGGCCGCAAGGACCTCCCCGTCATTACCGCTCAGTACAACGGCATGCTGGCGCGGGCGATTCCTCAGTGGAGGAACGGACAGTCACCTATCGTTTTGGTTGACTTCCGGCATGGCTATACATGTAAGTCGATGCAGAGAGTGTTGCTCCGCTCCTTTCACCCAAGCAGTAAGCAGCGGGGGCTAATTGCATGCACCCGGGACGGCTTGCATAGGCGAAATCACGGGCTGCCCGAGTAGCTACGATGGCTTGCACCCAAACGCACGAGGAGAGTACGAGATTGCACGCGTTTTTGGCGCTGCCCTGCAGAAGTTCGGGGTGGGGTCACGAGAGTTGATCATCCCGACCAACATTCCGCCGAGACGATGCGTGATCCCTGCGAACATCCGAGCTCAGAGCAGTCCAGCCGGTATTACCGTCACATGGGACACGGCATATGGCGCATTTGGGTACAAGTATCGCTCTCGCAATGTTGGCAGCGGCGACTGGGAAGAGCCCTGGTACTCATGGCCGTCTAATCAACTTGAGAGCGGCTGGGTGCTCGAAGGGCAAGAGATCGAGTACCAAGTGCGGTCCATCTGCGGCGAGAATTACTATTCCGACTGGACGGCCGTCGTGTCTGCAAGGGCCACTCCGCAGAACCAGGGCATTGCCGGACCTCCCGCCGACAGCGTCAGGATTGTGCCGACCGACGACGGCTTCACGATGAGCTGGGCCGCGCCGCCAGGTGTCGCCGTGGAACGCTATGGCCTGCTCCACTTCGACACGGACACGTACCACGCCTTCCTTAACAAGTTTGGCGTAGCGGGTACGAGCCACACAGTCAGAGGTCTGAAGCGCGGTAATCGCTACGCGGTTGCTGTCGAGGCATGGACGACAGGCGGCGTTGCCACTTTGCCCAGCGGCGCACGAGGCGTCATCCCGGGTGGTGGGAGGCCCGGCAGACCCACCAATCTGCGCATCGTGGCACGGGACGGTGTCACAGTTAGGATCAATTTTGACGCCGTTCCGGGCGCGGCTGGCTATCAACTCTACACACGCAACGTCAATCAGGCCGGATCTGTCCTCGTAGCTGACCCCTTCTCCAGGCGGAGCAACTGTTACGGCGTCACCTTCCTCTTTCCCGGCGCTTGGAACTTTGAGTACTGCCTGATGGCTTACAATGGCAATCTGGAATCTGACATGTCCTGCATCATGGGACCTAGTACCATATCATCCGGTGAGCCAGATTGCCCGCCGGATAATACGGCGCCGCCCACTCCCGGAGGTGGCATCCCCATCCCCATTCCCTACGAGCCTCCATACGATATACCCGATGGGCCAGGTGAAATGCCGACCATCAGAAACCCAGACTGGGAGGTTGAGCTGCCGCCTCGCGCACAGCCCATCACCACGCTACCGCCCGAGGCTAATTGTAATTTTGGCCTCAACAATCCCATCCCCGGCTTCTTCGCATTCCCCGCCACCGTTGGCAACACCAATGGAGGCACCCAGAATTGCCTAGCAAAGTGGAACATGGGTGTGTTCCCCACGCAAATGTCGCTGTCCATGGAGAAATACATGGTCATTCGTCTCCGCGTCGCCTATTCCGACGGCACGTACACAGAGGTCGGCTCGAACAAGTACGACTGGTACAACACCGTGCAATGGCATCCCCTGCTGAATCAGTTCAGCGAGTTCTCGCTCTGGGACGGCGGTTGGAACAATGGCATCGCCCGCGTCCGTTTCGTGATCCCCGGGAGGTGCAGGCCTGACGACTGGGAGAACAAGCAGTGCACGATGGATCTGCAGGCCACCGAAGGTTGGGCGAACAGAGGAACAAAGGTGGACGTGCCGCGCGGCAGTGGGGGCCAGGGCATGCTTCTCGGCATGATCGTCAGGGCTGGCGACGGTCTGGACGCCATCACACCCCTCTTCTCCGACTCCAAAACGGACCACGTCACGTTGCAGGACTTCAAATTCCAGCCCAGCTTTGACGAGCTCAACGCCAGGCCGTTCCCCGAACGCCAGATGACGGTCAAGGAAGTCGTTATCGACGTCTTCAATGATTGGCCGGACCGCGATTTGACCGTCAATGCCGACATCTCCATCGTGGTGGAGCATTACACAAAGGTCACCGGAGGTTGGGAGAGTGGCAAGGAGCTTGGCGGTGAGACTGGAGTCACCATCGGCGTCACTACAAAGGGCAAATTTGGTATTCCGTTCATCGGCAAAATCGAAGGCGATTTGAAGGTGGAAGGCTCGGCAAAGTTCATCGGAAAGAGCATCACCAAGGACCACAGGAGCACTGAGAATGGAGAACTAACGAGGGTAAGCCGCGCGCAAAAAACCCGCCTGCATTATTATCAACGACCGAGAATGACGGTCAGCTAAATTTGAAACCGCAGGTCATCGCAAGAACAAGAATCGAGACAACGCTGAAGCCGCGCGAGCGTGGCCGATGTCGCGCCATCATCCTCCAGAGTAACGTCGATTTAGGGTTCACGGCAACGGTATGTGTGAAGAGACGTCCCCTTTCCCCGCTCCCTCTCGCCCTGAAATGGTTCATGGACTCACCGACTCTGACCCTTGGTTCGTGCATGCCCACAGCTCGAGCACCGTTTCGCGAGCGGTAAAAGCTACACCTATCCAGTTACAGGACAGTACCAGAACGGGGCTTCTAGCCAGATCATCGCAAGGTGCGGGCCCTATTCGGGTAACGATAGCGGTAATCCCGCCTTTACCATTAATGGAAGCGGTGCCTTTTGTCCGGATGGTCGGAGGGCTGGCAATGTTGGGATATCGGATCAGGACTATGAAAGAGCGTGTGGGCTTAAAGTTTTTAACTATTATTCGGACTGATCGTACTTACCCTGACTATTATTCCCGGCTATAGTTAAGCTCACTTTCGGTTAAGTTTAGTAGGGATAGGGGGCGCGCGCTCGGGCTATTGAGGTTAACTACGTTACCCTAAACCCTCAAGGGCTAACCCCCTACCCCTAAGCTAGGGGGCCTTTTTGCTACTATATTACATATATGTAACGGCCAACTAACAGGGGACGTTTGTTTGGGCATGGAAAGGAGCATAAACAACTAGGCCATAAGATCAGGCTAGGGACAAGGGCGGATTATGTAGCAGTACCGTTATAAGTTTCTTATATTAGCAACGATAAGGGAACCGATAAGGACTAAACCGGGTACCGTATGTGACGACCCGACCAACAGGGGAACTGTTTGGGGCTGAGGTAACAAACCGGCCCAGCGCAAACAAGGCCGCAGGATCAGGCCAGGGATAAGGGCGGACTAGCGAAGGCTGGCGGGGAGCATATTATGTAAGCACCTACCTTATATCAGTAACCGATAACGGATAGTCGTACTACGATCGCTATCTGTCGGCCCTACGACGATAAGGCGTCGGTATACGATACGACGGTATCGTAGGATAACGAGCATAATAAAGGACAAAGGATATATAGAGCTAGGAGGATCTCCTTATAACGTAATCCACAAGCAAGTGAATCACACAAGCTAGTGAATCAGTCTTCGTGCACCCGTACGATAATGTATAAGAGAACTCAACCATAACGCCTTAAATCAATTCAAACTATTCGGAATCCTCTTCTTCAGAGGTAGATATAACTTTCTAACACGTACGAGCATTATGCCCGGGCTCGCCGTAGACGCTATATCGTCGCGCGTGCGTTTCGGGCCTCCTCGTACGACCACTATTCTAACTTGTTTCCGCTATTAACTGCTGCGTCGTATCGATTTAAGCCTTTAAATCCTTTACTTAATTAATCGTGAGGGACCCTTCTTTCTATAGCTGCTTTCTTTTCGTACGACGACGGCGGTTGAGGCGGTCGTTTATATCTCGAAGTTCGGCGAGCTCTTAGCGTATAAGGTCCTGCTCGTGTACTATCATTATGACTCCTTTTCTTAGCTACCGTACGCTCTTAACAATAGACGACGGTGAGCTATTCTGGTGTCGTACGATGCGATTTTCAATATACTTCGTCTGCGATTCGGTCTTAATTGGGTTGTTCGGCGTCTTTGAAACCCATAGGGGTGGTAGTCCAGCAGAGGAACCTAGCGGTGTTGTCCTGGGGCGGATGAGGGTTCTCCTGATCGGGGACAAAACAACCACCACGACCGAAGGGAGTTCACCGCTTGCCAGTTTCGGCGGTGTTTCCGGCGAGGTTCACTCTAGCCCTGGGCCAGAGTGAGGGCATTCCCAGATAAGGGGCCAAAGCAGATTTTCGACGGGGGAGCCAGCCATATCAACAACGCCCTGTTGATGCGACACTTGTGAGGGAATCTCTGATCATGGCATTGTCAGTCAATTGCGTACAAGAACGGGTGTAGAAGCGTAGGAATTCAATGGGGTGGAAAAATCAAGTCGGATTGGTGAAGCTGAGTGATGAAAATCTGGCTCCGTGCTATGAAAAACGTCACGATGGCTTTAAGCCTTAAGTAGTACTGTACAAATATGCCCCTGATTAGTCTATCCCGCACTGCCCTGACATAGTAGAAGAAAGCGAACTAACTGTGGGGATGCTGCTACGTGGTGAAGTAACGACGCCTAAGACGCCTAGGACGCCTACTATATCGGTAACGACGCCGTAAGACGTTAAGGAAATAAACTCGAGTAACTAGAGTAATAACGTACCCGATAATAATGTGGAGCTATTCGTCTTAGCTTACGCACGTAGTGAGGAATACTACTCCCCGGACGTAATGGAGAGCCAATACGACGAACCGGAAAGTAGCGAGTCAGATAACTCCGATAAAGAAAACCAGCCACTAGGAGACGACGAAGTTCCCTAGGGAATCTACGATACTAGATATAAGGTAGAAACCTCCAGCTGGAATAATACTGTCACGATCCTGCCTCCGGGGTCAACCGTCTGGCAGGGCGCTGGGGTTGCTGTTCCGCAAGATAGGTAAAGCCTGTGCAATAACAACTAACACTCTGCTGTCGTTCTCTCTCTGGGTTGTCGTTCGTGTCTCTGGGAAGAGATACCAGTCTCGGCAATTGAGTGACTAGTTCAAGTGTGGGTGAAACTGATACTTAGATTGATCGCTGAAGTACAAAGGTAGTGACTGTGTATCTAGGAGATCCTCCGCTTCTATATATCCTTTGTCCTTCACCGTGGTCATGATCCTGATCCCGATGGTCATGGCCAGGTCATGAATCTGGTCCTGATGGTCATGCATGTGCTGGTGACCATCCTTCTTGGCGTGGTGTCGGTCATGCAGATATGCATGACCGGTACGTACCTTTCTTATCGTCCCTTATCGTGCTTACATAAGAAACCTGTGACGGTACTGCCATATGATCCGCCCTTGTCCTTGGCCTGATCCTGTGGCCTAGTTGTTTGGGCCCTTCTGCGCCCGTAACAAACATCCCCTGTTGGTTGGCCGTTACAGGTGGCTCACTTGCTTGTGGATTACGTTATGGTAAACCTAATACTTAGATTGATCGCTAAAGTATAAAGGTAAGGACTGTCTATCTGGGAGATCCTCCGCAACTATATACCTTTTATCCTTCATCGTGAACTATACTGTCGTCCCTTGGAACTGTTAGTCCTATCGGTGCTCTATGTAGTTCCTACCGGGACTATGCAGTCCTATAGTTCTTGGCACAGTTCCATGGTCTTGGCATGGTCCTGTCCTGAATGACTTATCATGGTGGCTTATGTAATACTCCTTCGACCCGCGTGCATGACCTGCCCTTGTCCCTGGCCCGATCTTGCGACCTGTTGGTCGGGTCGTTACACAGCGATAGGACATTATCAATGCTACTTCTTAGGATCTACTCGCTGCTATTCGCCCATGGAGTGTATTCAGTTGGCGAAATTTCGAATGGGAGATCCCATTCCTCGTCTCGACCGCGGTCGCTTAGGCGGACTGCGCCTGGCTCTTGTCTCTCAGAGCAGCGGACCTCTTTCGGTGATCGAGTAGTCGGATACAAAAGAAAAATGCGATGATGTCGATGACTATAATAGACCAGAGTTTAGAAAAAGGAGCCAGCAGCAGCCGCCTGCCATATTTCGCGTTCCTGAAGTGGGCCTGACTTGGTACCCATCCGGGCTACAATGACTAAGAGGCTCTACAGATAGAGTAACAACTAGTACCACGGCATAATGAAGCCAACGATGACAGCAACCATTACAACAAGCCGACAACTAGTCCCCCTCAACGCCGACGCGCCGCTTCCATCAGTCGTTATATTGTACTCTCCTACCAGAGATGGAAGCTGGTCTCCACCCTCCACAAGGACCATCGCCATGCCGACCTAAGATTCATTTCAGTAAGCTGGATATGAGTTGGGGAGCGGGGGAGGGGAGGCGCACGACGATGTGCCACTGAAGGTGGCAATGGAACATCCATGCGCCGGGATTGTCGGTGACGTATCTAGGGACCAAGAGTGAGAAACAGCACATGGTATAAGTTTGGGCACCGGACAAAGGAGACATACCGGATTACGGCCCAGCCTTGTGAGGGCAGACTCGTCGTGTCGCGGTAGGGAGGATCCTGAAGGTTAATGAGGGCCTGTGGCGCATCCGTGACAGATGCGAACGGGAAGGATCCAACACCTGATCCCAGAACCCAGAATTTGTGGCCGTGGAGATGCATTGGATGACCCATCTTCCGGTTGTCAGTTTCGGTAATCCATACGTAATGGACAGCGGCACTGGCATAGGAGAACGCACCATATCCATTGACTGGTTTGAAATTCTCATGACGATGTCTATTGTGGAGTTAAGGGGCAGGTGCATGGTCGTGTTTGACTCCCAACCGTCGGAGACATCTCCATAGATGATGGGGACTTTCGGCTCCGTGAAAGGTGCTGGAGCGACCATCCATGTAACGATATCGGTCTGGCTGATAGCGAGCGAGATGGTCTGGTCTGCCGGGCCAGCTGGCGGGGAGTAATTATCTTCGAATGGAGAGAGCGCCTGAGAGCGAAGCACGGAATCGTCTGCTTTGGCTGATCCGTTGACGTAAGTCCAAGTCATTGCTGGATCTTCCATGACGTCCATCGTGGAATTGCTGCCAGACTAGTGAAACAAGTAGGAGATCAGTAAGCTACCCTGGTTAACAGCCGTCAGAGATTAGGACGCTCACGTATGTTACAATCGCTTGGCCTTCTAAGACCTGCTGCATGTCGCCGCTGGGGAAAGTGGAGAACCTGAGATAGTAATTCCCAGGGACTTGATCAAGTCGAATCATGACGGAATACCGCTGCCCAAGTTCCATGTGAAGCACCTGATAGGATGAGCAGAAGCAATATTGTGATGGGCACAAGAGGTACCTTACCTTCACCTCTTGCAGCTTGACATAAAGACCGTCCGCAGCGTAGACGAACATTATATGTGCATCTAATGAAACCCTCAACGCGCTGACCGCACCAGAATTGACCAAGTTGAGTGCCAGCCAGCCTCTCGATTGATCAGCAGGAATGGTCAACAACGACGAGGTCGTGTTGGTGCAGGTCTCTGGCGGCAGAGAGGAGATGTTGAAACCCGGCTTGAACATCATAGGCGGTATACAGCCACGGGGGCCTAGAGAGTCCATTCCTGGCATTCCTGGCATACCCGGCATCCCTGAAGAGGTTGGCGCAGAGTGGTCCATCGACATGGTAGACGATGGCAGGACCGCCGCTGAGCTCATAGGTGTCTCCATGGTCATGCTATGCATATCCTGTCGTATGACCATATCCATGCCTGGCATGCTTGACATTTCCGGCATTTCGGACCTGGTGGTCGACTGTTCGGGTGCTGCAGTAGGGTCTGTCGGCTCTATGCCGAGCCCGGGTCCGGCTTCAAGGACACTCTGGGGCAGGCAAAGCACCCTCCCCATGCCGTTAGCCAAAACAGTGTCGACACAAGACGGGAAAGCGCCGGTCTCCAAATATCGTGCAAATACGACATCGGAGAGTTCGTGTGTCCAGTCATTTAGGAGGATATTTGTCGCGTCTCGCTCGGCATCTAACAGGGTAGCGACCTGATCGCTGTTTTGAGCCAATAACGCGAACGGGCGTCGACGCGACGGTGCCGGTCGGATGAGAAGCGGGCCGCGAATGGCGTCGTTATAGTAGGCACGGAAGTGGGAATGGTACCAGAAGAACCCGTACTCGGACGCGGTCGAAAAGCGGTAGGTAAAGTTGCCCCCTGGAGGAATAGGGTCCTGAAGTCAGTCAGCAAGGCTGATTTACATCGAAGCATGGGAAGGATGTGCTCGGCGGCTGATCTGACCTGAGTGACACCTGGTACGCCGTCCATCTGCGGAGTTCCTCGCTGCAGAAGTCCTGGTGGAATTATTCTCAGTGGCTATTCTACTGTGCATTCATGGAAATGGCTCACCATGCCAGTGGATCGTGGATTCAACATCCAAATCATTCTGGACGAAAATCTCGACATCATCCCCCTCATCGACGTCAATCAAAGGTCCTGGCTGTTGACCATTTACGAGGTACACCTCACGCTCGAACCCGTCTACTCGGTAATTAGCGTCGCCGCTCCAAGTGCTTGACAATCTGTAAAGAAGTTAGGTTACGCGATGTAAATACGTGCCTGGTGAATTGGAAGCGCTGTGAAGGGTGAAATTGAACTGGCGTAGAGCAGCTCGCGAGCCCACAGCATGGAGCGCGACGACAGCAAATGCCACGAGGACTTGCGCGTGAACATACATGTTTCTGGCCTCAGTGATGATGCGACACGCTGTTGTGGCAGGATGAGGAATGCCGTAAGAACGGTGAAGGGGGAGCAAATTGATCGTATGGCAATTTTATAGCTGCCATTGGCTGACTCGCCCACGCCATTGCCCCTTCTTTGTGGAGGCAGTGCTTGTCCACTTTATACACTGCCACCCGCCTCTCGTGCCTTGCGTCCGAAATATATGAGCTGCCAGCCGATTGGTGCGTTCCCTTAGCGCGTCCTTCGGGCAATCTCTCCTTGTCCAACGAAAACCGGCTCGACGATGGTGGAATTCACGGTACAACAGGGGCGGGCCGCATGCACAGTACATTGGACGATCCCACGGATGACGACTCTTTTCTCCGAGGGCCGAGCAGACAATCCCTCACTCGATATGAACACTTTCAGGACTGTCTTGACTGTACAGAGGCTGGGGTACAAAATTTGCTCGAGATAGTCCCGGGTTCCTGAGCTCCAAGGTCTCCACGGAGGAAGTCCTGGGAGTTGTCCAGATGTTCTCACAGTCAGCATATCCCTAGTGAACCCCATCATCTTGGTGCCGTCCGGACGAAGTGACAGACCCTCTAGCCTGGATCAGACGTCCATAATTGTCACCAAGATGGGGTGCATTGTCGTGGATTGCTTGGGGTCCTCTATTCTCGAATGAATTCGTTGATATTGCCCGGTATATCCGCCACGACCATGTCGACAATGACATAGCTCCATAGCAGGCATTCGAGTGGAACTGTTTCCCACGTCAGGGGTATTGTGTCCCCTAATACCGAGTTGTCCGATTTGCGGAGCCATAGCACGATGGCGCCGAGAACGAGGGCAACCCACTGGCGACGAGCAATGTGCAAGGCAGGGAGGGGCATCGACTGGCTTTCACCGATGGCATTAACACCATCGTACCCGTCGGATTTCTGGGAGCTCGTCTTGTCAGGAGCGCTCGGGAGGTGTTGCTTGACTCTAGGGGCCATATTGTCTTTAATGGAAAGCAAGAAAAGCTGCTTTGGGATGACTGATTTGGCCTGAATCGCCGAGAAAAATGCTCGAAAGACGACATCTTGAATCTAGGGTCATGGTGCCTTTTAAGATCAACTACACAGTCCATTACATAAGACGCGGCAAGGAATCCTTCATGCGCAACATGTCCCAATCTGGAGATCGAAGGCCAAGCAAGTCCCCTTCCAAGAAGGGCTTCTCTGCGTGCAGACGCGCAGTACACCAACGGAAACCTGATCCAGCTGACGACTGTCGGACCCCAATCCAAAAAGCAACGCGTAAGCAACACTTTGAAACGAGGACTTTTTTCTTATTGAATCAAGGCGCTCAGATGCTTTGTGACTGGATTGACCCATCTGGTTAGGGCGACTGCTGGTCCCTGCACTAACGTTACCGCCAATATGGACGTGCAGGTTGGGGGTTTGGACAACGACCTGAAGCTCTGGCCACCTGAAGCCCGGCGTCGCCAGTCATCGCCACCTCCCTGGGACATCATCCAGAGTTAGCTCAATCGAGGAAGTAGTGTGGAACCGAGGACCAGGGAGCTGATACCCGCCTAGCAGTTCTGCTGCAGCGCCATCAAGGCATTATCGACCCAGGCTAACAAAAATGACATCCAACCGTCCCAGATGCCAAACCTCGCCTACTCTCAGCACGGCTCGTCTCCATCCCATACAGCCGAGGATGAAACGAGGCATTTGTGCGGGGTTTAGCGTTATCTTGGCTGCATCCACGGTGGGTCGCAAGAGGCATTTGTGCGGAATTTAGCTCTGTCATGGCTGCATTCGCGGTGGGTCCAGAAGAGGCATTTGTGCGGAATTTAGCTCTGTCATGGCGCATCTGGAGGCGGATCTTGGTGGGGCCATCTGCCGCTAGGAGCGACTCGTACGTCCATGTTTATACTCTGGCTTTAGGTCATGGCAAGTGCCCAACCGGCGGGGGAGGGTTCGCCTCCCCGAACAAAGGTTTCAAAGGGAGGTGATAATACTCTGGATAAATCCAGCTTTGTCGGATGGCTGGTTGTAATCTGCCACTTGACCGGAGCCGGCCATATCGTCCTCCTGATGCTGAAGCAATTAACGTTCCTCAACCTTCTCTAACACTAGCTTGCTCGCTCGATTTTAGTCATGTCAAACCCTTCAGCAACTCGGTCTGCTGAGTTGACGACGTATCCAGTGATAGCCAGCGCCAAGCTGCAGGCTCTTTTACGGAAACTTCACGAGCTGTCCGAGACGCAAGAAAAATCATGGTCGCAGAAGCTCTTCTACCTGATGCGTCTTGTCCGCTTCATGGCTTCAGGAGAGACGTGGTCCGCGATGGCCGACAACCACATGCGTGACAAGTTCGTGGCTTTGGAAGAAGACAAATGCCAGTTCATATACCTGCTCGCGAGAGCCATGAGAGCGAGAAACGTCGTCGAAGCGGGGTCGAGCTTCGGCGTCTCGACGATATACCTTGCTTTAGCAGTGGGACAGAACGTGCAGCATGAGTTGCAGAGATATCCTGGCGTAGGCGGGAAGGTGATTGCCACGGAGAAGGAAACTTCGAAGGCAGCGAAAGCTAGAGAGTACTGGAAGGAGGCGGGGAATGAGGTGGAGCCGTGGATTGAGCTGCGCGAGGGTGACTTGCTCGAGACATTAAGGGTTGAAGAGGGCATGCCAGAAGAGATCGACCTCCTCCTCCTTGACAGTATAATGCCCCCTAAATGCTCTTCCCTATCGCAGTGCCAGTGCTAACGAAATCTACCAAGTCTGGACGCCCCTTGCATTACCTACGCTCAAACTTCTTCAGCCACGGTTGAAGCACGGCGCTGTTGTTATCACAGACAATGTGGGTGTGGCGAAGTTCTTGTACCGGGATTTTCTTGCGTACGTCCGCAACTCTGAGAATGGGTTTAGGACGTTAAAACTGCCATTCAAGGGAGGGCTGGAGTGCTCCGTATTTCTTGCCTGATCGAGGGTTCACCGGGAAGAATATTCCTGGATATTGATCCCAGGGTTACTTGTCGACTTAATTCTCGAACGGCTTATGACGCAAGTAGCGCTCGCGTTCTCCGAATTTACGGACATTCAGTTGAACAAACTTGGCCGCGTGGAAAACCTGTCCCCAAGACCTGTGGTCATGCATTCTTCCTGGCTAACATGTGGATTGACCAAGAATTTATTTCATTCCCATGGGATGGCGAGTGCCGGGGAGCAGAATCGCCAACTTCATGGAAGAAGGAGGGAAAGGAGCGGACGGCAGACTGAGGAGCTGCTCATAAGGTAGCGACTGACAGTCTTCGTCAACATCTGTGGTAGGTGCCAATTCAGGACCACGCTGCACGCATGCTGTTCGTACCCTGCAGTCCAAAAGATCCCTGGATGGCGTCCACGCAGGGAACAACTGGAGACTGGTGTACAGGAACGCCTATCTACCCACACTGACTCTGGTTCTCTCCACCGGGCATGCTTAGTCTTTGACCCAGCTGAAGGCGATCTCGCCCAAGAAACCGCCACCCAGAATGGCCAGAAGGTAGCCAACATTGAAAGTCATAACGGCAAGCATGCTGTGGGGAATCCAAATGGTGATTAGCATAGGGCTTATCTTCAGGAGTCTCCGGACAGGAAGAAGTAGGGATAAGGGTCAACACGTACAGCAAGTATCCAAGAGCCATGGTTAGCACGAGGAACGAAGCCCTGGGAAGCAGAACAGACAGCTTGAACTTGGGCGGTGTACTGCCCGAGTCTTCTCCATCGGACCCAGACTGCTTAAAGTAGCTCCCAGCCTCCTCGGCTTCGTCGAGGGCTCTCTTCCCTTTCCGGCGCTTGTTGATCATGTGCTCCAGTGTGATAACGAAGCGCAGCGACACAGTCAAGAGCATGAGAAGGATGATGGCGCCAGCGTAGCCGGCCCCCGTCGATGGCGCCAATGACGGGATCCAGAGAGCGTCGCCGGTGCCGATGTGGAATGAGGTGCGCATGCCACCCATACTGTCCATACCTGATATTTCGGCAGTGGTAGGTGACTCTTCGTCGTGACCGACAGCAGCGGCTTTCGTTACCGGCAATGTTGCTTGGCTCGGGGTTGCGACTGCTGGGGTGGCTGCTTCGGCTTGAGAGGGGGAGGTGCCGGCACCCATCTGAATGCCGGGCATGTCCATGTCCATCATGATGACTGGCCTCTTGGCAACTCCACCAGTGTTTTTACAGAACTTGATGGCTGAGAGAAGTCGCTTTGTGTCCAGTGTCCCAATTGTAGGCCAAAGGCCCGGTCCTGCGGGCAATAGAATTCGAGAAGAGGTGAAGCCTGAAAGCTAGCTTCGTGGATGTGGTGAAATCAGAAAAGAATGAATTGCGACCAGCGCTATCGACGAGCAAGAAAGTAATGGAGAGGGAGGTTGGGTCGGCTTGATTATTGTATTGAAAAGAATTGATACAGTACGGCGTTCCCTTGACCTGGAGCCTCGAATGCGCCGCTCATGCAATCAAGGCAGCAGGAGCGAGCCCCTGAAATGCTATCCCCATTTTGGCATAGCGTGTGGCTTGCTTTCGAAACAAGGGTTACGTCCATGAGCATTTTTTGCGGATTTTTGTTTCTAATGTAGCATTTGAGCAGCCCCGGCGGTAAGATGAGACATGTGCTCCTGCACGGTCATCCGGGAGGGAGCTAAAAAAAGCCATTTCTAAGTTTGGTTGCAGGGATGTGACAGCGAGGTTGGGTCCTTCGGCCGTTATGTGCCAAGGCTCCGTAACAGGGTCCGTTTTGATTTGCCTCGAGGTTTTAGCTTTATGCGACATTGTCATGGATTAGTTGGATCCCAAGATCATGTGTCACTAAGTTGCCTGCCTCGGAGGCACGAACGCAGCGGGGAGGCTGCCTAGTAGGCAGCCAGTGACGTTGTGCAGCAAGGAGACAGCAGGTCTAGCTCTCACTAGCTTGTGCCTGCTGCAGTAGATAGCAAGAAGTGCATCACACTTGTTCTCCTAGCTCAGAGCTCCAACTGGATTGAGCCTTGTTGGTCGGACCACTGCAAGAGCTTCAGTTCGTGAACCCTTTCACCCAGAAACATTCTCTCCGCTCCGTAGTCGGACTCCGAGAAGAAAAAGCGAAAGAGCATGTCCGTGTGCCGTGTCGTGAAACTCAGAGAGAAACGCTCAGGCACCATGCCCACAGTACAAGATGGTTTAAAAGATGCATCTATGTGAGAGAACGACCACGTGACTTTCACACTTTGTAAATAGTGTCATTTTATGAAGACTGTCTAATAGCTTTAGTCAGGGGTTTCCTCTCTTTTTCTCCCCTCTCTTTTTCTCCCCTCGTAGAACAATCGTTTTGCCTAAATTGCGTTTGACCTCGCTCGTGCCCTTGTCCTATCACAATCTGATACCTCGTTAGCTTGCGTCCAGGGTGTCCTGGCCTAAGAGTCTGCAAACGTTAGAAACCTACACCTCCTCCTGGATTAATTATGTTAGCTCGTAACAGATTTCCAGTATCCATATTAGGTATTCCTCGTAGACGATATCTAGGAGAGGAACGTCTGCCCTAACGATCGTATGGCAAATATGGCAGATAAGATAATTATGTGGAGACTACGTGCTGGTAGGGATACTTAGTAGAAGAAGCAGGGAATAGGAGGTATAAGAGTTACTACCTCTGGTAGTTATCGCTGAATTCGCGAGCTAACATATTTAACCCCGGAGGAGGTGTAGGTCATCCCACATGTTCTACCCCGCATTGGATGGCATTGATGTACTGGAGGCGCTCAATATGCGGAGTTTCATTGCGTGGTTTGTGCTGAAGCAAAAATGCCTCATCCTCGACCGACAAGCCTGTCAGCACCAGAAATTTCCCTCCACGCGAAAACGTCGCAATTCACAAACATTGCCACGGGGTTCCAGAACCTATTTTCCGGTACGCCTTATTCATCACCACCAATAGCCGGGTGTTCTGTTCGGTGTGACGCCAGTATGTATATAGAGGAGGGAAACGGCGCTCTCTGCGGTCAAAACAACACTCGTCCAGCCTTTCCCAACCCCTCAATCTCACTTTATCATTTTGATAAGCCATACATATTTCGACGTCAACAGTCTTTCGGCTTGCACTGCTCCCCAGGAAGTCACAATCCATCAGCCAACAATGGCAGTTGATCAGCAAACCGCCACCATGCCATCTCCCGGTCACTCGAGGGCCACAACGATTCTGGTTCGCAATCTCCACTGCCCATCCTGCGTTGCCTCCATCGATGAGTCGCTCTCCACGCTCAATCCCCCGCCACTCTCCACATCGACGTCCATTGTTTCGCAGAGGGTCGTCATTCTGCACCCCACCTCGCTGAGCACCTCGGACATTATCCACGCACTCGAAGCAGTTGGCTTCGAGATCGAGAGCGTGACTCAGAATACCCCAGAGAGCGGCGATATCGTCCTTGCAGAGGAAGACTACTCGGGAGGACAATCTGCCGGCTCCATCCTCCAGCGGCTAAACTCGTCCAGTGCGCACCGAAAACACGATGCCCGCGAACAAGGCGCTTTGCATATTGAGAGGTGCGACGCTTGCCGCGCAGAGCTCTACGGAGACACAGCGTCGATGTCGACAGACGTTATGGAGAAGGCCGACAAGCACCTGCGCCCCGCCGCCAGCGTGAAGGGCAGCCTGACCGCACTCAACTCAGTAGTTTCTGAGAAACCCACAAGCGCTATCGCTCGAGCAACTTTGTCGATCCACGGAATGTCATGCAGCTCCTGCGTCGGCAAGATCACCGAGACTTTGCGATCCAAGCCATGGATCCGATCCGCCGACGTCAACCTTCTCATCAACAGTGCAACCGTCGTCTTCGAGGACAAGCAGCGTATCAACCAGATTCTTGAGACGGTGAGAAGCATCGGCTATGATGCGGAGCTTGACGAGTGCGAAGACATTGAGTCCCTCAAACCCTCCACGTCCCTCTCGCCAGTGGATACGTGGCAGGCGTCTTATGCCATAGGGGGCATGACGTGCAGCTCGTGCGTTGGCGCCATCAACGAGGCACTCGAGCGCTATGCATGGATCAAGAAGGTCGAGGTCAACCTACTCTCCAACAGTGCTTCTATCCTGTTCGAAGGCAAAGACCACCAGGACCAGATCTCCAAGATCATTGAAGACGCTGGCTACACGGCAAAACTCAACGACATGGAGAATGCCGGCCAACCCAAGGAGCGTGAGCATGAGAGATCAGTCATCATCCAGATCGACGGCATGCACTGCGAGCATTGCCCCTCCAGAATCTTGGACGCACTAAGCATCTATGCGAACAACATGACGGTGGTAAAACGTCCCACGACGGCTGACAACAAGATGAACATCAAATATTTGCCGGCCATGCCTGGGTTCACGATTCGACATATCATTGGCACCATTGCCCAGATCGATGAGGCATTCAACGTTTCCATCTATCATCCGCCGACTCTGGAGGAGCGTTCGCAGAAGATGCATCACCGTCAACAATGGCGCATTGCTCGACGTCTAATACTTTCCGTCATTGCCGCCATTCCGACCTTTGTCATCGGCGTCGTGTACATGGGCCTAGTCCCTGGCGACAACCGCGTGCAAATGTATCTCATGGAGCCGATGTGGGCCGGCAAAGCCACCAGATCCGAGTGGGCGCTGTTCATCACCGCAACGCCGGTCTACTTCTTCGCGGCCGACTTGTTCCACCGTCGCATGTATGCGGAGATCAAGGCTCTCTGGGGGCCGGGAAGCAAGACTCCCATCCTTCGACGATTCTACCGTTTCGGCAGCATGGATATGCTCATGTCTTTGGGAATTTCGATTGCGTACTTCTCCTCCATCGCCGTCCTCGCCATCAACGCCACCCAGTCAGCCGAGGACCATTCCATGGGTCAAAAGGGGTCATTCTTCGACGCTGTCGTGTTCTTGGCCATGTTCTTGCTGATGGGGCGGCTGATTGAAGCTTACAGTAAGGCGAAAGCTGGTGATGCTGTGGGTCTGCTTGGCAGCCTCCGACCGACGGAGGCCTTCCTCGTCGAGCCTCTTAGCAACGACACCTCGCCCACCCGGGAGTCGCGCCTGATCTCGATCGACCAACTGGAAAACGGAGACGTGGTCCGCATTTCGAACGGAGCCTCTCCGCCTTACGATGGCGTTGTGGTCGAGGGCGAGTCCCAGTTCGATGAATCCAGTCTCACGGGCGAATCGGCTCTTGTCCAAAAGACAACGGGAGACGAGGTTTTCTCTGGTACTCTTAACAAAGGAGCACCTATCTCGATCCGAATTACTCGTCTTGGCGGGGACTCGATGCTTGATCAGATTATAGCCGCCGTCCGTGAGGGTCAAATCCGGAGGGCGCCAATCGAGCGTGTCGCCGACCTCATCACGGGCTATTTCGTGCCAATCGTTACCCTGATCGCCATTTGCGACTGGGTCATCTGGCTGGCGCTCGGACTTTCTGGTGTTCTCCCTGATTCCTGGATGGACAACAACGTCGGAGGTTGGTCATTCTGGTCGTTACAATTCGCCATTGCCGTCTTCGTCATCGCCTGCCCTTGCGGTATCGGTCTAGCAGCCCCAACCGCTCTTTTTGTCGGCGGTGGCTTGGCTGCCCAGCATGGGATTCTTGTCAAGGGAGGAGGCGAGGCTTTTCAAGAAGCCAGTCATCTTGATTGCATTATCTTCGACAAAACCGGCACAATCACCCAGGGCGGCGAACCTTCCGTTACCAATCACGAATTTGTATCGAAGGAAGCTGCCGAGGAGCTGGTGAGTGCTGTGTCAAAGCTTGAGGAGAGCAGCAATCACCCGATTGCGAGGGCCGTGGTCGCGTTCTGTAGCGCCAGGACAACCGCTGCAGTGCAACCCATGAATATGGAGGAGATTTCTGGAAAGGGTATGAAGGGTTCTTTTCGAACCGGCAACAATGAATCACCGGCGATGGAAGTTTTGGTCGGAAACGAGGTCTTGATGGCGGATCATGGCGTCGAAGTCGCTGACGAAAATGTCGCGACACTCGACTCGTGGAAACGCCAAGCGAAGTCCGTCGTCCTCGTGGCAATGAGAAATGAGATTGGCTCTTCGGGATTGACGGTACCCCTACCCAGGATGACGCCGTGGAAGCTCTACATGATGATGGCCACAGCCGACCCGCTCCGTCCCGAGGCCCAGGAAATCGTCAGGGCACTTCACGACCGGGGCGTAGCCGTGTGGATGCTCTCCGGCGACAACCCCATTACCGCGTACGCTGTCGGCAAGATGGTGGGCATTCCCGAGGAGAACATCATTGCTGGCGTGTTGCCCGACCAGAAGGCCGAGAGGGTCCAATACTTGCAGAAGACCCTTCAGAAGCCGCAAGGCACATCTTTCTTTGAGAAACGAGATCGAACTTCGAAGCGAGCCATCGTCGCCATGGTTGGGGACGGCATCAACGACTCACCTGCGCTCACCGTTGCAGACGTTGGCATTGCTGTTGGTTCTGGCTCCGACATCGCCATTTCCTCGGCCGAATTCGTCCTGATATCGTCCGGCCTCACGTCGCTCCTCACCCTCATTGACCTCAGCCGGACGGTATTTAGAAGGATCAAGTTCAACTTCGCTTGGGCCCTGGTATACAATCTGATTGCTCTGCCAGTGGCAGCGGGTGTGCTGTATCCCATCAACAGCAATGGGACACATGTAAGATTGGATCCTGTCTGGGCTAGTTTGGCAATGGCATTGAGCAGTGTTAGCGTGGTTTGTAGCAGTCTGCTCATGAGGAGTAAGCTGCCATTTGTGGGTTTCAGATCATCTCAAGACCGGACCCGAAAATGATTACTTAATAACGTAATCCACGGGTGAGCGGGTCACACGGGTGAACGGGTCACCTTCCAGTGACTCGTACAACAATATGTAAGACAATTCAACCACAACGCCTGAAATCAATTAAAATTATTCGGAATCCTCTTCTTCAGAGGTAGATACAACTTTCTGATACGTACGAGCATTATAACCGGGCTCGCCGTAGACGCTATATCGCCGCGTGCGCGTTTCGGGCCTCCTCGTACGCCCACTATTCTAACTCGTTTCCGCTACTAACTGCTACGTCGTATCGATTTAAGCCTTCAAATCCTTTGCTTGATCAATAGTAAGGGACCCTCCTTTCTATAGCTGCTTTCTTTTCGTACGACGACGGCGGCTAAGGCGGTCGTTCACATCTCGAAGTTCGGCGAGGTCGTAGCGTACAAGGGTCTGCTCATATACTATTATCGCGATCCCTTTATTAAGCTGCTTAAGGCTTGCGATTATGGATAACGGTGAGCTATTCTAGTGTTATACGATGCGATTTTTAATATACTCCGTCTGCGATTCGGCCTTAATCGGGTTATTCGGCGTCTTTGAGACCCAGGGGGGTGGTAGTCCGGCAGAACCTAGTAGTGTTGGCGTACGAAGCTTTATATCTAGCTGCGAAATTACATAGTCCGGGTCGTACGGTACTAGGCCTGTCGCTCTAAAGCCTGCCTGGATGTTTGATTTGGTTATTGCAGCGTTGTACGCCTTATAAAAGGCTGGGAGGAAGTCCTCCTTTGAAACGTGGGTTACGTACGCCCGCATTAGACCTTCGATTTCTTCACCGTACGCCCGTTTTAGAGGTCCAAAACACCTAACATCGAGAGGCTGGAACTTATGCGACGAATAAGCAGGTATATAGAGGGTAACAATATTCTATTCCTTGCAGTAGAGCTCGAAATCGACGGAATGGTAGCTCTCGTAGCCGTCGAGGATAAGGAGGCGGTAGGTACCCTTCGTACGACTCTTTATATGGAAATCGAAGTGTTTTACCTATTCTAGGCCTCTCTCGTTCGTCGTCTAACCGTTTTCTAAAAGCGCGATTACCTAGTTAGCCGGTAGAGGGCTATTCGCGGTCTAGGAGTTAAGGTGGACCTTCCCGGCGAAGATAATGTACGGCGGGATTAAATAGCCGTACGACACGATACCTTAGATTACTGTAACCCATTCCTGATTACCTTGTTATACGGCTCTTAGCCTCCCGCGTTGATCGGAGGTCGTAACAACAGTTTCAGCGGAGATTTTACCTATCGCGAAGCCCGTTTCGTCGAAGTTGTAGATGTTGTTATCGTGGATCCCGTATTTCGCGATTATATTTCGTACGAGCTTAAACTACGTACGATACGCGTCCGGATCCTCGTAAAGGACCCTCTAATAATCGATTCTTCGATTAAAACACGTACGGAGCTTAGGTCGTCGTCGTACGAAGGTTGAGGCCCAGTTCGTTCTAACGCGTAGCGCGTCGCGTATACGGAGGAGTCGATCCGCCATTTCTCAAATACCACTTAACCGCGGTGGAAACGAACGCGAATCTAGGTCGAGTACGTATCGTACGATACTCTCCTCTTCGTATAAGGTTAATTTCTAGCAGGGTAGTCGGGTGTCGTGTTTCGCAGCTCGGCCGTGGTATCGTTACTGGAGTGTCGTAGAGATACATTATAGATCTGCGCAGCCTTTCGTACGCTTAATTTTGGGTCGGATTGGAGCGCATTTAACGCTAGAACCAAATCACTTTCAATTGATTGTCGTCCCATAATTAGAGGTGGAGAAAAAGGAGAAGGAAGTGAACCTCAATTAAATTGCAGTAAAGTGACCCGTTCACCCGTGTGACCCGCTCACCCGTGGATTACGTTATTTCGAATATGGGACATTATCGACTTGAGATTCCCGTGATGAGAACGTTGCTTTGCACAAACCCTGATATCGCGCGCGTGTGTGTATATGCATGAGGCAAAACTATATCCGAGTATTTAGAAATTGGCAGAGGCTCATTGTCGCAGGACAAAACTAAGAGGTCGTGAGCTCTACACAAGAACTGCCGTGGCCATGGAGCTTTTCATTCAGTATCGCTATTGAAAAAGACATCATTGCTCCGCGTTCCGTTACGCTAAATCAATATATCAACAGTTGCTCACAGAATTTCCGTCTGTTATGATCACACGACTACGATGGCCCGCTGCTTCGTGTCCTAATCCAATAAAGTCCGTGGACTCCCTCACGCCAAACTCTTCCGGACACGAGCGACCAATTCCTGCAACACGGCGCTCTCATTTCCGACTGTATCATCACCGCCGCCACCGCCACCAGCGTCGACGTCTCGACCTTCACCGTCCTCGCCACAGCCTAGATGGTACAGAATTCCATGTCCGTTATTGTCCCTCGCGCGGGGATCCGCGCTCAGGTCGAGCAGGCGGTGAGCCACTAACGCGCTCGCGTCCTGGTGACTCGTGTCGTTCGTGCGGCTCTTCTTGCCCGCCATGTGTGCGGCGATGAGCAGCGGCGTCATGCCCAGCGGGTTCCGCACCTCGAGACCATCGTCATCGCCACCGACAGCGACGCGGGCCAGCAGGAGCTTCACCGCCAGGGAGTCGACCTTCTGGCTCAGGACGTAGTGCAGCACCGTCATGCCGTTTTCGTACCGGGCGTTGGAATCCGCTCCGTGGTCCAGCAGCATCTCCACAATGGTCTGGTAGTTGTCGTTGTTGTATGTCTGCAGACAGGCAAAGTGCAGAGGGCACATGAGCGGGTCTGGGACGACGTTGATCGAGAGGGGAGGCGTGTATCTCCAGGGCTCCTGCTCCGCGTCGCCTCCGAGGCTGTAGCTCGTGCCACTTGCCCAGTAGTCGAGAGGTACGCGGTCCTGTCTGAAGCGAGTGTTGGGATCGGTATGACCGAGTGGCGGTGACAAGAGCAGGCTCAGCAGCACCGTGTCGCTGCGGCGTATCGCTTCAATCAAGGTAGGCTGGGTGACGGGGGCACCCCGTTCGAGAAAGAGCTTCACGAGAGCGAGGTCGCGAGTGAAGACGGAGATATAGTCTGAACCACCATCCTGCATCGGTTCAGTGTCCGCATGGACACTATTGCCTGCTGCTCTGCAGAGACAAGTCTGGCCCACACGATCAGTGGCGGTGCTATCCGCGTCGAGGGCCACGAGTCTCTCAACTAGGGTCCTGTCAAAGTCGGCGTGCCCGACGCAGTCAAGGGCATAGTGTAATGGTGTGCAGCCGTCCCGGTCTTGCATGTTGATGTTCGCGCCATGTCCGACCAAATACGGCAGAGCAAGTGCAGCTTTCCACCAGGCAGGGTTGCTGCTTCTGCCCAGCGGATCGTTGTTGTTGCGGAACAAGCGATGGAGGACCCCATGCCCCTTGGCATCGGCGGCGTTGACGTCAAGCTCAAAGTTGTCCACAAGAACCTGTAGCACGTGCATGTTCGGCTCTTGCTGGTCGATCGCCGAGAAGAGAAGCATGTCGTGATCGTGCTGCATGTGGACCTTGATGGCGTCCTTCAAGAGACGTAGCATGTCTGCAAACCCGTCTGAGATAAGCAGACGAACGATCGCGGAGACATCTCCAATGTCTCGGCTAGATATATCCGAGACAATTTCTACCAGAAGCTGCTTAGCTGAAGTATATTCTCGAAGTTGCATCAGTCTCATGAACCGCATATTCGCAGGAATCTCTGGGTTCTCGGTCTCGAGACGGTCTGCGATTCTGTGCTGCCAAGGTCTAAAAGTGCCTATATTGGCTTCCTGGCTCGTCTCATGCGTTCTATGAAGGTTGTGCTTGGTTAGAAAGTCGGTGCGTGCACGGGACAGCGTCCCTAGGGCGTACGCTGCCTGGCTGGCATTGGCCAACTTGATCGCCTGGTCGATCAGGACAATGTCTGCAGGCTTCGATGTCTCAAGTAGGGACAAGACCATTTCGTCGATTCGCCAAGGCGTTGAGCCTCTTGGTCTCGTGGCACTTTCTGACCTACGCAGTTGGCTCTCCGTCTCGCACAACGCCAGTGCATGCCAGCATGAGCTCTCGAACAGGTGGGAGTCGCCGTCTGTCGAGCCGCATCTTGTATCGGCCCCAGCCTCGAGCAGCAAGCCAAATATGCTTGGACTGCCGGCGAGGCAAGCATAATAGATCGCCGTTCGCTGCCTAGCATCTTGAGTATTGACAAACGCCCCAAGCGTGACTGCAGCGCTGCATCCAGGCGGACTGCTGCCGACCTGTTGCTTTTCACGGCTGGCCTCAACGGCTTGAAGAAGCATGCCAACAACGTTGCCGTCCGCGTCTTGTACCGCGCAATGAAGTGGTGTGCGTCCCTCTTTGTCAGGTCTCGCTGGGTCTGCACCAGACTCGAGTGGCCTCCGGACGTGATACGCGGACGTGGCGACGGCGAGGTGGAGAGGCGTGATCCCGTCCACGTCAGCCGCGTTGACACGGCTCGGCGCAGCATCACCAGCACGGTGCAGCTGCTCTAGAAGGACGTCAAGGGCCAGCGTCTGGCCGGGACGGTCCAGGTTGACATTGTCCAACACGTCGGGCCGAATGTTGCTGAGGACGTGGAGGGGCGTGCGACCAGCATCGTTTGCCCGCGTCGCGTCGACGCCGCTGGCGATCAGCTCCTCCATCATTCTGACCGTGCTGCTGCCGCGAGGGAAAGCTGTGCCGCTATGGATTGACACTGCGTGATGCCAGAGCGTGTTGCCACCGTCAAGGACGAGCCGGGCCGGGTCTAGTCCCTCCCGCAACAGAGTTTTGAACGCTCCAATGTCGCGTTTGTCTACCGCGGCCAGGGCCATGGCAGCCCTGTCGTGGAACACGCCGTCGTCTGCCATGGTCGGATGTGCTGCTGTGTGAGTGGCTGCGCTGGCCGGATGAGACATTGCTGGCCAGCGGGAGCGGCGGAAGTGGCGTGACAAGGTACTCACTTGACTTTAGGTAATATGCTGACAGCGTCGTCTGCAGGAACCATGCACAACCCTGCTGCCTATAGGACCCCCCCCCCAACATGCACTGCACGTTAAATTTTGCTCGTGACCTTTCTAATCCTTACTGATTTAAGCATATTCCCAGGACCTTGTAAGCACAGCCCATGGCCGCAGCTGCAACCTCGCCCACAGAGGATCGCTCCCGGGCAACGTTGCATACCTGGAGACCCCAGGTCGACCCCACCGTCAGCTTATTCCTGCTGCCCAATGGAGACCGCCGAGCGAGGCTGTGGCCCAGCCGGTACACGGACGGAGCAGGGATGCTGACTGGGTATCCCTGTGGTTGTAGTGAGATGACCTCCTGTCCCCTTCTGGAAACTGGTAGTGTCGCAGTCCAACAAAATGCCGAGCTCTATAGGCGTCGACCAAGTTTTCAGCAACCTTGGCTGCAGAAGAGTAACAAATGCTTAGTAGGACATCTCAAACATTGGCAGCAGTCGACACGCTCGAACCGCACGCTACCTCATGATCAGCTCCTCGGATGTCTTTTTTTTTTTTTTTTTTTTTTTTTGCTTGTCAGGGACCATCGGTTCACTGGGGTGGCTGACATTGGCGTCAGTCGAATACTGTTGGTCGCAATGGGGGCCTCGGGGCTCCATCGCCGATGGCCCTGTGAAGTGTAATTCCGGTGGATTTCTCCGTACGAAGGTGACATCTGGTGTTTAGGGACGGTCACACTATTGGACAAGATTATACACCATGTCAGCAACACTGGATCCCTCGACAGGGCTGGCCGTCCACGAGGCTCCGCTCTATTGCGAACCCAGCTCGGCTCCGGACGCGAAGGATGACCATCATGACTCGCCCTGCAGGACTATATTCGCTGGATATGCAACGGTACTCTTCCAACAGTCCCCTATATAGCTGTCCATGGAGTCCTGCTCAGAGCGCTTTCTCATCTGACGCTGTTGCTCAGACAGAGGCTTGGATCCTAGTGCAGTGACTCTGCCCAGTCCTGTCACGATGAGGCTGGACGGGCGCCTCGCCGCGGTGCTGGTGGCTACTGCCTGGGACCTCATCGTCCCTGCCCAGGCACAGTCCGCCGGCGCCTCCAACAACGCCACCAACCATCTCGCATTCTTTCCCAACCTGCTCCAACCTGAGACTACATCGTCCAGAGCCTACTGTCCCATAGCATGTGACGCTGCTGGACCGACCAGCTTTTCCTGGTCTCGGATCCTCTCACTCGAGGAACTCGAAAGATGCGATTACACAGTCATCTTCGAGGCCATGCTGCGGTTCCCCCTGTCCTCGCCCGACCGCCCAACAGTCCTCAAGGCATGCACCTCGCAGATAACCGACGCCGAGGCGGCTCCCGGTGCCTTTGGCCCGCTGGCACTGTCCAACGCCGATGTGGTCAACACGACAGCACAAGTCCAGACCGGCTGGAGTGGCCGCCCAGCTTCCCAGCGCGCGACGTCCAACATGGTCGACGCGGCACTGAAGCTCAAGCACCAGGTGGCGCAGAACCCGGACAACCGCCTGACCGCCATCTTTGCAAAGTCTGGCAAGGCCGTCGTCGGACTCTATGCGGGCACCCAGGTTTACAGATCCACGCTTGCCTCTCTCATGCGAGACTTTGTTCACCGTATTAACGACCCAGAGGTGGACACGCCTTCGCGCCTGACTATGCAGGTCTGCGGCCCGACCGGCGAGCGCTCGGCCACAGCGGTGTTTGGAGCTATCGCAGATGCCGACGGAGACATACAGGGCGTCCACAAGGCGCTCAGTGGCTGGGTTGATGGCGAGTGCGTCGAGGGTTTCGACGGCAGCAGTATCGCCCAGAACCAGACAATGGCGCTCATCTCTGCGGTACCCCTTACTCAAGACTCCGTCACCGGCCCAGTTGCGAACGAGACGCAGACAAACAGTACAGGCCTGCTGAGCCGCCATCACCGGTACGCCAATGCCATCCGAGCTCACCAGCCTCTGCAGCAAAAGAGGAAACGCGCAGGTTCCTGTCGCGTGGCCAAGGTCGACTTTGGTGACAGCTGCTGGTCCATCGCTCAGGAGAAGTGCGGTATTTCACTGGAGAAGCTGTACGCCTTCAATGGTATCGATGATTCATACTGTGGCAGTATGGCGACGGGGGATGAGCTGTGTTGTTCCGAAGGAGGCGGCCAGGTCTCAAGTAAGTCACGAGACAAACCCTTGGAGCAATCGAGACTGCCATCCACACCCATCCCCGCGAAATCGCGTAATTGCTCGAGGCTAACCAGGCGGATCACTAGTAATGGCTGCCGATGACGAATGCAAATACACCGTTATCGAAGAGAACGATCGCTGCCCAGCCATTGCAAAGCGTTGCAACGTCTCGTTGAACAAGCTCGTGCAGTTTAATGGTGGCGACCAGACAGCGTTCTGCAACAACTTGAAACCCAAAACCGCAGCTTGCTGTACTACTGGCAAGAAGCCAGACTTCAAGCCCAAACCGCAAGAGAATGGCGACTGTGCTGTGCACGAGGTCAAGAAGGACGACGGCTGTTGGGCCATCGCCGACAAGTATCACCTCAACCAGACAGAGCTCCACCAGCTCAATGTCGGCAAGACCTGGGGCTGGGCGGGCTGCGGCGCTCTTCTGGCTGATCAGAAGATCTGCATCAGCGAAGGGCGGCCTCCCATGCCAGTCCAGGTGCAAAACGTCACTTGTGGCCCACAGGTCATAGGCACGCAACGACCTCAAGAGGGCATCAAGATTGCTGATCTGAATCCCTGTCCGCTGAAAGTCTGCTGCTCAGGATGGGGATATTGTGGTCTTGTAAGTGCAGAGGCGTTGAAAATGAGGCTATATTACGAACTACGCTCACCATGGCCATTTACAGACTGACGACTTCTGCACGGATACAAGCATCGACAACACTCCTGGAACACATGAGCCGAACACGAACGGTTGCATCTCCAACTGCGGCAAGATCGAGATTATCAACAACAACACGCCACCGGAGAACTTTATTCGAGTAGGATACTTTGAGGCCTGGAATGGCAACCGTCCTTGTCTCAATATGGACGTCACGGAAGTGAAAGACCCGATCACACACATTCACTTTGCATTCGGTCACATCAACGAAGACTTCGTCCCCAGTACTGACCCGGAAGTCACCGAGCAATGGGTCAAGTTCCTGGGAATGTCAGGTCCGAAGAAGATCATTTCATTTGGAGGTTGGGCATTCTCTAACGAGCCGGTAAGCACCCCAAGTCAAGCCTCTGCTCTTGTGTATGCCAGCCGGCGCTGACGAAAAGGACCAATTAGGGAACATCACACATAATGCGACAGGGCGTCAAACCTGCGAACAGACAGAAGTTCGCCGACAACATCATCAAGTTTGTTGTTGATAACAAGCTCGACGGCGTCGACTTTGATTGGGAGTACCCTGGCGCTGATGATATTGAGGGCTCCGATCCGGGTACCAAAGAAGATGGCATCAACTATCTGAAGTTCTTGACAATAGTCCGCAATGGTTTGCCAAAGGAGAAGTCCTTGGCTATTGCCGCGCCGGCCTCCTACTGGTACCTGCGCCACTTTCCGATTGACCAGATGGCCAAGATCCTCAGCTATATCGTTTACATGACGTACGATTTGCACGGTGAGTCCGTCCGCAGCCTCATTGCATGTGCGGGAGCTGAAACCAATTAGGGCAATGGGATGCTGGCAGCAAGTGGGCTAGGTGAGTTTTTGATCTTGTCGATCCTGCTGATGTCTGCTGCAAACTGGACAAAGATGTTACTAACAAGGCTCCCAACGCCAGCACCGGTTGTGCTAATGGCGATTGTCTGCGGTCACACGTCAACATCACGGAGACGATCAACTCGCTTGCAATGATCACGCGAGCCGGCGTGTCCTCGACCAAGGTCATCGTGGGTATTACAAGCTATGGACGTAGCTTCAAGATGGCAGACGCGAACTGCTGGGGGCCATCGTGTCTATACCTTGGCTCGCGCAACAACTCGCCTGCTCAACCCGGAAAGTGCACTGACACAGGCGGCTACATTGCGAACGGCGAGATTAACGAGATCATCAAGCGCAAGGCCACACCGATCAAGCAGATATTCGACAAGGAGTCTGACTCTGACATCCTCATCTACAACAATGTGGAGTACGTTGGCTATATGAGCCAGGAGAGCAAGGACCGCCGTGTCCAGAAGTACAAGGGCCTCAATTTTGGCGGCGGTAAGATGACGAGAACCCTTCCCGCAATACTAACTTGTCTATTCGAACGTAGCTGACCCCTCTGACCCTCAGCGACCGATTGGGCCGTGGATCTCATGGGAGACACCTCGCCGGGATCTAACGACGACGACGTGGTCTACATCGGCACGCCTGTCTACACGTATCCGTCTATGGGATGCACTGCCCCTTGCACCATTGTGCTGGCCCCGAGCCCGCTGGATTCCAAGACTGTTATCTCGATTTCCCCATACACAACATCACTGCAAGTTGGCACGACCACGACGACAATCACCGTCAAGGTGCCAGCTCAGACACTCACCGAAGTCCCTTTCTACAACGTCCCGATCCCCTCCAATGTCGGGAATCAGACGGTGGTTCAGCCGTACCCCTCGATCACACTGCCTCCTACCAGTGTGCCAGTTACGTGGGTAAGCAAGGGCACGACTCTGACGACCACGAGGACAATCTTTCCTCCACCGTGGCCCCAAGTCACGCAGGGACCTCCCGGATCCTGGAGCAACACTGGCTCGCCTTCTAATATTCCCACGACGACAGACGACCCAGTTCCCGACCCTCCAGAGCCTACCGTTCCATTTCCAACGTGGACAGACTGGTACAAGATCCCACAGCAGATCGAGCCCGTAACGGAACCGCCGCAGGACGACGACGACGATGACGACGACGATGACGATGATTTCTTCTTCATCCCATGTGATCTATGGTTCTTTTCGGTGTGTACAGCTGCTCGATGTCGAAGTTTTGGTCAAGAGCTGGGGTGAGCTAACATGTCTCTAATCCCTCTAGACTTGTATCAAGATCGACAAGTTTCAGATCAAGGGATGGAAATGGCGCATCCCAGAGGGTATCATTGGACCGTATGTACCACAGCGCTGCAACGGCCCGGTCAATGACCATCCTCTAAAGAATTTCTGCTGACCACGTCGCCAACTTGCAGGGGACCTCCTCCGCCCGGGCTCATTCCGTGGCCAACTGGATGGAACTGGAAAGGACCACGTCTGCCGCCTTGGCCTAAGCTCAAGTAAGCGTTTCCACGTTCACATCACTTCTCTCTGAGCAACGGTTCCTGATATCTTGGTGTCAACCATGCAGGATCGGTCCAAAGTCTAAGCCGGAGGTCATCCCTGAGAAGCCAGCGCGCTGCGAGACGAAATCAGCCTCTGTGTGCATGACTACTACTTCCTACGGCCTCGAAGATAAGGGCACGACCACAATCACCACCACCTCGCGCGTGATCGAGACGTGCGCAACCATCTACGGCTGCGCAGTTTCTGACTACGACGAGGCGACGGCAACGGATGACACTACTTGTTCTCTTGGCCGGAGGACGGCCCCAGCAGCACTTGTTCATGGCACCACTGCTACCCCTGGCCCCAATGCACCACAGCCGACGGTGACCAGTAGCCCTGAGCTCGTCCACGAGTCTTTGGACACCCGGTCAGATGCCCTTATCCATCTGAGCCGACGTGTCGACGAGAATAACCCGGCCGCCTGGGGCGACGATATCAGGCTCGCGACCGAGTGGTTCTGTAGCAGGAACGATGTCATCATCTTTGCCAAAAGTGTGTGGGACTTTGATGGTGACACTAAGGCGCTGGCCGACCGACTGGAAAAGTTGAAGAACGGACAGACACGGGTGAAAGTCGTGAGGGCACAGTCCACCAAGAGGGAACTTACGGCATTCTGGTACGTCTCAGGGCTGCCCACGGGCCTGCACGCCAAGCTGTTGCAGATGAAAGCGGTAGGTCATACCACATGAACCACTTTTTGCCTGGCACTGGACATTCCTGACAATGATTGCTCCAGGTTGAGGTAATGTACGACCCGTCGAGCTTCCGAACGAGGGCATGGTATCCCGGCACTGGCATGGATATCATACAAGCACGAAGTGTAGATGACGATGAGGGAGACTTGATCGCCGAGGAAGAAGAAGAAGAGCCGGTCGTAGGCCCTGGGATCGCAAAGAGGCTGGTGACTCAGTACACGGACTGGGCCAACTCCCACATCTCGACCCCTCCCGAAGCGGACGACTGGGCCACCAACACCGACTTCACCGTCAATCCAGGCGCGAGCCAGGACAACTCCCTGCACAAGTACTATTTCCACGAGTCGGCGGGCCAACAACAATACATATACGTTGTTGAGTCGTGCGTCGACACGAAGCATCCCGAGTTCATTGGCATCCGGGTGGCCAGTCCTCTCAAGACGCAGAACTGGGGCCTCGGGTACACCGACGACTGCGTCCACGGCACTGCTGTCTCTGCCCTTGCGGTGGGCCAGAACCTCGGCGTGGCGCGCAGGGCGATCCTGGTGCCGGTGCACACAGGCACTGCCTTTGAGCGCAACTCGGACCCGGCCGAGCGCTACCTCGAGGCACTCGTTCTCGTGCTCGACGACATCCTGGACACTAACATCCCCAAGGAGGGCAAAGCCGTCGTCAGCATGTCGTGGCAGATCGGAGCTGGAAGCGTGCCCAAGGCCTACGGGCGGGTCATGCGGACCGTTCTCGAGGAGATTGCGAGCGAGGGCGTCGTCCTCGTCGCAGCTTCTGGTAATGGGCGCAAGAAAGGATTCAACTCGGACGGCGGCTACCCCCAGCGCGTTATAGGCCAGGGCCATCTTACTGAGTCGTCTCTGGTCGTCGGAGCTACAGACGGCGCCGCACGCCTGGCAGGAATTAGTGAGCGCTTCAGCGATAACAAACTGAACCGCATCATCCACGCCCCTGGCGATAAGCTCAAGGTAGTAGTCGCCGGCGGCTCGCATAAATGGAGCTCTGGCACATCGTACTCGGCGCTAAAGGTAGCTGGTCTTGTGGCCTACTACCGCGGGCTGCCTTCGCGCTAGAAGGACTAGCTTACGGTCGCGAGCAGCGCTAAGCGGCTGGTCAAACTGTTTGAGAGATCCCTTATCATCGACGACGGCCCGTGGAAGGACTAGAACCCGGGTGCCGTCAGCCCTAAGTTCATCTAGAACGGATAGGTGCTCGAACAGTTGTGTCTCCTCAACGGCCAAGACCTCCGGTATAAGGGTAAGCTGGTGTGTCCAAGCATCCCAGATGACCTCACAACTTGTCCGCTGGTGAACCGCCGCTCCGGCGCTGACGCGAGCTAGTTCGATCGGCGGGCGTGTGAGCCGCCCCTAGACAGCCCCGGCGATGGTAACGACGGAGACGGCAGCGGAAGCGGCGGTAGCGGACAGATTGGTGATATCCCTATGCCTCCGCCCATTACCTGGAAGCTAGGCCCGGCCCTGCCTACATACGAGCGTAACTGCGGCACCCATTGTGAGGGCTACTACTATAGCCCTACACCGACTGGCTCTCCTCTAGACTTTTCCGAGCCGAGCCCGCCTCCCTAGGAGCCTGATGACCCTCCGGATGACCCCGACGACCCGCCCGGAGGCGGTGGTGATCCGGGTCCGCTAACATTCTACCTGATGGACGTGACGTATGTTACCGAGCTCGAAACTGGATGGTACGGACAGGCCACTAAGTTATCCAATTGGGGCAACTGTGATGTAATGGACGTGCCGGCTGACAAGCTCGACGGGGCTAAAGGTGACTGGCCCACGTACCCTTGGCCGGAGAAAGAGTTTACCGGCGAGCTCTGCGACAAGAAGCTGAGGTATAAGCGTAAGGATCCTGGCGACTACGACGTCTTCGACCGGGATTCTGGTAAGCAAGTTAGCATCTGTACTAAAGCGCCTGAAGTGGATGCCAAGATCTGTGGCATCTAGATCCAGAGCATATATAACCGGGTTTACTAGTGTACCGGTGCTTGCTAAGTGGTGTTGGGGTGGTTGGGCGACGAGACAAAATTCTTTTTGAGATTTGAAGCTTTCTTATATGGTTGGGGAGACTTGCTGTTTAATGTGGAGGAGGGAATAGGTTGGCTGGGTGTACTGGGGGATCTGATGATTAGTTTACTCAATTTCATACTAACGTTGAGGCGAGGTTTTAAACAGTGAAGAAATAGCAGTTATTGCAAGTGCCTATACGATATCGGTATTCTAGATCTAAAAGCCCTCCTAGCTCTCCTCGTATATGGCAGGAGTATAAACACTTGTTCCCGCAACTCGGTTATGGCCGATACGGTGGCCAGGTCTCCGTCCGTACGGGACTACGTATGTCGAGTTTACTAAACTCGTTTTCCAATGTCTCTGAATACGGCACGATGATGCCACTTGTTACGTCACCCTGAGACCTGGGTTCATCGGATGTAAGAGGTGGGTGGACGGTGACCTTTAATGTCTTCTTAAACTTCTCCAGGCGCTTGCCTCCAACCCGAACGTAGTATGTGACCTTGAACATATATTCCCGCTATATATCTACGGGCGTGACAGAGCTGGGCACGTTGTTGAGAACCGAGCTGAGCGCGATGACTTGTGTCCAATCATTGTCCGGGTTCATCTGGGCGCCTGATGTTTGTGGGTGTCCGGATGCGTATGACGAATCGCTCAATGTCGTAGACGACGATTCTCGTGACGATCGTGTGCCTGTGCCTATACTGTTTCCATTCGCAGCTGTACCTGACGCGAAGATGGTACTCCCGTCGCCCTTAAATTCGACCGTTTTCTCAGAGACAACCCCATCGTCCTCGACAGACCGCTAAGCTGACGTAGACTTTACCTGCACCAGCCCCTTCACCTGCACCTTGACGCCCATCAGCTCGACCCGCACCCGGTCCATGTCCCGCGCCGTAGACCTCCTCTTAGAGGGCACGATCCTGATCTGCAGCACGAGCGGCTGGGAGCGGTGCACGTCGCTCGAGCACGAGACGTGGCAGTCGTACGAGTATAGCCGGCTGAACGAGCCGAGTAGCCTATCCCGCAGACTGGCCCTTTTCTTGCGCCTCCTGCTCCTATTCCCGCTTCCACTCCCGCCGCTGTCGTTGTCGTCGTCGTTGTCGTCGTCGTCCTCCTCGCTAATAAGCGGCAGCGCCCTATCCTTGAACATGAACTACGCGCTACCCGTCTACATCGCGCCACCCACGGCTCTGCGCAGCGGCGCGAGCTCGTAGAGCACTAGTGTGCCCTTGAAGTCCGCGGATACTGGGAAGCCGCCGCGCACGCTCTGGTCGTCGACCTTAACGTCTTGTCCGCCGGGGAAGGTTATGCTGGCTGCTACCTCGTACCGCACGCGGACGTCGCCGAGGGGATTAGTGGTAAACGTTGATAGCGGGAGCGGCTGGTCTGAGACCGTGTTGAATGCTACGTGGTTTTGACATGGTTGTTGCGGGAAGGAGAGCTCAAAGGAGAAGTTGACCGTCTGGGTGGTGGTGGTGGTGGTGGTGGTATTGGTAGGTATAGCCGAAGCGAGGCGTACAATGCCGTCGGACAAAAGAAGCTGCCGGAGGAACAGCGGCACGCGGTCCTCGAAGAACTCTTGGCTATCGAGGTCCCAGCGCTTCACATCTAGCCGGCCCTGCAGGGTGACCATGACGTTGACCCGGCCGTGGAACTCCTCGGTAATGCGCCGTATGTGCGACGAGGTGGGATTAGTGCTGTTGGTGTTATGAGCACCGGCGTCGTCGGCTTTATAGCGATAGTCTAGCTGCACGTGGCCCTTGACTGGGTCGTCCGGGCCGCAGTGCACATGTCCTGGGTTCGCGAGGAGAGCTCGGGCTGTGACTATGCCGTAGCCCATGGCTTGCTGCTATGTACGCTGTCCTGAGTTCCTATCCGTTTCCGCTACTTGTAGCTGATGTGAAAGGACCTGTCGCAGGGGGGAATGTACGTAAAGAAGGTTTGAGATGGTATATCTATAGTCTGTCGCGGTCTCGCACCTGGGAAACGTCGAAATTATGCACTCCACACTTGCACTTTGGCGGCCCTTGTTATTTTAGGCGCTCTTGCGACTTGGCATCTCCTGGTTCTGCCCCAGAGTTGTCCATAATAGGAGAGTGGTTCATAAGCGGGCTTAGACATCGCGGCGACCTGCCAAGACTCGGTGCAGGGGTGCAGGGGTGGCGCCTCACACGCTCAGGTCTCCGAGTGGAGCGGCCAAGGCTTGGTCCCTGGGCTTTCCAAGTACAAGAGTGCTAGGACGGGCTTGGGGACTGCGTTTGCCATACTGGCAGGGCGCCAGCCGGAAACCGACAGTTGTGTAGCCTCGGGCAGGATGTGAGGTGGTACGGGCCTCTACAACCCAATGGTATCAGAATATGATTGTAGGATTTGGTAAGTATATTACCTAGCCTGGGGCTCGGAACACGTTTCTTGCTGAGGCAAGGTACAAGTCAGAACGATATCATTCTCTTGAAACTAAGGCTCGAAAACTACGATTATATGATCACACACAATATAATCACACGCAATCTAATCACACTCGCCCAGCGCCAGGTATGGTAACCACAGAACTCGAAGCCAGAGTGTTCCCACTAATGACGGGGTCGTCTTGAATGTAGAACAAATGGAAAGTCCTCGTAGGGTTGATTGAGCTATTCAAACACGAGTGCAAACGAGAGCTCGCCGTCGCAGGGCATGATTATGTACTCGGGTCGAGTCCAGCCATCCCCGCGGAGGCTGCGGGTCTGTTCTGGGGACAAAATCAACAATCAATGCAACAGGGAGCGCCCCTTGTTAACGACCGTGGCTCGCAACCGTGGCGAGCATCACTACCTGATCTGATCCTTTGTGCATACGTGACTGGTACTGATGCCATAGACTCCTTGCATGCATATCTCCATGAACGGAAGTTTGATCCTGCTGGGTTGTCCAGCCATTAACTAAGGCTGTACGCAGTTCACCCCGCCCTGACAAGGAAGGACACAACAAGTGCAACTAGATTTCGCCTTCCAAAGTCTTCATATAAGTACATATGGTTCTGTAATGAAAGGCTTGACCTCCACGCGTTCAAGGTCAGGACAGCGCTGTGCAGCGCCGCGCCTCTATTCATCTCTTGCCTCAACTCAATGCCTTCACAATTAGAACGCCACTAAGAAGAGCGTCCGTTCCAACCCACATCGCAACAGCGCCATCTATCCTGGCGGGGCGACCACCCTCTGTCTTGTATCGTATCGCCCTCGCCAGACAACGATAATCTGCTTGCGGCGGGTGGCTATCCACTGTCCTCAACAACAATGGAGGGTCAGATCGAACAGGAAGATACTGTATGAGGTGTATTTCTGAGATACGCGTATGACTAGCGATTACGACGGCTTTCGCCTTACAGGCGAGCCCGTCCAGACCGCGGGATATGTTGTGGGTTATTTTATGGGAGGGGAGACGGCAGGGTTAGCTGAGGTTAAGGTAGGACAACAAGGTTGTGCTGGGCGTTGAGCCCTGTTCTGCTGTTTAAAAGCCTTGCGACGTGTCATATTCCCAGGGCTGAAGTTCCATCCCCTCTCCTTGCGATGAAAGTGCAAGTAGCTAGGCTGTTAAGCCGGCGTCCTCTTTGTCGTCCGGCAGAAAGTTTGTTCCTGAGGGTTCAAATCCGCGCTGTGGTTCATCACATCGCCAAGGTAAGGAGCAAAGAGCAAATTCGTAAGTGTGCTATAGTACATGGTTGACCAGGTTCCGGGAATCACTAGTCCGTGGACCGTGCAGAGAGGGTACGATTCAATACCCGTGATCTGCACAGTAGACCACATCATGAGGTCAGCGACTATATGCTCCGTTAACATCTTTGATAGCTTGTGGTAATATGTTTTTCCATGGACTCTTCCATTATGAACAGTGGCTTTTCGTCGCAAAAGGGGCCTGCCCATTCAAATGGATGATCTTGGCGGAAATGCGTGTTACAAGCATCCCAAGTAGCGTAAATCTACGGTAGTAGGACAGTTCTCCGCCACACAATTATAAGGGCATAAGTCTTCGGTAAGATGCTCGCTAGCTGCGCGTTAGCCGCTATTATCGGGGAAGCTCCCACTTGAACATGGAACGTGACTAACCTCCATGCGATAGCATTTATTGTAACTTTGGAAGGCAATGATTGGCAACAGCAAGGGCATTTGACTGCCTCGCTGCCTTCTAATATCTTTGGCGGCTCGGGAAATTTGCAATATATACTAGGTTAGGGTTAGGGTTATGCGAGAGTGTATGTATGGCAGGACGCATGAGGCCGGTCGATGCCTGGCCAGCGCTCTGAGAGAGGGAGAGAGGGAGGCCATGCTTCGAAGCGGAAGTATTAGGGCCTCCCATATCCGCCACGGTCGTTCCTCGCGAGGGACCGCGTTAGTTCCCGATCCGCCACTGCCCGCCACCTGTCGTACTGTGTCTCCTGCTCCATGTCCTTCTCTCACGCGGTCCAGCATACGGCCATTACGCGAGAGCACTTGTATCCACACTACAGTATGTTTTTGTTCCTGTTATTGTCCTCCTTTATTCGCTGGTCCCCTCGGTATGCTAGTCCTCACCTTGCCATGGATTATGGAATGAGTTAGTCCCGACTGCTACATTGTTTCGCTGCCACAGCTCTATGAGGACGTGGTAGTCGAGACGTATTAAGACGACTGTCGCCGAGGACAGATCGCGCGTGGTAACGAAGTCTCCGCCCGCCCGCCCCTTTTCCGTGCTGCCCTGGGCCCAATAGCACTTCCCCGCCTCGAGCTTCGTGATATAACTTTTGCACGCCGTTATGTCCATCCTACACTTCTCTGGGATCCACTGGCATTTAGAGAAGCCATACATGCGGGAAGAGCCTAACCATATGAGAGACTTCTCGCAGCTCTCGTATGGGGCGCGATTGACGAGTCTTCGTGCCTGGATGAAGAAGCCGCATTCGACTACCGTAGGTCATCTCTCTGTTGTTAGTACCCCGTATTGTGGATTCTTAACCATAGGTAGGCAGTCTTTGGGGGAAGTCCGCAGCTGAGAGTGGACAGAGCTCGCCGGGATAAGGGCCTGGAATGAGACGGATCTGCTACGTGCATAGACTGTGACAGACCTTTCGTATCGCTTCCCTGTTGGCTTTACGCAGTCGCGACAGCTTGCTTAGCAGACCTATAATGGCCACCAAAGAGATCTACCAGCTCCTGCTCGACTACGACCTTAATGGCAATTATAACTATAAACATCCACTCGCCCTCTTCCGACTTAGTAAACTAATCAATCGCGAGGCAAAACAAGTCTTTTTTTAAAGTCAACATCTTCGTCCGGTCGAAGCAGTGTGGCCCTGGGAAATTATGCTCGAGCGCCATATCCCCATCGACATCAAGGGCTAGCAGGCAGAGCGCTTTACGGAACATAGCCTGAGCGTATGCATTACGCGTCGCAACCCCGGATCGTCTCCAATGCTACGGTACTCCGTCGTGCTTCTTGTCGGCGATCTAGACAACTTCATGCGCACGTAGTCATACGAGCGCATTCTAAGAACAAGCTTTATTGAAGCGCCTGTCGCCGGGAGTGGTAGCAGAAGCTATTGGTAATGGCAGAAGTGCTTATATTGAAGGTTGGCGCCGAAGGCGTGGTGGCGCATGGCGCGGCACGGACTACATTGCTTATCTATATGGTTGGGTCTTATCGAGGCTCCACATCTCATTGGTCCTCCACCCTTTACGTGTTATTTATTTTCGAACTGCTCCAGCTCAGGTCAAGGCAATAACAACCGAGGAGCTGCAGCGGAAGCTGCTCATGCCTTTTGGCATAGTTAAGCGTCTTCGGAGCCTTGTCATCACGGGTGAGCCAGCGCTACTACCGTCGGTCGAACAAGAATTGCGCGGCGCGCAGCGCGTTCCCCTGCCTAGGAGTGAACAGTGCCTCACCAGAGCGACGAAGCTCAAGGCTATAGGCAATGAGGCAATTAAGCACGGTTAGTATTATAAAACCCTGGAAATTTATAGAGAGGCCCTGGAAGTGATATACTACATCACCAGAGGCCGCCAGCGGCACATATCCACCCCTTCACGGTGTTCGGTCCGATGAGGTCGCCCTAGCTCCATAAAAGTTGGCGTGATGAGAAAGACTGTCTTATGAACTGCTGGCAAACATATGTCTGGTACTTTTAAAGTTGAAGGACTGGGATTAACTCATCGAATGGGGTATGCAGACTATCTCACCCCTTAGAAGTGGATGGCGAGGTCGGCCACCGCCGCCAGAGGTTGAAGCTTGTGACGGGATCCCCGGTGCCAAATCGACTGGGAAGATCTACTACCGTACTCCGCTGGGTTACAAGGCACTTGGGAACGTGGTCGACGTTGTTAGTCTACTAAAAGTCGCGTAGGTATATCTACCACGTAATAGCTCTATTGGGAATGAGATTGAAGCTTGTAATCTACACATTCCATCGAGGTCAACTAAATGTAGTTGCAGGGAGTTGAGGCAGTGGGTAAAAAGATGAGACTTAGAGCGACTTAGTAAGAAGGCAATTCATATACTTGGAATTACTAGCAGGTCATAGGCAGAGCATCATACCCGACAGCACTTAGAGAAGTGTCGCTTTGCTACCCTGTTATATCCTGCCTTACTGTGTACCCTTACTCTATCCCATCACGATCATGCCGAGGTCCTTCACTGCCTGGCCCGCATAAACCGAACTCCCAAACGCCTGTAGGAGAGATAGAGCCAAGGAGATCTGGAGGAAGGCGCTTTACCCTGGAGAGGGGAATGGATAAGGATAAGGACAACGCGCCAAAGGGGGGCCGGCGCCTGGCAGACGAGCAGCAAGGGGACTTTGCGTTTATGCCGTTGCGCGCCCGTAAGGAGCCTACGCCCAAGTGCACCCCGACGCAAGTCGCGGCTACGGCAGCCGCGCTTAGGGCAGGTGTGTACTACGTACAAGTTGTTTTCTGAGCAGGTGATAAGGAGAGGACTTACTATGGTTTTGGAGTCCGCCAGATTGGACCTAGCACGTGCGAAATGTACGGGCTCTCTGATCTCTAAGGAAGTGGGGAGGGGCGAAGAGAAGTAGTAACAGGGTAGAGAAATAGAGAGACGCAGAGATTTGTGTGGGCAATGCGAGAACACGAGGCATGCTCCCGGCAGCTCCAAGAAGGAGATGTCAAGGTAGGTGGGAGTTCATTGTATGTTAGCCAGATACTTCGTGTCATTCCATCGTTTCTGTTCATCTTAGCTACGTAAAATAGCAACAAAGTAGATGGCCATCCTCAGGCAAGTGGTTGCTTCGACTCCCTATATGTAGGCTAGTATATATATCTACATATAAGCTACTATGGACACTTCCGTCTGAAGACAAAGTGTTATACGCTCCCACTATCCAACCCCAAGACAACTCTCCCGAACCACTCCCGGTATGGGCCGTCCGCCCACTCGACGACACGACGCAGGATGGCCAATAGCCTATACGCCCCGACTATGGTCCTTGTATGTCCTATCTCGTGGGGAAAGTTGACAAGAGCCTAGGATACACGGTCAGTTATTGCACACAGATCAAGGCCCACTGAACAATGCGACTCACAATCTTGTCACCCATGTCTATCGCAAACCCCAAAGTCCATGCGTGACCGACCACGCGCAGAACAGGGAGACTAGGCAGCCGCAGTGTTCCAGGGCTGGTGCCCGTCAGCTGGTACACCCTCCGATGGCCGCACGAAATCCACACAGCCAGCTGCGCGAGAGCACCGCCCTCGCCCGCCTCGGGAGTCTTAGTCTCGATGGAGATGGCCAAGGGGCGGTCGTGAATGGGAAAGTACCCGCTCTGATTGATGGTAGGCGGGTTGGTTAGGCCGCCACCACCTCCGCCGGCTGCCGATCTGGTGCTGCCGCCGACATCGTCTTGCAGCTGCTGGCGCAGGCGCTCGCGGATGGCGTTTTGAAACGCTGTTGACGTGGGCACAAGCTGGATGCTGTAGTCAATATACTTGGTCTGCACGCGAGTGTTGCCGACAGTCGGCACCAGATCATCCAGGGGTGCGGCCGAGGTGATGCAGTTGTACTCGGCGCGGCCAGCGTACGGCGCGAGAGCTAACTTGAGCACGCGACTGTGAACCTCGGCGTTCCACTGCGCCTCACAGCACTGCCGTGTGACGCAGCGGTCTGCCTCCTCGACAATGTCCTTGATCGTGTCAAACTCGCGGGTCGCCTTTTTCAGGTCGTGCCCGAGGTCGCCAAACACCCGCGCGGGGATGTAGAAGTTGTTGCCTAGCACGGAGCGAAGGTCCTCTTCGATTGCTCGCGGCACCACGGGCCGGTCATTCTGGCTGATCTCCTCGAGGTCGCGCCTCAAGACACTATCTACATCGAGGACGTCCGCCCTGGACGCCTCGCTCCAGGACATGGCGACGCAAGGCTTGTCGAGCAGGCTCATGTCGGAGATTTTCTTGACGGGGCTGCGAAGGCGGCTGCGGCCGGTGGTGGTCGACCTCGACACGCGCGTGTCTGTGGTCCGGTCTGAGTCTTTAGACGGGGAGGATGGCTCGCAGGACGGGACGCGGGATGACGACGACGAAGAGGCTGCCCCATGCAGCTGGGCGGCATAGGAGCGGACGGCATGATCGTGCTGCTTGTCTGCAAGGGGCCCCTCCTGGTCCAGCTCGAGCTGCCTAGCGAGTTGTTGGCCGAGATTGTCGACGAGGGTGGCCGGCGGTGGTAGCTGCGGCGGCCTGGATGCAGCTGTTGTTGTCGGTTTTATTCCATGTGATGTGCGCTGTCGCTGACTGCGTCTCATGCTCTGCGGTCTCGTCGAGGATGTCGCAGCATTAGACTGGGTGCTCGCAGCCGTGCTGTCAGGCATTTCGAGGTGTTCTGGTGCTTGCGCAGTGGCTGCTTTCGATGGTGACGATGCCCGGGTGGCGCGCATATTTTTTGACACTGGCGCGTAAGTCAAGGTATTGACGTCCGCGTCGCCCAGTGGCTGCCTGGGCCGCTTCTTGCGGGTGGTTATGTTGTTGCTGGCGAAGCGCTGAGCCTGCTGCTGGCGATGCTGTTGGAGGGCCTGCGCCTGCGCGTTGGCTTCGAGCTGAGCTGAAAGCCAAAGATCAACGAGCGTGGCAATCGACATGGTCTGCAGTGTCGACTGCTTGATGGGGATGGTCGCTGATGCGGCTGGTGGTGGTGCGCGGGTGGGCTTGTAGGAGGTGCAGTCCCAATTGCCATGGCGTCAGGGAGGTTCTGTTTACAATGAGCAGCCGGGTTGGGGTAGCAACACGGGCGAGTGGGTGGGGCGGATGACTGATGCGACTGCCCCACAAGCCACAGCCACCTTTCAGGCCAGAGGTTACTACCTTAGGTTTCGAGGTGTCCAAAGCTGCTTGTTCCAAGGGAAGAGTAGACCAGAAGACTGCGACCTGCTGTCTCCTACTGCCTTGTCCAGGGATCATTGCCACGTTGTAAAGTGTCAAGATGGCGGGAAGGCTGTGTAGTCAATCTATGCAGAGGCTTGGTCAACAGCCATGTGCTTCTCAGTCAGGCTGAAGGCCGATTGAAAGTCACACCTGGTCAGAAGGTCTGCAAATTCAGCCTGTATGCCACAAGCGGTGCTCGAGACCTGTGCAAACCACAAGTATTTGCTGGGTAAAGTTGAGACGAAAGAGGTAATGAAGGAGACAAACAACTTGGCGTTTGATACGCTTTTTTTCCCGGGCCTAGTAGCCACTCTTGTTAGGCGCCAGGCCTGTTCAAACACTGGGGGGCTTGAATGAGACTGGGCCATGATGCCAAGCCGCACATAGGCTATGCTGTGGAGGAGGGCCCCTGGTCTAGCTTGCTAACAAAACTATGTGCATGGGTGGTTTGAGCCAATCCGGGCGAGTTCCATCCGCCATCTCAGCCGGAAGCTCGAGTCACGGCTCAAATGAAACGGCAACATGTAAGCAGCACGTTGCCACACAGTCGCACCCAGACGCACAGGGGCTTGTATTCATTAAGCTATTCTGGGCGAAGCTTATGCCTGCCAAGGCTTCCATAATAGACTATTATGTGGCAATTCCTTAACCCCTGAGCCTCCGCATTCATTCCATTGTTACATTCCCCTCAAGGCCGGGGCATGCCGGTCCATCTTGACCACCGTTCTCGCCCCCAGCCAACACTGCCACAACGGATTTTGTTGCCAACTCCGATTAATCCGCAGCTCACCGCGTAGATGTCGGTTCATTTAATCTCGGACAGTGCCTGTGCAATGAGAAACGCCGGCTTGGCACGCAGCATAAGCTGACTCGTAATGATCTCGGCCCGCTCTTAATGCCATGGGCTGTTCAGTCGCGACGGTCAGCGCCGGCATGTGCATCCATTGTTACCTGTTTGGTCGGAAGCTTGCCTGGCCACAACTTTGGTCTTTTTTCCCGTTGTGGTGTAGGCTGGCTTGCTGTCTCGGGGTGCGAAGCCAACCTTACGTTGCAAAACAGTCTCGTGTGATCCAGACGGCCCATCCAGGATACGGAGTCCTGTGGATCCACCACACTTTACTGCTCATGTCGTTGAGACCGAACCTGCATATACCGTCGTGCTCAGCACTATATCAACTTCATCGTGGCAATTTATATTTGTGCTGTATCACCTTCGCCTGGCCACAACTACTTTATGATGTCGAGGGTTACGGCGTCCTACAAGTAAAATGTTCTCTACGAAAGCGTCAACGACTGCCCTCTGGGCGCTCGCTGCTCTCTTCGTGGTCTTGTGCCTCTCGCCAGGCGTCTTCTTCGCCCCAGCATCACACCCTCGCCATCTCCGACGAGCTCAGGATCAAGTCGACGAAAGTTCCGCCGTTGCTGGCGATCTCGTCATCACGCGACACTCTCCAGGCCATCAGAATCCAGCTGTCGCCCCTCCAAAACCCCTCGATGAAGCCTTGGAGCACACCGCCGACCTGGGAAACGCTTCTTCATCCAGTGTTAGCCCTAACCCTAGAAATATCCAGTCGCTGTCGAAGCGCGACGGCGGTCCTCTTTATTGCACCAACGGACCTTGCGTCGATGGCAGTTGTTGCGGTAAGAACAACATCTGCGGATATGGACCAGACTACTGCGGCGATGGATGCCAGTCTCAATGCGATGCGACTGCCATGTGCGGAGAGTATAGCGAGAACGCAGAGATGCCCTGTGGCATGAACCTGTGTTGTTCCGCGACTGGCTGGTGTGGAGTAAGTTTGCTGCCAATTTAGTGCTGTACGAGATGGGTTATTTCTCTGTAGGATCCTTGCTTACACGACATGACCCACAGACAACAGAAGTATACTGCAACAATGCTGATCCCCTGCACGGGACCCTGCCTTGCCAGGCTGGCTACGGCTCATGCCAGATGTATGGCACTCCTTCCTGTCCGGCTGGGGGGGGGGGTTCGACCAAAGGTCGCTCAGTCGGCTACTATCAGTCTTGGAATGTACGGGAGCGGAAGTGCAATACGGTCTCGCCCAAGGAACTCGACACGAGCCTCTATACGCACTTGTTCTACTCGTTTGCGTCGATTGATCCAACTTCGTTCTCCATCGTCAACGCCCATCCTGACGATGCTAAGATGATTCCCGAGTTCACGGCTCTGCACCAAAACGGCGGACCACAGACATGGATCGCCGTGGGTGGCTTCGACTTCAGCGATCCTGGTAGGCCCACACATACGACCTGGAGCGATCTGTGCCTCACCAAGGCAAATCGTGCTGCCTTTATCAACTCCGTCAAGGCCTACATGGATCAATGGGGATTTCAGGGCGTCGACCTAGACTGGGAATATCCCGGCGCGCCTGAGCGTGGCGGTCGCAAGCTGACAGATGTGCGCAACTTTGCTATGCTGGTCCGAGAGATGCGCGCAGCCTTTGGAACCGCGTACGGTATTAGCCTGACGCTCGCGCCCGATTACTGGTACCTTCGCTGGTTTGATGCTAAGGCTATGGAGCCGTACGTCGACTTCTTCGGGTTTATGGCGTACGACCTGCACGGCTCGTGGGACGAGGACGTAAAGACTCTGGGTAAGCTCGTGCGCGGCCAGGCTGACATTCGCGAGATTTCCACAAACACTGTCCCGCTCTGGTTCGCCGGCCTGGACCCGGCCAAGATCAACTTCGGCCTAGCTATGTACGGCCGTGGCTATACGCTCGCTAGCCCTGCGTGCAACTCGTTACTATGCTCCTTCAAGGGCCCAAGCAACGGGGGCCCATGTACTGGTTTCGAGTAAGTGTCCTTTCATACGCTACTAGAAACACAGCAGTAGGCTAACGAAGGATTAACCGCAATAGCGGAGTGTTGTCTCTATACGAGATTCGGAAGCTTATTAAGGAAAAGGGGCTCACCAACCTACCTCCCCGATTCCATGATGAAACAGCTTACGTGGGATGACCAGTGGATTGGTTACGACGACGACGAAACTTTTGCCGCCAAGAAGGCATGGGCTGACTCGAGATGTTTTGGCGGCGTCATGTACTGGGGCATCGACTATGGTGTCGCTGGTTCCGGCACGTAAGTTGAAGCACCGGCTTTCTGAGGTTACCCTTTTGATACAGAGATCAGAGTGACTGACTGACCGATCTTCCAGACCCGAGGACAACTACCCCGTAGTGTACCTCGATCCGGCCGTCTACAACAAAGTGCCCGCGCAGTGCACGCCACCTTGTCGACTAGTGTTCCCTCCTAGCTCCTTGACTGCTGCAACAACGCTTTCCATCCCACCATATACTACATCGCTCCAGCTAGGCCAAGGCACTACGACGACCATCACAGTCACTGTGCCTGCCATTACTGTGACGGTCATGAGCTATTCAAACATGGTCATCAGCCCCAGCCAAGATTCTAGCACGATCTACCCATATCTGAGCATCAACGTTCCCCCAGTCACCACAGTCATTGACGGGCAGACAAGGACACTCACATTACCACCGTGGCCGCTCGTCACCAACGGCCCACCAGACCATTGGAACTTCACGACAGAGCCGCCCAGATCGGAGGTCCCCGTCTTCCCGTTGCCCACTGGTCCCCGCGATCCGCCAGCTCCTACACTGACCCCGATCAGCAAACCGGCATTCACCGGACCAAAGCCCGTAGCGCCATGGCCCACGCAGGTTGACATCGAGCCTGTTCCCACGCCGGTTCCGGACGAGGGGGAAGATGACGACGACGACGGTCCAATTTTCAAGACGTCGTGTAAACTGTGGTTCTTCTGGGTGAGTGCAGCCCGAGGCAAACGTTTGAAGAAACAATGCGCTGATCTCTATTTAGACCTGCATCAGTCTCCCGGGGCCATTCGACATTGAGATCCATGGATGGAACTTCAATTCCCCCCCCGGAATCTGGGGCCCGTAAGTTCTCCCTGCACCACTTCGCTTGCCAGATGCAAGAATCCCCATTGAGTACGGTAGCGTACCCCGGCTAACATGAGCCCGATGTGCACAGTGGTGTTGCACCACCCGGCATTAAATGGCCTCCTGGGTTGACAGTAAAAGGAACTCTACCGCCATGGCCCACGATCACGTAAGTCCAAACAGCCTCGCAGAGCCCTGGCCCAACATCTCAAGTTTGAAGAAATGCTAACTCAACCAGTGTGCATCCTGGAGGTGCGATTGAAGCCGCGCCTAAGCCGGCGGACTGCACTCCAGCGGAAGCCTCCTTGTGCTTGACAAAGAGTTACTTTGCAACCACCGTCTCTAGCGGCGCAACCAAGACAACCGCCACATCGGTCACAGAAACATGTGCGACCATAACCGGCTGTCATCTCAGGGACATTGAGACAGCTACCAACATTGACGCATGCACAATCCGGCGCAGGGCCATGGCCGTCACGGCCCTGCCGGAGCCCACTAGCACAAGCCTCAGCCACGAAGACCACCCAGAGGTAGAGAAGCCCGCTGCTCACGAAGGTGAGCGTGACGAGCCTTTGATGCACTTTGAGGCTCGCGCCGAGCCCGACTGGAAGAACTGCGAGGGACCGGGAGACGGAGGCATCATCTGGCCCCTGAATGGTGGCAACAATGCCGAGCAAAACGAGATCCGCAGGGTGCTCTCCAGCCGCAAGGCGGCAATAGGCAAGGACTACAGAGAATTCCGGGCGAACGACCTCGGCTTCACAGCCTTCTACCTGGTGTACGATATGGGCCCCACGGCACTTGCGTACTTCAACTCGGCCGAGATGCCTCAGATTTACCTGGCCTACTACCCCGCCAACCCAGTCCGGCCTGCACATGTCCCTAACAAGCGGGATGATGCTGCAAGTCCTCGTGGGGAAGCGCAGAACACCACAGTCGCTCCTAGCGACGCCAGTCGCCTGGCGAAGAGGGCGATAGTCTTAGAGTCTAGCGCGGCTTGGCAACTTTCTGTGGCTTCATGGCCGCCTGCATACGACTTCAACGCGATCTGGCAACAGTACAACCACAACCCCTCTACCAACAACTATGGCACGTCATGGGACGATTCGTACGGCGCAGGCCAGACAATCTACATCCTGGAATCCGGCCTGCCAGACCTCGATGTAAGCATGAATGTCCCCCGCCACCATTGTGGCTGGCGATCTTTGCCTCAAGTTTTCCCTTTACCGAAAATGTCCCATCTGACCTCATTTTCTGCGCGTAGAACTATAAAGACCGGCTCCGGCGTCTCCCACTGTCCAACTTTGCAGGACCATTCACGCCCACAGAATCGGATAACCATCATGGTGCCGCGGTGGCAGCATTGGCGGCCGGCACGATTGTCGGCATTGCCAGGAAAGCCAATGTCGTCTTCGTTGAGGTCCGGCTCGGAACTGCCACTATTATCTATGAGACGTTCCTCGAGGCCTTTGTCAGGGTCGCCGACGACGTCGCGAGCAAGCCCAAAGACACGTGCGTCGTCAACATGTCTTGGGGTTATGCAAAGACGGGCCCCGTCAGCCTGGCATTTCACGAAATCCTGGGTAAGATCATATCCCGTCCTTGAGACTGTAGCCCCTTTTTCGTGCTCGTGCTGACTTTGCCGTGTACTTGCCTCCCTCTTCAGTTGCCCTCATGAATGCCATGGCGGTCAAGTACGGCTGTATCTTTGCGGCAGCCCCGGGCAACGACGGCAACACGGCGACGCACTACCCGGCGCTGGCGCGAGACCAGGTCGCCGGGATGATGGTTGTGGGCGCTGTGGACGCCTTCGGGGCAGCTGCCTCTTTCAACTCGGGCAAGGAGATCATCAATGTCTACGCCCCTGGTGTTGACATCCCAATTGTTGCTATGCACACCTCCGGCACATCTTTTGGTACGTACATGGCCTTCCACGCTGTTTCCACACCTACGCTGGACGGGGGCGACTGCCGAGCTTGCAAACTAACCATGAGCACGTGGACTATCAGCATCTCCGATGGTGGCTGGCCTGGCTGCCTATTTCCGCGGCCTCCCCAATTACAACGGAGGGAGAGACCCGAGCAGTATCCGCGACTTGATCCAGAAACTCTCCCGGCCGATCCGGTTCAGGGCCCCGCGGCAGGGCACTGGAATCCCCGTCATCTGGAACGGCATCGAGGGCGACACATTCTGCACGGTTGTCAAGAGGGGACTCGAGTTCCGCCAGGATGGCGGCTCTTGTCCACTGCCCAGTCCCGGCGGACCTGGGGGTCCAGGCGGGCCAGGCGGTCAGGGCCCCCGGGGCCCTGTCGGCCCTCCGGTAACTTTCCGGCCCGGCCCTCCGAGCCCAATCTGCACCGCAAATTGTGGCGTGCTGTGCAAGGGCTTCTACTGCGATGCCAATCCCATCGGCCAACCCCCAGACTTCACTTATACACCGCCGGCACCGCCTCCCAGCACAGCACAGCCGCCGACCACGCAGCAGCCGCCGGCCACAACCACCAGCAGCAAGACGCTGCTGCCGCCCAACTCACTCACCGACCCGCCCACACTCGGGCCGATCCCGACCGTTGGCCCGATCCCCACAGACTGTGCCTCCGTTTCCTCTTGGACGCAGTGTGCTCTGGGCGTGCCGCCGGGGATGTCAGCATGCCAGACCTTCAGCACATGCGTGTCGACCAAAGCGCCACCTCCGCCACAGACCACGCACAACCCGGACGACGACGTCCCGACAGGGCCCCCAACCTTCTACCTCTACAACGGCGCCTGGGTCACCGAGTCTGCGAACCCGCGCATCGTCGCCAAGGCCGTCGAGAAGAAGAACGTCGACAACTGCGACGGCATATTCGAGGCTGAGGACCTCGAAGGTGCCAAGGGCGACCGGTCCTACCCCTGGCCCGAGCAGACCTTCAAGGTCAAGCTGTGCTCCAAGGATCTCGAGTTCAAGAAGACGGACAACGACTATGACGTGTACAGCGGCGGCAAGAAGGTCGGCAAGTGCAGCAAGGGCTCTGATACCATAAAGGACTGCTTCTGGGCCCCCATCATCTCGGCAGAGTTTGACCAGGCCTATGCTTGCACGGGTGCTTGTTGATTGCATGCGCGCTAACATTTTGGCGGGAGGTGATGGGAGGACGTGGGGGCATGGGTCCAGGCACAAATAGATTTCCTATGTTCATTGCGTTTTTTCCACTTTGCCATGGACATAGGTACTTATATTCATGGATTGTTGTTCTTTACCTACGAATGCGAACACGAATAATTGGATGCAGCATTTGGGGTGTCAATGTTGACAGAACTTCGTATTAAGGATGCAGCGAGCTGCTCATATAGTTGCCTACCTCCAGGAGAATTCATGAGCAGTATAAGCCACGCCCCGGAACGCCAGCTATACACTCCAGGGGCCTGAAATGCTCAGTCAGGCACTCCAATATCTCTCCAAGTAGGCTATCTGTTCCTCCGCGTCATATGCTCTAACTGGAGTGAGAAACTCAACGCTAGTCCGATTTTCAGGAGACTATAGAGCTCGGAGGAAGCTAAATCCGAGCTTGATCTAGCAATAGAGCAGGCTGGCCTAGACTCCACCCTGTGCTAGCATGCTTCCCAACAACCGTGACCACGGTTGACCGCGTAGTCCAGACAACAGTCTGACACTTCCGCATCTACGCGTTGCAATGTACTCTTTTGATTTTTGCAACGCCAATGCTCTGCTCTGAGGCCCCAACTAGTACCCGAGTGTAGCTGTCATTCCATACCCATGCCGAAGCATATGGGCACTCAAGCTGGCGCGTATATCCTACGCTGGCACTTGAGAAATACGTTTGTCTCCAGCTGTCCGGCCCCCTGACGATTGTAGATGATACGAGGCAGTGGCCCAGACCTGCGATTACCAACTTTGTCGCAGACGTGGAAATCATAGTGGGCTACGAACAGCACGTTCGCCACAATCACATTCAGCTCCGCAAACTTTTTACACCTCCCGTCAGCCTTTGCGAATCACTCGCCTGGACAAAAACAGGGAAAATAAAGAAAGAAAGAAAAAGTATCATGTACTTACCCTCCTAGCCGGACAAGGATGATTCCCCGACCCCCAACCCAGGTACCCGTGAGGCACGTCATCGCCTTGGTGCTTGTCCCCAAGAAACCGACTGGGATCCCACTTCAGAGGGTCCGGATAGATTGCCTCATTCATGTGCGTATCGGCCGTGGCATGGATGGTAAGGCTGCCCGGCGGCACGACGAGGCCTCCGACACCGATCTCAAGGTCCCTGGCGCTGATGTTCTTCCTCACCACCGACCCAGCCATGGTAAACCGGATGCTCTCGGTGATGGCCGCCCTCAGGATCGGGAAGCATGCCTCCCAGTCCCATACTGACAACCTCTGCAAGGTGTCGACTAGTGGCTCGGATGCATTTGGTGATAGAGCGCGCCGTCTCTCGAGGACGGTGTCGATCTCGGTGCGGACCTTGTCGAGCCACTCCGGCTCGTTTGCTAGACTGCATATATTATAGACGGTCGAGAAAGTGGTGTTAAAAACCCCAGCGAGCACAGCGCCGATGACCGAGACCGATTGCATCTTGGATCCCAGGTCTGTCTCGATCATCATCTGCAGCATGTCATCCTCTGTACGCCCCGCGGCTTTACGCTCCTGCGCAATCTTGGTCACGGTCAAGTGCAGCTTCGCGTAGCCCCAGACCTTGCGCAGCTTGGACGGCGTGGGCAGCCAGGGCAGCATGATATCAATGTACGGTGAGTCCTCGAGGGGCATGTACACGCTCCAGGTCTCGCGCAGCAGGGACGGGTCATTGGCGATGTCGTGGACGCCCGAAGCGCGGTGTGTGAGCTGGTAGCTCAAGAGGCCGAGGAACTTCTGGGGGTCAATAATGGCCGAGGTGCTTTTTTCGTCTGTCCTGAGGCCTAGAGCGCGCATGTGGGAGTCACTGTCAGAGACGAGGCGTGGGAGAATGGTGGTCATGTGATCAACCTGTGCGCATCGCTTGTATATCTGAAATACCCGGCGCGTGGAGTCCTTGGTAACTTCGCTGATGTCAAGGAAGCCACCCAGCAGAGCGACGAATCTGTCAATGATTTCGAGATTAGCTTACCGTCCTTGTTGAGATCAGAGACTCCCGGAGTGTGTACTCACCCAGCCGTCGGATCCAGCCCTCGCGCGGTCAGAAAGCTCGTCCGGCACTCCCTGGAAGCACAATCCAGGTCCGGGTTGACTTCCTGATCCGTATCGCCATCGCTCTGGCGGTTGTGATGATGGTGTTGGTGATTTACAGCAATCGTGATACAGGTTGGGAATTGACCGCTGACTTCCAGACCGCCGTGACAGCCACCACTGGCGAGATTTCGGCTGTGGCAGCCACTGCCGACCGATCTGCCATTCGGGGAGCAGTGCGCACCTACCGACACATCTGTGGAATCCCTGGGGCTGCACCTGCACGTTGTCGCTGGGCCTGGGGTCAGCACCCGCGCCGTCAGTGATCAACCGGAGTCCCAGCCGTGGCCAGTCGATACCACTTTGCCAACACATATTTCCTAATTTTCCTAGCGTCTCGAACAACAGGGCGGTGCGCCGCCTTTACCACATCCGAAATGTCAGGGAAGAGGCATTCAGAATCGAAAAGAGGTCAGATCACTTTATGGTGGGCGTCGCTACATTTTGAAGTCGACCAGGGCGTCACCTCGTCGCGGGCCCGGTGACATCTCTTGGGTGAGTGGCCGAGTGGTGGGCAGAGTGTGGCGCTAGAGCACCACACGTGGCTTTGCCACGATATGTAAATTGCTTTAGCTACCAACTCTGCACTGGGGTTAACTTCGATAGAACAACACCATCCCACCCATCGTCACCAACCATTGCCGGGCATTGTCGTGTCGACTTCGTCTTTTTTCAACCCCTGGTTCTCTTATCTCGCTGCGAGATGAGTGCGCCATGCTTGTGCGACAGGCCGCCACCATTGCAGACTGGCAAGGATTACCCCGGCTTCCAGCGCTCCGTTCTGTCCCAGTTGCAAGGGTCTCTCTGCGCGCTGCTGAGCGGGACGTCATGCACTTGTCGCTTGACCTTGTCCAATCAGCCGCAGCATTGGGGCCTATCCCCACCCTGCTTTCAGGGGCAAAGCTTTGGTGCGACACTCCTGGCGATTCGGCATATGCCCGTTTCTTGGTTCGACGACAGTGGCTTGCTTCTGGCTTCATGCACATCCCTTGCAAGTGTAAGGACAACACAACTTCACCGATCAGAATCCCTTTCACCTGCGGAGTTCCCCCCTTCTGTTGTTCAGGCGGACCCCTCCCCTCTCCTCTGGGGCGTGGGTGACCTCAACAGTTGAGAGTGCAAATTTCCACAACGCAACGCACCCTTTGTGGCCTTGCTGTCTCGGTCAGCATCACGCCTCTTAGTGTCCGAAGTCGTCCATCGCCATGTTCGGCACCCGAATTACATACACATGTCCTTGGTAAATCAGTTTGGCTGCTGTGATATTGTTTGCTTCTCTCTTGCATAAGTTCTTTACCACCATAGCAGCGGTCTTAGGCATGCATCACGTCTTGCTTTCTAATTTCCGTGCGAGGATTCGGCTTCGCATCCCGTCTGACGCGTGTGTGAGCTCACTCCTTGACCAGAACCAGATTCTCTCTCGCAGCTGTCACAGATGGCTTTCTGAGCATTGACACCTCTGTTGCGGGCTTTCTTCGAGCCTGCGGACCCACGCTGGCGCCGTTTGACTTGTTTTCGATCGTGTTTCGGGACATGTTTGTTGACGAGCTCGCCTGGAGACGGGTAAAGGAGTCGGTTTCCACCGTTGATGTTGAGCAGGCTTGATCCCACCGTGGTCTCTGTGCCGGCAATGGCCATGCTATGCTCGTCGTGCAGCTGCGTTGAAGTACCGCTAGACAGGTCTTCGCACAGCCGTGCTTCCGGGCTCTGTAAGACGGCATTTGGAGCTCCGCTGTATGCTGGGCCTGGAGAGCAATACAGAGTCTCTTGATACATGCTGCTCGGGGACTGCGCGGCGTTCCAGCTCGAGATCGTTGTCTCTGGTTCGTGATGAGTCTGGCTGCCTTGCAGCTCTGGTAGCTGCGCCAGAGCCGGGCGAACTAGGTCCGGCATCTCGACAGGCGGAAGCGGCACCAATGAAGGATAGTGCAGATGACTACCAGCACCACACATCGGCAGGACCAAGTAATAAGTCGCTAGGACAGTGTATGGACCGCTTGCGAGTAGTGGTCCCGTGGGGTCAGCGAGCCACAGTTGCGAATAGTAAGCGCTGAGGCCGTCTGTCGCTTGTGGCTGTGAGGAAGCCCATGACCCGGGAGTAGTGTTATTCTCCTCGCTCACTCGGTGACCATGGACAAGGCTGTACTGCCCCATGTGTCCGGAAGTGACGAGGTGCGACTCCGGAACCATGTCCTGGATTGACGGCAGTCGGACTTGGGCAAGCTTAGAAGTCATCGCATATGAAGTGCTAGAGAACAGAGCCTGTCCTCTCAAGTCGTTTTCAGGGTACTCCGGCTGACTCTGGTGATGCTACGGTAGTTGGCGTGGGCTACTATGGAGAGTTGGGAAGTCTGAGGACTGAGACAGCAGACCATGTGGGCTCTTATTCTTTTGACCAGCCAAGAACAAACGAGAGTCGGAGTCGACATCACGCAGCGCCCACGTTGTAAGCTTCACCTACTGCACCCGAATAGGCAGCAAGGTCATCCGAGATCTGCGAGCGCCGAAAATGGAGCTTCCCCACAGGACCCCAGTTCCATCCACTTCGGTACGCTGAGCAGAGAGCTAGTTTGTGCAGCTGGTTTCTTGCGCCGCAGCTTACCATGTAGCAAGGACACTACTCTCGGCTCCTCCTGGTGCTGCGCGGACTCTCCGCCATTGCTCGGCGTGCACTCGAACATAGGAGCTAGTCAAGTCTCAGAGAGACATTGCACAATACTGTACGCTATACTTTTGATGAGACCCCTTCGCCGGGACGCTGACTGATTAGCATTGACGTGCCTACGTAGGAGACACCTAGTACAAGCTATCGGAAGTACCATGGAGCTGGTTGTTGAGAACGCCGCACCGAGGTCGAGCATGGCGGGCTCAGAATGCCTTCTTCCACATACCTCCAGGACTTGCCTGAGCGGATACGCGGAACCACTTCCGTCATGCGAAAACTTACATGGGTGGAGCGGCATGCCATCCGCCCTTGGAGAAGTGGGTCTCCACTGGCAAGCAAAACCCGGGATCCCTAGCTCGCTCGAGAATGAGAGCAGCCAGAAATGGAGCAGCAGAGGGCGGGGCAGCAAAGAGAAGGAGGCGCCAAAAATGGAGCGCGGCTAGAGGACCCTGCATTAACACAGTTGCGGCTTCCTGAAGGTCATCGGGCACAGACAGGGCCTAACCGGTTGCGACAGAACAGAGCGTCCATTCAGCCGTTGCCTCTGAAGTGATGTTGTCATACCGACAAACATGGTTCCCCCAAGCACCTCATTGTTTGTAGGACATGCGAGACCTCCACTTTGATCATGTCTCTTTCTTGCTCGTGAGCTGGCCTCTTTTCACAGTGGCTCACTGCCGACATTCAGCTCATTCGTGTCCGGAGCTGGCACTTCGAAGCTTGATGTACTCCTCCTTGGCCCAATTCCGGTATCGTGTGTAGCCACCCCAGTGGTTATCACTCTCCGGTGATCGTGCTCGAGTAGTCGCATGCCGAGATTGAGGCTCTAATGACATCGGCCTCGAATTGCTTAGTCAGCCAGAGATGTCATCGGTACATTCACAGCGGGAGGAAACGAAGAGAGTTCTCCAGTATAGCTTTCCTTTTTCACCAGTTGCCAGTGACCTCCCATCGCACAGTCTCCTCTCGATGATCCCCATAATGTGTCTCAGCACTAGCACATGCGTTTGGCGTCGTGGTAGCACTTACACGAACATCATAACTTGCTGGACGCTCTCCGGCTTTTGGACGACGTCGCTCGTTTCCGAGAGTGTGTGGGCAGTGTTGCCGACATACGCACCTCCCGGACCTTGCCACGATTCCTTCCGAGATGTTCTTTGCTGTCTGAAACTGCGCTCGACAACAAAGGTGCTATCATAACAAGCCGCGCACTGTATGGTACGTACTTCGGACAGAGAATCAAGGCACGGCTCTCGCTTTGTGCGCCAAAGCATAAGTAAAGGAATGGCACGAGCGCATAGGAACGAGGGAGCAAGGTTGGGCGCGAGGACGATCGCCAAGCGCAGTAGATATAGCAGCAAGTCCCGGACGGATAATGAAGACATGCACGTGTAGAGACAGCCCCTAGCCTTAGTACTTGATCGATCTTCATTAGTAGTAAGCGAGGACTAACCCAAGCTCAGTATCAACTCCCCTCTCAATACCACCCATCCCGCCACATCCTCGTCGGGCCCAGGTTCATAACTTCTTGCTGCGAAGGTATCAGTATTGGACATGTCTACACAGCGGCAGTACTGTACGATTTCGAAGCTACGTTCAATAAGACGACTCTCGTTCCGATATCGAGAGCTCTTGCTTGAATCGGTGTCCTTCGTTCGACGTGCTGGAGGCTGATTGGAGGGCAAAATTGTTGCGGACCCAAAAGGATCGCTTCCTTTATTCAGAATAAATGAGATATCCATGCGGGGGTCCCTGGTCCTACGTCTGGGGACTAAATAGAGGGGAGATGCGAGGGAACCCATTGCAGCGCCTTGATGTACGATACAGGAGCTCACCAGGAGCCGGACAGCTACATTTATACTCGAAGGACGCGAGCCGCCTTCCCTTGTCATTCTTAAACACGATCAGTAAAGGAGCAGGCTAGAGGCAGCCCGCAAGAGCAGCTGCACCAAGAATGGCGCTTTCAGACCAACTTGATCCCGCGAGTAGGAACGCCACAAGCGCCACAAATAGTTGAGAGGGCTTGCGCAAGGCAGAACATTTATATGACGGCCACAGTGGTGGTTATATGAGCGGACAAGACGATTGTATCATACAGCGAACGTACCAGTACCAGTCATGATTCTCGGCCGCCATATCTCTATACCAGCAGGAATGGCCCAAGCTATCCAGGGGAAGGAGAGAGTACTATTGAGCTCCAATCCACTTTCTCACACCTGTCCAATGCACATCCAAGACCCTCTTATTCAGCATCTTTTGTCCATGATTAGGACTAGCTGGCCCAACCAGGTACTTGGCATTTTCGGCCTTCGTCTGCTCGTACTAACAGTGCCAGTCTGAGCAAGACGAGATGGCTGACCTAACTGAACTCTGCGAGTACCTGTACGAGACCGGGTCTACCTTCGGCTGTCTCGAGCTGAACCTTCCTTTTCTCGCAAGGTTTCCGAGCTGGACTGCTTTCGAAAATTATATCCTGGCACGGAAATGTCGAGCCATTGGACTGATCCTCGGGCTCTGCGCCATGGACGATCTGTTGCTCGAATGTGAGAGCCAGTCAGTTTGTACAGCAGATGTACTTGAGGGCAGGTCATTATTCAATGGGCCATTGTGGACAGACTACCATCCAGCCTGGCAGTTCTATGAAACCGGGGGCTACGATGGCTCTCCTACTTGTGCAAGCTGTATTTTTGAAGGGAACCACACGGAGTAAAAGGCGTTCGCAACGCCCTCTTTAGCTAGCTCAAGTAAAAGGCGAAATAACTAGCGCACGAGGCTGTACAAGCCAGAAGTGGACGCACTTCGGATATAAGTTTCTGCATCGGTGGCGGCCCCTCTTTTGATCTGGTCTTGGAAGCTCTACACGTTCAATGTTCTCAGTAAAACAATTCTCTACTGGCATGCGTATGGTGCAAGCATTTGCGGAATATAGCTGTGGATGCACGGAGAAATCTTTTCAACCATACTCGGCCATGTCAGAACTGCTCCAAAAAGGATATTCCTTAGAGCGAAATGGCGAAATCTACGCTTCCTGGCGCGATGAATGCCCGATACACAAAGCTCTCTTCATAGGCAAGGCCCTTATCAAAGTTCACAGGGAGAATGCGAAGCCAGAAGAAGAGCAGTCGTTAGCCTGGCTCCGTCACATCATCTGCAGCCGCTCATACTTCGTTCGGCAGGGCAACCACGAGTCCTGGCTCGTCCTGCTCCGGATGTGGTGTATTATCATTACTGAGGGCCACTCACGCGTGTCGCATATAGCATCATCTCAAATGACTCAAGCTGTCCAGATAGCAAGCGACATAGAAAATCAGGTCTCGAAAGAGGCCTATTTTCATTTGTTCAGCTGGCTTTTGGGTGGCCCGGGACAGAATGGTGGAGGGGCGTCACACTACGAGAATCTGACGACCCCAGAAGTCTATCATCACTTGGAAGAGAACTCTTTCTCATTCAGTCACTTCTGTCTTCGTCTAGAGAGCGATCGCCCACCGCTGCAGACCTCGGCGTTCGACTATGCTAAGATGCCATGGGAGGTCCGACCCCTATTAGGGCTCGCACTTGATCCAGTACTTGCGCCACTCACTAGCAAACCTCCTACAGGTAGCAATAAGGCTATATAGCCGCTCTTCTAATTATGTCTTGATTTGCCCGTGCAGATACGTCTCAGTTCGCGAGCGTGGTATAGCTACAATGCCGCGCTGGCATGCAGTGTAAAGACTTGTTTATTCGTAAGGCTTTTCCCTGAAGGAACAGTCTTCATTCAAGGGTACAGAGCTAGGTTCAGGTTTAGCGTCCTTGTGTTTGATTTAGACTTTAGCCCGCATGGCTATTTTCGGCTCCAATACAGTGCGTACCCTGGCATCTGGAAGTACTTAAACTGTATTCGACTTATCAGCACCTGCCAGGCTAAAATCGGAGCCGAAACAAACATCCCCACACTATAACACCCCTCAGCCTGTATCTCCGCAATTGTTTCCCAACGAAGTGCATACAATAGACAGCCTGCCTTAAGCGCGTTGTATACGCCACCGACTTTTTGGGTCAAATACAGAGGCTGTGGCGCAACAATACGGTTAAACTGGACGATAGCATGCCTCCCTCGTGCTTGGAGCTTGGACGAGCAATGCCTGAGTCGCGAAAGTCTGGGACGTTTGTTGGGAGAAGGGTTAGTCACTGTAAAAGTTGGTTGGCTTAGTAAGTCACGCAAAGGACATGTCTCCTGATTTTGCTGCCCCCTGTTTCCTTGACTGATTTGCAAATAAAGAAAAAAAGGAAAAGATAAAGAAGCATGCTCATCCCCGCCTCCAAGCACAGCCATCGGAATGCGGTGCGCGGGACAGTCGCTCCGCTTCTATATTGCATGTCTCGCACGAGCGATAAAGAAACGAGATCGGATACATCAGTAGGGGATGAGAGGGTAGAGAGAGCAAGGTAAAGAAGGGGGTTTCTGAAAGCAGATTTCTAAAGTGGAGCCACTTTCCAGAGGTGTACAGTAGGGAGCCTGTGGAACACTGTGTACTAGTGCTGCAAGCGTGTTACTGCAACAGTCAGAGAACTACTTGAATTACGTAAGCAGACATTATCAGGCTCGTTCTTGACGACAGCGATGGGGCTTTGTTCTGAGGTGTCTTGGCACTGGAGGCCCGGGGTTTAATGCCATTGGAACAACGCGACTATGGATGGGCTGAACCGCATCTCCTGCACTGCGCCTCAAGGTTAAGAGTTCTGCGTTTTAATAGATAAACCTAAGAGACATACTGAACGACCCCAAACTATATTCATGTCGATGGATGTTCATGTTTGTAATGACATGTTAAGTCTTCTTCATCTTCCAAGATGACCCCACAACCCACGACCAAGAAGACCAAACCGGAAGAAAACACTGGTCCATCGGTCGCAATCTCTGTGTCCTCTCTCTTGAGCTTGCTGGTATGCTCGAACGTGTCTGTTTGTGCGCAGCGCTCTATCTGTGATGCTTGATATGCACAACTGGCTTGATGTGCTGGACGAACATCATCTGATTGCGCCAGCGTGAGACAGCCACTGTCGGAGTTTTCGACCGCGCTGCCTTGATGGCCGGTTGTCTCTCTTGGTTCAGCCGGCGCTACTCGGGGCTTCTCACAGAACTTTCTCGAGCCGTTGCACTGCGTCTGATGGTTATTCAACTGTGCTCTGAGCAGTCGACATTTGCAGGTAGCGGTCACAGACTGCGGCACGAATTGTAAGACCTACCTTAGTTCGCCGAGCTCTACACTTCCCGCATGAGCTCTTCTCCCTTTGTCGAGGCTGCCATTGGCAATATTGTCTCCCCCTAGCTGCAGATGCTGGAAAAATCGCTGGCATCGGGCCAGGACAACATTCGTATAGACCGTCGCACTGACTGTCGCGTCAATACCAAGACATCTGAGAGAGGCACGTCAAACACTGACCTTCAAGTGGCGAGCATGACAGGCGCAGCATGCTTTGTTCTTTTTCCTCCGCGATTGTCGTTGTCGCCGCAAGCATAGCATGACTGTGGCGACTGTCAACGGAAGAAGTGAAAACAGCTGCGAAAGGAAGTCCGCGTGACAGACTGAACGCAACGGTCAACGCCGGATGAGATTGGTAGATGGATTGAATGATCTTGATAAGCGTATGTCTGACAGTTGTGACCGGCAAGCGCTGGGTAGCTGCAAGCCGCACATCCAAGCAATATCGGTGACGGTCTGGATAAAGTCTCTTGAGGATCGCTGCTGCGTGAAAACTTCAGATTTTATTGCACTGTCACAGCCAGCTTGTCGAAAGCCATGGTGACCATAATGTCATCATCGGGCGGCAGCCTCTCAAATCCAGCCTGACGGGTGGAGATCACACCGCTGTTGATGGAGGGGAATGTTTGCCTCGATGACAAGTTGGAGCAGCAATCCGTGATGCATCGCTTGGCATGCAGGTTTCTGGGCAATTAGATGTGTCAGTTTCGCTTGAAAAGGAAATCATTCCATTGCAGCACGGGACAAAAGAGGCAAGCAAACACAGAGATGATATTCGGGTGAACATATAACGGTGGTGCTGGTGCGTCTGACAGCAAGCATTTCCGTTTGATGGATGGCGCATCGTGTTTGCTACACATGATATGGTCTCAACCCACGTCTTTGGCTTGCTCGTTCGTGTACTGTACTGTTTAGTGTGATATTTTACAAGTGCTAGGTGCGAATGGAAAATACCGACTCGTAGTCGAGAACCGGGTAATGACTGCAGCCCTGCCATGCAATATGAACTTTGTGAGAACAATGGTTGAGTGCTCGCAGAGCATATATATTGGGGGTACTGAGTGCTACTTATAGAGTTGCCTACAAAAAGAAGAAAACAATGAAAACGAGTGCCAAAGCCCAAAAGTGCCATTTATATGCTCTCAATGAGCTCCAACTGCTTAGTCACCTGCTTGGTGGTAATTGCATTGTACCATTAGGTGCTTGGCTCCACATATGGCAAATAGGACGAGATAGGAGATGGTGTAGAGCTCCATCAAGACTTCGGACACAGACTTGCCGGCCGACCCGGAGTCCTGCGGGTCGTTCGGCCCGGATGATGGAGTGCCAAGCCCGGGCTCAGGGATTGAGTGTCGGGTCACCGCCGGCGAGTCGAGCGGAGAGTTGAGGTCAGCCTCCTCGACGTCGGACAGTGCTGAATTTAAGTCGTAACCGCCATCTTTTGTGTCCGGTCGAGCGCGGGGCCTGTCGCCTGCTGCGGCTTGCTGTCGCATCGAGCCTCGCACTAAGCCGTCGTTCGGCGGCATGGCTGCTGCGGGTTCTGGAGTGGACGCCAATGTGCTCCTACGACGCTCTAGCTCAGTCAGGTGTCCGCGATTGCAGAGGGCATGGCATTGCCAAGCTGCTGGCGCAGGCTGATGATTGCCGGATTGTCGAGGGATATGAAGGATGAACGACCGAGACGCGACGAACTTCGCGCGAAGCTCCAAGTCCACAGCTTAGGTCATGATTACATAATCCGCCCTAGAGACTAAGGCTCCCAATAGGCGCACGGGTACCCGTGCGTATAATATTGCACGGGTACCCCGTGCAGATTCTGCTTACAGCTTAGCGTGTCTTAATTCCCGCCGACATCGCAATCCTGGATCCATATCCGGGGTGCACCCATATCAGCAGAAAAGGTCTGTCTTGACCTTCGCTGGTGATCTCAGGTGCTGTTTGACCTCCGATCACAGTATGTGCGTTGCCTTACACGTATAACGTATTTGACTTAACCTTTAACTATAATACACTCATCATCATCCCGGTGAAGAACTTGCTGCTCCTCACAGTCCTGTGCCGCCCTCCTCCACACATCACCCATACCTCTTCGATTAGCTAGACCGCTTGTCGACTCCTGGGCAACCTGAGCATCGATTCGCTCCGTCTCAGACCGATCCCAGTCCAAATATGCCATCATTTCTTCCCTTGTCCAGGCCCGTTCACCCTCTCGCGTTAAGCAACGCCTCGTCATTTGCTTATGGTCTAAGCACCAATCGTACTGCGCTTTACTATACCGTAATGGTAAACCCATTGCCTGCCGGTACATCTGGTTGCTTGCATAGGTACCCGGGAGTAGGGACTTCTTCCAGATCTCTCGCGTAGCGACGTATCTTTGGTAAATCGCTTTTGGGTCACTGTATTTTAAAGGCTGCTCCGGAGCTTGCTGGTGTTCTTCGGCGTACTCTGAGACGGGTTCTTTAGCTCGTCGTAAGGGCTGGTCGTTTTCTGAGAGCCGAGCTTCGATCTCTTCCAAGATCTGTTCCGTAATCCCTTCTTGGGCCGACGAGTTATTAAGAAGTTCGCGAATTGGCGACTCATGTTGTGCACGTCGATAATTCAATCGTAGCTTCAGGTATCGACGTGTCGGCTGGCGGCTCTGGTGTTATTCGTAGCTGTTGCGATGCCGCCTCTACTCGAAGTTATAGCTCTGCGTACTTTAGGGGGTATAATCGAGACGTCCTTGAATGACCTAGACGGTGACATCTAGTACAGGTTGAAGGTCCCTTTCGCTTAGTCGCGACTTCAACAGCTTCAAAGCCGCTAGGCTCCCTTCGGTTACTTGATCGCGGTAAAGAAGTGTTGGTACTAGTCATATCAATACGTTGGCGAGGCTCTTGGAGAAAAGGTTTCGCGCCGCTCCGGATTAGGTGCCAATGCGAATGGAAGTCTCCTAGGTAAAGGGCTTTGCCTTCGGACAACAAAGCCTCAAGTTTGTGAACGCATGGTAGGCCTTGCGACCGAGAGAATATGCCTGTACAGCGTTGTAGCGGACTGCTCGTCTGGAGAAGCTTCCGCTGCTCTTCAACCTTTCGAAGAGCCTCGTGTGATACCCAACCCCGTACTACACCATAAAGTGGACCGGAAAGTTCGATCGGAGACCGAATCTGCTGTTTTGCCTGGTTGGACCCCAGCTCCCCAAGTTGGTTTATTAGCGCATGCTTAATAGCCCTCCAGGCCTTAAACAAATCGAGTGTCGACGTTTTCAGATGACTTTTAAGAAGCGCATGGACACCTTCGACGCGCGAAGTAACAACATTACCGAAATGAGGGTAGCTGTCAACCCAGGCCTTTACAAGCTTTTCCTTATACAGGTCAAGCCATGTCTCTTTAATGTAGGCCACGTCCCGTACATGCGTTGTAATATAGCGTTGTTCAAATGTCGACATACGGATGTCGAATATTGCCTCGGTGGGAGAACGAATAATTTGGTGCCAGTGCTGGTAAAAGTCATGCCACTCTTTCAGTCTCGCAGATTTGTCGGCTTCGGAGTCCTGGAGTTATAGCTGGATAGCGAATGAAGGCTGACAGTATCGAAGGACGGCTTCGTTCGCATGCCAAAGGCATAGCAATGAAGCAGCAGAAGGAAAGCATACTGCGATTGCGTTGATACAAGCAAGACATCGATCGGTAAGAATAACTGAAGGTAGGCGGGATTTGCTAATTTCGTAGAGTGACCGGAGGCGCTCTAGAGCCCAAACGAAATCTTCCTCGCTTTCTCCACTAAGAAATGCGAATGCGATACAGAAGGATCGTTGAGAAGCGTCTACTCCGATTATATCTGGGAGCGGCATTCCGTATTTGTTCGTTTTGTAGGTACAGTCGAGGATTAAAACATCCGGATAAGCTTGAAGATAGCTTAGCGACTCTGGATGGGCGAAAAGCACAGCCTTTACGCGGTTCTCCGAATCAAGTTGTAAACGGCTCCAGAAACCTTCATGGTCAAGCCGGTTAGCTAGGGCATTGATCGTGCTCTGCCCTTCGTACATCTCGCGCCTACTGTCCGCGATTCGGTTGTAGATATCTTACTGCGTTGCAATCGAACTCGTGTTTTGGTGTATGTACGTTCGAATCTCCTTAGGTGCGACGCCAGCATTTGCGAGGCTAGATAGACGAGTGATCGTTTCCGTATCGAGTGCGCGATGCTTAGGATGGGCGGATGGGTGTAAACTTGGCTCGTGGTTGTGTTGGGCAAACTGCGGGTCGGGTCGGTGTCGTATTGTCCATGTGCCGCTGTCTCGTGACTCTTTTGCTAGTACAGAGAACGGACAGTTGGTACTTCGCGTAGATGTTTTTCGCTGGCGCGGTCTTCCAGAGGCGTAGTCGCGACATGATCGATCACATGCATATACGACTGAGAGCCTGCCTGTCTTTTCCTTTGTTGACCTTTTCGTAACAAAGGCGTAGCCTCTTGTGTACGCCCACTCGTTGATAGCTTTAAATAAGGTATCTCGAGACTCGTAGGTGCCTTCCGGAGGGAGACTGTCATCGGGAAATGAATGGTGGGTACTACTAGTAGCTGCCATCGGGAGACAAATCTGAGGCTAGTAATGGTAATAAAAGAAATACACGAAAGCACCTCAGCGCGCTTTGTAGCGCGTAAAGTATTGTATGCTGACAGCACCTGAGATCACCAGCGAAGGTCAAGACAGACCTTTTCTGCTGATATGGGTGCACCCCGGATATGGATCCAGGATTGCGATGTCGGCGGGAATTAAGACACGCTAAGCTGTAAGCAGAATCTGCACGGGGTACCCGTGCGCCTATTGGGAGCCCCCGCGAGCCTTCGCTGGTCCGCCCTTGTCCCTGGCCTGATCCTGCGGCCTTGTTTGTGCTGGGCCTGCTTGTTACCTCAGCCCCAAACAGTTCCCCTGTTGGTCGGGTCGTCACAACACGCCGGCCAAAAGGACAACGATACCTACGATAAATACTACGCCTCCCCTCTTATAGCAGATAGACAGGGCTTATATTTTCACAGCAAGTCTCACAAGGAGGTACTAGAGCGTTTCCAAGATATAACAATTTGCCGCAAGCCTTCCTTATTACTAGCGCTTCCTATAGAGAGCCTTACTAAGTTGGAAGACTCGGAGCCGATAAAAAAGCTACAAGCCGAGCTATAAGAGCTGCAGCTTAGAGATACCAGCGATCCTAAAACGAAAAAGCGAATAAATAAGCTATTTTAGGAGACACGCAGACTTAAGCATAAAGTAACGAGGTTAATACAGGAACAGCAATCATCGGCATCGCAGGGAACAACGCCAGAACCCTGAGCGAGTTGTGACGACCGACCAACAAGGGGAACAATCGTTCGGGCACACAAGCACAAACAAGGCCGCAGGATCAGGCCAGGGACAAGGGCGGATCATATGGCAGTGCCGACACAGGTTTCTTATGTAAGCACGATAAGGATAAGGGACGCGGCTACGGTACCACCGGTCATGCCCAAACGCATGACCATCACCACGCTAAGACAGACGGTCATCACCACATGCACGACCGTCAGACCCGGGACCATGACCGTCACCACGACGGCCATGACCACGATGAAGGACAAAGGATATAATGCGGAGGATCTCCTAGATAGACAGTCACTACCTTTGTACTTCAGCGATCAATCTAAGTATTAGTTTCACCACACACTTGAACTAGTCACTCAATTGCCGAGACTGGTATCTCTTCTAAGAGGCACGACAACCCCAAAGAGAGAACGACAGTAGAGTGTTAGTTATTATCGCACAGGCTTTACCTATCTTGCAGAACAGCAACCCCAGCGCCCTGCCAGACGGTTGACCCCGGAGGCAGGATCGTGACACGAGTCTATTGTGCGGGGAAATGTAGCTAAACTTGAGTTATGCCGGAATGGGCCGGCGGCCCCTTCGGGATCCCGGGGTAAAAAGAAACTCGCTGCTGGGAGCTGGGCAGTCGCTAGCATAAGTTGGTGAGCATAGCCGTGCCGTCAGAGTTCGGCTTGGCACAAGACTATGCTCCGCCGCGACCAGCCGGACTTGGAAGCAAGATTGATCAATGGGGCCAACGAGGACTTCTGAACCAAGAGAGAAGAATATTGCAATCCTGCCGTGGCTACTAGGAGCTCAAATGTTGGCGACACACAACGCGTGCGGGTAGCTGTGGCGAATGAAACCAAGCTTAAAGGAGTCGTGCTGCTGGCTTTCGGGTTGGGATGCCTGCGCCGGCCTCGCGGGTCGTGTGCCGCGAAGGTTTAGTGCCATAAGGCACTTACGAGGAAGTAGCACGTTGTCTCAGGGGAAGCCGTTAGCGCCCAAGAACAGGGCCCTGGAGTACATTGCACCAGAGAATGTTCGCGGGCCCGACCGCCACGGCTGAGAAAGTAAGAGAAGACCTGCACGAATGTGCTGATCTGGTTGCGGTTTATAAGATGATCTACTCTCTGCGGCTGAGGATTAAAAGGGGCTCGGAAGGCTCTCCTGAGATAGTGGTCGACGAGATCTAGCGCGGCACAGTTTGGTGACACGGCGGGAGGCAGGGTTTTCGAGGGCGTTTGTCTTTTGGGTGGTCTTGTGTGGTTTTGTGTGTCGTTTGTGGCTGGCAGTAGTGCCAACATGTGATCAGGGGCCAGACCTCGACGTGCTCGGTGCC